CTGCATAACTAGAGTGTCGTCTATCGGTTCAGCTGGAGGTAACATCATATCTCCAGTGTAAAATAAACGTCAAGGCCAGCACCCTGAGTGGCAACAAGCATACCAGTGTAACTGTTCCATTTAGGATAGTTCATAGACGAAGAAAGCTTCAAGCTCTCATCTCTAGGGCAAGTGAGAGCGAATTGGCTCATAACCTGTTGTAATCTAGCTATTCTATTATGAATATCCATTGTATATGTTCACTTTTTCTTATGTTTGTTGCTTATTAATTTATAACTAATATAACTAGCCTACAAACTAATATTCTCAAACATAAATACAAGGGACAAACCTCTTGTATTTATACACTTACACCTTCGGTTAAACTTGCCATTATTCATTTATCATGGCGGCTAACTTTCCAGTTTTAGATTACTTAAGATGCCTTATCATGATAAGACTCTTATCTCTTATCACTCGATCATGATTGGCTTCGGCATCTTATCTCAACAGAATAAGATTATATTGACGCGTAGTAAAAACAACGTGTTTTTTGACTTTTTGCATGATAGTATACCTTGGAAACTTCAGTCTGTCTCAGTTGTCAGCCATTGGCGATCTGTGTGCTTGTCCACACGAACTAAAGAAAAGAGATTACGTAAGAGCTAAATTTTGTTGAAGGCTGTGCAGACCGTTTGTGATTTTTTATTTTTTTCATTTCCGTTTCCAATTCTTTGGCATGTCTGAAATTTTTTCTTTTCCTGATAATCTTTTGTCTGATTTTACACAGAAAGTTGACTTCAAGTTCGAGCGGTTATTTTGGAAATCGGTGTTAGATCAGCCAATTCACACTTAGCACAGAGAAGCAGTATGGACTCGCAGCAGTCGAACAAAACGCACAGAGGGGGAGGCGCCAAAAAGAACACGGCGAAGCAAAAGCTTCATTCTCAAGGGAAAAATGCAAAGGCTTTTGCATTTGCCAAGCCTGGCAAGTTACAAAGACAGGCCACCAGAAGTAGTGATTTGGGTGAAAAGAAGTATCATGTTCCAATGGTTGACCGTACCCCGGACGATGACCCGCCTCCAGTTATTGTTGCAGTGGTTGGACCTCCAGGAACGGGTAAAACCACATTGATTCGTTCTTTGGTTCGTCGGTTGACTAAAACTACTATCACAGACATCAAGGGTCCGATAACTGTTGTCAGTGGTAAGAGAAGAAGATTGACTTTCATTGAATGTTCCAACGACTTGAACTCCATGATAGATATTGCTAAGATTGCAGACTTGGTTCTTCTACTGATGGACGGAAACTTCGGTTTTGAGATGGAAACAATGGAATTTCTAAACATTGCGCAACATCATGGTATGCCAAGAGTGCTTGGTGTTACCACTCATTTGGATTTGTTCAAGAAGCCGGCAATCATGAGGGCAGCAAAGAAGAGGTTAAAGCAAAGATTCTGGACAGAGGTCTATCAGGGTGCAAAGTTATTCTATCTTTCCGGTGTTATGAACGGTAGATATCCGGATAGAGAAATTTTAAACTTGTCTCGATTTATTTCTGTTATGAAGTTCAGACCCTTGAAGTGGAGAAATGAACATCCTTATATGATGTCCGATAGAGTGGTAGATCTTACCCATCCTTCAAAGATCGAAAAAGATCCAAAATGTGACAGAAAAATAGCCCTATATGGATACTTGCATGGTACTCCTTTACCTAATGAGAATGCAAGAGTACACTTGGCTGGTGTTGGTGACTACACTGTTTCTTCTATTGAAAAATTACCAGATCCATGTCCAACCCCGTACTATGAACAGAAGTTGGAAGACTATGAGAGAGAGCAAAGGAAATTAGCAGAGGCCAATGGCCAACCAGTTCCAGCTAAAACACATAGACGTAGGAAGAGACTTGAAGACAAACAGAAAATTATTTATGCTCCGATGTCTGATGTTCATGGTGTATTGATTGACAAAGATGCGGTTTACATCGATGTGGGACAGAAAGTCTTTAAGTCAGAAGAAGAAATGAGTGGAATTGGTGAGAAGTTGGTTACAGACTTACAAAATGCAGCTGACATAGTCGACTCCAGAAAGTCATCTCGCTTAAAGCTTTTCAGCGATGGCCCTGAAATCTCGAGAACTGATTCTGATGATAATGATGAGCTCAGTGAGCCTGATGAAAATGAGAAAGATGACAATGAAGAATTACATGGAGAAATGGGAAGGCATGAGCTAAGAAGGGCCAGGATACACAAGCAAGATCTTGAGAACCTCGACGATAATGCCGATATCGATGAATATGATGAAGATGAGGATAACTTAGTCATATTTGACGAAGATGCAGATGACCGAGCTAGAGAAATGAAATTGAAACAGCTAAGAAAATCTCAAAACCTTGCGAATGAAGAAGACTTACAATTTGAGACTGACTCCGAGTTAGGAGATGATGACGATGAAGATAACGGGCTATCACAATGGAAAGCCATGGGTGGCAAACTTCAGAATTTGAACATAAAGAAAACTTGGAATATCAATAAGTTAATATACATGAATAATATTGACCCCAAGGATGCCATTGCCAGATGGAAACAAGAAGAAGAGTCTGATGAAGAAAATATCACTCCATCTTCTGACGAAGGTGAAAGTGGTGAAGAAGAAAACGACGAAGAATTTTTCACCAAAAAAGAGGATAAGATGATAGAAGAGACAAACGATAAATCGAAGTTGACATTGAGTTTTCTTAAGGAAAAATGGGCACCAGGTAGTAAGTCTCTTGATTATCTGAAGAAGAGATTTTTTTTGTCAGCCAAGCAGAGAATTCAGATGGAGAGGGAAGCCAAAGAGAATGGAGAAGAAAATGAGCTATATGGTGATTTTGAAGATCTCGAAGATGAAGATGCTGAGGAGAAAGAGTATATCGAAGCTGGTGATGAACCTGATGGGGAAATGTCAGAAAAAGACGATTTTACCAATTTTGAAGAGGAAGAAATGAAAGATGAAATGGGGATTGGTACTAAGATTGAAGAAGAAGAAGAAGGAGACGAAGAAGACGCTGATGATGATGACTCCGATGCTGACCAATCTGTTGAAAAACAGAGGGCCCTAAATGCCAAAAAGAAAGAAAAGTTGAAACAGCAGTTTGAAGAAGAAGAGGACTATAAGGGCGATGACGATCCTTTCAACGAGCATGATAGTTGGTATGAGTTTCAAAAAGCTAAGATGGCGAAGCAACTTGAAATTAATAAAGCTGAAATGAGCAAGCTTGATGCTGATACGCGTAATAAAATTGAAGGATTTTCAGCCGGTTCCTATGTGAAATTGACTTTTGATTCTTTACCTATGGAATTCATTGAAAACTTTGATCCAACGTTTCCAATTATTGTTGGTGGGTTATTGAATACAGAAGAAAGATTTGGTTTTATGAATGCTAGAATCAGGAGACATAGATGGCACAGGAAGATTTTGAAGTCTAACGACCCATTGATTCTTTCTTTAGGATGGAGAAGATTTCAAACTTTGCCAATATACACTACTTCTGACTCTAGAACAAGAAACAGAATGCTTAAGTACACCCCGGAGCATGCTTACTGCTTCACTACATTCTATGGTCCTTTAGTTGCTCCTAATACTACATTTTGTGGAATTCAAGTGGTGGATAAGGATCATACCACTGGCTCTTTTAGAATTGCAGCTACTGGTATTGTTGAAGACTTGAATGCAGAGAGTTCAATTGTGAAGAAATTAAAATTGGTAGGTTATCCGCAAAAGATTTACCGTAATACTGCATTCATTAAAGACATGTTTACATCTGCTATGGAAGTGGCTAAGTTTGAAGGAGCATCCATCAAGACCGTTTCGGGTATAAGAGGTGAGATTAAGCGAGCTTTGTCGAGTCCCGAAGGCCACTTCAGAGCCACATTTGAGGACAGGATTTTGATGAGTGACATTGTTATCCTGAGAACGTGGTATCCTGTCAAGCCCAAAAAATTTTACAATCCAGTCACTTCGTTACTTCTGAAAGACAAAAATAACTGGAAGGGTATGAGACTTACAGGAGAAGTCAGAGCAGTGAGTGGTGTTGAAACCCCACAAGGGAAAGACTCTAATTATAAGAAGATAGAGAGACAGGAAAGGAAGTTCCATTCATTGAAGGTTCCGAAGACAATCAAGAGTAGCTTACCATTCAAATCTCAAATACAGGATATGAAGAAACAAAAGAAACCTACATATCTTCAAAAGAGAGCTGTTGTGATGGACGGTAAGGAGAAAGAAGCCAGAAAGCTAATCCAAACCATTCAAACCATTAGAAATGATAAGGAAAGCAAGAGAACATCAACGAAAGATTCGAAGATGAAGGAGAAGTTGAAATCCCGTGAAAAGCTTGAGGCCTTCAGAACGGAGAAGCAGAAGGAAAAGAAGAAAGAGTACTTTGAGACGCATGGTAAGAAACGTAAGCTTGATTCTACGGATGGCGGAAGTAGTAAGAAAAGATGAAGCTGCTATACAGAGGTGTTGTATAATTAGATCCAATTAAATTAAATCAACTATATAAAATAAAGGTTGCATAATATACATTCTTATATTCAGTGATTTCGTGCGTCCGTGCATGCTTGGATGCATCTAGATGTATTGAGATAGCCATTTGAAACCTTCTGCGTAACCCTGTCTCATGACGATAGAGCACATGAACAATTCCAATGGTCTGACACCATTTGGAACGGTTGCAGTTTTACCGGTGGTTTGCAACAAGCCCAAGTAGTTTCTGACTTCGTTTTCACTGACTGCTCTTGGAGAGTCGATCTTGTTACCTAGGATGAGGAAAGGAACCGTGGCCAATTCTGGCATGTGTAAAAGAGCGTCCAACTCTAATCTCGATTCTTCGAATCTTTCAGGGTCTGCAACATCAACCAAGTATACGATACCGTTGACCTCTGGGAAGTAGTCCTTCCATAATCTTCTTGCCTGTTGGTGTCCACCCAAATCGAACGTCGTAAATCTGACGTTACCGATCGAAAGCTCCTCTGAAGTAGGATGCAACGTTGGTTGTAAGGTTGCCATTCTGTCGTTCTTCAACATGTGTAGCAAGGTAGTCTTACCGGCATTGTCCAAGCCAAGGAACAACAATTTGGCGTGTTTGTTCCATAAACCGAGATATGCTAATGCGTCTTGAACTGTGAGAGTAAAGAATTGGATGCGAAATTGTGTTGATGTTAGTAAGAGTTCTTCATCAATAGCGTGAAGCAACAAAAATCCAATGATCATTGGAAAGCAATACAGAGAAAGGAAGGCAAGTTCAGATCATCGATTTTTCCCTTATAACCCATAACAGATCCATCTCTACTGAAACCCTTTCTGCTCGTTCCCAGCCCTTACAAATGTTCTGCCTGCACCACTGTACTTACACCAGTCGAAAATCCACATTCTGTAATTATACTGTGCTTGCGTACCTTTCCCACCGTACTCTTTCCTCCTGCAGACGCCATCCCATCCAATCGTCCATTCTTTGAAGCTTATCCCTCCCTTTCACCTGTAAGGACTGCTGTCGCCACTACGCCGAGGAACACCTGGCCGCGTGTTACGTCAGCAAGCGCCTCCAGGGCGCGTGTTGTTGGAAAAGGGAAGAAGGAGAGAGAAAGAGCGCAATGAGGACAACAACACAGAAATGGATTGAAACGGTGGAGAGAAGGCTCTGTTGAAGTTTGGCGCCTCCGTGGCTGTCTACTTGTAGTGGTGATTCCAGTGAGGCAGAGACATTGATCAGGCTTGCAACCATGAAGCTCAATATCAAGGTATGTGACAGGGCGCAATGTGGGGAGCAGGATGAAGGGCGCAGGAGAAGACAAAGGAAGAGTGGATGTCCAACGCTTTTCAACCAGGTGTGATTTCTTGTTGTGATCTCCCGCCAAGGTGAGTAACTACCGGACGTATTACTAACATGTTCATATTTGCAACAGAAAGTGTCAAGCACAAGATCCGACCGTGTCAAAGGGATTGATTTTCATCCCTCGGAACCATGGATTTTGACTACGCTCTACAGCGGCAAGGTCGAGATTTGGTCCTACGAAACAAAGACGTTGGTGAAGTCAATTGATGTCACAAATGTTCCTGTGAGAGCCGGTAAGTTCATTGCTCGGAAAAACTGGATTGTTTGCGGAGCAGACGACTTCCAGATCAGAGTGTACAATTACAACACAGGTGAAAAAGTTGCGCAGTTTGAAGCTCATCCAGATTACATCAGATCGATTGCTGTCCATCCTTCGAGACCGTACGTTCTTACCTCTTCAGACGACTACACCATCAAATTGTGGAACTGGGAGAACAACTGGAAAATGGAACAAATTTTTGAAGGCCACCAACACTATGTGATGTCTATTGCATTCAATCCAAAAGACGCAAATACCTTTGCCTCTGCATGTTTGGACAAGACCGTCAAGATCTGGTCTTTGGGATCTAAGGTTCCGAACTTCACACTGACTGCACCTGAGTCAAAGGGCTTTAACTATGTCGACTACTATCCCCACGGCGACAAGCCATACTTGTTGACCTCATCCGATGACAAGAGCGTCAAAGTTTGGGACTACCAAACAAAGTCCTGCATTGCATCACTTGAAGGCCACATCTCTAATGTTTCCTTTGCCGTTTTCCATTCAGAGCTGCCTTTGATTATCTCTGGTTCTGAAGATTCAACAATCAAGATTTGGAACAGCAACACCTACAAATTAGAAAAAACGTTGAACTATAGACTGGAGAGAGCTTGGTGTGTTTCAACCAAGAAAAACTCTTCATTGGTTACAGTTGGTTTTGATGCAGGTAACGTCGTGTTTCAATTGGGTGACGACAAGCCTTTGTTGTCAATGGATCAATCTGGTAAAATCATATGGTGTAAACACAATGAGGTTTATCACTCCGTTATCAAGTCTTCTGATGCTAAAGCTGAAGATGGTGAGATCTTGAATCTATCTCAAAAGGAATTTGGGTCAGTAGAAGTTTTCCCCAACTCTTTGGTTCATTCTCCAAACGGTAGATTTGTTGCCGTTACAGGTGATGATGAATATATCATTTACACATCTCTAGCGTGGAGAAACAAAATGTACGGTCAGGCACTAGATTTTATTTGGGCACAAGATTCTAATTATTACGCTATCAGAGAATCTAAGACTAGTATCAAGATTTTCAAAAACTTCAAGGAAAAGCCAAATGGTCAAATCAATCTTCTCTACCCAGCAGAAAAAATCTTCGGTGGAGCTTTATTAGGTGTGAAATCTGAGGGCTCTGTATCATTCTATGATTGGGAATCCGGTGAGATTGTTAGAACAATTTCTGTTGATGCTGAAAATATCTATTGGTCAGAAGATGGTGGATTGGTTTTGATATCGTCCAACGAATCTGCTTACGCTCTATCATTTAATAGAGATGTTTTCCAAGAAAGTTTAGACAATGGTACAATTGACCCTGAGGAAGGTGTTGTTGAATCTTTTGATGTTGCATTTGAGGTTGATGACCAAATTCTTACAGGTAAATGGGTTGGCCATGTCTTCATATACACATCAGCTTCAAACAGATTGAATTATCTGGTTGGTGGGTCTATTTATAATTTGGCCCATTTTGATAAAGCGATGTTCTTATTGGGCTATATGTCCAGAGACAACAAGGTGTTTGTATGTGACAAAGATATGAATGTTGTCTCTTACTACTTATCCTTGTCAGTATTGGAATATCAAACTGTTGTTATGAGAGGTGATCTTGAATATGCAGATTCAATAATAGGCAACATCGATGAAAGGGATATAAATAAAATTGCAAGATTTTTAGAAGAGCAAGGTTACACCGAAAAAGCATTGGAAATATCAACGGATCTTGACCAGAAATTTGATTTGGCCATTGAAACTTCCAACCTTCAGTTGGCAGCAGAAATTGCAACAAAGGAAGACTCTGTTCATAAATGGAAGAAACTTGGTGATTCTGCTCTCTCACATTGGAAATTTGATTTAGCAATCAAGTCATTTGAAAATAGTAAAGATTACCAATCACTACTTTTATTATACACATCTTTCAATGATGTTGAAGGATTGAAGAAGTTGAGCAAGTCATGCATAGAAATTGAAAAATTCAATTCCGCTTTTGCTGCATCATGGGCCGCAAAGGACTTGGAAGCATGTATTGATATTTTGAAGAGAGCCGATAGATTTACAGAAGCTACATTTTTGAGCCTTGTTTACAAAGGCGACAGCAAACAAGTGGATGAAATTACGAAGCTCTGGAAGGATGAGTTGAGTAAAAACGGAAAGGAGAGTATTGGTTCTAGAATCCTAGTTCCAAGTGAACACCCGGAAGCGTTTCCTTCTCTAAAGACAATTACAGAAACTCTCATCGACATAGATGGTCCACCAGAACAAGAGCCAGTGGAAACTGAGGTGGAAGCAGCTGCACCATCAGAAGAAGTAGTGATAGAAAACGGCCATGCAGAAGAGCCAATTGATGCGGAAAAGGAATCTGATGAAAACGATGAAGACGCTGAGCTTGTCGAAGTCGCCGAAGTTGCTGAAGACGCTGAAGAAGATGACAACTAGACAGTGCTCTATTTGCCGATCGTTGTATTTATAAGACCTTAAGTTCCGGCGAGATTACACATTTTCTAAGTGGATTAATCTGAAGTTCGATCCACATTATATACTCTATGTATCACCCATATACGTTTCCATCAAATCAAGAAAGAACAAGTCACATATTATAAGCATGGATCTTTACAGATCTCGAGTTTGCAGCTCTCCGTCGGCGGTTGGCTCAAAGGTACGCATAAATTTCTGAAAGAGGAAAGAGCGGGTGGCCTCTGATCAGCGAGAACCATTACAGTCAAGAAAACATGAATTATCGAATACCTTGATGGTTATATCAAACCTTTAAGGTGACAGCAATGCTGTATTTGCATTGTTAATTAATGACGTGCTAACATGTAATAGAGGGCTAACACTTACTCTCTAATAAAAAAGTAATGTATTGGAAAGAAGAAAATTTTTTCTCTGCAACTGGTTTTCATAAACCGTTGAAGTAAACGATATAAAACATTCAACTTGCTCCCAAAAGTTGAAAAATAAGCCAAACGTAAATCACTCTTCTCATCCAGTCTATTCTTTCTTTGACTGAAACTAACAGCATTACATAGAAAAACAATTAAAATCACAGCATGCCTAATTGGTCTTCATTCGGTAACCCAGACGACATCTTATTAACAGATGATAGTGTCCCAGACGCTTTCAAGATTTGCGTCATTCAAGGTATGGTCGATGCAGACGCTGAGTTCTCTGGTGGTATCGGTACCCGTATAGGTTCTATCTTTGTCATTGGTATTGTCTCAACATTTGTTACTGTGTTCCCACTTCTCTCGCAAAAATACAATTGGAAGATCTCAGTGTGGTTTTACTTGTTTGCTAAGTTCTTTGGTGCTGGTGTTATTATCGCAACTGCTTTTGTGCACTTGATGGATCCAGCGTATGGTGAAATTGGTGGTAACACATGTGTTGGTATGTGGGGTAATTGGGCTTCATACTCTTGGGTCCCGGCATTGATTTTGGCTTCCATTTTCGGTATCTTTTTAGTTGATATCGGAAGTGAGGTTTATGTTGAACGCAAATATGGTTTTATTGCTGATGAACCAGATATCCAAAAGTTGATCACCGGCAAAGAAGAAAAGCCTGCTGACTTTGATAACTGTGAGGCTGCTGATGACTGTGTTGTATGTGATGACAATGATAACAATACCAAGGGCAAAGAAAGCGTCGATGTTTGTCAAAGAAGTTTGGCTTCTACTACCTCTTCGTACGAATTCCAACAGCAATTCGCAGCTTTCTTGATTTTGGAATTCGGTGTCATCTTTCACTCTGTTATTATTGGTTTGAACTTGGGTTCATGTGGTTATGATGACTTCAAGACTTTGTACATTGTCTTGGTGTTCCATCAATCTTTCGAAGGTTTGGGTATTGGTGCAAGATTGTCTGCCATTCCATGGCCAGATTCCAAGCCTGAAATTTACAAATATTTGCTTTGTCTTGCTTACGGTTTAGTTACTCCAGTTTCCATTGCTATTGGTCTTGGTGTCAGAACCACTTATGTGTCTGGTGGCTATGCAGCTAATATCGTCTCTGGTGTTTTGGATTCCTTATCTTCTGGTATTTTGATCTACACCGGTTTGGTTGAATTTTTGGCCAGAGACTTTGTCTTCAACAAGGCTATCAAGCGTGACACCACTAAGTTGCTTTACTCCATCTTCTGTATGCTATGGGGTACAGGAATCATGGCATTGATTGGTAAATGGGCCTAGATGTGTCTTCGTTCTCTGAAAGTAAATGTTAAAATAGTAAGAATAACTAGTTTACTTTATATGGATTTTCCCTTTTCTCTTTTCTCTTTCTCACTCTCTCTTTTAATCGTTAACATCATTAATAAAAGCTCAACACTTATCCAAAAGAAAAACGATTCCTTACGAATAGCTAAAAAATAACTCTTCTTGCATTGGAATGAAATTAGCGCATGCTGAACAACTCTACCTTGTCAACATCATAGGCTCGCTTTCCTAAACATACAAAGTAACATTCCTTAGATTCCAACCGGCAAGCCTTAGGTTTGAACCTCTTTACCTCTCTAAACACCGCATTCAACCGCTTCTCTAGGACCACATCATCTTCACCGGAAAAAAACTTCATAACCAAGGATCCATTCTTTTTGAGAAGGTCCACTGCTGTAATTAAGGCTGCGTCACAGAGATCCATGGACATGACATGGTCTTTCAACGCAAGCCCAGTTGTATTTGCCATCCTGAGATATGGATTGTTAGTAGTTGCGCTTGAAAATCCCGAGTCTCTAACAAAAGGTGCATACATATCACTCAATACAACATCCACAGGATAGGAAGCTGTCAAATCGGAACCTGAAGAGGCTGGATCGGCGGCGGGGCCATTGTCTTTATTGCTTAATTCCTTGCCCATTAATTGGCTGACTTCTATTTCTTTTTCTAGTATCGAGGCATCGGATTCCATAGGCTCAGGTGTACTTTTAGAGCTTGTAATAATTTCAACATCATTAAATATTTCATCCTTTTTTTCCAGCTCTGATAACGTGAAAAAGTTCTTGATCTGTTGGTGTGTCCCTTTGCTCAAAATGTTACCCTGAAGCGTAGAAGCGCCGTCTGGAGGCTGGTAGGGGAGGATGTCCACGCCCAATATCTTCGATCCGTGAGGACTTCGGTCAAGGGCGACCTGATTCCAAGCTCCGGGTGCTGCACCTAGATCGAGTACATTCAAGGTATTGCGAGGAGAACTAGATTTTGACCTGAAAATTTTGAATCTCTCGTCAATCTGAAGCAACTTGAACGCGGCCCTCGATTTGTAGTTTTCAACCTTTGCTCTTCTTGTGAAGTAATCGTTATTCTGCCTATTCAGCCATCGGTTGGAAGATGCAGTTTTGAACAATTGATGTGATGTACTGAAGCACCTAAACCATGGTAAAGACGAGGGAAATGACCGGATCAGCACAAACAAGGAACCCATGTCAAATATATCTACAGCTTTTCAAATATTTCAATGCTCACAGAAGCCTTTATGTGTCAGTTTTCTGAAGGTATTCCTTGCATCTGGAACAGCATATGTGGCAACGGATCTAATTCATGTTCCACGGCAGAACACAAAGTCACGTGTCTACAAAGAGGGCTTTGCAAAACCCTTTTTTATTCCGCGCTCACTTTCTTCGCACCATTTTTTCCCCTCTCTGATGATATTAGGAGGAGAGAAAGAAAAGTTTCACAGATGCTTTCAGATGTTGAAAACGCTTCTTCTTGTTGCCTGTAAAGTTCTTTTGATTTTGTTTCCGAACCTATCGTCGAAAAAACCAATTTACGGTATTACCTACTACTAGGGAGACAATCATTCACTAATCATGTCTAAGATTAACGCTGTTCAAGTTAGAGAGAACGTTCAGGAACTCTTGAAGTACTCCACTGAGACCAAGAAGAGAAACTTCTTGGAAACCGTCGAATTGCAAGTCGGTTTGAAGAACTATGACCCACAAAGAGACAAGCGTTTCTCTGGTACCTTGAGACTTCCACAAGTCCCAAGACCAAACATGACCATCTGTATCTTTGGTGACGCCTTCGACGTCGACAGAGCCAAGGGTTTGGGTTGTGACGCCATGTCTGTTGACGACTTGAAGAAGTTGAACAAGAACAAGAAGTTGATCAAGAAGTTAGCTAAGAAGTACAATGCTTTCATTGCTTCCGAAACCTTGATCAAGCAAGTTCCAAGATTATTAGGTCCTCAATTGTCCAAGGCTGGTAAGTTCCCAACTCCAGTTTCCCACTCTGACGACTTGTACCAAAAGGTTGTTGACCAAAAGTCCACTATCAAGTTCCAATTGAAGAAGGTCTTGTGTTTGGCTGTTGCTGTTGGTCACGTCGAGATGGAAGAAGACGCTTTGGTGTCCCAAATCATGATGTCCATTAACTTTTTGGTTTCTCTGTTGAAGAAGAACTGGCAAAACGTCGGTTCCTTGGTCATCAAATCTTCCATGGGTCCAGCTTTCAGATTATACTAAGCGTTTCACTATTTGTAAACTATCTAGTCGCCGTTTAATATACTAAACTTTTTTTTACGACACCCCTGTGTTGGCCTTTCAAGTCACATGTTATCGCTATGTAGAAAAAGTAGCTTTTTTTCGGTTTCAGGCTGTGGGTTCCTTTAGGAGTCGGCTACAAGGCCGGACCCTGGGAACACCAATTATACCTTTATCAATGGGGAAGTAGTAAATGCTCATTATCGATTGGACAACATACGGGGGATATGAGCTTGAGCGATGGTGTGATAAACCTAGAGTCAGGTTCGGAAACAGAAGAGAGTGATGGCGTTATTGTTGAACAAAGCACGAATGGTGGAAAGTCACAGGTAATCGAGATTTCATCAGACGAGGAGGTCACCGTGCCTCCGGAACCCGAAGAAGAGGTAGTTCACCTGAGTTCTGAATCTCCACCAGCAACCAGCAAAGAAAAAGAGCAAGATGAAGCCCCAAAAAAATGCTCAACTGAAGAATTGACTCCACAGCAGCAACTGCGATTGAAACTAGCGGAAGCAGCTGAGAGACGGTTAATTCAGAAGACTGAGCCCGAGGAAATGCCTAAAAAGAGACAGAAAGTACGTTCTACCGAAAAAGATGAGAGGTTAGAGGTAAGGCATCAAACGAAACTTCTTCCAACCTCAATTGATGATAGATCATCTCGGATACGACTGATTTCGAATCCTGACTATTGTGCCCAGTTTGGAGTTGTTGCCGACAAAGATACCGTCACCTTATCAGATTTGGTTGGGTCCAAAGATTTGATCCGCACTTACCAGTTTAACATGCTGATTGACTTTGACTACCTTTCCAGGTTTGTCACCTCTAAAGACTGTGAATTCACGCTCATAAATAAAAGCGATGACGATCACCTCCACGTTAAGGATGAATCATGGGAGAGGTACAAAATTCGTACTATTGATGTCTCATCCAAGCTTCGCAAATACGGTACTCATCACACAAAAATGATGGTCAATTTTTACAGAGACAACACATGTCAAATCGTTCTACATACTATGAATTTGACTGAAGCTGATCATAAAATACAAACTCAAATGTGCTGGGTGTCACCCCAGTTGGAAATGCACAAGGATGTGAACGATTGGTTTGACTTCAATCAGCCTGATTTATCTTTGATTGATGAAACGGGATTGGTTTTCAAACGTGATTTTATTGCTTACTTACTAAGCTATGAAAACAATGATATAAATAAATTAATAGACCAGGTTGCCAAATACGACTTCAACCCTATTGACGTTGTTTTTGTTGCTTCTACACCTGGACATTATCAATTCACTGACTGGAATACACTAACAAAACCTTCCTCAAAACCTATGTTTGGCTACGGCAGGCTATGGCAAGTAATACATATATTGAAATTGCAAAGCTTGATGGGGAAGCTAGTTGGACAAGTTTCAACTATTGCAGGGCCATGCGATAACTGGAAACGTAATGTTTTTGTCCATGTATTGACTTCATGCGTTGAAAAGGGATACCCTATCTCGAAAAAGGCGGATTACAAGTACGTGGTTAATAAAAACAAGGTGGAGCCTGTGATTGTTTGGCCAACCGTCACTGAGATTTTGAAGTCATGTGCAGCTCCGTTATCGGGGATAGCGTTGCACCTCACATCACGCGGGAAATGGGCGGCATACGAAAGACAGTTTCTAGAGATCAAGAACAATTTTCATAAATGGTCGTGTACCGATGACCCCAAGTTGTCAAGAGCTGGAAGGTCTAATCTTGCTCCACATGTTAAAACTTACACTGTTACTGAGGACAACTTCAAAACGCTGAAATGGTTTCTCATGACATCTGCCAACATCTCCCATCAGGCATGGGGAAAACCAAAAGGTTACAATACTATTGAGTATGATATCTGCTCCTTTGAGGCTGGAATATTTATCGCTCCACAATTATTGAAGGTAATGAGTAACGTAAAGGAAAAAGTTCAAATTCTGGAGCCAACATATGGCAGAGATAGCGTTATCGACGAACAATCTTTGAGCGGTAGTGTTTGTAAAATAGGACTACGACTTCCGTACGACACCCCGCTCAAAAAGTACAATGCTACAGATAAAGCATGGAGTCAGCCGGATTCTGATCAGTTTTTTTGAATATTAGATGTATTAGTGAGATATAAAGAGAACTGTTTAGCTAAGTCTATGAGGAAAGGAGGGGTAAGGTTGGGAGGGGTTTCAATACGTTTACCTGACGGCTGCCTTTTGTACCGAGGAAGTACCGCTGCTGCAACACGAGTTGCAACACATCACACCAAGACTGCCACATAGACCTTTCCAATTTGGCAAGTCCAACACATCTAGTATGTTGTTTGAGCACACGTACTCGTGACATTCGCCCTCTTCTCTTTGGTATCCCTTTTGAGGGTTTTGTTCTCTGAGTTGTCTGATCTTCTCCTGTTTGGACACGTAAGCCTTTGGCTCCTTCACTGGTTCCGGTTGTTTTGTTTTCACCTCAGCCTGTTCAGCCACAGCATCGGTATCCTGTTCCTTTTCAGGATCCGCTATACTTTGAACCTTGGTTTGGTCTTCTGTGTGTGATAGCGAGTCTGTCGGTTGCTTCTGCATCTCTGATTCAGCGTCGGCAAATTTGGAGTTTGCATCAACAAACTGCGATGATCCGGCAGTACTGAACGATGACACTGAGTCGGATCTGGAAACAGCCATGGTTAAGTATTTGTAAAGAAAAGCGACTGCGGAAGGGGTAGAGAGGCGTCTGTCTGCAGGCACACAATACTAGCTACAGTAATACGCATTTGCCTGCATGCTCCGGTTGCGGAAGAAGTCGTCGTTTTTTTTTATCGACTTGTCGACTATGGTTTCGAGATAAAAATAAACTTCACGTGAATCTTTGGTTTCGTACCACGTTATTATGACGTAAGTTCCATGTTTGCTACTCTGAAACCACTGTGACACAAGCTCTTCTCTTCTACAGCAAGCAAGCATATTTGCGCTCTTGCATTGCTCCATCTCGCAGTGGTCCTCCTTTTGCTCGTAATCTCCATTACCCTGCCGGCTTGTCCTGTTTTTTCTACCCCCCTACAACCAAGGCCGGGCTGCTTCAGGACAAACAGAACTGCTCAGCCACAAATATTGGCAAGTTCATGTGGCGGTGCAAGTTTGATTTCAGATTTTTTTATTTTTTATTTTTTTATTTTCCGATTTTTTCATGAATTTTTACTGAATTTTTTTTGCTTCACATTTTCTCTTCTCAAGTAACTCTTTCATGTTCGGAATTGTGTGTAGTATCGTAGCAGGTAGCAACAAGAGAATTAGGTCCAATTCATATCATGCCTCCAAAAAACGTTGAAACAAGAAAATGGAAACCTCCAAAGGGTCCAAAGAACACCCCCCACAAGAACAAGAATACCATTGGTCTCGGAAGAACCATTAAGAATGCAAAGGCTTTGCAGAACCAAGTGTATTATCTTCCCGATGGGCAGATGAGATTCACGACAGATAAACACGAAGCGGATTGGGTGAAATTGAGATCTGTCACCCAGGAGAATGCGTTAGATGAGTTTTTGAACACTGCCCAGTTGGCAGACACAGATTTCACTGCTGACAAACACTCAAGTGTGAAGATTATTCGGGTCAACAACCAAGCGGTTGACACAGGAAGTTACAACCCATATCTCCTAACGTCTGCGGAAGAGGCAAATAAGTTCAAAGTGCAAAAGGAACACATCAAGGACCTAATTGTTCCAAGGAGACCAGCATGGGACTCCAACACTACCAAATTTGAACTTGAGCGAATGGAGAGTGACGCTTTTTTGGAATGGAGAAGACGTTTGGCTGTGTTGCAGGAAGACCATGACTTGCTATTAACCCCGTTTGAAAGAAACATCATGGTGTGGAAGCAACTCTGGAGAGTTGTTGAAAGATCTGATTTGGTGGTCCAGATTGTGGACGCCAGAAATCCTCTTCTTTTCAGATCAACCGATTTAGAGAAGTATGTTAAGGAGTTGAATCCTTTGAAGAGAAATTTGTTGCTCGTGAACAAGGCCGACCTTTTGACCTACCAACAAAGATTAACATGGGCAAACTACTTTAAAGAAAACGGTATTAAGTACACATTTTTCAGTGCTGCGAAGGCAAATGAGATATTGGAAAAGCAAAAAGAGGAAGAGGAGGCTTTGAAAAGGTATGCTGATGAGCATGAAGGAGAATTGCCTCCTGTTTACAGATCACAAGAAAAAACTGAAAGTGACGAAGAATCTGAAAATGAACTCGACATATCCGAACTATCTGAAGAACAAAGGGCCGAGTTTTTGAAACTTCAAAAGGAGCTTGATGAACTTGAAGAGTTGGAAAACGAAATGCAAGACTATGATATCGATGACGAAGATGAAGATCGTGATGAAGATGAAGAACACCATAAAGTAGAAGAGAACTATTTTGACGAAGAGGATGAACCCGAAGATGCAGATCTTCGTGAGATGACCCGTATTATCACAGTTGAAGAATTAGAGGAACTTTTCTTAAGAGTTGCTCCCGAGCCTCTCAGTGTACCACCAGAGGGACAGCCAAAGAGATTACAAATTGGTTTGGTAGGTTACCCAAATGTTGGTAAATCTTCGACAATTAATGCCTTAGTCGGATCAAAGAAGGTTTCTGTTTCTTCGACCCCAGGTAAAACGAAGCACTTTCAAACAATTTTACTATCGGATGAAGTGATACTCTGTGATTGTCCAGGTTTGGTTTTCCCAAACTTTGCATACACCAACGGTGAATTAGTTTGTAATGGTGTTTTACCGATCGATCAGTTAAGAGAATATACAGGCCCATGTCAACTTGTGTGCCAAAGAATCCCTAAGTTTTTCATCGAAGCAGTGTATGGTATAACAATCCCTGTATTGTCTGAAACAGAAGGTGGAACGGGTATACCTACTGCTCAAGAACTTTTGACTGCATATGCTAGAGCAAGAGGTTACATGACTCAGGGTTTTGGTTCTGCTGATGAAAGTAGAGCTGCCAGATACGTTCTAAAAGATTTGGTGAGCGGGAAATTACTATATGTTGAGCCTCCACCACATGATGACGGTTCAAAGGCGACTGAATCTGAATGCAGAGAGTTTAATAAAGAGCTATACAACATATCACATCTACCTGAGCAGAGGAGGAACCAATTGATTCAAGCCATCAATGCGAAAGGTTTATCCATGAAAAATTTTGACCTTGCTAAGGATTTAGACAAGGTGACATTTTCTGGTCATTTATCTGTTGAAGATGAATCAAACAAACATCGGTCTAGAACTTATGGTGGTAAGCAAGCAGCATTGTATAGTGCCTCGAACGAATTAGACGACGAATTTTTTCATATGAAGTCTGTCGAAGGGAAACTTACTGGCCCATTTTATAGAAACAAGGCTACGACGAACCAAGAGAAAAAACACAACAAGGCAAACAGGAAGCAGAAGACTAGAAGATTGTTGAGCTAATGTTTATGGGTCCCGTCCTCTTTTTTTTTCTATATAAAGATAAATATAATAATGCCATATGTATACTATACATTTCTTTCCCTCCTTTAATGAAACGCATCATCGCCCAATTCCTCCGTAAGCTGTTGAATTTCCCTTTCTATATCTTCTAAGTTTGAATCAAGTGCCTTCAAGTCATCGAACCTACGCTGTTTCTTGAAATCTTGATACATACTCTCCACCACATATTTCTGCTCATTAAGTACCATCAACTTTTCACGCTTTTCACGTAAATCACGCATACTCAACTTAGGTTTCCCATCAATCAACTCTTGTAAAACTTCCCTCTCACGAGTCAACTTTTCTTCTTGAGCCTTCCTCAAGATTGGCAGCTTGGCCTGTACATAGTTTACAATTGCAGATTCCAAAGTATTGTACATTTTTAGCTCATCGATTGATAGCTGACTTTCTGATTTGATTTTCTGGATTTGTTTCGCAAGTTTATCTAGTCTGGTGAAAAGCCTCACAAGCATTGCATTTTCTTCATCATTTTTTATATCCGTCATATTTTCTGTTTGAATCTTCTTTGAGATCATTTTCCACATTTTATAAGAACGCATGAAATCGCCATTCTCAGATTTAAGCTTGTCGACCTCAAAAACTTTTTTGTTGAATACCCTTCGTTTGCAATTAGAGCAAACTCGTACTCCAAACATATCTTTTTTCAAGAAATGCTCTATCTTTTCGTATTCAATCTCTTGATTTTTCGAGTTCAAGTTTTCGTCTGGTTTCATCAGATCGAATATTATTCCCAACGGAACAACCATTGAGCATCCTTTTCTTAGGTCTCCGCAAACTATATCTCCGCATATTCGACAATGATGTTTCCTGATGAAAAACCCGAAAGCTGTGTGGCAAATAGGACATTCTGATACCGAGTGCCCATCTTGCCAATCTGCCAATTGGGCTTCAAAAACCCTCAATTCGGTTTCAGAAAACTTCCCGGAACTGTTGAATGTATTGACAATCCAACTGAAGACCTTCTCGACCCTTTTCTCAAGTACCAAGTTTCGAAGTGATTCGTCCTCTATTTTTGTTTTCCTCATACGAATGAAATCGTTAGTCTTGTCAACGAGAGGGACGTTACCAATAACGCCACTCCATCCATCATAATCATTCAAACATTGCAAACAGCATTTAGACCATATACCTTCCAGAGAATTGCTATCAACAACTTCTAGATTTGCATTTAGCTTCAATGGTATATGACAGTGTTCCGAGCAGTATATCCTTCCACATTTGGAGCAATTTATAGTGCCATGTTTCAATCCAATCTTATGGTGACATCTGGGATCTGAGCATTTCATTCCATTGGAGGGCCGAACAAAGTGCCCGGTTGGAAGACGAAGAGGACCCCTAGATATGGTAGTAGAGCGTGATGAGGTTGTTCCCTTACTGTCAACTCGTTTATGCTGTTTTTGACCCGAACTAGTAATTGATATTGTGCTTCCCGGCGGACTCGATGACGTGGTTCTTCTCTCTAAGCTTTTTCCAATTTCACTATCCAACGGTTCATTATGCGTTGGAATATTCAAGTGTATTGAGTCGACATGGTGGTTCAATTGGGTGAGCGATTTCATCGGCAAATTACACATTGGACAGATGAAGTTGTCACTTTGAGATTTGGCTTGACCATTCTGCGCTAAAAAAGTTGCAGGTCTCGGTGTTCCTGGCAAACCATCCGACTTGCCCAAAATCCTCCTTTTAGACATGTCGTGGTTTTTTGTCTTCGTTAGCTCTACCATGGGAGCCAGAGGGTTGATTCTTATCTAGATGAAAGAGAGGTCCAGCTAAGTGAAACAATTGACCGAAAAAGAAAAAGAAGGAAACTATCTATTTTGCGTGCGATTTAGCGCCAATCTTCATTATTCGTTATCATAAGTAATTGTTGTGGAAGATATACATACGTTTATACTATATGTCTAGGGGGTGATTATACATGTTAATATACGAGTTCATGAAAGATATTTAAGCTGTAAGTATACGACTGGTAGCAGTCGGAAGGAGGTCATGAAAAGAAGAGGTGGTAAGAGATTAACGATTAGAAGTTTCAAAGAGTAAAGCGGGCGCATGTCATAAGTTGTTGTCGGTGTCTTGGAGTTCTTGGACGGAATATGGCACAAATGAGTGCATATCAAGTTCCTGTCGTTTCCACTCCGGAAGCAATTTATCCCACAGTTCTGGCTCGAAACTCAATTCACGTTTGCTGAAATCTAGGAGGTCTGGCACCGTTGTTTCATTAATCAGCTTGTAACCGCGGAAATTTGGCATCTGTGTATTTTGAAAGCTCTTTTCTCTGAACAAGTTGAAGTAAGGTTCGTACATTGCTTGTGCTGCTGTGATTCTCTTTGCTGGCGAGTAATTGAATATTTTCACAAACATGGTCACCATTTCCGGCTCAACGTTAGGGAAGATCTTGATCAAAGGTATGGGCCGCACGGAGGGGAATTTGTGTTCCATGTAGTTTGGATTCATTGATCTGATCTCCTCCTTGGAGGGCGTGCCCAACAACTTGATGATTTCCACCAGCTGGTCGATGCCGGATTGTCCCGGGAAGAGGGGTTGTCCTAGGACCATTTCGGCAATGACGCATCCTGCAGACCACACGTCGATCTTAGAGGTGTAGTTTCTGGCGCCGAAGATGAGTTCTGGAGCCCTGTAGTAGCGGGAGCAGATGTAGGAGACGTTCGGCTCGGACGGCTTGAGAATTTTTGCCGAGCCAAAGTCACAGAGCTTCAAAACGCCCGATATAGGGTCTATCAAGAGGTTCTGCGGCTTGATGTCTCGGTGGCAGATCCCGAGAGAGTGTATGTAGTTGAGCGAGCGCAGAAGCTGGTACGAGTAGAGCTTGATGGCAAGGAGCGGCATGGACTTGTGCTTGGAGAAGTACCAGTGGGAGGCGGTGTGCAACGTCTCCGGGACGTACTCCAGCACCAAGTGGAGGTAGAGCTGATCCTTGTCGTTGGTCTTGTAGTAGTAAGCGATCAAGTTGACGACGTTCTTGTGGTGGATCAAACGCATGATCTCCAACTCTCTGTTCTTAAAGCGCTTGTCCTGCAACACCGTCTTTATCGCAGCCTTCTTGTTCGCCGGCAGGATGTTGATCTGGTACACGTAGCCGAACGAGCCGTGGCCGACCATGGACCGCTGCGAAAACAGCAGCTTGTACGGTTGCTCGGTCTTGCCGTCAAACACCTCCTCAGCGACGGTTTCCATCGGCACCGACTGCCGCCGACCCAGCAGCTCGCTGCTGCTGTTTCCGACACCAACACCGCCGCTGTTCACGTTGACGTTCATGTTCATGTTCATGTTTGTGTTCGTATTGTTCGAGTTCATATTCATGCTCAGGTTCGAGGGCACGGAGGAGGCCATTGGCAGGGCGGGGAGCGTTCTATCGTGTACGTACCGGTGGCACTCTCCGGGTGGCTGTAGGCGCTGTTCTCTGCCGGCGAGCCCCCGTGCCCGTGCCCGTGCCCATGCCCCCGTCCTGGCTCTCTTGTGCCCTTGCTTGTGCCTGCTTCCCGCCTGCCTGCCCGCCGCCAGCCTTCCCCCCTCCAACAGGCCACTCGCCCCGCAAACGGGCACGGAGCAGCGCTCCCGGGGCCCGCGAGGGAGCTCAGCCGAGACCCGGGGAAGCAGGCATAGACACAGACAGGCTAATAAATAAGTGTTTTCGGAGTATACGTGTATATAGGATGGGGTGGGGGTGCTTATACGGTCGATACGAAAGAATGGGTGAAAGAGACAGGGTTAGTAGTTGATAGGCTTGTCGAAGACGGTCATGGCGGCCTCCTTGAACGCCTCGGACAAGGTTGGGTGGGCGTGGCACGTTCTGTAGATGTCTTCGCACGAGGCGCCGTATTCGATGGCCAAGCCGGCCTCGGCGATCATCTCACCGGCGTTAGGCCCAATGATGTGGACACCTAGGACTCTCTGGGTCTCTGCGTCGGCAATGAACTTGACAAAGCCCTCGGTGTCCATGTTTGTCTTGGCTCTGGAGTTGGCGACAAATGGGAATTTGCCGGTCTTGTACTTGATGCCGGCAGCCTTTAGCTCCTCCTCGTTCTTACCGGTCCAGGCAACCTCTGGGTGGCTGTACATGACGGCCGGGATGTTGCCGTAGTTGACGTGGCCGTGGCCGAGCTTGATGTACTCGGCGGCGGCAATGCCCTCCTCCTCGGCCTTGTGGGCCAACATGGCGCCGAAGGTGACGTCACCGATACACTGGATGTGTGGGTACTTGGTCTTGTACTCGGAGTCGATGACGACTCTCTTCTTCTTGTCGAACTCCAAGCCAATGGCCTCGGCGTTCAGGCCGGCGGAGTATGGTCTTCTGCCGACGGCAACCAACAAGACGTCGGACTTGATGGTCTGGACCTCGCCGGTCTTGGCGTCCTCGAACTCAATGTCCACCTCGTCGCCGTTTCTGGTGGCCTTGTTGACCTTGGCGCCCAACTGGAACTTCAGGCCCTGCTTCTTCAAGAACTTCTGGGTCGCCTTGGCGACCTCGGCGTCCATGCCGGCACCGCCGATGGCGGTCTGGAACTCCAAGATGGTCACCTCGGCACCCAGTCTGGACCACACGGAACCCATCTCGAGACCGATGATACCACCGCCGATGATGGCCATTTTCTTTGGGATCTCTTTGAGCGAGAGCGCCCCGGTGGAGTCGACGATTCTCTCCTGGTCGATCTCAATGCCCGGGAACGGAGTAGGCTCGGACCCGGTGGCGATGATGATGTTCTTCGCCTCGAGAGTGGCCTCCTCGCCGCCCTCGATCGGGTCGACCTTCACGTTGTGCTCGTCGACAAACGACCCGGTACCCTTGTAGTACGTGACGCCGTTCTTCTTGAAGAGCATCTCGATACCGCCCGTCAACTGCTTCACCGCGCTGTCCTTGGCCTTCATCAAGTTCGCCAAGTTAGGCTTCACCTCGCCCTCGATGTCGATACCTCTCTTGGACGACTCCGTCTTGATCTCGTGGTACAGGTGTGAGTTGTTCAACAACGCCTTCGAAGGAATGCACCCGACGTTAAGACAGGTGCCTCCGAGAGAGCCTCTCTTCTCGACGCACGCAGCGTCAAGCCCGAGCTGGGCGGCTCTGATGGCGGCAACGTAACCACCTGGTCCACCACCAATCACAACAACGTCGTGCTTTTTGGTGGCCGAGAGTAGTCTGGCCGCAGAGGAAAAGAGTCTGGTTTGTGTGTGTCTGAGCATTGTCGTGTCTTACGCTTGCTTGTGCTGCAGAGGGAAACACTCTCTGACACTGACACCACAACTCTCCTTCAGCTGAGCTCAGCTGAGCAGGGAGTCCGGCTCCTCCTTCTACTCTTCACCACCTGCCCTCCTGCCTCCCGCGCTCCCGCTCTCCTCACAGATGCGGGCGCGACACGGCCGGCGGCGGCGGCGCCAGACGGCCCGGAGTGGGCATAGAGAAAAAAGGCGGACGGGGCCGATCGACCGCAACATGAATCGGAAAACAAGCGCTGCCGAATCGGGCAACTAATGGGTAGAAGATGTGTGCTTGGCTACATTAAAGTCCATTAGATAGGGGCCGGAGGGAAGCCGGAGGCGTCTACGGGTCCTCGAAGGTGGTGTCGATCCAGCGGGCGACGCAGTCCATGAACTCCTTGGGCTTCTCGCTGATGAGCCAGTGGCCGGCATCGATGTCCACGGCGGTGAAGCGTGGGAAGAAGAGAGCGACGGCGTGCAGGAACTCGTCGGCGACGTAGGCGCTCTTGAGCCCACGGACAACTAGGGTGGGCCCGTTCCAGCGGGTCTTGTCGCTGTTGAAGGGCCAGGAGCTGACGTTGTCGATCTGGGCAGCCATGATGTCGAGCGGCACGCGGGAGTAGTAGCCGGCGTGGCCGCCGGCCCGCTTCTTGAGGTTGGTCTCGAGAAACTGGCGCACAGGGAGCTTGTCCTCGACCTCCGCAAGCACGCGGTCGCAGTCCTTCATGGTGTGCATGTGGGTGCGGTCCCGCTCGATCTTCTGCAGCTGCCGGATGTACTGCCCGAACTTGCTGAAGCCCGTCGCCCCGCCGGTGAAGTTCACGGGGGCGTTGTCGACGGCCACGAGGCCGGCACACAGCTCGGGCCGCCGCAGCGTCACCGCCATGGCGCACTTGGCGCCCATCGAGTGTCCGACGAGCACCGGCCGCTGCAGACCCTGCGCCGCGATGAACCGCTCCACGTCCGCCGCCATCGCCGGGTAGTCGTGGCGGGCGTTGTGCGGCGAGTCGCCGTGGTTGCGCAGGTCCAGACAGTACACGTCCGTGTTGAGACGCTTCGCCAGCTGTCTCGACACCGACCGGTTGTTCGCTCTCGAGCCAAAGAGCCCGTGCAGGAACACAATCGGCGGCAGCGGCGCCAACGGCGCCGGCAGGTTCGCCGGCGGAACGTGTTTGTCGAACACCAGCTCCACCGTCTCGATCTTGCTGTCCAGTGCCGCCTCGCCCAGGTCCGAGTGGCCCAACGACCCCGGCGTCCCGTCGTATCTGCTCACATACCGTCTCCAGCCAGCAGCAAACACACCCGTGCGGGCCCGTGTAGCAAGCGCCAGCATTTGTCGGCAACCTTGCAGCATCGTCGTCATAAGCTTACCTTCTTTGGTCTTTAGTCCTCCCAGGGGCTCACTGAATAGCAGATCCCCACCTTTGGCCTCCCTAGCACGTCTGAAACACGCCTCGGCCTCTCCGCTGGCCCCGACCCCCCTTTCTCCCCTTTCCGGCCTCCTTTTCCTCGACGCGCTGTCGTTTCTTTTCGCCCGTGTCGGCCCTTTTTCTTCCCCTTTTCTGTCAACAAACGCGCTCGGCGTTGCAACAATGGCGACACCATGAAACAGGCCTCGTTCTAAGCCTGCTGCCTTTCAAACGTTATTGCAGTAGATGTCTGGGGCCGATCTAGGGTCCCGCAGTATATATACCACCATGCTCCCAAGCTTGGGCGAGTTGTGGGTGGTGTTGGACCCCATTGTAGTGCGTTTTCTGCTTCCTCTGGCCCCAAGCAGTCAGATACCCACGTACCCACGTACCCTTCTACCCTTCTACCACTCACTTAGTCGTGCAGTCAAGCACCCCGCATTTGTTCTTCAGTTCTTCTCCTGCCTTCCTTTGACGCGTACGCTTCCATCGATCCACACTCACTCGCACAAGCACAAACCTTGCTAGAAAATGCTTTTGAAACAAACCACCGTCGTTTCCATACTGTCGTTGCTTTCTCTCACTTTGGCTGCTCCTTTCGAGCACCACAAGCACTTCAGACACGCTAAGAGAGACGCTGACGCAGATGTCGTCACCGTCACCGTGCAGCAAAACCAGAACTTCTACGAACAGTCCTCCTCCGATCCTGCTGCAGCCCCTTCGTCCTCCGCCTTCAACGAATACCAGTATCAGCCACAAGCAGCCTCCAGCTCAGCATCATACGGTCCCGTCTACAGTTCAGCGGCTCCTGCAGGAAACAACGGGTACCAGGGTGCATCCTCAGCCACTACTGCTCAATCCTCGTCAGCTCCTTCTTCTTCTTCGGCCCCTAGCCCGGGCGATGGATCTGTCGGATCTTACGCCCAACAAGGTAAGGGAATCACGTATTCTCCATACAGCAACAACGGAGCATGCAAGTCATCTTCGGAGATCCAGGCCGACATGGCCACTCTGTCCTCCTTCAGCGTGATCAGAATCTACGCCCCAGACTGTTCGGTCGTTTCGGCCATGCTGTCCAGCATGGGCTCCAACCAACAAATTTTTGCAGGTCTTTACTACATGGAATCGTTAGAAACAGATGTTCAGACCTTGGCAGAACAAGTGACGTCCTCCTCTCGTGGTTGGGACGCCATCTACGCAGTCGCTGTCGGTAACGAATGGGTCAACTCCGGTGCATATGATGCCGGAACCGTTGTCTCTGCTGTCTCCAAGGGACGTTCCTTGCTATCTTCCAAGGGCTTTAATGGTAAAGTCGTCACTGTTGACACTGTTCCAGCCTACCAATCCAACCCTTCTCTTTGTGAAGCTTCAGACTTTGCTGCCGTCAACCAACACGCTTTCTGGAACGGTAACACCGCTCCTGAAGACTCCGGTAGCTTCATTCAGAACTCTGTTTCCTCCATGAAGTCCTTATGCAACAAGGACGTTCTGATTTGCGAAACAGGTTGGCCAACCCAAGGTAGCACTTTCGGCTCCCAAGGTGTCCCAGGAACCTCACAACAGTTGGCTGCTGTCAAGAGTATAGCAGAAGCAGTCGGTGAGAGTGTCATCTTCTTTACAACTTTCAACGATCCATGGAAGCAACCTGGTGCTTACGGTGTCGAACAATACTGGGGACTGTTCGATTAAACTGTTAGAATTTGCATCATCATAAATTACATTTAGTTGTTTTTCTCTGTATATGGATATTCATTTATTATCCAACGCGTTCATTTACTTTCTTTTACTTTCTTTACTTGATTCTATTTTCTACAATCCTCTCCTTCAAGTAACACTGTTATAGTAGTTTATAATCACCAACAAAGATACCCTTAACTTAAAAAAAAGCTTTCAATTTTTCTTTTTTTTTCTTTTAAAAAAAAAACTTAAAACTACATATACACTGTAATACAACAACTATAAAAACATCAAGAAAAGATCGTAACACCACTTCATTGCTTCTGCTTCTTCATCTTCCAAGCAATGTATTCAGCACTATGGCCACATCTAATTCTCTTCACGCCGATGGATCCTTTCCTACTATCGTAAACTTCGTCTCCCAAAATCCGGTCTACAATCTTCAACGGTGGACCTCTGAACCAAAGCAACGCATGCTTATCGACGTTCCCGCTTTTACCTGGATTTCCTGCAAGCGGGCTACCGCCAGCCAACGCGTCATTGAAAGATCCCATATTGTGCTGCTGCTGTTTTACAATGTTGTTGATCCGTTCAAAATTGTGCCTGTCGACCCCGGCATATGAGGCCTTCACCATTTCTTGCAAATTCTCCTCTTGTCCGTTATACCTAACATACGTGAATGAAGGAGATGGCGAATGATATTGTGAAAACGAGTAAGTGCCCAAATTGTATGGCGATTTAATAATTTTATGAGATCCAGGATACACATGAGACACATTTAAATTCATTGTTGGTTTGGTGTATGCCTTGAACGAAGTCATGCTGGACATTGAATTGTTTGTTCTTTTTAAACTACCGGCCATTGGGTTGGCAGGAATAGTCATGAACGATGGGTTGCCCATAAGTTTGTTGACTGGATTGTTGCTGTTGATACCGTTATTTAGACTGTTGTGGTTCCCATTATAGTTATGGCCATGACCCATGATACCCATTCCATTTCCATTGAAGTCGCCTCCTAATTGTGTTTCAGGAGTGGATTCGTGACCATCGCCACTATTGTAATTATCAATCAATGCTGAAGATGGGATACGAATGTTAGTGGTTGGTGGAACATAACTCTTACACTGTGATTCAGATAAGGTACCGTCAAAATAGTGAAGATCAACTTCATCGTTTGGTCTTGGCACATATACCGCACCAACCAGAGGAGGAGAGTTCAGGTTTAAGATAATTGGTTGTGGAATTGGACTATTTGGTGTCGAACCTGGTGCCAAAAGGTTTTTAATAGGAGATGGATACTTCTTCAAGACTCTATTGGAGGTTAACGGTTTGATAGGGTCCTCGAGATGTCGAACTTCATCAGGTAAACACGCCTTCCACGTTCTAATTTTCGCAAAAGTGTTTTCCCTATCGTTATATCGGAACTCACACACAAAAAGTGGGCCTTCAAAGGGGATACCTGGGTCTCCCTTTAGCCATCTTGTGAAGTAGGCAACATAACATGGACCAAGGATCTCTGAAACAAGGTGGTCTCTATACTGACCAGTCTTGACGACCTCGTTGTCGAGAAACAACCTATCAACTCTGTGAACAGTCCATTCTGGGCGGTAGTACCAACACACGTTCATGCACATCTCACCATCTTCCTGCTGCCATAACCTGAAGATCTGACCCACTGTCGGACGCATTGAATCGTTGGGATTGGCGATTAAAACCCAGTTACCGACCTTGTAAGTTCTATTATTGAATACCACTTGAGATAGTGGGAATCTACTGGTCTGCTGACCAGACATGTATTCGACGTCCGGCTTGGACATCTCTATTTGGTATAACCTCGATATGTTTGTTTCCAAGATGTTCAAGTTGTTTTTGATGAACTCGTCATGAACAAAGTAATTTCTGTTGTTGTTGATAAGCTTGAACACGTCCGAAACGTAGGCATCCACTGTCTTGTAGTATCTCTGCTTGATCAAGCTCTTAATGTCCAACATGGAGATTGGATCCTTAACGATCCGCAAATAGTCTGGGTGTTCCTGCTGGCTTGGCAACTTGTCCCAAAAGGACACTATTGTCTTGTTTCCAACCTTTATCTTCTTGAGGCCTCTCATGATGGACTTGATTCTTTGCTCGTGGGGCTTGTCGACGATTGGCGGTCTTCCACGCTTGACCCACTGTTCTAAAACCTGCCTGTTTGGCGACGGGTTTGTGATGGGTTTTGGTGGCGTGTATATGTGTGACTTTCCTGTGTCTTCAATGGTGGCGACGTATGTATTTGGGTTGTACGACTGGTTCGTTATGGCCCTATAGTCCGTCTCTGGTTCATGGGTGTAGCGGCGTTCTTCCTGCTTCACCTCTTCTTCCTTGTACTCCTCGTCCTCCTCGTCCTCTGCAGCGGGAGTGGATGCTGCATTCGTGGAGGCGGCAGCAGCTGTGGCGGAGGAAGCACCAGTAGCGGAAGCATTTTTGGCTGCTTCCTTGGCGTTGCTTGCGTTGCCTGCGTTGCTCTGGGGCTCGTTCGGAAGAGGGCCGAGGTTTGGGTAGAAGATCTCGTCGTGCTTGTAGATGTTCTTGTCGCCGACGAGCGTTGGGATAACGGTCTCGCGGATGAAGCTGTCCAAGATCATGGCAAACTTGTAGTAGTCGGAGGTCTCTTCGTTGAAGAAACGGGCGTTCCAAGAAATCTGCACCAGGTCGTTGATGAACGCCTGCGGATGGGTGTAGCGTTTGTGTTTGGAGGCCATTTTGATTTTGGAGTACGACATCGGCACCTTGATGACCTTGTAGTACTCGATGTTTGCCCGGAGGGGCAACGCGTGGAAGGCGTAGGAAAACTCGTTCCCGCTGGCGTCCTTCAAGTTGTAGATTTCATCAAGAAAGTGGAAGAACTTGTCGTTCATGTACACCTTCTCCTTCTCTGTGATGGTCTTCGACACCATTGGTTGCTCAGGCACGCGGGCAGACAGGGCAGACACACACACGCAGACACGCAAATAGACGCACGGACACTAGTTTCCGAAACTGGCTTGTCTGACGAAACAAGCTCTGTTTCCTTTTCACGACACGAACGTGCTCAGCTGCTGCGTTGTTGTGCTCTTTCTTTCTCTTTCTCACCCATTCTCTCCCCTCGTTTTCTCGCCGGTGGCAAGAAAAAAGAGGGCGAGAAAAAGAGGATGGCGCGACAGAAACCGCGCCAGATATGCTTACGTCAGCCGCCAACATGTTTCCCGGATCTGTTGAAGAAGCGATGGACGGGCTAGAGGAGGAAGGCGGAGGGGAAGAAGAGGGCTGTTGGCGAGAGGGGAGGGGCGAAAGGGCATTGAAGAGGCATCTGGTGCCACATGGATGACGCAGACTCGTTCAGGGAGTTTTTCAGAGAGAAGACCCGCGGGGACGGGCGGATCACGGTGTTGGCGTTGGTTGGGTCGGGGCTTTCGGCGGCGTCTGGGCTCCGGCCGTACGGGGGAGGGGACGAGGACGACGGAGACGGCAGGGATGTGGGTGCTGTGGCGTGGCGCAACTACACGGCGATCGATCTTGCGACGCCGGACGCCTTCGAGACGAACCCGGCGCTCGTGTGGATGTTCTACGCGTACCGGCGGCACCGGGCGCTGGCGGCGACGCCCAACGGCGGCCACAGGCTGCTTGCGACGTTGAGCCGGCTGTCCGAGCACGTGGACTTCCTCACGATCACGCAGAACACGGACGGCCTCCACCAGCGGGCGGGCCACGCTGCGGAGCAGCTGCTCGAGTTCCACGGCTCGCTCTTCGAGCTCCGCTGCACCAGCTTCCTCTGCAGCTACCGCAGCGTGTCCCGCAAGGACCCGTTGACGCCGGCGCTCGACGTCTCGAAGTACGCTGGCGACCCCGCCGCCGCCGACGACGACGACAGCGGCAACGGCGACCCCGCCGCCACGACGCCACTCCCCGCCGTCACGGAGCTCGCCCAGCTCCCGACGTGCCCGCTCTGCACGTCTCTACTCCGGCCGGGCGTGCTCTGGTTCGGCGAGGCGCTGCCGCTGCAGCTCCTCGACCGGGCAGACGAATTCATCGTCGACCACCGTGTCGACGTGCTCCTCGTCGTCGGCACGTCCCACAGCGTCTGGCCCACCGCCGCCTACCTCGACCTCGTGAGGAACCAGGGCGCCCGCATCGCCGTCTTCAACACCGTCCGGGACCCGGAGATCGACCGCATGGCCCCGGCGACCCCCGTATGGCAGTTTGCCGGCGACTGCGCCCACACCTTGCCACAGGTGTTTGCCCCGATCCTCGCGGACTGGGGGCACCGTCCCGTGTAGCATCTATCGCACCTACCCTACCCCTACAACTACTACTACAACCGCTACCCCAACCCCTGCACGGCCTTCTGCGAGCCTGCACTGCACCCGTCCTGCAGCAGCCACACGGCACCTGCCGCCTGTCCGCTACCACCTCCGCTGCGACCCAGCTGTCACCCAGCTGCCACCCCGCCGTCGCTGTTACAACCCAGCAGCACAGGCAGCCAGCAAACGCAACAGCAACACAGTCGACTTCCCTGCGACGGCCACGACGGCATCCTCTCCAGTGTTGCATTTTGCGGCCCCGCATGTTGCACCGGCCTCGCCAGTGTAACTCTAGCCCCCGACACACAGACAGCCGGGGCGGTCTTTCTGTCCAGGCGTACCAGGGGCCGGCCGGGGTGCTACATGAGGGGCCCCATCGCATTGGCTCGTGACACCATGTCTCATCCCCATTCATCCGCTGTCTCATCCCATCGCTGTCCTGGGCACATGCTTGGCCTTTTGCACCCGCGTAATGTCGCATCCGACGGAACGCTCGCCGGGGGTGGCAGTCTAGTGTAGCATTGAGCTGCCAAACGGCACCGTTGATAAGGCCCCGCACACGATAAGAAAGGCGTCCTCGCAGATAAGGCCATCGTCGCCGTCAGCACGAACATGGGAGGGCTGTCTGAGAGAACACCCACCGGGGTTATGGCACAGACAGGGGCCGGGTGTGGTGTATAAAGAGCAAGTGCCGTCCGCCGTCCGCAGCCTCCACAGACACAGGCTTGAGAGAACAGTCCGTGTCCTTTTCCCCTCTGCACAGACAGCGGTCCCTAGATATACCCAGCAGCACCATGTCTGAACAGGAAAAGTCGACCACCCTCCAGGTGAACGTGAGCAAGGGCTCGTCGAACTCGTTCGACGTGGCCCTCGAGAAGGATGCCGGCGGAGCCGGCGCCACGACGCTGCAGGAGGTGAAACACTACACCCCCAGCGAGATCGAGAGCAGCGGCAAGTTCTACGACAAGAGATACGTGCCCTTCTTGCCGGCCTACTCGAACGCGACGATCCAGATCGTGATGCTTGCCTTCGTCGTGTTCATGACGCCGGGCATGTACAACGCCTTGACCGGTATCGGGGCGTCCATCAGCGGACCCGACGGAGTCAAGACGCAGGACAACTCCACCGTCGCTCTCTACTGTACCTTTGCCGGTCTCGGCTTCTTTGCCGGAACCTTCTGCAACTTGATGGGCCCACGCTACTGCTTGATGTTTGGCGGAACGGGCTACCTCATCTACGCAGGCTCTCTTTTGAGCTACAACCACAACCAGAACGCCGGCTTCGTCATCTTTGCCGGCGCATATCTCGGTCTCTGCGGCGCCTGCCTCTGGGCTGCCCAGGGCTCCATCATCATGTCCTACCCAACTGAAGAGAAAAAGGGCAGGGGAATCATGATCTTCTGGGTCATCTTCAACCTCGGCGCCGTCATCGGTGCAATCATCCCCTTGGCCAACAACATGCACTCCGACTCCTCCACCGTCAAGGACGGCACCTACATCGCTTTCATGGTCCTTATGGGCTGCGGTAGTGTCATCGCCTTCTTCATGTTGCCAAAGGAAAAAGTCTGGAGAGACGACGGCACCAGAGTCGTCGACAAGGCGCTCCCTAACTGGAAGTCGGAGATTTTGGGCTCCTTCAAGTTGCTGATTAAAGAGCCAAAAATCCTCATCATGTTCCCTATGTTCTTTGCCTCCAACTGGTTCTACACATACCAGTTCAACGAGTTCAACGCTGGCCGTTTTAACATCAGAACCAGATCCTTGAACTCCTTGCTTTACTGGTTCTTCCAGATGTTTGGTGCCGTTATCATGGGTACCATCTTGGACCTCAAGTGGTTCAGGAGAAGTGTTCGTGCCAGAATCGGATGGGGATTTCTTTTCTGCATTTCCATGGCCATCTGGGGTGGAGGTTACAAATTTCAGAAGAGTTTCACCAGAGCCGACGTCACTGCAGACGCAAACGGCACCATCAAAATTGCAACAATGGACTTCAAGGACGGTGCATACATCGGCCCAATGTTCCTCTACATTTTCTACGGTATCTTTGACGCTATGTTCCAGAGTTACTGCTTGTGGCTCATGGGAGCACTCTCTAACGACAGTGAGAAAACCGCCTACTACGCCGGCTTCTACAAGGGTATTCAATCTGCTGGTGCAGCCGTCGCTTGGAGACTCGACGCTTACGGCACCGCCTACATGAGCATGTTGGCAAGTTCCTGGGCTTTGGTACAGGGCTCTATGGTGGTGGCCATTCCTCTCGTCTTCTTCATGGTCTCAGACCACACCGAAGAGGAACCAGAGAGAATCCTCGAAGAAGACGAGTTCAGCCCAATCGTGGCTCTGGCTTCCGGTGAGGGAAGAATCGTCTAATACTTGACCTCTAGCAGCGTCTTGCTTTGTTCAATTCGAAATGTCCGATTGTTTATTATCTCTATGAGTTTATCTGTATTTTTTCCCAGCTATAGTGATGCGACTAAACATGATCCTTGGTTAAAACGTCGTATAAATATATCTATATTATGCTTTCTATCTTAACATGTGCGTGGCTGGCCTTCATGGATGGACAGGCGTAATCGACACTACTCCAAAATTTTCATTGAAGCAACAGCACTGCACTATCCAAGGTATTTCCATATTAACCACATTATAAACAACGTCAAGGACCCGGCAACGTAGAAAATTATCTTGTCTTCCCATAGTACCTTTTCAATGTGGCCAACAGTCTCACGACTCACTCCCAATGTTGTCAATCCCTGGCTCATCTTGTCCTTCACTCTCAAAATGGTCTCGTTCTGCTCAACAATGTCTTCAAATGCATGTCGTCCAAGCTCCAAAATCTCGTCTAGCTTTGCATTGCTACGATCAAGTTTCATATGCTGGTCCATCATCATACCGTTGGAATCACTGTTGCCTTCCTCATTCAACGCACCGTGTTTCCGGCTCGAGCGAAACTCAATAGAGTAAGGATTATCACTGATGCCACTGGCAATTCCTGCTCTATCTTCTATATTCTGGGTAAACAAGCTGTTTCTTTCATTTTCACTCTTAACCCTTTCGCTTTCTCTCACCTTCTCTTCCCTACGGGTACGTAGGTCGCCAAACTCCACTCTCGAGTCTTCATACTCGCTTCTAAGTTTGTCTAGCCTTGTTTGGTTCTTCGCTTGCGCCTCTTTATCAGTTTGGTTAGAAACGTACGCTTCAAAATCACCAAGTAGTCGTCCAACAGATGTAATCGTAGTTGAAATAGCTCCAATCAATGACAGTGATGATCCTATCTCATTCTCCTTGGCATTAGTAACACTTGACCGAAGAGAGTTCAAGTCTCGACGTAGTTGCTGCATCTGTTTGCTCGTTTGGTTGTACAATAGACTCATGGCGTTATGATATGAGTCTTTCAATCGACTGGTTTGTTTGATTCTCTTCTTTTCAATTGATCGACGCCTATAACAAACCTTCACCCCGATTGTCTTCTCTATCAACACGAAAAACAAACCTTGCCACGAAAAATTCCCCACGGTGCGGTGTCACTCTGTAAAGTATGCGATGCTTGATTTTGGCGTATCATTCGTTTTAGAGCTACTGCTCACTAAAATTACATAAAACTAGATGTATTCATCTATCCAGACAAAACATAACCCTTCCTCTCCTCTACTCTACTCTCACTCGTCTTCTAGCTCGGCCAAACCGTTCAGACCGAATAAAAATCCTAACTCTCTTCTACTCAATTTGCCTATCTTGTTACGTGCTGTTGGATCAAGGGCGCTTTCAACAAGCTCTTCTTTTTCTTTTTGTAACTCCATGATTCGATCTTCGATGGTTCCGGCAATTAGAAGTCTGTGCACATATACCTCTCGAGTTTGCGAAATTCTGTGAACTCTGTCTTGTGCTTGCTTCTCCACATATGGATTCCAGAATGGCTCCACGATAATGACGTGATTGGCACATGTTAGTGTTAGACCAACATTACCAGCTTTCAATGACAGTAAGAGGACCCTTTTTGACGGATCCTTGTAAAATGCGCTGATGCAATCATTTTTGGTGGTCATATCCATCGAACCGTCGTATTGTAAAAAGTCTATGTTTCTTTCACGTAGTGTGATCTGAAGAATGTCGAAAAAGCCAACAAACTGGGAAAAAACAATAACCTTCTCTCCCGGTTTGTTGTTCAAAATATTCTCAGCTATCTCGATCGTCTTGTTAGCTTTGGCACTAATCATCAGTTTCCCATCTTCCTCTATAAATTTCTTTATTGTGGCAAGTCTCCAATTCTTGTCAGAAGCCCGAGAATCAAGTTGGTATCTTTTACGAATTTCTTGCCAAGTGAGACCTTCTCGATACGATTCATACACTCTGAGATCCACTGACATGCTTGATAAATTGGTAACCCCACATGAGATACATTTGGCAGACACATCTCCTTCCCATGACGCTTCCGAGTGCTGCTCAAAGTATTCGGTATGGCAATCATAGCACAAGGGGTGGCCACATTTACTTAGTAGTAGAACCTGACCTTCTGCTAGCTCTTCCGTACAATGAAGGCAAGTGAATCCATTTTCACGTTCATCTTCAATCCTTCTGATAACATTATTAGGATAGTCTTTGACGGCTTCAAAACCTTTTTTGAACCTGTCCAATTTCGATACTCGATCTCCGTCATCTCCCAAACGAACCAAGTACTGGTGATCCGCCGCCTGTCTCATGCGAAGCAATAAAGTCAAAATCGAAGAATAAGTTTTGTTTTGAGATCTAAGTAACTTGTCTGCGGTTTTCTTGGAAGAGTGTTCAAGAGAGCTGTAAAACTCTTTCTCTTTCTCCTCCATCTCAACTTTTTCTTCAATAATATGCTTTTCCGGTAGTGTTAAAATAGGCTTACCATCGATCTCACTATCCTTGGTACGCCTCAAAAGAATTGCACTTAAAAGAGCATGAATTTTTCTATTTGCACTCGAGCTTCTGCTCTTGACAGATAAAGCAATCTGCTGATTAAATTTTGTCCAGTCGTTGTAAGGTTTAATTCCCAAAAAGCGAATCAATGGATACAACTCATCAATCCTGTTTTGGATAGGAGTTCCAGATAAGCACCATCTGTATGTACTACTCAACGATGCAACAGCTTTGGATGCTATTGTATTTTTATTTTTAATAAACTGAGCTTCATCCAAGATAATGCGATGAAATATTGCGTTGGCAGTAAAAAAAGGAGACTTATAATCACGTCTACGAACTCTTGGAGCATTACCCTTCTTTGCGTCCTCGAGTTCTTTTGCATAATGTTTTTTCCATTCTGAACCCAAAGTTTGATAACTTATCAATACTATGTCGTACTGTGAAAGTTCTTCAAAATTAGACAGCTTATTAGTTGAATGAAAAAGGTACGTGCTAAGTTTATTTTCATTTTTGATTTTCATTCCAATTTCCTGTTGCCATTGGTGCAGTAGAGAGACTGGGCCAATAATTAAATTGGTTTTAACGTCTTCCCTTTGAGAAGGATTAGCTAAGATAAGTGCAATTGCTTGAATAGTTTTACCCAAACCCATATCATCAGCAAGGATTCCGCCTTTATTGGATCCTTCTTCTATTTTAAGCATCCAAGATACACCTATTCTTTGATGTTTTAAAAGTGAAATGCATAGCTCTTTTGGAGTATTAGCAAGACCCTCTTCTTTGAACTCGGTGATTTTTATTGATTCCATTAAGTTTCTAATACCGTCACTATCATTTAAATTAGTTCTATATGGGTTGAGATGGTTCATGTTATCATCATAAACATTTGAAAAGGGCATATAAGATGGATTTCTTCCATTCACGTATTGATCCATTTGCGTAAAAATGTTGTCATAACCGTTTGTATATTCCTCATCGTTATCAACGTCAATTACTTGCATATTGTTTGGTATCAGTGGATTATCAATCCGAGGTGCGATTGCATCAGAATGAGCTGGGATCTGAATTGGTGGGATAGGTTGGGAAGTCAACGAGAACTCACGTACAGTCTTCAATGTTTCGGCAGGAGAGGATCCAGTGAGTTTATACATCTCGGTAATTGTATTTATCACCAAATTCAGTTCTGGTAAAACTTTCATATATGTGCCAATATGTGTAATGTCACTCTGAGTAAACCCGTTGAATATGTATGCCTTCCTTAGCTCCTCCAGCAATCTAGACCTTTCAATTATTTTCATTTTGTAAGACTTTAGTTTGAATATTCCAGAACCCACCTCCCCATAATATTTGGATAATGTTTTAATCTTATTATCAAGAAACCGTAGAATTTGATTATACCTGATATCAGCCTTTTTTATACCTGAATTTTTGACAGCCTTTTCCTGTACTTGATTCCTCATTTCAGCTGCTTTTTTCAAGAAGGCGTCCATTCTACTGTGCAAATCACTGAACTTATTCAGCCTGTGAATAACTGAATGCATTGCGTTCAAATTTTCATCTCTGAATTTTGTTACTCTGAGTTCTGGTGGTAAATGTGTTACCCCATCTTGAGTTATTTCGAAGGCTTGAATCGAGTCTGGGAGTATTGGCATTGCTTCACTTACAAAATTAGTCTCAGTCGGAAATTCAATCTGGTATTTCAGTGGTAAGGCTTTGATGGGCGGGTACTTTTCAAGAAGTTTGTTTATTCTGTCTCGTTCAGCTTTTTCTTTCTGAATATTAGCTCTTTCAGCTAGCTCATTTTGAAAAATTTCTTCCTTTTTAACGTTATCTTGAATCATGTTCATTTTATTTCTCAGAATTTCTTGCCTTTTTCTAGCCATCTCCTCTTCTGTCTCAACTTGACGTTCCCTTTTCACTGTTTGTGTAAAATACGAATTTTTTGTCTCAAGGGGAATCACGTCGTCATCATCATCAAAAGCGTTAGTTGGATTATGACCGACACCAGTTATTATAATGTCATCTTCTTCATCGGTTTCTGATTTGTCATCTGAATCATTGTAAGCAAATTTATTGAACGGTGGTTTTGTAACCTCAGTATTTTCTTGACTGGGTTTCATAGAAAGAGGTTCGCTTTTTAAACTGCTAGCTAGATTGTGGGGGTTGGAGTCAAACTTAAATGGTTTTTGTTCTTGTGGGTTGAAAACAGCGGGTCGGGTTAAATCTGTTGAGGACCTCATGTTTGCTACATTTGTGAAGTTTATATCATCATCGCTTCCATCATCACTCGTTAAATCAATGAATCCCAAATTTTGTGATGATTGAGATTCCGCTTTGCTAACTCTCGGTATTGACGCCATGGACACAGTGTTTGGAATATTATCATATGCGACTTTTCCGTCCTTCAATTCGGGAGTGCTAGACTTACTGAGCAAGAATTTAGAGGCTGTCGGTATTGCAACTTTCTTTCTGAAAGTAGAATCAAGAATGCTATTTAGTCTTCCAACTCCCGAATTTAAGGTGTGTGTGGAGGTTTGGGTGGGACTAGGATACCGGTTCCGAGGCTGAACATGATCATGTAAAATGGGCTCAGTAGTTTTAGATGATTTCAGATTTTGTAAATCTGCAACAGGGGGTATCAGTGTTTTTGTTTGAAGCCTATCTGATGACGTGTCTGGATTTACTCCTGTGTTATCATTAGATGCTGCTCTTTCAGGCGCATGTTCACTGCTCTGAGAATGTGGGGGCTGAAATTGGTTATCATGAGACTGTAGTTGCAGGTCTTTCTTGGGTATATTGGGGTCATGAGAAAACGATAAAGAGTCTATTTTAAAGTTCAGTGAATCATGAGCGACTCCGTTCCTTTTGCTATTAGTTTGTATCGGATTAGGAGTTGGACTTTGAGGTGAATTATTCGATAGGTGGTTTCTCAAATTATTATCCTGCTGCTTCTTGAAAGCCAGAGTCGGAGAATAATTTTTGGCTTCATCTATATCCAGAAACTGAGACATTTTCTGCTTGTAGAAATAAGGCAATAAGCAAAGGTTTGAAAAGCTTCATCCTGATAACAACAAAGGATCTTCAAACCATCTACACGTTTTATTTGTTTTTTACGTATCATGTTTTTGTTGTGCGAGCGAACCCGGGTTCGGAGATTTTTCGACCCCTGACCTAAATTTATCTCTTACCGGGACTGAACTTTCATGAGATTATGATCATGTGCTCATACGTCTGAAGCATGGTCTAAATGCTTGAGATATCGTGTATAAAACTGTTGTCAGAGAGATTTTTAGTAGCAAAAGAAACACTACAAAGTAGCACTATACATGAGTAGGACGGGAGCAAAATCAGTCGTCACCGTTCTCTTCATCTATGATTTTGAGACATATATCTAAAAGCTTCAACAATATCGGATGTTTAGGGTTGAAGGCCAATCCTCTTTCAAAGTCTGATTTGGCGCTCAAAAACTCCCCCAGATTAAGGTTACAGATGCCGCGTCTCAAGTGGTTGTCCGGAATCTGGCTTCCTAGTAGCACCAAGACTTCTGCGTCTTCGAGAGCCTCTACGAACATGTTTGCGTTGGTATAAGCGTCGCATCTTCCCATCAAGCAAATAATGAGTTCTGACATCGTAGGCTGGAATGGCTCGAACTTGGATCTGGCACTGGCGAGGCCGAGCGCAATATCGAACTTCTTGGCTGCGTCTGCAAACTGTCTTTGGCGCATCAGCGTGGTTGCAGACTCGTGCATCTTTTTCACCATCATTGAGAGGTTTTTGGTGAATGCTTCTTTGGAAGGTGGCGGAGGGAATTCGGAGTTCGCCTTGATGAAGTCCGTGTATAACGTGTTGACTTGTGAAATTTCCAGTTGCAGGTCTTTGGAGGAGCTCAGGGGCACCGTGTCCTCCAAAGAAACCTTTTTGCTCGTGGAGTCGTATGTTATCGGTAGCACTGTCGTTGCCATTTTAGCTCTAAATGCCTGTATAATGAGTGCAGTTGGAACCTGTTTTGTAAACATCCATAAACATCCTGTCATGCTGAAACCTTGCGATGATTGATACTGTGCAAGGATCCGAATTTACGTGGCAGCTGTGCTTCTCGATCTGACGCCCCGGGAGGAAAACACGATTTTCGCGCCGATCGGCGGCAAAATCAGCATTAGCTCAATTTGTATATAAAACCCACACACAGCTTGTGTCTATCTAGGAGAATCGGTAGAGGGGTACGGGACCGGAGACAGGAGAAGGAAGCCCAGGCCAGCGTCCCGACAAGCCACATGGGTAAATACTTCTGCGACTACTGCCAGTCGTACTTGACGCACGACTCGCTGAGCGTGCGGAAGAACCACTTGCACGGAAAACACCACTTGAGACTCTACAACGAATACTACGAGAAAGTCGCCAACGAACATCCCGAGTACGACAGAAAGAACACAGACGCGTCTGTGGGCAACCCGCTGCTGTCGGAGATGTACAAGGGCATCCCGGGGCTGACAAACAAGTACGCTGACCAGCACCAGCGGGACAGCGGAGCGAAGCCCGCATTCAAGCTATACGTTCCGAGCACCAGTGTCGGACTTCCGAATCCTCCGCCGAACGTGCTCTTTGTGAACTACTCGAACTACGTGCAGAAGAGCCGGGTGACCAAGCCGTACTACAGCAACGGGAACAGCAATGGCTACGGCCACGGCCACGACCGTGGCCATGGCTTTGGGGGGTTCAACCGTGGCGGGAACAGGGGTTTCCGGCCACGCGACAGGGAGGCCTCGCCACGGACGACGGCTGGCACGAGCGGACGTGGGAGCACCGACCACCGCCAGACACACAGACGCCCTGCCCCAGCTGCTGCCTCGGGCACAGACTTGGGCCACCGCAACCCGAGCTCGTCAGCGCCAGTGAGGACTGGCCCGCACAACGGTTACGGCTACGGATACGGCTATGACTCGAAGGACCGGCCATCGAGGCCCGCCGGAGGCCAGGGGTACGCCCAGGCCAGGCACGGACAAGGAGACGTCTCCCAGCAGCAGCAGCCTCCGCAGCGCAACCGCCAGAGCTACCAGCAGCGCTACAAGCAGGGATACCAGCGGTACCCGGGCCAGCAGGACCGTTCCCGAGACTACTACTAGGTTTAGCACGAGTCCCAGCCCCCCCCCCCCCTAATGTGTCTAACATGTGTATATCCTGTAGATCCTGTATATCCTACCCTCCTATCACAGCAGACTTGACCTATCACTTGCTCCACTCTTCCAATCGACGCGTCGCTGCCCGAAAACAGACGGTGCTAGTCTTGCCAGCTAAAAATTTTTTTTTCCCATGGTGGCGAAAAAAAAAGGAGGAAATTGAATTGTACACTGAATGTCGCACGTCTCGCCCCTTTCCGTTGATCTCGTTTCTGGCCTCTCTGTGTTGCTGTTGGGCTTTTTTGCCAGCTGGATGATCTAGCTTGCGACGTTGTCTGCTTGGCTGTTTGGTTGCGCATTCGTTCCCCTCCTGGCAAAGCAGTATCCAGAAACACAGCATGGCACAACAACAAGTTCCTACATTCAAGCTCGTCCTTGTCGGTGACGGTGGTACCGGTAAGACCACCTTTGTCAAGAGACATTTAACTGGTGAATTTGAAAAAAAGTACATGGCCACCTCTGGTGTCGAGGTCCACCCAATGTCCTTCTACACCAACTTCGGTGAAATCAAGTTCGACGTCTGGGACACTGCCGGCCAAGAGAAGTTCGGTGGGTTGAGAGATGGCTACTACATCAACGGCCAATGTGGTATCATCATGTTCGACGTCACCTCCAGAATCACCTACAAGAACGTGCCAAACTGGTACAGAGACTTGGTCAGGGTCTGTGAAAACATCCCAATTGTCCTCTGCGGTAACAAGGTCGACGTCAAGGAGAGAAAAGTCAAGGCCAAGACCATCACTTTCCACAGAAAGAAGAACTTACAATATTTCGACATCTCCGCCAAGTCCAACTACAACTTCGAGAAGCCATTCTTATGGTTGGCCAGAAAGTTGGTTGGCAACAACCAATTGGAGTTTGTCGAGTCCCCAGCCTTGGCTCCTCCAGAGGTCACTGTCGACTCCGACTTGATGGCAAAATACCAAGCCGAAATGGACCAAGCTGCTGCTATGCCATTGCCTGACGAGGATGACGCTGATTTATAGAGGGTTTGGCCTGCAAAGGGAAACGCTCCCGAGCTACTCTTTCGTTCATTCCCTCTCTCCGTCACGAAAATCTGTCTATGGCGGTTCACCCCCTCCAACCCGCTCCTTTGTCATAGGCATTTGTACTTTAGTATCTTCCATTTTATACTAGTCCATTTAATATAAAATAGTAATAATAACCCTACTTGTGATCTTGCTTTCCTCTTCTTCCTGTTCCTCCTCCTCTTGTAGGGGACTTGTACCGACCCTTCCCACCTCTTCAAAGGCCTATCCCAGGACGATCGACGCAATCGACGCGTCGATCGTCTTGGCGGCATTTTTCCAGCCGAGTCCGTAGCAAATTCAGCCAATGAGATCCCGCTCTCGCCTCCTCTCAGTGGTTCTTCGCCCCCCGTAGCGCTCGCCAGCTCACTGCAGGCGCCGTCTCCACTCGCTGGGTGTTTACAACGTGGTATAATAAGGGAAGACGACTTGCAAGGACGAAGAGGTACAGGCGTCGGGCAGGACAGGATCACAGCACCAGAACCACTTACGGCACCAACAATGTTCAGACAAGCAGCCAGACAATTCACAACCTCCGCACGTCGTGCTAACCTCATTGCTGACCTCTACGTCAGAGAGTTGAAGGCCTTCAAGCCAACTCCACTCACAGCTGCAGATGCTCAAGAAGCAACCAAGCCATGGAAGTTGCCAGCTGCCGCCAAGGTGCCAGCCTTGGAGGCCGAAGGAGCTGATGCCTTGGCTGAGTACGACTCTGCATCCGTCGATGTCGTCGCTGCTGCTCCAGCCAACGGCGCCGCCGAAGAATACAAGCCAGACGACTGGTTTGTGTTCCCAGTCGACGAAGAGCCAGGCCACCACCACTAAGTTACTGGATCTCTGATATGTTGATCCAGATCCAGTGAATAGTTTGCTTTTTGATCGTTACAAACGGAAACCGTTTCAGTGACAGTTACACAAAAACTAGCCAAGAAGCAAACCTTCTTGCCTTTGTCCCTCCACCAAACCATGATGTCCGATTTTGCCAAATGCTGTTGGAACCTATTTATTTATTGATCATAGATATATATACGTTTTTTTATATCTTATATTTATTAAATGCCATTACATTCGATGTGTTTATGAGTAATGAGTAAAAAAAGTGTTGATCAAAAGCCCCACAAGTGAGGGTGTTTATGGAACGGAAAAGTAGGAAATAAATAACTAAAGTGTATGTATAAAAATCGCAAGGTGTAACGGGTTGGCACAATGCCGCTGGAGTGTCCGTTATAAGCTATCCTCATCGCTGAAGTCGATGATTTGCTCAGCCAACTGTTCAGAACTCAATCTGCGGTACCCACCAGGCAAGTTCAAGGCACTCCTAGAAGTTTGTGCGGGCGCAGATGGGTTAGCATTGGTGGTGTTGCCTCGGCTGACGTTCAATGTGTTGCCTCCACTTTCATTCTTGTTGGTATTTGCATTCTGTTCGGGTCTCGATCCATCAGACTCGGTCTGGGATGATTCTACTCCAGGCATCGAGACCAATGGCTGAGCCGTCTCAATCTTAACCAAGTTATCTTTGATGTCCTCGAATGAAATAATGCTATCGCCTGTCCTTTCTGACTCCACTTTGTTCAACGCTGGGAAGGGATTGTTCACGCTGAACCTCTTTCTTGAACCATCAGCCTTCATGCTCTTGCTTCTACGGACGTCGCCAGGGTTATTGTTTGAATTCGGGTACGCGGTTGCTGGCTTTACTTCGAGAAAGTTACCTGTCGTATTGATAGCAGTGTCAAATTCTTTTTTGGAGCCCGATGACAGGCCCTGTCGAGAATCATCATGGTTCAAACTGATTTCTGGGAACCTCGATTCCACATTTTGAAAGGACATGTCATCGCCTTGAATGTCCATATTAGAAATGAAATTGTTACCGGATGCACCTGTGTTTTTAGCGGCCTTGTTCAAGCTGGTGCTACTCCTGCTAGTTTCATCATATGTGTCAAGCAGTTGAATCTCATTCAAATCATCAGCAGAAACACCGGTGGCAGCATTGTTAAAGTCTGATGGACTGTCAATACTTATACCTGTTCTTGAGCTAGAGCTAGTTAGATCTTCGCCCCCAGCGCTCTTCACTCCTGTTAGAGTTATCTTTGGTATACTCTTTGTAGAACCGGATGTGCCTGATGACCTCTTGAGGTTTCTCAAAGAAAATGGATCAGCATCTTCAAGTGTATTGAAATTCGCAACACTATCTGAAGAAAGCTTGGATTTGGAAGGCATGGATGTTAGTGGTTGTTGCTGCTGCTGCTGCTGTTGTTGTTGCTGCTGCTGTTGCTGCTGTTGCTGTTGCTGTTGCTGCTGTTGCTGCATCATTTTCTTCATTTCCATTTGAACTTCTAAAGGATCCCTTGGAGCAGCCTTGAATGGAGAAAATATTGGTACTACACTAGGAGTGAAAGGCTCTATAGCTGGATGTATTTGTTCATTCAATGGATACTGATAGTGGCCAGCGTTGTAAAGGTCTGTGTACCCTTCTGTGACTTTGGCTGTTGTTTCGGCATTAAATCCCGATAGTTTGCAAACTTCCATTAAAACTTGATAGATGTTTGGCCTGAAAACTGGATTTTCCTGCAACATGATGTTTATAAGGTTTCTAATACCAGATGGAAAATGAGGTTGAGCCGGGAAACTATACGCGGCATGCAGGATACTCAATTCACCAGCAACTTCAAATGGTGTGGTGTAGTAGCATAGTTTGTAAAGAAAAACACCTAAAGCCCAGATATCTGACTTTTCGTCGACAGGTAGCCCCCTATAAAGATCGATCATCTCTGGGCATCTGTATTGAGGAGTGGTCTGCAGTAAGATATCGTTATGAAGAATTTGAAACTCTTGATGATTTCTAGGAACCCTTAGAATCGGACAAGTTGATCCAAAATCCGCCAGCTTGAAGTTGAAGTTTTCATCAAGCAAGACATTTTCAATCTTTATATCCCTGTGGATCAGTTTCATCCGATGCATGTTGTAGACCGCTTTACTGATATCCAACATGATTTTCAGGATCTCACTCGCAGACAATTTTGTTCTCAAACGACTGTTCATAAAATCCAATAGAGATTTGTTAGGACATAGTTCCATTAAAACCAATACCTCATAACATCCAGGAGCATTTGGGAGGCGGCTTGCATTAGAATCATAGTATCTAACAATGTTATCTGCTTTTGCCAACCTTTGCATCACCTCAACTTCGGCTCTCAACTGGTTCAAGCCTTCCTTATTCGGCACAATCACACGTTTCAAGCATGCAACATCTGTACCTCTTTCCATTGGGTTAGTTTTCACAACATAAATGTGTGCAAAGCCACCTTCGCTCAAGTATTTCACAATCGTCACTTGGTGTTTACCCACGGTTAGTTGTGTCCCTGGTGGCAGTTTCACTAAACTAGGAGGTCTACCGACAGGTGCATTTTGATGAGCTGCAACATCTCTCATAGATGGTGCATGTTGGGGTTGAGGGAAATTGGGGGCCTGTTGGACTTGTGGTGGTATTTGGGGAACCTGAGGAACCTGTGGGACTGGTGGGACCTGTGGCGCCTGTTGGATAGGTAGGACTTGTGAAACTGGGGGTGTCTGTGGCATGCTTTGTCCATTTAACATCTGGCGAGATGCCAAGTTTGGAACAGCAGCCGACGGCATTGGAACCGTGCCGGGAACTTGGGGTGGAGGTGGTGTTTTCCTTTTCAGTTGGCTGTTGTTGTATAGACTGTAAGAGTTACTGTTGGTGCTGGAATTGTTAGCCCTGTGAGGTGGCGGTGGCGGTGGCGGCGGCAGTTGTCCCGGAGCTATCGAAGGCTTAGTTTCGGTCTTTTGACTGACCAAGCCAAGCGGATTTGGGGGTGGGTTGGTTGGTGAGGCCAAGCCCTCCGATACTGTCTTGTGTAATGACAGTTCCGGTCCCGCTGCTGCATGGAGTAACGGGGAAGGTTGCTGATTTTCGACATCGATCTGTTTGGGCTGTAGTGACGGGCTATTGGCAAACGAGAACGACTGATCCATGCCTTGTGGTACATTAGGGGATCCCATTTTCAAGCGTCAATGTTTGTTAGGGCGTGGTACTTCTTCCTATTTACTGTGAGCAGTAATTGATTGATCCGGAATAGCTAGCAGATGGAGAACGGAGGAGGCGGGTTAATTTCTTTTGACTTCAAGAGATGGGAAGGCAAGATAGGGTAACCAAGAATGCAAATCCACCGTTGCTGACGAATGCTAGTCCTGTAATTGAATGCCCGACCTTGTTCGGAAGCTATCTCGTGGTGTGGACGCTGCCCGAAAACCCAAAGTGCTACAAGTTGGCAGCAGTAAATTTACCCATTTAAAAATGTCTGAGCAAGAGGAGTACTATAAATATGTGTACGGATTAGCTTCTACGAAAAAGCGAATTTCATCCTACCTTGTGCTGTGGGGGGTGTCACAAAAATGGATGGCGGGGCCGATCGGCCTGAAAATTGAAGTCGGGGTTGGGCTTAAGATTGATTCTGCTAAAGACTTTATAAAGAGAGGAAGTGAATTGAGCAGAATTGAGAGAGAGTCTGGAAAGAAGCAAAATAGGAGAAAAATTAGAAGCAACTAGGTTTTATAGAATTAAAAGTGGTGATAAAAACAGGAAGTGGTGACGGGGGAACAAGGTAGGAGAAAAAGTCGTAGGAGGAAGAAATCAGATTTTTTTCATATCGTCAAAGATTTCAACCACTTCTTCTTCAACGGAGTTGGCAGCTGAAGAAGAGTGTTTTTCACCGGACATCAAAGTACCGTCACCGAGAGTAGAGATGTCAAAACCGTTCTGGCTCAAATAAGACAAGAACTCAAAATCTTCTCTTTGCATGGCTTCCTGGTCGACGGCTGGTAGACCGAAAAGAGCTAACAAACCTGCAACGATGGCCAAGGAGGAGGCCAACCAGAATGGTACCTGGTAGCCCTCGACACCTGGGTAGTGGTTCTGGAACGATGGGAAGGCGTAGGTACCGACGAACGCACCGATTTTACCGATAGCAGCAGCGATACCATAGTAGACACCTCTCACCGGGGTAGCAGAGGTCTTTGCGGCCAACAAACCAATGTTGTCACCAGGACCAAATTCACCCAGAGTCAAGAAGATACCGTAGACGGTGACGAAGGCGCCGATTTCGGTTTCGAGCTTAGGGTAGAGGCCGGCCATGATGTAGCCGATGATAGCTTGTAAAAAGACACCGAGAGCCAAGGTTAATCTTGGACCAATATAATCTGTGGAGATGGCACCCAGGAAGGAGCCAGGCAAGTAGAAGAGGTTGAGCACGACGTTCCAACCAAAAGTTTTGTACATGTCCTTATCCTTGATGATTTGCTTCAAGATAGGGGTGGAGTAGATGCCAAAAGCATAAGCTGAGAAGTCGTAGATCCACCAGATGATTGAGACGATCAGTAGTCTGAACCAGTAGTACTTGATAATCAAGAAGAATGGGATGGTAGCGTTCTTCAAGTTCAACTTCTGGAACTGCTTACCTTCCTTGAAAAATAGTCTGAGGATAAACAAGGAGATTGGTGGGATTGCACCAATACCCAAGGTGATTCTCCAGACAGGCTGGAGGTGTTTGGTGCCACAGATCCACAAGAGAACCATTGGCACAAAGGCGGAGACAACGAAACCGAAATCAATCATGAAGTTGGTGAACCATGCAAAATATCTGTTTCTTTTACCTGCTGGTAACAAGGCGGAAGCCTCAGCACATGCGGCTGAACCAGTTGGGTATTCAGCACCAATGAAGTATCCCAAGAAGAATCTGTAGGCTGTCAAGGCTGCAAAGAGGCCACCTGCGTTACCGCCGTATTTGGCTTCTGTGCCGACACCCCAACAACCTGCGGCAAGGATCGAGAAGATGATCAAACCTCCGGAAGAGACCAACATACCGGTTTTTCTGGAGATGTAATCTGAGAAGACACCAAAAGTCAACTGGCCCACCACGGTACCGACAAAGGCAATGGCGGACACGTTTCTCAAGGCGTGGGAGTGGGTGTACTGGTCGCCATAGATGACGGAAAGACAGGTGGAGGCAGTACCGATGGAGTTGTTCACATAACCGTCGGAAAACAAACCGGCACCGGCGGTGAAGATGGGCCAGTAGTTCTTTTTGCCGCTTGGGGCGATGTCTTCTTCGTCGATTTCGACAATGTTACCGTCCTTGTCGGTGACCTCCAAGTGCTGGTGGTCCTCCTCGGTGAGGATGTTTCTGCCCCATGTGATCTCCTTTCTAAGGATGCCTGGTAGGGATTTGAACGGCATCGTGGAATGTGTGTATGTACGTGGTGGTATGTGTCTGTATACGTGTGTATGTGACTGTGTTGACTATACAAACCTAGTAGCAAGCGGTGGGTGGTGCAGCGGATGAACTCAGGGTTGCTGACCGGGTTAGGCAGAGCAATCTATCTGTGGATACGGAGACAGAGGGAGACGGAGGAAGAAAAAGAAAAGAGCAGGTAGAACAACAATCCACGGGCTGGAGGACAAGAAGAGAAGAAGCTGGGAGAACAGGAGGATCTGTGCAGCTTTATATCGAGCTCAGGCGAACAAGACTCTACTAGATAGGAGTGCCGGCCCGGCACGCCCAGCAGAACAGTCGGTACAGTAGGGTCTGTCCGAATCTGTCAGAAAACCCAATTTGCAGCAGCGGCGGCGAGAGAGGCACAAAAAAGTAGTGCACCGCACAGTGGAAGGCGGCAACGTGCAGCATTGTTTCGCTATTACGGATATCGGCGGCGTCTCTCCCTGCTATTGTGCTCCAAGCCTGCTTTGCGTAGCACCCCAGTGGTGGGTAGCCCATGTAGCTACGGCGGCGGCGAAGCCCCTGCGGAGACGGCGGCGGCCGCAACATTTGGTATGGGGCGGTGCCGTGCCGTGCACGAGGATGAACCGAGCCCGGGCTGCACATAACGGGTGCACGTCGGATACTGAACCTTATTCCCTGCCCCCTCCCGTCCCACAACTTACTGACCAACTAACTACACAGGCTGGTAGTGCACTACAACGCACACACACCCAAGTGTTCTGCCGATGCGCAGATCGTGCCGTGGAAGAAGCTCCGCTCCCTTCTATGTCACCCGCAAAAGGCGCTGGCCCGTTCTGGACGGGCCCCGTGTACGGTTTACCGCTTCCAGTAGGTATTTTCCGCCGTCATCGGACGCACAGCGTCTCCCGGCTGACGTTGCCGCAGGCTCGCCAGCCGGCCCGACTGTTTACCGCTGCTCTATCTACGACTACTTCTAACTTTTGTTATCTCGGCTCTGCCGTCCGGGGAGAAAGGAGTTGCCCGTTTAGATAACGCCGAGCAGAGCAGGCCCGGTTCTGTAAACGGCCTGGAGCGGTACCTTGCCGCGGCGCGGGACGGGCCCCGTGGGAGGACATAGTGCGGACCTCGGGAGGGAGGCCTACGCCCAGGACATCGTCCCCCCATGGCCGTTTTGTGGCAGGGGGCGGCATTTTGACAGCAGACTTGGAGGATGACAGAGAACAACTGTTGGCGATGAGAGGGCAACACGTCGTGCCGCAAGCACGTGTGATGTGGCCTGAGACGGAACAGCACCGGCAAAGGAGGCGGCGGCCGCGAGGGGGGCACGGCAGGGCCGTGCCCACTTTCACGTGCGCTATCTATTTCACTCGCTGCAACGGCCTCCCCCCACTATAATTAGCCAGCTTTCCGCAGGCGCACCCACGTGTGCATGTGAAAATGGTCCGCCCCCCTCTTCCTATTGCGTTGCCGGTATAGGTAACAAGAGCGGAAAAGGAGCCAGACAGATACTTCGCTGTGATGTCATGCGGTGCGCGGCTGCTTATCTAGCCCACCCCGCATGCGTGCCGGGCTGTGCACGTTGTGGTGGTTTTGTTTTGGGTCGATCGGCGCAATTGTCACGTGATGTGATTTTTTTTTTTTTTTTTTTTTTTTTTTTTTTTTTAGAGCAGACGCGTGTTTCATGATCGCTTACCACAGCATTACGCGTACATGAAAGGTGCTCCTCAGATGGTCTGCCTGTTCAAGATGTGTGTGCAAAGGTCCAGGGTCCGTGTCCTTACCGGCGTTCGACTCCCACCCATTTCACTGGCAATCATTACCGCAGACAATGGACGCATTTGTGTCTCTGGAAGAGAATCAGGAGCATGCTCCGAAAACGATGGGCCTCGTGTCTGCCGTCACGCGTGCCTCAGAAGCTGCGGACAGGGTGCTTTCCACACAGGTAGTGGAACCGGACGAAAGCAAGGAAGAGGACGCGGAGGAGGACGACGACAGCGACGCCTATGAGCTGCACCAGTCGAAAAGACTGGCGGAGCAGTTCGATATGGTCGACGAGGAGCCGCCAGCTGCTAACTCAGGCTCCAGTGCTTCCAGCATGGACACGGGCTCCTACTTCCAAACTGCCGTGCAGCGAGTGCGACAACGGATACAGCAGCGACAACAGCTGAAGGAGCAGCAAGACCTAAAACAGAGTGCACCGGCCGGTCCCATCGAGGAGCTGGCTCAAACGCAGGCTCTAGCCAACGCGGACTTTGCTCCAACACAGGCTATACTCACAGAACCGAGCCCCAAGTTCGAGACGAGAGCAACCGGCGCTGAAGAAGATGACGATGACGATGACGATGACGACATCGTCAGACCAAAGCAAAAACATAAGGTCCCCGCCCCTCTGTCTGAAGATGACGAGCAATCTGCTGACGAAGTAACACATCCTTCTGCTGAACTTCCCTCTGAGCTTCCTCCTCAACCTGTTGCGGAAGCTGCAGCTCCAAATTTCCTGGCCTCACTGTTTGTTGCCGAGAACCAGAGCGACGAAAACGATGATGCTGACGCGCCTTCAGAAGATGAGCTTAGCTCAAAGATTGCAAACTATCACAACATGTCCAAAGAACAACGTTTTCTTGCAAGAAAACTCGAGAGGTCCAAGCTGAGGGCTGCAGAGGCACTTTCACAGAACCCTAGGAAGGAAACTTATCTTACAGGCGGTAAACAAACTCTTTTCAAGAGCGGGCAACGTAAAGGTCTGATTGAGAAGAACAAGTCGGATATTTTGAAAAAGCAAGAACTGCTGCGGCAAAATGAGCTTTTGAAAAGATCGATAGCCAAAGATCCTGTTATCGAGCCTACGAAATTCTCGAAAAACAAATTGCTGGATACGTTGAAAGTCGGATTTGACTCCGAATCCGATGATGGCAACGAAGCGCAAAGTTCGAACAACAATTCAGAGCATGTGAAAACACCTCCAACCTCACCTCAAAAAGAGGATAGAAAAACATTTGTGGCGAATATCGTGAGAGCTAAATCTTCATCCACAGACAAGGTTGTAGACCTTGGCTCAGCTTCTGATAGTGACCATGCTGACGACATATACCACGATGGTGATGATGGAATCGAAGGTGACATATCAATAAACAAAAAAACGAAGATGTTGGATGTTAAACTATTTTTCTCAAAAAAGAAGAAGAAAAGGTTGGAGAAGAGGAAAAAGGAAACTTTGACAGAAAGAATCCGAAAGTTCAACGCCAAACAGCTGAAGGGAAAAATTTCAAATCTTACGGATGATGCCTCTGGAAAGGAGGCTGACCTCACCGACGAAACATTGGCGAAGATGTTATTGGACGAACAAATGAAAAACTCAAAATCTCGGGCCAAACAACTGAAAGAGGAAAAGCAGTCACATAGACAGAAGCACTTACTCCGAAAGGGTGAATTCCCATCCCACGACGACGATCCTGAATTTAGTGACTATTCGAGCAATTATGAAGTTTCAAGTGATGATTCTGCACACTATGATTCAGGCATAGATTCACCACCTAAGGAGACGAAAGAGGTTTCCACCGAAATGAATGAAATCAACGACGATGCAATACCCTTGACCCAAAATATTCAGCAAAGTGGTGAGTTTCAACTGACGCAGACCGATGCACTACAAAAATTTAACTTATCATTTACACAGTTGTTCGATAACTCTTCAGCAGAACAAACAGATGACCGCTTGACAACCTTGGAAAAGTTTCAGAAGATGAGAGATGAAAACAACGGCATTCCTCTTGAGCAAACCCAAGAAACAAATGACTCCACTGCTGAACATAGCAGATTATTGAATGAAACCTCATTCTTGACAAAACAACTGCAAAAGGAAGAAATGGGGGATATTTTCTACAATGATGTTCAAACTGATGTGAAGAGTGAAATACATCATTCTGCACACTTGAAGGACATCCTTGATTCACAAAACTTGGTTCTTGAGACGCAGGTTGATAGTCTGAGTATGTCAACCCAACAAATGGATGCCCCATTAGATAAAATTTCGACACATGCGGTGTCAGTGTCAATGTCGGCTCAGGTTAGTTCCACCCCACAGCCCGAAGAACCCTTGGTGGCACGGCATGATACTGAAAATGACACAAAATCTCATAGCAGAGAAAGCATTAAGGATACTGTTGATGAAGAGGACGATGACGATGATGATGAGAAAATCAACAGAGGAAGGAAGTCCAAAGTGAAAAATGATATGGATAACAATAGTGCAGCTAAAGAAGAGATTGAAAACGAGATTGAAAACGAGGAGGAGACTGAAGAAATGAGACTAAAACGTGTTGAAATGATTAGGGTGGCGAAGAAAAAAGAACGTGAGCTCAGACGTCAACGAGAAAAAGAATTCAAGTCCAAAGGTTTGGGTCAAATGATGGAAAATGAAGCCGTCGAATCCGATGACGAATATCACGGCACAGGAGGTGTGGATGGGGATTTGTCTGATGAGGAAAATAGTGAGGATGAAAAGCTAATTGATGATGCAAATAATGTACATATAGACGAAAATGAATTGCGTCGTATTCAACTTGAAAAAGATTTAAAGGAAGACCAAGAAAAAGTTAGCAAGACGTATAAAGATGTCAAAACCCATAAACTGGCAGAGAGGCGTGCTAAGGATGGTGTGTATGCAGTTGATTTATCCGATGATGATGATGCAGATGAGAATGATCAGCTGTATAGGTGGCGTGAATTTATCAAAAAGCGCAAACTAAAAGAGAGAAAGGAATTTTTGGAAAAGAATAAGATGAACATTGCAGAAGATGATCCTAAAAAACCATTTTTTGATGCAATGGCAGTGAACCTCCCTTCTCATGTTTCCATCTACAAGGACTCTTTTCTGAATAGCCCGAGCGTAGCTGATAGTATTGAAGAAGATATCAATGACCAGAGCAACAATATTTTAGCAAATGATTACGGTGACGAGAATCCACCGTCGAAGAAAAGAAAATTAAAGTCTAAAAACTATTCTTTTGAAAACGATGATGATATCAGATTCAGCTCTTTCAAAGATCAAGAGTTTGAGCGTAGTCGAGAGGATGTTCTCTCTGGTGCAGACGAAGACGATGATTTTGATGGCGCAAAGGAGTTAAAGAGACTAAAAAAGAAAACCAGCGTTTACTTGCACAGAAAGTTGCGTGCCTCTAAAATTCCTCCACCAAGAGCTGCTGTTGTGGATGATGATCAAAGTGAGCTTGAATCCCTTAGTTTGTTGTCGAGCAAGTCAAGTTCAATCACAGCATCATTCAAAAAGGCCACAGAAAAGAAAGTTAAGATCAGTGCTAATACTGGTAACATAATTAGAGAAGTTAATGTGACAACTTCATCAAAAGCCGTTACCAACTCAAGAGCTGCCGTTACAAAACTGGCTTCAGCTGAATCACTTAATTCTGAACGTTCAATCAAACGGATTGTAAAGGGTTCTGGAGTGGACAGATTGGATAAAATGCTTGCTAGAAGCAGGAAACTGGGGATTAAAAAGTTGACTAAAGGCCATTAATTAAACTTTACTTATATGTATGTACACGATTTGATTGATACTTGTATTATGATAAGGGTAATGATTATTAGGAAAGGTAAAAAATATAAATGCTAAAAATTAAATTGAAAGACGAATTGAAAAGACAATATCCAAAAAAATGTAAAGAGAGGATACAAAAATGAGTTATTTTTCATATTATTTCGGACTCTAGAGCATCTCTCAAGGCGCCATGGCTGATACGGGAACTAATGACGCTGTTGTTGAAGCTTGAACCGTAACCATGGCTGATGATTCTTTCCCCATTTTTGTTGATTATTAGTGAAGATGAAGGTCCGTTGATGTTTGCCCTAACTTTTCTGAAGTTGATGGGGGTCAATGTGAAAGAGGTTGGTTTGCCACGTGATCGGCTCAAGCCACCTTTAACATCAAGACTTTTTGCAGACGGTTGACCTATCAATTTCCCTACTTCGGGATTTGTAAAAGCAGAGTTTGGGATAAAATTTGAAAACCAGGATGAAATACCATCACTGTTATTGTTAAATTCTTCAGATCCAATGGATTTAATTGGCATTGGACTTGAGAATGTGTTGCTGGGTATGGATTTTTCAGGAGATTCGGATCGAATTCCAGTTGGGGTTTGTGGATCCAATTCGGTGCCTAGGTTGGCACCAGAATGTAAAATATTTATGATATCATCGTGTGCATTGTTTTTGAATGCAACGTTGTTTGAAGTAATGAATGGCTGAGTGGAAAATGACACTGTTGGATTGTTCGGTTTCAACCATTTCATAGTTTGAGCTTTCAAGTCCAAATTTCGTTCCCTCATTGGGAAATCTTTGGTATGTTTCGTCATTGCAGAAAAAATACTTTCGTGGGACTTGCATTTGTAAAGTGACAATCTTGATTCTTTTTTCAGTATTAAGGGAGTAGCATTTTCATCTCCATAACTTTCGTCAGAATCAGAATCAGAGTCAATGTGATGGGAATTGACGCATTGAGTACTAAATTTATTGTTATCCTCTGATCCGCCATAAAATGATTCATCATCAATGTAGCTCGCTTTAAAAGTTGAAAATGGTGATGAAGATATTATGCATGGATCTCGTAACTCCAGTTGGTCCATAGTGTTTGGCCCGGACTTATCGCGTGGCTCATTTGGTTTCACGAACAAAAAGTCACTAATGTTAAATTTTTTATGATTAGCATATTTAGAGTTTAGACCTGTTTCGTGTGACATAAAATGCCTTATTGATTCATCAGAAGCTAGAATTAAGTTATTTCCATCTAATGAGGATGTCTCAGGAAGTGATGAGTGGCGCCGGTGTGATTTTTGGTCGTGTAAGATGGAAATCTCCTTGTAACCATTGTTTTTGTTAAGAACAGGATTGTGATGCTCAAAGGTTATATTTTCTTGATCAACACAATTGTTAACCTCACACAAACTTTGATTTTCCTCAGTGATGCATGGCAGACTTATTAATTCGAGTTTCTTCTTAATAGGCTTTGTAGGCGCCTTCCTCCCCAAAGGTAATTCTGGCTTTGGTATATTCTCTTCTCCGTCTAAGTGTGTCAAAGAGTTGCTTTCAAATAGTGGATTGTCATGGATGGTATTGATATTGAACCCTCTCAGAGGGCCAATATTGTGTGATTCTTTTTCTTTATTGGTTTCTTTGTTATTGTTCTCTGTTTCAGCAAAGTTGAGAAAACTTTCCATTTTCAACAGCTTTTTCTTCTTTGCCTGTGGGTTAAGATCGGTGTTTGCAAAATTGGATGTAAATTGATCTTCCTTTGAGGTAGATATAACTAGAGAGCTACAGGCATCGTCCATTGAAGGTATTTCGGTTTCAGAAAATAAAGAAGTAGACCTGTTTGTGGAGGAATGCGAGAGGAGAGAGTCATCGTGAGAAGAATCGAGCTGGATATGATTGTTGGCGATAGTGAGTTGTTCTTTAAGATATTTGAACTCGGTACAGAGGTTTTCAAAAGTAGTTTCCGTTGTCCTCCACTCTATATTCAAGCATGAGCGATCCTTAAATCCTTTTAGTCCAGGGGTTGCTCTCATCTTGGCCAAATGCAAGTTGGTGTTGAAGAGTGGCGGAGAAACCTTTTGCTTGCTCTCCAAGTTTGTAACTTGCTTATCCAAAAACTCGCATCGAAGATTCAAAGAGGTCAGATGCTGCTCAAAGATATCCAAGTTCTCTAGTCGTGTTCCAAGGTTGTACAGCTCCGTATCCTTAGCGTTCATTTGCTGGTTCAAGTCTTTTAGTCTGTTCTGCAAGCTTTCATTTTGCGTCAAAACGGATTGAGATTCTCTATTCAGAGCTGACATCTCCTGCCAGTAACCAGAAGGCATCACTGGCATGATTTCCTTGTTGTTGGTTCTAAACTATTCCACTAACTGCTACGTCTCTTCAACAACACAAAAAGGTCTTATCAAGAGGTCTACAAATGATGCAGTCAAAAGATGCAGTCAAAGGTTTAGAAAAGTTTGTCGCCCGGGCATATTTACCTTTTCCCGCTTTGGGCACCGCGCGGAGACACTGTTGATAAAGAAACACTGCGCAGGACTAATAGCTGTGGAGCATATATTAATATTACATAGTAAAGAGGTTATAGGGTTTGTTTGCCTGCTTGCTGGCACGTCGACGGTGCACCGGATATCATAAGGTGAAGTCGTTTATCAACCGCAGCTGCTCTGCTATGTCTGATTGTACAGCCTTTTCCTTTTCTTGTATGCGTTCGTCTTTTGCCTGATCGCTTCTCAATTGGTGCGTCTCCAAACTACCAAGGCCCTTGGCGGGGGAGGATCTTTTATCGACTTCGCTATCGGACACGGCCTTGGTGTCAGTTTGAGTTTCGATCGATTTGATTATGTTGAAGATGTCATCCTCTGTGGTGTGCGTGTTCATCTTTTCAATCATGACTTTGGTGCTCTTTTCCAGTGCCCGCTGTTTTTTCTTTGAGAGGGGTTTTACTGTTTTCTTCTTTATTGAGCTGTTGCTGTCATTGCTAATCCGAGTTTTTGTTGCCTTTGTCGATTTTTTCGCTGCCATAATTTGTAGTATATTGCACTGGCTTCTGAAATCTACCTTTATGCCTTAAGTTCAAACTCCCTTTAGGACTCTTTAGGTTCTCTCTCCATAGTAAACTGTAAGTGAATTTTTCTGAATTTTTTTTGTCTCCGTCTCTTCTGGAAAAAAAAAAAAAATAAGAAATGAGAAAATTGAAGGATAATGAAAAAAAAATTTGACGCTTTTCAGCTGTTCAGCTGTTCAAAGATAATAAGACCTTTGTGAAGTAAAAAAGAAGAACATCTTAGGCTTCACTAATCAGCAGCACTGCCGACAAAGATAGAACAATGGTCTCTACGCACAAGAAGGAAAAACCTTGGGACACCCCAGATATTGACAAGTGGAAGATTGATGAGTTCAAGCCAGAAGATAACGCAAGTGGTTCTTCATTTCTTGAAGAATCATCTTTTGTGACGCTTTTCCCAAAATACAGAGAAGAATATCTTAAGCAGGTTTGGACGGAAGTGGTGAAGGCGCTCAAGAAGCACTGTATAGATGCAACTTTGAATTTGGTTGAGGGTTCGATGACTGTGAAGACAACGAGAAAAACTTTCGACCCGGTACAGATTTTGAATGCAAGAGATCTAATTAAGCTGTTGGCAAGATCCGTTCCATTTCCTCAAGCAGTCAAAATTCTTCAAGATGACATAGCCTGTGAAGTTATCAAGATTGATGGTTACACTAGAAATAAAGAAAGATTTGTGAAAAGAAGACAGAGGTTGATTGGTCCAAACGGTAACACTTTGAAGGCTTTAGAATTGTTGACCGACTGTTACATCTTAGTGCAGGGTAACACTGTTTCCATTATGGGGCCGCATCAGGGCTTGAAAACTCTGAGAAAGGTAGTTGAAGATTGCATGAAAAACATTCATCCTATTTACAACATCAAAGAGTTGATGATCAAAAAGGAATTAGCAAAAAGACCAGAGTTGGCAAATGAGAGCTGGGATAGATTTTTACCACAATTCAAAAAGAAGACTGTTGCTCGTAAGAAGCCTAAGCAAGTCAAGGATGCTGAAGCAAAGGGCAAGAAGGATAAGGTTTACACGCCATTTCCACCTCAACAAATGCCTCGTAAGGTGGATCTTCAAATTGAATCTGGTGAGTTCTTTTTGAGTAAGAAAGAAAAGAGGGTGAAGGAGTTGCAAGAGAAGAAAAAGAAACAAGAAGACATGAAAGAAGCCAGACAGGAAGAAAAATCCAAGGATTATGTTGCTCCTGATGAAGATGTAAGAGAAAACCCTCTCTTGAAAAAGCAAAAGAAGAGAAAGCATAGCGAAGACGAGGAGGATGAAGAAGCTGGCGATGAAAAGAAGGTAAAAAAGGAAAAGAAGGAGAAGAAGGAAAAGAAAGAAAAGAAGCATAAAAAAGACAAGAAGTCATCTCATAATGAGGAATGATGCAACACTCTTTATTCAACCTTGTATATTATACACTTATCTAATTACTACTCATACATAAATAAAACAAAAAAATTCAGAAAACTTCAGCTCATGGTGACCATCGTTTTGCATGTTCGATTGATATAATATTCTCTCCGATGACTGAAAGTGTACCATCATTATTTGTGTCCTGATCACTTTTGCTATCTTCTCCAATTGTGCCTTTCTCATCTACAAAGTTGCTATTGCTTTTTGGATTTTCTAAACTGTTTGCTGAGTCCGTTGACACCTCTGTCACGACTTGACTTAAAAACGTATTGTAATTGTCGTACAGGCTACCGTCCTTTTCCTGTGGCTGTGGTTCTGTTGGCGTCCTCGAATAATCTTCCCTTGTTTTCAAATATTTGTCCCTGAAAATTTGCAACATATGTGAAACACTGAACATGTGCTCCTCAAGCTCATCACTGTAGACAGATCGCAGTGTACTGCCATCAAACGGGATCTCGATTGTTGAGTCGAAGTTTTCCTTGTCACTATCGTTAACGTCTAAAGATTTCTTTTCACTTTTGCAAATTTTTCTTTCTTTCAAAAACAAGATAAGTAGTCCAATAGAGAAAAAGAGAAACCAAACCACAATAATTCCAATTGAAAAATAAAGTAATGTAAGACACTCAGACTTATAAAAACGTATTGCATCATGTAATAATGTTTTGGCTTTGGATTTAAACTTCTCTGCATCATCGTTCAAAGAACTACTAGCATTGGAAGACTCAATCTCCATCATCTTATTCATAATATGCTTCGGATTTAATTCAGGCATGCTAAATTTTGCGTTCTCCTCTAGCCATGTCATGGCTTTTTCAATCTTCTTCAATTTTGATTCGATAACGCATCCTACAATTTGCTCGATAGGTTGGTATAGTGGAGTGCCCTTGAACATAGATTCGAGTGCATTATTCATCTTTTCGTCAAACTCACTCACTGTGTCGTTGATAGTAGTTGCTGCTGTAATAACCCATGAAAACAAATTATCGTTGACACTGTTTTCATAGTCATTCATATAAAGATTAGTTTCATTTGTCCATTGATTCATCGAGCTGTTAAATTTGGCATAAACCTCTCTCTCCGTACTGTTAAAAATATGTTTGCTTGCATTGGTAATATCAATCCTGGATATTAATGCAAGCACGATGTACTGGCAAATAACAGAAACTACTCCCAAAATTCCAATTAATAAAAAAGGTAACAAGTACGGGGAAGCAGCATAGTTTATGACCCAACGTGTATTATTAACCGCAACGGGACTCTTAAGTCTAAGTATTTTTTGAGTGATAATATTGCCAATGAAGTTGGACTTTCGATCTTGTATAGACTTTATCACTTCAATATTGTATTTTTTTTTACTAGTTGTATTAATGTATGATTCGTTTGCGTAGTTTAAATGTTTGGAAGCTTCTTTAACTCTTCTCCAATCCTTCAACTCTATATAATATTCGTACAGTATCAGAAGCAACATAGCAAACAAAACTAGCCCCATAATTACGTGTGTGGTTGTTTTGGCTATCCGTATAAGCTCTGAGTATAACTTATGAATTTGATCGGTTCCTTCACTAAAATTTAGCACTGTCTTTTCTGGTACAAACATATCATCAGCATCAAAAGTTTGATTGAGGTGAGAAGAAACCTGACGTTTCAGCTCAGTGAATGGTTTGTCAATGATTTTCCTTGTGTAATATTGTACGTCTGTGAAATTCAATACATCGCCTTTCAAATTTTCTATCTTATCGTTAATACTTCCAGGTATCTCCCATTCTTTCATGGAAGCTATGGTTAAATTTATATGGCTCACATGTTGCTCAACGGAGCTTATATTTTTCTTTGATGATTTATCTCCAAAAAGGTGCTTCAACGCATCTCCCGTATCTTCTGCGGTGTCGACTAGCTCATTTAATGCGGTTGATAAATCCTGAAGTCCGTCATTTAAGTCAGTGGCAAATGAAACCAATGTTTCGTTTGCAACGGTGATTATGCTCTCTGTTGCATTTAAGGCAGAAATAACGGTGTCATCAATAGCAGCCGTAAGCAAACATGCGTATGTTCCGATGGACAGATCTATAACGAAATAAATTAAGTTTTCAGAAGCACTTATCATTAATTGCAATGTTTTCACTAAGCCCTTATTAGCAGCCTCAACAGATTTAGCAATCATAACATTAGAAACAAGAGCCATGTAATGTGGAAATGAAACTAGGTTAGTTGCATAACCTTCGAGTGTGGAGTGTAGCAGGAGGGTCTGCGTTTTTGCATTTTCCAATGTGTTGATCAATGAATTGAGGAAAAATAAGAGCTTTACTATAAATAAAAAAAGAACAAACGAATATGGATTTAATACAAGCTGTGTAACTTTTTCCTTGAAATTCAGATATGGACGCCTGTATGTAGAACTACCTATTGTTGATGGGTTAGTGAACACTTCGGTCATTGTGAATGTACCTTTGTTTGCTCTGAAAAGTCTAATAAGGTAAGGTTATGTGAGGCGGAAAAGGGAGATAAAAGCAAACACATACTATTAAAGGGATTTTTGCTCCGGAGTACTTGTTTGCAAGTATCTGGAGGCTTGGAAAACAGAGCTATGCCTCAAAAATTGTCCACTTCTCAAATCGTATGGTACAAAACGGTCTTGAAACAACCGCGTGTTTCATCTTCTCCGCGGTAAACACGGCAGTTTTTTTCCTCGGTGCTCGGAGTTCGGACTGAATCGAATTGTGGTTCATCTTACAACTAGAGTTACTTGCTGTAAATAAAGGGGCCAGAAAGTCTCAGGGTTTTGAAAAAACATCAAAGGCGACTGTTTTCAGTTAGCCCCCATCCGTACAGGTTCCAGCCTAAGGATGCAATAAGGTCACTATAAAGGAGTTTACATTTGTCGCCCCTGGACACACCAGCACCAATGACTGCTGGAAGAAAGTGCTCGTTGGTTGGATGGGCCCCCACATAGATCTTGTTCAATTCTGGAGTTTCAGGTATTTTGATGAGTTTTGGCAGTACTGCTGACGAATCTTCGTGTGTCAATATATCGGTCAACAAGTGGTTGAAAGGTGCGGCATATTCGTACGACTCGCCAGGTCCCGGGGACCTGAGATCTTTCAAGTTGTGTACAGAAGCGCCAGAGAGTACCACAAGACCGTTTTGGTCCCGGTACTTGCTGAGAGCCTGTCCAAGTCTAAAATGAGTTTCTATGTCTGAGTTTGCTGCCAAGGAGACCTGGATAACTGGGACGTCGACGTCAAGCTCCTCAGAGTCAGCAACTTCGGTGTCGGCAAAAGCGATTTTGAATGGCACAAAAACGCCGTGGTCAATGCCTCTTTCTCTAGTCTTTGCCTTGAAAAAGCCGGACTCTCCGATAGTTTTGACAATGTCGTCTGCCAGTGCCCTGTTTGTGACCGTATGGAACTGCGAGTCGTAAAACTTTTGTGGGAAGTTATAAAAATCGTATATGAGGGCATTTTCGTCTGGTCTTAGCTTACGTGACTTGGTGTCGTTTTTTGTGTAATTCTTCTCACCTGGACCTGGAATGGAGACTTCGATCGTGTTAGGTGCATCAGATTGCCAGTGGGCAGATACGACGATGATGTAGTCAGGTTTGAGTTCGTTTTTGATGTAGTTGCCAATCTGCCTTGTCTTGTTCCATGCGCCGACGTTGCTTCCAACCTTGTCGTGCTTATCGGCAAACGTAGGCCCACCGTGGGAAAGGAAAAATATGGGTTGTGGCTTGGATTTGTGGAACTCGAACTGCTCAGTTTGTGTCATGGTTGGTATAGGGTGGTTGCGCAAACAAGCAAACAACGGCAAATTTTCTTAGAGATTGCATATATCTGCCGCTATAGGAAATGAGCTCTATTTATACCTTCTACATGGCACCACTATTGGGAGAGTGCAGGTGGCAGCAGATGCCTCTCTTTCCCAACCCCGGAAAACACTAACTGAGGACTTTTCAGCGAGAAGCCACACTTCTGCGTCGATGAAGTTGTTTCCGCCCTTCCGAATTGTCTTATTATCTACAAGGTTTTCTTTGCGCAGTTCTATATTCTTCAGGTAGGTGTATACATTTTATCAAACAAGATAGCAGAAGGCTACAAGTCCTTGTTATTGGTGGTGCCCCATCTGTAGAGGTTCCAGCCCATGGAGCCGGACACGTCGCCGTAGATGAGCTTGCACTCGTCGCCTCGGGCGGCCCCAGCCGCCACCACAGCCGGCAACAAGTGTTCGTTGGTCGGATGGGCCGCCTTGTAAAGCTTGTCAAGTTCCGGGGTCCGCGGTATCTGCTTGAGCTCGTCAAGGATCTTAGAGGGGTCTTTGTTCGTGAGCACCTTCGTGAGGAGGTCGTTGAAGGGCTTCGCGTATGGCAACGGCTCGTTGTCCATCGCCATGGCGATGCCAATGTCCCGTAAGTTGTGTACAGACATCCCGGAAAAAAGAAGTAGGCCGTTGTAGTCTCTGTATCTGCTGAGTGCTTCGCCCAAATGGTAGTGAATCTCGATGTCTGGCGTTCCCGCCATAGAGACCTGGATCACCGGAACGTCGACGTCGAGCTTGTGAGAGTCTAGCACGTTGGTGTCGGCAAAGGCAACCTTCATCGGAACAAAGGCACCGTGGTCTAGTCCCCGCTCCTGCGTCTTGGCCTGAAACCAGTCGGACGCCTTCAATGTTTTCACAATGTCATTGGCAATAAACCTGTTCGGGATCGTGTGGAACTGCGACTCGTAGAACTTCTGCGGGAAGCCGTAGAAGTCGTAAATCAAAGCGTTTTCATCGGGTCGAAGCTTTTTGGACTGCACACCATTCTGCGTGTACCACGCCTCACCGATCCCCGGAAGGGAGACCTCGATCTCGTCCGGTACGTCTGTCTGCCAGTGTGCAGAGACAACGATGATGAAGTCCGGCTTGAGCTCCTTCTTGATGTACTCGCCGATCTCCTTCGTCTTGTTCCACGCCCCGAGATTGCTGCCAAGCTTGTCAGTCTTGTCGACAAACGTGGGGCCACCGTGGGACAGAAAGAAGAACGGCAGCGGCTTGGCGGATCTGTTGAAGACAAAGTGTTCAGACTCCGGCATGGTAAAGTTTTTCACGTGATCGGCTACTCGTGCTGAGGACTTACTGAGCGTGTTTAGGAACTTGTAAAAGAAGGACATGCAAACAACCGCGGCAGCAATGGCTATACTTGTAAAAGATATGTACATTGCTTTCCTCCGGGCCCCACACCTTCGTCGTGTGCTTGTCTGTCTCGAGGACCACATCTCCGTGGCCCTATATACTCGCAGGTTTCCCCGGCTGCTGCTGCAGGCCTATTAAATACGCATTCGTCAGCGATTGCGTAAGCCGGGTTCACGAGACTCCGCTTAGTAAGATGACAAATCTGGGGGTGTGGCTTACGTAAAAAGGTGTGTATTCGGTTTGCAGTACAAAAACAAGAGATAACATAACTTAAAGTGCTATATGCTGTAGATCGTGACATAGGAGAAGCTAAACTTGGTAGAGACAACTAAGTTTCCAGTACTAAGTGCTCAATTGCTCTTCTTCTCCCCTGTGCCGGCCTTCGGTGGAGCGGCAGCGTGCTTGCTGTCCAGGACGTGCTCGCAGGTGCACCAGTCCTTCTGCGGGTACTTCTCCATCACGTCCTTGATATCGTCTCCTTTCACAGGCTCGCCCGTCCACGAGACGCCCTGGCACAGGGGGCAGATGGCGGTGGTGCATGGTCCTTGTGTTTCACTCATGTTTGCTGTGTCTATTCGTTACCTGATAGTTCCTGGCTATCCTTCGTGCAATGGTTTGTGACAGTAAAATCCAGCCGGAGCCACCAGCTGATTCTGAGCAGAGCAGGGCAGATCAACATTGGCAGAGAGAGGAAATGCCGCCTTTATACGGCAGCGTGCCCTTCTTGCCCGTTGTCGGCGCCAGGAATACCCCATGTCACACTGACGTGATGCCCGGCTGCGGGCTGTGCGGGAATAGTGGGGGTGGGGAGAGACCGGGAAGGGCGATGGGCAGCGGCGGGGAGGAGGCGGGACAACTCCGAGCGTGTCGCTTATCTAACTTTGTCGGACAGCGACAGCGGGGGTGGGGGGCGAAAAAGGGGGTGGGATCTATGGGTGTCTTATTTATGAGTGGCTGATTAGAAACTCGTGTCTGCGAACAAACGTCTGCAGGAACAATGTGGATTACATAGGTGTGAAACGGTACGGAAAAACGCCGAAAGGCGAAATCGGGTAAAGAGGACAGGAGAAAAAGGTAGGAAGAGATAGAAAAATAACAGTGAAAGCGGTAAAGTAGAGGAGCTCAGATGATGGTGACAGACTAAGCTTTTTCGATGATTACATCGGCGTCGTCGTCTGCTTGCACCTCAAGCGTGATGTTGGGAATAGGCTCCTTTGTGGCCTCAGGCGCAGCAGGGGCCTTCTCGATGATTCTTTCGATCACTTTTTCAATGATAACCGGTTCCTGCTTGGCAGCGACAGGTTCAACAGCCTTCACTTCAGGAGCCGCCTGGGGCTCTGGAATGTACGTTGGACCGACAGTCTCGGTGATATCTCCCATACCCCAGAATGTCATCATGCAGAGGAAGCCGGTGACAATGGCAACCTCGAGGTCGACCTTGTTTTCGTCCACAACTAACTCGTAATCAAACTTACGTTGTCTCATCAATCTGACTTTTGCAATACGCTCCCTGGTTTCTTCTTCGTTACCGCCCGGATTGGTGACACGTTCTAGAAACTTAGAACCCCTGGTCCACACGTACTTGTATCCGTCATTCAAGTAAAAGGTTCTCAATCTACCGGATAACCCGTTCTCACGCTCCAAGACCCTGTGTTGCATTCCAAACTTGTTGTGGAAATCAAAAGACTTTAGGAAGAACCCAGCTCTGATGGTAGCAACCTCGTGTCTGTGGGGATATGTAAACATAGACCAGGTAGGCGTACTGGCAGACTCTCTCTCGATGGTGTAGAGCTTGTCACCCTTGTTGTCAAACACATTGACCTTGGTCTGTCTACTGCTGTTGTCTCTTCTTATATGCAAGGCCTTTGTTGGCTTGTCCAATGGAATAAAGTTTGCATCTGTGGAGTGCAAATCAATGATAGGCTTGACGTAAGCATGTTGGATGAAATACGTAGCGATGGTAGTTAACACACTCTGGACATAGATAGCAGGAGATTCAACAATTGGCATGTTTGAATCTTATTTTTTACGTCTTTTAAGAAACTTTGAGTTGCTTGATTGGAAGATTTTACTTCTTATTTATGGTTAGCAAAAAGTTTCGAGAATTTTAGTTATCAAGAACTACTAAGCCAATACTTAAAATTTCAAGGATGAAGCAGTAAGAAGAAAACAGAACCCTAAAAGGCTACAAAACTAGAAATCAATCTCAAAACAACTAAAAGGAGCATGCAGTGCCCTTCATGGGCCCAACATCCATCCCCGTTCTCTCTTTCTTGGTATCTTTAACAAGTAGGCCTGTCCACGACAGAAAATATTGTCGTGGATGTAGCGCATTTTCAAATCTAGAGTTTCCCTTTTGGGAAGGGGCAGATTCATCTTCATCAGTCACCTTCCTTTCAATTCTATATATTATACTTTGGACCCTTTATTCTATAGCATACTATTTATTAGCGTTATTTATGAAGAATATACATATACATACACATACATACGGGGGCTGATTTGTAACAATGTGATTAGAGGATGTTCCACGCATCCTCTGCACCGTGACACATTTTGCTGCAGGCCACAGATGCAGAGAGTGGGTATTCGGATAGACCAATCTTTTCGTCGATCATTTCGTCAGCAAAGTTATCTTTTCCCCTGGCCATTGCACCAACAAACACACAGAGACTTTCGTCGTCATCTAACTTGCTAATGTACTCTTGTGGTCTCACAACTTCCGAGTCAAAGGAAAGCGTCACCTTACGGCACTTGGTGGGAAGATGGTCGGTTATAGGGTTCTTGATGACCTTGAGTAATTTTTCTTCGGAATCGACAGATCTGATGGACAACTGATGCAGAAGCTGGACCATCAAACCAGAAAATCTTTTGAATGTTCTAGGGATACGCACAGATGGATTGATTTCGATCAACACGTTTTTCGATGTGAGAATGTAAACTTGCAGTTTTCCGGCCTTATTTATTGGAGAGTCCAAAAGAGTCAAAAGACACTGGTGGGTGATATCTGGTCTGGCTTCAGAGATATCACGACCCATCTTTCTGAGCAATCCTTGGTGGTCGTCACAGTTGAGTAGCACATACTTGTCGTGCCCAGGTCCACTGCTACTGCTCACTTTGTGCGTTTCAAGACATGCCTGTGTAAGAACCACTATAAGTCTCTTTGTGGTTTTATCTTTGGAACTTAGCGGCTTGGGCTGCACCGGAACAAGTGATGCCTTTGGAACTTCTCTTTTCACTCCGTGCTTTTTTGCATTCAATGCGTCTCTTTCTTTGGAATCGCTCACCATGGCTAGTTGCTGATGTCAATTTTCCGTTATTGGAGACTTAAGGGCAAAAGCAGCAAAGACCTGATCTTTAAGTGCTTTACTCCTCCGGAAACGGCACCCTGAAAAATTTTCTTAGTTTGTAATCTTCACCTTCATCTTGCAGCGAAACATGAATCTTTCCGCAGAAACCGCGAGCACGTGACAATATCTGCAATGTCCTATACGCGTTACAAAGCCATTCCAACGGCGAAGCACGTCAAACAAAGGGAACAAGTTTTCACTCTGTGTAGTCATAGAGGGAAATACAAAGAGATTAAGAAGGAATCCCAAGCCACCATGCCATTGGAAAATGATGACACCTTTGACGACGACGACGATTTCGACTTGGAGCAAGTCTACAACAATGCTCAGGCGACACAACCATCAGGACAGATCCAGACATATGGACCTAAGGATGATATATACCAGATGAAGGGAGAAAATGCAATTTTGAGAGGTCAGATCGAGAAGATTCACAAGGAGCAAACTGAAGCCCAGAAACGCCTCAAGGAAGATTTTGACAAAATGCTAAGAGATAAAGAATCCTACATCCAAGCGTTGAACGAGTCGCTATCGAAGATGAAATCGGAAAACGAGTTCTTGGTCTCTGAAAACAAAAATCTCTATCAGACCAACAGCAGGAAAAGGAAATTGAGATCGGTTGATTCCAACTCCACAGCATTGTCGCAACATGAAACTTCTACGCAGAATACTTCCCACATGTCTGCATCAACGCAAAACACTACCCCAGCTATGAATGAAGAAAATAACAGCAGATCTGAGGTGGAAAGAATCTCAGAGAAAAAATCACATACCGATATCAAGGTTGTCGTTGTGAATCAAGCCACTTTTTTTCAAGATGAAAAAACTTTGTTCATAGAGGCAGTGACAAATTATGTTATTTCAGGAATGCCAAGACCTACGTTGAATTACCTTGAGAATATTTCGTCTACATTCGATTACACGTCAAATGATTTTCAGATTTTGGCAAATGAAAACAGTTTTAAGTCAGCAATATTGAGGTACTTAATCAACTTCCAGGATAAAAACCGAATAGATTATTTACTCATCAACTTCATAGAGATATTACTAGAATATGTTATCCAGACGTTTGAGCTTGACGAATCCCAATTGCTACCTATTCCTTTCTTATTGTCTTTAATCAATTTTGCTTTGAATTATCGACCGAAAGCCATTAATGAAAAATTCATTGGCGAAACTACAGATAAAATTGTTTCAATGCTATGGCATTTTCAAGGAATTTTCAAGCCCGAATTTGATTATTTGTCTTTACCAGGATCAAACCATATGATGAACTTTGTTACTATGCAAGATAAAGAGAACAGTGGACTGATGGACTATAGTTTTGTCGAAAAAACAATGCATGTTAAAATTTTGGAGGTGTTTACTGCAATTTTTTTAATGGATCTTCTAAGTACACTAAGCAAAGTTGCGTCTTTTCACGTTTTTACATTTACCAACTCAAGTGCAAATTCTACGTTTTGGAAAAAAGTTCCTCAACAGAATATGGTCAATAGCTTTTTATCAAGAAAAACTCCAATTCATTTTATATACAGCACTGTTGAAATTTTGCTAAATTCGATCCATGACGACGACAGATTTGCCTTTGGCAATACTAGGCGAAATTCAATCACTAAACCGACAACGGCTAACGAGATCACCATCCAGATATTGGAGCAGATTATGCAATTTTTGACAACTATTTCGCCTTCTCAAATTCACTTTAATGTGTTTGGGTTGAACCATTTGATAGGGAGCAATCACCATCTAGAATTACTAGAAATGGTCTCAATACCCTCGAATAAACTATCATCATATCCTCAAACACACTCTTTCGATCAATATGAGGAGATACTTAGAACAAAGTTTGAATACTTTCAGAAGCAAGAGCATTACATTTTGAGTACAAAGATGCTAATAATGGATTTGTTTGAGTCTTTTTACTCTGCTTTGATCATGATAACATTGCCGCTTAACACTAACTCGAAACTTACTAGAATTTTGTGCCAGATGATTGGAGAGGAACAGGAGATGATCATTAGATCACCACGTTCATCGAACAACAATTTAAGAATCGATTTAATATCCAAGTCGGTGAAAATCTTACATCATTTAATCGCACAGGAGAGCAGTGTCAAGATTAATGAGTTATCGAATTTGACGTTACGTGAGATGATAATCGTATTGCTCAGAATTTCTTCCAAAAGCATGAAAAATGAGTCGATCGATTTTGTGACCAAATTGAGACACGCCAACTATAACGGAGTTTTATTCAACGGCGTACAAGAAAAGAACGAGCTAGACAAGTATGGACTGTGGAACTCCATTCTTTCGCTCACTAAGTTGCCTCCAAAGGAACAGAAGAGAGTAACTGAAAATCGTATACAGATTGAAATCGATTTGTACAATGGGATAGAATTTGGTTATTCAGATGAAACTATAGATTTAGCTAGAGATATAGTCGGCATGTGTGTTACAGGCGATGAGGCAGATCGATTGCACGATAGTATCAATTATGTAAATGATGAAGACGAAGACTACGAAATGGCGGAATTAGGCGACTTCGAGGGAAGTGCCTAGGTAGATATTATCATGGAAGTTTGATATAATATACCACAAAAGCAGATTTGCAAATTTTTTTAAAGTTATATCTAAAAGTACTATACGATTTTAATTAATAATAAACTTTGAAAAAAATTAGTTTTCAGATTGGAAACCGTTCTTGAACTTTCTGGAAACGTATTTCAAGTGGGTCATTCTACCGGAACCGGTAGTTCTTCTTCTCTTAGCCTTAGCAGCCCAGTTGAACTTTCTCATCTTGGCAGCTGGGTAACCACAAGAAGCACAGGTCTTCTTTTGGTTGTGAAAGGATCTCTTACCACATCTCTTGCACAAAGTGTGGGATTTGACGTGTTTCTTACCTAAAGATGGAGTACCCTCTGTAATAAATTAGAAATAAATGGAAATGGTTGGAAATAAAAAATTTGCGTTAGTATCTTCATCAAGTCAATCATATATAGAGAATGCGCTTATAAGTACGGTACAGTATGTGAAACTGTCAGACATGGAAATCAACTGTGATCTGTCGTGAAGCCCTTAATTCGTCCTCTTATCCTTGACTATGCCAGTGGTTATTTGTGCAACGTGTAGCCAAAATCGGTGAAATCCTTGCTCAAGCTGTCATATTATACCCAAATGGCTATATCTTTCTGCAATTTCAACACTGTTCACATCTTCTATTGACAAATAGTTTCAAGCAGCTAAGCTGTTGCAGCTTTCTCCGTTGGACCTTGCACTTCTCTTGTCCACATTTTCTAGTGTCGACTATTTTTTCTTCATTTCTTTATTTGCATGTCTTCACTTTCCGTACTATTGCGATATTCTCTCTTGCATGTCAGCGGCTCCAGTGAATGTTGTACATACTACTCATGTTGTCTGTGTATTGTTACTTGTTATACGAAGTGATGTATTTTAGTGTATGATAACCCGTCAACAACTATTCCAGATAAACAGAAATGTAGGTATATCAAATTTCCACTCCTCCCTCTCTCTCGCCTTCCCCCTCGCTTGTTCTCAATTTTTGCTGATGGAGCGGAGCGAGGTGTCCTTGCCCCGGCTCTCCCTTTGCACCAGAAAACTGTGCTGGTGGGACTGCGCGCAAATTTTTTTTGTTGTAAGCCTAACCCTGAGCAAAAGCACGTGCCATAAAAGAGGGCTATATTTTTTCTGTTTTGGGTCGATAGGCGTAAATTCTAAGAAAACACGCCGGTAGCCCACGGTACGCACTGAAGTGTTGGAAACAGCGGCGTGCCGAGAGATTTCACTATACAAGCAGTCCAAGTTGCTATTGGAGTCGAGAGTGGTTTTCTCCCTTTCCCCGGGTCAGTATTCGGAAAACCTGGAGGGTGGACTGTCCATTACGGAAGTATACCGACTACATCACTTATGATTTTAATCCTTCCTTAAAACCGTAACTACTTGTATAGTCCGGAACCGCCAGCTGCGTAGAAATAATACGAACACAGTGAAAAAGGTTGGAAATGAATGTGTGGTATCTGAAATTTTCGTAAACCAGTTGAACTACACGTGACGCGACGCGTTTATGGACTACTGTTAGGTACAACACAGCCTACCAGTGTAGCCTAGTCTTTTGAGATGTCACACTCACAAGAACCAAGTATATGCCAGATGATTAGTACAAAGAGATTCGGCTAGGCAACATCCAGGAATGAATTGGCAATAGCTTCTGCTTAGCAACCTCGATGGCTGGAAAGAACAGGAAAGCTAGTGCAGAAACACGGACGCGGTCGCTTTTGGCGTTTTCTTTTTTTCTTGTTTACGTTTGGTACACTTTAGAAATTTTATTGTTTGCGAGTAGGCAGACTGCGTTAGACGTGTTTGGAGTCATGGTGAACTATTCTGGTTACGAGCTTTGATGCTCTTGTTGGTTTCTATATGTTGTTTTGTCTAAGCAATTTGTTTACGACATTCAAATCTTCTGTGTAGAATTGTTAATGAAAGATACAACGAGCCACAGACTCGGAAACAACTGAATGAATATCAACAGCCAATTCCCACCTTCGTCACCGTTGCTCCATAGTGAGAACGAGCTGGACAACATTCCCTTCAAGGACGGGTTTGAATCGCTATCCAAAGCAAAACCATACAAGAATGAACAGAGGGAAAAGGACAGATACGATGCTTATCTGACGCCTGACCCGTCCTCATCATTGGGGGATGTTACCATCACCAGTGACCACTCAGAAGCCGACGAATCGATGGTGAAGATCACTGCCGACTCGTCACCTTCTAAAATATCTAGAGTTGCACCAGAGGCGGGCTTCTTGCAGGAGTCCAAGAGAGCTAAGCCTGATGGAATGTCCGGGATCGACGTGTTGCAACCATTGAGCACGAAAAATTTCCAAAACGTCATGTACATTCCTTTGAATGGAGATGTTTTCAAGATTGGTAGATCTGGACTCTCCTGTAGCTTCAAATTGAACTCTAGTAACAAGCTGATTTCCCGGGTACACGCAGAGGTTCAATTCGACACGGAGACGCAAATGATAGTGCTTAAGTGTCTTGGGTTCAATGGACTGAACATCACCATTCCAAAACTGATAGGCGTCGAACACATCAAAGACAAAGAGTTCTTGATTACAGTCAACAAAGATGACTCTGAAGAGGAAAACGATAATGTCAACGAGGCCACCTCCTCCGAATCCCGGATTCTCACGAGATCTTCCGCTTTCACAAACTTCTACATGCTCAAGGACGAGACCATCAGAATGCCTCTTATTGAGGGAACTGTTCTTGACTTCAGAGGCGACTTGGCGTTGCTGGTGTACAAGAAGGATCCTCTTAATCTTGTTTCCAAGACTTCCACAGGCCCAAGTAGCGCTCCGGTTGATGAGCCCAACAAAAGGAAGCTTTCCACCGGAGACTTGCTTAAGATTGTCGAGGAGAAGAAACTTCAGTTTTCGACACATCCTACTCTTGCAGAGCTGAAGGAGAAGAAAGATCTGTCTTCTTCGTCGTCGGGAGCAAGACCAATTATGAGAAAGAACTTGGCAAATACCATCATCTACAAACGCGCAAGTCCAGCCCCATGCGAGAAGCGGCCTGCTGATGAAGCTGCAGCCAAGAAGGCCAGTGAGAGTCCGAAGGCTGATGCTGTTTCTCCTGTCATGTCCGAGCCTGCAAAGACAGTGAAAAAGCCTCTTGCAGACATCACCAACAAAAACAAGAGTACTGCTGCTGCTGCCTCTTCCACTGAGAAGAAGAAACCTGTCAGTGTTGTCAGCAGTAGCCCTGTCCACCGAGCTGCTGTCTCCCAGGAGAGCGTGCCACCGCTATTACCAGCATCAGACACGCCTGCTGTGGAGAAACCAATCTTTAGGGAAGAACGCAGCAAGACGCCAGAGCCAAAGGGCGCAGAGCTACCTGCCGAGGAGCAGAAGAAACGAGGCCGGGCGAAGAAGACGAAGCAGAGCGAGGAGGACATCCTTAGATCGATGCCGCAGGCAGAGGTAGACGCCGTGCTTTCGACGGTGCCGGAGCTTGCCAACATCTCGAACCTGGTGACAAACCACATCGCCTACTCGCGGATCTTACAGACGCCCTTCAGTTCCATCTGCGAGCTGAATTCCATCAAGAAACACAACCTCACGAAGCTGCAGCTCAGGTGCATTCTCATCCACTCTGTGGCCTGCATCGGCGTCATCTTCAGACAGGGGAAGGATGCTGCCGGCAAGCCCTTGGACGAGGAGTACTACTATATGCCGGAGAAGGACTCCGACATCCATCGTGTGCAACTCGTGGAGGAATTGAAGGGATCCTCCTCGCACTTGAGAAGCTGCAGAAAGACCCACAAACAGTACTTCTGGAAGAAACCGAAGCTGTAGTGGTGTATATTTAAATATATATATGTATGTAATAGCTAAAGTAAGTATATGTCAACAAAACCACCATGCGCCTCACGTGACCGCTCCACTTTTCCCCGCCACGCCGGCTCCGGAGCAGCAGTGTCGCATCACGTGCCGCCGCGCACATCTGGCAACGCATTGCGGGCCTCCCCGCTCCCTTCACCGGTATGGGCCCCGGGGGGGGGGGGGAGGGGGTGTGCCCGTGGTTCTTCCCTTTGCCAAAAGGGCCATCGGGTCCGCCAGAGAGACACTCCGCTGTTTGGCAACGTGGACAAAACGTGCCGCCCTTACCCCCGAGGACGGCAAAGAGCTAGACCAGGGCGCCAAGAGCACATGCTTACCGTTTTCACATGTGTGGTGCCTGCCGGTACGAGCAGCGCATGTGCCAGCGCAGCGCGCTGTACGAGCGGACGAGAGAGCACATGCAGCGGCGGCAGCGAGACGAGAGCCCCAAGCCTGTTCCGGTGCTCGTTCTCCCTGGGGGCTGTTGCATCTGAAAATTTTTTTTGGCTCCGATGTATAAAGACGGACCCATTTCCCGCATCTTGCAGACGGGCCTGTATGGTTGCGGGTGTCATAGCAGGTACCGCCCTTTCTTCTGCTGCAGTCTAGGTTTTCTTCCCCGACAGACGACCTTTGTACAAGCAAAAGCGCCTACAACCACACCCAAATAAACCACACAATGTCTGAAACTTTCCTTTTTACGTATGTACCAGGAAGGACGGAAGAACAGAAGAATTGAAGAAGGAGACGAAGGTGAAACACGACGATGAGAAGAGAGTACTAACATGATCGACCCCCCGCGCCCCACTATATACCATAGTTCTGAATCCGTTGGTGAAGGCCACCCAGATAAGATCTGTGACCAAGTCTCGGACGCCATCTTAGACGCATGTTTGGCCGGCGATCCATTGTCTAAGGTTGGTTGTGAAACCGCATCCAAGACCGGTATGATCATGGTTTTCGGTGAAATCACCACCAAGGCCAACGTTGACTTCCAGAAGGTCATCAGAGACACCATCAAGCACATTGGTTACGACGACTCTGAAAAGGGTTTTGACTACAAGACCTGTAACGTTTTGGTTGCCATTGAACAACAATCCCCAGACATCGCCCAAGGTTTGCACTACGAAAAGGCCTTGGAGGAATTGGGTGCCGGTGACCAGGGTATCATGTTTGGTTACGCCACCGACGAAACTGACGAGAAGTTGCCATTGACTCTTTTGCTTGCGCACAAGTTGAACGGCGCCATGGCTGACGCCAGAAGAAGCGGCTCTTTGCCATGGTTGAGACCTGACACCAAGACCCAGGTCACCATTGAATACAAGAAGGAAGGTGGTGCTGTTGTCCCACTGAGAGTTGACACCATTGTCATCTCCGCCCAGCACTCCGACGACATCTCCACTGCCGACATCAGAACCGAGTTGACCAAGCACATCATCAAGAAGGTCATCCCAGAACATTTGTTGGACGACAAGACTATTTACCACATCCAACCTTCCGGCAGATTCGTCATTGGTGGTCCACAAGGTGATGCTGGTTTGACCGGTAGAAAGATCATTGTTGACACCTACGGTGGTTGGGGTGCTCACGGTGGTGGTGCCTTCTCAGGTAAGGACTTCTCGAAGGTTGACAGATCTGCTGCTTACGCTGCAAGATGGGTTGCCAAGTCCTTAGTCAACGCAGGTTTGTGCAGAAGATGTTTGGTCCAATTCTCCTACGCTATTGGTGTTGCTGAGCCATTGTCCATCTACGTCGATACCTACGGTACCTCTGACAAGACCTCCGAAGAATTGGTTGCTATTGTCAGAAACAACTTCGACTTGAGACCAGGTTGTTTGGTCAGAGAATTAGACTTGGCAAGACCAATCTATTTCAAGACCGCTTCCTACGGTCACTTCACTAACCAAGAAAACACTTGGGAACAACCAAAGAAATTAAAGTACTAAGTTAATCCAATTCACTTCTAGAATAGATCTTTTCTACCCATTTTGTCATTCGAATTAAGATAAAGCAATGAATGGAAGACAAGAAACAAACATAACAACTTACCCAACGTTCTTCTCTTTAAAAATAATCAAATCCAATTCCACGCTCAACTCGTCGAATTAAAAAACTAATATTAGTCAACGAATTCTAATGTATTCATCTTTTTTCCTTACACGCTGTTTATCATTTTTTCCTTTCTCCGAAACTTTATTTATAGTTCCACTCTTTTTTTCCCAACACTCCCATCAATTTTGTGTATAATCCCTTTCCCCATTTATATATTTGAGATTCAATGATGGATTGAGTCATCAACTGGCATCTTTCTGTTAAAAATATAGACTTAAACTGAAAAATAAAACCTTCCGACTAGAGCGATCTTTTTAAAAGTACGCGTTATTTTTTTTTTTCACGGACTGTTGAAAAAGACACACTCAAGCCTCTGCTTGTCGACTCGACCAAACTTTCGCTGTCACGCTAAGTAGAGCGATAGAGGGACAATTGAGGTGCTGGAACTCCAGAAAGAGAATTAAGGATAGGATGGATAATAAACAAAACCAATTTACCATTAACAACAACTATCGATCCAAGAGCGTGACTCGGATTAGCGAATTGCCGGATTATCCTGTCGATGAGACGATCGTGGGCTTATTGCTAGGGGTTTCGAGAAACAGGCCTCCCTCGAAGGCTATGAACTATCCATACACGTTACACATGACCGACTTCAGCGACTCGAGATTTAAGTTTCCCCAGTACTTCGATGGGAGAGACTTCAAGAAGAAGGAGTTGCAACACAAGACGTTTGATGTTGTTACGTTTCCAGCAGTGTTTGACACCATCAGCAAGGACGTGAGGGATATAGTTGATTTGCACGGGAAGGTGCGATATTACAAGTTTCAGAATGGAAGGCCGTACTACGAGGACGAGTGGAACCAGGAGGACCTCGATGTGTTATACCTGAAGCTTGGGATTGAGAACAAGCTGGCGGGGAAGGAACTCGGGATCGACTACTGGTTGTTGGACAAGTTCCAAATATGGATTAAGGTGAGGATCCGCGGCAAGCGGTACAAGGAGCAGATGGAACTGGTGTGCATGAACAACTTCTATGTCATTCCGGAGCTCATTTTGCAGCGGGAGCTGCGTTCGTACGGCCAGCAGTGGGTGTGGGAGGAGTTTGTGCGCGTGTACAACCACAAGGACTTGCTTGACGAGGACTTTTCTGACAGTGATGTGGAGACGCCGAGTACGGCTGGCGAGACGCCGCGGGGGGAGAAGCGTCGGAAACTGGCTCTGGCTGAGGAGAGACCGCAGCAGAGGGAGAAGGACACGGCTCGACGGTTTGACGACATCCAGTACACGCTTGTCAGCGAGCTTGCCGACGACAACGTGTGGGCAGAGCGTGCGTCCGTGCAGTACGCGCCGCAGTACATTCTTGTGCGGCGCGTGCGCATCTGGAAGAAGCTCGACAGCTACGTGTACATGCACCGGCGGGCGCTGGGCGTGAAGCGGGCCAAGTTTGTCGTTGCCGACGAGCGGGGGCACGAGCTCGTGCTGACCATCCGGGAAAACTGCCTCACGGGCTTCCTCGGGCTCAGCATTGGCGACTTCAAGTTCTTCGAGGACCTCAACGAGGCCATCAAGACCCGCGTCGAGCAGTGGGAGGGCTCCTCCGGCAGCGCCGATGCATACCACGGCATGGTGGTCTCGCGTGCCCGGATTGCGCCCGGCGTGCACAAGTGGTGCTGGGAGTACACCACCGCCGAGCCTGTGCCGGCACATCAGCACCACACGCCGTCCAGGCCCGAGTTGCCCTGATTGCCCTGGCGGCATGCCCAGCTGTCGGCCTGCCACGCGGCGTGCTCAGCCGTTGTCCACAGCCGCACGTGGTGAAGATCCACAGATAACTCAAACCCCCCGTTTGATTGTTGCCCCCTTTCCCCTTTTCCCTCTGCCTCCCCCGCGACGTGTCTGCACCTTTGCTTCTATCTCTGGCTCTATCGGTGGCGTTCTCCCTCTCTTGGTCCGCGCTCTGCACACCCCACCCACCTACTGGAGTGGCCAATCGGCAAGGGTGGCCCCGCTCAGGCGGTCTAGACCGCCGTGGCCCCTCGCCCCGCTGCCCTGAGTTACGTCACCACAGGCCGGCGCGCACGCCGGGACGCGGCAGAGGAAGAAGAAACGAGGGGACGGCGGTGGCGGGCCCGCCCACGCAGCCGCGGGTGCTGCGGCGGTGTTGTTGTTGATGACGGGGATGGTGTTGATGGCTGGCGCCGAACGCTGCTGGTGGCGGTGGGAAACACGGTTGTCCGAAGGCTGGTGACCCGCTATCGAGGCCTCTCTTTTCCTTTGCCAGTCTTTCGTAGGCCCTCCATTCCGCGAGGTGTGCGTGCATTCGTGTTGTCCCGTCCTGCGTTGCCTGTTTGCTCTTTCGAGATAGCCATTCGCCGTCGCCAACCGATCCGAGCACCTTCCTTTTGTGTCGCCTAGCAGGTCTGTCTCTGGAAAGAGCCTCTGTTTTGATATACACGCACACCACACACGCAATTTATACACATTATATGCTGCAATCGCCTCGCTAGATACACTTACCGATCCGATTTGCATTTTTACTAGTCAACAACAGCCATCCGCCACCGGCTCTCTTTGTCAGTATCGTTTTATCCCCCTCCCCGCTCCTGGCCCTTTCTTTACTATACCGAACCACATCCGATCAGAGCGTTCACCCTACAACCTCCCGACTTTGCTACAACTGCCCTTTCCCCAGCCCCCAAATAGAACGACACTCTCCTCGGGCAAATCTACACAAGAAGATAGCCACGACTTTGCTTCTGTTCAGATCAGAACACAATAATAACTACAAAGGAATAGAAATAGAACCAAACAGCCTTCCCCAAAAAAATCGAATTACCAACTGACAAAACCACACCGTATTTCAGTTCAGTGCTATCATTTCTCACGAAAAGTTAATTATAGATTTTGTTAATAGAACCATACACTGACGACTTCTGTCTCTTGAGTCTTCATTCCCCACACTTATCCAACTCTTTACTCAACGCCGAGCGTTTCCAGCACTTCATCAGATCGCTTCCAGTCATTTATAAAATTTTATACACTATAGAAAACAGCAAGGGCCTCATCATGTCTTACAACCAAAGAAACTTGAAATTCAACGGTGCGGCGAACTTTGCATTCGACTCAAGAAACACGTTTGGACAACAACAACAACAGCAACTCCAGCAACAGCAATTGCAACAACAACAGGTTCAGCATCAGCAGCAGCAGCAATTGCAGCAACAACAGCAATTCTTGCAGTTCCAAATCCAGCAGCAGCAGCAGCAGCAATTGCAGCAGAGAAGCTACCTACAAGCGCCACAGCAATTCCCATACCAAAACCCAATTCAGGATTTGAGCGATCACCAGCTTTTGCTGAATGCCACTGGTAACAATGCAAGCAACATCGAAAGTAACAGTTCCTCGGATAAGGAATTTTACCTGAACCCCCACCTCACCTTCACGACAGCTGGTCATGACGAACCTTTCATCTCCCCACATTCTTCTATTAGCTCGGTTAGCAAAGATTCTCTGCTTTCCAATAACACTTTACAACACACTCGATCGCTAAACCAGAATCAATATAATTCGAACTTCACCCTCCCTCTGGAGCTCCAAGGTGGCGTTAACAACATCTTCAACAGAAGACCCAGCTATGCCGCAGACTTGCATAGTAATACTTCTGCCGAGGACAATTCTACCAATAGCATGAAGCTTTTTCCTCTACAGTACAATCATTTGAACAATCAGAGGAATGAAATGTACGACTTGAGAAATAACAGCAAAAATGTTGATTCCTCTCCGTTGTCCACATTCAACCCTCCTCCCCGTTTACCGAATTCTAGTTCGAATTCGAATTCGAACTCGAACTCAGCCCCGAACTCAAATCCGAACTCTAGAAGCAACTCAGAATTTGACTCAACATACATCTCCTTGGATGATGGGCTTTTGTTGAACAAGGCAACAAACACCATCGTCATATCTCCTGAGTTAAAGTGCCAGTTCGATCAGTGCTCAGTGTATTTTGGAGATTTCAATACTGCAACTCAAGTCATAAATCAATTAGACAACCTTCTAGGGTTGTCAAACAGTAGAGAATCACCAGATGATCCAGCTTCGACTGCTCAGCTAGGTATAATCAGGCAGAGGATTGACAAGCTTTTAGAGTTTTTGCTGAAACAAAATGAAGACTTGAAATCCCCCAATCACCTCAACAATAAAAACTATTCTCTGATCTTGAACAAAAATGGTAGACTTGATATAATATCATTTCCCAAAAATTCCAACTTGCAGCTTATGCCAAAGGATTTGATCATAATCGAAGGCGATAGGGGAAAAGATCTTGTTATGGTTCTAAAACCTGTGATTGAGTTCAAGTTTGCCCTATTTTTCAACTACTTGAAGAAGAAGCTACATTTGAAGAGTTTAGAATTTGGGAACAATTCGAATAATCGAAGCCAGCCTGGCTCCGCTTCCTCTTCCTCAGCACCTCCTTCACGTCATTCGAATCATAATAACAACAGTCATAACAACAACAGTCATAACAACAACAGTCATAGCAATGGTAATAACTCCCATCAAAAATCAATTATTAATGAAGACGAGAATTTTATCACCCTTCCAAACAAGCAGATTTTGAGATTTGCCAAACCCCATGAATTGAATCAACTCATTTTAAAGTACAATGATGAAACAATGGCTTATAAAATTTGTCTAAATTACTCTGCTTCGTTGAATTTGGATTTGATTATTAAAAACGTGGAATTCCAGTTTGATAAGAAGAAGTTGATTATTTATTACTATTGCTTACAACGTTTAGACTTTAGGGGTTTGATTAAAGAATTGTTTAAGATTTACAAAACCAGAATTTGGTTATGTGCGATTCTGCCTCTTGAAAAAACTTTCAAACCTTTATTAGATTATGAGCTTGAGAAAATAGACATGAAACTTGGGAACTCCAATGGTTCCGCTCACCAGAACTCGTTAAATGGTAACTTCAATAGAGACAATCACGATAAGCAACTTTATAGGTCTAACGCTAACGTCGTTCATGATAAATTTCCTTCGTCAGATCAAATTTACCAATTCAGTGAAATAGACGAACCCATTTTTTTCCACTGTAAGATCTTTTCAAATCTGATCAACATGTTCCAGTTCGAAGTATCTAACTATGAGGTTTTCAAGGATAGATACTGGTTTTTGGATGAGCAACAGATTCAGTAAGCAAGAATTACAACTTTTCTACCTTCTCCCATCTCTCATCGTTTTGCAATTTATCAGCTTTATTAGTTTACTCTTTTCTGATCCACAATTATTAATGGGCTCTTTTTTTATTACGGAAAATATCATCCACTGCTTGGAATTTTTAGACCTTTAGCTCTCAAACTGTTTTTACTATCTCAATTATTTTTTACTTTAGTTTACAAGAATTGCTATTTAAAATTAGCTTTGCGTTTTTCCTACTTACTTTTCTCTCCCTTTTCTTCTCTTTCACTCAGATATACTGTGACTTGTCAGTTACTCGACATTTGTTGTCCATCTATAGATAGAAGATGGTTATACATATAAAACCTAGAACCCGAATGAATAGATTTATAAACTAAGTACTTTGTCGACCCTTTTTCGCTTACCATTAACTTCTCATTAGCAACTGACATCTGTGCCTCTGCGGTGGACTATTCGCTTACTCCATTGTCTTTACTTGACTTGATAATGTAAGGTGCACACCAGGGATTCTCCTGTATTTCATCAATAGTGGCACGTTTATTTCTCTTGGCTAGCAACTGTTTTACAATCTGTTTCGCCGACCCATATTCTTCACTCAGTTTGAAATCTTTCATAACATACCATTCCCATAATATCATCGCTATTCTATGTGCAGGTTTAGACTTTCTTTTCAATCTGTTTTCACGCTCATTTGGCAATGGATCAAAAGGCAATCTGCTTTCGAGCATTGTGTATAGCACAACCCCAAGTGACCAGCAATCGTTTTGTTTACCGTCATAAGGCATTCCGAGTAGCAACTCAGGAGAGACGTAATCTTCAGACCCACATCGTGTGGTTAACATTGGATTTAAAGGATCGATCTTCTTGCTTAAGCCAAAGTCTGAGAGAACTGCAATTGGATTATGCTTTACTGCCAAGGCGGTTCCATAATTCAATATTTCTAACTGAGAGTGTTTCAACAAAATGTTCTCGAGTTTGATGTCTCGATGACAGACATCCATTTTGTGCATGTATGAAATGGCAGACACTATGTTGGCAAAGATACATCTGATTAACTCAGACGATACTTCGGATCTATAGTCCAAAATAAAACTATATAAATCTCCACCTTTGCAATACTCGATCGCCATTGTAATCTTCTCCATTGGAGTACTCCGATCTGTGTCGTAATCTGTTCCGATAAGTTTAATTATATTGGGGTGGTCCAGCACTCTTAATATTTCCAGCTCCCTAGTCAAGGAGTTTTGAATCCGTAATCGTAGCTCGTTCGACTGGGTGCCATCATTGCTACATCTTATGTCTGTGACTTTGATTGCAGTTTTGCCGTCATCCGCCAGATACACCTTACTGAAAGATCCTTTGCCGATTTCAGTGGAAAGCTTCCAATATTGAGGTCGTACTGGTTCGTCAATACTGTGCAACTGAATCAGGCAATTGGTGGAGAAATTAGGATCTACTGTTGATTTTGGTAAAGGCTCAGTTTGCGGTACTTTAGGATTTATATTCTTGGATTTTCTTTCAGCTTTATCCGCAGAATGATGGGCAAAACTATCATGAAAGGGTAAAGAAACAACTCTATCTACCGGTCTAATTTTGGGCAGTAAAGAGGCCCTCTCGGGACTATATGATGATCGCTGCCTGGTGATATCCTCGAATGTGTTCACTATTGGTGGGGATGTTTCACTTGAAGGAATTCTTTGCTTTACCCTGAACTCAGAGAAGTATCTCTCGTTATTCGATATGTTCTTGTCTGCTAGGACTTTTTTTGTCTCCATGTTTTTTTGACGGGCTTTAGGTATGCGTAAACAGGAAGGAGAGCCATTCTCCACATCTACGCTTGAACTGCCGTCGGTATTACAGTCGTCGTAACCAACACCACCCATCCTTACATCAACATTGTCACTAGTGGCACTAGTATCATCGTAATCAGCGTCATGGGGTGACTCGCTTATGGGAAACACATGCTCGTTTGAGAATGTCGGGCTGGCCAACGAATATTTACGTATTTTGGCTCGGGAATTGTTAAACACCAACGGTGTGGGCAAGTTCTGGATCTCGCCGTATCTTTTCTCACTGGTGCTGTTCCCATCAAACGTCATTTGCGTCTGCATTGGAGGCGTTGTGTAATCGTGTAGCCCGGGGCTCTTGAGAGAGGGCGGTGCATCAGCCATGTCCGTGTCGATATTTGCCGTGTGATCTCTGCTCGAGGGTTTCCGGCTGCTGACGTTGTTGGACGTTGGAAAGCCAATACCATTGTGAGAGTGATTCATACTGCGGATGATTCCTGGCTTTATCTTCTTTTGCTTTCTTTTGTTGTGCAAACTTGCTGCTTTTTCCCTTCTTTATCTGCCAACAGTTGTCAGTTTTTCCCTTAATGCTGGATGTCTCTTCGGTAAAATCTCTCTTCACCCGAACCGCTGACAACAGGAGCTTCTACCGACCTTACGTACACGTAGCAGGTCCTCCTACCCTCTTCTTCTCCTGCAATCGCAGACAGCTAGAGCCAAGATCCGTCTATCGGCATTGTATTTACTATTTACATGCCTAGCCGCCGTAGTTGGGCCCAAAAACATGCTGCTTACGTCAGCACCGGGAAAGAGACGTTGCGGTCTGCCTGTTTCGTGCACCGGGAAGGAGAAACAGTTTGTGCATGAAGGAAGGTAAAGAAGATGAAGCCGGGAGCCGAACGCAGGTGGAAGGAGAAGAGATGGGAAGGCAGAGGGCACGATCACGCCGAAGCAACGGTCACAGAGAAGCGGAAGGTTGAGGAAAATGACTTCTGTGGAAAATACCCGTGCAGCCATGGTCGGGGATTCGTCGTTGACGTTGCCACCTGAGACACAGCAGGTGCAAGGCTCAACAACGACGGCAACAACAACAGCTTCCACGACGACGACGGCAACCACGCCGACAGCGCTGATGACACCGGCTGCTGCACAAGATGACCTGGCAGCCAGAAAGGGACCGGTGCCACCGGAAATTCCACACATCACGATGAATATGACTCCTCTAAATGTCATTCTGGAGCGTGTTGCGCTGGACACGTTCAAAAAGTTGAAGGAGTACTTCAAATTCCTGGAGTCAGGGACGGAGCCTGAGATTGTGAAGAAAAAACAGTTTCTTGAACTGCTTGTGATGTTCAGAGAAAATTTCGTGAGGTTATATGTGCTTTGCAAGTGGTCCAGAAACCACGATCAAATCAGCAAGTTGATAGACCTGTTTGTGTGGTTGAGAGACCAGAACCAGGAGATTACCAACAGCATTATGGCATTTGGTGCCATCAAATCCTCTTTGATCAGTGCGAAAATGCCCGAACCCGATCTTTTAACTTCGTTGGAGGTCTTGCTTCAGGGTAGGCCCAACTTGCCGACATATAACTTTCTACCGGCAGAGACTCTAAGCCCCCAGTTTGTGCTGAAGGTGTTGCATAACCTAAAGGTTGAGCTGTCGATCAAAATGTCTCTGCAGAATAACCTTCCAAAACCTTTCCGGAACTATGAGATTAAAGACGGATGCGTCTTTTTCAATGTTCCGAACTACTTCTCATGTGCATTGTCGACCTTGAATGATGATAGATTCCATTTGATTGATTTTAAGCTCGGGTTTGCCCTAGTCGGCAATGAAGTAAAAGAGTCCACCGAAAAATCAGACCCGAAGACACTTCACACTATTCAACAGTACTCAAACAGTCTTCTCAATAGCGAGAAGGGCTTAAGGGAATTCTACGAACTTCTTTACTCATATTCATTAACAACAAAAATATATCTATTACATAAACAGTTGATAAGTATGAGAATGGGACTCTGGAGAGGCCACTTGACACATAACTACAACGCCGAAAGCTCATTAATCACCATAACATACTGGGCACAACGAAAGTATGCTAAGCCGTCAACTATACAGATTGGCATATTTCAAGATTCTAAACTAGGTTTCAAATGGTTTAAAGATGGCGTCCTTGATGAATCTCATGGGTTGACGTTGGTGGATGACAGCGAAAATATCAATTTATTGAAGCTTCTGACGTCATTGATAAAACACCATGTTCAATGTATCATTTCAAGATTGAAACAGTTACTAATTGGGTCTGTTGAAGACATAGAGAAAGCCGTCTCCCTATCAAATAATTCTGAAAAAATAATTTTCAGAGTTTCACAAACAAAAGATGTAATATACAGCATAGATTCCTTGAGCGGTTCATGCTACTTTGAGAATCCAACAAACTTCATGAATAGAAGTGCATTCAAAATAAATACAGGAAACAGTCTAGACTTTATAGAAATTCTCAAATTGAAGATGCTTATCCAGGAATCAGAATTCTCCTCTATGATGAATGCCACTGGTTGGGTAAGTTTGAAATCAGTTAGACTCAATCCAGATGAAATTTCAAAGCTCAATATTGATTATTCCAATTTGAAAAACAAAAGCCTGGAGCCAATTTTAACATCGATAGATATATACAGGCGAAAAGATTGGCCAATTGGTTGGTCAATCCTAGTTGGTACTTTCGGATTTCAATCAAATGCTCAACTTTGGTGTAGCAAAATCCAGTCCGTTGAAGGCCAATGGGTCATTAATTGGTGCAGTGAGATTAACGTCAACGAACTAAGCGATGAAGCTTCTTCGGAAGTGTCAATCGGCTCCACTCAAACGGACAATAAAACCGTGGATGGTAATGAGCCACGGTCAGATGAAAAAGCAGATGTGAACAGCACCATGTGTGGCTCCAAGTCACTAACGTATAACTGCTTAATCAATCTGATAAAAATTTCAAGCTCCAAGTTAATATCTAACTTAATTGTTAAAGAACTTAAAGACCAAGGTTGTGAATTGAAAATTTTGAACTCAAACGATAAACTGGTTAACGACTTTCTACAGAACAATTTCAAGATCGATAACATGAATTTAAGTTCGACTGACAATGCTGTTCTTTTGATCAAAAATAAGTCATTGTTCCATATTCAGAGTGCAAAGGATTCTTTAGTACTATTGATTACGATTAAAAACAGTGACTTGAACGCTAAAATGTATGGTAAGCTAATCAATGATAATGGAGTGAAAAACTTACCAGATATTAAGTACAGCGATGGCAATTCTACCCATTTTGAGTACAGTTCCCGATCAAAAATTTTTAGTATCGAATCAGAAGTTGATTTATCACATCAATTTGGACCAATAGTAAAGGAGAATTTTATCCGTAAGGACACGATGATTTTATCAAGTATACTTTCCTTTTTGAACAAGTTCGCAAAGTCGCTAAATTTATTGAAAATAGTCAGTGGCAACCCTGCATTGAGTATCATGAAGGTGCTATCGGATGGCGTCACCTTCAAGTATGGTGAGAATCAGGAGGAGTATATGACTTTAAAGATTCCGAGACAGGGTAATGATAAAATTAGTATTGAACTACCAGAAAAAAATCCTCATCGCTATTGCTTGCCTTACTTGAATGAAATTTTGTCCAACGATCAGCTCAATAATATCAACATCAAAGAGTTTGTGCTTTATTTGAGGCTCACACTCAAGTTCTGTAGAAAAATACATGACCTACGTTCCAGAACAAAAGTTGAGTTGGACAGATTTAACCTCGAAAATGAAGAAGTTGACTATGAAAACAAGCCCGATGATTTGCAACATATGCCTAGCTATGGGTATCTTCCTTTTGTTTGTGGCCTTGAGAGCTTACGTTTAATCTACTTTAAATGTGTGAAAGTGGATACCCAGCAGTCAGCAGGGAAAAAGAAGAACACCAAGATTGTATCTGACGTGTTCAAGTTTGAGATAAAGGTGGAGCTACGCCATAGGAGTACCTGTGTTTCGAAAAAACACTCCAAGTTCTTTATTTCCCTCGGCAACTTGAGAACTGAGACCACCGGGAAGATCACTTCTCCCGCCTCCATTACTACCGCCTGTGGAGGGAGTGGGAAGGTTTTACACGATCTTACTACCAAAATTTCCGATGTTGTAGGGAGATACTTCACCGGCGAGGACTTCCCGACGAGTTTGAACAACGGGAGTATTGTATTTTTAAGAGACGGGCTATGCTGTGATTTTGACAGCATCGACAAGGTATTAGAAGACTTGCATTCCCGTCTGTATGCTTTGGTAGATAAATAATGAGTTATCGTGTTCGCCCGCAGACCTCCCGTTCACCCCTCTTCCTTTTCTTTTGTACTTTCTCTGTGTACACTGTGTAACAATAGCTTGAAATGTATCTCGCGTCTGCTGGGTGACATGAATTTTCGATTCAAAATTGAAAACTCAGATTGTCGTGAACAACTTTGCCTATTATTTGAACATGCTGATTCAAGTTTGCCAGGCACACACAGGACAACAATGAGAGGTGTAGAAGAGATAGCAAAGGGTCGTGATTCTGGACTATACTTTTCCTCCCTGTACCACCAGAATCCCAGTGGTGGAGTCGGGCGAAGAGGAGCTAGTAACGCAAATTTTGTCAATTCTAGAAGTGGAACTCCAGCAGGAGACGCCACTGGAGGGATAGCAGGAGTTGATGTCTTTGGTGGAAATGGAGCATCTAGATCATCTGAAGGAGGTGGTGGAGGTGGTGGTGGCGGGATGAGTATAGCAGCCAGACAGGCGGTGACATCTTCCTCGGTGAAGCGCAAAAGAGTAAACTACAATATACAGCAGATCCAGGCAGAACAATTTTTAACCGCACGTCCCAAGTCTAAGTCCATAGGAGAAGAGCTAGAGGCTGAGCTGATAGATTCCACTGGCAACAAGAACGCCCCAGTGAGACGCAGCAACATATCAGTTGCTGAACTAAAGAAAGCTCAGAGGCGATTCGAGGAGTTGAACAGAGAAAACTATAATGAGAATGTAAGAATAGAAATACCGAAAAATGTTACAGGGCTAGTGGTTAAACGCAACACTAATGCTGGTGCTGTTGTGAAGCGGTTGCTTATATCAAAGAAGGGCTGGTCCAACTTTGCTGACGAGTTGAACAAAAACGAGCTGAAGTTAGTCAGTAATGATGGCCCCCTAGAGGTGAAACCAAATGCCTTTCAAATTGAGAAGCTATGTACCATATGTGGTGGTGTCAGCTACAGCTCGTGCATAAAATGCAGGGCTCGGGTATGTTCTGTCAAGTGCCAGAATATTCATAATGAAACGAGGTGTACGCATTTTTGAAAAACGTTAAATAAATGTATTAGTATGTATAATAAGATTTAAACACAAATGATAATGGTGAATTTTTAAACGGTGGTGAATAACGTCCAGACACCTTTGAGGTAACCAACAATCTCATCTCCACCTAACTTGGAATCACCGTATATTCTGTCAACAAAGGAGATTGGCACCTCAGCAATGGTAAATCCTAAAGCTCTTGCTCTGACCATCATTTCCATTTGGAAAACGTAACCCTTGGACTTGGTTGCTTCAATGATCTTTGCTAACACATCTTTCTTGTATAATCTGAATGAACCTGTGAGGTCCGAAACGTTAGGTCTCAAAACAACAGTGGCCAAAAAGTTTGCTCCTCTGGAGATAAGTTTTCTCTTCAAATCCCAGCCGTATACACCACCGTCACCTGCGTATCTGGTACCCGTAACAATGTCGTAGTTGCCTTCTTTCTGCTTTTTAATGAATTCGGGGATTGCTTCCGGATGATGAGAAAAATCGGCATCCATAATAATGACAAAGTTACCGGTGACAAACTTCAAACCGTGCATGTATGCGGTACCAAGACCCAACTTGCCTGCACGTGGTCTCAATTGAATGTGCTCAGGGCCATAAACACTAATGAGTTGTTTAGCAACCTCCTGGGTTCCATCTGGAGAAGCATCGTCCACTATAACAACTTCCCAATCGAGCTTGTTTTCCGTGAAGGTCTTGGCAATAAGATAGGTGATAATAGGAAGGTTCTCCTTTTCGTTGTATGTTGGTAGAATAACGGAGTATTTGTCGCCAGCCATATTTGTAGTAATCTCTCTAGTGCTCTCCCGGGCTAGTCTATGTCACTGCTCCCGAGAACATATATCTCACGGGGAGGAAAGACCACGTAACTTAAACACCAAGATACAAACAAAAGATCTAGCGACGCGGGGGTGTTGAAGATGAAGACAGACGGCTTGGAAAGTTTTGCGACAAATTAAGAGGAACTGAGAGAACACCGATTGAAATGTATGCTACACAAAAATTTAAAGACGTGTATCTATAAATAAGCAAAACATCATGGCAGTGGACAGCTACATCAAGCACATGTTTGGGCCTGGAGCCGACAACTTCGTCCAGTCCAAGGTTTTACTTGTCGGAGCTGGCGGAATAGGGTGTGAACTACTCAAAAACCTAATTATGATGAACATCGGTGAAATTCACGTTTTAGATTTGGATACGATTGATTTGTCTAACTTAAACAGACAGTTTTTATTTCGTCACAAAGATATCAAAGAATCTAAATCGAAAACGGCCATAAAGGCTGTTGAGTTTTTCAACTACACATCCAAGCTCGTATCCTATCATGGCAGTGTGCTGGATAAAACCATGTTCCCGTTATCTTTTTTCCAACAGTTCAGCGTCATCTACAACGCCTTGGATAACTTAGAAGCAAGGTTTTACGTGAACCGAATTTGTCTCTATCTCAGTATACCACTTTACGAAAGCGGAACCACAGGTTTGAAAGGACAAGTGCAACCTATATACCCATACATCAGTGAATGCTTCCACTGTGTTCCCAAGGAAACTCCTAAAACTTTCCCGGTTTGTACTATTCGATCTACCCCGTCGAAACCGGTTCACTGCATCACCTGGGCCAAAGATTTCTTGTTCTCACAGCTTTTCGGGGAAGGAAGTCCGGAAGATGTGCCAACCCCAGATGCCTCTGAATTCACAAGCAAGGGAGAAGCAGAGGCTTCTGCTAATGAGATAAATGAGCTTTCTGATTTGAGAAAATTGGTTGATTTCTCTAAAGCCGGGGATCATGATTTTGCAGTCGAAGTATTCAATAAAATCTTCATCACTGATATAGAACGTCTTTTGAAGATAGAGGATTTATGGAGATCAAGAGAAAAGCCATCCGTTTCCAAGCTGGGAGATTACGAGCAATATTTAGCATCCTCTGAGGATGCAACCAAAAACAGAATATACGAACCTGACGCTTCAGAACAATCCAATGTTGAAAGCATCATCAAGACCTATGTTGTGTCCTGTTTGAGGTTAGCGGATCGTCTACGCAGTGGTGAAAAGTTAGAGTTTGACAAAGATGATGTTGATACGTTAAGATTTGTGATGGCCACATCCAATATCAGGTCACTTATTTTCCATATTCCTATCAAATCTGAATTTGATGTCAAGCAAATTGCTGGTAATATAATTCCCGCAGTGGCTACCATGAATGCAATAATGGCTGGTTTTTCTGCTCTTTCGAGTGTCAACTACTATCTTGAAAAGACCAATGAAGAAAGAGCTGCCAAGTCCAAAATGCTCTTTGATTCTTCCGCAACAGACAAAGTGGTCAACTCATCCAAACTAGCAAAACCGAATCCTTCATGTAGTGCATGTTCAATTGTTAAAGGCACTGTAGAATTAAATTTGAAAGAACTTAAATTGTCCGATTTGAGAGATTCCTTGATTGAAAAATACAAATATGATGATGAAGTTGAAATCATGACTTTAGATGCGAGATTGTTGTATGACTTTGATCTTGAAGAAAATCTTGAAAAACCTTTGTCTGACTTTCTTGAAGATGGTACGATACTGCTCATTAGTGACTCAGACGAACGTCTGGATATGATAGAACTCTACATCATTGATAACTTTGCATCTTCCGGAATAGATCTTCCAAATTTGACGATACCTCCTAAAAGGGTTATCGAAGATGATGGTGAGGAAGGAAACCTAGATGAAGACGAATTGATTGAGGATGGATTATTAGTTGAAGACAGGAAAGACGAAAAATCAAATGATGGTAATCAAAATGTTAGTTCTGTTATCATTCTCGAGGACGATAATATTGGCGAAGAACCTGCTGCCAAAAGGCAAAAAATTAACTAAGGTGTATTCTTTTAGTATGTTTAATCCATTATTAAAATGTTGTGGTTTTACTACTTTACATAAAAAAAAATACGTAGCGGAAATGAAAAAAGAAGAAAAAAATTTAGAGAAAGACACCTATTATATGTACATACCTGCTGTAACCTGAAAAGCTGTTACTAAAGTCTTTTTGCATTGGATCTGTTTTTCAATTTATCGAACCAAGTCCGTTTTTCTTTTGTTTTGTCTTTAATTTTCTCTTTGTCTTTGAAGTTTTCTTCTTCCCTGTCTTTGGACCTTTCTTTGCTTTTGACATCCTTGCCTTTTTCTATGGTTTCCTTTTTGCCTTTGCCCTTTTCCCTCAAATTGGACTTAGAAATCCCAGAAGAATGACTTGCTTTTTCTGAAGATGACACAACGTTGCGATTGGTATTTGAGTTGGGCATATGTGTTGCAACAATTGAAAATATACCGGACTGTTTATTTGTTCCAGAGTTACCAGTACCTTTATCTTCGGACGCATTTATCGAGTTGGATCTCTTCTTACTGCTTATCACACCCGACTCGTCATTAAGACTTGCATTTGTACTGCCGAAAGAAGGAGTAGTTGCAGTCTTCCGAAGAAGAGATGGATCATTGACAATATCAGGGTGAGAATATTGAACAACCTTGTAGTCTAGGAAAGGAGAAGTCTCCCGTTGATTCTGTGATGAATCGTCAAGATTCTTCGAGTTTGCCCGTGAGTTATCACGTGCTCGAGTATTGAGTAGATGCATATCATCATTGCTCTTGTGACCTTGTAACAGAGAAGGCTGGAACGAGAAGGCCAAAGAATTTGATGACTTGCCTGTATCTTCGTTTGTGCCAATCATACTATCGGTGTCATAATCACTGGCTGTAGACATATTGCTACGCTTCTCCTCGTCATGAAGGGAATAGTACTCATCGATGCTATTCACACCCGTATTATTCGAATGTGAAGTTTCTGATTGAGTGAGATTCTTGGAATTATTCTGAAAGTTCTTAGACATGTTTTCCACATCTGGGGTATCATCTCGACTCATTGTGGCCGTGGTTGGAGATATTGGAGGAATAAACGAGTGAATTTTATGATCATAATCGGGGCAATCTGAAGGGTTTTGCAATCCAGGTGGTTTTGCTAAGCAACTTACCTCACTGGAGTTATCAATGAATACCACTTGGCCCTCATGAATTGCATCTGGCTGATGTAGTCCTAATTCATTTATAAGGTTGTTCCCATCTGCTGGGGCCAGAGCGTTATCGATTCTATTAGTTGTCCCTTCTGCCGTCTCTGATCCTAATCTGGAAGATAAGAGGGAAGAGACACCACTTTGGTTTGACATTATTCGACTCAAGTTATCATCGGTACTTCCCAAAGCTTTAAAATTCGATGAGGTTGAACAAGAAGCCGGTATCCTTACAACCTCACTGTGAGGGACATGTGATAATGATTTGCTATGAGGCCGTGAGCGGGTCACTCTTGGGCTTGAAAATAGCGTTACGGGTGCTCCTAAATTTTCCAAGCCAGAAATATCATGGTTATCATTCACCGGTGTAAACACTTGTCTCAGTGGAGAGCCTCTAAGTGGTGAAGATCTGCTATCGTTAGGATGATAAAGTATTTGACTCTGCGTTTTCGAATTTGGAGAAGTCCTTTCTGCTGGTATTTCAACAGTTATTGCTGGTTTGATGTGAGTGAAAGCGTCGCTAGTAATGGGGTGATAATTTTCATTACTGACTTTGACATTTTCATCGTGTTGTTCATTTGAGGCTTTCGTATCAGCATGAGCCTCACCACATTCGTCCATTTCGTCCAAGTCGTCCAGTTCATCCGCTTCTTCTACGATTTTTTCGTAATTGTCGGTGGGGATTCTGGACGAGCTGATAGCTTCATTTTTTGCTTGTGCTGGTGTTGACTCCAGCGGGGGGCTAGGCTTTTCACGTTGGACAATGACCAAGATTTTATGCGAGTAAGTGATCATGAATTCAATGACCACGCTGTTTGCCGCATACTCTTCTGGATTCATATCGTGATCCAGATGGAACAAGATAGACGGTTGGAAGATTGCAGCCAAATTTTTGGCAGGCATTCTGTTTTTGTCGGACTTCAAGTTGAACATTGCAAGCATATCCACCAAGTAGAAAAGCACTCTGTGCTGGATTGGAGGTAGTTTCTGGAATAGAAGAGCGTATTCCTTCAAGAGGCGGCGGCGCTGGGCGACTATTACTCGACGCTTTTGTTTGTCCGGTTTGACCTGGAGGGCTCCCTTGCTGTCTTTTTCCTTGAGGTAGAGGAAAAGCTCCTTCTTTTCCAATAGTGGATCTCTGAACGAGTTATAGAGGTTGAAGGGTATGAGGGGCTCGGAGAGTGATCCCAGATAACGCCTCAAGAGAGAGGCTGCGTCGTGTACGGTGTATCCGTCCCAGTCGATCTTTGCGCCATAATCCGGGGGAGTGGAGAAAATCATCTGGAGATGTTTGATTCTTTTGTTGGAGCCGGAGAGCCTGAACACACCCTCCACATTCAAGGCGTTGGCCTTCAAGTAGGAGCCGCAAGAGACGATCACTAGAGGGACCTGGCCGTAGGCGACGTTCAGGTGCTTGGTGGAGGGAGAGGTTGATGTGCGGGTATTGGCATCGCTATCGGTTGTGGTGGTGGTGGTGTCGTCGGCGGTGTTAGCCGGCACGTCTGCGGAGATATAGACGGTTCCGTGGGCCAGCTTGGTGGAAGACTCTATGTCGCAGCCGAAGATGGAGGAGTTTCCAATCACGTCCAGCTGGCGCTGCTGGAGAAAGGAGTCCCTGTGGGACCTCAAGCGTCCGTTTGGGTCGTCGGGAGTGTCGCTGGCGGTACCGCTGGCGGCGCCGCTGCTGCTGTGGTGGTCCTGGTGGCTGCTGGAGGAGGGGTCCAAGAACTGGGAGAGGGGTCGGAACGAGTGTGAGGAGCGGGACTTGAACCCGAGGAAGGGCCTGGACGGCGTCGGGGAGGAGGACAAGGGCTGCGGGGTGCCGGACTTCTGCGGCGACAGCAGGTTCAGCGATAGCGGGTTGCTGTTTTTGCGTGGGGAGGAGCCCGAGTTGGTGCGTTTGGTTGGCGTCGGCGCATAGAGCCTGCTATTTGCCGGGGCAGGGGCCCCGGCCAGGTTGGACGCCGGGGGGTCTGAGCCGTGGTGCTCAGCCGCGGACGTGTTTGCAGCGGCGCCGGACGGCTCAGACAAGTCCAGGTTGCTGGGGTTGAACGTGGAGTTCGACGGCGACGTCACGTCGTTGGAGCTGTCCGACTTCTTCAGCAGCTTGAGCCAGTTCGAGATGGAGTTCCGGGAGGGCGACATGGTGGGCGGTGAGGACGACGCCATGGCTGGGGGCGGACGCTGGCGGACGCAGAAACAGGGGGGAGAAACGAGGGGCGGGTGCAGAAATGTGTCCCTGGGAGCGCTTGCTGGGGGTCGGTGTCGGTGCTGCTGCTGGTGGTGCTGCTGTTGTTGCTGGCGGTGCTGAGCGCAGGCGTGAGCGCAGGCGTGAAGAGAAGCTGTCTGTGAGCGGGCTGTTGATTCCACGAGATCGGACACCCATGCACACACATGCACAGAGCAGACATTATGGCTACCCACACCTCCGCCTCCCCCTACGTGGCCACCGCCGGTTTCTGGCCAACCCATGCTCTTCTGATAACGACACGCCCTGCTCCGTCTCTGTCCCCGTCTCTGCCCCCGTCTCTGCCTGCTGCCCCACGCTCCCCGTCGTGGACGAGCCCAGCCAGACACGCAGAAAACATGACGCCAGAACGCGCGCGGGGGAAAGAAAACGCTTTTTCTGGCCGGGGCAGAGAAAGGGCAACGGGGCGGGGGAGAAAAAGCATCGACGCGTCGCTGACAAAAAATGGCGGGAGGTTTTGCATCCGTGCACCGCGGGAGGACGCTTACGTAAGGGAGAGCGAGAAGGTGAGGATGAGTGTTGCGGCCGGTTGGCGATAGTAGCGGGGTGGGCTCAACAACAGAAGAGAAGGAAAGACGAGCCAGAAGGAGGCAAGGAGAGGCGCATGCAGGAGGGAGGAGTGTGTGGAGGGCACAGCGGGGAGCAAGCGAAGCAAGCGAAACCAGCGAAGAAAGCGAAGAAAGCGAAGCAAGCCCAGCAAGATGAGTTTCAAGGGTCTGCAGAAGGCCATTGTGCGGGCGCCGCAGAACTTCCGGCAGAAGATGCACATGGGCACGGTGACAGAGGATGCGGTGTACTCGGACGCAGAGCGTCGGTTCAAGGAGTTGGAGACGGAGACGAAGCGGTTGTCGGAGGAGTCGAAGCGGTACCACAAGGCGGTGAACGACATGTTGGAGCACCAGCTGGGGTTCTCGAAGGCGATCGAGGAGATCTACAAGCCCATCTCGGGGCGGATGTCGGACCCCAACTCGGCGATCCCGGAGGGCAACCCGGAGGGCATTGAGGCGTGCGAGCAGTACCGGGACGTGGTGAACGAGTTGAAGGAGATCTTGAAGCCGGACTTGGAGTTGATCGAGAGCAGGATCATCGAGCCGGCGCAGGAGCTGCTCAAGATCATCCAGGCCATCCGCAAGATGTCGCAGAAGCGCAGCCACAAGCAGTTGGACCTCGACCGCCACCAGAACTCGCTCACCAAGTACCAGAACAAGAAGGAGCGCACCGCCAAGGACGAGGAGCGCCTCTACAAGGTCGAGAACGAGGTCGCCATTGCCCAGCAGGAGTTCGACTACTACAACGAGATGATGAAGACCGAGTTGCCCATCCTGTTCCACTTGGAGGCCGAGATGGTCAAGCCCCTGTTCATCTCCCTCTACTACATGCAGTTGAACGTCTTCTACACCCTCTCCTCCCGCATGGAGGAGATGAAGATACCCTACTTCGACCTCTCGCAGGACATTGTCCAGGCCTTCGAGGTCAAGCGTGGCGACATCGAGGAGCGTGCCGACGCCATTGGCATCACCCACTTCAAGCTCGGCCACGCCAAGAGCAAGCTCGAGCAGACGAGACGGCGTTTCGAGATGCAGAACGCCGGCTCTCCGGGCTCTCTGGCCGCATCCACATACTCGCCTCCACCCTACGCCGGCGGCCCGGCCTACGGTGCTGCTCCCGGCATAGCCCCCGGCACCGCTGCGGCCGTCGGGGGTTATGGTGCAGCCGGCGGCTACGGCGCAGCCGGCGCAGCCGGCGCATACGGCGCCACTCCAACAAGCCCTTCCACAGCGTCCACCTATAGCTCATACGGTGCCAGTGCCACCGGCTACGGAGCATCTCCACCAACCACTGCAGCTACCGGCTACGGCTCTCCTGGCGCCGCTGCCGGCGCCTACGCCGGATACGGCGAGAAGGCCGGCGCCGGTGCATACGGGGGGTACGGCGGATACGGCGAGAAGGCTGGCTCCGGCGGCCCACCTTCCTACATGGGAGCACAGCAAGCACAGACATCCTCATATGCCAGTCCGCTCTCGCCCGTGTCGCCAACCCCGCAGATGCAGCCTCCTCCGGGAGTCGCCCAACCGCCAGCAGCGGAAACATGCACAGCGTTGTATGACTACACGGCACAGGCCGCTGGCGATTTGACTTTCCGCCAGAACGACCTCATCAAGGTTATCCAGCGCACGCCAGACCAGAACGGCTGGTGGACGGGTGAGTTGAACGGTGTCCAGGGCGTGTTCCCCGGCAACTACGTCCGTTTGAACTGAGCACCCACGTACAGTCTTCTTTGGTTCTATTATACTTCTACTTATATTATTTCTGTCCTATTGTCCGTCTTCCTATTTTTAATCTGTGTAATGGAATGTATGTATTGATCAAAACGCGCCAGGACGGGTGAAATTCATTCACCGTTCCTTTCTCCACCGGTCCACAGCCATCTCGGAGGAGCAGAACGGCAGCTTTGTCCTGCGTTTGTGCTATAGTCTACGCCTGCAAACGACATGCCGAGGTACTTTGTCGAATTCGTGAATCTACAGCGCAAAAATGGCGGCAAAGTCTCTGAAAGCCCTGAAACGCAGTGCCCGATTTCATTCACAGCTACGGTGAAACTGTTTTCCAACACCTTGCCCAACACTACCCGTGCCGTTGCGAAGCTGTTTTCCGGAGACGGCAGCGATGGCAAGGACAGCACAGAGCCAATCACGTACCGGAAGTCGCAGGTCACGAGGGTGGTTGCTCCGGAGTATCTCGTGCAGTTCGGGGAGCCCGTTAGACGGTCGCAGGCCGGCGTGCAGAAGCTCGGGCCCCTGGTCGACGCCGAGGAGTTCCGGCGGTGTGAGGCCAAGTACGCAGGGAAGATCCGTGGACGCCGTGGGTTGGTGTGTCTGGCGGCGAAGGACGGCGAAGCGGCCGACGAAGCCGACACGAGGTCCGTCCAGCTGTGCATCGTGTTTGTCCCCTGGGGCGAGTACCCCGAGCTTGACGGATACGTCGTTGTTGGGGAGTGCAAGGAGTGGGCAGAGCTGCGCCGGTGGATGGCTGCGGTCGACGTGAAGGAGAACCCGGCCACAGGCTCGTGGGAGATACCCACGGGCAGCGGTGTGTGGGTGAACCGCTGTGGCCAGATCCTGGACAAGCCTGCACCCCACGGTGCCAGCAGTCGGCTAGAGGAGCCGGGGGCAAAGAGGCCGCACCGGGTTAAGGCCGTCGACCTGCTGTTCAAGCGGTCTCGCGTTGGGTAGGCTACGCACATGTCGAAGTGAACATGACCGATAGAGTCAGCGCTTTGCTCATCAACCGGAGATACACACTTCGCAGAAGGAAACAGAAAAGCTCTTTCCTTCCTCACTTTGACATCCATTCTGCAGGTGGCCCCGTTGGAAAACGACGCCGGTGCCCAGGCCTTCGAACCACACTAACGGTATAAGTATGGTGACGCCTGGGGCTGGATGTGTGGTGAGAAGAGCCGTCCAGCACCATGTCTGTGCACAAGAAAAGGACAGCATCGCCAGTGGAACAAGTTGCTGGTTTTTCAACCAGATAGACTCGTGCGGCCTCGAGGCTTCGAACCGGTGCGAGTGCGGGGCCTGTGAGGGTTTGTTCATGCTCTATATCGCTATATCTCTTGTATATGTACACTTACTCAAGGGCCTTGCCTGTGGAGCGGTAGACAAGGCCGACGGGGGACTCGTAGGACTCGAGCAGACCGGCGCCGACCATCAACGCTAGCACCCAGTCGAGGCCAACCCCGCGGAACTTGACAATGTTCACGCCGGGCCCCGTGGCGTCGGGCTTGTGCTGGGCCGTGCCGACCCTGTCGGTTGTGTAGTACTCCCGCTTGAAGGCAGCGTGGGCGTCTGCGTCGGACGGCTTCTTTGTCTGTGTCTTGGGCGGCACGTACGGCCGGAACCACCTCTCCCGGAGCACGGACGCCAGCACCATGTGCTCCCTGGTCTTGGCGGTGAGAGCGGCGATCCACTTGCAGGAGCTCTTGACGACGCGGAGCAGGCCGCCGAGATGGGGCAGCGTGATGTTGTAGACACCGGTGCCGCCAGCCTCGGCGGCGGAGATGCAGATGAGGCCCCTCGAGATCAAGGTGGAGAAGCCGATGTCTGCGTCAAGCAAGTCCGAGGCGGCGATCTGCGTGGCGGCCGGGTCTGCGGCAAGCAGCTCCACGTAGCGGTCCCTCAGCGGGGCCTCCGACTCCCGGAAGTTGGCCGTGGTCGTGCGCAGGAACTCGTCGCCGGGCACGAGCACCGTGAAGCCGAAGTTCTCGTAGTTCATGTCGAGCACGCGGAGGTCTCCGTCGGCGACAAGCTCGCACACGAGCCGGTCCACGAGCGTCTGCTGGCCGCCGAAGACGGCGTAGAGCTGGTCCTGCACAAGCACATGCGGGTACTGGCGGGAGATCCGGGCCGTCTTGGAGGTCTGCGACAGCAGCCCCGTGCCGACGCCGACGCCGAGCTGCGGAAAGAGGTACGCCCCGGCGAGCCGGCGGGCGACCGTCAAGACGGACGCCCTCGTGGCCGGCCGGCCCGTGTCGACGCCGGGGAAGTGCATGTTCGGGAGGGCGTTCTCGGGCGCCTCGACAAGCGTCGCCTGCGTGTGCTCGTCGTCGTCGAAGAAGCTCTTCTTCCGTGGCGCCGAGTCTAACTCCGAGCCGCCGTCACGGCTGGCCCTGCTGCTTGCCCCCGTCCCGGCGCCCCTCTTCGCCGTCTTCGACCGCAGACGGACCAACCGTTCTCGCAAACTCTCACTCCGGGCCATCCTTGTGTGCTGTCCTCCTGGTCCTGCAACAGCCAACCGCAGACGGAGAAGCCGGAATCATGTCGCCGCCCTTGTGTGGCGGGGGTGCAACGCTTTTAATTTGCTCGTCGCTCCTGGCGGCCTATATATAGTGGTGGGGGCGCCGTCTCTTGGTCGCCGCCGCCGTTACTGCTGCGGCGTGTGGCCGGGGCCGGTGGCTGTGGGGCCGCAGACACCAAGACAAGATGCACTACCAGTACAACGTGAAGATGAGCTGCTCCGGGTGCTCGAACGCCGTGAGCAAGGCCGTGAACCGCCTCGAGGACATCGACAAGGTCGAGACGGACCTCAAGACGCAGACTGTGGACGTGTACACGGCGAAGGTGGACTACGAGACAGTGCTCGAGAAGATCAGGAAGACGGGAAAGGAGGTTCTCGGCGGCAAGGTTGTTGCGTGAGCGTGTGTATTGATGTAGCAGTTACGCCTATAGCCCGAATAATACGAATAATACGAATAATATGTTGAATCCAGTAAATAAATAAAACGAGCGAAAAGTTTTGGCCGTTTCCCGGGGAAAAGCCGAAAAGTCCTCGACATGAATGGACGAGGTGGGGAAGAAGGGGCTGCTGTGGTGGCACATAGACTCTGTTGGAGGCAATGACGATGACGGAGCATGGTGACAAGAGCCAGGCGCCCTGGAAGGTGCTGCAGCGGGACCCGTGTCTGTCGTTCATCTGCGGCGGGGCGGCGGGGGCCCTTTCCCGGACAGCGGTATCGCCCATCGAACGGGTGAAGGTGTTGTTCCAGGTCCAGGGCGGCGGGGGCGGCAACGGGGGTGGCGGCGTGTCGTACGGCAAGGGCACGCTGGCGACGGTGGCGCAGATCTACCGGGAGGAGGGCTACCGGGGTCTTTTCCGCGGAAACGGGGTCAACTGTGTCCGGATCGTGCCCTACACGGCGATCCAGTACACGGTGTACGAGGACCTCAAGGACATGGTGACGGGCGGCGTGCGGCCGCTGGCGACGGGCGAGAAGCTGGCGTGCGGCATGGCGGGCGGCCTGGCCAGCGTGCTGGGCACGTACCCGATGGACCTTGTGAAGACGAGACTGAGCGTGCTGACGGCCCGCAGCTTGAAAGGCGTTGGCGGGGCCGGAGCTGCTGCCGGCACCGCTGCTGCCGTCGACCTCTCCATGTGGGGGAACCTGCGCAGCATCTACCTCCACGAGGGCGGGCTGCGGGGCCTGTACCGGGGGTTTGTCCCCACCAGTCTCGGCGTGGCGCCCTACGTGGCACTCAACTTCGCCCTCTTCGAGCGCATGAAGGAGGCCGTCGCCCAGACGTGGCCCGCCACGCACAAGAGCCAGTCGCCCGCAGCAGAGACCGCCGTCGTGCTTCTCGTGGGCGCCCTCAGCGGCGGCATTGCCCAGTCCCTCGTGTACCCGTTCGACATCCTCCGGCGGCGGTTCCAGGTCGCCACGATGAACGACGGCAGCCTCGGCTTCAGCTACACGGGCACCTGGGACGCTCTCACACACATTGTGCGTCGGGAGGGCGTCCGCGGGCTCTACAAGGGCTGGGCCGCCAACATGTTCAAGATCATGCCCAGCATGGCCGTCCAGTGGGCCAGCTACGACCTCATCCGCCGTCTCGTTGCCGCCTAGGCCCCGCCACCGCCCCCGATGTACATATCTGTAGACACTAATAGACAAAACTCGAGCCATCCAGAGACACACCCGTCTCGCAGCCCGTGCCGATGGCGGGCCTTTTTTTTTTCCTCCTCCATTCATGCTGGCGACGTGTCGGACCCAGCTGTGCTCCCGGACGGCCAACAAAGGCCCCACCGGACCCACACACGCCATGAAACCGCTCTCCCTCCCTTCGCAGGGCCCACCACGACTCCCCGTGCGTCCGCCCCCGTCTCCGAGAGAAGACGCCCCCGTCTCAGGACCCGAACCCGTCGCCAGCGGTGGTGAAGAGAACCGGGCAGCAACAACGACAATGCGGCTGTTGTCTCCGCAGGCGGGGGCCCCCTCTGCCGGCAGTGGGGGGTCTGGCCCAGACGCTGGCACGGAGGACGACCCAGAGTACGACACGGGGGACGGGACAGACGGGCAGGCGCCGACGCAGACAGAGGTGCCCGTGCTGCCGAAGCGTCCGGCCCTGCTGACGGACCTGTCGTCGCCGGAGGACTACTACCGGGAGGAGGAGAACGGATTCGCCAACCTGTCCGAGTTCTTTTTTCTGAACCCCGTGTCCGGCACAAGCACAGGCACGACAAGCATCATGGACAACCCGCCCAGGCAGCTACAGCCGCTGAGTCTCACGCTGCCCAGCATCACGTCGGTCGCCAACAAGGGCATCTACTCGGCGGGGCACGGGACGGCCAGCACGGGCCACGCCAGCAACGGCAGCAGCAGCAGCAACGGCAGCAATGGCAGCAACAACGCTGGCAAGGGGAGCGGCAGCCGGAAAAGCAACCCTGGCATCCCCAGCCTCAACGGCAGCGACAGCGGAAGCAACCACAGCAACAGCAACAGCAGCAACCACAGCAACAGCAGCAACCACAGCAACAAGTTCTACATTCACCTCCTAGAAGACGTGCATCTGGACGACCAGACGGTGCTCTTTGACCTGGTCGACACGCTCATGCGGGTGCGGTCGGAGAACGAGGAGCTGAAAGAGGGTCTGTGGGACAAGATCGACTCGTTGAGCACCGCCACGAGGAAGAAGGCCGGACCGGGCCGCCCGGACGACGCCGCCCGGTACGACCACAACAGCTTGTTGTTTGACTCCAAGCTAACCAACGAGCAGCTGAAGCAGATGCTTGACGAGCAGCGCACGTACAACGGCGTGTTGGCCCAGACCGTCGACGAGTTCCAGGACTCGCTGGACACCATCATGGACTCGCTCGTGGGCTCCAACCAGGACGCAGGCATCGAGCTCCTCTCTGCCATCCGCAAGGGAGAGGCCGTCGTCGAGGAGAACTCCGACGAGATGTGGAAGTCGTGGATGGAGGTCGTTTCGGCCTTGGACGACGTGGCCAAGTTCGACCGCGCAATCGTGAAGACGGTCCACGGCCTATAGCGTATACGACGCCGTTTTGGGCATCGGCACTGGACTAGCAACCGTGTATTTTCTACCTAACGAAACATGAAACCCGTATATATAAGTGACTCCAGCAGGAGATAAATGAAACTGGCATCTATTCTGGGGGCCTTTGTGTGTTACGTAATTGGCACCCCCCACCCTGTATTTCTTTGTTTGCGACATGAAGGTGAACTTTTTCCACCAGTTTCGGGGTTTTACGTGTTTGCAACTGCAAAACCGTAATTTTCTAAACTACTGTAAGAGCAGGAAACCAAACCATGACCTCCCACGAAATAGATGACTTCAGGCCGCCAACCGTGCCGTTGCCGACCCCAATTCACACATACACAAACCATTCTCCCGTGCCCAGCTCGCTTCAAGCCAAACGCGTCGATGGCTCTCCACCTAGCATCATCATCGGGATAGACGAAGCTGGGAGGGGTCCGATCATCGGACCAATGGTGTACTCTCTTGCGTACTGCTCTTCTGAGTTTGGTGCAGGTGTGCTGCCGAATTGCGAGTTTGCAGACTCGAAAAAACTGACGGAACCAAAGAGATGGGAGCTCATGAAGAGAGTTTGCACAGAGTCAGTTGGCGACGGTGAGGACGAGAACGCTCTCTCGAATAACCTAGGCTATGCCATAACTTCACTTACTGCGCTTGATATCTCGTCTTCGATGTTGCGTCCGTCCTCGTTGGTCGTCAACTTGAATGAGCAGGCGCACACTGCAACCATTGAACTGATCAAGGCAGTCATCCAGCGATTACGTGAAGAAGTCTGCGAAAACGTCATCATTGCCGGCGTATACATTGACACAGTGGGTCCCCCGGCTAGCTATGTGAAAAAGCTGCGTCAGTTCTTCTCGGTCGACGACGTCAAAGAAATCAGGGTGGAGAAAAAGGCCGATGCAACATACCCTATTGTCTCTGCTGCCAGTGTGGTGGCCAAAGTGACGAGAGACTGGTTCCTCGAATGTGCCGCCAAGGAAACCGGCTGCGCCGAGGGATACGAAAACTGGGGGTCCGGTTACCCTTCCGACCCTCGGACCTCCAGCTGGATCAACGGCAAACTGGATCCCTGGTTTGGCTGGGACCTGAACATCCGATATTCGTGGGGCACGGCCAGAGACGCGTTCAACAGATCAAAAGTGTCCGTTGAGATGCGTTGGGAGCACGAACTCGTGAAAAAGCACGGTTTTGATGACGTTGTCGGTCTGATGAGCAATCCGGGGAAGACCTCTGCGAATAGCTTCGAAGTCGATCGAGACTGGTTTGTTATGTAGTTTATTAGAGTTATCTATAGAAAGATAAAAGTTATATGTGCATATAAACTGTTTTGGATCCAAATGCAGTAAACAGTTAGAAGTGAATGCGATTATCAGCTTGTAGCGATGTTGGTCAATGGCTCCTCTTCGTACTCAACCTCGATTCTTGCTCTCTTTGTCTTTATCTTCTTTCTCTTCGGTTGCGTGCTCTTCGTTCCGGTAGCTGTATCCTTGGCTTCGTCGTCGTCTTCGTCGTCGTCTTCGTCGTCGTCTTCGTCGCTCTCACTTGCGTCACTGTCGTGTCCCAACCACTTCTCTAAATCCTCCATATCCACCATCTCCTCGTCGTCATTCTCATCGTCCTCTACGTACTCGATTTGACCTTCGTCCTCGTCCTCGTCCTCGCTTTCGAGCTGGACATCGTCCTCGTCACTGTCGTAGTCTTCTTCGTTTTCTAGCTCTTCCTCGGTATCTCTGTTTTCGATCTTACCCAACACCTTTTTCCAGATCTTGTCATCGACATTCAATGGCTTGTCGCCGTAGGCCCCACTCTTCAACCTATCCAAAAGCTCCTTTTCAATAGCCTTCTCGATTCTGGCGGCGGCCAAAGCCTTACGCTCTCTCTTTTCTTCTCTCTTCTTCACCTTGTGTTTCACCCCAACGTAGTTTCTCTCGCTGACCTCGCCTCTCTCCTCTCTCAATGCCATTCTACGTTCTGTTATCTGCACTTGCTTGAGTCTTGTAAACCGCTGTTTGCACTTGTTGATGTTGAACTCTGTCCAGTACATCAAATGTTCATCGATTTGACGCAATGCTTTGGCGTACTCCTTCGAGAGACGTATCCGTTGCCATAAGTTTCTTGGCGTGTGCGCACGTTCCACTGTTTTCATATAGAGATAGAGCTTGCCGTCAACCTGTTTCACTGTCGCATACTGTGCGTTTGCCAACGGGCATGATCTACGGTCGCATAGACCCGTCACATTATATTCATTACGGCAAAAATTTTGATTGTTCTGTGATTGATGAGGACGGATTTGAAACGAGCAGAACTGTTTGTTGATAACGTTCCAAATAAGATCGTCGGACATCTTGCTTTCTTTGGTCTTGTCTGTATTGTTCCTTCCTGGGGATCTACTGTTTTCACAAGATTTATCCTTTGCAAAGAAGCCTACTTTATTGGTCCCTGAGGTTTGGAAAAAAATTTCAGTTGAAAAAAAATAAAAATTTGAGAGTAATCAAAATTAGGAAAAAGGTAAAAAATGTAAAAAATGTGCAAAAACGTGAAAAGTGCGTAAAAAGTAAAAATTTCGCCGATCGGCGTAATTTTCGCTTTTCGCTTACAAGCTGATTTTGGAGAATTCAGAGAGACGAGCCTCCCCCTTCACTCCGCTGTACCTTTCCACCTTCACCACATGGATCTTCTCCGTGTCGTCAAAAGAGACATGGCCAGCAACACCGGCCTTGCGGATAAGGGCGTCCAATGTCTGTTGCCGGTCCCAGCCCTGCTCCTTGGCGACCTCGGGAAGAAAGGTGGACGAGTATGGTCTGCTACGATAGCGGAAACCTAGCCGGATGCCGTGCTCGCCCACGGTCCACGCCAGCGGGGTGTCTGTGATGTCCTCAAAGCTGTGTAGGATGGTGACGGCACACTGTAAGTCCTGTGAGGGGTTCTTCTCGATGTCGGCAAGCTCGTATTTGTCAATTGGCGGAAAGCGGGGGTCTTCGAGTGCAGAAATCAACGCGTACTCCTCCACATACTCCGGCAGCTTTAGATTCGAGAAGTTGCCAATGCAGCCACGCAACTCGCTGTCGATCGGGGCGCCAGTACCCTTCTGCACACTTAAGACGTTCCACGTGACAAACAAGGGCGACTCGATTTTTTCCTGGTACTTGGCATAGTCGATTGCCTTTGCAATGTCGGCGATAGAAAGTTTCGGAGTATTGTTCACTTTGCTGAGCAGCTGGTTTATCGCCACGTAGGCGAAAAAGGTTGCAGTCTCCTTGGATACTACGGACGAGGACATTTGTTGTTTGCGGTGGTGAGTAGCCAGAGCAGTCCGAGCGGAGTTCCGGGCCCTTCGTCATCCCGGTGCTTGAGCAGCTCTATGGGACGTCACGCAGCTGCAGATAATGCAGCGATAGCCGGCCTGGAGAAGGCAAAAGCATTGCCCGGCGCTGACGTAAGCACCGGCCATGCGCAGAAAGTGTGGCGTCTCTCTCTTGGATCTTTTCTCCAGACCTACATAAGTGAGTCACTTTGCTTCTTCGGCGATCAGATCGGGACGGCGAATGGTCCAGAAGCCCAACCGGAAAGAGCTTACAAAGCCAGGAAAGAAAATCCAAGAATGAGTGTTGTATCAACCATCAAAACCACAGACACCTCCCGCTTCGCCGTGTTCGCCGCCGGCTGTTTCTGGGGTGTGGAGTACAACTACAGAAAGTACTTCCAGTTCCCATCGCAGATCCTGGACATCAAGGTAGGCTATGCCAACGGCAGAGAGAACATTGCCAACCCTTCGTACAAACAGGTGTGCACCGGTGAGACCGATTTCGCCGAAGCCGTTCTCATTTCCTACGAACCAAGCCAGACCAGCTACAAGGACTTGGTGGACTTTTTCTTCAGAATCCACGACCCAACCACCCTCAACTCACAGGGCCCAGACATGGGTACCCAGTATAGAAGTGGGATTTTCACCACCGACGACGAGCAGAAGAAGATAGCCGAGGCGGTCAAGGACACCTTTCAGAAGGAATGGTACAAAAACAAGCGGATTGTAACGGAAATCGAAGACTTCAGGAGCTTCTACGATGCAGAGACATACCACCAGCTGTACTTGAACAAACACACCGAAAGAACCACTTGTGAAACCCATTTCTATCGTGAAAAGCCAGAGTGAAAAGTGGACTCCCACAGCGTCAGAGGTAGCACTTCTACCCGAATTTCGCTTCTTTTCCATTTTTTTTAACGTCAAGAGCTTTTTTATTTCTCTATAATCTGTACATTTCCTGTGTAAGACAAAAAACCTTCATCTTGCCCCAACGCCTCATAGACATGAACAGCAGTGACGACTACAACGACTATGGTGACGGCTACGCCTCGGGAGGTTTTGACGAGGACGCATTGAACGACCAAGACTACGACCTCCTACACGACATGCTTCCTCCCTTCAAAGAGCGGCTTCAGAACAGCAGCTACACTGACATTCCGGATGATCTCCTCAAGGAATACATATGGGAGGCAAACTTCGATCCCGACGAGGCCTTTGTCATTGTCCAGGAGAACCACAAACGTACGTATACCCCTTCCCCCTTCTTACTTTCCAGTCTTTCCTCTTTCTTACTTTCTCTTGCCAAATTTCCATCCACAACCAACGCGCCGCCGTCCATGATTGACCGCAGACTCTCTTTAACACACCTTTCTCCCTTAGGCATCGTCACGTAAATCCTATCCTGGCAAAGGGTACAGATCTGACACCTGAGAAGTGAAGGTGAAACGTAATGTCAAAATTACAGCTGTTAGCACAGAAACGAAAACAGCAGGCGTCCACAGCTTCTGCGGGCGCTTCGTCCGACATTCCTACAGCAGACTTGACAGCTTCGCCATCTAACGGATTGTCGAAGTTGATGCAGAAAAGGAAGTTGGCATCTTCGGAAAAGTCTTCAGCTCTGTCCTCCTTACTGTCCAAAAAAAGGGAGCTGCATGCAACAGTGAAATCCTCGGGACTAAGCCCTCAACACAGCATCCAAAGGCAAAAAAGTATTCCTATCGAAAAGGACGATCATACCAATCCTGAGAATGTTGCAGCATCGGAGCAAATCAAAACTAAACAGCAAATCAAAACTTACAATTTTTCCAAGCACGATGGGGTCAGGACAGAACGTTATTCCAGGATTCAACTTTCCCCCACACATATTCTCCCTCGTGTAATCTTCTCAAATGATACTTTTTCAGAAAACTCCCACACAATACTGCCTAGCTTTAAGAGAAGAAAGATTGAATCAGAAGATCTACCAGAACATAATTCTGGTAATTCTGGTAAACAGTCACAGGATACTAACAGAACCTTAATCCAACCCATACCCGATTTTTTAGCCCAAAAAATCACCAAAAATTTCAAAAATCCAAGCCCCGATGATAAGAGGAAAGTAGTAGAGTCCCTTTCAGAGAAAGTTGCAAAAGTAACTTTGGAAAAAGAGAAAGAGAAAGAGGTCATCAAAAAGAAAGAAGCAACTGCTACAAAACCAAAGTCAAAAATTAATTTACAGGAGGAACTTGAACGTAAAGCGGACAAACCATTGTTATCTTTGATTGTAATAGGACACGTTGATAGCGGAAAGTCAACGACAATTGGTAGATTGTTGTATGATTTAGGTATTGTTGACTCTCGTACGTTACATAAGCTTACTCGTGATGCTGAACTTGCAGGAAAAGGTTCATTTTCCTTGGCCTGGGTTATGGATCAAACTCCAGAAGAAAGATCTCGTGGTGTTACCGTTGACATCGTCCAAACACAATTTGAAACAGCAAAAATGAGATTTGCTGTCATTGATTCGCCAGGGCATCGTGATTATGTTCCACAAATGATCAATGGTATTACCCAGGCCGATGTTGCCGTTGTCATTATTGATGCTACATCAGACTTGATTTTTGAAGCTTCTAATGTCAACAGCCATTTCATTTCTTCGGATGCTTCTCAACCTGAAATTGCAAAAGGCCAAACATTTGAGCAGCTTACTATTGCCAGAAACTTGGGTATACAACGAGTATTGATTGTTGTCAATAAAATGGACGTTATTGGGTGGGATCAAGATAGGTTCAAGTTGATAGAAGAATCTTTAACATCTTACTTAGTGGAAACTCTCAGCTTCTCAGAAAATGAGTTGAGCTTTGTTCCGGCATCAGGATTCAAAGGAGATAATATTGTAAAGAAAAGTGATCAGTGTCCATGGTACAAAGAATCAATAACTCTTTTCCAATATTTAGAAAAAATGAACGAAGACACACATCGGACTTTTGAACAGATGACATCGGATGTTGATGACCCATTTGTACTCACTGTTACAGATATCACAAGTGGTTCAAATTCTGACTCTACTAAGAAACCTGATCAACTAACTATACATGGTCGTGTTAACAGTGGCGTCTTGCAGCCAGGTGAGTCTCTCAAACTCTGGCCTTCTGGAGAAACAGCTCAAGTTGATAGTGTAGTGACAACCATTTCACAGATCTCAGAGTTGGCTAAAAAGAATGACAATTCTGCTACAAGTAATCGAGTCAATGAAAAAATTACTGTTGCCGGTGAATTTGTGGAAATCAAGCTACGCAAGATAGAATTGCCAGATGCTATCTGCATTGGTGATGTGGCCACCAAAATCACTTCCAACTCTGATAAAGATGCCAATGTTTGTTGCTGTCAAAAGCTGGAATGTGAACTTCGTATGTTTGGACTAACGCGTCCGGTTCTCGTGGGTACTCCATTTGTACTTTTCCGGGGTAATGTTTCATATGCCGCAAAGTTATCGGCAATTGAATGGGTTGAAACAAAGATCACTGGTGATGACGGGGCTATAAAATTTAAGAAAAACAAGAAAAGGAAGCATTTAAGTTCATCCCAGCGTGCAAGAGTTGTGATCGAAACAGAGAAGCCTGTTCCAATTGTAGAACTATCATCTGAAGAAAAGGCATCTGAGAATGAGGACGGTTTACACGGTATTGATAAACTGAAGAGAATAGTACTCAGAAAGGAGGGTATGACTGTAGGTGCTGGCAAGATAGTATCTTTTGAATGATCTGTATTCACTTGACCCCATCTATCCTAACATGAAATCGTTAGATGAGGTTGCTATATAAACTATAATTACGACAACTAAAGAATGTAATCAACCATCAACAAAATCAATGCAGCAAAAAATATTGCCCATGCAAGTGTTTTATTCCTTTTGCTGTTTTTCTCATTTGCCTTGACCAAAACTGTATTACCACTTTTGACGTTACCCACAATTTCATCCTTGTGTTGATCCATCAATGTTATGTTTTCATTTTGCATGGAAAGCTGAACTCCAATTTCACGCACCATGCTGGCAACATCCAGCATCGACGATTCAATCTGTGTCACTGCATCTAAGGTACCTTTCTTTAGCTCCTCAGCTAGAGAGTCCTGTTCGGATTGAAGTTGCATCAGCTCATGCTCTGGCAACTTGTCTTGCAACTTCTCATAGTCATCAGTAACATACCTTATTTCAGATTCCGTGTATTCAGAGAGACTGCTTGAATCATTTAGCTTGAACATGTTCGAATCCATTTGTACCGACTGAGGTTGGTTAGCTTTATACGATGAAGAGGTGCTCAAAGTAGACTTTTTCAACTGCACCAGACGCTCAACGCGTTTGTCATGCATGTCATTCCATGTGAGAAGCACTGTCTGCAAAAGCAAAGCCAATGTGCTAACAATGTTACAAAAGATGGTTCTCAAAGTACCATTCCTCACAGAGATGTAGTCGGAATAGTCTCCCATAGAAATCAAGTTCCGAGTCAAAGTCTGTAGCCTGTTCCAATTCTGACCTTCGGTTGAAATACAAAATCCTATTTTGTCAAGTGCTGAAGTGAGCTCCTCGGAGTCTGCACCCATCTTTTGTAAACGAGCTTCAACATCCTGAAGGTTTTTTACCTTCCCCGTCAATCTTTGAATTTTAGTCTTGATTTCGGTGTCGAGCATAATCTTCTGCTCCTCGGAGAGCTCTCTCGAATTTGCTAAAAGATATTGGGGTCGAACGGTGTTGATTAGTGTTATTAGTGATATTAATGCATGATGCATTGATGTGGCTTTCGTGTAAAAGGCACTGCTTGCAATATGATACTCTGCACGAGGTGTCTTGTTGAAAGGTCTTTCAGTCAGTCTCTCCTTCTCCAGATTCTCATTTTCCTTCAACGATTCCGTATAAATGTCCACACATTGCCTAAAAAACAACGTCTGATCCATTTTGCTTGATTCTGGGATACAACTGACCAGTGTGTGGATTGTCTTCCGCCTTCACCATCATCATCTCCATTACCGAGACAAGGGCCCTCAACCTTAAAGCAACACACGTCAAAATGCGCTCCTCCTTCCGCTTCGTTTTTCCCACTCCACAGATCTTCGTTGTCCTTTCCGTGTTGCGCCTCTGATTCTTGTTGGGATGAAGCAGGCATACCCTCTTGGTTGCGCCAACACAACAAACAAGACCCGCATCTCACTAGAAGGAGAGCAAGCATCAACTATGAACTCAGACATGGAAAGCAGTAACGTCTGGGGCGAATCCCCGCTGTCCACAGAAGCCAATTCTGCATCGGTGCTGTACACTGCTGCTTCAGGTGCAGATACCGCTTATCCTAATCCCTATAATGCCTTTTCGGCAGATGATACAATGGACACTAAGGTATCAGAAGACGATGTGGATAATATTGGGCATGCAAAAGAGAACAGAGACAACCATGCGAAAAATGAACACACAACTGATCATCCTTGGGACGCCGACCCGCAAGATGCCCAGCCTTACAAGTCATATTCACCAATATATGACAATGTAAGTCACATAGATGAGTTCAAGATCCAGAACGAGCTTGCGCAGACAATGAAGTCAATTCTTTTGAATGAAGAGAGAAATGCTGGGGTAGAGGGGGATTCCGATAACGATAATGAGCAAACTGAGGACAGCCATTTTGATCAAACAGATCATGTACATTATGTCGACAATATACACAGGAAATCCGATATGGGAAATCCATTTTTAGCCTCATCTATCAAAAACAACGACGGCGATGCTGTAGGACATATAGACATCAATTTATTGAAGGAGAAGAAAAATGAACTTTTAAGCTCACTCACAAAGGACACCAACACTCGTGGATTTCTAGAAGATAATGAGGACGACAAAATCAACACCGATGAGCTTTTCGCCTTATCTCCTGCTAAGACTGCAATGGGTCTTAGTAATGGTGTGGATGATTCTCCACTCAACAATCTTTTGAGCCTTGCCGGATCCAATGCCGCTGGTGCAGCTGAGGCAAATGATAGTAACAGCTCTACAGCTGCTGCCAGTGACCGTTTATCGAAATCAAAAGGTTTTGTTTCCCCAAACAGAAAGATCAAAATTTTACGGCCTAGAAGAATCGCAAAATCGGTGTTGCGTTCTGAACCATCTACATCGGTGAAAGACCTTTCTTCTGCTACAGACAGTAGTAACTTGACGCCTGTGGATCCACTTTCGGCGCCTTTGCAAAACGATACCCCTAATGGGAATAATTTTGATATAGTTTCAGTATCCCCAAGATCGAGGAAACAAAAATTTATCACTGAGTCGGAAGCTCCGCTTTTCAATGTTAACAGAGACCAAGTGTTAGAAAATAGCCGTCATCCGATTTCGCCTGTTTCTTCTGTTTCTGTGTCTGAGTCCTTTTCGCCATCGAAATACCATCTGGAAGATGAAAAGGGTGAAAAATTTGATATCACCGTTGGAGATCCAATTAAAGTTGGAGAGATAACTGATACTCACGTTGTTTACACCATCAATACGAAAACCAAGTCTGATTTATTTGATAATCAGGATACCACTGTGACAAGAAGGTACAGAGATTTTCTATGGCTATATCATCAACTGTTAAACAATCACCCGGGATACGTTATTCCACCTCCTCCTGAAAAGCAAGTGTATGGGCGCTTTAATGATAAGTTTATCGAAAACAGGAGGCTTGCATTAGAAAATATGTTGAATAAAGTATCACAAAGAAAAGTTCTTCAAACTGATCCGGACTTCATCATATTTCTACGTTCAGAAAATTTCACAGAAGATTCCAAAGAACGAGAAACAATTGTGCGTCATGATCCCGATCTCAAGATTCCTGCATCCGTTGATGAAAATACCCATCTAGATGGGCCAATGAACACTATGGCACAAATACTAAATGCAACAGCAAGTTTAGGGATTTCTGAGTCATCATCTGGTGGTGGATTTTTCAGCTCATTGATCGGTCTAAATGCGCCAAAGTATGTCGAAGAAGATCCTTTTATCCTGGAAAAACAAGCATATATTGATAGCCTTGATACTCAACTACGCCAACTTACCCAAAGTCTTGACATGATTCTAGAAAAACGTGACGAATTGACTTTATCATTGCAAGATGTCACAACAGTTATTCAACAATTGGTCGATCTAGAAGTTAACGTCGAAATTACTGATATTTTGTCCAATTTCGAGGAGCTGCAGTCTAAAGTTAAAGAAATACTCGAACGTGGTAATTTGTCTCAAGTACTTACTTTTGGGTCCACAGTCGACGAATACGTGCGCTTGATTGGTTCTATTCGAAACTGTTTTGAGAATAGACTAAAGATCTGCAATAGTGTAGCCACATTAAAGCAACACCAGGAGAAAAAGGAGCACAGTTTGGCAAGGTTTAGGGCCAAGAATCAAAATCAACCTGAGAAGATTAAGAGGTATGAGGACGAGCTATCAAAGATCAACAGTGTATTGGATAAGCAAGTATTGTTCAAAGATGAGTTTGATAAGATTTTTAAGTCCGAATTATCAAGATTTGAGTTTGGTAAAATCAAAGATTTCAAAAATATGGTTGAAATATACTGGGAAAGTTTAATCGAAAACCAGAAGATTCTAATAGAGTTGTGGGAATCATTTTATGATAAATGTGTATTCGACAGCTAAATACATACTTTTCTACTTTGTATAAGTTCTATATTTCCTACACATAAAAAGTAACATTCTCTGTGATGGTAAATGGGCAAGACAAATCAATTTCGAAAATCAATTCATGCAAGTAGAACTTCCCATCCCCATTCTCTCATAACAGTGGTCCAATGAGTCCAGCTTCCAACCATGTTATCTTCGTCATCAACCAAATCCTCATCATTACCGTGTATCACCATACTAATTCTCCTTTTGACCTTATTATACTCTAGACCACTTTTGTCATCAGTCTTTTGAATTAGTTCCAAGCTTGGATCTTTCTCTGTAAAAATCTTGCTACGTTTTTTCCCCGAAAGAGCGTCCTTTCTTGCCCAAACTTCTTTCACCACCTCCCAAGCCCTCTCAATTGTACCTATCCACATTTTGTCAATCAACTCCGTCCACCTTTCTCTAGCCCACTCCCTTTCTTCTCCTGGCTTGGCTTCACATGACGCTACAAAAAGAGGGAACATGTGAGTAACTAAAGTTCTCGAACTCCCTGGAACACTTGCCAGTAGCATCATGACATTCTCTGCCAAACTGTGAGAACCTTGGCTTGGCACTTCAGGCACAGTCTGATGTAGATACAAAAGAGTGGCATATCGGTAAGCTTCAGCTGTGGCCACTGCTGCATTCAAATCAAAAGTGGGATCTTCTGCTGGTACTTTATTGGGCATTTGAGGCAGAGGTGGGATTTTCCAACGTTCAATGGCAGTTTTTAGCTCAACAGCTCTAGAAATCAATCTAAGAGGGGTCTTTGAATTTTTGTCAGAGATAGCCTTGGCTTTCACCTTTGCTCTTCGCACTTGTTCAATAAGCGTTGCAACGTCACTCATGATAGGAAAAAGGGTCTGAGCAATACCTAAGAGTGGATCGATTGTATCACCATCTTCAAGATTGAAATTTCTGAACTTGGCAATGACAGAGGAACTATTGTTTTCGTCATGTTTCTTCTTCTTCTTCCCACGTTTCTTTGACGGCTGCTCAAAGTTCTGGCTGAATTTTCTTTTCATGGACTTGTCTCCCAGTTCCTCATCGGCACCTATACTTTCACTATCATCGGAGTCCTTCAGAGCATCAAAGTTCTCATACTCTCCATCATCAATTGCCTCTTCATCATCACTATCTGAAAAGTTATCATCGTCATTTTCACTGGTCATTCTAGCCAAGACGTCAAAATACATCCAAGCATTAACTAGGAATTGCAATTCCTTGGGGAGTTTTTTCTTGTGTAACTCATTATCTGGGGTTTCGGAACCTAAATTTTCGATTTTATCAGATGAATTCGTGTGATTGCTTTCTGAATTGGACATCAGTACAGATCCAGCGTCTGAAAATGAGCCGACACTGCTACTTCTTCTCTTTTTACTCTTCTTCTTCCCTTCCAACTTATTGAGAACCCTAATAATCATACTTTTAGCACCTTTCAAATGTGCAATACCCGTACTAATGTGTCTATCCCATGCTTCACCCATAGCCAAAGCAATACATGTCGCAAGAGCAACATCCGGTGGTGTACGAGCCACTATCTCAGTTGATGTATCTGAAGATTTACCTTTCAGTTTTTTCGTTTTATCCTTTGAGTTATCGGAGCTCAAACTATGAACCAGAGTGACGATTGCATCCTTCATGTAACGAACACCTCTAGCTCTCAGCATCGGGTCACCTCTGGCCACATGAAAGCAAGTCATTGCCAACAAGGCACTTCGAACAACGGGGTGATCGACTGACATTGGTAGCAGGAAGGTACGCCATGGATTTTCAGTCGGCCCATTCTTTATTGACATAATCCCGCAGGTGTACTGGTCAAAAGCCACTAATGTTGTTAGGTTTTCGTCCGATAAATGCAATGAATAAAGATTAACTGGATTTTGAGGCATCAGTGACTGGGGGCGATTTGGATGCTCAAAAATGTCCAAGGTGGAGCTCATGTCGGAAGCAACTGATCTAGGCGAGCTTGCATCTACGGCAAAGTTGCTATAATTTGAAGGCATTTGTTTAGAGTTTTCAACAACCTCTTTATCTGCTCTCTGCTCCTCAATTTTGGGGCGTATTTTGTCAGGTAGTTGAGTGGCATTGATATAGTTTAGCATCGTCGTGTAGGGTGAGGCTGGATTCGACTGACCTGGCTTTGGTGTCTCAATTTCGAAAAGTGGAGATGGCGCTACGCTTGGGAAGGCCTGCAACTGCTCGTTACCAGCGATGGCTGAAAGGGAGCCGATATTTGGGATTGCGACATTTGAAGGGTCTCCTCCGCTAAGAATTGAGTGTAAAGAGTAGAATTGAGGGCTATGCTGCGCTGGGAACCCAGGGGTGTTCTTCATGGAGTGATCATTGTGTTCGTACTGCTGTTGGAAAGAATCCGCCGGCATTGGGGAGAACTTGGCAAATTGCTGCAGGTTGGAATAGGATTCCATTTCGTCCACAAACCTCGGAGTAGCGACATTTGAATTTGTAGCGGGCCCCGCTGCCGGGTCGAAGTTGGCGTGTGGGTAGGAGGAGAGCAGTCCGGAGTTGTTTGGGGACCGGGGGAAGATGGAGGGGGAAAAGGAGGCCGGGGCCTGGGGCGAGTCTTTGAAAAAGGTCAGCGGAGGGTTGTTTCCCTTTGTTTTGGAGACGATTTCCGGGTGCAAGGGCGGCAGGGTCTTGAGGTACTTTGACGAAGAGGTGAGGAGCGGAGATTTGGCGAACGAGTCTGGTTTCTGAGGTCTGGCTCCCTTTGTCAGGTGAAACGTCTCGCTGAAGGGCGAGAGGGGGCCGACGGGGCTGGCGGGCACCTTGGAAGCGATGTCTGCCAGGGAATGCAAGAGGTTGTTGTTCCTGTACTCGGTATTTACAAGTTTCTTTGGCTGGATGTCGGCGACCGCGTGGGTGATGTCGGCTTCGTCCTCGTTTTCGTCCTCGTCCTCCTCGTCCTCGTCTGCTTCGCCGCGTTGGCTCTTAGCTGTCTCGTCCTCGGACTCCTGCTTCACGACACCGCCGTCCGTCTGCTCCGTCCGCTCCGTCTTGGTCCTGGTCGCTCTCGAGGCTTTTCTGTCCGCGGGCGGTCTGGACGGCTCGTGCTTCGGGTCGCCGGCGGGCTGGAGACCCTTCTTGGACACGAGCTGCAGGATGTCGTCGCTGTTGACGAGGCCGCTGAGGGTGGAGGCGACGGCGGCTGCGAGCTCGGGGTTTTTCCCGTTGGCGATGAGCACGTTGGCGATGGCGATCTCCTGCGCCGACTTGCCCGTGACGGAGAGCGTGGCCTCCTCGAGGGCCTTCTGCAGCGGGTTGTGAGCCGGCTGGTCGTGTGTGCTGCTGCGCTCGTGGTGTGCACACGCCTGGTCCGGCGGCGCCCGGGCGGCGGCGGCAGCAGCAGCACCGGTGCCGGCACCACCAGCGTGTGCCGCCTCTGCTGCTGCGCTCTTGTGGCTGGTGGCTGTGTCTGAGAAGTCCCGCCACTTGAAGTTGATGGCGTAGCCGCCGCACACAATGCCCTTCTTGATGCAGTTCTGGCACAGCGGCTTGGTTTCGTCGCACTTGAGTCTGCGCTTCTTGCAGGTGACACACCCGTTCCTCGACTTGGTCTTCTTGGGCTTCTTGGCGTCGGCCGCAGACGCCTCTGTGCCGCTTTTCTTCTGCGGGTTCGTTGACATCGCAGCGCTGTGTGTGGGTCCGGGGCTCGCTGGTGTCCTGGATCCTCTCTGGTCGTGCGCCCTGCACCCCTGCCTGCTGCTCTACACCTCTCTTCTTCTCTTCCTCGGTCAGCACCAAACGAGACAGAAAACGGCAACCGCAATCCCTGCAACCTCGCAGGCCACCACCACACAAGCCCTATCAGCTACAGGGCTCCTGCGATAGCGGCCCCAGAGTCGGGCACGGCTGGCACCCCCGCCTACGCACCTAAGCTTATTCAGCATTGGCCCCGGCGCAAACAAACGCGATGGTCTGCGGAAGATAGCAGATAGCGCCTGCGGCAGCACAGCTCCCTCCCTCCCTCCTGTGTGCCTGTCTGCCCCTCTGCCTGCCTGTCTATCTGCCTCTCTGTGTGTCCTGCTGCGTCCGTGTCCTCTTCCTCTCCCGGTCTCGCCCCTGTCTATGCCGCTGCTCTTTTCCTCCCGCCTGCTGCCTCTATGGCGTTCCCCGCCGGGCGTGCCTTCCCGAGCTCTTATCAGCCCGCCGGGGGCCCGCTCCGGATCGCGCTGCCCGATCGGGCAACCGCGTGCGAGCGGCCTTTGTCGCTTGCCGGCGCGTGCAGACGACCCCGAAACAGGGCGGCCTCCGACGATCGGCGCGGTCCGGCGCTGCCGGGGACGATCGACCCGGTTTTGGGCGCCGCCCCCACCCGGCGGACCCCCCACCCGACGCTGCCGACGGGGGCGTGGGTATCGGGCGGCAAAGACGGCGGCGGCGGCGGGGCGCGCTAGACCCGCCCCACCGCTTATCGCCGCACTCTCGGCCACCCCCCACCGTCCGGGGAGCAGCAGTCGGAGCCGCTTAAGGTCCTCGAAAGGTCCTCGAAAGATCCTCGAAAGGTATATATGGCACAGACGGTGCCGAAGACAGGGGCAGGGAAAGGGAAGAGGTGGAGGCTAGAGGTGTCGGGTTTTTGGGATAGAGTAGCAGCGCCTGCACAGAACAGCACAGTACAGAGCAGCACAGAGCAGCACAGAGCAGCACAGCACAGCACCATGTCCTTCCCATACGAATTCACCCCGCTAGCAGATAAGCAGACGCTCGTCAAGGCCTACCAGGGCAAGAAAAAGTCGGAGCTTCCAACTCCGTCCCTCATTGTGGACCGGACCATCTTCAGGGACAACTGCAACAAGATGCTGCAGAACGCAGCAAAGCTCGGGGCAGACTTCCGTGCGCACGTGAAGACGCACAAGACACTCGAGGGAACAGCGCTGCAGCTGGGCTCCGGAGACGCCTCGACAGACAAGATCGTTGTCTCCACGCTCATGGAGGCGTGGGGCCTGCTGCCGCTCATCAAGCAGGGCCTCATCAACGACGTCTTGTTCAGCCTGCCCGTGGTGGAAAGCAGGCTGCCCGAGCTCGTGGCGCTCTCGCAGCACGTGCCCCACCTGCGCCTCATGCTCGACAACTACGCCCAGGTGGAGACCCTGGCCAAGTTCAGCAAGGCCCACGGCTACTCCAAGAAGTGGTCGATCTTCTTCAAGGTCAACATGGGCACCAACCGTGCAGGCCTGGGCGTCGACGACGCAGAGCTCGACAAGACCTTGACCGCCGTCCTCTCGTCGCCCCTCTCGGACTACGTCTCCCTCTACGGCTTCTACTGCCATGCCGGCCACGCCTATTCCTCCTGCAACTGCGACCAGGCCGAGTCCTTCTTGGTCGACGAAATCACCCACGGCAACCTCGCCTGCAAGAAGGCCCTCGCCATCGACCCCTCCCTCAAGCTCCAGCTCTCCGTCGGCTCCACCCCTACTGCCCACGCCTCCGAGGTCCTCGAGGTGTCCAAGCTCGGGCCTCTCTCGGGCCAGTTGGAGCTCCACGCAGGTAACTACCCATTCTGCGACTTGCAGCAGATGGCCACTCACTGTGTCTCCTTGAGCAGCGTCTCCTGCCGTGTTCTCGCAGACGTCTTGTCCTCCTACCCTCAAAGAGGCAAGATCGAGCCTGGCGAGCAGTTGATCAACGCCGGCGTCATCGCCTTGGCCAGAGAGTTCGGTCCCGTGCCAGGCCACGGTAGAGTTTACTCCCCAGAGGGCTACGAGAACTGGACCGTCGGCCGCTTGAGCCAAGAACACGGGATCCTTGTTCCGCTGGAAGAATCGAAGGACACCAAGTTGATTCCTTTGGGCACAAGAGTCGAGGTCGTGCCACAGCACAGTTGCATCACCGCTGCATCCTACCCATGGTTCTTTGTCTTCGATGGCGATGACGTTGTCGCGGACATTTGGGTTCCTTTCAGAGGCTGGTAATCAGATTCGGAGTATGCTATAGTTAACCCTTTCCCTACCACAACAATGTATATATATAGAGAGTACAGACATTTAAATAGAGTTTCATATCCCACTGGCACGCCACCCTCTCATTCTTTTACATCATACATGTCGGGACAGAATATCTGTGGAGATCCGGCACTTCTCCTAATGCAGTTGTTCATCAATTTGGCGTACTCCCGGCCAACATGCCAATCGCATTTCTTATACTCGTTCGCCAAACACCTCAAAAGTCCGACAGTGTTGTTCAGCCCATCTATCTTGTCTAAGATCGAGCAGCATTGTCTCATCTTTCTATTCTTCTTGTTGATATCCAGCTTACTGAGCTCACTGAATGAGATGCCAGAACTTGTGGATAGCTCATCACGCACCCGTCTTAAAAATGCATAGCCATCTTCAACAGCAGGGATAAATGATGGCTCATAGGACTCCTCGTTAAATCCAGCCAGGAAATTAGATTCAGGACCAAACTTATGGAACGTGTACGACCATAATATCAAAACAGACGATATGACAATATTGGGGCGGTATATAAGCGGATCCTTGACTGGCTCGTAGCAGTAGTTGATGGTATCCAGTGAGTTCTCCGAAGATAGTAGCATCTCGCAGAGGAGAAGCAACGAGTTGATCACAGCCAATTGTCCATTTACGCTGCTGCTCCATCTCTCAATCCTTCTCACGACTATTTCGAAATCTTCCTCCAAGATGGGTACGTTCATCCTTTTTGGTGCTCCTGCAAAGACAATATAGTCATAATGCGGTATTTTCAGATAGATTTGAACAGCATGGTAGACTGGGAACTTGCACCTGGTGTCCTCAGGTAGCAAAGAAAGTGGTAATGGAGGTGATGTAGCCCCAATATAATGCACACTGGACAAAGTCAAACAACAATCATTCTCTGGTAGTTGTGACTTCCAAAATTCGATGGCAAACGAGAGAACTTCTCTCCAATTTTCTTCAAAAGTATGCCATCCAAAGTTTGACCATTGAGAGATATTCTGCTCAATTTGCAAAACAAGGTTTATTAGACCAGATAAGAGAATATGTCGTCCAAAAGAGTCAACTTCAACTGTCTCATTTTTCAGCAACAGTCGCAAGGCATCTACAAATAGAGGAGTTTCAGTGACCGATAAAGGAGTCTTATTTTTATCGATATTTCTATATTCCCAAATATCATCCGGACATGGTAAAGAAAGTTTTAGCTGATTAGCAAATAATGAAACGGGGTGGCCAAATACCACGGCATGAATGGTGTCTAAGTTAAATGACATCAAGGCTGCTCTTTTGATAGATTCACTTTCGATCCAAGAGTTCCATAAAACGTTTGAACGGCTATTATCTGAAGCGACAGCCTTCATAGGATCACCTCCCAAAATCGGACTTCGTCGCAAAAGCTGTATTTTGACGTTATTGAAGATGCAAGCACGCTCGTGTATTGCTCTAGACGAGCATGCTACCTCGAACGTCTCTAATATTATTAGTGTTTGAATAACCCATACTTTGCATGGGGGTTTTGAGTATTCACTAGCAAATACGGCCCACCTTAGAGGCTCAGCAATAGCTAGTGAGAGTTCAGATGGGTCTACCAAGTTCAAATAAGCTGGAACTTGTGTCTTTTTAGCAAAAGATGCGCCAATCATGATCATACTCAAAAGTAATAAAGGATGTGTCTCTAAAGTGGAGAACGAAGGGCGGTGTAAGAGGGGATACTGACAATGGTACAATAGCCAATATATTTCCAGAAACCATTTGATCTTGGGTATCGTGAAATCTGGATGTTTTTCAAGCACCGGGATATAGCCTATCATATCAAATCTTAACTTTTGATCAATTTCGGTGTGCAAATTTTCGGTTGGAAATTCAGGCGAGAGAGCCAAAACCTCTTCTAGAAGTTGAGCTGAGTTCAACCCAAACTGATCTTCCTGAGCTTGATGTAAAGCTCCATTTATCATTTGATCTGTAGGCATTGAGCTTGAGGGTGATATCTCAGTTGAATCAAGTAACCATTTAATGATTTGCGATGAAAAATCCCGAACTTCTTGTGGATCGTCTTCAAACTTCGGATAATCCGTAGAAAACGCATCCGGAGACTCTGAAGTATTTTCCTTTGTTGCAGCTTGCAAAATTTCGCCTTCGCTTTCACTCTTAAGACCTTGAACTTGTCCATGTTCGAAGCCGGGTTCTAAACCATTTTTGAGGTTCAGTCGTGGATGATTTCTCTGCTCGTGTTTTCTTTTCACGTCAATCCTAGTGAAAAGTCTATTGCAAGAGGAGTCATCGCATTTGAACCTTCGAGCCGAGTGGTTCGCTTTGTGTCTTTTCAAATGATCCGGCCGGGAAAACTCTTTCCCACAATTATGGTGATCGCAAATATATGGACCGGTGTTTTTTTTCGGCCTTTTAACTGACATTTCCTGATTGTGCACCTGAAATGGCACTTTCAAAGCCTAAATATTTGCTACAACTACACCTTAAGGACATCCGCTTTTACCTCGTGGCAGTACAAATAATCTGTCCTAAACCTTGGATACACATGTTACTTAGTTTTCCGGACAGCTTATCAAATGGTTCACGCCTTCCGGAAACTGAGGCACCAATTATAGCCGCACCTTTTTCGTTATCAGTGACAAAAAAGGAAGGTGGTGGGGGACGGTGGGGGAGAAAAGAGTCGTTTGTGAGCTGATAGCGGAGGGTCCGTCGGTGTGATTGGTTGTGGTGGTGGATAAGATAGTAATTAGTGACAAGTTGGATAGGTAAATAGTTATGAAAAGAAAAGGTATATACACACAACGGCTACAGAGGCTCTCTTTTTTTTTCCTGTGATAGTGATAGACTGACCAGCTAATCTAAGGTTGCAACTGCCTCGAGTTCGTACTTGATGGCAGCATCCATGAAAGCCACAACAACACAAGAGCGTGCTGGCTTTTGTGGGAAGTACTGGCCGTAGATCTTGTTGACGGTGCTGGAGTAGTTTGCGTGTGAAATGAACATAGTCACCTTGAAGACTTTGTCAAGAGAAGAACCGCCTGCAACCAACACTTTTTCTAGGTTCTTGATTGCCAAGTGGACCTGTTCCTCAAGGTCTTCTGGGGTTTCACCTGTAGCGTAGTTTGAGCCAATAATACCGGATGTGAAGACGTGACCGTTGCTGACAAAGGCTGGAGAAAGAACAGGGTGTTCTTGTCCTTGGATTGATTCCCATGTAACTTTGGTGGCTGGCATTGTTGCTGTCTGTGAATGGTTTATATGCTAAGAAAGTTGACTTTACTAAATTAAACTTTCTCCCTTGAATTTTATCACACAGCACCGAATGGATGAGAAACAACTACAGGGGGACGTGGGTTTATATATCTGGCAATTTTGGCAGGGCCTGAAAATCCTCGGTCCTCGGCTGATAAGCGGCCTATTAACTCAAGAAGTGGGGGCTTTGTTCAGGAACTGGGGGGAAGAGGGGGAGACGGGGGAGACGGGGAAAATGGCAGGTGGGACTCACAAGGTGGGACTAATGTGGTGAGTGGGACTGAAAATCAGAAGTACGGTGGGTGGACATGGAAGCTGGCTACGGAATCTGGTTGGTTGTTTGGGCACAGCTAGATGGCACCCCCCCTATTTTCTGATTTGGCGAGAGGTGGGGGGACGGTGGCCCGACAGTGCGAAAGAGACGGTGGGGGGACCCTGTGCTTTGAATCTGGTAGAGTGGTAGATTGTAAATTCTATATTATATCATATTCCAAATAGCTAGATAGAGAAGTACACATTGGTTTCAAAGAGAAGGATTATTAAGAGAGCACAGAAAGGAAAAAACAAAAATTGGAGGATGGAGGGAGTAAAAATATTTATTTAAACGACTGGTTCCTTTTCAAGGTTCTCATCAATGGTGACGACAGTCTCCACGTAGTTGTACAACCTTGCAGTCTTGGCGGTCACTCTTTCGGTCTTGTAATAGAACTTGTAGCCCAAGATCATGATAAGGTAGACAGCAATTCCAATATAGCAAGTGATGAATTGCTTATACTGGAAGTTTGGCATGAAAGCGTTGTAACCGTTAAAGAAGGTGATGATGACGAGGAAGAAGAAGGCGATGTATGCCGGGTAAGGTTGGAACCACATTCTGAAAGGAATGTCTTCTCTTGGAACTTTCTGTTCTACGGTGGCACTGTAGAAAGTGAAGTAGGAAAGGAGGATGTTGATCCAGATCAACAAGCCGAAGACACTGTCGGCACTGGTGAAGTAGCCAAAAATGGTGGACGAGGACTCCTTGCAGTTCATGTATGCCAAAAGACCAAAGAGGGCCGTAAAGAGAGAAGCGTAGTATGGGTTCCCATTTCTGTTCAACTTGAGGAAGATCTTAGGGGCCATGCCGTCTCTGGCCAAGCCGTAAAGGGTACGGGAGCCGAGATAGACATCGGAGTTGGCGGCGGCGCCGACAAAGAACAATAAGCAGGCGTTGATGAAGGAAGGGAGAACCTTGATTTCCGCGGTCTTGAAGGCAATGACGAAGGGAGAGGCAGCGGCGTTACTCGAAGAGGCAGCGCCTAGCAGTGGGTTCAGCGGAGAGACGGCGAGACCGAGGATGAAGACCCCTAGGATGTAGACAAAGCCGATTCTGAAGAACACCTGTCTGGTGGCGGAGGGGACGGTCTTCCGCGGGTCTGGGGCTTCACCGAAGATGATTCCAATGCACTCGCTTCCGCTATAGGCAAAGACAGATTGGATGACACATGCCCACCAGCCGAGGAAGCGGCCGGTGCTCCCCTCGGAGAGGTACTCGAGGAAGGCGTGCTCTCTCCAGTGCTGGAAGCCGATGGTGGTGTGGTTTGGCGCACCACCGGCGGTGATGACGATACAGGTAATGAAGCAGATGACCAAGGTGAGCAACTTGACGACAGACCCCCAGAACTCGGTTTCACCGTAGACCCGCACGTTGAACCAGTTGACGAAGATGACCAAGACGTAGAAAACAGAGATGAAGATCCCCGGGTTGAGGTCTTCTCGCCAGTACTGGATGATGATGCCAAGCGCACTCAACTCGGCAGGCAAGGTGATGGCGTAGGTGAAGAAGTAGTTCCAGCCGGCAGCAAAGCCCAAGGACTTGTCGCAGAACCGCGTGCAGTAGCCCGAGAAGGCCTTATCCATTGGGGCAAACGCAGCCATCTCCCCGAGAGAAAAAAGCACCACCATGAGCAACGACCCGGTGAAGAGATACCCAAGAAAGAGCGACGCCGGACCACCCCGCTTCAACGCGGTTCCGGACCCGATAATCAACCCGGTCCCCAACGCACTGGCCACAGCCATCATACTCACCTGTCTCGCCTTGAAGTCTCTGCTCAACACCTGCTCGTCCGAAGGATTGCCATGCTGGTCGACGAGGATTGACCGGTTTGACTGCACCGACGTAACGTTGCGTCCCTCGTCCTCCTCCGTATCCGATTCCTGTTTGAATGCGTAGAACTCCTTCAGCTTGTTCATCTCGTTCTTCTTGTTCGTGTTCTTGTTCTTGTTCTTGCTGCTGCTCCTGTTGCTCTAGCTGATACACTGCCAGAGTCAAAAACAGAAGAAAAGAGACACTGCACCCGTTCCACACCTTTCACAAGCAAAATTTTCCTAGGAAACCGTCTCTCTCTTAAACCATCCCCGGCCCGGTTAGCTTCTCCGGACACAGCCTGCCTCTGCACCCTCCCTCGAGGTCTCTTCCACACCCCCCGACGCTTATCGATCCTTATCAGTGCAGGGTGCGCGGCGCCCCGCCACGCAACGTTTTTGTCTCCTCGGCTCCCCCACCAGTACCGCGAGAACCCAGGCACGTCTTCGAGGCCTCTGCATCGAGACAAAGCTTCCCCCACCGGTGATGCTGACATAAGCAGGGCTCCTGGCGGGGGGGCGAGCGCTGAGGAGGAGGAGGCTCCCGCGGGGGGGAGGGGGCAGGTAAACAGAAGGTGTTGTCGTGTCACTGCGACGGGGCACTTGACGGGGTGGTTCGGCGTTGGAAGGTGGGCAGATTAGCAACTGATAAGAGAGTCTTATCTTCCAACAGTAAGCACCGAACACCCACCAGCACTGTTGTCGGAGATCACGAGACTTGCATTCCTGCCGCCATGTCCACGCCGCAAAACACACGGGACTCGTTGGAGTTTCACCACACGTCGCTGCACGACAGCGCCGCCGCTGTCGCCAGCAGCATGAACGTCGCCAGCAGCAGAGGCACAGGCAACCCGGGGGCGTACGAGTTCTCCTACCTCAAGATTGTCTTTGTGGTGGTGCTATTTGTGGTGTCGCTTTTCTCATTCGTGACGCAGACGGAGCTGACGAGCCTGCTCTACTCGGCCTACGGCTTCAACGAGCCGATCCTCTTGCTCTACCTGACCCACGGGTCGTGGTGGCTGCTGTGGCCGCTGCAGTTTCTGTCGATCGGGGTGTTCAAGAGCGTGCGCAAGTTTGTTCTCCACCAGAGAGGATACACGCCTGTCGACGGGAGACGCTGGAAGGGTCTGCGCAGAGCCTTCGCCAGCTCCATCAAGGCCCAGCACCAGAACATCTTCCACACGGCGGAGTTGACCGCCCACTCCAACATCGGCGACTACGAGATCCGCTACAAGGACCCCCGCAAGAGCTTCCGCAAGTACTCTCAGTTTTTCCGAAGCACCGCCATCTGGTACGTCTTCAAGATGTCCGCCCTGCTCTCGCTCATCTTGAACGTCGCCGGCGTAACCTGGTTCCTCGCCATGTCCTTGTCCACGGGCAGCGACGTCACCGCCATCTACAACTGCAGCGCCTTCACCGCTTACATCTTCGCAATACCCATCCTCAAGGAGAGGTTCTCCTGGATCAAGGCCAACTCAGTCATCACGGCCATCGCAGGAGTGTTCATCGTCGCGTACATGGGTAAGTCTTCCTCCGGCGGAGACGCAGCAGACCCGGACGCAGGCACAGGCACGGCCTATCCTCACAGGCTGTTCGGGAACTTCATAATTCTGCTTGGCGCCATCCTCTACGGTTTGTACGAGGTATTCTACAAGAAGTGGTGTTGTCCTCCCTCTGAGCTTGTCAGCGCCAGAAGACAGGCGACGTTCTCCAACTTCATCATGTGTCTCATTGGAATCAACACTTTCTTCATCATGGGCATAGGGATGCTTGTGTGTGAAGTCAGTGGCCTGCACCACTTCCAAATACCAACCCACGGCAAGGCCTTGCTCTACATGGTGACCAGCATCATCTCCAACCATCTTTTCAGCGTCTCCTTCCTTGGCTTGATGTCCTTGACCTCTCCGGTCTTTTCCTCCGTCGCTTCTCTAATCACCATTCTAATCGTCGGGCTATTCGAATGGCTCTTCAGAGGCATCGTCATCACATTTTATCAAATTATCGGTTATATCCTCATAATAGTCGGGTTTGGACTATTAACTTACGCTTCTTGGAGCGAGATCTCACAGGAAGATGTTGACGACGACTACATCACAGATACAGAATCAACATACAGTACCGCCAGCTCTCAAATGGCATGAACGAATCATATCCTCCTTTATATTTCCTTATATTTCACCACATGTCTTTTTGTATCAACATTTACAGTTATCGGCGTTGGACAACGCCAGAGAATCAAAGTTAGAACATTCAAATATACCAATCACTTTTGTCGTTTTATTGATAAACCTTGACAATGTACTCCCGCCGAGCCCCGAAAACACTACACTGCAACAGTAGCAACCGTACTTACTTACATGTAGCTGATCGTCCAGCCTGCGTCATCTGCCCGTTTTCAATCTCATATTCTATCTTCTATATCACCGCCTCCTCCTGCATTCGCTTCCGCAGTAAAACTTTATTCTGTAGCACCTGCAAATGATTCACCGCGCAAACGCTCACTGGCCTGACCACTTCATGTCGAAAAAAAAATACAATAATCCTCATGATAGGTAGAAGATGAAGTCTTTCATGTTCAGCAGTATAAACATAACCCCTTATTTTTCTATTTTTAGGAAGCCTCATCCCATAACATGACGGAAGAAATTACCAAAAAAACTGAAGAAATCCAACTCTCTGAAACAGAGCAGAAGATCACCCCATGGGAAGTCGAAGGTGCTGTCGTCGACGGTCGGGCAGTCGGTATCGACTATGATAAACTCATCACCCAGTTTGGTACCAAAAAAATCAGCGAAGAGCTTTTAAACCGTTTTCGTGCCGTTACCGGCCATGAGCCTCACCATTTCATGAGAAAAGGACTGTTCTTTTCGGAAAGAGACTTTAATCGTATCCTTGATCTCTATGAACATGGTGAACAGTTTTTCCTCTATACTGGACGCGGTCCCTCCTCCGACTCGATGCACTTGGGTCACATGATTCCCTTCCTCTTCACAAAGTGGTTGCAGGAAGTCTTTGATGTCCCTCTCGTGATTGAGCTCACCGATGATGAGAAGTTCTTGTTCAAGCAAAAGTTGACCATCGAAAACGTGAAAGATTTCGCCAAGGAAAATGCCAAAGATATCATCGCAGTTGGTTTCAAGCCTGAAAATACTTTTATTTTCTCAGATTTGGAATATATGAACCCAGCCTTTTACGAGAATGTCGTCCGTGTCTCTAGACAAATCACCACTTCCACTGCTCGTGCGGTCTTTGGGTTCCAAGATTCAGACTGTATTGGTAAGTTGCACTTTGCATCCGTTCAAATTGCAACTGCATTCCCTTCATCTTTCCCAGCCGTTCTGGGTTTGCCTCCAAAAACCCCATGTCTTATTCCTTGCGCTATAGATCAAGACCCTTATTTCCGTGTCTGCCGTGACGTTGCCGATAAGTTGAGGTTCAGCAAGCCTTCTTTGATACATTCCCGTTTCTTCCCAGCTTTGCAAGGCTCGACAACAAAAATGTCTGCATCTGATGAAAACACGGCCATTTTCATGACCGACACGGCCAAACAAGTGCAAAAGAAAATCAACAAATACGCATTCTCCGGAGGTCAAGTCACTTCTGAAGACCATCGTAGACTGGGTGGTAACCCAGATGTCGATGTTGCATTCCAATATTTATCTTTCTTCAAAGATGACGATAAATTGTTAGAAGAAACTTATAACTCTTACAAAAAGGGAGACCTCTTGAGTGGCGAAATGAAGAAGCTTTGTATTGAGACTTTGCAGGATTTCGTGAAGACCTTCCAGGAAAACCGTTCTAAGGTCGATAAAGCCACTCTTGATAGCTTCATGAAGCCTCATCAATTAGTTTGGGGCCAAAAGGAGAGACTTGTTCCTGCAAAGCCAAGAGAGAAAAAACAGCCAGCAAAGAACTGAGATTGATTTCCAACAGCTGTCAACACTTTAATTCACCTATTTACAGTATTTTTTTATTATCATTAATTCTATACTTATGAGTTTCTAACTTCACTAGATTTTACACCAAATTAAATTTCCTTCACTGCTGTTAATGCATCTTTCTCGATGGTTTTGTAGCATTCGTTAACAAATTCTTTGGAAATGTTGAACTGTTTACCAAATTCGTCAGTTGCAAACCAGTTTTGAGTAGCTTCCTTAGCTTTGACGATACTATCCTTGGTGGAAACAAGAAGCTCACTTCTATCGATGTCACGACATTTCTGTTTCACGAGCTTATGAGTCTTGTTGATCTGAGCAAGCTTGGTTTTCTTCCCGAAAAACGAAGCAGGCGAGCTCTGTTTGATTATAGTGAACAATATTTTTTCGTAATCCTGCAGTAGGAAGTAGTAATTGTTACACTCTGCTGAAAGCACATCTCTTGAAGCTTCTTCAATTTTAGGCTCCAAAGGAGTATCTTTAACAAGTAACCATTCCAAGCTGGATAATATCACTTTCTCCATATTCGAAAACGATTTCAAGCTGTCACTATTTTCTAGAAGGCACAGATACCTAGTTTTGTAGTCTTCCCATACTCTACTATGCTGATCATAGATGAGCAATTCGTGAAGCATCCAAATTGACACATATTTAGTATCGACTAAGCAACTAAATTTCGATTCAACGAACTTTTGTGGTGCTGGATGGACTTTATGGTCACCACATGCCCAAAGAATATTCCGATCGCTGTTATCATGGAGTTTCAAGTCGACATCAGAACCATCTAAAATAAAAGTATGATAAGCTTTTTTTAATAAGGGAATAAAGTCAGCCTTGATCTTGTCAATCGATTTATCACCCTCACGCAAACGAGTATTTTGAATGCTTTTTACTGCGGTGTGAACGTAAGAAGTTGAATTTTCGACTCGTATTTTAAACTCCAGGAAGCCTTTGAGTTTACTGAATGTGCTGTGCTCAAAACATGACATGACCATTGGGGGGAGTTCCGCTGCAACATTTTGGCTATAGAATTTCATAGCAGCAGATAACAGCTCATTTTTTCTAGTCTTGGATGATATATGATTCGTGAAATGTGAACTCAAAGTGTCCACTTGTAAATTTTTGATCTTCAAATTCTGATAAATTCTTGCCAATGGGTTGGAAAGGTTTGTATTCGAATACATGTGCGTTAGCCATAGTTGCAAGTGAAATTCGTAACTATTTTTAACCAATGAACTCTCAAGAAGAACAATGAGATTCAAATAGGTTTGCGTATCAACTTTATCCTTATTGATTGTTAAAAAGGATTGAATTGCAAAAATCAAGAACTCAAAACCTGCAAAATAATCAAATTCAACCAACTTGTTTTGCAAATGTTTCGTTACATCATAGTACTTGCAACAAATCGAAAAAAACTCTTTTTCTCCGTACAAGTCAGGTTTGATGAACGTTTTGATTTTCATGTAATTGACTAGACAAATTAGATCATTCTCCGTGGCACTCCTTCCGCCGGATACAACCGATTTCAAATCTTGTTGCGTAAATTTTTCTTCTAATACTTCAAGTATAGTTGCAACAGGAAGTACTTTGTTTTGAAGAAAATGAAACAAGTCCAAGAAACAACAGAGTTTATGCATGTATAAGTTCAGATAATTGAGAATCGCTTGCTTTTTGCCCATTATGTCAATGAATTCTAACACCTCGATCTTAGCAAGTTGGCTATTTCTTCCAACTTTATATGTGTTTATAACCTCATTTATTTTTTCCATACAGTGTAATTTCTTTGCAGCAAGTATAGCTAGTTTCCATGTATCCCAATCATCAACACCGATTTTGACTAGATAAGAAACACAAGAATCATAAAGCTCATCCCAGAGTTCATTCTTCTTGAGTTGTTCAAAAAACATTAAACGCAATTCCAAATCACTCTCTTTTTCAAGAAAGCTCTTCAGTTCTTCCAAACATTCTTTGGTAGAACCTTTCTTGAGAAGTAATTCACATTTGACAAACATTTGTTGTGCGTTCAATCCCTTTTTGAACGATTGCTCTACAGTTTCTATTATCTTCAACCCTAATGTGGCTAACAATTTGTCCTTACCATTGGCCAGTCTGTTTTTGTCTTTACAACAATCTATCACAACTGTCATTGTAGCAGCAGCCCAGAATTTGACCATTCTACCATTGTCAGTGTCAGCCTTGAACACCTTTGATAGGGCCATAGAAGCTTTCTGCATCCCCATAAGATCATTGTTATCAATGGTCTTTTTAAACCATTCGTAAGCTAAACTTGAAGATTGGTACTTTCGCATCGCAGTTTCATAAATGTCATCTTTCGGTTTGTAGTCTAGTAATTGAAATGTTGAATCAAGAATGTCTAAACTGTTAGGGTCTGAAGGAGTTTTTCCGGTAAAAGCCAAAGCAGATTCTAGAGCATCTTTAACCGTTGTAGAATCGGTGGGGGAGAGTGCAGCGTTGGCAAGAATGAAGGAACGGCACGCATGATTATAAGAAGAGCTAGGTTGTTGCACTATTTTCTTATCCACAAGTTTCAGAGCGAGCTTGTAATTGCCCGCTTCCAAGGCAGAATCAATCAATGGAAATCCAGTGGACATATTTGTTATTCACCGGATGTCTAGCCCAAGCACTTCACTAAATGGGGCAATCTGATGATATAAAATGAGTAACTTATAAACCTGAGAACCTCTTGCGGTTATTGTTTAAATCGAGGACTTTAATAAAAAATTTAGAAACTCGTTCTTGAAGTTTCATTTTTTCGTAGTGATTACGTAAAAGTCTTCAGCATTTGGTAAATACATTCGTTAAATATACGCGAAACAATAAACTATCTACTCACAATAACTTCATAGATTCATGCATTTTGAGGAGCTTATCAGCAAGGTGCTAGGCAAATAGATAATCTCCGCTAATCCATCTGTTCACCATATCCAAACTGTGGGATGGTTGATCGAACGGAACCATATGACCAGCATCAAAAACCCTCAAGAATGTCAGCAATCCGTTAGATTTGGCAGTTCCTGCATGTGATCCGTTTGCTTTTGAATACCAGTTAGTTGTGTTGGCGGCATTAAAAGACTCCTTTCCAGACCAGCTTAGCTCATTAGACCACCCTTGGTTTCCTAACCAGTTACAAATGTAGTCTTTGTCTCCTGCATAGATCAACACAGGAATATTCAGTTCCAAAATTTCAGCAACGAACTGTTGGAAAGGTTTAGGTTCGTCACCGGAAAGGATAAAATTTCTAAAGACTTGGTTGTCACAGCCAACATAAGACTTGACTTCAGAGCCCAATGCGGACATGACTTCGGGTTTGTTCAAGTACTCATCTATGGCGCTCATTTGTGGATAGCATCCGTCGCCCAAGCATGGCTTTCTGATATCGTAATAATTCAAACCCGTTTTCTCAAATGGGGTCATCATTCTCTCGCAGTATAGATTTGCCGGTAAACAGGTCAATGCCGTTTGCGATCTGTAGCACGTGTTAATCAATGCTGCACACCTGGGGTACATTTTCTCCAAGTCTTCACATTCGTCATCAGGAATTAATTGCTTGTATCCGGATTCGGTGGCATTGCATGCCATTGGAATGTAGTAGTAGTATTGGATCAATGCGTCAGTGATACCGTTACCGATCATTACAGAAGTCAAACTGAAAAATTTGTCCTCTTTATTTGCAATTACACTTGCAATATTTGGAATGTAATGGCCGGCATATGATTCACCAGCTATGTGGAAATCGTTCGAGGCAAAAGTGATAAACTTTGCAAAGAAGAGCTGTAGAAATGCATAAACGTCCTCTGCTGCTTGCTTGGTGGAAGAGACCGTACTTTTTTCAGCATACGAGTATCCGACGCCAACTGGTTGCTCGAGGAAAATAACCGAAGCGTTTGAATTCCATGAATATGGGTTGGAGACAGGGGTCAAGGTGGTACCGTTAATAGAGGATGGACCCAACTCAAAGAATAACCCAGTCATCGAGGAACAACCAGGTCCTCCATTCAACCAAAGGATAACCGGGTCGTTCTCTGGGTCGTTTCTACTTTCGAAAAACCAGAAAAACAAGTGCTTGTCCTCCTCATTGATGTCAAAGTAACCTGTCCACTGTTCGACCGTATCGACTCCTAGAACAGAAGGGTTTGACTCCACATGCTTTTTCACTCTTAACCCATACAAGGAGCTAAACTCCGCCAAGTTGATGTGCTCATAATTGGCTGTGTCTTTCAACTCGGGCTGTCTGAGCGCACTTTTCGGAGCCTTAAACTCTTCTGAGCTATAACGCTTGAGCTCCTCCTCTATTTTGGAGGCGTCCACAGTCTCCTCCAGCAATTCCCACGCCTCAGAAATCTTCTCATCAACAAGACCTTGATCAAACAGGCCCTCTTTCAAGTACTTGTCGAGAATTGGGTGGCGATGTTGCTGTTTATCCTTGAAGGAAAGGACGTTCTGTTTGTTATAGCCCAACACTGGGTTCGCAGATGCGGTGCTCACAAGAAGTGAAACAACCGCCGCAGCACTCAATGCAAGTTTCATCGTTTTGGGTGCTGGTTTATGTCGATGGTGTGAAGGTTTTGGGCCTCCATCAGACGACAGGACTGCCAGGGAAGGCAAAAACTACTTCAGTCCAGAATGAGCTGAATGTGACAATGGCGATACCCCTGGGGTTGCCTCTCGCCTCTGGGACGACACTTATTTTTCTCGGCTCTGTCCCAGAAGAGGAAGACGTAAGAGCTTATCGGGGGGGACAGCCTATCCGGCTTTGCGAGGCTTTACGAGGATGTGCACGGAAAAAAGCATTTGCTCATATTTCGAAGGTTGCACAGCTAGCTGTGAGTTATTAGTATATAATTTCAAGAAGCAGAGTTTATTTATTTGTCGAGGGATCCTCTGTAGATATGGTAGGCCGAGGCTTGGTTAGTGGCGAAGACCAAGGTTTCGGCAATGACGGTGTTTGCCGGTCTGGAGACAGCAAACAAGATCAACTCAGCAATGTCGGAACCGTACAGAGGAGTGGTGTTTTCGTAAACTTTCTCGGCCTTGGACTGGTCACCCTTGAATCTGACGAGAGAGAATTCCTCGGTGGCAACGTTACCTGGTTCGATTTCGATTACTCTGATGTGGGTGTTGATCAACTCCTCCCTCAACACGTGAGTGAAGGATCTCAATGCCGCCTTGGTGGCACAGTAGATACCTCCACCGGGGTATGGGTTTCTGCCTGCAACCGAGCCTAGCTGGACAATATCACCAGAGTTTCTCTCCTTCATCTGCTTGACAACCAATTGGGTCAACTGGATCATACCCAAGACGTTGGTTTCGAACATTTCCTCGACGTCCGCAGAGTCAACAGAGCCAATAGCGTCCAATCCCAATGCCTTACCGGCGTTGTTGACAAGGACGTCGACGATGGCAAATTCTTCTGGCAACGACTTCAAAAATGGAGCGATGGTGTTAACCTTGGACACGTCCAGCACATCGATGTGAACCTTGATCGAAGGGTAGTCCTTGAGCAAGTCGGCCTTCAATGCCTCGAGCTTTTCTTTTCTTCTTGCAGCCAACACGAGCTTGAGGTCACCCTTGGCGGCCTCTGCAAAATACTTGGCGGTGTGGTAGCCGATACCAGTGGAGGCACCTGTAATAAGAATGTTCTTTCCAGCGAGTCTTTGTGCAATGTTTCCAAACATTTTATGTGGTTGTATGTATTTCTGCTTGGCTTAGAGAGGTCCAGATATAATAACCCTATGTCTGGTCCTGCTCTTCTTCAGCCGGCAAAAGGATCCACTTATAAAGGCCCGACCCCCGGCGGCCGCTGTGGCGGTCGGAGCGGCGGGCGGGAACCCAGCTCCGCCACCACCAGGCCGGCCTCGTTTCGCCGAGAGCGGCAGGTGCCCGGTCGCTATCGGCCAGAGCTACATGTATGGGCAGGAGAAAAAGATACATTGGGGTTAAAAAAATAAATAAGAGAGTAAATAGACAATGTAGGTTGCTAATCGACAACTTTGCCGACAACGGCACCCGACGAGATGTGTTTCTCACTATCGTCAACCTTCTTGAGCGAGGTGCCCAGGGAGATCTGGCCCAAGAGGGCGTTGATGTTCGGGGTTCCTCCAGTCGGCGCAGGAGGTGGTACTGGTGCTGCAGAGAACGCAGGAGGAGGAGGAGGAGGAGGAGCTAAAGAAGGCAACTCCGGCGCCGCAGGTGGCGATGTTAAAGGTGGTGGTGGTGGTGGGATTGTAGACGGAAGTTCTGGTGCCTGGTTTGTAGGAAGAGGCGGAGCATCGAGCGGAGGCGGCGGTGGAGCGTCGGAAGATGGCAACAAAGGAACCTCGTTTGTAGGGAGTGGTGGTGCCGTAAACGCAGATTCTGGAGACGACGGTGGTGTTGGGTCGATGAACGATGATTCCTCGGACTTCGCATCGTAGAATTCGGAGTCTTCTCTGCCTTCGTTGGAGACCGGAGGCATGCTCAAAAGCGGTGCAGGAGGGGAAGCGACAGGGATTGGAGGAATGGCATCGGGAATAGGCGGTTGCGATAAAGTCGGTGGAGCTGGCTGGGACGGTTCGTCAGCAGCAGGTGAGTGGGGAGGCGGTGGGAAGGCGGGAGCCACAGGTTCTTGCGAAGCTGGTTGATCCACTTCGGTTGTTTCCGTGTTCTCAAACATGCCATCCACAGCTGGCGTTGGTGCTGGTGCTGGTGGGACGTACGAAGTTGTTCTCGACGGCTGAGAATTCCCTCCAAAGAGCATTGATGCAAGTTCCGCCTGCTTGGTTGCTGTTGGCATCTCGTCGTCAGAAGCCTCGTCGCCTGAGTCAGACCAGCCGTCGTCATTCCCTGTTCCCATCTGAGAGGCTCGTTGGGCCTTCAGCTTGTCGTGGTCAACCGACGCAACCTCGCTGGTCGAGTTAGAGTTGTTCTTCTGCAGCTTTGAAAAAGGATTGTAGCTTGGTGCTTGAATAGCCTCTTGCTTCTGCTCAACTGGTGAAGCAGCAGGCTTCAAATCCGTACTCTGAGCACCCATCATCGATGCAAATGGATTATTGCTATGGTTGGATGCCTCTTTAGAGTTGTTAGAAACAGGAGGCTGGACGTTTCCAACTGCAACTGCCTTAGGTGCAGGAACCGTCTGCTTCGCAGGTTCGTCCCAGCTGTCATCCGAATCTTGTTCTTCTTCCTTTTTCATGGCGGCCATCTCTGCCTTCAGTTTGGCCAATCTCTCTTCCTTCTCACGCTTCTTCCGCTCCTTTCTGGCCTTTTCACGTCTTTCCATCTCTCTCTTCTGCTCCAGTAAGGCCTTGTATTCGTCATCATCCTCATCCTCACTACTGCTGTCGCTCTCAAATGAAGATGGCTTAGCCGCTCTTTGTGGAGTTGGCCCAGTGGAACGAGGTGCCGGTGGTGCCGGTGGTGCCGGTGGTGCTGAAGATTTAGCTGGCGCTTTTTGAGCAGGTTGAGCAGGTGGGACTTCGTTTCGAGCAACTGGTGGCTGAGCTTGAGTTTGAGCTGGTGTTGGAGCTGGAGACTGAGATGGAGACTGAGATGGTGCTTGTTGCTCAGATGCGATATTTCCATTCTTTGGGGTAGGCTTCTCTCTTTTAATACCCATCTTCGCCAACCTTTCGTTCATTCTTTTTTCGGCCTTTTCCTTAATCCTTTTTGCCCTTTCTTCCGCAGCCGATAAACCTGAAGATGGCTTCGAGTTTTCAGCAGAAGTAGTGGCGGCAACGACTTTAGTATCTTGAGAACTTGGCAAAACCGAATTGGATTGTTTAGCTCCACCACTTGTACTCGATAGATAAGGATTCGACAACGATGATGGGGCCGAAATTGATGTTTTGTGAGCCGGCTTCGTGGAATTCAAATAATCAATAAACTCTGAGACTTCTGGGCTTTGAATACCCTCTTTCTTTTCCCATTTAACATGTCCAACAGACATGGAGTTAGTCAAATTAAGTGAATCAGAAACATCAGAAATTAAAGACTTGATCGAGGCTGAAATATCCTTCACCATACCCTTTTGCTCATCAAAATCCTTGCTAATTTTTACAATTTCTTCATTTAACTGAGCCTCGTTATCTTCAAAAGCATCAAAGTTAGGTGCAGGTTTGCCTGTCAACTTGGCCATCTTAGCTTGCAACAATGCCTTCTGTCTGGCGATTCTTTTGTCTGCTTCCGTTATTTCACCATTGGCGCCAGTGCCTCTAAATTCGACACCTGAAGGATTTTCCTTCTGTAACTTCAATCTGAAAATTTCGATTTTTGCTGCCTTGAGCTTATCGTCCATCTGGCCAATTGCATCCATCAGCTGGGGAACTTTGTCTGCAAATTTGTTTAATTTGGCGTTTAATTGTTCCTTCTCCTCAATAGAATCAACATTTCCGGTATTGGAAGAGTTTAGCTCCGATTGTAGGCTTTTAATTTTGGTTTTAAGTAATTCAATTTCGTTCAATGTTTTCTGCTCTTCATGATCAACAGATAAATCATTATCCTGAGCATCAAGTGCAGACAGCAAAATTTTTTTCTCATGGATCTGTTTCTTCAAATCATTGATTGAAAGTTTTGTGGAAAAAGCACTGGATTTTTCATCCTCCTTTGATCTTCTCCTGTGTCTTGAGTTCGAGACATAATTGATAGAATCATCATCGTTTTTGTATGTTGTTCCAGATCTATTTACACCTGGTTTAACATTCATAGAACTTCCAACACCACCGTTGGACGCTTGCTTTTTTAACTGATCTTTAATACTATCAACTGTATTCTCAAGAACTTTTGAAGATGGAGGGACAAGCTCTGGTGGTAAATAGCTAGGAATATCAAAACCATTCAATCTTCTATAAATCAAATGCATCGCAACTGCAAATTCATCTCTGTTCAATTTTCCCTTATTTCCTTGATCACAAAGAGTCCAAATTCTCTCCAAATCACCGAAACTCAAACCAGATTTGGTAAAAACTCCAATTGCAACGTCACCAGTGACAAAACCATTTCTTTCTTTGTCCCATTGTTTAAAAATATTATCATAAATAAGCTTTTCCTGCTTAGTTATAGCCCATGTAACGTTTGAAGCAGAGGAGCCTCCCATCCTGTTTTGTAATAAAGTTGACTGGGATTGCGCATTAGGCATAAAATGGGACTGCATCATGTCTAAACCTGGAAGTCCGCCAGTAGGGGTTGAAACAAACCCCCATTGACCAGGTTTGCCTGTTGGCATTGGTTGTAAACCGGTTTGCTGAGATAACATACCCGTTTGCTGAGGAAACAGACCGGTCCGTTGAGGCATAAGGCCGGTTTGTTGAGGCATAATACCTGTAGCTTGCGGTTGAAAGCCAGTCGTCTGTGGTTGAAAGCCAGTCGTCTGTGGTTGAAAACCAGTCGTCTGTGGTTGAAAACCAGTCGTTTGTGGTTGAAAACCAGTCGTCTGTGGTTGAAAACCCGTCGTCTGAGGCATTAAACCACCAGTTTGCTGGGCCATAAAACTTGTCATTGGAGGAGCAGTGCCAGTTGGTTGGGGCATCAAGCCACCAGTCTTTTGAGAAAAAAAGCCGGTAGGTTGAGATGTCAACATACCACTTGGTTGAATGGGAACCAGACCAGCGGTTTGTTGGGCGGTCAAAGGTGTCAATCCGGTTCTTTGAGCATTCAAAGGTGCAGATGAGTAACCCGTCGCCTGTGGGGCTATAGGGTTGTTGGTCGATCTATCATTTTTGATTCCAATGTTAAAATTAATAGCATCGACAAATCCGGTGACTTCATTTTTGATTTTGGTAGGTAATTCAAATGGAACAGATTGACCTCTTTTTGACATGTTTGCCAAATGTAAAGCAACACAAAACTCTGGGAACATTAAAGAACCCGATTTGTTGGTATCTGCCAACTCCCAGATTTGAGACAGTTGAACAGCAGATAGCTGAGATTTCATCAATATCGATCTGGCAGTATTGCCGTCCATTGCGTTCTCACCCTTGGGAACATTATTCCTGAAGATAGTTTCAAATCTCTCTTGGTCTCTTGCCGTAATGAATGAAAGTCTGATGTTTGGTAAGACCAAATCATTATTTTGAGAGCCCATGCTAGTCAATGAAGAAATAAAACCAGTTGGCTGAGCAGTCAACGGTTGACCTGATGTAAGCTGAGGCTGCAAAGGATTGGTATTCCAGCCCGTAGCCTGTGGTTGCAAGGGCATTGAACCAAAAGTGGTTGCCGGTTGTTGCTGCTGTTGATTCCAGCCAGTCGTTTGCGACATTAACGGTTGCTGGTAGCCAGTTCTTTGATTCAGCAGAGTTCCCGTAGGCTGTGCCAAAAAGCTGGTTAATGGTGGTTGCTGGTTTTGCTGTTGGTAACCCGTTCTCTGATCTAATAACCCGCCGGTTGGTTGAGCCTGGAAACTGGTCAGTGGTGGCGCTTGTTGATTCCAGCCAGTTGCTTGAGACATCAACTGCTGATTGGGTTGTTGTTGTTGTTGCTGCTGCGGCTGCAAATAACTAGTTCTTTGAGCCATCAAGCCTTGACCATCAGTTGGTTGCGATTGGAAAGAAGGTTGGAAACCGGTTCTTTGCGGCATCATTCCAGTCTGTTGAGGTTGAAAGCTCGTAGGAGGCTGTTGCTGCTGCTGCTGCTGCGTTTGTTGTGTTTGTTGTTGCTGCTGGACTGGCAGCTGATTCCAATTACCAGTCTGCTGGGCACTAAATTGTGATTGAACAGGCAATGGTGGAAGAGACTGTTGAGAGTTTATCTGAGTTCCGAAGCCATAACCTGTAGGTTGAGTTTGCAAATGATTGTATTGTGGCCCTTGAGATGGTGTTGACTGCTGCTGCTGCTGCTGCTGCTGCTGCTGCTGCTGCTGCTGCTGCTGAGGAGGAGGTTGTGGCTGAGTAGACCAGTTATTCCCAGCATAGCCTGTTTGCTGAGGATAACCCTGGTTATTCCCATACCCGTACTGTTGTTGGTACATAGTCAAACCTGAATTGAAAGGAAATAGAATACTCCTGTGTTACCTCACTAAAAGAAAATATATAAGATATTCTTCCCAAATCCAATTACTATTCAACGATGTCTGTAGGAGTTATGTTGCTAATACTCTGTGGAACGTTATGAGCCAGGAAGAACACTTACAAGAGGGTAAAAAAGCCACCAATGCAATATTGAAGCAATGTAGGAAGCGCACTTCGCACATCGCAATTTTTTGCCACTATAACAAAACGGTAGCCCCTTTCTAAATGAGAAACAGGAGGCACGTCGAGAAATATTTGGTGATTGAAAATAAAGAAAGTTAGTTAGATAGGGAACGAAAACCGAAACGTGTGTACTAGATACATCTGTAAATAATAAATAAGCAACAGTTAAAGAAATATATTAAATGGTCAAAAGGCTGAAAGGAAAGTAGAACAGAAAAAAAATTGAAATGATTTCTTGTATGAAGGAAGTCATTTGAAAGGCGTACAAAAATTAATATTACATTTATTAGAAAAAAGGTCAAACTTCGTTGATTTCATTCATGGATCTGACCAATCCATCAACTAGGTAAACCTTTAGCTCTGAAGAAATGTTTATCTCATCAGAAACCTTTTCTTCCCCTAAATGCACTCTGATGAGGCCTAACATCTCAATCAAAGGAACATTCACCTTGAAGAGCGTTTCAATTTTGTGGTCATCGTCATTATGATCAATCTCTTCGTCTCGAATCTGTTCAGCCAAAGTGTTATTGAAGTTGATAACATATTCGTTCAATGACTTCACAAGATCAAGGTCCAAAACTTCATATATGTTGAGCAATGAAATGAACTGGAAAAGACTTAAACTGCTTTGCTCCTGTAAATTTGCAGACTTTAACTTCTTTAAAATCATGAATATTTTCTCATAATTGTACGTCTTCGTAAGCTCTTGTTTTAAAGTTGCGCATAGTAAGCCTAGTTGAATGTCCTTGTTGCTTTTACGCACCTCCGAATTTTTGTATAGGGTCACACAACTTGAAAATAATTCAACGCTCGGTTTGGTGAAATACTCCAAAAGTTTCATCTTTAATATGACTTCATCGTTGAGCATTTCTGGTATAGCTGTGACCTTACAACACAATTCACTTATACCGCACTTGAGCGCGTCGCTCTGTTCAGAAACAAGCTTGAACTTTTGTTTGTCGGAGCTCTTAAACTGCATTGATGTAAGTTTGAGAGCCTCCAATTCCACAAATCCCTCCATTGACAATTTCAAATATTGAGAAACTAAATCATACCTAAAGATCTGGAGGAGGTTTGTTGAGACAGAATTCACACTTGCATGCCTAAAAATCTTTTCTAATTCAATTTCGTTGAGATTTTTGTGGATGAAGTCAGATAATCCATTGCAACCAAGGAAATCAAAAGATTCAATCCAATACTTCGAGGCTATTTTCTCGAGCAAAAAGCCGTTTGATGTAGAATTTAAGATGAAGAAGTATTTTTTCTGATTGAGCCACTCGCTTAGTCTCTTCATATACAGAGCCTTGAGGAAACAATTTTGAGGTGTATTTGTTAAACTTAATGTCTTTATGGTGGCTGAAAAAAACTTTCTGTCCAATCTATTATTCGCTAATGAATTTAGCAAACTCTTTTCAGATTCAGAGTACACAATTTGAGAGTTTGTTTTTATAGAGTTTGATGGGTCTTCCAAACTGAAAAACAAATGTAGAATGGAATCGTATAAATTGATGTTCTGGTTTGCAGAGTCCTTCGTGAGTTTCGAATATGTATGAATAATTGAAGGGAAAACATAAGAATAGAATAAGTAGAAGGAAAGTGATAGTTTGATAATGCCTGAAATAACTAATTTGGTATCGAAAGTCATGCTGTTCATAGTGGAACCCAATGAAAAGATTGGCAATGCGGAAAGTCCCTTTCGATCAACAGCTGAAGAACTGGCAAAATCGTCCAACGAGGAAGCGCCCAAGGTGCAACTGATACCACCCATAAGTAGTTTATTTGTCAATGACTGATGGTCGGGCATCATTTGGTTGCCCAATTGATTGGAATTCTGGTTGGCATTGACATTGTTAACATTCATGTTAGCATTTTGATTTGATACATGACTAGTTTGTAGCTGGTTCTGCATCTGGTTCTGCATTTGGTTCTGCATCTGGTTCTGCATTTGGCTCTGTATATGATTAGCGTTCAAAGATTGAAAGTTCGGATCGGCTGGAGATACCAAGTTGCTCCCATTACTACTACTATTGTTAAAAGGAGAAGAATGTAGGCTTGGATTTTGGTATATTTGTTGTTGATTGAACAAAGAATCTGACCGAATACCACTTGAGTTTATGATTTTTCTCAGCTGATAATTTTGTTCTCTCAATACATCATTCTTCTTTTCCAAATGCTTAATGTACTCAGACGCTTTAGAGAGAATGGTTGCCTTGTTCAATTTTTTAGCAGGTTTTAAGCCATCTAATTTTTCTTCATCATCTGAATAGCCATCACCCTCGTAATAATCATCCGTTTCTTCAATCTCTTTACCGGTACTTCTAGTTCTATGGTTGCCGTTTTTGGCCACAAGTATTCGCAACGCAGGAACACAGTTTCTCAACTCAATGATCTTGGAATTAATATTAGTTCTGTATTTCTTCTCAATGAGATTGTGAGAAGATTTCACTTTGCGACCTTGTTTTAGCAAAGGAGATGCATTACCAGAGCTATCTATTGGGTTTGGCGAAGGTGACTCCTTTTTGATCAAGTCTTCCTCTGCTTCATCCACTGTATTCAATGTCGCCATGTTTTGTTGTACATTGTGGTAATTGTCGTGAGTGTTGAAAGTGACTGTACTATTGGAAGCTGATTCAGCCATAGGAACTGGAACCAAGGATTGAGGATAGAGGATATCATTGTTCATGTTCTGGGTATTGTTCAGATCAACGTTGAAATCATTATCATCTTGGCTGTACTGAGAGTCGACATTGGAATTTGTTGCACTAAGAAAAAAATCGTCTGGCGAAGACCCTGTCGAGTAAGGAGACAGGATTCCTGAATTTATGGAGCTTACAGCATCGTTCAAATCGTTAAAGTTGACTTCAGAATCAAAGTGTGATGAGCTGCTGTTATAACTGCCGAATCTAGGACGCTCGTCTTGCTGAGTCTGTTGATTGTGGATGTTGTTTTCGTAGGAAGGAGAAAAAACAGAGTGGTCAAAGTTATTTGTCAACGACTCATTTATTGTGATTGGAAGATGATTATGGGATTCTTGCTGCTGGTGGCGTTGTTGGGGGACATTTTGGTTCGATTGAGGCTTTTGAGAGTCTTTCTGTGATTGCTGAGCCTGCTGCATGCGTTCCTGCTGCTTCAACTGCTGCTGCTGCTGCTGAAGAAATTGCTGAGTTCGCTCTCTCTGCTGCTGTTGCTGTTGTTGTTGTTGTTGTTGGTTTTCTGGGTTTAAATTGGCAAACAACTGTTCGTAGTCATCAAAGTTAATGTTTGACATCTTGTTGGGAGTAAAAAAAAAATCTCTAACTGCAGGAGAAGTAGAGAACGGGATATATCACTGAAAGCCAAAAGCGATAATCAGGGACTGCTGTTCTTCGTTCCTTGTTGTAATATCTAGGTATTGTTTGACCCTGGGTGGGTAATAAACAATCTGGAGCTGCTTAGATGAAAGCGTGCGGATTTGTATTTGTTAAACACGCCGATGGCACCAACACGATCGACACGGCCAGCACACGCACACTATCTGCTACGCTGGTATTCTGGCAATCGAGGACTCTAGAACTCTTTGCTCTGGCAAGAACAAGACGAGCAGAATATGAGAACCTTGGAGATAAGAAGAAAGTCGGAGAACAGCGGAAAAAAATTCCTGACGTGACGTATCTTACGGACGGCGGTGTGCTTCTTTGATAGGCACTGCGGCAACAGGATGACAACGACGAAGACGGGAACAAGCAGAAAGAGGAAAGTTCGATCAACACTTACAACCCAGGCGTGCTTGCTGGCCAGCCAGCACTAGGTGTTAATTTCTCCTCCTCACCGCCGCAGCGCAGCGGCAATCCGCTCAGCGGGGAGAAACCCAGTGCGCTTTCCTCCCACGGAGTTCGGTATTTATTACTATTACTGTCGCTGTTGCTGTTCCTAATGTGCTGCAGTCGGAAAGCACTTCCACTCACTACTAGTATGCCCCTTCAAGACTGAAACTGGCAGGAATTCTTACTCGCCGATGACCACTGGAACAAGACATGTTCCTAGGGCTTTTGGGCAGATGTTCCGACAAAAAGGCCCCAGGTAGGGGGCGAATGTACACCGAAGATGCTCCGTACTTTTACAAGGGCAGATCGAGATGTAGGCAGCTGCCAACGGATATTCTCCAGCCCAAGCAAACTAAACAGCACCCCCAAAAAAATCTTCGTGCTCGTACCGTGCGCCATCATAGAGAATGGCGGGGGGAAAAGCGTCTGTGTAAGAGAACAGGGCGAAAGCGGACTCAACGTCGGCATCTGCACTGCAGTACCACCGGAGAGGGAACAACAGGAATAAAAAAAGAAATATGCCTCCGTGGCTACGCATAACACACATTAAGGACCCGCATACGCAAATCCTTGTTGCGTTGATCCTCGGTCTGCCATCCCAACGTGCGCACTGTACAGCGCAGCGTTTGGACTTCGGTCCCCAGAGGAGCAGGGACACAAAGACGCAGCAGATGAAGGAAACAAGGCTCGGAACGAGATGAGGAAAATCGTATGATTTATTCTCGTCCTCTCTGTGGCTTCTGCATTTCTCAGCTTCATGAAGGAAATCCTTTTTCTGCGTGAAGAGAAAAAAAGAAACTGCGACCTCTGTGGATCGAACACAGGGCCTCCAGATCTTCAGTCTGGCGCTCTCCCACTGAGCTAAGGCCGCTTTTTTAGCGGCGTGAGTAATTACTCCATTTCCACTGTTGGTGTGACTGATTAGCGGAAGAAAACTGTTACTTTTTCAAAAATCTATGATTTAACAGTGCAGAAAGGTTTTTGCTGCATGACAGAATTGAGAATTTCAGCCTTCAAATAACAGCTAAAGCATTGAAAGAGCCTTCTAGACTTCTTGTTCATAGCTATGAGAGCGACATAGACCACAAATGATGATAGATCTAGTTGATTTCCACAGAACATGGCAAGCAGCTACGGATCAAGGGTTATTTCAAGCCATTGCAGCAATTACCTAAGCATCCGGGTTTTGAATTCCATCTTGTGAAGTGGATTAATAAACATCATAGATGCTATGAATTGTAAGAGGCAAATTCAGGTTGCCGAATATGGAGCCGTTGTGCATTACGTGTCTATTTTGCCGCATATATACAAATAAAACAGTCTTACACAAGAAATTAAAATATTCCGAATCTTCGGCTTAAGTTTTCTCCATCATTATCCACTTTCGAGGATAATGAGTTTAGGTTATTTGTCTTATTTTCGATGTTCTTATGAAGCTCTTTCAAAAATTCGGCATAAGACCAAACTAGATCCAATGACTTATCTTCGACAAACATACTTTGGAACTCTTGCTCATTTGGATCCGTCCTAAATCTGCAAATTTCCACACTCTGCTTTTCTGTTGAGTTGAAATGTTTTGCCAAATAGTCGCAAATGTTTCGAACTTGAGACGAAATATACGTATCCAACACTGGCATCTGAGAAACATACGTAGTCAACTTATCGAGAGAGTCGATGTGAGAACCAAACAAATCCTGTAAGAGCACAACATTGACATCACTGTGGAGCCAAATAATAGTCCGATCACCATTGAAGACCAAATAGGCACCACCAAAGGCAAGGTTGCCAACACTTACGGGAATAGACTGAGAAAGATTCATCATGCCCGTTTGCTCATTGGATATAAATTCACCTTCCTCCAAAGAATGAATACAAAATAGTAACGGGTATAAGTAAGCTGACAACTTGGTTAGATCATACTGCGATAACTTGAAAAAAGAATAAACACGCAAATCGGGGAAATTTGTCTTGTTTGCAAATGCTCTTGTTTTCAATATTGATAAAATTACCATAGGCAAAGTCCTCAAGCTCTGAGGCAATACTAGCTGGGTAGGCATTGCATTGTGCCTTGCAATATAGTACTTGTATGCCGCCATTATTTCAGAACATTGCATCATCAATGAGCTTTTCAATGCGACGAGATTAGCAGTGCTAATCTTCTCTATCGCTCTTTTGATGAGAATTTTGACAATCGTATCTTGGTCACTGAAATCAAAGACGTCGGAAATCCTTTGTGTGACAGACAATATGTTGTTGATCACTCTAACCTTTCTCACACCTTCACTTGTGGTATACAATAATGCTGCTTGGAAATGAACATCTTTTTTGGTGTCCAATTTTGAATCGTAGATGAAGTCACAAACAATAGACGTATCTCCAGATACAATAGGAATGTTAGGAGCAGAATCTCCATTAACAGTTGCAAAAGGCCCGTAATACTTATTTACTTGCAAGCCATGAGAGCAACGGACTTTCAGTTGACTTTGATAGCCCGCCACGTATTGAATAACCTTCTTGAGCTCATAGATCAAAGTAATATCATCTCTTTCAACGTTAAACGGAAGCCACTCTTTCACTGTTCCGCCTGTGTTTACTGCCAACGTACCTAAATTGATTAGATCAACATTACTGTTGGAAGCAACAAAGAGATTCAAGCCAACATTATTTTTCACAAATTCTGTGGCCAAATTCTTGTAGTATTTACTTGCAGGCGTAAGTGTTTCTTTCACAAAATCTGCATCAAGCTTGTTGTTATTGTTGTTTCTTGGTAACGAAGCACCAGGACCAAAAGATGGTAGCGTTGATAAAAAGGCCACAACCTGACCGCCCCCTAACTCTTTCAGAAGGAGTCCAGCTGCAGTCAAGGCAGATCCCAAAGCAGGTTCTGGCGTTAAATACCTAGCATTTTGTTCAATCGTAGTTAGTGTCAAATCGATTGTATTGTAGGACTCGACAGGATCAACAAATAGTCCGTCATTGAATGGCACAAACGGATCTTCCAAATCTGTAACTATAGACACTGTAGTTTGTTGTAATTCAGGTGATAGTTTGTAAAAATGCAAATTGTTATCAAATCCCATGATTGATATCAATGTTCCAGGTGGTAAATTAGACGAACCATCCTCTCTATAAATTGCCATTCTAATGGCGGAGCAAACAGTTTCAACAAGTTTATTTTTGTAGGAAGCATGTGTTAGATCAATCAGAAAGACTCTATGAAGAGGCGAGAGATCCTCGTTTTCGTTGAGGTTATATTCTTTAGGTACAATATAGTCGACAACACCAGTATGCAACTCTGGACGAAGATGATAATCATCTCTAACACCCTGGAAATTAACAGTTGATGCATAAGCTTCAGGAACCGGAGAAGCAAAACCACAGATGTTACATATCATGTTTCGGCCGTTATGCTGCATTGCAGGGTTGAGATATGCTCGGCATCTTCTACACCTAGGGACCACCTCACCTTCTTGAATTTTGATCTGCGGAACTTTCATTGGCACTTCAGATTGAGGAACATAGTCGGCAAAAGGTCTCAAACAAAACCCTAGTGGTATTTTAGATTTCTCTCTCAGTTCTTCACAAAAGGGTATACTGTACATTGACAATCTCGAAAACTGAGGAATGGAATTTGCCTGATCAATTGCTTTGTATTCTGTACCTGCAAGGGGCGGCGACACATGCTCGAAACTTAGGAATTCCTTCTCTTTGTAGATTTCGTTCAGATGATTTCTAATACCTGGTACAGAAAGATCTTCTGCCACGGTTGCCTGATTGATGTTGTAGATATCGTTAGAAAAACCATTATCATTTTTTTGAACTAAGGCATCATTTCGGGATGTTTCAGACATCTGAGGCGAAATACCAAAATTATTTTGTAGGAAATTTGAATTTGCATTCTGTGAACCACTACCACCGCTGCTCATATCATATTGATTTGAAAACTGGGGTGGGAACAGTCCGACGGCGGAAGCAGCTTCATTTGGGTCGACGTGCTCGTGCTCGTAAGCCTGAGGTGCTGGTGAAGTAAGGTTGTGAAACGCATGGTGTCCTCTTCTTTTCTTTGCTGATGCTGAAGCTTGAGTGTTTTGGCCTTGCTGGCTAATATGGTATCCATTTTGCTCTTTTGCGAGATCACGTTGATGAGAGTTCTCATTGTTGAGTGAAAGATCTTTTAGCTCTTGGGCCAACAAGTTCTGCTGGCCAGTTACAAAATCATTCACCATAGACATTCCAACTACTGGTAAACAGAGAGTTTCCAAGCTCAACACTTATGGCTGATTGACAGCAAATTTGAAGCCTTATGTTTCTGATTCCTTCGAGGAACACATGTGCCATCGTGTTTGTCAAGAAAGAGGCTCGCGAAGGAGTTGATTGATCTCGATTTTGAACGCCATACTACGGGGGGAAAAAAAAGTTGCAACGCGCTTTGTTGATAATTTCTTGTTTTGGTTTGTAGCTCTCCCTGTAAACAACAAGTAAAGACAGAGTTAGTTGTTACTTCAGCACCAGACCAGCTCAAAAGTGAAAGAAAGCATTAAAACACCGACAGACCGAAGCCTTTGAAAGAAGTACATAATGGGAGTTTCAGGATTGTTACCGGTGTTGAAGTCCATCCAAGAGCCCACAACATTGGAGCGTTTTAGAGGAAAAACACTTGCTATCGATACCTATGCTTGGTTACATAAAGCATCGTTCACATGTGCTGAAGACTTAGTCCTCGAGAGACCGACCAGAGCTTACATTAACTACTTCAAGAAAAAACTTGATATGCTGGAACATTTCAAGATCACCCCGTATTTTGTTTTCGATGGTGACTATCTTCCAAGTAAGGGAACCACTGAAAAGGAGAGGGAAAGCCGCCGGATTGAGTACAAGAAGCTCGCCACAGAAGCTAAAAGTGGTGGCAACTTGAAACTTGCATTTAACTACTATCAGAAAGCATGTGATATATCGCCAGAAATGGCGAAGTCCTTAATAAATGAGTTGAAAATGAAGTATATCAAGTACGTTGTTGCACCATACGAGGCTGATTCTCAAATGGTGATGTTAGAGAAACTCGGTCTAGTGGATGGCATTATTAGTGAAGATTCCGATCTATTGATTTTTGGGTGTAAGACTTTGATTACGAAGCTAGACGACAAAGGACAATGCATTGAAATTAGAAGGGATAATTTCAAAAATTGTAAGGGCTCACACATTAGTACATTCAACGACGGTCAGTTGTTATTGATGGCAGCCATTAGTGGTTGCGACTATACGAAAGGAATACCCGGGATCGGTATGCAAAAGGCCATATCCTTAGTGAAGTATTACAAAACTTATGAAAGAGTCATTATGAGTATTAAAGTTGAAGGTAAAAGTATACCCGCTACATTTGATGAAGAATATAAAAGGGCCAAAATAGCATTTAGACATCAGGTTGTCTTTAATCCTACTGAGCAAATAGCACAACATCTAAATGCGTTGCCAGAGGAAGTCACCAACATCTATTCACAGGAATACATTCACTCATGCACAGGTTTTATTCTCGACCAGGAAATCCACAAGAAAATAGCTAGCGGGGAGCTTGATCCATTTAGTAAAAACGTTTTAGTATCATGGGAAGCAAAAGTTAACACGCCAGCTAACCGGTCTAACTCGTTACCTGCTCAATCCGGTACAATATTCAACAACACTATTCTGAGAAGATCAAAAACAGATAATGTGATGCCAAACAGGAGGCCCGAAGCCGAGCCGGTGACCAGAAAAAGGAAATCTACCATGAAAATTGATCAGTTTGGACAGTTTATAAAGAAAAAACAGATGATCTCGATGTCAAATAGAGATGACAAGGATAAAGAAGTAAAAGCCGATCTCTCACCCATCTCAAAGAGGCAAAAGCTATTAAGTAGCAACCAGAATGGACCGGGCACATTGAGCAAATTTTTTTCTCATAAGAAGGAGGTGTCCAACGAGACAAAGGAAAAACAGTTTCCTGCCACATCGTCGGATATTGAGGATATAACTGAAGAAGATTTCAATGATATCAATATGAAACTGAACAAGAGCATCGACGGAGGAATACAAGAAAAAAACGCAGACTCATCTGATGTCAACTTGACCGAATCGGAAGATGAGACCGAGAAGAACACTAACAGCAATATTTTGCACAGTGAATCAGATATGGAGGACATCATCAACAGTTCCGAGGTTTCACAAAGTACCATCACTCCAGACAAGACCTTCAGCCGGCATACACCCACCTCCTTGATGATGGAGGGCAGCTCCATTTCCAGCGGAGTATCTACTGATCCTGGTGAGGTGAACACAGAATGCTATCTGGAAGACGACAGAAACGACGCAGAGCTCAGCCGGCTCGACGACAGCAACGACGAGGACTTCATAGTCGATAAGAGCAATTTACTTGCAGAGATATACTCGTTCAACCACAGCAGCAAGCCCAAGAAGAGCTTCAGCGCCAACATGAGCACTTCTTCGACGTCAGAGCCGGTAAGCGCCAAAGACACCAGCAGGTCGACGGGACCGAGCAGTGCCTTTTCACCCGAAAAGTGGGTCCGCAACCTCAACGGAGTAGCCGGAGCCGCTGGGATAGGCAGGGTGCACCGTCCTTCCCCTCTACATAACAGGATACCCCTACGCGACGTCACCGCCAGCGCAAACATCCACAACACAGGCACCAACGGTGCCAAGGACGCTGCCAAACATGGCAGCAAGACCCTGCAACGCAAGGGCACCACGACAAGGCCGAGTCTCTCCTCTTTTCGTTACGTGGGCAAGTAGATCCCTGCCTGCATACATAGCACATAAATAAACATACTTCTTATTCTGTACTCTCCGTTCTCTTTGTGTGTACATCTATTTATCAGCACTTCTTCGTTCATGACATCTACAGAGCAAAACCAGCAAAACCAGGCTTTTGCGCCCATCGACCCCGGGGCCTTAACACGACGCAGATAGATAGAGAATTCAGAATTACCCAAATAGGCACGCACGTCAACAATAGGGAAGAAAGGGCGTCCTAAAGAGGAAGGTGCGGGCTGCCTGATTCGGATGGCGGCAGAGAACGTTCAAAGGGGGTACCTCTTGGTACTGTTCCCAAAGAGGGTTTCCGGCTCAGGCTGGCTGAATTGGAGGAGGGAGGCAATTGAGGGAGCAAGTGCAAGCACCGCTACGACCCTGTTGTGAACAGTTGGACGGGTGGAGAAAGCAAAGCAGACGGAAGAGAGAGAGACCGGAGAAGAATAGCAAGGCCCCCGAACGAAAAGGGCGAAAAAAAGTGTAGAAGCTGAGCAGCAATTAAGCCCGAAAAGGAAGAGAATAAACACGAGGCGAGGCCGGTGCGGGAGTGGCAGGCGTGGTCGTGAAGGAATTGGGGGCATTGGGCAGACGAGACGGAGTAGTCGCTATATCTGTGCAGCAATTCCCGCCCGCTAGGCACGTTCTGTGTCTGTACAAGGTGGTTGGTGATACAGGTTTTCTTCCCTTCTCTCCTCCTGCTCTTTCTTCTTCTTTTCCGGCCTTTTTGCCTCTGCCTTTGTTTCCTCTCTCCCGGAAAGAAGTGAACGTCGTTGACAGTAGCTTGTACATTACCGAACAACAACAATGCACAGGACTTATTCATTGAGAACTGCCAGAGCACCAACTGCATCTGACTTGCAAAACCCAATTCCTGTTCCACCATCCTCCACCAAGGGTCCTAGATTCTTTGGTCCTGGTGGAATTGCCAGCTCGTTCAGAAGAACCACAGCTGGCTCTTTTGGCCCAGACTTATCCAGAAAGTTGGCTCAATTGGTCAAGATGGAGAAGAACGTTATGAGAGCAATTGAAATCTGCTCTGGCGAAAGAAGAGACGCTGCAAGACAATTGTCTCTCTGGGGTGCCGACAACGAAGATGACGTCTCTGACATCACCGACAAGCTTGGTGTCTTGATCTACGAGGTTGGTGAGTTAGAGGATCAATTCATTGACAGATACGACCAATACAGAATCACCCTCAAGTCCATCAGAGACATTGAAGGTTCTGTCCAACCTTCCAGAGACCGTAAGCACAAGATCACCGACCAAATCGCTTACCTCAAGTACAAGGACCCTCAATCTCCAAAGATCTCTATCTTGGAGCAAGAGTTGGTCAGAGCAGAAGCCGAATCTTTGGTTGCAGAAGCTCAATTGTCCAACATCACCAGAGAAAAGTTAAAGGCTTCCTTCTCTTACCAGTTTGACTCCGTCAGAGAATACTCCGAAAAGGTTGCTCTTATTGCAGGTTACGGTAAGGCTCTCTTGGAGTTGCTAGACGATTCTCCAGTCACCCCTGGTGAGACCAGACCTTCCTACGATGGTTACGAAGCTTCCAAGCAAATCATCATTGACTGTGAAAATGCCTTGGCAACCTGGACTTTCGAAACCGCTGCTGTTAAGCCAACTCTTTCATTCAAGGTTGGTGGTTACGAAGACTTGAACGAAGACGTTCACAACTTGAACATTGACGACGACGAAGAAGAAGCATGGAATGAAGAACAGGAGCAAGAGCCACAAGCTGTTGCTGCTTAAGTTGTTCAAACTCATTGATCAATGTTAACAATACCAAGGATAGGAAAAAACAGCGAGAAAAGAGGAAAAGAATAAAGATGTCAGAGATACAGTGATTTTCGTATTTGCGTGCTCAATCTGATGCCTTTACTGTTTTTCTAGGACCTAACCTTTACTTACATTTTATCTTATTCTTTGTATTATCTCGATTTCCTGTTTTCAGTTCAATCCATTTGTTTTTTATCATGCTTTTTTTCTAACATTTGTCGTTGTTTTTTTCTCTTTGGACATACTTTCTTCCACTCTTTTTACAGCTTTTATATCTTTGGCTTTGTTTTGCTACAAGGAACTCACACTCTCTTTATTTATATTTTTTGTTGTTATTATTATCACTACTATTACCATTATTACTGTTATTTTTGTCATCATCATCATCATCAATTCAACCTAACGTTAGTAATGCTTGTACAATTCTCGTTATTTTTTCATTGTTTTACAACATTTGGCCCTTTCCTTTTTCCTTCTTTTACTATTTTGTACACTGTATTATATAGTTTTACTTATAATCATCTGACATAGCATACAAAATCAATTTTTGGAATGAACATGAACATTCAATGTGATTGGACTCAGTAATGTTTTCTCATACTCAAAATTAATGTTCTTTTTATCCCGAACAGATAGCTCACTTTCCTCAATATCTGAGTCAATCAGTTCAATTATCTCCTTTCTTTTATTCCGGCTGGTATCCGCTTCAGCAAAACTGATTTTTCGTAACATAAGCTTTCCACATTTATTCCAGTTAGTTCTCCCCAAGTGTCTCTCGACGCCACACATCCAATCTCGGATAAACTCAATATCATCCCAACATATGATGAGCTGACATTTCCAGGAATCGTTAGTAAACGGAATGATTAAGGTTTCTGAATCTTTGAACGTGTGTTGATTGAGCGAATCATTCTTCTGCGTATCATCATCATCAAATGCACCTCCTTTTACACCCCTCTTGTTCGTATTCGAACACACAGAAAAAACTTCCTCCTTTGTCATTTCTATCAAAATAGCAGCAAGCTTTTTTTTGATCTGTGGATCGCCATAAAGCTCTCGCAGATGTCGATTAGAGATAACCATTCGCTTGCACTTGGATAGTTGAACTGGAAGTCGGCGTCCATCTTCGTGGTTCTCTGACTTGGAGTCGCCTGACTGTGGACACATCAACAAAGAGTGCTTCACCCGATTTTTTTGAATCTGTTGACGGTTGAGAAATGTACGTACTGGTAGGACATGACTTGCCGTGAAATTAATATGTGATCGTCTATAACTTAAGTCCGTATCATTGATAAGAGAAAGAAGCTTGTTAGTATTCCGTAGCCCTTCGAAGAATCGAAACATGCAGTACTCGCTGGACATACACTGGTGCCATCTTAATGTTGTTGGGGAAAAGGAGTGATTGCAAACGGGATATGGATGAAGGCAATAAACTATGAGTAAGCAAAGAAGATGTATTGGTGATGAGAAATCCGAGGGTTTTTCGGCAGACGGACAATGAGCTCTTTGTTTAATTCTCTGTCCTCCGTTAAAGTTCTTTTTCTTCTCGGTTTACTGAACAGTTAGTTTTTGCTTCATAAGTGAAACTAATAAAACAGGAAGTTCCCATTCTTAAACACGAGTAAACATGCAACCATTCATACACGAAGCTGGTAATTCTCATGCCATGGAAATGGCTAAAAAGGCCCAAGAGACAGGAATCACCACAATGTTCAACGATGACCCTAAAGTTTCCGTTGACACATTTGATTTCTACAAAAAGTATACATTTTTTCATCCAGAGTCCAATGAAGAGGACGCAAAGGCATTTGCTACATTGGTGAGAGAGTGTGTTCATTTCGAAGTAGAAACTGTTGCCAGCATGCTCACTTTCGGCCTTGACCTCAACCTTGTTTATCCTCAGGTAACTCTTTCGTATATGTTCAGGAGTTGCAGAGCCTTGCTCAAAGATAGATATGCAGATAAGGGTGCCGACGAAGCACTCGCCGAACAGTTTGCGAGAGATCTTGTGCAGAACGTATATTCCTTCATTCAGGGCAAGCTTGATCTCCCAACAATGAAATGGGAAGGAGTCTCGGCCAACCTTTTATAGAGGGCTTATAATCTCTTTCTTTCCACGATTTTACTATGCTGCTATTTGCACAATCCTGCCCTTTATATATTTATTTTCATATACATCTAATTAGCCTAACTACTGACATATATACAGTGTAAGGGCAATATGGACACCACAGATGGGTTTGAGCCCATCATCGCCATGTTTTACTCTGTTTTCCACCCCACTGAAGGAACGAAAGTTATTCATCAAGTACCAAGTGGGGTGATAGTCCCACCTTCTAGTGATGACAACAGGCTCAATAACAATATACCAGATTCTTCAGCTTTAGATGAACCACTGTTTGATTTTGATACCATCAAAAACTATGTCATACCGAAACCAAGTTTGTGCAACAAGTTGATCACTTTAAAAATTGACAAATATAGAATTCTTGGATTCCCAGTCAACATATATGCTCAACAATATGCTAGAAACTCTTTTGGCTTCAATTTTTGTTTTGTGTTTTCATATGAAAGTGACACAACACCTTATGAGGGGAATATCAAAAGAATAGGAAAAATGTTTAGAGCTTTAGAGGAACAAAGTCAGCTTCTATCAAAATCTTTAAAAGATTCACATGTTTACTATCAATTAAATACATCTACTAACATACACACGAAGCAAAATATGCCTACAAAATTTAACATGACAAATAAGTACCTTCGAATAATTGATGACTGGGATGAAGCAAGCCATCAAATTGTTTTAGACAAAAAAGCCCCAGGTTTGGATATTGGTCCACAACAGAAAATTTCATCAATTGAATCTCTGATACAGCAAATATTTCAAGATTTGAACAATTACTCAGAGTGCATGATTCCAATTGATGCATCCAACTCTGTTGACCTCAAACTTTTTCCAATTTCACCCCCACCTCCTCAAGTGCATTCACATGATGTACCAATAGCTTTGGTCAAGTTAGATTTACTTATCGATTCATTATGGGATCCTACAATGTTGAAAATCATGCCTTTCATCAACGGCATAAATTCCATAGCCCAAATCAGTGAATTCTCTGATGCAAACTTAGACCTAACTAAAGAGTGTATTAGACACTTGTTGCACTACAAATCGATTGCATTATTAGACATTTTTCAATTTCAAAATCACTATACAATTACCTCATTGATAGGAAACTTTTTACGGGATCCAAACATGGCCAGCGCTTGTCAAGACTACGTATTAAACGTGAAAGGAACTTTTTCAAATATACCCCTAAAACCTACAGCAAGAAGACAATCTAACACGAATAGTATCGGTTCTAATATGAATGAGTTATATGGCTTATCAGCATCATATTCTTCAGCCAAAAATGTAAGAAAGCCTGAATTGTTAACTATGGATTCGTCTTCTTCCAACCCATTTGGATCACAAAAAAAGCAACAGATTCGCAAAATCACATTACCTTCCAAGGCAACACTTTTCCAGCTTTATAATGCTCTGAACTCAAACATGTCAGTGTCTCAGTGGTACATGGAAAATGCTAAGCTCTTAGAGTTCATCGATGTTCGAAAGTTCATCACTTTTGGTACACGAAATGGTATTATAACTAGGATTCATTGGTATCCTGTTTGTGGAAAGTTGGATACCTCACTTGATTCGGGTAATATCGATATGGAGAAAAAGAAAACGAACTTTAACGTGTTATCGCTACCTGTTCCCTCTGATGAAAGGTTGGTTCGAAGTCACGAGACCAAAATGAATGATGAGAGGAAAGAAGACGACAATGAAGATGAAGCAGAGGTAGATGCATATCTTGAAGCTGGGGATATCGATGAAGAAGAGGAAGAGGAAGAGGAAGAGGGAGACGAAGACTACGATGTCAGTATCGACGGGTCAGGAATGAAGGGGGTTACCGATGCAGGAAGACGTGAAGACGAGGACTTTTTCGACGACTCCAATGAGCAAAAACGCAAGCGGATTGAAAAACGAGAAAAACTTCAAGAAAAGAAATTACTTCGTCTCATGAAACACACTCAGCATATGGATGCAATATGTACTACTATGCGTTTAAGCAAGAATGAAGTGATGAAAATATTAGAGAGGATTGGCGATATCGAAGTTATTGAGAGGTAAAAATGTGATGGCCCGAACAATAATAGTTAATTGTTTGGAGTCAGTCCTGTTGTTGGGAATACCAAATACATGCTTTTTTTATTAGTGGAGCTTAAAAGCGGTATCTAGCTGACAAGGGTTTCAGACTGTATTTTGGCATCCTCTATGTACAATATGATGTGTCAATTGTAGATAATATGAAACTTCAATTTTTAAAGGAATGGGGCGCGCTAGCTGAGGACCATACATGTTTCTGTTTTTGTTTTGTTTACATTGGGTACCCAGTTACGGAAAACAAGTTTTGACATCTACACGACGAGACACGAGTTAATTCTTCTCGGTTTCTAACCTAGTCTGAACTTCCTCAAGCATTAATTCAAAGATGTTCAGAAACAGAGTGCCCATAGCGAGGAAAATCAATGAAACGTCAAACATGAGTAGAAGAACATCAACATCCTCGAGTAATTTCTCTCAATCTTCGGTGAACCAACAACGTCCCCATTCAGCTAGAAGAAACAGCATCACTGACGACTTATTCACAGAATCTATTAATGTGATTGTAAGGTGTCGTGGAAGGGGTCATTGCCCAAACGAGGAAGGTAGTCCGAATGTGGTGTCTGTGCCAAGTGATGGAACTCCTCAAGTGAAAATAGTAATTCCCGAGGAGGCCCGACTCAGCACTAACGATCGTACAGCAACCAATGGCATTGAGTCCACAAGGAAATACAGCCTGGATCAGGTGTATGGGCCATCATCCGATCAAACGACATTTTTCCAAAATGCTGCGGAAAACATCTGTGACGAATTTTTGAAAGGGTACAACTGCACGATTTTCGCTTATGGTCAAACAGGTGCCGGTAAAACTTATACGATGTGTGGAAAAGTCAACTCAGAATCCTTGACGCCTGAAAGTGGAGTGATACCGAGATGTTTAAAAAAGTTGTTTGACAGCGAACTAAACAAAGACGTAGTATTGAAGTGTTCATTTGTGGAAATATACAACGAAGTATTGAAAGATTTATTAAGTGATGGAACAAATGACGGAAAACTAAAGATATATGAAGAAAACAAGTTAATAAAAATCAAGTCTCTGGAAGAGTTTTATATAAGAGACTTCAAAGAGGCAATGAGAATGCTCAAAATTGGTATAGACAAAAGGAAAACGGCGTCCACCAAAATGAACAAGCTTTCGAGCCGATCACACTCTATATTCACAATATATTTGATGAAAAAAGTGCCAAATGGTTCTGAGTATAGATTTGCCAAGATGAATTTGGTAGATCTTGCAGGATCTGAAAATGTAAATAGAGCTGGTTCAATAAACCAACGTGCTAAAGAGGCAGGATCAATCAATCAAAGCCTTTTAACCTTAGGAAGAGTCATCAATTGCTTGGTTGATGATTCTTCTTTTGTACCTTACAGAGAGTCTAAATTAACACGTTTGCTACAGGATTCATTAGGCGGAAGGACAAAAACAGTTTTGATTGCAAACATTGCGCCAACCTTGGTTGATTTGCAGTCGACAATCTCTACTTTGGAATATGCCTCAAAGGCTAAAAACATCAAGAATACTGCACAGATAGGACCACTTGTTGCAGAGGATTATATAATGAATGATTTGATTGAGGCCAATCGTCGGCTAAAACTTGATCTACTGGCCACTAGGAAGCGAGAAAACTGCATAGTAATGGATGATGGTAATTACAACGAGATGCACCTCACACAAAAAGCATTGAAAGATGAAGTTGAGGAGTTGAGAGGTTTAAAAATCTCATTGTTGAACCAGATGGATTCCCAAATGAAAAAAATTGATTTGAACAAAAGCGAAAAAAAAATTCTGAATGAAAATATCCAGAGTCTAGAGCAGAAGCTATTAGATTTTAAGGATAAACTTGGAGAACAGAGACGTCAAGAAGAACAATTGAAGGTGAGGTGTACAAAGTTGTATGAAAAGTTTACAGAAAATTTAAGTGCTATTTACCAGTCTCAGATCAGTACCAGATCCGTTTTATCAGATCAAATTTTAAAGTCATTGGTTGATATAGGCTCTAAACTAGCTTCGATAGAGGCTGATGATACAATACTATTCCCTACTTTCAAAAAAATCAAGGAAGACTTGAACAAAACTTGTGCCCAGGTTGACGATCTCATTAAATCAGAAGAGAATATTTCTTTAGGATTGAATCAATCATGCTCTAGAATGAACGACCTGAATGCGATGCTTATCAGTAACAAAGATACTCTACTGAATTACATCAATAAACTGTCAGGAGTTGCAGAAACTCAGGCATCATTGAATAAAAAATTTCATATTTTTCTTGAGGATTTTATGAATCATGACGATACTCATCTTCTCAGTTTGATTCATAAGGAAGCGGAAGGTAAAATGAACGAATTTAAAAAGGAATTCAATCAGAAAATGGACAATATAATGAAAGAAAGTATTGAACACCATTATGGGCTCTTTCTTAAACATTACAAGAGAAAACTTTCTGTTGATGAAAAACCTTGGATTGCAGCAAGTGAAGAACTGGTTTTGAAGAGCAAAGGTACCAAAGAGCTACTAACAGAAATGCTTGGTTCACAACAAGAAAACTTGTCCAACATTGCCAGCCAATCTATCTCTAATATAAAAAGTGGTCAAACAGATATCTTGCTTCTGAAAGAAAGCCTAAATTCAATAAGCAATACAACACGTCCTTTGATAAATCAACTATCATCTACCCTGAAAACTCAGAGCGTTAGTAATAAACAGGTGAATTTAGCAGTGAATGGTGTTCGAGAACATGTTGGTAAATTGGAATGCACTGTCAAGGAAGTTATAGGCAGTGATAATGTTGATTTGGAGGCCAGACGAGAAGAAGTGTGTTCTCAAATGAAGGAAATAACAGAGCCCGAAAATGTGAATATTCTCAAGAGCTCATCCAATGTGATGCAACCCACATCAAGTAGTTGTAGTACTAAGTCAAGCCCATTAAGGAGCACTATAAGGCTCATTCCATCCAAAAGTCCATCAAGAAATTCTGCTGAGTTGCGTTCACCTACCAGAAGTCCGATGAGGGGAAGATATGGAAGTCCTCCAAAAAATCCATACAAAAGTCCTAGCAGAAGACAAGGGGGAAACAGTCTGGCTTTTGGATTGAAAAGGGAGTCAAGCGCCGACTCATTAAGAGAAGCCAAGCGGACGCACAACTGATGTATAATTAGCAAAACCTTTGTACAATATGTAGTCTTAATCAATGATGCAGTCAAATACATGGCTTATGGTAAAATATTATCTAGCTTTTAGAACAGTTGTGAGTTTATATGGTTATACTTATATACAACTATATAAATAAAAGTACGAATTAGAAATGGGGTTGGCGGTCAGGATTTCATCTACCACCAGTTGAGGTTTTCTCTGCCGAGCTTTGTTCGGATATGCTTCTGCGAAACATTTCCAGACTTCCATTAGTGCTGATGCTAGCGACGCCTGAACTTGATCTCCTACGTTGTTTTCGTGCCATGTTTGGTTCGACATGTGCTTTACCCAAAGTCTTTGCAAACAAAGAAAGTATATCTGTGAGTGATAAAACTCCCACCAATTGACCACTAGCGTGAACATCATCTTCTATTGTCGAGGCATGGTGTGAGTGAACGTGAGAATGCAGGTGAGGATGGGAATGCGGGTGCATATGAGTGTGAGGAGAATCTGGAGTTGTTGGAGTTGAGGAATTTGAAGAGGAGTCAGGCTTGACTATCCACAGACGATGACTTTTCGTTGCAACCATTTTAGCAATTGCTCTACCTAAGGAAGTGGACGAGGTGACATGGAAAATAGGGAAAGAATCTTTACCATTTTCCAAACCTCTAGAGTTCAATATGACAGAGATGAAGTGTAGACAAGATTTGTATAATAAATCCGACTTGGAAGTGGTAGAGACCAGTCTGACGTCTGTCACACTGATATTACCCAAAAGGTGAGAGTTACGGTCGACAACAGCCAAGGAAGACATTTTCAAGTTGTGCATTGTCATCAAAGCCTCGATCAAAGGTTGGTCACCATATATTGAGATTGGGTTTTGGGATCCAATGTGTAACGTACTAATGGAAGAGGATAACAAAGGCTCCATTGAGGGGAAACGGCGTGCGTTATCCCACAAGAACTTGACCAAACGTCTTTGGGAAAGGATACCACTTAGTTTGTTTTCATTTATGATTGCGACTCTATGGACTCCAGTTCCGAGGATTTCTACGACAGATGATAAAGTATCAGTTTCGGTTAATTTTATGAATGGGTTTTTGTTTGTTAAGCGGATGACAAATGAGACAGGAACTTGTTCACCAACTTGGGCCTTCTTGATTAATTTTGGAACATCCTGTTTTGGATTGTAATCCATGTTTTTCAGATTTTCTATTCTAATTTTGTTCAACACCAACAATAGGTAAGCATTTAGATCTGTATAGTCGAAGGTCAAACAGTTCAAATCGTTTGGGAATTCTTCGACAGGGACCGATGTTAAACCGTTTGTAACAAGGGTATCGAAAGCTTGCTCGACAGAGACGGTGGAGTTGATGACAATCAACTTGTTCTTTTCAACAAGCTCGCTCAACTTGATATCTTGCCATTCTAATGAGGCGCCATTCAAATATTGTGAAAAATTCGAGGACATGGAAGGGTTTCTTGAAATTGTGATGTTCGAGTCGCCTGGGAAGTCACTAGTGTTCAAGCTTAGGTTTGTCAGACTATCGTTGTTGAGCAACAGGCTTTCATCAACGGCGTTTTCGTCCATCAGTATGCTTGCCGGTTCGGCAGCTGGGGTGTTGCCAGTGCTGTTGCGAGTACTATTGCTTGCGCTACTGTGGTTGGAGCTGTTGTGCGCATGGGTGGTACCCGGATTCACGTTATTGCTGCCTGTATTATTTGACGAAAGTAACACTGATGAGATGCTGGAGGAGGCTGGGGAGCGGGGAACAGAGATGTCCAGGCTCGAGATGAACTCTGTGTCCAAGGGAGGAGGGCTGGAAAGCATTTCGACTATGGAGGTCTGCCTTGCTGGTTGTTTTGGGGAGTTTGGGGCCCGCATGGCTGGAGACATTGGGTACTTGCTGGAAGGCATAGGAGCTGCTGGGTGTGTAACGATTTGTGCCTGCGTGGGAGGGTGTGTCCAGGGGGTTCAGGGTACAACTATTTGCAAGGACGGTCTAGTATAGCAAAGGCGGAGCAGTATGGCAAGGCGTGGTGCAATGTGGGCCGTGGACGCCGGTGGAGATGTGATCGCAGAGAGCTGGGGCCAGCAGAATGTGGAGATATCCACTCCAATTACAGTTCGAGTAGGCAGGACCCTGTGGTGGTCGTGGTCGTGGTCGTGGTGGCGGGGGAGAACGGAGACGCGGAGGTCCAGCTGGTGCACGTCTGTGGGTGTCCTGCAATGTGTCGGTGTCAGAGGGAGAGACACGCTGTTACGATAAGATTGGCCAGGAAAGAGCACGGGCCGTTGGGGAGGACAGCTACGACAGGGTAAATAATGACCAGGGTGTCGGTCAGTCACATGTGGGTGTGTGTACGCCTAAATAATATCGGGTTGAGAAAAAAAAGAAAAAAAAAAGATGAGCAGGGCAGAGAAGGACGTAGAAGAAGCGGGAAAAAAAAAGGGAGAGGCAGAGGGGCAACGCGGGGGCTCGCTTTATCGCACCCGGCTGGGAAACGGCGCACGCAATTCTGTCGTGCCACGACACGCTGCCGTGTTGCGTGCGGGGCCCGGCGGGCACTTCTTGCCGCTTCCGCCGGAAAGCGAGAAAAGAGGGGGTGTGCGCGTATGCACGTGATGCAGGCGGTGCTGCAGCGTGGGCAATCGGCGGGGCCGTGCAACGTTGTGCAGACGTATTTCGCGGCGGCCGGAATCATACGTCTGGCGCTGGCGGGCAGTGACCGATGGGGCGGCGCTGGCGGGCAAAGTGAGCCGATCGTGGGGAGCGAGCGAGGCATCGACGGATGGCCGTATACGAGGGCCAGGGGGGCGGTCGTATATAAGTGACGGGGCACGTCGAGGAGACGGGGCAACGGGGAGCGGGGGCAAAGGGGCGGAGACAGTCGAGAAGTCGATTGCGGGACACCGAGACAGGAACTAATGAGTGACGCTAAGACGACGACGACGACTAAGGCAGGAGAGTCCGTGCTGGACGCCTCGCTGCCGATCAAGGAGCAGATGGAGCGTCTCATCCGTCAGAAGCAGGCGGAGATCTGTGCCGGGCTGGAGACGCTGGAGACCAAGCAGTTTGCGCCGGACGAGTGGGTCCGCGGCAACAACGGCGGGGGCGGGCGGTCGATGGTGCTTGCGGACGGGTCGACGTTCGAGAAGGCCGGGGTGAACGTGTCGGTTGTGCACGGCACGCTGCCGCCGGGGGCCATCGAGCGGATGAAGAACGACCACAAGGACATCGAGACGTCGGCAGCCGGCACGGTGGGCTTCTTCGCGTGCGGGTTGAGCATGGTGTTGCACCCGTGGAACCCGCACGCGCCCACGATGCACCTGAACTACCGCTACTTCGAGATCATCAACCCGGACGGCACGACGCAGACGTGGTGGTTTGGCGGCGGCGCAGACCTCACGCCCAGCTACCTCTACGCCGAGGACGCCCGCCACTTCCACTTGCAGCACAAGCAGGCGCTCGACCCCTTCGGCGCAGACCTCTACCCGGAGTTCAAGGCCTGGTGCGACCGCTACTTCTACATCCCGCACCGCGGCGAGACCCGTGGCGTCGGCGGCATCTTCTACGACGACTTCAACCGTCTCCCGGCCCAGCGCTGCCTCGAGATGGCCGAGAGCTGCTTCAACGCCATGCTCCCCTCCTACCTCCCGCTCGTCGCTAGACGCAAGGACACCCCCTACACCCCCGAGGAGAAGCAGTGGCAGCAGATCCGCAGAGGCCGCTACGTCGAGTTCAACTTGGTCTACGACAGAGGCACCAAGTTCGGTCTCCAGACCCCGGGCTCCCGTGTCGAGAGCATCCTCATGTCCATGCCCAAGACCGCCACCTGGCTCTACAACTACGAGCCCGACTCCGGCTCCCGCGAGGCAGACCTCCTCCAGGTCACCCGATCCCCCGTGGAGTGGGTCTGATCCTCCCGATGTAACCTTTGTACATAGCACACATAGATAGACCCTGCAATCGATGGACCACGACACCCCGTCTGTCGTGGACTTCCACAACCCCTTTCCTCCCTTCCCTTCCGACGAGCCGCCACCGCAGCCTGCGCGCTCCCCGCGTCCCCCCTATGAGCCCCCGCGCGCGGGCTCTTTTGTTTATTTTGCTCCTCCGCCGGTCTCGCACTCGCCCCGTGGCGGTCGCTGCAGGGACTCGATTGTCTGGCTCGCTCGCACGCAGGCTATCTGTCGGCACCTGTGGTCGCTACTGCTGGCGCCTGGTCCAGCTCGAATTTCGGCACGTTCTGGTCCCTGATCCGGACCCTTTTCTGGAAGGACGGTCCCCCTTAGTGGTGTACTTCCTCGTGCTGCTCCTCTGGCTGTGTGCCTCGTCCCCCGTTGCACTCTTCTTGTCTCCGCAGGGCAATTGATCCACAGTCGGCGCACACCGTTTTCCTCACCTCCACACAACCCACAGACAGAGTCGACCATGGCCGGAACATCGTCCACGCCTACATACAGAAACACGCCGTCGTCCAAAATACGGTCCCGGTCGAACACAGAAACCGGGCCAGGGTCAGGGTCCGGGTCCGGAGCTGGAGCCGGCGCAGGCGCAAGCCAGGACCAGGCGGACGCGGACGCCAGGGTGCTGCGACAGAAATCAATGTCCCCCATGTCCAACCAGCAGCGGGTGGTGTCGCCGTCTGCGTCCAGCGAACCCGTGTCGTCCTCCGCGTCCTCGGCGTCCTCCAGCAGCGGCAGCAGCGGCAACGGACACTCAAAGAAGTCGTCGCTCTCGTTGCAGCCGGCAAAGGCCCAAAACCACCGCAGATCCCAGTCCTTTCTTGCACAGCTGTCCAGCCACGTCCGGAGCCACTCCATCGACACCCTGGCGAAGGACGCCGGCAACAACTCGGGGCTGTCCAATCTAGATTCCCCCTCGATGAAGCTCTCCGTGCCCAACTCAGGCAACTCCACCAACGGCAGCGGCGTGCTGGCCAAAGACTTCTCGCCCGTCAAGGGGAAAATAAGTCCAGAAAACAGCCCTGTCACTGGCTCTCTGGCGTCTCCCGTCAAGGTCTCCGGAGTCGCAGCAGGCCCCAACACCCAAGACCTCATTTTGGAGATCAGCGATGACGTCGACATCGACCGTTTGCTACACAACGAGGCCCTCCTCAAGAATATACCCAAGTTGAGTGGAAAAAGCAAGGCCAAACGTGGCGAGACCTTGTCCATCAGGACAGGGCTCGATGAAAACGGCAACGACAACACTAACAGCGGCAGCAGCAGCTGCAGCAGCAGCAGAGTTCTCCGCAAACTCAATGCACACTACCCCAACCTCAGGATAACCATTTTCTCGATTTTGCTATGGTATGCATTTTCTATGGGTATCTCTGTTTACAATAGATGGATGTTTTCGAGTGAAAACCTAGATTTCAGATACCCTATTATTATAACCTCATTTCACCAACTTATACTCTCCTTACTGGCCATTTGCACCCTCATTATGTTCCCAAGTTTCAGACTTTCCACTGTAAAATATAGAAGGGTCCCAAATAAAGAGCCTGGTTTCGACGAGACCGACGGTGATGACGACCAGTTGGAAAATGGCACGCTTTCCTACACGATGCCGATAAAAGAGTACGTTACCAAGATTTTACCCTGTTCAATAGCCTCGGCCGGTGACATTGGTCTCGGAAATGCTGCATTTAGATTCATTACACTCTCATTATATACCATGGTCAAAACCTCTGCTCTCATTTTTGTCTTGCTTTGGGGCGTGTTCTTCAAGCTTGAGAAGCTGACAGTGAGAATTTTCACCATTGTCTGCGTGATGACATTTGGTGTCTCGATGATGATCTGGGGCCAGCATGACAGCCAGACTAAGCCTGCCGCAAGCGCTGTCGACACAGCGACCGGCAACGGTGCCAGCGGCGACTCCTTCGACCAGATTTCCAAGGGAAATCAAATGGTGAAGAGACTCTTCTACGAGATCAGAGAGACGGGCGAGTTGAAAGGGTCTCACATTATTTTCATCGGAGTCTCTTTGGTCCTACTATCTGCCTGTATGTCCGGTCTCAGGTGGGCACTAACACAGATCACGTTGAAAAAGAACAAGAGAACGAAAAACCCGATTTTGACGATGCTCTACATCTCTCCGGGGATGTGTTGCGTTTTGTTTCTCGTTGGAACTGTAGTCGAGGGTGTCAGCAACTTTCTCAATGCGGAGATCTGGGAGGCAAAGGGTGTCGGGATGACCATCGTGTTAATTTTGATCCCGGGACTTCTAGCGTTTTTCATGACTCTCTCGGAGTACGTTTTGCTCCAGTATGCATCGCTCTTGACATTGTCAATCGCCGGCATTTTCAAAGAATTGTTGACGATCTTTGTGTCGTGGGTGGTCTTTGGCGACGAGTTGTCGTTCATCAATATCATCGGGTTGAGTATCACCTTTGCGGACATTGTGTGGTACAACGTGTACAGGTTCCAGCAGAACGCCGAGCTGGCGAAGAATGCTGCAGGCGCCGGCGGAAGCGAGGACGGCTCCTCGCAGTCTCGGACACTCGACAACGAGTTTGTGGACATCGAGCTGAACAACATCAACATCAACATGAACCGCAACCGGTACTAGTGGCGTGTAGGGAGCAGACATCTTTTCTATAATCAAGTAAAACAATATCATTCTGTATCACGTGCGCGAGCACACGACAAGCTCAAGCTCTTGGCGGCCGAACGGTGCGCGCCTGCTGCCCGCCAACGGGCAGCGGCCAACGATGGACGTCGGGCCGATAACAGGGAAGCGATAAAGAGAAGTAGCCTTCCTTTCTCAAGGCGCCTCGTGAAAGGTGAAAGGAACCAGCGGAAAACACGTGCCCCAGCAACAAGACACGACAAGTATGGCAAAGCCAGGTGCTAGAGGATCCAGAAAGAAGGCCACGCTGGACTACAGCTACGGCGAAGAGACGCCTGCTGCGACGACGACGGCAGCGGCTCCGTCCGCCGCAGAGCAGGCGGGTCTCGACGACGACGCCGACGAACTCGTCGTCGGCTCGCGGAAGAAGATGAAGGAGAAGCAAACCAAAGAGCTCGAGCGCCACGAGCGTGCCCGGGCCCACCAGGCCCGCCGCGAGAAGGCGCAGAAGTACCTCGGCTACAGCGACTTCCTCAACAGCAGCGAGTGCGACAGCAACGGCTACCGCTTCGACGAGACCGACGACTTCCACAAGCTCGACGAGGCCGGCTGGAACCGTGTCGTGGGCTTCGTGCTTGTGCGGATCGTGTCGCCGCTGATCCTCGTTGTGCAGGGCATCGTCGTCGGTCTCGTGCTCTGGCGCGTCTACGACCTCGACTTCTCCCCGACAGGCGTTCTCGCCCAGCAGAACTGTCTCCCCTGGGTTGCCGGCGCCCTCAGCCTCAACGCCTTCCTCGTGCACGGGCTCAGCAAGCACGTCTTCTTCTGCAAGAGCTACTACAAGCCCCGCGCCAGCCACGGCCCTTCCAAGACCTAGCGGCCGGCCATCGACCTTTCGGCCCTTCCACAGACAGCCGGACCGGGCTGGCCCCCACCCTCTGCAGAACACCGCCCATCTGTATAGAACATTCCACCGCGTGTGCAGAACACCCATACGCTTTGTACTAAAAAATAGACATGCAAGTCTAAGTCTAGACGTCCCGTTATCTCACACCACGCTGCGCCCAGCCCCGATCCCCCGTCCCGTCCCGCCCCGCCGCGCCCCGCCCTCTGCGTCGCTGCCTGCCCCTCCCCCGCCTTTCCCCGCCTTTCCCCGCCGTTATCTGGCGTTATCGTGCCCACGGAGGTCTTTCTGGAACGCGCGGCGCAGCACACAGCCCGTCCGAGCTGCCACAAACGTGCGCCCGCTGACGCCACCGTGACGTAGCGCCGCACGCGCCGCCGTCTTTTACTACTCTGCTTCTGGATTTAGGAGGCCATTTCGCACTCATAGAGCACGCACAGAGGCTGCGCAACCGCCTTCCTTATTTTTTTGCGCGATTTCGATTTTTCTGTGTGCTTCCACCGCAGTCGCTCGTCCCTTCGGAGCCAGAACGACGTAATACATGCATCGGGGATAGACACCGTCCCAGGCAGATAAGGCACCGCAGACAGATCCAGACACGGCCTCCCGCAGCCGGGCTTGTGTCGCATGTCACACAGTGTCGTCACACACTGCCGTCATACCCTCCCGGTATGCAAGACACATGGTTTCCTCGGAGGTAGTGCAGCTGCGGACCTCCTGAAAGTGCCTGTCTTCTCGACTGACCGCCCCCGGTGTGGCAACTCCCCGCCTGCTTTTCTGTTGCAGAATGGTCGGGGTGTCTGTATAAATAGTTATGCTTCTCTTCTTTCCATGTGTGGTTGCATCCTCGGAGAATGTTGAGGATCCGATCTGTATTGTGCTGTTGAATTCTTTTGAACAATTTCTTGGCATCTTTCACTTTCCTTTTCATCTCTTATCTTCTTTTGTCAAACATTATTATTATTATTTCTCTACTGCCACCCGCACCCAAAGCCTAAGAAGTAACTTAACCGAAAATGACTACGATGAACCCTATCACCGCTGCTCCGATAGCCACCAAGACAAATAAGGTCGACGAAGCAACCGACACGACCCCCCCAGTGCCCTCCTCCTATTTGAATAATGACAACATTGACAGCATGAAGCCAGAGCACAAGGAGCCCGTATCCTCGATTTCGTTGAGCGATCAGCTCGTAGACTCGTTTCCGAGCATGGGCACCTTTGCCAAGCAGGCCGCTGCGGACGTGAGCCAGAGGGAGAAGTCCTTCAGCAATAACTTGAGTCCACACCGCTTCAGCTTCAGCAGTAATTTGCTTTCGAGACCACCACAATTCAAGAAGGAGATCATCGACCACCCTAGAGTAGCATCCTACGCCTTCGCGTTTGACATTGACGGTGTCCTTGTCAGAGGACCCGAGACCCTTTCTCATGGCGTGGAGGCCATCAAGTACCTAGATGGCGAGAACCCTTACAACATCAAGGTTCCATACATTTTTGTCACCAACGGAGGCGGTAAGCACGAGAGCGTGCGTGCTCAGGATTTGTCCAAAAGATTACAGACCGAAATCACCTGCAATCAGATTGTACAGGGTCACACGCCGATGAAGGAGCTGGCTGGCACCTACAAAAACGTGCTTGTTGTAGGTGGTGTCGGCAACACCTGCAGACATGTTGCCAAGGACTATGGCTTCGAAAACGTGTTCACCCCTCACGACATCATGAGATGGGATCCTTCTGTCACACCATATTATGAAATGTCAGAGGAGGACCTCGGCTACTGCGAGTGTGACGAAGACGTTGACTTTGCCAAAACCCCAATAGATGCTATTATGGTTTTCGCCGACTCCAGAAACTGGGCTGCTGACCAGCAGATCATTTTGGAGCTATTGATGTCCAAGGGCGGATACATGGGCACGATATCGGACACTTTTGAAGACGGCCCTCCTATTTATTTTGCTCACTCAGACTTTGTTTGGGCCACCAACTATAGGTTGGTCAGATATGGAATGGGTGCATTGCAGGTTTCCATTGCTGCTCTCTTTAAGGAACACACCGGCAAGGAACTGAAGGTGATCAGATTCGGTAAGCCTCAACGTACTACTTTCAAGTTTGCCGAAAAGGTGTTGGACTCCTGGAGAAAGGACATATTAGAGGATCACATTGAAGAAATGACATCCTGTGCTGATAGCACTACGTTGACATCCGATATCTTTTCCAGTCCAGATGACTCCAAGTACAAATCTGTTTTCCCTAGCAGCGATTCGGAAACAGACGACAGAGAGTCCGAGGATGAGGAGAACATTGATGGGCTAACTATTCAAAGCTTGAACAAGTTGAGATTGGCAGAAAGTAAGACTGCCAACTCACCGAATACCGCCGCTGCTACCGCCGCGGCCGCCGCAGCTGTTGAGGGCGCAACCACAGCTCCTAATCCAGGTTCTGCAACAAGCACAAAGTCTAGAACACTTTCTTGTCCCGATGACTTACCTCCACCATCCACTGTTTACTTTGTTGGTGATACTCCTGAATCCGATATTAGATTTGCCAATTCACACGACGAGTCATGGTTTTCTATCTTGGTGAACACTGGTGTTTATCAGTCTGAAACCACGCCCAAGTACAAACCTAAGAAGCAATGCGATAACGTGTTCGAAGCAGTGAAGTTTGCCGTCGAGAGAGAGCACCAAAAGGAGTTGGAAGAGTGGAACAAAAACGCCATTGATCCGCAAGCATACTAACCTTTACCAGCTACACGCGATGATTTATTCTTCTTTTCGATTCTCATGATTTACTCGCTTTCGATTATTCTTTGTTAATCCTTCTGCTTTTTACCTTTTCATTTTCATTTTCATACACTTCGGTTCCTTCTTCCTTTCATATCCTTTTATTACGTTGCACATCTATATACCTTACATTTTATATTCTCATGTTTTCTGTATAATAATTTTATCTGGTTAGATAGAACTTTTCCCACAAGGTGTTGACACATCTGTACGTCTGCAGTTTTGCACTGTTATTCCCGCAGACCCACAATCCATCTTTTCTGCATATGCGGCGGCAAGCATTACACATGTTACACGAGGATACCTTAGTAATTTAACCGTCGACGATCTCGTTGGTGCAGCCACCGCAAGTCGTCGGTGTAATGTCTTTCGGGACTTCCCCGGCATCGGCGTTTTTTTAACAAGCTTTCGCCGATATGCTTCTCTAATCGTAGTTTTGCCCACCTACCCCACGCTTAAAACTGTGTTCTTTTGCCGGAATGCCGACTGTTATCCGCCGTGTCCTTCCTCGCCTCACACATGAATCCCGATCTGGATAGGACCTAAATTTTTCATGCAAACTCAAATTGCAGCCATTTTATTTTACCGAGAATTGGTGTACCTTTTTTGTGTAGTTGAGCATCGGGCGCGGATTGTGCAGCGGGCGGCTGGTAGGGTTTCAAGGCAACATCTATAGGATGCGGGCCAGAAAAGTTTCCTGGAACTACGATCTTGCCGCCGGGCCCAGATCTTCTGCACGAGAGACAAGGCTGGTTGCTGCACAGACACATTAACTACAGTCGGGTTTACCAATTGCAGCCAGCCATTTGAAAATGATCTGCATTTCTGTATTGTAAGGCTCAATGCTGGCATAACACATCGCGTGGAAGAGAAAGCAGCGTATGATAAAACCGTATAGCTTTGATAAAGATCTGACTGCAGGGCGAGTGGTGCTTACATTGGGGCGTTTTCGGAAAAATCTTCTCGTTCCTCCTATTTTCCCCTCTCTTCGGCACTTCTTTGGCGGTAAACATTATTCGTGTAACAACACGTAGATGCTTTAAGCTACCCGTTGCAGCTATTCCTGCATTTTCTCATGCATGGTAACTGTATGGAATAATCGCTCCCAATACTATTGCTCTTCTTACTCTACTATGCCTCGGTCGCAGCTTTCCCCCCTACAACCCAGGCCAACTGTAGATCGCCAAAATTGTATGATCATACCACTCACTACCACCAGCCTGTCAACTAGTTCTTTTATCTAATAATCTTCATTTTTCCCCAGCTCACTCAGATTTTTCAGACCCCAATTCTCTCGCTCCAATGCAATATGATCTGTTGTCCGCATAACAACAATAAAAAGGAAAATAAGAAACGAAAAACCGGGTCAACAGAAAAATGTCCAACCGAAACAGTCAATTGATAAATGCATAATACATAGCGTCCAATGAAGACAAACGATCTCCCTCAACCACAGCAAACCTACAGAATTATGGCATCACCCATATAATTCATCGTACACTCTACGAGTCTCACCCAGAGTGGCACCAACCCTTGAGGCCTTCGTCTCCAGCAGCTACGTCCCCCTCCGACGTTCCTGGTTGCCTTGTCGCGTATGGCGGACGCGATAAAACACGCAGCGCTCTACCGCTCCTGTGTCGGCACCATATCGGTAAAGCTGAGCTGCGTCCCCCTCCGAGCTTCGCATGCATCTTCATGCAGCTTGTAGATCTGCGCTGCGTCACTGTAGGTAGTGCTTTTGTTTCAGCGCCGTGCTTATGCCGTACAGGCTAGATATATTGTTTCGATTAAGTTTACCTTCTGTGCTTCCAGGCTAAAGTGGGCGGTATTATTCTAACGGTTGTTTGTTGTTCCTTGACATTCACCATCGTTTCTCTCCCCTTCTTTATCTTTATATGCTTTTATATAGTCCTGTGGGTTCCCACATCTTTTCTCCACATTTTGCTGCAACCCTCAAGCGAATGGTATCAAGTCCGCCGTTATAAAGACGTATTGTTGCTCGCCGCCGTCCTCTCTTCACGTCCCTCATCCCGTTCATAAACATACTAATATACCCTAAGGCTAGTTAGATTTTTTCTTCACCAAAATCACTGGACTTTTTGATCTAATTTGTTTTGAAATTTCCTGCTCTCCTTTCTGCCGTTTGAAAATTATTTTGATACATACCCTGGCAAAACCAAACACATTCAAATTTCAAACTTTGATTTGGCTACCAGGCTCATAAAAGCATAGCATACCATTATATTCCAAATTCTTATAAGATCATTACTCTTCGACTTGACTCGACCCAATTAAATTCAATTCCTTGGTCCCAATTCTTCTGTCTGCTTTTGCTACATGTCCTACGTATATTATCCTCACACCAACCCCAATACAAAAACTTCTTCAAACTTGAACCAAGGGTGTGCTGTTCCCCTTACAATGATGACCCATAAACTAGCTACGCATCGAAACAGCCCCTCTCCCAACCAAAATGGGTTTTTCCAGCATCCTGCCCATCTCCATCAGCCTACTTCTCATCTTTATACTCATCCTCATCATCATATTCAACAGCCAACTCATCTACAGTCGTTACCTTCGAGTACTAGTTACATTCAGATGGCAAATAATAACCAGGGAGTGAGCTTTTCATTATATCCCATTCCCCACCAAAAGATTAACAGCTTTGTAACTCCTAACGCAGCAGCGTTGAAACCACTAAGAAAAAGAGCATTTAGCAAGAGAAGTAAGACAGGTTGTTTGACTTGCCGTGAAAGAAGAATCAAATGTGATGAGTGTAGACCAAAGTGTAAGAACTGTGAAAAGTCAAAAAGGAGTTGCAAGTTTCCATCGTCAGAGCAATCGAAAAAGAAAAAGCAGCCAATCAAGAAAACTCGGCCTTCACCCAAAAAAGCAAAATCAATTGACAATATGGCTCTTTCAGCCGAAGCGAGTAAACCTTCGTCTATAGAATGGCTTCCTTCAGAAATCCGTAATATCAACATCAGTTTCAATGAAAGTGCCATTGCCAATAGCAGTGCTGACAGCATTATATGTGGTGATTTGCTTTCAAATAACCAACTAAGCTATCAAGCTCCCAAGCCACAAAAAAACTCCCTGGATCAGAAAGTCATTCTGCCTCCAATAAACCCATACGTACCAATGCCTAAATTACCGCCAATGACCAATACTCACCCTTCAGTACAGTACCAAGCACACCAATTCGCCACCCTTCCTCAATATGATAGCTCAGCTACCCATAACGCTCTCAATAATAAATCGGCCTCGGTAGATAAAAACATGTATCAATTTGAAAACCACTTGCCATACACAATGAATATTAGCAATGTTCTTGCTTCTCCAGCAGTACAAAACTCAAGTCTTGTGTCGAACAATCCAAGATTAATCGACTACAATTACAGAAAAGAGCAAGAAAAATCCTCTTTTTCGGCAATTGCCTCTTCAAGTAGCAGCCCACTATTTTCTACATCAGGATCATCACTTTCTACAATCTCAACCAGCGATCCGATACAACTGCTGTATCCGCAAATTAAATATAATACGACAGTAGCAAACAGGATTACTCCTACCTCCCTATCTAGCGGTAGCGATTTTATCAATAGCACAGATGACAATACTGTTAATGCGCCAAGTAATCGATTTAGGAATGCATCTGTTCAAACGTACTATCAAGGAAATTCACCTTCTCCAGTTAGTTATTGGCCTCAATATGTTTATCCCGCAGTGAACAACATTCACGTTAAAAAAGTATCTCCCTCATTACCGAAAGAAAAAGGTATGAGCTTGGACTAGGATCAAATTATTACTCATTTTCTTTGAAGGGTCAAAAAGCACTCTCTCTCTTTCTCTCTTTCTTTGAGCATATGAAAAATATTTACTTTTATTTTCCTATCCATCTGTTTTTAATATCTATCATTTACTCTTTGCTTCAGTTGATCTATTCGCACAGAGTATGTTATACATTGTCTTGATTTTTAATTTTTTTATTTTCCCCATGCTTTTTAATAATTTATCCACTCTGCTTTCTCATATTTTTTCATTGCTTGTATCAAAATTTTTGAATTAACTCTTTATAGTTTATTTATTTACCTAAATAAACTCACTTCACCAGAAATATGAAAATAACAAAAACATTTGCTCTGTGCTTTTACAAAAGCAGTAGAACCAGAAATTAAGCTATCTGCCAACCGATACCAAGCCTGATTTCCCTTCTCTGATACTTCAGCAAGGTTTCAAAAAACTTGCTAATATTAGCGGTTAGTAGGATAAAGACTTCAAGTTTTCAGTGGTGGCTATGTTATGTAAGGGGTTGAGGTGTCAGTAACGACATCATACATGTACTTACATCATTCTTCACATTTCAGGTAGTCGGACAATCTGATTTTTAGTATCATTTTTAAGGGACAGTTCAATTGCATGTAATCATTATTTTTAGCTTGATAACCAACAACCCTAATTGAGCCTTTAAAGCTAAATCCGTTGCAATTGGGACTGCTATGCTTATTTGTTCACATTTTTTTGTGAAAAAGCGTCGATCGTCCAAAGTCAGCGACTTCCCCTTGCATTAACATGATTATGTTCTTTGGTAAGATCAAAAACACCAGCCGCCCATTGCTTGGTTCAGCACGATCCTATGCCTGAATAAAATTTGTCCTAGTAGCAATTTTTCAAATCTTGAGAACATGCTTTTAGGGCTTAGTTCTTTGTTTTTAATTATCATTCATTCACACGCGTTAGAGGTATTACGTGGTGTTTCACCAGAAAGCATCATAAGATATCAACCTGATGAAAATGGGAATTGGCACTGTTTAAATGATCCAAGTATAGTTATATCATTTGACAGAGTTAATGATAACTATTGTGACTGTCCAGATGGTTCCGATGAGCCGGGCACTTCTGCCTGCAGCAACGGTCTGTTTTTCTGTGAAAACGTCGGATTCGAATCACATTTCATACCATCCTTCAAAGTAGACGATGGTGTATGTGACTACGAGGTTTGCTGTGATGGTTCAGATGAAGCTCCGGGGATTTGTGAAAACAGATGTATTTCGATGAAAGCAACGCATGAAAAAGTAGTTAATGAGCACAATAAAAAAATAACTCAAGGTTTTGCAATTAAGCAAAAAATGGCTGAAAAATCTAAGAATATGAGGTCCGATATAGAGCAAGCAATCTCAAAGTATAATCACTACATTGCCAGCATCGAAGAGAATATTGCAGAGCTAGAGCTAGTAAGGGGAAAGACGGATGAAAATGAAGAAAAGATAAACGGCAACTTTAAAATAATTGAAACGGATCTTGCATCTTTGACTAGTAGTTTACTCGACTCCTTAAATCAATTGGGTGGTTATATCTCTAAACTTGAATCGCTTAAAAGTGTACTCAAAATGATGACTGAAGAATATAATCACAATTTCAACGATCCTGCGGTTAAGCAGGCTGCTCAGGAGTATTTAAATTTTGCCGCATCATTTGATGAAGCTAGTGACGATTCTAGTGATGATAGCGGCACAATTCAAAGAATAACAGTAGAAAAAGTGATAGTTGCCTTTCAAGAGTCGTTAAAGGGTATCAATGAAGATATTGCTAAGGTGAGAAGCGACATTGTGGCTTTAAAAATAGAGCAAAACGAGAAAGAACACAGCAACATCGTTGACTCTTCCTCCACTTCAATTTTCACCGAAACGTGGGAAATTGTTGCTGTAGGACTTAAAAGGCTTGTGGATTCATTTTTGGGAGTTGAATCGAGAATAGTGAGTTATGAAGAGTCTATTGAACCACACAAAGATACTCTCAAATCAGACATATCTAACAAAGACGCAGCAAATCAAATTGCTTCATTAAGTACAAGTTTGGAAGGGTTAAAATCCGAAGTTGGTAAATCAGAATCAGAACTCAGGAAGAACTATGGACCTGATGATATTCTTCGGTCTATGTCAGAGTGCATAACTTCCAAGATCGGAAGCTATAAATACAGACTTTGTCCGACTTCAGTGTTGGAGCAAATAAACAGTGACGGGCGTGGAACCAAAATTGGTGTTTTTGAAGATCTCATCTTTTCTGAAGAGACTAATAATTATCAATTTATATTCAAAAGAGGGGAGAGATGCTGGAATGGACCAGTAAGAGAAGCTGTTGTCGACGTTTTATGCGGAACAAAACAAGAAATTTTGGTAGTTACAGAACCTGAAAAGTGTATTTACCATTTAAAGATGGTATCACCTTTAGGGTGTTTCGAGTCTGATTTGCTTTAATGAAAATGCATTTAAAAGTTCGACTAACTGCCGAGGATTGTTTTATTTTCCAAAAAAATGTTACTTGACATTGCTTGTGCTGATATATAAAGTATATACGAGAATATATAACGAACTATTTAACATAAACCATAACTGAAGTAATGTCGTCTGGTTTCCCCCCAATATAATCCTGACCTGTAAGAGAACTTAACTTCTGTGAAAAGGCACTCTTGAAATTTGTGTTTAAACTCAAAACTGTTGTTTGTTGAACTAAAATCTTATTCAAAGATCCTAAGCTCTCCGACAAATTAACGCCTTCGCTGGCGTTATCATTCAAATAGATTTCAATATCATCTGGGAAAACGTTATCTACCATCCCATCGGTGGTAAACACAATGATATCTCCACTCTTTAATTCATATGAGTATTCTTCAGACTCATCAGGCTCATTCATCAAATACTTAGAACCCCTCTTTTTGGCAATTTCTAAGAAATCATCAGGTATTATTGAAAGTTGGTATGGTGCGTTAAAATAATACACTTGTTCAACAGACTGGTGGGTACATTTGTATCTGGAATTTTCATCCTTACGAAAAATGCCAAACCAAGAGTCACCCAAGTTCAATGCGGATAGTTTACCAGTCCTTCCATCAATGATCCCAAAACAGATTGTAGTTGAGCCTACTTTTACTGTACCTTCTTCCTTCACTGCTGCAAAAGATTTTTGTAGTATTTCTAATGGCGACGAGGAAGGATTTTCAAGATAGAATATAGTAACTTTATTGGCAAGTTCTCTGCTTATTGCACTTGAGTCGAACCCTTGTTCGGACCAGCCTCCAACACCGTCCAAAACACCTATTATGATCCCAATTTCAGTATATGCTAAGATATAATTGTCTTCACCAGTAGGAGATTCATAAACATTCTTCGCATTCAATGCTTTGAAATTTTGAACAAACTCACCATCATCAAAAGCACCATCATCATCGGACATATTATTTTTTAATCTATCTTTCGGTGAATATGCGACAGAAACTGTATATTGTAAGGATGAATCGACAAATCGCTTGGTAAATTGTTCGCCATTGGCAAAACTGCGAAATCTCCTAAAGGCATCTTCAGTGGAGGAGCTAAATTTCCTGAAAGAGCCAAAATTTGAAAAGCAGCTGTTTCTTTGATTCATGTTGCTGATACTATAAGCGTTACCGTTGTTACTATTATTGCCATTGTTGCTGTTTTTTGCCCTATGTTTCTGTCTCGTCGAATGAAATGAGACTTTTTGACCGTTCTGTGAAAAAGAACATTTCACTTTCAATGTCAATACGTCATGATTCTTCAACAAATTCCTATCAAGGACCTTTGAAGTGATTGTTATTAGTCTCTTCGAAGTTTGTGAATACATGGTGTTTGAATTCTTCTATAAGGGTCGTTTGAAGTGCCTAGAGAGATTAACACTACTCACTGGACCTTATCTTTATCAACCAGAACCACCACTGCAAACGCAACTTTGATGAAAGTAATAGACTTCTACTGCACTGTTCCTTTTTTCTTCAACAGGCCCACAGTATCAACGACAGTTCCAATAAAACACGACAGTCTATGGATAGGCAATAAAATTTTTTTAATGGCTCTTTTTTTCTCTGGCGGTTCACCTCCGCATATTATTATCTGCTGGCTCGGAAGAGAAAAATTTGGAAGGCATGTAATCGAATAGATATGAATGAGTATAAATATAAATATGATTATAAATATAAGAATGATATAAATATAATATAAATAGAAGTCTATATATAGGCTATATATTGGCTCAAAATAAATACAAAATGAATAATCGGGTGAAAGAGGAGAAGAAAATAAGATGTCAGGAAGATTTGGATCAAAATGAAAATTAAAAAAACACATCAAAGGCACCCAGGATGGAATTAAACAAAATCGAATGAATGAGAACAAGATGAATAAATAAACACTAAATTGGTACAATTACATGCTCCCAAACAAATTGGTAACATACAAATTTTTTTTTGTCGTCAGACAATATTATTTCTCATTTGTGATTCAACCCTTTACAGAAGTTGCGCATTGCGGTCAATGGTATTAATTTTGCTTTTCATTTTGTTCTAAAAGAAGAAAAACAAAGGTTCAAATCAAATCACGGCGTCATTATTATTCTGATATCTTTGATTTTATTTTATTTTATTTCTGGAGGTTTCGTTGATCAATCATTTTGATTTATTTATAAACTTTCAACAGCAGATTCAATAGCTTTGGCAAAGTCTAAGTTTGGATCTTCCAAATTGAAACCAGCAGAGGCCTTTGGTGGGTTCAATCTCTTGTATTCTGCCTTAGCATCTTCAATCAGCTTGATCTTCTTTTGGTATTCAGCTTCTTCTTTCTTCTTTTCACCTGCAGCTTTTAGGGAAAGATCATGAGTGAAACCATAAAGAACACCAGTAACCAATGCACCGTATCTGAAAACCTGCAGGGAACGAAAGCAACAGTAAATGTAACGAGTTCAATTGTTAGTATTTGTTTGGCTTGGGGCCTCCAAAGAAATCATTCTGGAGCACAAAGAAAACCAGTGTCTCTTCAGGTTTTCAGTGAAAAGCAGCTCAGTTACCTTTCCATCATCAACCCTTTCTGAGCCTGTTCCCGGTAAACAGGCAAAAAAACAATGAAGCTAGCAACTCGTCTCATCCGACACACCGAGTCCGCAACCTGTCCGTAACCTGTGCGTCTTTTTTTGAACACTTACGTTTAAAGTAGACATTTTATCTTTCTATGCTTGCTTGTTCTACACCGCTGGCTCCTGCTTTGGTTCACCGGCCCTGTGCTCATCCTCTCTATCTGTCAGTGCACACGTTTTTCTCTAACTTACTCTCCCACCACCACAGTGTACAGCGTCCTCGATGCTCGCTCGCTTCCCCCGCTCGCCGCCTCGGCCTATTTCCCTTCTCTTTTTCTCATTTCAAGTTTTGGCACCGCTTCCACAGTGGAGTGAAGAGAAATATCTATGAAACTTTACGCATGGCAAGAAACAATATGGGCCTGAGGAATCTGCCAGTATGAAGACTTTCTCAAAGCTGTGGTGATTGCCGTGGTTTTGACTTGCTGGATATCTTATCCAGCTGTTCCCTGCTTTCCCTCAAAATTACTTTCAGCCACGGCAGCCGGCGAATCAACGGTCTTACCCCAAAGCCCAGGGCTTCGTAACCAATATTGTGCGACATCCTCATTGTCGCATTTCTACCATGAAAGTCGACAGCGCAAAAAAAGATGCATGCATTCGTCTCTCTATCATCTATAAACTATACATTTTGTTACTTCCCATGTACACTGTTCAGAACAAAACTTTTGATCTTGTTCTTTTCCGTACGCATTCTCTCCTGCTCCCTTGTCACGTTGATGGCAAGAATGGATGAGTCCGGCACCGAAATATCCTTCTGCTGCACCTTTTTTCCGGATCTGCTCAAGAACGTGAACTTGACACTGCCGTCTTTTTGGCTGTGAGTAGGACGAAGAATGTCATGATCAGCAGTGGCCAGAGCACCTGTTTCTTCGGTAGTTGCTTTTTTGAGCTTGTATATTATCGATTCTGGAGTCCCCATGCTGTCACTTAAAAATCCTTTGTTCGGTTTGGCGGCCGCAGCGTTGGTCAAACTTTCGTTCATGATCTTGGCAAATTCAATGTCAAGTTCTGCATCAAAGAAAGCTTTTTCACGATTTGTCATATCATCTTCATCCTCTTCCTCTTCGTCCACAAAGTCCGAAACAACTTCTATATTTCCATTTGCGCTGTTATCGTCACTCTCGGAATCCTCTTCGCTGTCATAACTATCAGTGTCATAACCACAAGCACTCACATCAACCTCATCATAATCATCATCATAATCATCATCATCATCATCATCTTCTTCTTCTTCTTCTTCTTCTTCTTCTTCTTCTTCTTCATCATCATCATCATCGTCGCCGTCGTCGTCGTCCCCCTCCTCTTCGTCGTCGTCTTCGTCGTAATAATTACCACCAATGTCATCAATGTCTTCTTCAACATCTGTATCTTCTTCACTATCGAGACCTTCAGACTTGATTTGACTTTTGGCTTGACCTCTATAAACATCTGCTCTATTATCGGCATCACCGTCATCATCGTCATCATCGGCATCATCGTCATCATCGTCCTCATCGTCCTCATCGCCCTCATCGTCATCCTCGTCATCATCAGCATAATCGTCATCAGCCTCATCATCATCATCGTTTAAGTTGTGGCGGCCAAGTTTCTCATCATCATCGAAATGTTCGGCGCATTTTTCTTTCTTTTGGGTAGGATCTTTCTTTTGGACTACACTGCTTGAGCTACCCTCAGCATCACCTTTAACTTCACCATTCTTGCTCAATTCTTTACTCTCTGTTTCGGAAGTACTTTTTGATTTGGAAATTGCCTCCTGAAGCATGGTAAGTGAATCTTCATAGGAATTGGGTCTAAAAAAATTCTCACTGTTCAAGCATGACTTCAAGTACATTGATGTATCATCTAATTTGGAATTGAGGTCAACAGCTAATGGTCCAGATTTTGTAAAAACATAGTAATTAAAAAATTTGTAAAATGTTTCGAGGCCAATTATCGTCTCAAGTCTAAGCCTTTTCACATCGAGAACTAACAACATCGAACATATCAATCTTATTCTGAAATGATCATCAGGTCGATCAAGTTCGCATATTTTCTCCCTTTCAGGGTTATAGCCTTGATGACCAAAACAAACGATTTTGTACAAAATGGGAAACAAATATTCCTCTTCAATGATTCTCAAATTGATAACATGAATGAAATATACTCCTTGGGATAATCTTATTCGAGATTGCTGCAGGTCGTTTTCTTCTAAACCCGTCGTGATATTTTCAAGAAGTTGGTCTACAACTTCGGTTCTCAGAGTATACCTGGAAGGAACACATAGAAGCCTGAATACTCTCGCCAAAAATTCAATGTTGACGAAACTTATGTTCGAAGGTTTGGAAAGTATTTGAATAATTGTTCGGTAAATGACAGGATTATCCCAATCTGAGTTTTTGAATCTTTTAGCAACAAGTTCGTATGTCTTTTCCGAAAGCTGTGTTTTGATTATGTACAAAAGAAACCTTTCCTCTTTCGACAATGCAACAATGTTTTGCTCCTTTAGTTTCGGAGGATTGAGAGATAACAAAAATACTTTTACTGCGTATTTATCTGTGTGAGAGAATTGCTTTGTCTTGTACACCTGAACTAACAACTGAATCAATCCTTTTGTATAATCTTTGTATTCGTCATCATTAACTAAAACTTTTCCACAGGCATCAAACATCAAGGATAACAAATCTATATTATTATTGACCTCAATGTTTAAAATCAATGTTCTCACCTTATGAAAAATCATATGGACAGGGATGAGCTTGAATTTCACTAATTCTGCAAACAATAAAATATCTTTTTCAGTGATGGAATCGTGGTGCATTTGGAACCTGAAACTCTTGTCTAACCTTGCAATCAAATCTTCAATACACTTTTCAAAATAGGCATTATTGATCTTGAGAAACCTGGCAAAGTTCCGGAATTTCGTAGTGTCTCGAAGTTCAACAATGTGCTTACTTAATCTATTTCTTGATGCTTTATTACTAAGACCCCATTCCCAGAAATCTTTCACAACATTGTCCACATCTTCCGCCAAATCTGCATTATCTAATCTCAAAATGATATCTGCACTTTTAGAGCCCTTCATTTCGTGGGGTAGAATTTTCGCATTGATAGATTCAAGAACTTCAGTTGATACAATTGATTCAAGACTAGGTATGTCTTCATAAAACCTTCTTGCTTCCTCATTTTCCCAAATATCATTTTGTTTTGAAACTGAGTGCTGAACAGTCACTACGGAATTTTCTGTTCTCTCAATTTCTGACTCAAGGGCAGGTAGTGAAATATCTGCAAGTGGGCAGGAAAATTCACAGAACGAGTTAAATTCCTCGAACTGATGTTGAAGTTCTTCTATCTTACCTTCAATGCTTGCAGCAATCTTACCGGTTTTCAATGAGACTACCTGAGCCGTCATCTTTTTGTTTACAATACTTTTATGATAAGTCTCAGTAGTGGACACAGCATTTTTTATGTAGGACTTCAAAAGCTTTCTAACGAAAATCATATAGTTTTCTGAATAGCGTGGACCTTTAACATAAATTAGGCTGCTAAATCTTTTGAGAAAAGATAAAATTCCTGGTAACGACATACCAGATACAAAATCGTAGCTCATTATTTCCTTCAGCATTGGGACAATGACCGGTATATCATCCTTGCTCGAAGTTTTTAGCCTTGTCAAATACAAAGGCAATTCTGTTAGTGGCATATCTTGAATAGATCTGAATATTCCACATAAAAAAAATTCCATAGCTAATCTGATCAAATTTTTGATTTTGACCTGTCTGTCTTTTTCATCTTTTTTCAACAACTTTGTTGAAGGCTGAACCATACTATAGGCAAAAAAAAGTTCAACAAATGGAGTGAATGTGTGAGCAAATCTTTGGTGCAAGGCAGAAACAACCTCCACTGCACATTGAATATCGGTAGTCTTTGAAACTTTGCACAACGCCTCGCATAGCGCAGATGATATTTCGTTTAAATACTTTTCTAAGGAGATAGTCCGTACTCCTTGGACAAGCTGTGATTCGTTTTCTTTCGTTATTCCCTGTCTTAATTTTTTGATGAAGGCGGTGTTTTTTTTCAAACTTGTATCAAGGTTGCCATCAGTTTCGAACAAATCGCCATTCCAGGCTTTCATATTTTGTTTGTAGAGTTCATTCCTTCTTTTCTCAAATTCGTCATTTGATGACATCACGCCTGCTTATAATACAGTTTCTTCAAAAGCATCAAATCTTCATACATTTTAATAACTTTAGACGTTGTATCATTGGGGAAAAACATGAAAGGAATCAAGCGTTTTCCAGTAAGTGCGAGTCCGCTAAATGAAATATTATGGACTTCAAAATTAGTTTCTCGTACTTTTTAAAACGATATAACTACGACTCTTATTGCAACATTCTCATAATTGGTCGAAAATTCGTGATTGCTCAGTCCAGTTGATCAAGTGTAGTAAATTTTTATTTTTAGGAGCACTTTCTGCTTGAGACTCTACTTTAGTAGCTACATACTGCAATCTCGCAGCCTTCTTCAATAACTGAGGTTTCGATCATACACAGCGGATTGCCGTTTGAAAAATGACCATGTTAACCGTTAGGGCGATAAATAAGAAGGTGAGTACACAACAGTTAAACTAAAAAAGAATATTATTAGTAGAGGCAAAACTTTAAATAACAGTAATAGGAAAGACAGTAGATTCTGTTTTCGCCCTTTTCGGAGTAACACCTACGTGGATTTTGTACAACCGAGAAATTTTGCATGACTGGAACGATGGTATCACTGTCTTGGGGGCCATTAGTATACATTTGACGTCGTACTCCAAAGAAACTTTAGTCTTAAATTTGTAAGTGCCCGTTTCAGATTCCAGCACCCAGCTATTAGGTGGCACCTCAATATTGACAGCTTTGAAGACATTAGGGATTCTTATCTCTTCGTACCTCACGTATGCCATTCCTCTGAGAAGCTCATTTGTTGCTTTAGGTATACCAGTCCCAAGTTCTAACATCGATGCTCCGATTTTAGCGTAGTACATAGCAAACTTCTTGAAGCGAGTTTTGTTTTCATCTACACTTTGCCGGATGAAGTCGCCATCAATTGTGAAAGGAATATTGAACGCCGATTGAACATCAATAACTATCATTGTTGGTGTGATATAAAGAGAAGTTGGGAGCTTCTTGTCTCCTGACACCAAAGGCCCGTAAGTTAGTTCCAAGTCTAGGACAGGGCTATTGACCTTCATATACTCCTCATTCAAAAGAACACTGGTCGGATTAACCTCCAACATCTTTGGTAAAAAGCTTTTTAACGTTGCTGCTCTGTCCATTTTACAAATAACTGTCAGTTGGCCGTTCAATTTTGAAAAGAGGTCTTTCTTAAACTTGAAAGTCATTAACTGTTTATAGCTCAAATCCAAAGGTAGCTTTTCAGTACTTTGATTGCAAAGATCATCGGTGGAGGCTTTTATTTTTCCACTAGAGCTGAAAATAATCTCATCTTGGTGATGAATATTTGTGATATCAATGTCTTTCAACATTTTCCTTTCGGCTAAAACCTCAATGGCTTCCTGAGCCGTCTTTTCAATAAGATCTAATTGATCTGCCGTGGACCCATAATTAGAAGTGGATCGAGGTGACTCGGCAACTTTGCCTACTCTAAAATAATGAGCCGCATTCTTAAGGAAGATAAAATCGTATTGGTGGGTAGTGTTCTTAGTATAGTATTTCTTATAAGCATCATGCCTCTTACCAACAATTTGAATGTTAATGAAAAAAGAACAAAACTCACCGGGGAGGGCATAGTCCTTCACTTTGATGGGAGACCCAGTTCTATCTAACCTTCCATAACCTAAATGTGGATCAATGTTGATCGCAGCGGCAGTAGTGTTTAGGTTGTAGATATTGACACCGAACGAAGGAACAATTTTGAGGTGCTCTGGAAACTGCTCCTCACAATTATCATCCAACATGGTTTGTGGAATTCTGAACTTGAAGAACTTCTTCACCCGAGTACCAGGGTCCATAACCCTTGATCTAAATCCAATACGAGTATTGTCACTTGGATCAAGCATATTACATTGGGTATTTTGATAGTCAACATATAAAAAATTGTAGGATGCCACAAGGTCATACATTCGTAAAACTTTTGTTTTTACTTGTCTTTTATTCTTTGGGTGGGTTACTCCAATTTCACACTCCATCGAAACCAAAAGCATTTCAAAAGGCAAACTGGTATCACTCTTGTTCTCGAAGATAACAAAACCATACACCATATCTCCAGGAAAGTATTGCTTCAAAGGGTTTCTACTTTCGTAAGGCAAGCCTGGTTGGGGAAGCTTCTCTGTTAGCGTCACCTGTACGTCGAAGGGAAGATTGATTTTTTGGAGTTTGTGCAGATTGTTAAGTACGAAGTTTGCAGGGTTTAAAGCTGGCTCAGAAAAAGGCACAGACTCGCTGTATTGAGTGGAAGAGCCAACTGTATCTGTTATACTTTCTTGGTAAGCTGGTGGTAGGTCGTCGGTTAGCGTCCTGTTGAACATGAAGTTGTGCATCTCAAATGATGGCAAAAGGTCACTGAACTCATTGCTGATGTTAGCCTTGTCAGACACCTCTTCGAGGCTGTCATCTGAAACAGTTTGGTCCGACTCAGGACTGATCGCACTCAATTTTCTGGTATCATCCATCGCCATCTTATGAGTTACAGTAGTGGATAAGGATAAGAGGAAAGTAAAAAGCAGAGTAGGACGTTTGTCGGTCAATCAGATGAAAATTCCGAAAACAGCTTTACTTATTAAAAATGAATCCTAGGAAGAAAAGCCTAATGAGTTAATCTGATTAACGTTTAGTTTTTCTAAACTAAGGATGGACCACTAGTAGTTTACAAATGAAAGATAACGTTTTTATCTTTTACTTTTATAAACTTTATCCTTATCTTGACATGACACGTTTTGCATTCTGACTCGTATTCCTTGCGATGAGTAACACTTAGTAATAGGCATACCCTACAATGTGCCAACTGCCGCATTCGCCGAGGTGCGCTCCTCACCTCCGAAGATAAGGGAAGAAAATCGAGTGAAACCCGTTTCCCTCTGGAATATTCTTATTGCTGTTGCTATAGTTGGCTAATCAGTCATCCGAGCTGACACAATAGCCGAAGCCAAAGGTAGAAAAAATGACATTTGTTCAACCTCAGCGGATAGAGTAGGATAGCGTAGGGATATAAACTTGTAAGTTTGGGTTATCTCCGGTAGATGCGTCACTCGCTTTGGGATATTATGGTTTTATACGATGAACACTTTTTCCGTTGGTTCGCCCCAGTGCTAGGTTTTCGGGTCATGTATGACTGGCAGTTAAAATCCAATAATAAACTATGTACAAAATTTATGTAATTCTACACTGGGAGTGAGAATGGAGAGGGGATTGAGGTGGGCTTTCTGCAATGGCGAGCTGAGTCATTGGAAATCAAAGTCTATCTCTGGAAAACACCCTGCCCTGAGGTAAGCCGTACATCTTTCTGACGTTATCGGTGTTGAGGTCCCAAGTGCTTCTCCAGATGTGGGCACCAATGGGAGCCAGTTTATTTCCCGCCACGAACTTCCTGATATCAAAGTTCTCTCTCTCGACGGCAGCAAGAGCGCTATCGAGCTTGCCGTCCTGTCTGAAGACCCAAACAGCGAAACGTTGCTTGCCTAAGTTCTTCTCAGGAACAGGTGGAAGGTAGTCGACTAAAGTGTATTCTGGGTGCTGATCGAGTTTCTTTATGTCGATGATGCAGTCACTGTTCGTGAGCTCGACGTCTTTTAACCCCCAATGAAGCGTGGTTGTGAAGGAATCATTCTCGACATCTGGGGTGTCTGGATTCACAATAAGAACAGTGTACAAGTCCTTTGTCGACTCCTTGAACTCAACGATCTCTAAGGCAGGGGGTCTAGAGGTCACATTACTCGAGAGAACCTCGCCCGGTTCGATCCATGTGTCGACGTTGGTGTGTGGGAACTTCAATTGTACATCGACCTCAGGCTCCAAGGTCGCAAGGGTATCTGGGATGACTGCTAGGGTTTCCAGCCTTTGCATTGTGAGCATCCTCTTGTAAGATTTCCATTGCTCCTTGAGGTAATGTCTGTACACCGGTTGGGTTCTGTCGACTGCATTCGTCGCAAAAAGAGAATTGTAGACAACCTCTGGATTTTCAGCCTCTGCTGCAGCGAGAAGTTCTTGCTTCTGTTGACTTAATCTCTTCAACTCAGCTTCGTCCTTAATGTTTTCGGCCTCTTTGTCAAGTTGTACGATACTTTCGTAAATAGATTCACTTTGTTTTTCCAAAAGCTCGTACGCAAGCGGATATATCTTATCAAGACCAAGAGGCGAGTGATACTTTAGCTTGCTGGCATTTGCCTTGAGAGACACCGGGCCCTTAGGAAGGTTTGGCGAAAGCAAAGCGTTCTTAAGAGCCGCACTTTTGACGTTCAGCGTGGTCGATCTGTTGGCAAACTTCGACCAAATTCCTCTCGAAACTGTGGTGGACATTTTTGTGCTCTACAGAGGGTGACTTTTGGTTAGAGTTGTCTTGGCTGTCCGACCGAGATCAGATAAAAACGTCTCCTATCTTCCTCTTAGCTTTCGGCCAATGTGAGAATCGTGGTGTACATTTTTTCCAAATTTCATGTTCCCAAGCGTTGGTCAATGTTTCCAACCCTTCTTCTGGTGTACGGGTGCACACTTGTGAGAACCCCGGGTTGGCACATCTTCCATGTACCCAAAAACACCTCCCCGGTGCTTAGATGATTGACGTAAGCCGGGGGTTCTATTCCGCTTCGCCTCGCGGCAACGGCATTTTCTTCGGCGTTCGGCGTTTGTAGAGATCCGGTACCGGCGGCAAGAAGAACTCGGACGTTTGACAGCTTTTCCGAGGAATTCGCTAGACTCAGGTTTGACACATTGATGGGTAACTTGTGTTGTAGGTCAGGGCGAGGAACAGAGTGGATACATTAAAGGCTGGTGGAATATATATGTTTAGAAAAGGTCTGTGGGCAGCATGTGCTGCGGTGTGCTAGCCGGCTAGCTGGGTACCATCGAGCAGGGGAAGAGCGGAATGTAGTTGGGATCCGACGGGTTGAACTGAGAGTAGTCTATGGCAGGAAAAAGGGAGCACGGGACTTCTGAAGCCCTGGCTGCGTCCGTCCTAAGTTCATAGATGTCTGGCAGCCCTGAGTTGGCGTCACTTCTCGACAGTCCCAGTGCAAGCTTGTCGTTTTTGAAGCTGAAGTCAGAGTGAGTGGAACAGCTAGAACGTGAGACCACATCGAAGAAGGAGAATTTTGGCTGCAGCGGCTCCTGTCCGGGTCCAGCTAACAGATCCCTGTCGCAATGTGCAGGCTCTGTATCGTATGACTCTCCCCCGTCGTCTGTAATTTGGTCGCCAAAGCAGCCTCCGACACTTTGGGTCAAAAAAGCCAGGAGCACCTGCATTTTTTTGATCTGAGTTCTGGCTCCATGTATCATTGTATGTGCTATCGGTATCGTCATTCCCTGAACTTCACATAACCTGTGCAGCCATCCGGTAGTTTGGTAAGCCTTAGCAGTGAAACATCATTCGGTAAAATCCTCTTTCTATGGAGTAGGAAGAACAGGTAGCAAGGGGACTTAAAGCTATAAATTCTTCGGCTTATTACGAAAACTATCAGAGTCACACCTTGATATCCGCCGGAAAATACGTAATCAGCGAATGTGTATAGAGTGGAGAATATGAGGCCTATTGTTCTACGCTATAGCAAAGGGTTCCTTGTTCGCGTATAATTTTTTTGCACAAGAAAAAAAAAGCCGTGTGGATTTCCAGCGGCACTTCTGCCAATACCGCAATCTTTACGGCCGAAAATGCTAAGCCGATCTATCCCAGCGGCAACTAGGCGTCCGGGATCGCTGGTCCGGGCCGGAACAGACTGAGATAGACTGGACTTGACCAATTCAATATGAACGACTTTGTTTTGCATCTTACAAAACAAAACAAAATTGTAGTAGAAATATGAATGTAGATTTCAAAGCGTTAAAGCGTAAAATGTTAAAGTAAAAAAGGTAACATCGTAAGTTCACAGTAAATGGGGAAGAAGAAAGAGGAAAGGGAGTTCGATAGAGGAAAGCTAAAAGATACAAAAGAAAATATATGCGGGGAAGGGGAGGAAAGGAAAGACATTTTTCAGCAGAAGGGGAATGTATTAGCTTCCTCTTTTTCCGAAATGTCTAGAAACACACAGCATTGCATAGGTTGTCTATGATATTGCGGAAAAAATTTCTATCAATCAAGCTTTTGATTTGGTTGCGGCGTGGTAAGTTCGGGTATCTCCGACAACACAGACAGTTCAGCTATAGCCTTTGAGTTCTCATCAAAATCAAAAGATGTTGGCATTGCAGACGATGAAGAAGCATACAATGAAACATCAGGAATTGTGGGTAGCTTTGACCAGTTCGTGTTATTTGTAATAGTCGATTTAATGGCCGTACTACTGGTGCTGTTGTTATTGTTATTGTTGTTGCTAATATTGTCATTACCCAAAATGATGTTGCTATCACTTGTTTTAATACTGTCGTCTAAGCTCTCAATGGAAAACGCCATCTGTTTAGGAGATATATGAGTCGGCGCTGTGTTGATTACAAGTGAATTGGCAGTTGCCTCTTCAAATGAACTATGGAAATTATTCAGCTCGAGCTGGGAATCGGAATTGTTGAAGTGTTTGTACTCCATGATTGGCTGATACACTGGACGGCCATAACCGTGGCCTCCCATGTTCGGGTTGATGCTATAAATGCCGTTAGAATGTTTCAATGCCTGCCACTGTTGTTGCTGTGGCTGTGGCTGTGTTACATGAAGTGAAGAAGAGTGTTGAAGTTGCTGTGGTTGTTGCAGATGCGGCTGCGGTTGCAGTTGTTGTTGATGGAGATGCTGGACACTCTGTGACTTTAAATAGGGAATGTTTTGCTTTACCAATGGAGAGGATGACGACTCAGTGGGACTAAATGAATCTAAAAACGGCATATTCATGAAACCGTCAAATGAGAGCGGTAAAGACATCAAATCAATTTCATTCATGGATCTCGATCTAGTTCTTTTATGTCCTCGACCGAGGTCTTCTCGTTTCCGCTGAGTGAGTAATGGAGTACTGGTAACCATTGATGACACCGAGGGATTATTCAATGCTGAATTAGATCTGCTATAAGCTGGAGGTTGGTTGTTGAGGTTGACATTGAAATTATCAATGGGCATATCTAAATTATTGTTTGTCTTAACATTTGCAGCAATATTAATGGTTCCATGGGTTACAGCCCTTCTTAGTGACTGTGTTTTGGTAGGGGCTATATGCTTTTGAGATGATTGTTGATGCGAAGGTAAATTTATCGCTCCCAAGTTCGGAGGAGCTACGTAGTTTAAAGATGTAGAGTTTTGCTGGAATTGTGCATGTGGTTGAGGAACACCAAACTTCAGCTCGGAGTTGGCCACCGATTGTACATTCACCTTAGCAAAATTGTTTGTAGACGGCATCAGCTTTTCGATATTGACACAATGCGGTAAATAATGCCCATCTACGTTGATCACAAACTCCCAAACGAAGGAGTAGATTGCAGAACCACCGCTTTTAAATCTTAGAATATCATCATTTGGAAACAAGGTGTGTGTGATTTTTAATGCACTAACTTTGGAGTCATTGATGATACCGTTATGGTAATCGTTTATCAGATTTGCCCATAACTTAGCTTGTAATGGTAAAATTATTTTGGCAACGTTGACATTGTCCTTAGTGAAAAATCCAGTGATAGGATCACACCGTCTGTAGACCAAGCGGTCTTCGCTATAGATTCTAGTAACCGATTTCAATTGCAAGATTGACGCATAATTCAAGCTCGAGTTTATTGATCTATTTCCGGGTATTAGCATCTTTGAAACATCGAGAAGAATTTCAACGTAAGAAATCATCTGGTCATTCTCTAAGTTTATGCTTGTCAGAGGATCCAGAGATAAGGGGATCCTACTATAAGCTAACGAATGTGTAAAATTGGCATTTGGGCCATATATATCTTCAACACACATTTTCAAAGAAGTATTTGTTGCTCTCAGTTTGTGTATGTATCTCTCATCATCATTTTTTTTTGCGATATTGCGAAGATCAGCAATAGCTACGAGATTTTCATTTCCATGGCCACTTTTTTTCAGTTGCCTCTGATTTATGAATGATCCTATTCTTATGAGGTTGATGACAATAGCCTTTGATTTTCCAGGTTTCGATGCCTCAACTTTAGGTAGCAGTTTTACGGTAGTAGATTTTGCAGAAGAGGGTGCGCTAGTATCTGTAGTGACATTTGCAAATGTGGAGGAGCGACCGAGTAGTGGCGTTGATTGGGTAGAAGTAAATACTGGGGATGATTTTTTTGACTCAGACGATCTGGCACTCTTTCTTTTATTGTAGCATTTTCTTCGTTTATCACTTTCAATTAATAGTTGTTTGACCTCCTCACAAAAGGTATCGTTATTCAGTATCTGTTTTACGTCCTCACTTATTTTATCCTTTCTAATTTCGCCAAGATAATCGTTAATTAGTTTTGGCTTTAACTCATAATCAAAACGTTTAACATATGAGACCAAATAATCCGATCTGTTTTCAACCACCATATTCTCTGAAAAGTCTGTCAAAAGCGATGAGTAGTCTCTGATACCATCTCTAAGGAGCTTCAAGATAACTACTTTGTCTTCTGGAGTTGAAGGAGTAAATGTATTTTTCTGGGATTCTATGGGGTTGGTGGCAATACTGAAACTGATGTTGGTCTTGTTGGTACTTGCAGGGTTTCTCACTGACTTGTTTACTTCAGCATTTGCAAAAGTTGGAGGTTCTTGGAAAATTTGGCCGGGCTGGGCCATGAATTGATGTTGAAATTTATCTGATGAGTTATTTATATTACTGTATTCTGATTCATCATTTGAGGCGGAAAAAACATGCATGGATGGTGAATCAACAGGTATAGTTGGAGAGCTGGAATGCTCAACCTCATTTCCATCCTCTATATCGCTCGAGTGTTCTATTAGGGAATCTCTCCTGGATGTAATTTTCATTCCATTCTCGAGTTCCGCCGAGTTTGAAAACTCTTGCTCAATTTTTGGTTGCGGAGAAAAAATGTGGATCTTACTATGACTTGTCTGATCTACTTCTGAATCGGATCTTTTACTAGACGCAAGGTTCGACGAAGAGAGGAGTTGAGAGGAGATATTGTTTCTGTTTGGTCTGAGGTTCAGTGTGGATAAGGGCTTTGCTGGGAAATGGTTCATGTTCACGAGGTTCTCGTCGGCTTCGGGGCGAGACTCTTTCAAAAGCTTTAATTTGTCAGAAACTTTTTTTTGTTTCAAGGGTAAAATGAATTTCCCCTTTTCCTTGATCTTATTGCTGATCATCAAAGCGGAATCACTCTGTCTTTCGAACCGTGGCAAATGCTCCACTGTGTTCATTCCACTGTCTACCCAGGTCAAGCTACTTTCCAGGCTGTTCATGTGATCGGAAACGTTCAGATACTGGCTGAACATGTCCTGCCCGGAGGTTTTTTCTCTCATGTCCAAAGTGACGACCTCTTTACTCAGATCCGGCGAGTCAAAGCTGTGTGTGTTGATACCCCCCTGTACCGAAAGATCCAGTAGTTTCTCTTGGGCCATTTGCAACGTTGCTCGACAGTAGGACAGGCGTCTTTCTAATGGCTGCTAACACCTAGCTTGGTGTGATGTATGTGTCAGTGTATACGCGTGTGCACGTGAATATCCCGGACGGTTTATTATGCCGTGGCAAATGTGTAAATAAGCTTTTGCGATTGTATTTTCGTGAGGGTATATGTATGTGTATAGAAATGAGAGGAAAGAAAAGGGGGCGGAAAGAAAAAACAAGGAGGTGATTTCTGGCTAGAAAGAATAGACCAGCAGTATGGTAAGTGTCCGTGGGAAAGAGAAATGGGAAAGAGAGAAGGAGGAACAATAAACAGAAAAGGTCAGAGGCAGAGAAGACCCATACGGAGACAAGGCCCAGATGACGAAGACGATGTTGATACCGCCAGAACAATCCGAGAGTGGTAATAACAAGATCAAAGCAGGACCTGGGAAAATTGCTTGCGACACGAGACGCGGTGCGAAAAAAGGAGGGGTGCATGGGGGCACGCGTTTGGTCGGACTATGGGATCCGATAGATAGCTATGCTTGCTCGGGCGCCGGGGTTGTCGTTGAAGAGTGTCTCTTCTGGGTTGCTCTGACAAAGCCCTGCTGGACGACGGCGAAAAAGGCGTCCCGGGCGTAGTTGCCAGCGGTGCCTGCAGCCGAGGAGGAGGTGTAGGAGGATGCGGAGGAGGGGGAAGAGGCAGCAAAGGCGGCGGAGAACGGGGTGGAGGAGTCGGACATGGCGACGAGAGTGCTCTCCTGGACGATGTTGGTGGAGTGGACAACGAGCTTGAGTATGAGGTTGATGATGAGTGCGAGAACGCGTATGGTGAGGGCCTTGGCGATGTCCAAAAGCTTGTAGTTTTCGTTGAGTGTGCGGACAAACTTCCAGAGGAGGTTGAGAAGGGGGATGCCGAAGCGGGTGTAGAGGACGAGGGAGAAGGTGTAGAAAGCCTGGAGGAGGCTGATGATGAGCTGGTCGAGGGTGTGGTCGGCATTGCGGGGGCGTGGGGAGGAGTAGCTGCGGCGGTGGAAAATGTAAGAGGCGGAAGAGGAGGCGGCGGAGGAGGCGGCGGAGGAGGGCGGTGTGGGGTTGCCGGGGAGGTGAAGCCCCTGGTCGGACTTCAGGCGGTCGACAAGGAGGTCGTCGGAGAGGTAGTACTTGAGGATCTGGAGCTTCGTTTCGTCCGAGAGAGAGGCGAAGATAGCCTGGAGAGTTTCCGGGTCGAGGATGCTGTTGACGATGTGGGCGACGGCCTGGCCGGTGAACTTGCGGATGTTTTTCGGGTTCTTGACTATGAGCTCGTTGTTGAGGGCCATGCTGAGGAGGGTGATGCCGCGGGAGAAGGCGTCGAGGTCGACGATGGAGGAGTCGTCGGTGTCGGAGAGAGACACGGCCTGCGAGGGGATGACGAACTCGATGGTGGTGTCGTCGTCGTTGTCGCTGGCGCCGCCGCCGCCGTCCGAGAGCTCCGCGTCTGTGTCCGAGCCGGGGTTGCTCGAGACGTCTTCCGAGGCCCGGGACGCCAGCTTGCTTCTGCGCCGGTTGAGCATGCGGGCCGTGACCCTGTCGTAGAGCTCCGAGGCGTCGTCTGGGTCCGTGTCTGTGTCCCTGGCGACGGCCCCGACCCTCCTGGCCTCCGCGTCCCCGTCTCCGTCCCCGTCCCCGTCCTCGACTCGGAGGGACGCCGAGAGGTCGCCAAGCGTGAGCCCCAGCGGGGCGTAGCTGTCGACGTAGCTGATGGCTGTGTTCTTGAGCTTCTTGCGGCCGTACGAGAGCATTGTGGTGTACACACGGGACCCCCGACGGACCCTGGCCCGGGGCAGGAGAACAGGTCGGTGCAGTGCAGTGTCTTTGGCAACGGTTTTGGCCTGGCCGCCGGCCGGGCCTGGCGTAGCGTCAAGCGGTGCGGGCCCGCGGGCTGTGCGCGGGCGGGGGGCGGTCGCCCCCCGCCCCGATAAGCGGGACCGGCGGCGGGTACTTAAGCCCCCGGCGTCCCGGGCCGTTGTCCCGCCAGCACCCCCGCCACCCGCCACCCGCCCTCCAGCCAAGAACCCACCCGCCGCCCACCCCACCATGAACATCCTACGCCGCTACAACGACTTCCTCACCAGAAGACCCCTCGTGGCCAACATCCTCATGTCCGGCACCCTCTTCGGTGCCGGCGACGTCATCGCCCAGCTGCTCTTCATCGACGCCGACTACGACTACCTGCGCACCGCCCGCAACAGCGTTTACGGCGGCCTCATCTTCGCCCCCATCGCCAGCCACCTCTACCGGGGGCTCAACTCCCACGTCCGCTTCCCGCGCTGGGGGAAGCTGGCCCTTGCCGCCCGCGCCGCCGCAGACACCCTGCGCGGCGCCAGCGCCCGGCCCCTCACCAAGTCCGCCGCCCGCCGCGGCGCACTGCTCGACACCGCTGCCCGCGTCGCCGTGGACCAGCTCTGCTGGTCCCCCGTGGGCATTGCCCTCTATTTCTCCTGCATGGGCGCCATGGAGGGCGAGCCCGCCGCCGCCGTGGCCGCGCGCCTCCACGAGGGCTGGTGGGAGACCCTAGTCACCAACTGGCGCGTGTGGCCGCTCCTCCAGCTCGTGAACTTCCAGCTCGTGCCCGTTGCGCACCGGCTTGCCGTGGTGAACGTGGCCAGCGTGGTGTGGAACACGTACATGAGCTACGAGAACTGGCGTGCAGGCGCGTCCGTGCACCGGCACGAGGCCGCAGACGCGACGGCGGGCCGCGCTGCGGCCGTCGCGGACGTCGCGTCGATGGCTACGACAGTGCTCGACGAAGCAGCGGGCGAGGACACCGACGCGACGGCGCGACTTGGCGGGCGGAGCGAGTAGCGGGGGAGCAGAGTGCAGGCGGTGTTTTCGTTTGCGCTGTTTCGGGCAGGGCAGGGAGCGAGGCAGGGAGAGAGGCAGGGAGAGAGGCAGACACGGGTGTCGGCACAGGCACGGTGTTGGCGCCGGCAAGCTGAAACAGCAGCAGCAGTGGTAGCAGGAGCAGGAGGAAGCCGGGGGGTGCAGCGGGCGCCCACAGACACAGACAGGACCGGCGACATCTGGATTGGCTCTTGCACCACACTGCACAGGCCACGAATCCGTCCCCCGCCGTCTGTCTGCCTGCGCCGCCGCCGTCGTCGTTCGACCGTCCATCGCCTACGCTCACGCAGTCTGCATCTGTGCCTCGGCTGCCGTCCGGCCCCACATATATACACACACACCTACACAGCGTATAGCGCAGACCCACAAGCTCGATTGCCCCCGTGCATGGCCCTCCGTACCGTCCCCGGCCGCCCCACACACGCAAAATGATGAAAGGCTTCAAACAACGCTTCAGAGCGAAGGCCAGCATGAAGAAGGACAAAGACGACAAGAAGAAGGACGACACGAAGCGCAAGGACACGGCCGCCGCCGGCGGCACCAAGTCGTCGTCGTCGTCGTCGGCGTCGTCGCCCGCCCCGGCGCAGGGCTCCTCCACCACGCCGGTCATCTCGTCCCACTCGTCGTCCCACCACTCGAGACTTTCCTCCTCGTCCTCCGTCAACAACAACCCCTCCACAACGGCCTCCGACTACAACGCGGCAGACCACCTTTCCGCCGACACCGGGCTCAACACCGCCAACACCACCGACTCCAACCTCCTGTCCACCCCCTTCGACAACCCCTCCTCGCAGACCTCCCGGTCCGCCTCCTCCCTCGACAACAACCCCTCGACCGCCTTCAACAGCATCCACAGCACCGCCACCAGCTCCTCCTCCTCTAATAATAATACCTCTAATATCTCCCCGCACCCCAGCTTCAGCCACCCTTACAGCAATGCCAGCATATCAACCAACAACAACAGCAACGTGCTGCAGGATAGCCGTAACCCCTCCATAATGATCCACAAGCAGAACCGGGCAGACGACGCACCCGCAAACCTCTCCGACCAGCTCCAACCGCAGGGCGAAATAGATTTTCTCAAATACCATACCTCCCATTCCCCCTTCGACAAGGTCCCCAAGGACGATCTGGAACTAAAGCCGAAAACCCCACAGAGGCATTCATCCTCCAGATTCGAGCCCTCCTTGAATAACCAGGCCTTTGAAAAATCGCCTCCATTCGAGGAAGTCGACCCGCAATTCCATATAGACCTATTCATCCAGAAAGTCGACCAGTGCAAAATAATGTTTGACTTCTACGACCCTTCTTCAGATATCCAGGGAAAGGAGCTGAAAAGAATAACCCTGCACGAGCTCACCGTCTTCATCAGCACAACAAGAATAAACTTCACAGAGGAAATGTACAAACACGTTGTCGACATGTTCAAAATTAACATATTCAGACCAATCCCACCTCCAGTCAACCCAATTGGAGATATCTACGACCCAGATGAGGACGAACCCGTCTATGAATTAGGATGGACACATATGCAATTGGTCTACGAATTCTTTCTCAGATTTGTCGAATCTCCAGATTTCAACAATACAATAGCAAAACCTTATATTGACCACAAATTCGTTCTAACCTTGTTGGACCTATTTGACAGTGAAGACAATAGGGAGAGAGATTGCTTGAAAACAACCTTGCATCGGATTTACGGGAAGTTCTTGAGTTTGAGATCCTTCATTAGAAAGTCGATCAATAATATTTTCCTAACGTTCGTTTATGAAACTGGACATTTCAACGGAATCTCAGAATTGTTGGAAATTCTGGGCTCCATCATCAATGGATTCGCATTACCATTGAAGGAAGAACACAAGATTTTCTTAATCAGAGTCTTGGTCCCTTTACATAAGGCTAGGTCCCTTTCCCTGTATCATCCTCAATTGGCGTATTGTATTCTACAATTTTTGGAGAAAGATTCTTCTTTGACGGAAGAAGTCATAATGGGATTGTTGAGATACTGGCCGAAAATCAATTCTCCGAAAGAATTGATGTTCTTGAACGAAATTGAAGATATATTTGAAATCATTGATCCAAACGAATTCCAAAAAATAGAAATCCCCCTGTTTGCACAACTTTCGAAATGTATCTCATCACCTCATTTCCAGGTTTCTGAAAAAGTCCTTTGTTTTTTCAACAATGAATATTTTGTCTCCTTGGTGACAGAAAATGCAGAAAATATATTACCTATAATTTTCCCCTCGATGTATGAATTGGCACAGCCCGAGCTCGACATTTTGGAAAATCAAAATCAATCAGAAGTGGATTTTGATGAACCAAACAATTGGAATAGAACCATTTCGACCATTGCTTACAGTGCCTTGAAGATCTTCATGGATACCAATCCTGTTGTCTATGACCGTTGCTTTGTGTTGTACGAACAACAGATAAAAGAAGATAACGAGCGGAAGCATCTGAGAGAAGAGCATTGGAAGAAACTTCAAGAATATGTCGATAAACTGAAGGCCGGAGAGAGGGAAAGAGACGTCGAAATCAAATGAAGATAAAAAAGTAAAAAAATTCGAATACGAATATCAACCAAAAGGAAAACGAATTCATAATCCCATGACCTGAAAGAAAATCCCGAAAAAAAACATAAATTTTTATATATATTCTTTAAACTTCATATAAGTTTTTATTTACTTATTATATCTATATGTATAAATGACTGACTATATATATTAACGTATATACATACATAAATACCGAAATTCATTTTGATATTTATGATCATCACCTTTTTCATGTGGCACTCTTGTACTCTCTCAAAATTACGGGAACTGAGGATGGAGGAAGTGCACCAAATTCGGTGATAATTTTCTGGATGTATTCAGGTGGTGTTAAATCATACAAGATGTTCAAGATGTTCAAGCTCGGATACGACTTCCAATTAGAAAGATCATATTCATCTTCCTCTTTCTCCTTCGATTTTTCTTGTTGCGGTTGCTGTTGTTGTTTATTGTTTTTATTACTGTTGTTCCCACCTTTTTTCCCTTTCGAATTGTTTTCTTTCTCCATAAGCATCTTATTGTTCAAGGTATCCAGATACTGCTGAAGATTAAACCCAGTCTTGTTGAAAGGTTTTGTATTAATCAAATCATCAGCATCTCCAAGCTCGTTCAACGTGACAGAATCAAGTTGGACTTTATCACTAAATTTCAAACTTTCGCAACATACCAATACTGGAATGCTCTTGTTCTTTGCAGCCATTGCAATCAATGCAGTTCCAACACGTGAGTAGAGCCGTCCATTCGACAACATCGAATGTGCTCCAAGGAAACAGAAATCGATGTTCGATTTCTCGAGTACAGAACTCAAAGAGTTGATCAGGTTGTAGTGCAATTTGATATTCTCCAGCTTTGATAGCTTCTTCGCCAACTTCTTACCTTCAAACAAAGGTTTACTGTCGATTATGTATATCTCAAACTTTTTGTTCTGCTCCTCCGCACAAAACTCAAATAATTCGGCCAATACGTTCGAATGACCGTATGTGAGAATCTTGAAGTTGTTGATGATATGTCCCTCAGCATATTCAACTATCACACGATCAGCCATGACAATTTTTTCCATGATGAACTGATTTATCTCCTCGATCAGCATCGACTTGGACTGCTCTTCGCTTGTGGTAATTGGAATAATGGATATTCTTTGCTTCAACCAACGGATCGCATTACCCATAGATATACTCAACGGACGTCCTGTTTTCAGGTACTCAATCTGGTGGCTCAAGTGGCCAGTAAGGTGCCTTTGTAGACTGGCGCCCTCTGGCGTCACATAGCTACCAATCACGTCTTTGAACGCCTCCATCATCGCAGTGCAACGTGCACTAGAACCAACAATCTTGTAGGTTGAGATTTTCAATGTCAACGACAAGATGCTAGGATGGACAATGGATGCAATCTTAGGAGTTGACGAAATACGTTCCTCTCTCGTTTCCAAATGGCCAAACATATGAGGGATCTTCATAGTTGGATCGTGGATTTTGGCATTATTCAATTGTTTCTTGATGTGTGACACAGTCTTCGGGGTTTTATCCTTGCTAGAACCAGATCCGCCCGGAGTTTCCTTACCTTTCCCTTGTGCATTCGCCGACGGATCAATTCCAGCAGCCTCCTTTGCTGCTGCCCTTTTGGCTGCCTTTTCCCGTTTTTTGAGTTCTTTCAGTTCTTTGTTTGATAACTGCTTTTCACCACCGGCATCTGATGACACTGACGGAGAAGAAGCACTGCCTCCTCCGCTGGATGGTTGCTCCTTTTCCTTTTTCTTCTGTTCTGCCACAGGCGGCTGCTCCGACATTCCGTCTTTGTGTTTTGTGACCTTTCCTTTCCTTTGCTGTTCCTCTTCTCTTCTTCGCAACCGACCGATCACCCTTTCAGGAGATATCTTTTCTGGGTTAACTGGTAAATCGGTCAGTTGCAATGAGAAAACTTTGTTGAGTAGCAAAAAAATATTCTAAGCCGATCGACCTAATTTTTTTTTTCAACATTTTTCACCGAAATTGAAAATTTTTGGTTCTGCGTGCATCGAAGTTAACGGAGAGACAGTGAAGGGAACCTGCAGGACGAATGGAATCAGAGAAAAGGGGATTACCGGCTTAATCACCGTTAACGACACAAAGAGACACAGCAAAAATGAGTGCTAACGATGCAGACACAAATGTCGAGATGTGGAAGGTCAAGAAATTGATCAAATCCCTCCAAACCGCACGTGGTAATGGTACCTCCATGATTTCACTTGTTATCCCTCCAAAAGGTCAGATTTCCATCATTCAAAAGATGTTGACGGATGAATACGGTACCGCGTCGAATATCAAATCCAGAGTTAACAGACTATCTGTTCTTTCTGCCATCACCTCCACACAACAAAAATTGAAGCTTTACACAAACGTTCCTAAAAACGGTCTGGTCGTCTACTGTGGTGAAGTGTTGACGGATGAAGGTAAGGAAAAGAAATTGACCATTGCCTTCGAGCCTTTCAAACCAATCAACACCTCTCTATACTTGTGTGATAACAAATTCCACGTTGAAGCGTTGTCTGAGTTGCTAGAATCTGACGATAGATTTGGTTTTATTGTCATGGACGGTAATGGTGCTCTTTTCGGTGCATTATCTGGCAACACCAGAGAAATCCTACACAAATTCACAGTTGATTTACCAAAGAAGCATGGTAGAGGTGGTCAGTCGGCACTTCGTTTTGCGAGATTGAGAGATGAGAAGAGACATAACTATATCAGAAAAGTTGCCGAGGTTGCAGTTCAAAATTTCATCACTGGTGACAAGGTGAATGTTCAAGGTTTGATTTTGGCAGGTTCCGCCGATTTCAAGTCTGAATTGAACAAATCCGATTTGTTTGATTTGAGATTGCAAGCCAAGGTTATCAAAGTTGTTGATGTTTCTTACGGTGGTGAGAATGGTTTCAATCAAGCAATCGAGCTTTCAGCAGAAACGTTGTCAAATGTGAAGTTCATTCAGGAAAAGAAGTTGATCACCCAATATTTTGATGAAATTTCCATAGACTCTGGTAAATTCTGTTATGGTATTGATGATACCCTTAAGGCACTAGATTTGGGTGCTTGTGAAACTATCATTGTATGGGAAGGATTGGAAGATGTCAGATACACATTAAAGAATGCTGAAGGTGAACTAAGTGTCAAAATAGTCGCTCCAGGAGCTTTAAAGGAAAACTTCCTTATCGATAAGGATGGTTCAGAGTTGGAAATCGTTTCAGACATGCCATTTTTGGAATGGCTTGCTGAAAACTATAAAAATTACGGTGCTACAGTGGAATTTGTTACTGACAGATCTTCCGAGGGTGCCCAATTCGTGAAAGGTTTTGGTGGTATTGGTGCTTTGCTAAGATATAAAGTCAACTTCGAGCAATTAATGTCCGACGATGAAGACGAATTTTATTCCGACTCAGATTAATTGTGATAATGAATGCTTTTTTACACATGTGATATTCCCCCCTCCAAACCTCTTCTAGATAATTTCTTATATAATTCAGTATATAAATTACAATGTTGCCGCAATGATTTCCCTAGCTGATTCAAAGTTTTTGCTTCTTGGCCTTCTTACTATCTTTTAAAACATCAAGCGCATCCTGCTGTAAATATCCCATGACAGTGCTGGAGCCTTGATTTTTCATCAACATTTCTGCGACATTATTCAAACCGCTTGCAATGTACGACCTCCTACCTGATTTTCGGATCTGCGTCTTAAGCAATTCTCTCAGATGGGCCCTCATCACTTTAAGATTCTGCCTATCTAATGCTTTACCTTCTTTTCTTTTACGATCTCTTTTCAAAAAGTCGTCCTCAAAATCATCAATGTTATCAACACCTAATTCTTCTGCCGCCTTTTCAATCCAGTTCTTTTCTTTTTGAACACTTTGCGAAGCAACTTCGGCCTGTGCGATTTTTGCAGCCAAGTCCAATCTCTCTTTCAACTGGTCGAGTATATCTGAATCAATAGGTAGAGACTTGAGATCTTCAATCTTATCTTTCTTTGAGATTACCTTCCTCAAATTTCTCAAAGGGCCTGAAGCTTCATGTGGAGAGCATAAAATAACTGAGACACCTTCAGTTCCCGCACGTGCTGTTCTACCAGATCTATGGACATATGCGTCAGCTGTTCTCGGTAAATGATAATGGACAACATGCTGGATACCTGATATATCTAAACCACGGGCAGCTACATCGGATGCAATCAGAACAGAAGATTTATGCTCTTTTGCGGCGATCTCTGAATTCCTCGAAAATCTTTCTAAAGCACGTAGACGCTGCTTTTGGATCATCGAAGAGTGAATGGAGACTGTTAATATGCCCAAATTGTTCAACGTTGGTGTCAAGCGTTTAACAGAATCAATAGAATTGGTAAAAACTAGGGTAGTACCAGGGAAAACGGAGACAAAATAGTAAAGCATCAAATCCCTCTCCATCGGAGAGCATGGAATCATTGCTTCAACAATCCTAGTCGCAACAACATCAGTAGGGTTAACATCAATGTATTCAGGCTTGTTTCTGAAACGTAATTTCTTTCCTAGAATTTCTAGAACTTCCTTGAGATCAGAGTCTTCATCAGTACTTTTACGCTTTCTCGAGTCGGATGGTTTATTATTGTTGCTCAATTTCCCAAATAGATCTTTCGAAAAGGTTGCAGATAGAATCAATGACTGCCATCTTCTATCGATTGATGGAACATCTTTAGGCCTGTAATTGTTAAAAATTTCGAGTATCTTTTTCAGCTCATCAAAATGTCCATCCTGTAACATTCTGTCAGCTTCATCTAAAACCAGCATATCAATCGATGCAAATTGCTTTGCAAGGTTATTTGACTTTTCTAAAAGCTCTAAACAACGGCCAGGTGTCGCAACCAAAACACGGGGCCCGTAAGAAAGTAAACGTTCTTGCTTTTGAATAGACAAACCACCAGTTAATGACATCACTGTTTTGTCACTGAAGGGTGAGTATTTAAACAATTCACGTAAATGTTTCATGACTTGATTTGCTAACTCACGAGTTGGCGTAAAAATAATTGCAGTAGGATGATTCTTGTAATCCTCGGAAAGCCTTTTATTGCTTTCCTGGCCCGACAAAGCCTTCTCCAGGATTGGAATTCCGTAGGCCAAAGTCTTACCGGAGCCGGTAATGGCTTTACCAATAACATCTTTTCCTTGTAATGAGACCGGAATTGTTTTTTTCTGAATTTCTGTTGGCTTAGTGAATCCCAAATTCTGTAATCCATTTAACGTGCAAGTAGAAAGCGGTATTTCAGACCATTCAGGTAAGTCAACGTCATCCGTGGGTACCACTGTATCATCTAGATTTGCAAAAGTATTTTCTTGCAATTCGTCCTTTTTTGGTTCTTTCTTTACTTCCGCAGGTGGACTTACAACAACAGTTTCCTCTGGTAAATCAGGAATATTTATTTCATTATTCTCATCTTTTGACAAGATAAAAGTAGAGATCTTAGTCTGTTTCTTGGTTTTCTTTCCCAAAAGTTTGGAGGAATTTTCTGTTGGGGTTAAGATCTCCTCCTTCCTACCAATTGTGTCTTTTTCTAAGGCGGAGGAGCTCTCATTTTCCATTTTCTTTCCAACATTTTTCAGATTTGTGTCACTTTTATTTTCTTCTCCTACTACTACTTCTTCATCATTGTCATCGAGCTTCTTAGCAGCTAGTTTCTCATCTTCATTTATATCTTCAGGGTCAATCTCAAAATGACCTTCTGGGATGCTTTTCTCTTTCTTGGCAGCTTCTTCTTTGGATAAAGTATTAGACTCATTTTTGGTGGTAAATGTCACATTTCCATCAACTATATTTACGGAGACATTGTCAATTTCCTCTAACCCATAGAAACCTTCGAAGTCGTCCAATGTATCAGGAATCTCCACGGGTTTCCAGTTCAAGTCACTTGCATTCACTTGATAAACTTTCTCATTGGGATTTTTCTCTGATATCTTCTTCTTTTTAAGGCTTTGCTTCTTTTTCAAGACTTTCTTTTTCAACAAGGAGCTCACCATGACTTGACTAGTTACTTGTTGTTTGACTTATTGTGAACCTTTTGGTGTTGAAAAAGAAGATTTTGAGGTGTGGACTTTAGAAAGTTTTAAGTCTAGAAATTTTTCAAGAAAAAATATTTTTTTTATTTTCTCTTACTATTATTTTTTAACTTCTCAATAATTCTAGATTTTAGTTTCATCAAAATAGCCAAAAGAAAATGATGCATTTCCCATGACAAATGACAAAGAAACTTCAAAAAAAAAGAAGTTTACTGAGTGGTAAAAGACTTCACTCTATTACCCAGTCGCACGAAACTAAACCAACCCCCAAAACGCTAAAACCTCTTCGAGCCAGGCAACTTATACGGCGATTTCATGTACTATTAAAGTATAAATCTGCAATACTGAGTAAACTCTCTCAACTGAAATCCGTTGACACTGAAACTTATGAAGACTTTTCAGTCGATTATAAAAAATGGATTTACAAACAGCCAAAATTGAAAAAGATATATGAAACAGAGTGGAAAAATACATGGGATAAATTAAAGGTTAATAAGACGCCAGATTCAGTTATTGATCCAAAATCTAACGATGTGATAGACAATTCTGTGACTATAGAAGAACTTGTAAAACTCGTTGGCAAGATTGATTCTGAAACCGAAAAAAGAGGTGGCTTGGAGACTTATCAGACCGCTAGTACATTAGGTCAAGATGCCCAACGAGGAGGCGACTCCAGCAAAATTCTGACCAAATGGCTATCCGAGTTAGGGTGGGGTTTTCCTGAATGTAGTGCATTGGAAATAGGGTGTTTGTCCTCCAAAAATATGATTTCCAAGTGTGGAGTTTTTGATGTCATAAAACGAATTGATTTACATAGTCAGGAACCGGGAGTGATAGAAGAGCAAGATTTTCTTAAACTGCCATCACCAACAAGCGAGTCAAATAAGTTTGATTGTGTCAGCTGCTCTTTAGTTGTCAACTTTGTTCCTAGTCCTGAATTGCGAGGAGAAATGATGTGCAAAATGTGTGAGTTTCTGAAAAATCCCACAGGAGAGAGACATAGTTTGTTATTTTTTGTGTTGCCTCTACCATGCGTAGAAAACTCCAGGTATTGTGATCTCAACACAATTAATTTGATTTGGAGTAAACTGGGGTTTCAAACTCTCAAGTACCACCAGTCAAACAAATTGGCATACTGGCTTCTGAAGTGGGAAGGAGAATCTAAAGTTGACAAAACCTTTACCGTCAAAAAAAATGAGATCCGTAAGGGTAATAAGAGGAATAATTTTTGCGTGGTTATAAAATGAGTAATGGTTCATTTACATAATGCTTCATTGCAATTACCCATGTATATGCAAAAAGGAGACAAAATTTGTTCTTTTCCCTATTTCGTGGGAAAGTCTTATGGAGAAATATGCAAAAAGGACAAATCCGTAAACGCAGAATCCCACACATTACTTAAAATGTTTCCTTCTGTTACTCTTTCCATGACGATCTTTCTAAAAAATGCAGACTCGAATTTGTAATCAACCACAGCTGGCGTGTATTTGATCGTATTTTTCCCCTTTCTTTGCTTTTTCTTTGTGACTATATGAAATTCATCATTGTCTAGTGCCTTTGAAAGCACACCGGTACCTTTTATCTTCTCTTCTTGCTCTGTAATGATTTTGGCCATACGGGCTGAGTTTGGATATAACTGGAAGAATTTAGTGTCTGTGAATTTGTTGGTATATACAGTCAAGTCATTCGACAAAAGATACTCGGGCTCCGTTTCAGTAATAAATTTTTCTAAAACTTCGATGGGAAAATGAGGCATGTAGAACAAAGTGTTTTTGACTGCTTTTTTGTCATCGTTATCCTCAAGTATTACATATTTTAATCGGTCCGAGATAAATTTCTTATCCTCTTCTGTAAATATAGGGTCCCACAGTGAAACCTCCAATTCTTCACGTTCTTTGACCTCCTTGAAGTGATCAACAAGCAGACTCAAAAGACATAGCTGGTACATTGCAAGTGATGAATCTGTAACTGCACCCAACCCGAGGCATCGTATTTTTTGGATTTGCACTGGGACAATCAGACTCAGCACCTGCTCGAAAACCTTAGACTTTTTTAGTATCTTCTTTTTTTCGACAAAAGAAACCCATAATTTTTCATCAAGATCAGCAGACACAGATGACATAGTCTCCGTACTGTGATTCTGTCTACAACTTTTGCATGTTAGATCCAACCTCGTGCAGTGACTCTGTCCTGGAGGGTGTACGATCCTGGCCAGGTTTCATGATAGGTTGCGACAGCCTCTTTGTTGCTCATGATTGCAAAAAAACATTTTTTTTTCCAAAAATGTACGTCGTGCTGAATAAGCAAATCTCCAACGATGATTGGCTCGCACGACATACAAGAGCGGGGGGCAGGTAGACATATGAATCACCCTCAACGGAGGCTACAAGGAAACAGAACTAGGACAGAGAAGCCAAAGCTATCACATATGCAATCATAAGACCAATTCAAACCCGAGGCCCCGGCAAGGGCCGCTGACAAGCCAGGAAGTCAGAAAATCCGGGTGACCATTTAACCGTTTCTGGTGCAAGCTAGCGAGAAAGTCGAAAGTCGAGAGAGCCAACGTTGGAGGCATTTTTTTTGTCAAAGTTTTCTTTCTTAACTCGGACCTTTTTTCTCCACTTTTAAGCAAAGGGGCCAAACTCCAGTTCCCACCAACTTGTATTACTCAACCACAACATAGAGATTATCGCCAGTACTCTCTTCTTGTTCTTGCACATATTTTTTAAAAGATACAAATTCTTGATTCGGTTTGTTAGCAATCCTATTCCAGTTTTGTTTTTGGAAACTTTTCACTTCGACATACACATAGACAAGATTATATCTATATCGTTACGATCTTCACATTTAGCTTTTTTCCCGACTCTTTTTTTCCATTTTTCTTTTGCTACGTTTCACGATACCGATATAATTAATTTACCCCACTTTCACCGCTTAGCATTTCTCTGTACATAGCGATATTGCATATACAATTCTTCAAATCAATCATATTCCAGTTACAGACAAGTTTCACTAGCAACCATGTCTCATATAGTTCAAATACCCAAAGTCTTTGATCATGACAATATTAAGCATTTTCCAAAAGTGGAATTTGAGAACGACACCGTCAGAATTGGATCTAGAAAGTCTTTATTAGCGGTTCGCCAATCGGAGATAGTCGGAGAAGCAATTAATCGTTTCTATCCAAATCTCAGTATAAATATTTCAAAGGTTTTTACTTTAGGTGACCAGGTCCAAAATAGACCATTATACTCCTTTGGAGGTAAAGCTTTATGGACAAAAGAGCTTGAAATTCTCCTACTTCAAGATGTTGGGGAATACCAAAAAATTGATCTCATAGCTCACTCTTTGAAAGATATGCCAACCATCTTGCCTGAAGAGTTTGAATTAGGATGCATTATTAGCAGAGAAGGTATGTTACTTTAGCATTTGATTTTATTCCTTTTTGACAAAATTATGAGTTCAAATTTTTTATGATGATCTCAAACATTTTATAGACGTTAGACTACTGAACTATCATAGATGAAAACGTGTTATTTACTGATTGAAAAGATGAATTTCATAATTTTGTTTCTCCTATTGTTTCCTGTTCCCCACATACTAACAACATATTGAAATGTTTCATTTCTTTAAAATAGACCCAAGGGATGCTTTGGTTATGAAAAAGGATTCTCCTTACAAATCTCTGACCGATTTACCAGCTGGAAGTATTGTTGGTACCTCTTCAGTTCGTCGGTCTGCCCAAATCAATAAAAATTATCCACATCTTACGTTCAAATCGGTACGAGGAAATATACACACAAGATTGAGCAAGCTAGATGCCCCAGATTCCGACTATGCATGTATCATTTTAGCAGCTGCAGGATTGATTCGTTGCAACTTGGATGATAGAATTACCAAGTTTTTGAACTGTAATGAGATGTACCATGCAGTTGGACAAGGAGCTATCGGAGTAGAAATTCAGAAAAACAACGAAAAGATGCGTCTATTATGTAGCGTCATCGGTTGCCGCACAACCACTTGGAAGTGTGTTGCAGAGCGTAGTTTACTGAGAAGATTGGAAGGTGGGTGTTCTGTTCCAGTTGGCGTGTGGTCTACATTAGAAGATAACAATGTTTTAAGGTTAAAGGCGATTGTCTTGAGCGTTGATGGTAAGGAAAGTGTTGAGGATGTTCACGAAAAGGTAATGGCATGCGATAAAGATGCATTGGATCTAGGTTTGGAATTAGCTGAAAAATTGATTGCCAAGGGTGCAAAAAAAATTTTGGATGAAATCAATTTCAGTAAAGTAGAGGAAGTCAAACAAGCAGGTTTATCCACCTAGTTAAACGGTTTAAAGTATTTACAACTTAATTATGAGGTTTATAAATTACTCGAATTCTAGACAACGTTATTATTTTTCGATTTTTGTTAGTATCAAAGGCCTACGACATTTTTAGACCACACGAAAAATCCAAGAGTGCTTGATGCACCTAACAAACCAGTGAGAAAGAATATTCTTACCAAGTACGGATCCTTAGCCCAAAAACTCATGATCTCACCTAACACACTACTCATCGCAACAGAAGTTAAAAATAGTGCAAGAACTCCTCCACGTAAGAATGAAGGTGAGAGCTCATATGCCAACTCGTAACAAGTAGCAGCAGCAAAGCATTCACCGCAAGCTTGTAATGCAAACATTAAAAGGTAACATATCCAGGTGAAAAGGGACACATCGGAAGGCTTGTCGCAATTCGAGACGTTGGTTATATCACAACTTGAATTTCGGTAAACCTCATTCTGAACATAAGCCCCTATGAAGGTGCCAATTGATGTAATCGTGAAGCCAATAACAATTTTGATCCTGGGAGATGGTTGCATATTCCTTTTTAGCAAATATGGATATACTAGTTGAGAAAGGATCGGCATGAGAATGATAATAGCAATTGGGTTGAGAGCTTGGTAAAAATCGTTAGGAAGATGAATGGAGGTTGACATCGTCGCTGCAAGAGAGATTTGAATTGAAATCAAGGAGGCATCATTGAGGTAAAATGGAATGAAGAATAAAAAAAGAGTGATACAGTCAATAAATTTCTTGATGTCTGAGTCTGCCACGATCATTTTCAGGTTCGCAGGGAGTGGGGTACCAAGAAGGTATGATCTCAGGTAATGAAAAAATTCAATGTAAACATCTTTATTTTCACTATTATTAGAATTCGATTTGGACCAGGAATCCTGTTTCTTGTCAATTTTTTCCGAATGGATTATACGGGGCTCCAAATATTTTAGCAAAACAGGTAATCCTAAAAACAACAAAGCTGTGAGAAGGTAGACCGGCCAAAATCCCATGTATCTTTCCATGAAAGAGCTCGCTAAAGAAAGTGTACACCCCCAATTGATAAACATGTAGAACGACATACTTAGTTTCTCCAACGTTGCCTTGTGATCAACCATAGTCAGGGTTCCATCTGGCAACGTCGTGTAATCTTGTTTACTCTGCTTGTATTCGTATTGGTCTAGCAGTAACGGCAAGATGTTTGATTTTATGAACCCCGCAGCCAGTGCTATAGTGGCCATAGACAACAGCACAATAGTATATGAAAGATAAGGAATTTTTATGACCAAGGGGATGGATGATATCACCAAAGTAAAATGGCCAAAGATTCCGATCATTGACCCTAACCATATTGACTTGAACTTTCCAAGCTTGGTATCCGAGTAGTAGCCACTAATCAGCGGCGAAATATTAGCAAAAAAAATCAAAAATTGCATGGTGAAAGTTGCTAGAGGCAAACCCAGACCGAGAGCACCGGGGGTTTCTGTGGAGGTGGATGGATCATGGACGATAGCACCCGAGGCCGAATCCTGCGGCAGTTCCCTCTGGATCATGTTTGTCAAACACCCAACAATCATATAATACGAAAAACGTTCACATAGTTCCACCATGCAGATCAGATAGGAAATCCTTGGAATGGCTCCAGTTGCCCTTGGCGTGTGTGATACGGATCGTCTTCCGTTACCGTTATCGTTATCGTACTCTGTGTCGATTGCAATCAGGCTCTCTTCATCTATGGGTAGTACCGATAGTTCAATCCCCCCCTTAGAGGGCGCCACCTCGTCCAAAAGCATCATATCTGCTGCTGCTGCTGCTGCTCCGTCTTGGTAGTTTAAGTATTGGAGGAAAGATGGTCATTCTAACCCGTTACTCCTTCATGTCCAGGTGTCGCTTTATCTAGCCGATAGAAGAAGAAAACAGACTTTCAAGCACAGCCTTGTTTGGAAGATACGGGTTGAAATTTTTCCTTGGGCGAGATTCATGTGATGGTTTCGTAGTGGACAAGATCGAGCGTGGTCTGGAAGGACCCATGTCGCTGCGATTGCCGGCATCAGCAGCCCGGGGTGAGCACACTACATTGCAAGCAAAGCACACAGGTGGTCGAAACATGGACGACGCAGAACTACAGGCGATCCGTGCAGCCAGGTTGCAGGAGATGCAACGAAACGCTCAGGGCGGCGGCGGCAGCGGATCCGGCGTCAGCGGCAGCGGGGATGATGCCCGGGACAAGGCTAACAATGTAAACGAGGGCATACTGAACCAGATCTTGGACCAGAGCGCCAAGGAGCGTCTCAACCGTGTGCGGATGGTGAAGCCCGAGCGGGTGCTCGGAGTGGAGAACTACTTGGTGAGGCTTGTTCAGAGCGGTGGCCTCAGAGCGAAGGTCACCGAGGCGGACATTGTTGACATCCTCGACAAAATCGCACAGGAGGAACGCAAGAACACCACAACCCGTATCAAGTTCGAGAGACGTGACTATGTCGACGCCAACGCCGGCGCCTCGAGGCGCAGCGAAGACGACTCCGAAGACGACTTCTTTGACGAGTAGCCCAAAAGGCCCATAACTCTTCTATGTATCATGTTTCTGTAGCAAGCCAACATGAGAAACTATCATGAATAGCCCACATGCAATACACCCCGCCAGAATGGCAACCCTCCAGCTAGCCGACCTTTCTGTCCCCCTCCTTCTCCTGCCCCGTCAGGATTGGCAGGTGAAAAAGCCAGTACCGCCCCGGATGCCCGTTTAGGAAGGTGGACACGCCCGCCCATCGGGTACTTAACCGCTAAAGATGCCGCATTGGGGCAGTACCGCATTCACCGCCAATTTCTGGTGCCTTTGACTCGATAAGCTTATTGCACGGAGGGAAGACTATCTTTCTGTCGATAAATCCGGAGAAGCTTAAATAGCTGTCTGTTTTCCACTCCTGGTGCAAGCTGTCACTCTACCGTCCTTGAAATTTGTTCTCCCATCTTTTCTTTTCTTTCTTTCTCACAGCACTATCGTCAAGAAAGTTTCAAGTAGAAGCCTCGATAGAAACACATTTCCCGCATCACACAATTATGGCTCCTCACCCATACGACCAAATCAGCGACGAAGAGCTTAGATTGATTGTCAAGCTCGTCAAGGATGCTTACCCATCCGAGAAGCCTAGCTTCATCCAGCTCGACCGTCTCGACCCTCCAAAGAACGTCATGCTTCAGTACCTCAGTGCTGAAAAGCAAGGTGTTTCACCTCCTATGATTCCAAGAAGAGCTTACGCATACTTCTACATCAACCAGGTCTTCCACAAGGCCTTGGTTAACTTGACCTACAAGCACATTATTTGTGACGTCAAGTTGCCAGAAGGTGTTGTTGGTCCATTGGTTGCTGACGATGTTATAGTCGTCGAAGACTTGGCCACCAACCATCCAATCTGCAGAGCCGAAATCGAAAAATTGTGTTTGCCAGACAACATCCACGTTGTGTGTGATCCATGGATTTACGGTACTGATGACCCTAACGAAAAGAGATTGTTGATTCAATGTTACATGTATCTTGCTAACAAGAACCATCCAGAATCCAACCACTACTCTCTGCCATTGAAGTACTCCCCAGTTTTCGACGGTTTGACTAAGGAATTCGTTAGAATGGACTACTTGCCATCCGGTGCAGACGAAGCTGTGATCAACGAAACCACTGCTTGGGACGAGTACCCATTGGTCGAATACCACCCAGACTTGAACGGTTGCACCAAGTTGAGAGATGTCAAGCCATTGATTGTTTCTCAACCAGAAGGTGTTTCCTTTACTGTGGACAACCACAAGATTGAATGGCAAGACTGGACCTTCTATGTTGTTCCAAACTCCAGAGAAGGTGCTGTCATCTACGACATTCACTTCAAGGGTAGATCTGTCATCTACAGATTGTCCTTGTCCGAAATGACTGTTCCATACGGTGACCCAAGAGGTCCATTCCACAGAAAGCAGGCTTTTGATTTGGGAGACTGTGGTTTCGGTGTGAACGGTAACACTTTGGGCTTGGGTTGTGAATGTTTGGGTGTCATCAAGTATTTCGACAACAGAAGAGTTTCCACTGCTGGTGATGTTGAGATCATCCCAAACACTGTCTGTATGCACGAACAAGATGCTGGTATCTTGTACAAGCACGTCAACTACAGAACTGGTCACTCGGTTGTTGCTAGAAGAAGAGAATTTGTTGTTCAAATTATTGCAACTGTTGCAAACTATGAATATGCTGTTCAATACATCTTCGACCAGGTTGGAGAAATTAAGATTTCAGTCAGAGCCACTGGTATCCTCTCCACCATGCCTATCGACAGAGATGTCGACGTCGACTATGGTACTTTAGTTGGTCCAAGAGTCATGGCTGCTTTCCATCAACACTTGTTGTCCTTCAGAATTGACCCAGCTATAGATGGTCACAAAAATACTGTTGTCTACGACGATATTTTAAGAATGGAAGAAAACACACCACTCAACCCATACAATGTCGGTTTCTACTCCAAGAGATCTTATGTTGAAAAGGCAGGCCATATCGACCAATCTCCATTCACTAACAGGGCTTACAAGATCATCAATGAAAACGTCATCAACCCAACTTCTAAGAAGCCTGTTGGTTACAAGATTGTCATGCCAGCTAGACAAATGATCATGGCATCGCCTGAGTCTTACAACACCAAGAGAGCTAAGTTCGCTACGGAGCAAATCTGGGTTACCAAGTACGAAGAAGACAGACTCTATGCAGCTGGTGAATTCACTAACCAATCTCAAAAAGACACTGGTATTGCTGAATGGGCCAACGGGGTTGACAATGTTAGAGACACCGACAACATTGTCTGGTGTACCTTAGGTTTCACACACGTGCCAAAACCAGAAGATTTCCCTGTCATGCCTGTAGAGATGCACGAAATCGGTATCACTCCATTTAGTTTCTTCGAAAAGAACCCAGCTTTGGACTTACCTCAAGCAACTAACAAGTTCAACAAGTCTGTTCTCTTTGAAGAAAACGAAAGATCCAAGCGCAGCTCCACCTCTTCCACTTGTTGTAAGAAGGCTTCGTTATGATGAAATTGTTCCTTAATTAACCTCGAGTCTATTCTGTATATTTTTTTTCTTCACCCTCTTTTTTCTAATTCAAAAACAATAATCGTATTCCTATATCTATATCTACCCCCGGTGGCTCTATACCGCCATGTTACGCCGACGGCAGAGTGCCGTTAGGAAGGATCGATCTTGGTGAAGCAGTGCCCCCAATAAAATTCCTCTTATGTAAGCAACGGCTGTAGACCATTTATCTGGAGTGATAAATCACATCATTCTCGGCTCAAGTGCGTGCATCAAAAAAGTTGTTGATGTTTGAAGATGATATGTTTATGCAAGTTAGCCACCGGGGAGGGAATTTGTGGAGTCCGGCTCTCAACACGTTCTAGGTTGCACGCTTACTCAATAGATCCGCACCATTTATCATATTCCGGCAGGACCTCTCTATTTTTTGAGCCTCCCTATTCTGAAGGCCTTTTCCTTTTGCATACAAGAAGATTCAACTAGGGGAATCGACCTGGCAGAGAGAGAAAGAGAGAGTTTGTGAAGATGATCGTTCTACTCGATAACGTCTTGCAGGCATATGACGATCCAGTACTTTTATTTTTCCATTACATGATGCACGTCTCCCACCAGGTAGAAAAGTTTTGTTTACTTTCCACAAAGGATACCACAATACCCGAGTATCTGACTTCCTTATCTGTCAGTGGGGACTATTTGACTGGTAAGTTTGGACCTCGAGATTTTCGATGTATAATATGGAGAGGAAAAAGAATTGGTCCCGCATTTGGGGCCAATAATGAAAAGCTCCATGATTATACCAACAGAGAGAACATTCATGTTGACGATAGAAACATGCCATCAATGGAGAAAAAGTTTGATGCTGTGAACAACATAAGGCCCAAAAGCTTCCTTGGATTCCCGTCTCTTGCAGCAAAAACTGATTATACAATACCCGGCTTTTCTACCAATACTGATAGAATTGAGCACAGCATTGTTCCTGTACTCAATGCTTCAGCCAGTGGCAAAGAACGATTTTTAGAAATCTGGGATATTTTAACTGAAGCAAAATCGCATTTTAAGCTTCCTCACGAAATTGGAGTCGATCCTGTAAGACGACTGATGAGAATACTGAAATCCGCAATAAAGCATTTGCCCAAAATGAATACCCTGGAGCATATGAGATACCCATATTGGGTATGTGATTATTTCCTCCTAAGTGAAGAACAAGAAAAAAATGTGAAACACTTGATTGACAGAATGAGAGCAGAACAAATTATGCTCCCACTTGTAGCTATTTCAAAGCTAATAGCAGAGTTTCAACAAGATATACTTGAAATGAAATCATCGAGATTTTTGAAAGACTCGATACCAGTGAGTGAATTTGCCAGGTATTGTGTTCTAGTCAGGCATAGTATATTTTCCGCTAAAGTGGGTTCCAGGAAGGATCTGTTGTTGTTTTGGGATGAAGTATGGAAAGAGTGGCTTAGTTCTAGTGATGAAGAAAGAAGTAAGAAAATGCTGGGATGTGCAGGAGTACATCGCAGTTGGGCAGATGACGATGAAATGAGACTGTTTGTAGCTTCAAGTGAGGACAGCGAAGAAGAAGGAGAAGTAGATGATTCCTTTGCAAGGTCAGTCACAGGTGGTAGTCAAGATGGAGGACTGGAGCTTATAAAGGAGTCTGAATCTGAGGAAACGTTTGTGGACGGAATTGACATGAGCACTGCTAGCAGTAAAATCGGGAAGTTTAGTTATGTTGATGAGCCGATACTAAGCGATTCTCCGCTTATTGGCTCCACTGAAAGCTTATCGAAGGACATTTTTGAGGATGTTGCAACTGCACTTGTGCGAGAAATATATACCCCTCCAAATATTGATGATACAGATGATAATTTACCCAACGATTTTGGTCAAGCAATTCCAGAAAAACTTGAACATGCCTCAAAAACGAACCTAGATGAGATGCATTTGCTACTCACTGATAAAGTGAAATCAGAAGAAACCGAGGAAATCATTATTGAAAAGAACTCAGAAACTGAAAATAAAATTGAGCGTTCCACAACAACTACAAGTAATGTACCCGACGACGGGGAATCTCTTGCTGAATCTACTCCTACACTTGAAACAAATATTGTTGAAGATCACGAGATAAATACCACACATGAAGCTACCGGTACTATTGACCCACAGACCAAAGTTGACGATTTGAAGGACTTTCTCCCTGAGGAGTCAAACGAGGAAACTCTTGGTAGTGGCGGATTCAGAGAGCCCCTTGTGGAAAGCGAACTCAAGGGTCAAGAACAATGTCACATTTCGGCTTCGCCAACAGACCTACTTTATATAGTTTCCGAGAGTAATGCACCAATCGATACTACACAAAACTACAATGATTACTTTGATGGTGTCAATGAAACAACGGAATTAGGAGAAAACATTGATGAAACCATACAGCATTCTGCTTCTAAAAATTACTTGGACAAACACCTTGATTTCAGCTCAAATGATATACATTCACATGGGTCCACAGAAACAAACGAAGAAACACAAACTATGTTCAATGACTCTGATGATATATACCCCGATGATCCAAGTCCGTATGATGATTTTCATATAGAAGCAGATAAGTTCAAACAGCCGGGGGCATTGACTGCTGTATTGGATGTGTCATCTACCGCTTCAAGCACGTGCCATTCTGAAAATGAATACGATGAGGTAGTATCTCCAGTGAAATCTGTAGAGTCTAGAGATGAAAGCATACCAGAGAAAATTGAAATGTTTGAGAAACTTGGAGGTCACAAACCAATGCACAGACATTTGCACCATGCTCTTTCGAACGAGGAAATCAAATTCGAGAAGGCTGATGGGAATAACGTGAAAAGTATTTTGAAACCCGTCACCAGCAGGCCAGACAATGGCATTGTCTTCCAGCTAAAAAAATTTATTGAAGACAAGCCTCAGTTGATTTCACTCAAGGCGACTGAAGATTTCAGCGTCTCAAAAGCAGACGCTGAACGCAAGCCTGCAATGTCGATCAAAAAGGGTAGATCAATATCGGAGATTTTTGCTGCACTTATGGATGATAGTATGAAGGATTTATCCATTTCTGCCGAATACAAAAACAAGATTGTCAGGCCTCAAGATCTTTACAATCGTATCAAGATTGAGACCGACAAACCGTGGGAAAAGCTTTCAAGACGAACGAAAGAACGATATTACGGTGCTTTCTTAAGGAAATACGATGATGCGTTGAATAGACCGGAGAACTGTACGGTGGATATAGTGGATATTTTTGAGATTGTGAAAGTATGTGTTGATTTCGATGACGTTAAGCACGAGATAGTGAGGTTTGCGATCAATATCGTTGAAAGTAAGGAAGCATTCGTGCCGAAGCAAAACAGTGACGATGGCATTGAGAGCGACTCGGACTGTTCGAGTGTTAGAAGCGGCAACGAAAGAGGGAGTTATGACAGCATCACGAGCCACGGTCTTTCTTCAGCCAGAAGCATGAATCGAACATCGAGTGCTAAAAGTCTCAACAGTCTACGGGGGTTGAGGCTCAGCAGAGACTCCAGTTCCTCTTCTATTCTTCTTCCACAATACAAGATCGATGAGGTGAACGAGGTGCACGTGAAGGCGAGCCACGGCCACGGTGACGGTGACGCCATTCGGAAAGAGGACATAGTTTCCTGAACATTTGAAGCATACAGAGATTTTGTATTATAGTATGTTGTTACGAACTAATAAACTAACGAGTAAAGAGACATGTATGAATGGGTGATAGTGATTTTTTCAGGCGGGCGGGACGAAACCAGGCGGGGGAAGACGCCAACTCAACGCACCATGAACCCGATGAAGCATTCGTCGAGTATTCTCTCGAAGTTGACCCAGCGGTGATACTTCATGAAAAGAGCGGTGCAGTCTTTCCCTGCGTTCTTCACTAGAATGCCGACACCGCCGGGGTGGTAATCCAAGTACGAGGAGATGTTGTAGATCTTGCCGCCTAGGGCGACCCAGCAGTCGTGGGGCGACGTGTGTTTGGAGAGCTCCTCCTTGGTGATTCGCACGGGGAAACAGGAGGGGTCGATGTGCTTGACATCCTTCTCGTGTTTATGTCGCTCCCAGTCCAGGGCAGAGTGGTGGGGGGCTAGTCTTACCTTTTCCCTCCTGCTGGCCGCCGGCGTGGCGGATAGGGGTTGAATGACCTGAGGGGAGTTTGGTGCCGGGAAGAGGCGTTCATGCTGCGCAGCTTTCGACGACCTGGCTGGAACGCTGAAACGGAGGGTCTTCGACCCATTTGCAGGGGCGGAGGCTTTTTCCGGCTCTTTCTCCGGCTCGTTGATCAAGGGCACCTTCGTGTGGGACATTGCTGTATTCCGGCGCTGTGTGTTTCCCCCCTGCCGGGCACGAGGACCGGGAAGAACGCTGCACACGTCCTGCCACACGCCCGAGGCCTCCAATTACTTTGCGGATCATGAAATGTGTTACAGCGAATTTGTGGTACCGGGGTTGCCAGTTGGCGGTTTGGGCGGTTGGCGGTTGGCGGAACCACCCGTGGGATGGAGGGACCGCCAAAGGGCTGGTCGCCGTCACGCCGCTGTGCACACACGTCTTAGCCGGCAACCGCCCCGTGCCATTAGTGCACAACTGTAGGAGCAGCGTTCTCCCGCTGGCAGGGACGCAGTCCCTGTCAGCGGACGGCAGCAGCAACTGCCGCAACGCCCCTGCTCCGGCGAAGACACCGAGGGCCTGCACCGGCAGCACGCTCCGTGTGTCCAGAAGCGCCCCGGTGGGGTCAATGTGGCAGCTTGAGGTAAACAGCGGTAAAGCGGACAAAGAGCAACAGCAACAGCAACAGCAACAGCGGCAACAACAGCGGCCGCTACGTCATGGCCAACCGGGCGTTTTTGCGTGGCAGCGAAACGGTCGAGGCGGCGAAGCGGCGAGGCGGCGAGGAGCGATTGCGGCATGAATGGAGAAAGCAGGGCATGCCCGTGTACAAGAGCCGTTGGGGAGGCACAGTCGGGGGCAGCGGGGCCGGCATGCGGACGGGGGCCAGCGTAGAAGTAGGTGTAGCAGCAGCAGTAGTAGCGGTCGGGGAAGCGTTGGAAACAAGAAGGAGTGAGAGCATCAAAGCGAGTGAGCACGAACCGAACAGGGCGAAACAAGCGGTAAACAGAGTGGCACAGACCAAGCGTGGAGCGTTAGATATGGTTCCGCCTGGTAAGCAGCAGCTGATGGGGGGTGTCGACGGCGGCGTGGACGGTGCTGGTGCCGCCGGCAGCGGCGGGGGCCGTGGCAGGAGCCGTGGGCTTGTGGAGGAGGATCACCAGACGTTAAACAACCAGGTTAATCAGTACTTCGAGCATATCAAGGAGTACGCTGGAGGGGCGACAGGTGACGAGGAGGACGAGGGAGAGGAGGACGAGGACGAGGACGAGGACGATGAAGAGATGGAGGGTGACGAGGACGAGGACGATGACGAGGACGATGATGAGGACGAGGAGGACGACAGGTATGTCTCCAACAACGGGGTCGACGTGGACGTGGACTTCGGCGTCGACCTGGAGCTCAACATCGACAGAGCCATTTCTGAGAGCTTGGCGAACTACAACTCTGCGCAGATGCGGGAGCACAACCTGAGCTCCAGCGTCGGCGTCGGCGTCAACGTGGACCGGGCGAAGGAGCACAAGGGCATCATGGTGAACCGGCGGATCGACGAAGCGGCACGCGGCGTCGCCAGCACAAACTCGTCGTCGTCCGCAGTCAATACGCCCGTCAACAGCGATGTTCCGCATGCCGTGAAGACCGGCAAGGGTGGCAGCAGCGGCAGCGGCAGCGGCACTGGTAGCGGTACTGGCGCCACCGGCGCCCGCAGCGGTCGCTACGGTGCCATTGGCGCAGACGTGGTGTTGAAGAGCAACCGCGTGTCGTCGTCGTCGTCGGGCCAGCTCGCAGGACCGCTGGAGACACAGCTCAAGAACGAGGCCTCCGCAGAAAGCTCCAAGCGAGAGTGTCGCTTCTGCGGCAAGACGTTCCAGCACGCCGGGTCTCTTGGCAGACACCTCGACAACCAGAAGGGCAACGAGCTGCACCCACTGGAGGAGGTGGAAAAGATCAGGTCGAACGTGGCCCGCCGGGGCGACCCGGAGGCCATCAAGGCCCGCCGGCTGCAGCGCTCGAAAGAGTACAACCGCCGAGAGTACGTCAAGGAGAAGAACCGGCTGCGGCGAAAGTTTACCAGCAAGCTCTCCCGCGTGAAGGAGTCCTACCAGATGAAGTTCTACAGGCGCATCAACCACCCGACGCTTCCTACACACCCGTCCTTCCCGAGAATGGTGTTGTTTTTCTTGCCGCCGAGTGCATGGCCACACGACCCGCCAACGGCGCAAACGTTCAAGACCTTGGTTATGTGGCTTGAGAGCAACCAGGAGGTGCAGCTCCGCATCCCGCATCTGACCAAGTCGAGCACTGTACAGAACCATCTCGAAAAGCTCACCATTGGCTTCGAGAACTGGCAGACCCTCTCCACTGAGGACAAGAAGGACATGTGGATCCGCGAGCAGCGGGCCGTCTTCCAGCAGCTCTTGGGTGACCTTTCCATCTTCGACTTCGCCATCCGAGACAACTGGGCCAAGCATTTGATGGAGGAGAAGAAGGCCGAGATCGGCAAGCAGAAGGAAATCTACCACGACATCCTACTTTCCGACAACACCAGCAGGACCGACGTCAACAGCGACCACGGCCACCACAGCAGCAGCCACGACTTTCACGACAGCGAGCACCACTACTCCCAGTCGCAAAACGACAGCGACGACTCCACGGGCAGCGTCCACGACAACCACCGCATGGTCAGCATGGACCCGCTGCGCAACGTCGCCGACCACATCGGGCACATGGCCGACCATATGGGCCCCATCGGCACCATCGGACACATGGCCGACCACATGGCCCACCACATGGACAACATGGAGATGGACCTTGACAACATGTCGGGCCTCGGAGACCACCACGATGACAACGAAGTCAAGCTCGAGGAGGCCGATTTGGCCGCAGTAGCGGCGGCCGCGGCAGCAGCAGCCGTGAAAGAAAACGGCGGATTCCACTCAGTTGGCTGAGATAGATAGACGACCCACAGACAGATAGATAACAAACACACATGCCGTGTTCCTTCTTCCTTCTGTTCTCTTCCACTCCTTAACTATATTTATACATTTGTACTTTTTATACTCATTCTTGCTTCTACCAACACTAATAATACTATCCACAGGTCCACCCTCCCGCCAATGACTGTTGTTGCACCCACCCCGTCAGGCCGAACTAACCAGATGAACGTCAGTGTGTCTTTGTCAGTAGAGGCACGCAACAGTCTACAGTTTGTTCTGCTCAGCAAGGACATCTTTACATCCCTCTTTGGACCAGGCGCTGATGTGAGAAGGAAATACATACTGCTCACGTTGCACGGCTCAAACGTGCTAGACACGCCCCAGCTGTACCCCATAACCATCAAACACGAGCTGAAAGACAACCACGTGGAAATAGAGAGCTTGAAGCTACTCCAGCAGCATGGATCCGACTTTACTATTGAAACAGCCACGGTGAGAAAAATTGATAGGGTACCCAAATTGACGAGTGTCGTCGTCTCCTTCCCAGAAGAGGTCTACTCTTTGTTAAAGTACAAAGAGCGGGACCAGATTCACGAATTGCTAGCCCAGGAAAGAGAGTCTACGCTGGACTTTGCAATTGTTAGGAAGGGAGATACTTCTCACACGCTGAACGGGAGCTTCATTCATGCTGAACCGTTTGAACAGGGCTATATCGATCACACCACCACCATAACCATTGTGAAAGAAAACAAAACTCTAGGCAACAGCACAGTGGATCTCAGTTCCGACGGTGCCGACATTGAGGAGTTCGATCCCTTCGACATCAACTCAACCATAAGCCCCACACTGACAGATAGCAAGCCTACTTCACATGCCGCTCAATTTAACGTCAGGCCGTTAGAGCTTGACTTCTTGCAAAAATATACACACTTTTCTAAATATTCTGACGAGTTTCCCTTTGAAGATGAACAGCTCTTTGCATGTTTAACCTTTAGCGCTTTCCAGAAGCTGCATTGTTTAAGTGGAGACTTGCTTTTGCTACAGACTGCTGGCGACGGAAAGAACGGCTTTGGCCCAACTTACGTTAGGGTTTTCCCCTTTATAGAACCATGTTCGTTTGATACACAAAGTATTTACCTTTCCCCACTATTGATATTGGCACTGTCGAATCCAGAGTCAGTTAGCGTCGGATCGATTCCAAACCAAAGCCATCAGCGGGCAGACTTGCCTCGGAAAAAGCTGACGAAGTTCATCCCCCTCGCTAAGGAATTAATACTCTCTCGAGTGTCGACTCCAACAACGTCTGATAGGTCATTACAGTACTTATTTTTGTCAAACCTTAAGGCATACTTTGAGTCTTCAAACCGTGTGATTACCAAAGGACAGATCATCCCAATCGCCTTAGACTCTTCTTTAGCAGAATCAGTTCATCACACATATGGCCTGAAAGGTTGGTATCCCGAGGTCGTTCCGGAGGGGAACCCGGATTGTATTGCATGGTTTATGGTTACCAATGGAACCTTCAAAGACCTCACTACTGGTGAAATCAAGCCGATTGAGTCAGGTAAACAGTATTTGGTAAATTCCAATAAAACAAGGATGTTGCAGTCAGGAATATCAAAGCGTGATTTGAGTGATGTAGATTTCCCAACAATCACTAGGTACTTGAACATCAAGCCCAAATTCGAATACCCAAACACCATATTGCCTGGCGGTGGGAAGTATACTTTCCCTTATGCGAAAACACTTCGAAAAATCTTCGACACCTCGATTAAAATAAAGGGTAAAATTGCATTACAAACAACTGTTCTTTTGACAAGCAACACCAGATTTGTTGGTAAGAGTACTTTGGTCGAAACAGTTTGTGAGGATTTTGGCTTCTCGCTTGTTGAACTTGACGGATACGATTTGGTGAACTCTGGCCTCGGGATGCCTGCGGCTACCGTGGGAATACTCAAGGGCAAGCTCGATAGATTGGTTGAGTCTTGTGAAAGACTAGCCGTATTCATCAAGCACATTGAATGTTTATGTAAGAAGGGGGATGAACAGCAAGCCGACCAAAAAAGTTTGGATGACTCGTTGAGTTTGAATATAGTCACATTGCTCAACGAGTATGCCTTAAAAGGTGTCATTATCATTACAAGCACTAACGACGCTGACAGTATCAACGATATTGTAAGATCTAAAATCAAGTTTGAAATAGATGTTAATGTTCCAAGTGAACCTGAGAGAAAAGAAATATTCAAATACTTGGTCAACTTCCCCACTTCCTCCAATGAATTCATCTATAAGCATAACGATGAGTACCTCTATCTAGCAAGCAACGATGTTAGCATCGATACTTTGGCTTTACAAAGTGCAGCATTGACACCTAACGACTTGGCATACATTGTAAAAAATGTCAAGTTGAATGCATTAAGAAGAGTCAAAAAAGAGTGTAAAGAAGTGGGACTCAAAATACAGGATATTATTGACATCAACTCTGGAGCAATAAGATTAACACCAGTAGACTTTGAAGTAAGTATCAACAAGGCCAGAAACAAGTTCAGTGATTCCATTGGGGCTCCACGAATTCCTAATGTGAAATGGGAAGACGTAGGAGGCTTGGACGTTGTGAAAAATGAAATTTTAGACACGATAGAAATGCCGTTGAAACACCCAGAATTATTTGGGAGTGGTATGAAGAAGAGAAGTGGATTGTTGTTCTACGGGCCTCCTGGTACAGGTAAGACTTTACTTGCCAAAGCAATCGCAACGAACTTTTCTCTCAATTTCTTTTCAGTGAAAGGCCCTGAGCTATTAAACATGTACATTGGTGAATCTGAAGCTAATGTGAGAAGAGTCTTTGAAAAGGCTAGAGACGCCAAACCATGTGTAATCTTCTTTGATGAGTTAGACTCTGTCGCTCCTCGCAGAGGAAATCAGGGTGACTCCGGCGGTGTTATGGACAGGATCGTGTCCCAATTGTTAGCCGAACTTGACGGCATGAGTGGTAGCGATGGTGGTGACGGTGTGTTTGTTGTTGGAGCATCTAACAGACCGGATCTCTTGGATGAAGCCTTATTGAGACCTGGAAGATTTGACAAGATGTTGTACCTTGGCATCTCTGACACCCATGACAAACAAGCTAAAATTATCGCTGCTCTAACAAGAAAGTTTAATTTGCATCCGGAGATAGACCTACAGCTTATAGCTCAATCCTGTCCTTTCAATTTTACCGGTGCAGATTTTTATGCATTATGCTCAGATGCAATGCTTAATGCCATGATTCGAACCGCACGCGAAGCAGATCTCAAGCTTGAACAATACAACCAAACCATGGAAGAGAAGGATAAGCTAAATATAAGGCAATGGTTTGAGAAGGTGGCCACAGACAAAGATTTGGAAGTGGTGGTGGGTACAGAAGACTTCCATGAGGCCCGTAAAGAGCTTGTGGCATCCGTCTCTGAACAAGAGCTTGCGCATTATCTAAGAGTGAGGGAGAATTTTGAAGGTGGCAAAAAGTGAACGTCGAGAAATTTCAAAGTCTTGATCGTCTTTGGTTGTGCGGGGGACACATTCGAAAAGACTGGAATCTCTCTACGTAGCTATTCTCTATATATAGATTAGTGTAACCTATAGTTTGCTGGTGGTTGCAAAGACCAGCTTTTCATAAAAGTGCAGATTCAAGCCACAAGGATGGATTTCCCTCTTGCCAATACTTATGGAGCTCGTAGTGAGCTCTTTCTCCAGTCAGCAGACGACTATCATCGTCAAAGACATAGAATAAACAAAAGGTTGAACAAATTACGTCGTAACTTGAATATTGTCACCAAAGATACAAAGAATTACAAGGAGAAATGTAAAGAAAACAGCATTTCTGCCGAAAATTATGACATGGATACTGCCTTTGGAGATCTTTGGCTATATCGAATCGAAAGAGACTTGCTATATGCACAGGAAACTAGATTGCTATTGGATGTTCATACGTCCAAATCAAAGGAAAGATTCTTAGTCTCCAAATATAAGAAGGCCCTGAAAAATGCACATCACTTACTATCTGTGATTGCAAATGAACAAGACCAATATAAAGTCCTTGAAATTTTGACGTACACTGCTATCATTGACGGTTCCTTGGCAGTCACCAGAAGAAAATATGGCGAAGCATTATACACATTTTCGGTGGCCAGATGTAGCTTGCAGTTCTTGTATGCTCACCAGAACTTACCAGCAACATTTACCAAGGAGTTGTATTACGACATCGTCGATCTTGTTGTCGATCCAGCTTTAAAAGTTGCAGCATTGCAAACTAAATCCTCAACAATCTCTGATCTTTCTCAACTTTCAAAGGAGCAAGTCTTCAGCAATCGTGGAAAAGTTTCATATTTGGGCAAGGCAGTTCAAATAGTTGAAAAAGAAGCTCCATCATACATCACTCCTTCAAACGAGGAAGAAAGCGAAGTGCTAAGAGAAATCACGTGGAGTTCCTATACTGCTAAAATCAGCTCTAATGAAATCGCCTTGGCCATAATGAAGGTCAATGAACAACTCAAGCAGGTTGTTGACTCAGACACTTCTTCTTACGATTCTGCCTTGATGTCATACCTTGATGCGATCAGCTTTCAAGAACAGGAAATGGAAAGAAGTGAGGCTGATGCAGACGACGCAGAAAGCCAAGAACAGCATATTGTTTTGACCTATTTAAAATACAACTATCTCTTATTGAGAATCAGGAGAGACATTGCCATCATGAAAGATCTTGACAACAAGGCAACAGCCAAGAACAATTTGAGTAGACAAAAGGTCCTAGAATTGTGGAAGGACTACCTTAAAGTCAATGACAGTATTCTAGACTCATTTAATGAGATTAAGGAACTTCCAGGTATAGCAAATGATGACGACATAGCGGATATGATTATCAAACTAGATGTGTTTTTTCAAATCAAGAAACAAATGAAGTTGGCGCAAGCATATTTGATTTTCAATGGATATGTGAAATCATTGGCGTTAGTTTCTCATTGTGACGAATTGATTGAAGGTGTGAAACCGTTTACCGATGGTGATGATCTAAAAGGTAACTTACCAAAAGAATCTGATATCGAAGACTTAAAGATGAAAGTTAAAGAGGAAAAATCCAAGCTTTTCATTTTGGCTTCGTACTTCAAGGATAATGGAGATTCTGCTCCTGTTGGCAGCAAATATTTGATTGATGATGTGAAGAAATTCCCAGACTATTCTGCCACACAGCTTCTAGAAAATATTGCACCATTGAAAGTCGATTTTGAGCCTGTAAATGTGAAGCCTGTTTTGTTTGATATTGGTTACAACTACATCAAGTACGAAGGGGCCGGGGAAAGAAACATTTTGAAAAAGAGCACTGACGAACCAATGAGAGATAGTGTATCAGACGATTCAATTGATAGAAAGAAAGGTGGTTTTTTTGGCCTTTTTGGACGCTGAGTTCGAGAAGCTAATACGATAGTACTTTTTTGTTTATATTCCTTTTGTTCTATATACCGCTTTATAAATCAGAAGAAAAGCTGTATTATACAGGTAGTTATAGTGGACCGAATGGCGTCAATCAAGTGTAGACTCCAAGGTGTGAGGCGACAAATAATACTGAGAAACTTATTGTCAGTGCGGCCACAGCTGCGAGCAAGGTATATGTTATGAAATTAACGATGGACCCTTTGATCGAGGAAGTTTTGGCGTTATAGGCTAGGGTAATCATTAGAATCAAGATACTGATCAGAGATATGAGAATAAGTAAACCGCCGCTTATGTTTGCGGTAAATTCAGGATGGAACTCGTCATATGAGCGGTAAAGACCCTTTATTTGAAAAATTGGTATGAGACGTGAATTGATGTGTTAGTGAGCACTCACTGAACGGAAAAAACATTGTGAAATACGTACCATCAACTGGTTGAAAGATGTCATCGCTGTGTAACTTTTGTGTAATGATTGTATCTAATGAGCTCAACGAATGCGGTCTTATGTAGGTAGATAGGATGAAGTGTCAGCTTTCTACGTTTCGGTAACGCAAAAATAGGTGAGAGAAGTTAGGTGGCGCGTGTCATGACTATTATTGTGATCGGAGAAGGATCCTTGGCATTAAGTCATCAATAAATGATATTTCATTTATTTATAAGTACATAAAGGTGAAGAACTATAGACGCTGGGCTTTATAGGAAATAGTCATTGTTGGTGAAGTCGTAGTAGGTGTCATCTGGAGAAATCATTTTCACGTAACGGTCGAAACGTCTCACCGAAGCATATCCGTCTAACAGGACGAGAACGGCCCACTCAAGAGCGTAGTCGAGAGGAACCCGAAACCGCCTGAGTCTCGGCACAAAAAAGAAGTAGAACTCTGTGCAATGGGCGGCAATAGTTGAGTATAAGATATAGTTGTGGTAGGGCTTAACGGAGAGCATGAAAGGAAGGTACTTGGCAAAAAAGTGCTCGTAAAGGATCGACGGCCAGTAGTAACCGAACGGGAGCAACAAAACGCAGAAGATTATCGCAAGGTTGAGCGGAGACGTTGGGTAAGAGATCCCAGATACCCTCAGATGGCTTAGACTGCGAGCCCGTGCCGCTATCTTGGCCATCTCGATCAACTTTTGCTGGACCTCGGTCCACGAGCTGCATTTGGAGTCAAATGGAATCGGCCTGAGCATTTCCATGTCAATCAGTGGGTGCTTGAAGCAGATCGTCACCTGGTCGAAATCAACATTCTTCAGTTTCACGTTGGAAATGGAGTTACTGTTCTGGGAGCTTCCCAGCGAGGCCGTCGCCTGGGAGATGTTGCTGTTGAGGGCATCGGTGGGCGTCTGGCTCGTTAATGGGCTGTTGTCCGGGTTCGGGTCGGTGGGGATCTCAGCATAATACGTCAATATGTCGAGCACGGAGTGTCTGTACACTGTGTTGAACTTCGACAGGATTATGGAGGAGCCGCTTGCAGGCTCGTTGCTCCTGCCATCGGCGGTGTCTGCTGTCATGTTGGAGGGGGAATGGGTCGTGGCAGAGGTGGGGTGTTGTGAAGTGGCTAGCCTAACTTTTCACACACGGTGTACAAATGATTTGGCCTTAGAGGTGGTGGTGGTGCTGCTGGTGCTGCTGCTGATAACAAATATGGACCGCCGTCCCTACAAGGTTACTACAGTCAGGTGGGTCGGTGGGTGGCAGGGTTGCCGTGGCTGTAGCAAGACGTTTGTTGGTTAGCCAAAGAAGCTCCTGCCTGACGTGAAAAGTCCAGCTGCACGGGTCCCAACCAAACGGACGACGCGGCGCACGGCAGCCTGGGAAACGGGGCAATTCCGCCCCCTCGGAAGAAAGTGGTTCGCCCTCGAGCGGAAGCGTGTCCCGTGTCCGTGCCCGTGCTCGACGGGACGGGATGGGATGGGATGCTCAGCGTGCACGGATCTGGGCTTTTCTGATGCTGGGACTTTGGAGGAGAGGAGCACGAGGGGGAGGAGGGGACAGAAGGGAACGGTTATCGAGCCAGAAGTGGTGAGTTACCAATTGTGCACCTAAAGCCTGCTCTCTTCACCAGTCTGCGACTAGCACTCTCAAGCGTCGACCATCCCTAGCACAACAGCATGTCGTCGTCCTCGTCGTCGCCCCAGCAGAACCGCCAGAGCGTGGTTCACCAACCTTCACGGTAAGTATCTTCAAACAGCAGCAGCAGCAGCCGCAGCAGCACGTCTGCAGGCATGGTATGGACCATGCCGGCGATAGTGCTGGTGCCTTTTGAGTGGTCTCCTCCACCTTCTTTCGAATTGTTTGTTTACTGTTTGTTTGTTCGTCCTTTTTTTTGGCATCGAGTGTCTTTGTTTTCTTTGTTTCTGTCGTATCCTCTGATGGATTTTGTTCCTATAAACCGAAACAAACAATACCTGATTTTCTACTGCCCCTTTTCCCAGTTTTTCCTGCTTTCTGCTTTCTGCTTTTTTTCTTTGACACCTTTTACTGTTCCCATCATTGTCATTATTATCATCACTAAGCCGCAATGGAGAACAACTGCAGCTAATCAGCCGACTATCATCATCAGCATCATCAGCACAATCGTCATTATCACCGTCATCAACCAATTCTCTCTAGAGCTTAACCGAAACTCAAGCGAAAACATTTCAGAATGATATTTCTTTCCGTCTTTTTCCTCTCCTCTCCAGCTATGTAACCCTCTTTCTCTTTCCTTCTTTATCAGTGTTTGCACAATAGGGAATCATTTTCAAGGATATTATGGACATCAAGAATCAAGGATAGACGTGTTTTCTATCGCCCATAATACACATAACTAACTTATAATAACTTTGTTTCACAATCTCCCCCTCCACTCATTTTTTGTCTTGCTAGAATTGCAACTATCAACCCTTCTTTGATGAAACTAAAGCTTTTGGAGGTATTGAGAAACAGCGACAATGTCAAGTTGTTGGAACTGGTCAGCCAAATTGATAGCGATCCTTCAAACTATGACCTCATGAAACTAAAAAGTGAATTGTTATTGTATGCCGTCCAGGTTGGCCCTCTCACGATCAACAAATTCATCGTTGAAACAGGTCTAGCAGACGTTAACGCACAAGATGCGGATGGAAATACGGCTCTTCATTTGGCTGCTATTTCAAACAGAAATGACGTGATTGAATTTTTGTTGAGCCTGCCCAACATTAACGATTGTTTGTACAACAAGAACCTGAAACAGCCTATTCAATGTACCACCAATGTAGGGACTGCTCAGTTAATGGATTATCTAAGAAACAAGCATATTGAGCAAATCGCATCAGAATTGAGAAGTGGTTTCGAATCTAGAAATTTCGAACTTTTGGATAAACTACTGACGAATCCGAGAGATAAAGAATTGCTAGATATAAACGGGACCGATCCTGTTACCGGCGATACCGTTCTTATAGAGTTTGTCAAAAAAAACGATTATGATATGGTCAAATTCATTTTAGACCATGGCGGTGATCCTTTCAAAAGGAGCCTTTCAGGTAAATTACCAGAAGAATCAACCCTGGATTTGGACATGAAAAAAATTATAGAGGACTCTTTCGCAAAGCAGAATATCATGGATTCAACTTCCCATCCTCAAGAAGGTTCACCAACCTGCAAAGGTTTTCTAAAAAAATGGACCAATTTTGCAGGAGGCTACAAATTGAGATGGTTTGTGCTTGACAGCGAGGCTAGACTCTCTTACTATAAGTCTCCGAATGATATGAACAATACCTGTAGAGGATTGATCCATCTAGCACATGCTATGCTCAAGGTTGACAGTTCCGAAAATACCAAGTTTGAAATCATCATCCAGAATCCATCGGATGGCTCTCCTGTTAGATGGCATTTAAAGGCAGAACATTCTACAGAAGCTCAAAAATGGATTTGGGTTCTTCAAAATGCAATAAGATATGCCAAGGATAATTTAAAAAAACAACGGAAATCGGTGATGCTGTCCCATATCTTGAACGAAGATCTACCTGTTGAATCCTCTCATCATAACTCAAACCAACACAGTCGTGAATACGATGATTCCGAAGAGCAACTTCGTCTTCCCACCTCTACTTTAGCAGGCCCTCGTGGCTCTGAACCTTCATCTGTTGAACATAGGCCCGTCAACTCCATTATTTTGGATGCTCATAGAGCTTCCAATGAGTTCAAGGATTTGGTTCGAATTACTGATTCTGAGGCAGATCTGCCTTTGCATATACATACTAACAACCTGAAAAAGAAGGAAATTTTTAGAAGTATGAACATGAGTCCAATGGAAAATCCAGTCATACTGAAAGGTAATGCTAATGATAATGATAATGATGATAACATAGATAAAGCTGAAAATGATGATAATGAAAGCAAAAATAATGATAATATCAACAGTAATCACAATTTGAATGTTGAAGATGTTCGAAATACTAATATTCCTGAAAATGAGAGTTTTGACAGTTTGAGAAACCAAGTTGGACCTGTACCGGACAGGACTTCCCAGTATAACAATAATAGTAATAAGCCAAGTTCCCATGATACTCCAAATACAGCAGAGTCTCATCATCACCATCATAATAGAACGCCCTCGATTGCATCGAATAGTTCGGAGCGTTCTAAGAACTCCTCTTTAGCCAAAAAGTTATACAAAAAACCTCTGAAACAGCTTAGTAAGATAGGGAGAAAAACGAGAGATTCTTTTGTAGTTGACCATGAAGGTAGAGAACCTAAAGAACATAAATCTTCACGCCATTCATCCTCTTCTGCTGCTAATTTGAGCCACAGTAATGCTTCACATGCGTCATTTGCATCGAACTCTAGCTCTATATCTTCTCCAGATTTGAGGGGTAGAAATGAATTTGATACAGCCTATGATTCAAGGGTTGAAATTGGCGATGCAGATGATGATGAGGATGATGAAGATGATGAAGATGATTTTTCCCCAAGTATCAATCAAAGAAACAGTGCTAATGCGAACACTGATCTATACGTCGTCAGAAATCAGATCACAATCCAACTTAAAACTTTCAAAGATTTCTTAGACTCCTCAGTACATGACGATTCAATTAGTAAAGGAGATTTGGCTGAAATGTCAAACGGAATTTTAGCCACCTTGAATCTTTTACTCAATCAAGAGGGCGACTGTATTAATAGCAAATATAACGAGTTGGTGAGGCGTTTAGAAAAGCAACAAAAAATTTCTTCGATCTGGGAAAACTCAATCAAACAATTAGAGTACGAAATCCGTGAAAGAGAAACCAAAATTGTTGAGTTAGAAGACAAATTAAGAGCATTGAAAAAATCTCTCAGAAACAGTGTTAGCCAGTTACAACATGCAAATAGTGTTTACAGTACTAAGGGTGATCAACAACTGCGTGGTCTACCATCAGAACGTGAACATGTTTCAAATGCTACATCTGCTGCTGCTCTTGCAAGACAGGCTTTGACTGCAAACATGAACAAAAACATTCCTCCAATTCCAACAAGCGCACCACCCTTTGATGCAATCAAGCAGCAACAAGAGGAGAAGCGTGCTTTGCAACAACAACAGGACCTTCAACAAAGGTTTCAAACTCAAGACAAGGCTATTCATAGTATGGATCTCAGCAAGGAACCTTCTTATGCCTCTCAACCTACTCCTTTTGACCCTACGTTGACGGAGTTTTTGGAAGAGTCTGATGATAGTGAGGATGAATTCTTTGACGCTGAGGATGTCGTGAAGGATATGTCAGTTCTAGAGAGGAGAGAAACATTAAGAAATCGGAGAAACAAACAATCTAAGTCTCCGAACAGTGAATTTTTGTCTCAACCGCAACAACAGCAAGAAACACTTCAACGTCAGTCTACTGCACAAGGTCAAATTCCAGCAATCCCTACTGAATTACCTCCACCTATTCCACATGAGATGGATTCCGAAGAACAGCCTTCGGACCAGAGTAATGGATCCCCTACGGGAATTAGCAAAGGTGCTGCTGTACCTATCGAAACAGCAGCATCTTCTCAGCAAGAGGAGTTGAGTGTTCAGCCCTCAGAAGCCACCGCTGTCAATAACGATGCCATCGAAAAGAAAGAGGAAACTCCAAAGCCCAATTTCAAACCTAATACTGACAGTGACGGCCACTACATTGTGAACAAACATGATTTGACTAGCGAAATCCAATCTAACAGATATGGCAAGATCTTGGACGAGCAATCATTTGAAGGGTATGAAGATCCTTTGAGGTTATCGCTGGCTCCAGAAGACAATCGTCCTAAGATGTCTTTGTGGGGTGTTTTGAAATCATTAGTCGGTAAGGATATGACCAAAATGACCCTACCTGTTACATTCAATGAGCCTACCTCTTTATTGCAAAGAAATGTTGAAGTCATAGAGTATTCTGACTTATTGGATAAAGCTGCCGCAATGGAATCTTCAACTTTGAGGTTGGTTTACGTTGCTACTTTTGCAGCTTCCGAATATGCATCTACTGTCGGTAGAATTGCTAAGCCTTTCAATCCACTATTGGGGGAAACATTTGAATATGCAAGACCAGATAAAGGATATAGATGTTTTGTTGAGCAAGTCAGTCACCACCCTCCGATTTCAGCTTTAGTCGCTGAATCACCATGTTGGTCATACTATGGTGAATCAAATGTCAAAACAAAGTTTCTTGGCAGATCTTTCGATATCAAGCATCTGGGTACTTGGTTCTGTGAAGTATATCCCGATGCTGGTGTTGAATGTAAGAATGGTCAAAAATCTGACAAAGAAGTTTATTCATGGAGAAAGGTTAACAACTCTGTTATTGGCATCATTGTTGGTAATCCAACCATTGATAACTACGGTGACATGGAAATTCACAACCATATGACAGGGGACTACATGAAGTTCAACTTTAAGCCGAGAGGTTGGAGAGCTTCTTCGGCTTATGAAGTCAAAGGTGAAGTTTTTGATTCTTCTGGTAAATTGGTCTACTATGTTGGCGGTCATTGGAACAGCAAAATTTTCTGTAAGCCAGCTGATGATAAAAATGCCGAAAGGTTCTTAGTTTGGGAAGCAGCTCCAAGAAAGGAGATGATGTTCCACCTAACCAATTTTGCTGCTACATTAAATGCTCCCCAGCCACACCTACTGCCAAAAGTGGCTTGTACTGATACTAGATTGAGACCAGATCAACGTGCAATGGAAAACGGTGATTACGATCTGGCAGCTGAAGAGAAGAATAGAGTGGAGGAGAAACAAAGAGAAGCCAGACGTCAAAGAGAATTGAAGGGCGAAGTTTACCAACCTACCTTCTTCAATAGAAGCAAACATCCCGTTACAGGTGAAGATTACTGGGAATATAAAAACTTGTATTGGAGAGAAAGAATGGAGGGTAAACTTAAGGACTACAATGATATCTTTTAATTGGTTCCTGTTTCATCTTTTTCCTGTTAATTTGTTACTATATTCTTTTTTCTATTATTACTTTATTTATTTGTTACTTTTTTTTTCCTACTTCAAGTTTACTTTTTCCTTGTTTCCATTACCTTCATCAAACTTTATCATGAAATTGACAACTCGTATTTTATATCCATCATTTTAGCAGACAAATATTCATGTACTTTATAAACTCATTTTATATACTCATTAAATACCTTGTATTTCCTGTAATTAGATTTAATAGATAACAACTTTTGGGTATATATAGAATAACAAAATTTTACACCATCTACAAAAGATTATATTTTACAGTATATCTGGTCTCTCGGAAGCGCTACCTCTTGTACCTGAGGTTCTTTTCGTTATAATCTTCGAAAGTACGAGGCCCTCTAAATTTTTGCGGAGATGAGGTAAGCGGTTGGATGGTTTGTGCTGCATTGTAATAATACTGATTTGCGTTTGGCATTCGGTTTTCTTTTGACCTTGATTTCAGCATCACCTGTATGTCTGTGGGCAATTCGGATAGCATTTTATTCAACTTATCTTCTAGAGCCAGTTTGAATTCGGTTCTCATGACTCTTCTCGTTTCTTCGTTCTGCGCATTGATCTTTTTTCTTTCATCCTCTAAAACTTTGTCAAACTTTATAAGTTGCTTTTCTTTCAGTAAGAGTTCATTTTCCTTCAGGTTCATTTCTTCACCCTGTCGGTGAAACAGCGAATCTTTACGCTTCAACTCTATTTCCCGCTTAACCAATTCAAGCTCTTTTTGGTTTAGTTCCCATTCTCTTCGATAAATCTTGAAAGAAGTTTCTTGTAGTAACTGATTGACATCTGCTCTTTCTTGGGGGTCAGTTATTAAGCATGCATAGATACACAGCTTCAACCTGTTTGAGTAGTGGCTTGGTAGTTCATTGTACACTCCTGACTTGATTTTTTCTTGTAATTGTGCATGTGTCTTGGCTGTAAATGGTGGAGTTAAAGCACAAAGTTCGTACATGACGCATCCCAAAGACCAAACATCGCAAACAGTATTATAGGACTGCTCAGATATAACTTCCGGTGGCATATAATATGGGGTTCCAACGTAGGTTTGCGTGAAGTGAGTATGTGGTGCCAAGCATTTTGCCAATCCGAAATCTCCTAATTTAACTGTGTATTTGTCAGACATAAAAAAAATATTCTCCGGTTTAATATCTCTGTGTATAACAACCTGTAAGCCTGGAACTTCAGGTGGCTTCACTTCAGGAGTTGATTTGAACATCGAACTTACAGGCTCAATGTCTATTCCGTAATGACATCTGTAGAGTGCTAGCAACGTTTGGGTAAATATTTGCCAAATCAATGTTTCAGGAATGTACTGTTTTGATTCACGATACTTTTTGATGAGCTCAGAGATATCACCACCATCGCAGTATTCCATATAAATATTCAATACTTTTTCGTTTGGAAGTTTTTCATAACCATAAACTTGCACGATATTTGGATGATCTAAGTTTTGTAGGATTTCAAATTCTCCGGACAGTTGCTTTTCTTCCTTTCGGCTCATAGATTTGTAAGAGATCTCTTTTCGTACAAAAGTTCTGCCCGAAGGTTTATGGAGAACCTTCCGTATGATCCCAAAGGAGCCTCGTCCTATGACATCGAGTTCGTGAAATTGGCCAGATATTTCTCTGGTACTCATGTTGATATACCCTAGGTTAGATATTTACAGCAAGGAAGTCAAAGCTGAAGAGATTGAAAGCCAGACCTACACACACTTTGAAACTGGGAAGTGAATTGTTTTGTCAAAACAGAAAAACATAGGCAAGCATCTCAGCACAATGCCTCCAGGCAGTCTCTAGAGGCCCAAAAAGGAAGTATAATGGTGTTTACTTTTTTCTCAAAACGTAAAGTTTCATTTGATTTTTTTTTCGGTTATGCGTCTAAGATGGCAATCACCGTGAAAGCTCAGGAGATACTTTGGTTACAAAAAGCTACAGAAATAAGTAGGCCCAAGTCCACTGGCAAAGTATATATCATACTTTTATAAAAATAAGATCTAGTTCTTCACCGTCTAGTCAATGCATCAACAGCTTCAGCATATTTAGCAGAAGTTTGTTCAACAATTTCATCAGGTACAGAGACACCATCTTTGCCGTTCAAACCATTGGATGTCAACCAGTCTCTCAAGAACTGTTTGTCGTAAGATTCTTGAGATTTACCAACAACGTATGTTTTTGCATTCCAGAATCTTGATGAGTCAGGAGTCAATACCTCGTCAACCAAAACTAGCTCGCCATCATCAGTAATACCAAATTCAAACTTGGTGTCTGCTAATATGATTCCCCTTGTCTTGGCATAGTCTCTGGCCTTGGTGTAGAGTTCAATAGCCTTCTCGGAAACTTTTTCGCAAACATCTTCTCCAACTATTTTGGCAGCTTGAGCTGGAGAAATATTTTCATCATGTTCACCTTGTTCAGCTTTTGTGGATGGGGTAAATATAGGAGTTGGAAGAACTTCTGACTCAAGTAAACCTTCAGGTGCTGGCAATCCGTGCACAGTTCCTGATTTTTGATACTCCTTCCATGCAGACCCAGTGATGTAGCCTCTCACAATTGCTTCCAATGGAATAAGCTTGTGCTTTCTAACTAGCAACGACCTTCCTTTCAACTGGTTCTTATATTTTGGTTCGGATAACTCCTTTGGTAATTTGGCAAAGATCTCTTCATCTGTAGATGCAATTAAGTGATTCTTGATGTTATCTTTGAGGAAATCAAACCAGAAAATGGAAATCTGGGTCAAGAGCTTACCCTTGTCTTTGATGCCGTTTTCCATGATAACATCGTATGCTGATATTCTATCGGTTGCGACAAAAAGTAAGCTTGAAGGGTCAACTTCATAAATATCTCTAACCTTACCCTTAGCAATCAAAGGCAAGATTCCGTCTAAGTTTGTGGAGGTGATGGACATTGTGCGATTGGATGCAGTTTGAAGGTGATTATTACTTCTGATCTTTTGACAAGGACGAAGAAGCCTGTTTCACTGGAGGGAGAAACTTTCTTCTCTCTATTCAGAGGTTAATTTAACCTCAACTGCCTGACTCTGTCCCTCAACTCGAGCAATCCCAATGCGGAAATACTTTTTTTATCGGTGCATCAAAAGAAAAATTTTAAAACAGAGGACACCGTATGAAATAGCAGCGGTAAAAACGGAGCTACTACGTAGGAGTTAGATCCCACTGAAAATGACAGCTAAGAGAAAGCCAGCTAAACAGTCGGGACCTTTTGGAGGAAACAAAAGGAAACCTCCATCAGAGATTTTGCGCCCCGGAGTTGGAGGATTACCCGCCAAACCGGTATTTTCACATAATGATGTCAGAGCAGACAAACATAAAGACACTAGAAACCTGTCAGGAGTTACAAATGCAATCAGCACAGACACAGCGAACTATAGAAGGCCCAATAATGGGTCGTTTGAAATGTTTCCAGGAATGATAGTTGATCTGGCCAGAGAAAATGAAGCCAACAATAATTCGAATACAAGTAACATACCCCAACCATCTGCGGAAGCACTAAATTTGTTTAGTTCGATATTGGGAACGCTGCAATCATCTCCACAACAGCAGGAACGTACACAGGTACAACAGCCTCCGGTTATGCCACAGACACTACCACAGACGCAGCAGCATACACAGCAGCAGTTTGTTCAACCATTTCCACAGCAATACCAGTATCCACCACAATATAACCCTAATCCTTATCTGGCCTCACCTCAAAATCAGCAAGAGTACGTTCAGAATCCAGTATCGCCATATCAGTATCCGCAAAACTACAATCAGCCAACTTATCAGAATTATCCACTGTTGAATCAACCGACTCAGCCGGTGCAGTCGAAATTCGATGGTGGAAACCAACAAAGTAATGCTTTTCTCTCAATGTTCAATCAGTTACTTGAATCATACTCTTCTTCATCGAACCGCTCATTGATGAAAAATTCTAATGTCAATGACAGTGTAACAAGCCAGCATCAAAAAAATGATAGACCTCAGAAACCGGCAAAGAGTGACCAAGGTAAGCAGAAAAAAAACAAAAAACTTGAGCAAATTGAGATTAAAGACGATAATGGCTCCGATGACGACTTGCTTGCTGATGAAGAAGTTGAGCTGGAGAAAAAAATTGCAGTTCAAGGAACAAATATTGTACTTGAAAATGAAGAAGACATACAAAAGTGGATTGAGGAGAGGAAAAAGAACTGGCCAACTAATAGTAGAGTAGAAGAAAAAAGGAAGGAACTTGAGAATGCTAAGAGAATTGTGGAAACTATTAATAACCAGACCCAACCTGATGAAAAAAGTACACAAAAGGTAAAAATGTGCAACTTCTGGTTAAGGACTAAAAAGTGTAGACTTGGAAAAGATTGTAAGTTCTCACATGACATGTCTAACTATTCTAAGCCTAAAAATAGCAATGGTAAACCAAGGACAAAAACCTTATCTACAAAACCATTACCAAATCATAAGCTTAAACTCATTCATGGGATTCCGGTTCAAATACCATCTAGATTTACTCCATTGACAAATGAAGGAAAATCATTACACAATTTATTGATGGAAGGAGAGCGTTTCCAAAATGAAAACGTTGAATTGCTCGGGCTATTTACAAGATTAGTGACCTGCGGGATCATCAGACAGGACTGGAATGGGTTGAAAAAGAAACTAAAATTGGACGGCGAATCTTTAACTTCGAGTTGATCGGATTTACTTTTGAACGTCGGTACGTATCTGCTATCAAGCTCATCTATAAAAATCAAAATTTTATAAAAAAAACTTGGAAATGATTAAAATTACATTGAATGCATCAAATAGAGATGCGTTATTACATGCCTCTGAAAACATTTTTACTTGCTCTTCTTCTGCCATCCACAACTTGTTTGGCTTTACCTCTTCTTTCTGAATTCTCTTCTTGGTCTTCAAATGCCATTTTCGCAGTCTTTTTGGTTGGTATAAAAGTGATCTCACCTTCTCCAATTGCATTCTTTCTGATTCTTGTATTAGCCTTTTGCTCCTTTCTGACTTTACTGCTTTCGCCCTGTAGTTTTGCCTGTTTGCCAAAGGAAACAACTTTGTTTCTCTCGCCATCAAGGCTTAATTCATCATTCTTGTTGATGGACTTCATCTTGGACATATACTGAGCTGCTTCTGCGCGTTCTCTCTTCTTCTTTTCTTGCTTTTGCTTCAATTGCTCTTTTAATTTTTGTCTGGCTAACTCTTTCTCTTTTTCTTCCGTCTCAGAGTCTGAATCGGAGTCTGAGCCTGAATCCGAATCATTTGCTCCGTTCTTGTTTCTCATGGCCATACGTTCCTCATCCGATTCTTCTGCTGCTGTTAAAGGCTTAGGCCCGGCCAATGACGAGGCTACTGGGTTCAATTGCTTATAATCATGGCTCTCTTCATTAATCTGGAACCTTGGGTCCTCGAACATCTCCTTAAAACGGTCATCATTGACAACACCTTCTGCTGCCTCTGAACCCAGCTTGCTCTGTAAGTGCCCAACATACTCTTTATTGACTTTAATTTTGGTGTTGGTGAAAGCACCTGTGCTTCTGATTCTAGATTCTCTCTCTTTCTCAATTCTTCTCCTGATTTCTCTCTCTCTTTCTTCTGCAACAGAGTTTGGATTGGCAATCAAATTTACCTTATCGTATAATTCGTTATCAATGAAGTAACCATGCATGTAGGCCCTTAAAACATTTGTACCAATTAAGTGGGATATACCTAATTTGGCGACATCCTGCTTGGTTAAGAATTTGTAGTTCGAGTAGACAGTATCGGAAGGTTTTTCTTCCAACTCTTCGGTGATATTGTCCAAGAAAGAACACCATCTTGGAGATGGCCCCAATTGAGGAATGTAGTATGTGTGCATTGGAATAGACTCGTTTGCCATTAAGAACATACCGGAGCCCTGTACATGTTCAATGTCGTTAATATCCACGCTAGGCTCCATCGCAGCATATGGCTTGCCGTTATCTCTATTCCAGATTTTTGCGATCTTTTTGTCAGAAGTCAGAATCAAGTTCATGTTTTCATTGCCCGATTCTTCGAGCCAGATAATTTTCTTAATTCCAAAACCATAGCCTTGATCTTTAGTTATCAAAGGATGAGAGGTTCTCAAGTCATATATCATGGTCAAGCCATCTGAAGTCCCGCACGCAAAGTTTAGGCTATTGTTAGCAAATTTGACGCAAGATATTTCACTGCCACTTTCTTTGGCCTCCGCTATCTGTAACTTGATGATTCTCTGTTTGGCTCTTGGATCCCAGAATTCCACTGTTCCGTCCTCCAAACCAGCACTGAACAAGCCATGTGTAGTATTTACGTCCACTGAGTTAACTCCACGGTCATTCTCAATTTGAAATGGTTTCATAAACCTTCCCTGTTCCAGATTTAATCTGTAAATTTCGTCACCAGAAGCTCCGACGTACAAATCGCACGACACGTCATCATAAGCCAAGGATCTACCAAATTTCGGAATTCTCAACTTGTGATCCCTTCCACCTCTATTCTGAAATTCTATAGATCGGTCATTTTGTAAATGCACGGACTTTGTCCAATCGTCAGATAGTATGAGGAAGTCCACATTCTCGGTATCTGTGTGTCTCTCAAATTTCAAAGAAAGGTTGGAAAAGTCGTAGACGTGAATCTGAGGCTTGTAAGTACCGGTTGCCATTGCATATTGACCATCTCTAGTCACCTTTATCTTGTTTGACGACTCACTAAACTCGAAATCCTGAATCAATTCCACTCTATTCTGGTAATCAACATCATTTTTCAATGATCTCTTTCTTTTTCTCTCTAACCAATCCGGCAACGACTTTGAGACGTTGGTACCAGAAATTTGGTAGACTGATATATCGTTTGTTGAAGCAGACTTTAACACCATTTTCGAAATTTTATCCCTACTTGTATCCCTGCTAAGTTAGGCTTTATTACTTGATATATCTTACAAGCTCATGGAAAGAGAGATAGGAAAAAAATGAAAAAGTTTTTGAAGGGAAAAAAGAGTGAAAAAAATCCAACGCCTTACGTAATGGCATTGAGGCACCAAAGCACTGTTGCAGAGAGAGGTAAAGATGGTGAGTTTAATGAAGGTCGTTCGTTGGTCTTACCTGGTGGTGCAGGGCACATTGAGGAGGCAGAACTAGAGGCTGTTAATCAAGAATAGACGACAGTGAGATATGAACCTTTCGAAGCTTACTAATCCTGCAGAACCGGAAGTGAATTTCGGCGGGCTGCAGCACCGTCCTTCCCCAGATAATGATCTAGTTTCAACTGGGACACAAACAGACGTCGGTACGCTGGATAGTGACTCCAGAACCATGTCCTCCACTGTTGCGGCAGTCGAAACTAGTGGAAGGGATGAGTACGAGGAATACCATGATGAGTACAATGGAGATGAAGATAATTACGAGAACGACAATGATACAGAGCTGGGTGTTGGAAGTGATAAAGACGGTGACAGCTATACCAGATCAGACGCTAGAGACACGGGGTCTCAGAAAAGAAGATCAACAGCAGAGTATCGAACGCTATATCAATTTCTACTGGATAAATACAAGAATGCCAACCACACTTCAAAAGTGCTTGACGAATTTGAGCTATACCTCAAAAAGCTGTCAAAATACCAACAGCTACGAAATAACACTCTAGTTGACGCACTGAAATTCATAGACAAGCATGAGAGCTTTGAGAGTAGAAGCGACCTCAGCAACACTCAGTTAGAGGAAAAACTGATGTCGATTCTGAGAAATAATGAAAGAATGAGGCCGCTAGTGACTAAGTTGATCGACTTAGAAAAAGTTGAAACTAGCGACGACTCGAGAGCAAACTTAAACGCATTTCACAACCTAATCGGGATCAATGATTCTTTATCGAGTGATTTGGCCATTCAGGAAAGTAATATATTTCCCGATTTGTACACCAGCAGATACGACTTTTTTGAACTTGTCAAAAAAAACCAGCGTTACGAAAACAAAGTGAGATCTTACCTAGATTTGAAAGATCAAATCAAATCTGAAAGTAGTGCCGAGTCGGTCCAAACAGAAGTTGAACCTCAGACACCAAGGAAAAGGGCCAAACCGTCTGCTTCCAGCTCAAATGGAAATGGGATGGTTACCAGATCTGAAGGAACAGAGAACTCTCTCAAGATCACTATCCAAAGGAAAAGGAGGAAGGTGGTTAGTGAACCTCGTGCTTAGTTAAATTTTTTTTGTTAGATTTGTATATGTATATTATAAACTTTTAAACTTTTAAACATCGTTTACTATCTGTGGAAAATTGTGATTTCATTCAATGAGCGCAACTTTCTTTTTGACCTTCTTCTTTGGTTTCCTCTTCACAGGTTGAGGAGAAGGTGCTTCAATTTTGACTTCCTGTGGAACGTCAGTTTCCTTTTCTAGTTCTTCGTTATACTCGTTGGTGAAAGCCTCCTCGGTGGATTCTGGATTTTTTAAATCAACACCAGCTAAACGTGATAAGTCGACTAAAAATCCTGAATGTTTAGGTGTTTCCTTGTTTTTCTCCCCAGGGGGGTTGGTTGTGTCTGCTAATGCATTGTCAACTTCGTCGAAATCGTAATCATCTTCGATAAGCAAAACTTTTTCTTTCTTATATTTTTTAGGCTTCAGTGACTTTTTCTGCTTCTTTTTTATATCTTCAGCCAATAACTCAGTTTTGTCCGTATTGTTTTCTTTTTTGTTGTTTCCGTGAGAATCATCGAGGGTTAGATAAAATGGGTCATCATTATGATCATTGCTTGAAGTTTTTCTATCCTTTTTTTCATTTCCGGGACCATCAAATACAGAAAGGTTTTCGGTGTCTGTTTCAGCCCCTTGTCCGTAGCTGTCCTCACTTTCAGTCTTGTTATCATCAATTTCATCGTCGCTAAAGTTTACAGTCAGATCTTCAATCTTTAGTCTATTGTATAAGTTCTGAAAATTCAAAACTGCTTGATCGTCAAATGCATCACCAAGGTCTAAGTCTACCGGTGGCTGAATCTTGCTTTGTGTTTTCAGTCCAACAGGTTTGATCGTAGTTGCAGTGAAAAGAGGGACAAAACCCTTGATAAGAAAGTTCGGAGGATAGGCTGTGTCATCGCCTGAAGATTCCAGTGTCTCAAGTTCACTTTGGATTGATTCTTCAACAAGCTTTAATACCTCAATAAATGATAAAGCACGTTCTTGAACCTCAAAATTAGGACTGTTTTGAAACTTATTAAACCAAGTTATAATCTTTTTTGATAAAGAGTTGACTGACTGAAACTGGGAACGAGACCATTTGTTTTCACCGAAAATTGAACAAAATTTGCCAAAAATTTTAGCAATAGCTTGTATATATACAGAAACCGTACCGTCAAAATTTATATGGCCCAGTCTCTCTAGCGATCTTTGCTTTGATATGCAGTCAACTATTTCAATCGCAGAGTACTTATTATCTTCATCTCTATCAGAATTGGAGGCTTTTGAATTTGAATCTGAATCCACATCTGCATCTTGAATATACTCATCGTAGTATTCACCAACTATCCAAATACAATTGCCTAGACCGTTTTTGAACATTAAGACTTTCTCATCTGAATTCCAAGGAATTTGACACAATTCCAAACACATGTCGACTAATTTTGGTCTTACACTCGGAACTCTAACACCGATGTCAACCAATTGTTGGGATATTATGCTATCAACATTCGAGATCTTGTTATCGACATTGAGCTTCAAAATATCATGCAAAACTCCTAAGTACCACTTGAAATTTGGAATATTTTCATAATTATTCATTGAGCAAATTTCAATTATCTTGTTGATCAAAAGAAACTTGTATTTGTCAGAAACAACGATTGGTTGTTGGGATGACCCAATTAAATTATAGCTACTATTTTCATATTCCCCATCTTCCTCATCTTCTTCTCCTTCTCTTTCGTTTTCCATGGACAGCAGCTTTCTATTGATTTCATCCAGATGCTCTTGCTGTTCCTTGTATGGTAGTAGCTGAACAGTCAGCCTTGTCACAATTGCAACAATATTCTGTTCACTTACCAAAGAGTTGACAATATCTAGGGAGGTTTCTCTAATCGTCAAGTCATTATCGTAAATTGAGGTCAAGATGATTTTGTCGTGCTTTTTGATTAACTTTTGATGTATTTTGCACGTTTTGATAAACGCCAGTAACCCAACGTATTTCAAGTTCTGATCGTTACTTTCGAAGAAAATTAACAATTTCTCAACAATCAAATGTGCAGTTTCAATATCATCCGATGAAAGCATATTTCCGTTCAATATTGCATTTATACACTCATAAGTCAATGATAATGCCTTTGTTGATATCATCAACGATTTTATCTCAGGGAGAAGTTTGTTTTTGAGCCGTGGTTCCGTCAAAGAAAGTGACGAGAACAATTTTAACAACCTGATTACCATCCAATTGTTGTTTGATTCTTTGAGCATTGCATACAATCGAGGCGCTAAATCAATGTAATTGGCAGGGTTTGTGTGTGCTAGCTCGCAGATGACATTGACAGTAGCCGAAACGACAGATCCGTCTGGGTCTTCCAATTTATCTACAATCCTGTCGTAGTAGGCTCTCAACGCCTCTGGATTTTTCAAAAATATCTTGAACATTGCCAACACCGCCTTTTTCCTTATCAACGGTTTTGAATGTGAGAGCATTTTAGCCATATCATCGACTATATCCAACGCCAAGTCCTTGGAAACCACTGCTGCTATACCACTAATGGCTAGCGATGTCTCGATGTAATGAACAGAATTTAGGTCCTTCTTCAAGAGGTTAGTCATCAACATCAAGGCATCATCGTTGTTCTGTCTTTGTAGTATCTGTATTGCTGCCAGATAACCTATTCTCTTGTGTTGGAATTTGGGAGAAGACATCACTTCGAGGATGTTAAATGAGCACCAACTCATGTCGAAGCCGTACATTTCCAAATAAGCTAGCTTCAATATTGCAGTAGACTTTAGCTCCAAGTCTGAAGTCTTCAATTCGGCTTTGCATTCTTGGATCGCCTTGTCTAAGAAGAGGGCTGCTTTTTCGGGATCACTGCTCGTTGATCTGATACCTTTGATCAAATCCTCTAATGATTTCTCAAAGGATATTCCAAACGGCCTTAGCCGCTCTCTCATATCCATTGTTGTATATATCGCTTGAAAGTCGGTTGTAAGGGTTATGCGGTGCAGGTGTCGAACAACGTTTCAGATATGGTGATTATCAATAATGTCACACTGATCAGTTCTAAGCGACAAACTCGAACAACATGAACTAATTGGTGTTACTGAGAAAGTCACCGAAGAGCGAGACGCACTTTGGTGACAGTTACTACTCTCTGCTGTTCAGCTCGTTGAGCACAAAAACAACTACGCAGGGAACCCTTGTTTATTTGGGCCTAAGTATCTGGATCAGAATCCGCTTCCAGTGCGATTGCATCTGCCGTAGTACAGACCTAGAGGTCTGTGTGTAGGGGGTGGATTGGTTGAAGAAAAGTAGCATGCAACCAAGTTGAAACAATGCGGTGTTCCATCACATGGAGGTAAGGCTCTGAAACTAAAGCTTGCTCCTTTTGGCTGGAAATTCTAATATAGCAATCCAACAGGCTTGTTAGATATGTCTATGAAGTCCTAACTTCAGGCTGGTTAGCTCATGTGGCGTATAAACAGGGAGCTCCCTGATAAGCCCTGTCATGTAATTCTGTCAGAGGGAATTACCTAAGCGGCGGCTTATCCGAAGAAAAACCACTGTTACGAGACGTACATCTTGCGGAGAACATTGTGGGGGGTCTGTGTGGTGTGATGGTAATCACTAGAGACAGGGTATGAAACTATGGCCAGCGATGAAGGCAACTACGATGAAGTGACATCTGGTTTGAGTGGCGAAAGATATGCGGTTGTCAATCGGGAGGAAGGATTAGCTAACCTGGAAGGCTTGTCGCCTAGTAGTGGAAGGCCAAATAGGAGTCAGGCTGGAGAGGGGGGAGAACCCATTCTTGAAGGTCACAGTGAAATGGAATTACAGCGGGATGCAGCTGCGAGGTCCCACGACGACGAGAATGGATGTGAGGACGCCAATATCGGTGAGGAGAACGAGTATGATTTTCATGACGAAGATGAGGACGAGCTCGTGCTGGAAAGGATCCGAAGCAGTTCCCCTGTCGCTGCGCACAGTGCCGAAAAGCCCTCTTTGATACCAAACGAGTCACGATTCAATCCAATTGAGTATCTCATTGGAAGCTTGAACAATGCCCTCGATTCGTTGGCGTTTGATAGGACTTTAGTAATACAATCCAAAATGGCCGGGGAGCTCAACAACTCTGCGAATGAGGTTCTCAAGATTGTCAACGAAATGGAGTCTTCCCTGAAAGAGCATATTGCTAAGTACGAGAAGTTGAAACAAGAGATCTTGCCGGAAATTGAGTCAAACTTGCGCAAAGGCAACAAAATGGCAAACAAATTAACAGCCCATGTGAAAGAAAGATACCCTGTAGAGTATTCAAAAGGCCGTTCCAAAGTCTTGGACAACCTTACTGAAGATGAAGAAGGGTTATTCTCCTAATAAAATATATAGTCGTAATACATAATGAAGAAGTACTTCCGATATGGTCATCTACTGTCACGTGACCATTATGTCAGAATCAAATTTCTCAAAGAAATGTTAGAAAGACTATATACATTTGCTATAAAACTAGAGAGGGAAACATTGCATCTAATTACCACTAGTTCAAAAACTCTGTGTTAGTTACCACAATTGATATATCAGGTATTAGCTGTAAGAAACACAAGCGTTTGTAGCAGATCACAACTAAAACTCACCTCTTGAGACAGATAAAGTTCAGATTTCTTCTCTTAGGCTAGCAACACAAAATATGTCGCAATTACGTAAACACACTGGCATTACATACAGTGTTGTTGAATTTCTGGGAAAAGCCAGTTTAATAGGACATTATAGTATCTGTTGACTTTGACTTGCCTTTTCCCAAATACAGCTGAGTGCTAGTGGTCAGGAACTCACATACATTTGGATAAGCAGCAATGATAAATTTAGATAAGGCCGGAGATAGGGCCCTTCTGATGGATTTCTATCAATTGAAAACGTTGAATCCGAAGGACTACCAGCATGATTCGATTCAATCGACTTTTAAGGTAGACTTGTCTACAGAAGATCTTTCGCAAATACCCAAAGAAGTAGTCAATCATATTCTGGGGGACAACATGAACGATCTCAATTCTTCCCATACAAAGGAGAGACCCGGAAGCATAAAAAGACATCCATCGACGAACGCCAAGTCCAATTATGCAGACGCTTTGGGATTTCACCAAAATATCTTGGATGAATTGATTGACAAAGATATAGTGGACGATACAAGAGATCCTCAGTTGAACAGATACATAATTGATTCTAAGTTATTCAATCCCAAACTTTTTTTGAGCGTCATTCACAGTGATAAATCCTTAAACGACTTGATGTTGGGGATTCATAACCTAGAAAACGATATAGAGGCTAAAAAGCCATTGTTGCAGCAATTAATTACGAACAATTTTGAGAAAACGTTGAGCAGTAAAAATTCTTTAGACAAGGTGTTCAATGAATTTTCAAGCAGTAACTTAGGACAAGAGATTGATAATTTGAATCAAAACTTGGCCTATTCAAACAACTCTGCAAACCAGTTGTTGAATCCCGTCCTTCTACTAATCTCTAAAGAGCAAGAACTTGCCAATGCTCTTACTTTTGTTAACCAAAATAAATTCTTCCTGGATTTGCCCAAAAAACTAAAGTCCTACATTGACGAGGATGATTTCGATTCTCTTCTGAAAGAATATGAAAGAGGTTTTGCCCTTTTCCAAAGTTTGAAGACATTGCAAAATCATAACCCGTTATTTGATAAAATCTGGTCAAATGTGGTGAAAGTGATTAACGATTATAAAATTTCAATGACGGATGACCTTAAAAAAATTCATATAGAGTCAATAAACAGCAACTTCAAGTTACAAGCTAATAACTCCAGGAAGTCAAACTTTATCAGCATTATCAAGAGGATGATTGAGTTGAATGCAACAAGAAGTCCAATCAAAGATTTCATCTCACTTCAGTATGATTACATCATGGAGGATTTGGATACAGGTTTGGCTAAAATAAACTACACACGGTTATTTAATGCAAGAAACTCAATCCTTAATGCATACCAGTCAAACCAAGACCCGGATTCGGAAATCCTTCTAGTGACAACAATGAAGCGACTATTTACCACTTTTGGGTCTTCGACATTTAACGATGAACAAATCGATAAAATATACGAGAAACTCGACTTTCCTCTAATAGTACAATTGTGGACTTTCACTTCAGATTATATTAATGATGCGACAGAGTTAGTAATAGGCAAAAAGATGCTCAAGTTTGAATCTATTGTGGAGTATTTTCTCACTGATTTTGACAGTTTGTTGAGCAAGAAGGCCAAATCGAACCCAAATAGTTTCAAAACAAATGATAAAGACCTAGCTCTCTTCAAAAACTATTTTAGTTCTATGGTATCCAAAATTTGTACAAGGTTACAATTTTTTTTCTCATGTACCACCTCTGACCTTACCAATGCTTTACAGCTCAGTATGGATCAGGGTGATACAGCGGCACTACCACCGTCAGGAAAGCCAGACTTGAATGATCCTTCAACATTTGGATTTCTACCACCAAACACAAATTCAATATCAGCTATTTGCTTTTCGGTTAATCTTCATGACATGCTATACAAGAAACTGTCCGAAGTTCAGAACAAGGCACTTCTATTGAATTCAGGGGAGCTAAACTCTATTGTTACTTCGACAATTCTTATTATCAACCAAAACTTGATACTAGGGTGTCTTTCTACGCTCAATGCTGATATTCGGAAAATCTTCTATGCAGACAATATGTCACCAAGTGATACCATTGATGGCGCAACTAAACTTATTACTTTCTTACAAAATTACTACAAGGTATTTATTTCAAAATTGCATCAAATTCATATTTTTGACAATAAAGATTTGATGGAAGTAATCAAGCAACAGTTTTTGAGCTCTTTTGATGTTCTCTTAAATGGAATGGTTGAAAACGTTGCAAGACAGTCAAGGATTGATCCTACGAGATCCGACTACTATTATCTAGCCACAATTTATGACATGAGAAATTTGACTCAAAAAATAATTCCTTCAATTTTAAGATCATTCGATATAAATTTTCAGTCTAATCTTTCCAAAGATAAAGATCTCAAAATTTACAAGAGCTTTGACAGTTATGAATATGCACTTTTTGCGGAGTATATGAAAGAGCCGTTGACTGCAATAAAACAATTAGTAGGCAACGGAATCACGGAAATCAATTTAAATTCAGAGGGTCTTTTAACGAGGTTAGCATCTGGCGAAGTGATTGAGGTATCACCTTATATATTGAAAGCTATCAATCATATCAATAACCTCAAGTCGAGGCTACTCAATTTTAAAATAAGAAATTCGTTTATTCTAGACGTCCAGTCAAGTTTGATTGGCCAATTTCAAAAGAAAATTGTCGATAATCTGTCAATTGATTTTACTGAAGATGGACTTTACCAAATTGTTTTAGATATTAATCTATTGCTAGTACTTTTGAAAAAGTATAACACTCGCTGCCCCGAGATAAATATTGCCGACACCAAACGGTTGGAACAGGTTTATCAAAAGCTTAAACTCAAAGCTGACATTTCGTCAGTCGAGAAAAATCGTGAAGCAAATATCAATTTCAACTACGCCCAGTTCGTATGCTTTATAACCTGTTGAAAGGAACTTTGCCCAAAATTTCCTGCAACATCTCTGTTGTTTCATGATATATACCCGTAAGTCGTTAATGCTGAATAATATACAATATTTGTTACAAAATTATCTCAACTTTTCAAAATAGTATCGGCTAGTTGATCGAGTTCACTTAACTCCTGGAGTCGTTGTCTGTTATCTTCATAATATGAACTCGGCCCAGAATTTTCATCAGCTAATTCATTGATGCTTTCATAGTTTCTCAACAACATAAGACTGTTATTTTGTCCTAGTATTCCTGAAAGCTCACGATTTCTGAACATGCCACTGGCTGTTGGGTTCAACCTACTCTGGCCATTAGTATAATCAGAATCATTATTTGTAACGCTAGACCTTTCCGCTAAACTACTAATATATGAATCTAATTCAGTAGGGCGAAGAGAGCTGAATAATCTCCTCCTTTTAACTTTTGAATCATCTATAACGCGATGAAGATGTTTCATCTTTCTTTTTACCAATGCTGAAGGAAGTTCATTCTTTTTGAATTCGCTAGCCACGCTGTGAGTCAGCAGAGAACCGGTGGCATTCTCAGTCGTGTTATTCAAAATACTGACACTGTGTCCCATTTTTGAAGAGTTTTCACTATTCCTTTCATATGTTTTTCTCCAGACGGTTTCTAACAGTTTACGGAAATCCAGCTGAGGCTTTTTTGTAATACCCAAACTGTTACTTCCGCTCAGAATAGACCTGTCAAGCCTGAACAATCCAACAATTATGCCGGAGGAGGATAAACTTCCGAGATTCAAAACTGCTTTTAGCTCAGAGTATTTCAAATTCACTTTGGACGCATCCGCATAGATTATAACGAAAGAGAAAGAAGGAGCACTGGAATAACGCTCCAGATAGTCCTTTAGCTTTGCAATAACTTTCGCGTCTTTTGAAAGACATTTAAGAAGTGTAGACCTTTTGCAATCATCGACGTTTTCAACAGTGCCTACTTGAATGATAATCGATGAAATATTTTTGAAATAAATTGAAGGCTCAAAGTTATCCGGAAGAATTTCCATATGGAGCTTGAATCCATTTTCACTTTCTACCTCTTTTGCCTTATTGTTTTGAGCACAACCAAACTGTCTTAATATCCACTGAGAAGTGTATGACAGAGAAGACCGTAGCACTATAGTTCCACTTAAGTCAAACGTAGGCTTTACGCGATTGAATATTTCACCAGGATCTGAAACAGATGTTGAAAATAAAGGGATTTCAAGTTTCTGTTCTTGAGGCGTATAAAGTAATTTAGGATGAACAACCGGCAAAACTAAAGAATTATTGAATAGTTTGATTTCATTGTTCCTAGCTTCACTTAGTTGTTTGTTCTTCAACACTTGTTTGGCTTTTTTTATTAGTTGTCTTACAGCATGAAGCTTGAGATTTTTTTTGAAAAAGAACGCAGCTTTTGCTTCTAATGCGGCAAGATATATTTGCTCTCTCATGAATGCGTTGAACATCTCTTGTGAAAGTTCATTGACTAGCTTATTTTTGGACGCAAGAACTCGTCTTGTTCTTGCTTCATCCACCTTTTGCTTTATCAAATCACAGATTATTTTATGAGTAAAGTCATTCACAAGAGCGTTTGCAGCCTTCATTGCCTCACGTTCAAACAAGGGGTTTTCTGTTAACTTTTTGCGGATAATAGCTTTCGTAGCTATAGGTCGAGGTTCGGGCTTTGTTGTGCTGCTAGAGCTCATAATCTCCTGAGAAGACGAAACATTGACTCCTTGAGTTGCATCAGTTTTATTAAGCGGGTTGAGATCTGATATCGATGACTTAGTCGCAAGATCATCAACAGGTGGAATTTGAGGTGGATTTGTAGATATTTGACTTCTAGGTTGAGCTAGCTCTGCAGCTTTTTCTTGCTGAAAAAAACTTGGATTAGTTGAGTTAGATTCAGCCGGTCTACTCATTTGCATTGGTTGAAAGGTGGGAAATTCATTTTGCTTGTTGAGGGTTGAATTCAGATTTGCACATTCGTTTCTCACTGCTCGCTTTTGTGATTCTGGCTCAATCACCATCAAAGTTCGAGACGATCGAAAGTTTTTGCTGCTGGAAAATATCTCGTTAACGAATGAACTATTTTGTTTACTTCCCTTGAAACTTTCCCTGGCAATCTGCTCCAATGTTTGAGGCTGTTTCAAATTCAAGTCTTGATTTAAAATACCACCATTAACGATACTAGACATGGAATTACCGCCAATCATATCATCAATTCGCTTTGTGTATGGTTGTTTCTGAGAAATTTTGAAAACTGATTTCAATGCAGTAACATCAACACGAGCTGAGTTTGTTTCATCATCATGGAAAACTGGTAGCATATAAAGCTCACATGTCTCCAAAAACTGGTTCGTATCATTATAACCTAACGCGTGTGAAATATCTGTAACATAAGGCATCTTTTTTGATTTCGAGTGAAATGACCTACTCATTGCCCTCAAAGCGTTGAATCTAATTTCATTGAAATGTATTTCAGCCAAGGATGACATGAGAAATGTTGTTTTCGATTTGTCCAAGATTATTTTGAAGAACTCGTAGTAGTAATTGAGACTGTTCATACCTTGAATAACTAGATTTCTTAACATTATAGTTTGTTGAACAATAGGAGCTGTTTGAATATAATGAGGTAGAGTCTGTAGATATCTGTCCAATTCTGTATCTTTTATCTTAGATATCAATTCGTAAGCTCTGAACTCAGGTTCATTTGGACAAAAACCGCCTCTTGATCGAACATCATCGTACATGTGAGTTAGCGTCTGTAAAGAATTGTTAAATTGTTCAACTTCTTGTTGTTGTTGATAGTCGGGATCATTGGCGCCTGACATGACGTGCAACGACAGTATATGTATCCGACAAATCTTTTCGTGGCAATCAATTGATTCAATACCAGAGTAGTTATTTTGGAAAGTAAAGTCCTGCCTGATGGATCTGGTCCGATCCCAGATAAAAGATTGTGATTCAGGCAGTTTTGGAAGTAAATTATCTATTATATGATTCAACGTTTTTTGTAACACATTTGGAGGTCTAACATCAGATGGTAATGGAGGTGCTTGTCCTGAGGGTCTCATGAACGTTTTTATTGCTAGTGATCTTGAAATTTTATTTGTAACAGGATCTTTTTCCCACTTGGAAACCTGATTTTTAAAAACTCGTTCTACACGCTCATAGGTTGGACACATATCCTGACAGCTTCCTCTGAAAACAATTGCATCATCCAAAGATTTCTTGGCATTTTCTTTATCAACCAAGTTGTATTTCTCCATGTTTTCCCTCTCAACTTTTCTGTATTCTTGGAACTCTTCAAAGAGAAGCTGGGGTTCTCCTGAAAACTCTGTTTCCCTTTTCAAAAGCTTTTTCTGATTCTCGTAATCCCAAGGGTTGAGCTGAAAGCTTTTCATGTCAAATAAGACATTTTCTTTAAGCATGTAACGGGGGGCTTTAAGTGCTTTATGAGGGAGCTTTTGGAAACCAAATGTTTCAGGATTTGGCATTAAAGTACCGTAGAATTTTACTTCAAAATTTGTGGAGTCAACTCTGGACTTTGGTTCTTTTATAAGTTTACCAGACTCTGATGCTATAGTTTTGGGCTTTTCGGGTATATTGCTATTGCCTTTCTTTAGATTGCTATTTTGTGGGTTAAACTTCTTTGGCAACCTATTAGGGCCATTATTTCTATTCACATAGTTGCTAGTACCATTACTGTTGCTGATATTGTTATCAGTTCTGTTGCCACCCGAGTTGACGTCTCTATAAGAGTTTAAATTTCCTCCCTTATTTGAAAATTTAGTGGAAGAATTTTTAAAATCGTTTCTATTTCTAGCCTTAGCTCGACTGACACCCATAGCCGCATTGGTTTGAACAGTATTTCCACTTCTTACGCTGGAATCATTCCCCTTATTTCCTGTATTGTTTTGAAATCGAATATTGTTTCTTCCGGTATTCTGATTTTGTCGTCCAGGTTGAAAATAGTTGACATTGGAAAAATTCCCACTCGCAGCAGGTTTCCCTTTGTTCATCACTATAGGCCTACAAGGAATAAAGAACAGAATCTGTCCTTTACTTGCTTGCCTTGCTTATGTAGATCTGTTTTTGACACTCGAACACCTCTTGTAATTGTCCACTGTTCAACGTGGTTCATTTCATGTTTCATTACGCATAGTGCCCAAAGGCCTCTCGCGACGGTGGTCTCCTAAAAGGTATTTTTATCATTATTACTATATATGGGGCTATAAAAGGTTCATTTGATGAGATCTGCTTTCCGCAACAAGTTGATGAAGTAGAACATGACGTCGAAGACGTAAAGCTTCAAATTTCTGCCATAGTACTCTTCAACAGAACCCAAAAGACCACAAAGCCACGATAAACTCCATTTAGAGTATAGCCTTGAGTTATTTGCTAGGTCATCTTTGTATACAGTACGAGCACAATAGTTTGCCATGATCAAAAACGTTCTCTCTTGACCTAGAGGGTTATGTAAACTTTCATCCAAGTGCCTCACCAAGTCATTGGTTTTGAGAATCAACAACACGATTCTCGGCACAGTAGCTAGTAAAGACATGAGATTCAACACCATTCCATCGGCCATCATTGCTTCTTTCATCTTATCTATCTCAGCCTGACTTCTTTTTCCTTCTAGATCTCCACTTAATGCATGATCAAAGTCCCGACCGGTTATTGCTGCTGCAAATATTGGGAACTGCTTGTCATCAATCTTGGCAAACTTTTTACCGTATATCTTCATTTCATCAGGCTGCTTATCAATCAATGCTAGCCAAAATCGAGCGTAGTCAACTTTCATCTGGTTGGGAATGGTTCGATAAAGGCCGTGATCGTATAATATTATTTCAAAGTTATGTCCATTCTTAGGTTTGTCTAGTGCTCTGATGGCGATGTTTCCATGATGCGGATCACAGTGGACAAACCCAGACTGGAAAATCATATTGTTGAATATATGAGCTAGACATCCACATACCTCGGATCTTGATATTTTATGGTCATCAATATATTTCAGGTCATCAAGTCTAGCCCCACCAATGTATTCCATAACTAGGATTCTTGGCAACGCCGTGTAAACGTCAGGGACCCTTAGAGCGGTCAATTTTAAGTAATCTTTAAAATAGTCTTTGGTTTTTTGGGCATTCGCAGCCTCATATCTGAAATTAAGTTCAACAAAGATTGACTCTTGCATTTCCTCACCAAGCCAAGTTAGCGGGTACTCAGGGAATACCTTGTACATCATGTCAAATACAAACTTGGTTAATGCAACATCCAATGGTACGAACTTCGATAAAGATGGATGCTGAAGTTTGACTGCAACCTCATTCCCGTTCTCTCTTAAGATTGCTTTATGAACTTGCGCTAAAGATGCAACACCTATGGGCTTATCATTGAAACTTTGGAAATAGTCGTCAAATTTTATACCGGTGTCTTTTTCGAACATTTCCTTTAGTTCTTCAATTGTAGATTCGGGACATTCACTTTGCAAGCAGACCATTGTTTCTGTCCACTCAAAGGGTAAAAGGTATGTCATTGCAGAGATGTGTTGACCTAACTTTATATAAATACCACCATTTTTCCGCAGGGCTTGCAAAGTGATATCAGCTGCCTTTCGATGCGTTTTGGAAAGTTCTTCCATGTATTGTTTATCTGATTCATACTTTTTATTTAAAACCCACAAATACAATCCAAAGCAGCGAGCCATAGCAACGGTGACAACCCCAACCCTTTCAATAATGACGACGGTATCAATCGTTCCCCGTCTGAAATCTTGACTGCTAATTATTCCTCCGACAAATAAAAGAGCTAATCCTCCTCCAACATAATGCCCAAACATTGGCGGGTTAGCATTTTGTTTTTCCTTATCATTTTTCCCATCGTTGTTGCTTTGGAGAGTGGTGTAGTATCTTTTAGTGTCTGCTATTTTTTGCACCGGTTTTAGGAATATTCGATGCTGCGATCCGAATTTCAGACCGATATCCCGGTTAAATTGAAATGATCTGGAGACAGTTGCACTTCTGAGACTCGAGAGCGCCTTGCTGAAACAGCCACCAAACATTTTGGCTATACTCAAAAAGAAAGTTTCCAATAAGAGTACTTGTTTGACGTCGTATTACACAAAACTTATTTCTTTTATACAAGTAATTAACATTGTTATCATATACAAAAGACACTGACTATTCCCCGAACCAGTGTCATTCCTCTTCGAGCATGATTTTTAATAATGCTGACGTAATTACAGAAAATCATTGCCGTATCTTTGGCCGCATGAACTCTTTCACTTCCCCTAATTGAACATATTGTAGATTGTTTGGTCTACAAACAGGTTAGTAGGATTTGAGCTGTTAGGAATGACACCATCCGGGCCAACCTCTTGACCTTCGAATGGATCATTAATTTCGTAATCTTCTTCGGGGAAAATGTCCTGCGACAACATCTGAGGAGCTAAAAAGTCAAAGCCCGGAGAAGCGGTTGGCGTCGGCCCGTTAAAAGTCTGCTGTTGTTTCTGGAAAAATATGTCTCTCCAGAAAGTGTCCTCCTCCATAGGCTTGTTCCAGGCTTCTATTGGAAACAATCCATCGATAGCGATGTCGTGACCTGAATTGTTACCATCAGTTGTATTGACTGTATCAGAGTTTGGGGAATCAGATGTTGGAATATTGCTTAAAGAAGTGCAGTTATCCAGAATACGATTCTTTATTGCAGTGAAAACCTTTGATTCGTTTTCTTCAGCCATATAATTCCTATATCTGGTCATTTCCAACAAGCTCATCAAATCTGCATCGCTCATGTATTCTGCGTAGTTGTATAGATGACTCAAAGGTTTGAACATCAACTGATTTTTTCTGATAAGACCAATAAGAAAAGTGTGGGCTTTCAAGAGCTTCCAAGCATGAAAATGTCGACGGGATAATATTTTTAAACTTGGCAAATACCAATTTTCAGAATCCACAATCAAGTCACACACTTTTCTGAGCAAATGGGTTCTTTTGCTGGAATTAGCCTTGTCTTCTATTTTGCTGACGGCTAATCGCAGACAAATGTAAGTAGACATGAAATCAATCCATCCTTTATGCACGGTGGAAATGATACATTGACTTATCACCATATCAAAACCTATTCCAAAATACTTACTGCTTTTGCTTGAAATATTTTTGAAGTTAGAAAAGACGTACAACCAGTGAACTTCACTCTTCTCCTTGACAAACTTAGTAACTGCATAGCTCTCAAGCTTTTGATAATTAACAAATAGCTGGTGGTAAACAGTAACAAGCAGGCCCACTGCCAAAACATAAATGGTAAAGTCCCAAACTTTTCTAACCTTTTCAATGAAAAGATCGGAGCTTTTGTTCAGCAAATCCTTCATTGTTCCAAAACTTTCTTTCATCATTGCCTCTAAATTAAAAACTTTCGTGAGCACTACTCTAACATTTGGGTTTTTTTTGAACTGGCATAGATAATCAGCTAACTCTAACATGGCCTGGTCAAACTTGAAATTGAGCCTGATCTTTTCAATCACAACTCTTTCCAAATCATAATTATCAATGTTGGACGACTCTTCATCGAAAACAGGGAGCTCTGTATCGTAAAAATCACACATTGCACTTTTTCCCGAGCCAAACTGAATGTATTGCTTAACATCTGATGATAATAATCCATACCAAATTTTTCTCCAAAGGTTGCCTACCTTGCCTTTACCTATAAAGGTATCAAATTTGCTCGGATCTCTATTCATACCAATAGAAATAGCCATTTGTATTAGCATTGCAATGAAAATCTGGCTATCTGGATCATTCCCATCCGCCAAACCATTCAGCTTCTCGTATTCATTCATAAGCAATGCTAGCTGGAATATTGGTAAAGCGCATCTTCTGAGAAGCCTAAATTGGTTCAAACATGATTGAGCAACATTTATCATTTTTTCATTCAATGGGTGGTCTAGCAAGTATTGCTCATCCTTTGTTCGAGTAATGCTGCCATCTCCCAGATCTTCGTTAACAATCAAAGATGCTTCTGAAAATTTCAGAACAAGAAGTAAAATGCCTAAGTTAGCAAAATCTAGCTTTTTGGTGACGTGTATTGTTCCAATTTTTTCCTCTGAATATCTATCTTGGAAATGATTTCCATCTATGAGTTTTTCAACGTCAGTGATAAATGAAAGCTGATCTAAATAAGGCAAAATTGGATAAACGTAGGTAAAGAACCGTTTGATGGAAAGCCAAATAACCTTTTTTTCTGGTAAAACATCTAAGATTTGCTGTAATGCAAAATTTGAATTGAAATAAACACACTTTGGGTTGATATGAGTATTAATATCGGTACCATCATAGGGTTTATTAAGCATTCCTTCCTTTACCAGTTTTGCATCAGAATCATTATCAGTCGCCGTAGTTGATTGAACTTCGATGTGAATCGGCTTGATATCATCTATTCCGGAGTATCTCAAAAATCGATTTTGATGGTCGGTTTCACCCTCAGAAGTAGCCTTAAACAACGATTTTTTCTTATGCTGTACTATTTCATCTCTTAATGGGCATATGAAAGGATCCTTTAAAATACTTGATATCCAAGCTAAAGGTCCAAAATTGTTTATTCGTGAAAACTTGTATAACATCGGAACAAACCCTTCATACAAATTATAAGACTCGTCTACCCCTATCCCAAGACTCTCAAACAAGGCTATATAGGAAGAGTCCAATGATCGACTTCTGTTAGGCGTGGCAATTGTGGGTTTATCAGAGGATGAATGGCCTTGTATGATTGATTCATTGCTGCTATTGATACAATTCATGTTGCTTGATTTCAACCATGAAGGCTGCCCTTTATCCAAAACGTTACCTGGTGAGTTTGAGGCGACTGTTTCAGGAGAAACACCCATTTGATCTCGTGGCTTCCAATTCATTGTAGACTTTTCAAGAGTGGATGTGTCAACCTTTTTCAGGCAGTCATGGTTGTTCACGTTCACATCACTTTTTTTGATTTTGTTAAGTAAAACTTGTAGATCAGCCTTGCGCTGCATTTGAGCTTGTGGATTCTGCTGGATGAGTGGTTGCAACGAGATACCAGCAACGCCCGTCACATTAGCTGGCAGAGATTCTAGAGGCGGAAGTAATGGCTTGTTAAAAGGAGAAATTCCAGAAGATATGCTTGACGGAATGTCAGATGAACTGCCATAAAATGTCGGGTTAGCCAATCGATCATTGAACTGTGGCGAGTTAGAGACATTGTCGTTAGTGAAAAATCCGTTGTTTAGGCCCATTCTCCCAGAAGTACTAGCATCAACGGTTTTATCACTAGAGCCGCTGATTGTTTCATCAGTGTACACCGACCGTGCATCCAAAGAGATTTTTGGTGCTATGGAAGTAGAATTATGAGTGAAAGTGATATCTGTCTCAGACAGGCTCTTTTCCGCTTGATTTGGATCCATGACTCCCATATGATTTACAAAAGTAACTTTTTTGCCATCTGTATTTGTCCATGTAGGCTCAACATAAGAACATAAGTTGACGCTGTTGTACTTTTCGCAAGTTTTGCAATGTGGTCTACCTCGATCACACTAAAGAAAGCAAAATAAAGTTATGTTAGTATTTGGGTCCAATTTAACATGAAGCAAGAAAATGCGGTATACGTACTTTCACCTTCCTTTTCCTGCAAACAATGCAAGACAATGGCATCCTCATTCTTCTAGACTTGGGCTTGCTTATTTTATCACTGTTGTTACTGTCATGGTTCAGTTCTAAATCCTTGTCCGTTGCGTTTGTAACCTCCGCCGTCAATTCCACTTGTGGGCTCATGATTGCCATTCCTTCACTCATGAGATGTTTGTAGAAATAAGCTGTTGCAAAAAAAGGTTACACAAAGAAAGCAACTGTACAGTTCAACACTATGGTCAAATCTGTTTGATTCCCAGCGGATCTACCTGCCGGGTATCTCTTCTCTACTACCCGAATGGGAGAATACATCAAATGAAGGCTTGACTTGATAAAGCCGCGCGCCTTGTACCGGTCGGATATAAACGCTTTTAAGGCTTCGGGGATTACGCTAGGGTTAGAGACGCAAAAATCTACATGTTAATATTATTCACAGAGAATATTACATCACTTTAAACCTTTTGTAAATGCGACACGTTCAGAAGAAGTTCCAGTGTCCAAATCCACCAGATTGATCATCTGCTGAGTTAGACCTCGAACCATGGGCATCGTGGCCATTGCTACGCCTAAACCCATTTGAACCATTTTTTAGAGGGTTGTTAGCACCAGGGTTTAGACCCGTCATTTCTTCCTGGATGTTTAATTCGAAACCGTATGGCATACTATCTACAGGTGCGTTGAGGTCGACATTGGTGAAGTCGATTTCATTTAATGAGTTGTAGATTTCTCCCTTTCCTCCGGAAAATGAGTTGATGTTCATCATATCATTATTTGGGTGGTTAACCAGCATGCCCTCAACCAAAGGCATTGTAGAATTTTCCATTTCTCCCATTCCATTGACATTGGGTACAGCAACACTAGGGCTGAGAATAGCGTCGTGACTGAGGCCTCTACGTAAACCAAAAACTCCCGTCGGAGCAACATTTTCCATTGCAAATCCTCCAATGTCGTTGAGGAATTGGTCATCAAAGAGTTCATTCAGATCTTCACCCAACCCATTATTCCATCTTGTCATTCCTTGTTTGGCACCACTGCCAACCATATTTGGATTGAAGTTATTACCTATTCCATTCAGTTCATGAGGATTCATGACAGGATTGATCACGCCGTTTGTAGAGTTGAAATTCATGTCGTTGGCCATGTTCCCAAGGAGATTACCTGCAAGATTATCAACAGTATGGTTATTCTGTACGCTGAAATTGGAATTGTCAGGAACGTTACCTTCGAGATGAATATTATCAGGAGTGCTGATTTGTGTCATAGCTATATTGGCCATATTATTATTATGGATGTTGTTGCTGCCATTAATGTTACTATTGATATTACTATTATTGGTATTATTGTGAATCATAATGTTCGTACTTTCATTTGAGTTAGAAAGTATGGCATTCATTGCCATGTTATTTCCCGGACTGACATTTATACCCAGACCAGGAGATTCGTTATTTAGCAAAAGATCTGAATTACTTATGACTGAATTGAAATTTATTTCTCTTCTATCATCGTGTGTAAAATCAGTGACAGGTGGCAACTTGGAAGTACCAAAAGCAATCTCAAAAGCGGATTTTTCACCGCTGTTGCCACTGGCTTTGTTCATATTGACCTCATTATTACTATTGAGGTCTGACAGCGTGCTTGTATTTTTCTTAGATGTATTTTGCGAGATATTCATTCTCTTGAAGTTCAGCTTGAAGAACTTTTGAGAGTTGAGTAATATATTGTAGAAGAACTTGACAAGTCTTTTTAGGACCCATGCGTAATAATAGTTCTTAGTTAAAACGTCCAATCTTTCAATGAAAGTCTCTAGATAAGTAAAAAGTCTTTTTTGAAGCTCTTTTGGTTCAATTCTGTTCTTCTTCAAAATTTCCATAATGACAGGGGAGTTTTGCTGAACTCTAAGGACTAAGGAAATCAAGAATTCGTGAGATCTATGGTTCAAAATCATTAAAAATGGATAAATCAACAATTCTGTGCTGCAGTTGGGGAACACTTTGTTGCTATCATCCATAAACTGCACAAACAGTTTGAAATTTTCTATAGCAGACAATAGTGATGCTTCAAAAAACTTTTCAATGTAAGTTCTTTGCTTATCTATTTTCTCAATTAAGGCATGTTTTTGGCCTAGTAATTTGCTCAATTTTTGTTCGTGATTTAAGAACATCAAATAGTTCAAGGTGAAGATCATGTTCTTAACAATCAAATGAACTTTTAGTCTCAGGACTTTGATCTGTTTGGTGTATTTTTTGACCCAGACAGAAGAATTTCTAGCTCTGAAGGGATTAACAATCTCTTGGTCACCCATGATCAAATCAATTCCAAACCCATATTTTGACTTTTCACAAATAATTTCGGATAGAGCCGTCACAACATTTTCAACTTCAAGAGTAGTTGGTGGTTTATCCACTGCAAAAAGCAGCTTCATACCTCTGAAGATCCATCTATAAGAAACAATTGACTCTCTGAAATTTTGAACAATACATAACTCTCTCTGCAAAACCTTACCATTTTCAAAAGATTTTTCTAAAACACCTTGTTCAATACCTCCGGGTAATCTGCAATCCCACGAGTGATTGATAGCGCTACCCAGTGTGGGGTCTAAATCTATTTCAATTGGGAGACCTTTTTTGTAGTCACCTAAACTCAAGTTTGCCTCAATCGTAGTGAACATTAAACCATACCATAATTTTCTCCATAGATGCCTTTTTTTGAACAATCGAGAAATGGTTATTTCATCGTCAGTCGCAGTCGGGTAGAAATTTCTAAAGTTTAAAGGATCACGATTTAGTCCAATGGTACGAGCAAGTTGTACCAACATAGATATAAAGTTAGGTGAATTTAGGTTTGGAGATTCATTTGTCAAATCTCCGGATAAATCATTTGAGTTAGACGATGATGAAGGTGTACTCGGAGTGCCCGCATCTGCTTGTTGTGCGACTAAGTTTGTACTTGAATTTGGGTCGAAAGATTGGCCCTGATTTGAAGTTGTGCTGTATTGGGTGTTTCTAGTATATGAATCATCTGTATCAAAACCATCTTCCGGAGAAACTGTGGAATAAATCTTTAAGTACAACCCAACTTGAAAAATAATCATGGAGGGCTTTGACAAAATTTTAGTATTTGAGAAAATCTCCTTTACCATATCAACCAAAACAAATGAAACAAAGTTTTCAGGTTTCATTAGAAGTAATTCACTCTGACTCAATCCAGTAACAGATTTCTCCGGTAGCGATAACCAACTCAACCTGATGATTATTAGCATTAAACATAAGGTCAAAAACTCTTCACAATATTGTGTGCCAATTGAAGATAGTCTTATTTTCTGACAACCAGCATCAGTTGTTTTTAAGATTGTAGCAACTCGTAATTTAAAGCTTGTTTCATCCACATAAGGCATGTATATGTATAACCTATCAAAAAACCTATCCAATAACAAGCCAACCACCTTTTTGCTAGGTAAATATTGTTCAATGACAGATATAATTTGCTTGGTATTATTATAGTTTAAAGACTTGATTGCAGAAGGTGATATCGTTTTCAGTTTTTTGCTTTTATTGGGCTGAGGAGTATCCGGAAAAGGAGCCTGTCTCTTCATGCTATTTTGCCTTGAGCTTGTTTGTGGTTCCGGTTTCATTGCTATCGGAACAAAGTTGCTCAACTTCTCAGTATCCTCTGGCTTTATTTCTGACATTGGGGTGCTTGGACCCGAGGGTATTACTGGGGTTCCTCTACTTTTAGCCGGAGAAGCTGACCCGGCCTTCTTTTTGTGCACATTGTATGACTCACGGATAGCACTTATGTTCATTTTGGACAGTTTCTCTTTGAACAATGCCTTGGCGTCACTTACCATTAAGGGACAAACTTTAGGGTCTTCAAGAGGTTCGTCACTATCGCTATAGGCATCATTATAGGTAGCGGAAGGAGCTCCAGCACTGCTGTTGATACTTGTACTGGATGCAATGCTGGAAGTCAGCTTCTTCGGGTAACCAGGAGTTAGAGATATAGGAGAAGATAAAGAAGCCTCATTTGGATGTAATACAGGACATTTGTTAAACTTCAGAGTTGGATGATTTTTCCTTTTCAGAGACTGTTGTTTCCTGGGATGAGCAGAAGCTCTCTTTTCTGATTGTAATTTAGAATCCGGGAGGTTTGTGTCAATTTCGGTATTGGGTTTTGCTTTTTCCTCATGATTCATGACGGCATTAGAATTACCTATCGGACATACGCCCAATACACCGGTAACCGGACAGACATTGGGCAGATGAGGATAGTTTTCAGTTGCCTCTGAATTTGCGGAAAAGGAAGTCTCATCCACCTTGTTGGTGTTGATTACTTTACCTGATTTAACACCATTGTTTTCTAAATTCAAACTTTTCTCCAAAAACTTCTTTAGTTTACTTGTGTGCTCACTTGTCTTCTCTTTTGAGATTTCTGAGGTTTTGAGGCTACTCGGATCGTTGCTTTTGAATTTGCTCAATTTATGATCATAGTTTCTGTAATGAGAAATCATATTTTTCTCTGAGGCGCCCTTGCTGTTGTAGTAGTATTCGTAATGTTGTCTCAATTTGAGAATTTTCATCCACAAATCGTTCAAATAAAGGTCGTTTTTCACCATAAACATCCACGAGAAAACACTTATCTGATAGGTTATGGGCAAATTGTACTGACTGCCTTTTTGTGCGATGAAAAGTATATTAGAGTTGAAGATGCAATCCAACAAGTCTTCCGAATCCTGGTTTTTCAGAGGCCTTAGGACTGGGTTAGCTGTCGGTATACCGGCTGTGTTCAAAACGATTTTCTTTTTCAGATCGGTGTTTTCGGTTTCTAGGAACTTCATCTTGTTTTTCAGAGCTTCCAGCTCCTTCTTTAATTCCACAGACTCGTTCAGAGTAGACAAGAGAGCTTGCTGATCTTCGATCTTCACCATCAGCACGTTGTTCGCTGTATTCTGTACGGCGTTGTTGTGCATGTCTCTTTTCACAAGACCTGCGTTGCCGTCCGAGGACGTCACTCCTGCTGCTGCTGCTGCTGCTGCTATTGCAGGGTTTGCAAAGCCGTTTGCATTGTCCACATTCATCGAGAGCGTTTCCGACTCCAACGGCTTTGCCCATTTGGGTTCCAGGTAGTGGCACAAATGCTGGACGTTGTTCTTGATACAGTTAGAGCATTGCGGCTTCTGCTTGTCACACTTGACCTTTCTCCGTCTGCAGATGACGCAAGAAATGGGGACTCTGTTTCTCCTTCTGGCTTTCTTCTGCGATTGTTCAGGCTGTGGAGGTGGAGGATCGTGGGGTTGCTTATGCGGCTGCCGGTCTTGTACCAGCTGCGACGATTGTGTCATGGCGTTCGGGTGTGTATAGTGTAGTAAAGCGGGTAGTGGTGTCAACGTCGAGCGGCTTACTTGCAGCTATGGTCGGGGGTCCCGGGTGTCTTGCTCAAGGCCGGAATGTTGGGGCGGGACGACTGTGAGACAATTTTTTTTCTTCCGGTAGAGGTGTTGGTAGTCCAGCGTAACTATCCGGGTTGTCGGTGCTGCAGAAGAGAAGGCGGCGAAGACGGTTGGTCCGAGAGAGTCTGTCCGATGTATTGGCACACAGAAAGCGTCGAAGAATAGCGGGTCCGACGATGCACAAACACAGAGTGCTCAGGGGGGTAAAATAAGCGACTCTTCCGTTATCTGGTGGAGTTAGGGGTGGAGAAAAAAAAGACGGGGATCGAGACGTCCAGGTTCAGGTGGGGCAGAGCGGAACGGAAACAATAACAGTGCCGATATATCTATCTGCGTGCGGTGTTCGAGGATCGGTGTAGCTGACGGTCCGTACGGATCAGAGGGACAATCACGGATGTTAAGGTTACCAGAAAAATATAAATTTTACACCAGACACAAAGTACACAACCATCTTTCCTCTCCGACGGTGAAAAAATGCCGGCCTTCGATCGACCAAATGCTTCCTCCCAAGCCGTGCTGCATTAGGTAACGCCCGACGTTGGCGGCCGGAGGGGCGGCAGATCCACCACTTGTCACGCATATGCCACGCCGGCTGCTTCGACCGTTGTCTCTCTGCTGCTCCGACCCTCCGCCGTCCTTGTCCACCTACTGCTGTCGTCCTGTTCCTCCGGCCCCTGGAGGAGTCGTCCAGCATGGCTTCGGAAACGCGCCGCCCGCACTTATCGGCTATAAGCACCACCGCGCACCGCCATGCTCATTCCGCGTCGCCGGCGTCGCCGACGTCGCCTTCCGCCTCGGCGAGCCGATCGACGTAGCTGGCTGCGCTCAGCGCCGCAATAAGCAGGTCGATCGTCTCGACAAAGCCTTTGCCCTTTGCGTCGACCGTTGTGCGGAGCCGCTGGAAACAGGTCGCAAGGTCCACGCCGTTCCACGCGAGGGGTGACGGTGTCTCCTGCAGAGCAGGCTCAGGAGGCTCGTTATCTTGTTGCTGTTGTTGTTGTTGCTCCTTCTGCTGCTCCTGCTTCGGCTCCGTTGTCGGGCTGCCGCCGGTAGAAACATTGCCGGACTCGGCGCAGTTCGCAGCAAAGCTGTATGCTTCTGGCACGCTCAATGCAAGCGCGTTCCAGTCGAGGTTGGCCTCGATGTTCGGGTCGTTCTCGCTGAGCCGCTTGATGCTGTAGAGCATCCAGAGCTTGGTGTCATGACCCATTTCGCGGAGCTTCTTGACGCTCTCGTTCTTCATGATTTTCTTCCACTTGTAGCGGCACTGGATCCGGGACCGGGTGCCGCCCATCAGCTCGCTGATGGTCGTCCAGTTGATGGTCGGCGAGACCTGGGCCTCGCGAGCCTGCTTGAGCCGGCTCTCCTGCGCAGAGCCGCCCCCGGCTGGCCCGCTGCCATCGGCACGCTTCTCGTCGACAGCGCCAGCGCCAGCGCCAGCGCCAGCGCCAGCGGCAGCAGCGTTGCGCAGCCCCTCCTCTCGCAGCCGCCGCCGCTCCTCCTCCAGCACCCTTGCCACAATGCTCTTCAACTTGAACTCCTCCTGGATCGTCCACTGGTTCACGTTTCTCTTCGACCCGCACTTCACGTAGTTCCGCCACCGGTCCCGACAGTCCTCCGGCATCCGCTTCAACTCCTCGCCAATCAGCCGCCATTTGCCCTCACAGGTTTTTGCCAGCTGGGCAAGCCTGAGGTCCTCGTCCGCCGTCCACACCCCCCGCTTCTCGAAGATATGGTACGTCCGGCGCACGTGCTTGTACAACGAAGACCTTGTGCGGTTCGGAAGGACGCTGTGCAAAATCTCCCAGAACTTGTCCTTCTTACGCTCGTTCCCCCAAATCCGTTGGAGAAACTTCTCGTGCGTCATGTCGTGAATCTTCTCGTACTCCTTGATGAACACCTCGATCGCATCTGCCTCCTCCTTGGTGAACGATCGGCCCTTGGGCTGCTCGGAAATCAGCTTTTGCGCCTTCGATATGGCTTCGGCAATCTTCTCTTTCTCCAAGACGCTCTCTTCGCTCTCTTCTACCTTCACCTCTTTTGACTTCTTCTTAGTACTTTTCTTGGAGCTTGAGGCCTTGCTGCCTAGCTTAGACAGTACCCTGTTGTTCTTGATGCCGTGCCGCGTCACGAGCGGAGCGTTCGGGTCTGTTGCCCCAACGACGTCTTCGCCGTCGCCAACGCTCTTGTTATGTTCCTTTTGAAAGATCTCAAACAGTTGCTTGTCCCCGTCAGATACGCTGGACGGAAGACCCACACTCTGTATCCTTTTCCTCACAGAATTTTCAGCAGCTACAACTGCCGCCGCAATGACATCAGCATCAGGCTCGTTGTTGTTGTCATTAACCAGATCGTTGACGTCTCCATCAACCTGGCTGTTATCTGACTTATCCTCATCTCCTCTTGCATTTGCACCTGCATGAACAGCGGCAACTGCCTGATTGACAGCACGGTTGACAGCCTCAACTGCAAGATTCTCATCATCTACTTCTTCCTGACCCCTCGAGTCTTCTCCTTCGAACCCACTCTTACCCTCGTTTCTGTTTCGCAGATAATCCAACGAGTTGAGAGAAACCAACGCTCGTGCATCCAACATGGCATCGTGCACAAATGCGTTCGTGTCTATGTTGGCTAACTCGGGATCAACGTTGTCTTCTTCCTTTTCCACCAAATGGTCATCCAACTGATGATGGCTGTTCTTAGTCTCATTCACTATTTTATGAATCTCATGGTCTTTATTACTTGGGACATTATGTTGTGAATTAGCAACTCCGATCTTGCTATTCATTTCAACTTCATCATCCCCTTCTTCGGTATGCTTAATGTAAAAAGATGCAGCGGTTTTTTCAATGTTGTCTTTCTGGCCTTCACTACTGTGCCTGAGCTTTGCAGTTTGTTCCTTTTCTGACTTGAATGTTTTTCTCTGATTTTTCCTGTCAACTTTCCTTCTTTTTCCAGAGCCAACATTGGATTGGTCCTCAACCACATCTGTGAAATGGGCGGCAGTGGTTTGCGGAAATCCATACTCCACGTCATCTATAGAAACTTCGACATTCGGGTCCTCTAGATCATCAGCCAGAAACCCTGAGGTCCATTGCTGGAACTCTAAGCGTGACATCTCCTCATCTTCGATCGTAGAAAATTGGCGCTTCTTTCTATTCCTTTGAACAGTTTTTATGACCTCGATTGTGGGGAAATCTTGCTGTTCGTTTATGATGTTTTGACCATGAATTTGGATATTGCCTATACCATCTATATTATCGATATTATCGATTGCGTTCATATGATCAATAGAAATGTGATCGATATTGCTGATATTGCTGATACTTTCGATACTAAACTTCCCGATATCTTCCACGTTGTCATCATCTTCGTCATCATTAGCACCTTTGGGGTTTTCAGAGTGGGCATGCCCTCCTTGTGTTTCACTCTCAACGAAATTCCCAACAGTCAAGATTTCGTCTGAAACATTTATCGTACTACCCTCATTGTATTCTTCATTGTTATCTTTGTTAACGGTACCAGTATCCCTGATTACAGAGTCTACTGGGATAACACCATTTTCATTGGCATTGTTAGTGTCAGCTGTGTCACGGGCTCCTTTGGAAACTGGCCTCTCTGTTGCAGCATGATCCGAAGGAGACATTGAGTAAGTTGAGAATGAATGAATAGCGGGGCTCTCTAGTCTGTAGATCAAACTTCTTACCGATAGTAAAACCGGGTAAAACATCAGAAAAATACAAACATGATTCTTCCAGCAGCAGCAGCAGCACCGCTACTATCGAATTTTTTTCAGCTCTTTCGCATAATGAGTGAGTTTTCATACGCACAAAGTAACTCTGACATGAAAAGCACGGGGAAGCTTCTGAGTAGACGCCAAAAGGCTTGCATAGCTCAACATGGGCAGTTCGTTAGGCTAGTTTCAAGTACGGACGAAGATTATAAGTGCTGGGTAAGGCTAACGTGGATTTATGCAACCTATTAGACAGCTAAAGTTATATTTTTAATTCATGTTTTATAATATAGTTATAAAAGACTAAATTTAGAATTTGCTGAAACCCTTAGATTTACCGGCAGCAGCGGCAACCTTAACAACGTTGAATCTAACGGTCTTGGAAAGTGGTCTACATTGACCGACAGTAACGTGGTCACCTTCTTGGACTCTGAAAGCTGGGGAGACGTGAGCAGCCAAGTTCTTGTGTCTCTTTTCGTATCTGTTGTACTTTGGAATGTAGTGCAAGTATTCTCTTCTGATGATGATGGTTCTGTGCATCTTGGTGGAGACAACAAGACCAGATAAGATCTTACCTCTGATAGAGACGGTACCGACGAATGGACACTTCTTGTCAATGTAGGTACCTTCAATAGCAGACTTTGGGGTCTTGAAACCCAAACCAGCGTCTTTGTACCATCTCTTGGTTCTTCTGGTAGCCTTGGCCTTTGGGTTGGTGAAGATGTGTGGTTGCTAAATTGAAATAAAAATGGGGAGGAGGATAATGAAAAGTAAGTTAGTATTTGCTATTGTAAAAGGGAATTTGAAACGACTGATTGCAGATGGTGTTGGGTGGAGCTAGAAAAAAGAAGCTACTGTAGAAGATGTACTCGATAATGTGTTGGTCGCTTGAAATGTTTTGAATGTTTCTCTATTTATCTGAAGGTTAGGTTATTGAAAGAACAAATGCATGTATCTACCTGCCGTGAAGTAGTATGTGAAAGCATGATTTTGATCAAAAAACCACCGTGTTCAAGTTCGTGCGTGACCTTCTCATATACAATACAATCTAGTGTTTTCACTTCATCTAATCGCTCGTTGCTCGTTGTGATCCTTCTGTCTCCATTCAAAAGTAGCACGGGAGAGACGTCTCTGTATTTCTAGTCTCTATACACTGCAGCACTTTGTCAAAGACGTCCCTTGTGTTTTAGTCTTTCATTTTTGTTCACCTATTCATCTTCGTCATCGTCGTCGTCTATGTTTTCGAAGGAAACTATGCATACCTTTTGGAAAGCCTTTTCAGATTGAACGGTCAATTCAGTGGTCATGTTTGCTCTGAGATCTGATCTTGGTAGTATCTATTTCAAAAGTCACTTAAGTTTTCTAAGTCTTTAACGTGTGTATTCTATGTAATCAACTGTCATAGGCCTCATATCAAGACGAAAATTTTCGACTTCCTGCCTGCCCGCACTCACTGTAGCCCTCGCACGCTTACCGAAGCTGTCCTGCCCTCACTGTAGCAGATCCGCAACAGCAGCCGTTGGACACTCCTCGGGTCCCGCGACGCGCAAGACTGTGAAAAACTGTAACGTTTTGTGGATTCATATGGAGGTGCGCGGGTGTATGCAAATAGGAAAAGAGGGCTACTAAGCCCTCTATGATAGCACGTGATACGAAAGAAATGCTTATCTATTTGCATATTTGTTGGCATATACATTGGCCTATACAGAATGATCAATCTATTTAGAGGAGCCATTCTATCTCGGACGCCTTTTCTTCACCAACTAAAGCAATGAGATTGTTCATGTCGGGGAATTTCATGTCCTGGAAGTCGAATCCAGGTACAACGACCTCACTTACCCAGAGGTGGTCCTTGCTAGTCACTTCAGCACCTTCCTTTTCCGGAACGACGTAGCAGCCTTTGTAGACTCCAGGCTCCACCACCCATTGGGTTCTCTCTCCGTTGGCGACGTCGAACCCTACACGGAAAGTCTCGATCTGCCCTGTCGGGTGCACAAGAACGTATGTCCCTCGGCCTCCTTGAAGAACGTGTATTGACCTGCCTGTGACGTTTGTGTGGAACTTGCCGAGGGGTGATTCGCAGGTCATAAGAAAGTGGATTAACGAGGACGGGTTCCTGGACACCGTTGTTGGCGGAGAGCCTGAGTCGCCTGTTGATTGCACCTCAGCAGTCTCGGAGGGCCGGTCTGTCTCCTTGAAGTATCCACCATTGGGATGTTTAATCAGGCCGAGATCACGTGCGAGCTTACTCACGGATGCATCTTCGACGGTTATTCCTTTTTTCGGGTATAAAGGTTCTTCGACGGCAAACGTCATGATCGTAGTCAGCAAGAAAAAAATCAAGGTTAGTGAACGATCAAAGCGGTGACACTCATGAAAAGTAAAGGTATAAGCAGCTTGTTTTTTGGATAGATAGCAAGCTCGGCTGAAACGGCCTCAGAGATTTTTATTTTTCCCCGGCCCGTTTTGAACGGAGATGAAGGATTCAAAATAGTTAAAGTTACAAATTTGGTTTAGAAAATAGGACTTGGGTATCAATGATATATCGTGGATGTATGAGTATATAGAAGAAATAAAAGAGGACAGATAAAAGCCGAAGTGGGAGATTAATCCAAAATTGATAACAAAGTAAAAAGAAAGTAAGCTAAAGGTTAAGATCTTTTTGTTGGGCAAGGTCCACGATGGATGGACTCTCGTCATTTCTCGGTGCCCAATTTCTTGATTTTGGCACTGCCGGTGGACCATTGGTGAAACAAGTCGATCAACTCGTTGTTGTCATGTAGGGCGAGGATGTCGTCTGCACCACCTCTACTCTTGCCGTCGACAATGAAGTTAGGGACGGTGAATCTGCCGGTTGTTTCGCCCACATGCTGCTGCAATTCCTTACCGTTCTCGTGGTCGTCCAACTCGATGATGAGTGGCTCGGGGGTAATATGGTACTCTGTTTTGAGAAGGTGCTTTAGCTTCTTGGAGAAAGGGCAGTAGGACTTCGAGAAGATGACGACGGGAGACGTGGACAAGATGTGCTCGAGCTCTTGCCTAGGGTTGAAGGAGGAGCCCACGTTCTTGGTGGGACCCTTTTCCTGCAGCTTTTCCTGTGCTTCGAGGATCTTCTTGCTAAAGTCCTTGATGTCGCTGGATTCTTTGCTGGTCTTCTTCGGGGAAGGGTCGGCGTCCGAGTCCAGTGGGTAGGGTTTGTTTTTGAGCGGGTTGGCGGCGGCGGCGTCGTCGTCCGCGAGCTTCTTGAGGGTTTCCTTTTGTTCGAGGGAGCCCAACTCCTTGTCGGCCTTGATGCCGTTGGTGGAGGTGGAGGTGGGGGCGGGCACCTGGTCGTCGTCGGCGGCGGCGAGAGCAGCGTCCTTCTGCCTGTGGGAGGCGTCGTGGGCCTTTTCGTGGGCCTTCTTGGAGGCCGGGTCGCCGGCCACCAAGGGGATTTTGTCCGAGGAGTCGGCCTCCTTGACCTTGGCCTCGTCGATGCCGCCCTGCTTGCCCTTGACGTAGTCGTTGGCGTTGGTCAGCTTCTTGGTGTCGAGCTTGGCGCCGTCGTCGGCGGCGACCGCGCCGTTGGCGTTGGCGTGGCCCTTGCCGCTGCCGCTGCCGTTGCTGTTGCTGATTTTCGGCGTGCCCTTGGAGGGCTTGCGGGTCGACTCGCCCGGGATCTGGACGGCGATGTCGTCGTCCAAGAGCGGGTTTTTGCTCTCGTAGTCGGGGATGGCCACCTTGGACGCCGACGAGCTCAGGCTCCTGGACGACGTGAGCAGCACGACGAACACGAGGAACACGGCCCCCGTGGCGACCGTGAGCAGCTTGCGTTTTCTGGAGGTGATAGGAATGCCCATGGCTGGAGGGGTGCAGTGAATTGCGCAGTCAGTCACCGATGTCTGTGCAGAGCAACACCAGGAGGAACGTCACGATGCAAAAGAGGGCAGCAACAGTGCACTAAAGCGACTGTTTATGTCACCCTGGCAGATCGTCAGATAGGTAGCTGTGTGGAGAGATAGTATGCTATAGAGATATATGAGTGCGCGAAGCAGGCTGCGGAAGCCCGCCGCGGGTGTCCCCTGCGAGGTAGCGAAGGAACAGCGCCCAGCCCGCAGCGGCGCGGCCCATTGTCCCTAGCGGCGTCGCTGACAGGGCCGGCAGCGGCGCGGTGGCGTGTTCTGGAGAGGCGTGGGGGCAAAAGGGGCAAGGCGGCGAGGGCGCGCGCAGGAAAAAAAGGAGCCTGGGGCGATCGACCGGCGGCTCGGCGGCTCGGCGGGCGCGCGGGCTCAGTCGCTGATGATCTCGGCGTAGAGCATGCGCTTGAGGTCGATGAGGCCGAGCTGGTCCTTGAGCTCGTCGAAGAAGAAGAAATCGGGCGGGATCGGGCTGCCGGCGGTCTCGGTGGCCGGGGTGCGGAACTCGGCCACGTACGGGTGGTCGAGACACGCGTCGACGGTGAGGCGTCTGGCCGGGTCGAAGGTGAGGGTGCGCTCGATGAAGTCCACGGCCGCGGCGTCGGCGCGCCGGAAGATCTTGCGCATCGGGATGCGGCGCTGGCCGCCCGTGTGTGTGCGGAGGTACTCACGGGCCCGCGGCAGGCGCACGCTGGCGAGGTCGGCCGCCGTGGGCGCCCCGAGCACCTCGAAGATGAGCAGCAGCTGGTGGCGGTAGTCCTTGCCCGGGAAGAGGGGCTCGCGGAGGTGCATCTCCGCGAGAATGCAGCCGATCGACCACACGTCGATTGCCTTGGAGTACTGGGCCAGCGAGAGCATGATCTCCGGGGCGCGGTACCAGCGCGTGGCCACGTACTCCGTGAGATAGGAGTCCTTCTGCGGGGCAGAGCCGTCGCGCGGGTCTGTTTCGAGGCGCGCGAGACCGAAGTCGCAGATCTTGAGGTCGCACTTCTCGTTGACCAAGAGGTTGGCCGGCTTGAGGTCGCGGTGGATGATGCCGCAGCTGTGGAGGTACTTGACGCCCTTGAGCAGCTGGTACAGCATGTAGGTCATGTGGTTGTTGCTGAGGTGGTGGGTGCGGATGACGGTGTGCAGGTCCGCGTCCATGTACTCCTGGACGAGGTAGACCTCGCGGAAGCCCTCGAAGGACGTGGGCTTCTGGATGTCGAGGATCTTGATGATGTTCGGGTGGTCGAAGCGCTTGAGGAACTTCACCTCGCGCAGGGTGCGCAGACAGAAGAGGTCCCGCTCGAACGGCTCGATCTTCTTGATGGCGACCACCTGGTCGCTGTGGTGCCGGTGCCCGACCGCCACCACGCCGTAGGCGCCCTGCCCGATCACACTCAGCACCTTGTAGTCGCGGATGTTGAACACGTAGTTTTGCTTCTGCATCGTGCCGTGGCTGCAGCTTGTGGGGGGCGCCTGCCAGCGCCGCCTGACGTCCTGCCCCGGTCTGTCTCTCACTGCTGCACCCCCGCCGGTATATATACCGCCGCCTGCTGGGCCCCAATCGCTCCCGGATAACCCTGGCCAGCCGGCGGTTTCATGTGGCCCTCCCCACGGGCCATCAAACGTCTCGGAACAGGAACATGAAACAGCACAGCCCTGTTCCCTCTTTTTCTCGCTCCCTCGTATAGCACCACGCGCCAAGGCGACACACAGGGAAACCGGACGCAACGAAAAGAGGCCCTCCAGACACCGTGAGATGGTGCTCAGACAGGCCGGCTGGACGTTCTGGACCCCACTGCCTAGGCCCACCGCATCGCCCCTGCCATGCTCCCGCAGAAGAAAACCACCCCCCACGTCACGGCGCTGATCACAGGCACGTCGGGCAACCTGGGCCTCAACATCGCCAAGCGGCTCATCGCAGAGGTCCCGCAGGAGACCCGTCTTACCATCATCGTCACCTCGAGAACACTCGCCAACGCCAATCACACCATCGCTCTGCTCAGCGACTACAACGCAACGGATGTCCGCAGACCAGCCGTCCTTGACTTCGACTACTCCCTCGTCGACTTCACAGACATGGTCTCCATCCTCGCTGCTGCGTATGAGCTCCACAACACCCACCGCTGCATCGACTACGTCTACCTCAACGCCGCTCAAGGCGTCTACGCAGGCATCGACTGGTGGGGCGCCACCGTGGAGTGCTGCACAAACCCCATCAAGGGCGTCACCTACCCGACGTACAAGATCCAGAGAGTAGGCGTCAAGTCCGCAGACAGCCTCGGACTCGTCTTCCAGGCAAACGTCTTCGGACCTTACTACTTCATCCACAAGCTCCTCGACTACAACCTCTTCGAGCTGTCTGCAGACCCCCGCATTGTTTGGATCAGCAGTGTCATGTCTAAACCGTCCTACCTCTCGATGGACGACCTACAACTGCTCAAGTCCCACGAGAGCTACGAAGGCTCAAAGAGGCTCCTTGACCTTCTCCATTTAGCAACGTACAAGTCTCTCTACCAGAGATATAGAGTCAAACAGTATCTCACCCACCCGGGAATACTCACCTCTTTCTCCTTCTTCCAGTTCCTCAACCCAGTCACCTACTACGGCATGCTCCTTCTCTTTTACTTAGCGCGGTTGCTGGGGTCACCTTGGCACAACATCCACGGCTGGATTGCAGCCAACGCTCCCGTCTTTGTCTCCCTCTACGCAGACCAGCGAGATGACCCTCAAGACTTGAAGTATGGCAGTGCTAGCCGCTGGAATGGAAAAGAGTACATGAAAACAGAAGAGGTCGACCCAACGGGAATGGACGACGTCTTGTCATACTTCGAGAAGTTGACGCTGGAATGGGACGATAAACTCAAAAACCAAATTGTAAATACCAGAACAAGATAAAGCCCGCATGCGGATGTGTGTACATATATTTATAAAAAGAAAATAAAATTGATACAAATACAAAGATATATTCATACTTCTAAAAGTAAACAGGTGAACAGATAAACAGAGTACAAAGTAAGCTAGAGTAAATAATAAGAACATTGTCATCACCAAGAGGCTGGAAAGAGAGGTCTCCAGTGTTATGCCTTCAAAGACATCAAGGAACCAACAAAAGTCAAAATCAACCTCGATCTAACTTCGTTGATATCCTCAGGAACCAACCAAATCAACGCTCCCAATTTTCTCGCAATAGAAATGGCAAGCTTGGCATTGGCATATCTCTCCTCCTCAGTGTTGCCAGACATGACTAAATCGTAGTCAACATACCCTGGTTTCATGCCGTGCAACACATCCAACAAGAATTGACCGGTGGACAAAGACGGGTCCTTGAATGATCTGATACTTGAACTCTTTCCACCTTTAGCAACCATGGAGTTGGCCCACTTGAGGATGTCTTGGTCAGAAACTTCCTTGCCATTGACAGATAAAGAAGATAACGTGTTGTTGATGTTTCTTCTCATTAACTGCCAAACCAAACCTAACGTTAAAATCTTTGTACCATCAGTGATATCTGAACCTTCGATACCAACCAACGAGAAATGGTTGGCTTTGCCAATGGCAACACAATAATTTGTGTTTTCCAACGCTTTGAACCTCGACATATCATTTCCATTGGTTGGTCTCTTGTTGATATGTTTCCAATCAACAGAACCTGGCATCACCTTATCGTACGCTTCTAATAATATTTGACCGTCTTTCAAGTCCTCGAACAAAGAGACAACAGGTGGATCCACATCCAAAGAGTTCAACCATAAAGTAAAAACTCTTGCTTCTCTTTCGCCCTCAGCATCGAAATCTTCAATTTCCGGCTTCTCCTCATCCTCAACAGGCTCCAAGCCAGGATGGGTATTGAAAAGGTGTGCCACAAACGCCAAGTTTAACTTAGGGTTACCTGCAACTAACGACTTAGGCGTCAAATATTTCCGGCATTGCAATTTATCAGCATTGGATAAAACTTGCTCTGCTCTCTGCAATAGATCAGCGGTTTGTAGTGGAGCACGTGAACAAAGTTCTGGTGCCAATTGGTTCAATAAAACAGTATAATTCTCACCATCTTGTACGTCTTGTGAGAAATTGTTGACCTTTCTGTGCCAGTTGGCGGCCTTGAGATGGTAGTTGAACCATCTTAACAAAATCTTCTCAGGTGGCAATCTCAAGAATTGTTCCAAGGTTTCATCATCTTCCAATAATCTGTACAACTCGGGATGTAACTTAATATCAATCTTACTCAACAAACCTCTTCTGATAATTTGCCATATGAGACCTAATATCAAATGCTCCTTACCGGCGGTTATATCTTCCGAATGAACGTTGACGACAATACAGCCAATGGCCTTAGCGGAGTTCAAAACAATGTTGGCGTTTTCTAACAATTTGAAGTTGTTCAATGGCTTGCCTCCCTTTGGCAAGTTCAACACTCTCGTGTCGATTGTATCCGGAACAGAGTCATTGATCAAAGCAGACAACACCAAACCGTCGGTACACTCGTCGAAGAGCTGGAAAGTGTCCAAATCAAACGGAACCCTAGCGCCCACCAACGCATCGCCTGCAAGGACAGAGTTGATGTGTCTCGTGAATTCCACACGCTCTTCGTCATCGATAGTGTGCATAGTTCTGCCCGACCCTAACACGACCTTCGCCTTGTTACGAACGAAGGTCTCTGCTCCACTCTGAGAACCAGCCATTTGCGCAGAAGAAGGGCCCGATGAGCCTCCCGATTGTTTCGCCTCCTTCAACTTAGCGTTCAATTCGACGAAATCGTCAAGTTCCACATGGCCGGAGGCATCGACAGAAACATTCTTTAATGCTTCTCTGACTTCGTCATAGGAGCCCTTGCCGCTTTTAGACACACTCTCAATGACATCCTTCTTGTCCGCCCATCCGTTTTCGTCAATGTCGATATTCCTGAAATCCTCAATGAGGCTAAATAGCTCAGATTGGTCTAAAATAGGATACTTTTTCTGCATTAATGATGGTCTTACTAGGTTAGTATTCGATCAGGATTGACCTCTAGTTATTGTCGTGGCAATTGATTCTATTGGATTCGAGCCTCAAAAGCTCCGGAACTGCACTAAACACACCCATTGCATCTCGCACACACATACCTGTAGCTTTATCACGTTCATGATGTGCTTGTGTCAACCTTCACAATCTCTTTTGCTCCTTCTCTCTTTCTTTTCGTACGCAGCCCGTCTTTCCCATCACTTCTTCTTTTCTCCTCTCTCCCATGTGTGCCAGCTCTGGCTTTAACTTTAGACATCCCCCTTCCGTGGCCGGTGGCGAGCTCCCGCGCCCCCACGAAAAAGACAAGCCCATAGAACTGCAGTCGGTGCTGCCTTTTCGTCTTTATTACCCCGTGGAATAGAGTTCGCAGAGAGCAGAAAAAGCCTTCAAGAAATTCTATGACAACTTGACTCAGTATTAAACGATACAGTACAATATAAAATTACAGTCAGTTTGTATTAAGGGTGAAATGGTCCTCCTCGCGGAACTCATCTTTCACCCGCTGGCATATAAGCGCTCCCAATGACCTTTCCACACCAGGATGGCGTCTTCTTCCCAACCTTCTGTTACTTTTCACCCTTTCAAAAAACGTCTGTACCGTAGCCTCGTCCACTAAGCGCCGGCACCGCTGCTGGTCGCCCTTGTATTCAACCTGCAAATCCTGGAGGTCATTCTCGAACTCCTCGTTCATTAACTCCCAAAATTCGATCTCCTGAGGGTCCATCTCTTTCAAAAACTGGCCTGTATTTTGAAATATATCGGGAAGTTTGGACTGGTTGAGCTTGCTGCAAACAATCTCCTCCTTAGAGAGAGGCTTCAAAGCGTTCTTCATAAGAAAGAGTCGTTGCTCAACAGGGTTCTGCATGAAGCCTCCGCCAAATTGCTGTTTCAGTCTATTCGAGCCATTCTCCGCAATTTTTGTCTCAACCGTGTCATGTCCTAACATAGCACTTGTTTCCCTCCTCGACATCTCGGGTATTTGAACTATAATCTCACAATTTGAATCACTGTTCCCGCTATTGTTGTTACTCTCACTATTGTTGTTATAGTTGTTGTTGTTAATATTGCTATTGCTGCTGGTTTGACACTCCATCCGCAATCTTTTCCCCTGATCACTTCCATGTTGCCCCACATCTTCTTCCTGGTACTTCGAGAAATACATCTTGGTCGTCAGTTCAGCTTGCTCAAAAGCCTTCACCTTGGAAAACCTAAGCGGATGGCGGGTGCTGAAAGTCTTGTAGTCATATTCGTTCATATCGCCTTTGTTGTCGCTATTTAATATCATACTATCCGTTTTACTCAGGAAAGAAATGTCAGTGTTAGCACTGTTCTCAGTGACAGGGGAACAGCCGTCCAATTTAGAAGAATCGGGTGTCCTTTTGCTGCTGTTATTGTTATTGTTTTTGTTGTTACCGCTACCATTATTATTGTTGTTGTTTTTTGTAGCGTTGCTGCCGGTGTTGGATAAAATACTTCGTAGCTTATTGTTGCTGTTCTTCGTCTTCAAACTTGACGTTGGAGTTATCATCTCCGCCCGGCTTGGTAGGGACTTCTTCTTCACCGGTGCCTTTTTCACACTTTCGATATAAGAATAATGTGTTTGATCACTTCCTTGTGTCATAGGAACCGGCAGTGAGCCAGAAATAGGGATGGAACCAGTTTGTTGTTTACCATTATGGTTGTGAAACTCATCATGTGTATGTGTGAAGGTCTGCTGTGAATCTGTGCCATGCATCTGTGCGGGGCTCACATTGTTAATAACTCCTGGAGCATGGTTGGCATTGATATTTGTCGAGTCATTATACGGGCTATGAGCCACCTCTCTGTCGTCTCGTTCGTCCTTGCAGTCGTCCTTATCCAGCAATGGGACATGGTTGTGGTGGGAAATTCGTGTTGTTATTGCACGAAACAGTTTCCGCTTGCTATCCGACCTTTGTCTTCCACCAGGCATATTCTCTCTGGCCGGTATCACTACTTTATTTATCCTGTCTATAGCAACAACTGCCTCGTGGAAAGGCGGCAACGATGACGGCAACCACAACGACAACAGCATCAAAATTATCAACATCTTGTCTTTTCTATGTTCTCCTGTTATCTCCCCTCTGCAGTGCCCGCGCAAATAGTGCGACACTGTAAATCGAAGGCTCCCTACCCCCTTCGTTGTAACAATGCAGTCGTTAGCTCATTATAAAAGTACATAAGGACATGGGGGCAGGAATATGGTTCAACTGCATATAAAGAATGCATTGATACGCTCAACCCGTAGCTGTGTTTCTCATAATCCAAGTTTCTTCATGTGGCACAAAAACTATAAATTGGCATACAGTAGCACGGTTTATCTCTTTATCGGGATTCTACTTCTTTGAGGCCTCGATTACCTGTCTGATCATGAAAAGACCAATCTCGAGATCCACAAACCTGAATTCTGCAGGTGTCAGGTGGGCGCTGGCCCAGAAGTTTTCGTTGAGCATTGTGTCAAAATTCATGAACTTGACCGTCTGGTTCAATACCGACCTGTAGCCAGCAGCAACGTAGATCAACTTCAAACTATCCCGCACAATATAGATCAACTGATCAGTGTTGATGCAGCACTTGCAGTACTCCCCATACTCGCATTTCTGGAAATAGTTAGCACCAGGCGTGTTGCTGTACCCGAGCAAATACTTAACAAATAGATAAAGCTCTTTGTTTTCCACGTTGGAGATAACAAACTTCTTCATTTCGTCGAGCCAGATGGTGATCTTAAAACCTTTCCTGGCTATCAAGTCAGGTCGCTTCTTCAACTCCTCAATGCAAAAATATTTCCAATCCCGCACAATTGGGACAAACACTTGAATGATCCAGTCAGAGTTGTGGACGCACGAATTGCTCGTGGTAGAAGGGTTGACTGAAACTTGGTCCATAATTGCTTTCTCTGTATCTTTGTCTGGTGTCTGCTAATACCAAGCGACATCATCAAAAACATTATTAATGTTCACTTCATTATTTCTTCCAACAACGGCAGGACAATAGCCTTTTAATCTTAACCAGTTCCAAATCTTTTTTGGCCCATGACCCCTCTTCCCGTACTCAATGATTCTGCAATTCAAACCCATTTTAGTTATCATTCATGCCATTTGTCTATGGTGTGTACTGATCTCCCTGTCAGTCCTTACCCAGTTTACACCACACACATTATCCCGAGATTGACCACGTGCACAATATCTCGGCAATTGTCCGCTTCTTATCTATGGTGCGGTAAATGTGTCAATTAGCGGCTTGGAGTGACTGAAAAAGTGACCTTACCTCGCAGGCTCTATATACGCGGATGAGCTTCACATTTGTTTAACTGACACGGCTCTGAGAGCTATATCCGTCGGATACAAACGGTGTTCGGCTATTCATCCCTGAAGGAGAGAAGGAATCTTGACGTTACTCTACGTCATAGGTACAGAGCTCAAGCAGTGATGACACCCTTATTCAGACAATCACAGCCACAACCGCTGGGGCATTCTTTCATGGCATCTTCCTCCCACCAGATGATTGAACAGACATCGTGCATGATATGATTACATTTCGTGCACACCGAAAGCCGTTTGGTCACTTCTAACTCGCAAAAATGGCACTTTTTCTTATCCTGAGCCTTCTTCCACCTTCCTCTTGGAGTGTTCTCGGGGTCGATCTTAGAATCATCGCACCAGCCGATCTCACCAAAGTGTTCCTGAAAGTCGGTTTTACCTTTCTCATACATTGAAACTGCATTGCAATTGTAGTTTTGATTGTAATTGTAATTGAATTTGAGAATCTTCAACCTGCTTGCAGGAAGCCCCCAGCAAAATAAAATAGCTGCATATTCTGCACGGAAAACTTTCAGCTGTTCGGGGTTGACAAAACCTTCGATATTCACACAGTACTCGTTTTCATAAAGGTCCAATTCTGCAAAATTTTGCATTTGTATGTTGACAATCGGCATGTCGTCATATCTAACAAACATTTTCTCTTCTGCTAGGGGAGTTTTCGCCATACTTAAAGATTTTCCAAATTGCTGGTTGAAGACGTTGAGTGAAGCTGTGGATAATGATCTAGATAATTGGGGAGTATTGGAGATACTATCGTATTGCATGTAATGATCGAAATCACCACCGGATCCATTCCCTGTACCTCCTCCTCCTCCATTACTCAGTACTTGATGTTTGATTCCTCGACGATTGTGGAGTACATTGTTGCCGCCTACGATATCTCCAGCAGGGGAAGAACTCTTGAAACTCCGGTTATCGTACTCGTATGATGATAGAGTACTTATCGACGGTACACGACACTGTGACATATTCACTGGACTCAAAGCAGGATTGTAGTTATGTATCGATCTCGAGTTCATTCTTTCAAAAGAAACATTGCTTTGATTTCTGGCCAGTGAAGGTGGTAGCAAACCTGTATTGCCATAAATACTCCGTGCAACTGACCCAGTTCTCTGTGCTCCAGAGCCGTTGCGAAGAATCGATTTCTTTGTATCAGTATGTGTTTCCATCCGGGTATATGGGGAGTTGATAGGAACATGTACATGATCCTTGATAACATCGTTTTCAAACAGTACACATGAGAGCATTGCGAGCATCTGAATATCATTGACTTTCTTGAAATATGAAAACAGCTGTTTTACTAGCCAAATTCCCCCAAATGGATGAAAGCCCCAGTAAAACCTATAGTTGCGAAGCAGCTCAAAATTGTTTGTGCTTTCTCCAATTTTTTGAAGTATATTAGTGGCGATATCCGCATCTATCATGACATCTTTTACCAAGAGTATTGAGAGAATCTTCCAGCAATTGGAAATTACTGTGTATCCATATTTTTCCGCCACTTCAGCATTATATTGCGCTAAAACATGAGGACTATCTCCTAGTACGCGGTATTCATAGGCCAGCTCCATCTTGGAGGGTATCAAATGTCGGAAATCATATATTTTAACAATATTTCTAGAATGTTGAGTTTTGGAATTATTTGTAACTTGTGAACGTTCTGTCGGTGCAGACATAGGATTGCTTTTAGCATTAGATGAATATTGTCTTGTGTTTAAATTGGCGTTTCGAAGTAAGTCCGGCACTTTTGTACGGTAAAGTCTGTTATATTGAAACACGTCAAAATCATTTGACAAACTGTCATCGGAAGAACTAGAATCGGAAAATGGCTCGTCCTTGTTTGAAAGTGCACCGTCAATAAAAACTTGTTTACCCAATTGCAAACCATTTTCAACATGCTTCCGCTTTAAGTTTCTCACCAAACTAAAGCCCTGCTGACCAAACTTTATGAAATGCTGATCATCGTTCGTCTCTTTGGATATGAAAAAACACACCAAGTGGCCACTAGGTGTCCATATTGCACCGCAACCTTTTGAAACAGGGGTACTATCAAATGGAGCTTTTTTGAAGTTGTTTTTTAGATTGTTATTATCTGATATGTCATCAATATCGTCATCTTCGTCATCTTCATCTTCGTCATCTCCTTCATCGCCATCACCTTCAGTGTCTGGTTCTACTTCGTCCAGATCGGAACCTCCCGGACTGACTGACATCAAATTCTTATTGATTGTATCTTCACTGTAGTTTAAATCATAAGACTCCAAGGTTTCTTCAACTTCAAAGTCCATATCAACTTTCTCTCCCAACAAAAACCTCAAACAAGGCTCTAGGCAGAATCTCTCATGTGCACAGAATTTTGTGGCAATTTCTTGTAGGTTTTTCAGTATTTCTTGCTTTTTTTCAGAGGAAAGCTCATGAGTTTCTTCAACCTTGAATTTAGGCACAGCTTTAGATGACGGATAACCTTTAGGAAAATTGAATTCCACCCTTATAAAAATCAAATCATCTTTATCTTGCAAGGACCACGGTCCATTTAATGAAATCACAAGTACACCAGTAGAAACTGATATCCTCTCAAATCTCAATTTTGGAAACTTGTGACCCACGTTACTAACTTCCTCACCCAAATTGAGTGGCTGGTTACTATTGTCACCAAACGTTGCACTATTAGGGTCATTATCAATATGCTGGAATGCAGACTGACCAATTTTGATTCCAGATATCCATGTTAGGTGGTTGAATTCACTATTATTCTTAAAGCTCTCGCCGTAAGAAGACCCTTTGTATCTTCTACTCTTATGTCGAATAACCAGTTTATTTTCAGAGGAAACATTGGGCTCCGGACGATAAGAACGATATTCAAATTCTGAAAGTTTTTGGCCAGGTGGTAACTGATTATTTCTCTTGAAATTGAAGTTTTTGTACATGTCATCATTCATTGGCCACAACCGCAAATCCCTATCCGATGACCATGTGACCAATTGATATTCGCTGTCATTTACACTGGTATTTGGTGTGTGGCGAGATCTCCATACAAAATCCCTAACAGGCTCCGTATGGCCTTTAAATATGTAGCAAGGTGCCAAGCTTGATTCACCAACTTTGTTCTTGTAATCAACAATGTAAACGGAGTCATTACCACCTCTTAAAGGCATTATGCCGCATATGTGATCACCAAATGGAACGTGGCGAGATTTAGAGACAGGGAAGTCAGTACGAATCGTGTAAACAGGTTTGTCATATTCTTTATCGAAGGACCAGAATTTCACAGACATATCATTAGAAGAGGAGATAAGCTCATATTTGTTCTCACGACTCCAGTCCAATCCATTGATTTTTGCATCATGTGCCTCTATACTTTTCATTGGAATTGCACCTTTTCGTACATCCCATATTAAAATGTTATTGTCATGAGATGAAGCTATAATATTGGGGTCCTTATAATTCCACTTTACCTGGGACGCCGCAGATCTCCAATCGGACCATTGATAAACAGGCTCTTTGGGACATCGTAGATCCCATGCCAAAACGAATGAGTCCACAGAACATGTAGCTAGCATTTCTGGATTCTGTGGATGAAAGTGTATATCTGTTATAGCCCTTATATGTGAATGTAAGACGTACTCTATGGCATCGTTTGATGGCCTAGCTAAATTCCACACCATTGCTTTTTGATTTGAGGTCGAAACGATCCACGAAGGTTTCGAGCTGTGGGGTGACCATTGAACGTCAGCAACCTCCCAAGAAGTTTCATGATGTAACCATCTAGGTGGGGCAAAAGGATCATCAAGGTCAATCACCAAAAGACCTTTTCTACCTGCTAGAACAGCGTCTCGTCCGCATGGTGCGATGGACATGATTGATAGGTAATTGCTGTCCACTCGGAGTGATAACGGATTACCAAAGGTTATCGAATCATATGGTGATGTTATCCTCGACATTGTTGATGCCAGGAACTAGTTTCTTTCAACTACTAAGTCCTTTGCTTTGTGAAAGTACAGTAGTGGGTAGATTAGAGTATAGCTCAGACTAAGTGGCACAAAAATTTAAACATGTTTCGTGAGATTTTATCGAGGTGCACAAAATTGATATCTGATAGTCTGATGAAAAGTTACGCTACACAATTCCTTTCTCCTCCTCTAAAATCTACTTCAGCTTCTTCGAAAATAAAGGGCATTGCAACAGGGGATGAGTGAAGTCAAACGAAGGGCTGCAAGATGCCAGTTAGATCCTTCTCTAGTGATTGAAAATAGTAAACCAGATCAAACAGGACAAACGTTTAATATCTGGTACAACAAATGGACAGGCGGTGAAAATAATGGTCGAGCAGGATTAGTACATGCCAAACACAGGTGCAATATTAAATTAGATACAGGTTACACAAAAGCTGACAAATATGCAAAAGATGGACAGATTAATAGAACAAAATACATTTGCCTTTATTTTGCTAGAGGATATTGCTGTAACGGCAAGAACTGTGATTATCTTCACCGAATCCCAACAAAACTTGATATTTTTACTCCAACTGTCGATTGTTTTGGCAGAGAAAGATTTTTAGACTATAGAGATGACATGTCAGGGATTGGTTCGTTTGGAAAAGTGAACAAAACCTTATATGTTGGCGGAATTGCTTCTATGTCTGGAAATATAGAACTAAAGATATCAAAAGTGTTTGAGGAATTTGGAGATTTGGCTTGTGTCAATATTCTTTCGGGAAAAAATGTGGCATTTGTATCGTATAAGCTAGAAAGTCAAGCACAATTTGCTAAAGAAGCAATGTATTGTCAAAGTTTAGAGCCTGGAAACGAGGCAGAAATATTGAATATTAGATGGGCGAACGAAGATCCGAGTTTCCGAGCGAAAAAGAGATTGAGAGATGATGAAGAAGAAATGACAATGGAAGCAGCCAGAAGTCTTTTACAGCATCTTCAAAATGACAAAAAAAGTAAAGTGCAAGACGTTGTTGTCAAGGATGAGGAGAGTGCAGGCGCACAAAGTTATAAAAAGGGTAATGACAAAATACAAATAGATTCCACTTCTCTAGCAAAGCTTGGCGCATTGACATCGCAAATCAATCAAAAACGGGCAAGCAGTGTAAAGGGACTAATTCATGGATATTCAAGTAGTGAGGAGGAAGATAATGGGATAGATTATTAATTTGGTTTATTTTAGATACTTATTTCGAGTGATGTGCTTATAAAACCTATAAGAGTCCATTTATGACTCAATGTTTTTGAATTGCTTTTGTTGGGCTTTTTCGTGCCGCAATAGATCGCTAGGACATTTACTTACTTTACTGCTGACAATCATGGATTTCAAGCTAAACAATACATCACAGTCAGTTTCAGCATTCCATAAAGTTATAGCTGTACCTGTATTTCCCGCTCTACCGGTTCTACCTATCCGATGAACATACTCTGCTATGGATTTTGACATTTGATAGTTGATGACAAGCGAAACGTTGGCAATATCGATTCCTCTCGCAGCAACATCCGTAGCGATCAATATGTCCGCATCTCGTGATTTCATTCTACTGATTGCTTCTTCTCTTTGACTTTGGGTTCTTGATCCATTGATTATTGCGGGCCTGAAATTCAGTTTAGTAAGAAAATTTGATAGTGTATCACATGTTTTCTGATAATTAACGAAGATAATAATCGGAGGATGGTATTTGCGACTGTTTGAGAATAGAATATTTTTCAAAGCTGCCATCTTTTTCTCATCATCGTTTGGCACTTGTATCGCATCTTGTATCACTGATTCAACTGCGTTTTCAGTGTTTCCTACTGTTACTGTTACTGGATCAACCAAGTATTTGGACGTAAGCTTTTCAATGCTGGGTGGGAGAGTTGCGGTGAACATCATTGTTGTTCTTTTGGGCTGTCCTTCAGATAATGGGAATGGATTTTCTTTTCCTGGAGGAAGCTGTTCTAGCAGACTTTGGACTTGTTTTTCGAATCCCATGTCAACCATCCGATCAGCTTCATCTGCGATCAAAAAAAAGCATCGATTCAAGTCAAGAATTTTTTTTTCTAGAATATCAAGTAACCTTCCTGGTGTTCCTATCAAAATCTCAACCCCTCTTTCTAACTTTTCTATATTTTCATCGTAACTGTGGCCGCCTACAATAGATGCTACATTGAAATGTAAATTGTTCATGAATTTTTGAGACTCTGATTCAATTTGCTGAGCCAATTCTCTTGTTGGAACGATGATGAGGACGTATGGACTTTCAAATGGTCGTACTGGTGGCAAATTCAAAACGTACGATATTGCTGGTATAAGAAATGCTAATGTTTTTCCCGAACCCGTTTCCGCAATACCCACTACATCTCTTCCGACCAAGCCTAGTGGAATTGTAGCTCTTTGAATTGGGGTAGGTTCCAAATACTTGAGATTTTGTATGAGGCTAATAACCTTGTTAGGTATAGCACTCTCGTTCCAATATCGAAGCATCTGTTCGCTAGTATTCCCCTTAGTAGTGATATCAAAATCTTCTTTGAATATTCTCCAATCTCTATTCGTCATCTGGTTCAGCGGCTTCGTGGACCAGTGAGATCTAGTGAGCATATGATCTTCATTTGCTTTACGCCTTTTCCTTGATGGTAAATCCAGAGAATAGTCATATGTTTCATGAAAAATTGGGAAAGATGATAATGAAACTGATGTGTCTTCTGACTCATCCCAACCAAACTTGAATCTTCCCTTTGCATTTTGTTTTTGTCGATTGGATATGCTTCGAGTTTCAGCCTGAACAGATGTGTTGAAATTTTTGCTTTCATCCTCTTCCAAAGGGCTGTTCATCTCTTTTGTAACATCATTTGTTTTTAGCGTTTTTTCATCAAGCTTTTTCTTTGTTTTCTCTTTCTGTAATCTCTCCCTTTGAATTTTGGTCAAAAACTTCGTTTTGAAGGCGTTCTTGTTTTCGGGATTGCTATTACCCTTATTTTTCAAGGCAACAAGCTCTTCCAAACTCAGAGGTACATCATGTGTTGGCATCAATGATCGATATTATGCATGTGTTTTCACTTCACCAAAAAAAAAGCTGCATGTTAGTTGGCCTATAGTTACAAGTCTCGAAGAAAAATGATGCGCAGATCGAAAATTCGTCGTTGCATATATTCTTTCATGTTAATTACTGACTAACGGGCCTGCTATACATTGTCTACTATATACAAAAGAAAACTAATTACCCCTACGTATTTTTCTGTTACTGTGGAACTGTTTAACTTGGCGAATAGATTCGGCAGAAGCTCTGTCAACAGAGTCGTGCAAAGCAAGGATCTCGTTTTTATTGGGAACTTCTTTTGGAAGCTTCATATTAATAACCTTTTCAATTCTCAAAATCAGCTCCAAATCATACTGGGTCACTAACGAAACAGATTTGCCTGACCGCCCTGCTCTGGCAGTTCTACCTACACGATGAATGTATGCTTTTGAGTCTGTAGGTATATCGTAATTTATGACTAGATCCACAGATGGAATATCTAGTCCTCTAGCAGCAACATCAGTGGCAACCAATATACTCTTGTCTCCCGACTTAAATTTATTCAACGCACCTAATCTTTGAGCTTGTGACAATTGGCCATGTAGAGGAATTGCTGAAAAGCCAAGGATTCTTCCCAAAAGAGATATGTTTTGAGCATGTGCGCATGTTCTTGTGAATATGATGACAGACTTTCCCACATACTCGTTCAAAAGGTAAATGAGAAAAGTGTTTTTGAAACCATCTGGGACAACCATTAAAGTCTGAATTAAAGTTTCGACAGTGGAGTATTTGCTGTTTACCGCAACCTTGACAGGGTTATGCAAAGATGCCCTTTGAAGTTTATCGATTTTGGAGGTTAATGTAGCGGAAAACAAATACGTTGTTCTCTTCCTTGGGATAATTTGTAAAATTTTGTCAAGAACAGGACCAAATTCTAGCTCTAGCAATCTGTCTGCTTCATCCATAACCAAAAACTTCAAAGCTCTTAGTGAGAAACCTTTGGTGTTTTCTAGATGATCCATCAATCTTCCGGGTGTGGCCACGATAACATGAGGTTTTCTCATTAATTCTCTAGCTTGCTCCATCATGTCCATACCTCCAACAATTGTACAGCATCGTAGACCCATGTTTGAGCCCAAAGCATCAAACGTTTCTCTGATTTGGTATGCCAATTCTCTGGTAGGTGCTAGGACACATGCGAAATATGGAGTTTGAGCCTCCCATAAAGCTTGCAAGATGGGAATGGCAAATGCGGCAGTTTTACCTGAACCTGTCTGAGCAATACCAATGATATCCCTACCTTCAAGAGCGGGGCCTAAGGATTGTGCCTGAATGGGAGTTGGCTTATCGAAGTTCAACTGTTCAATTGCTTCTAATATATCATCTTTTAAACCGAAATCTCTGAACGACTTCTTCAAATTTTCTTCTTCTTGTTCTTGTTTTTTCTTCTCAATTTGTTTCTCTTCATCATCGTCATGGCTTGCATCCTTTCCACCATCTTCAGAATCCGAAGCAGGCTCTGGGTTGAGAATCTGCTTAGTCTCTTTTTTCTTGTTTGAAGCTGATAATTTCTTCTTTAGATCACTCAAATATTTGTTAGTGATTTTCTTGTGGGATTTTCCAACTCTCGCAGAGCTTATAGAAGACATTGTTTTGCTCTTCGTATTACTTTATGTTTTAGAAACCGTTGGATTTGTACAAAAATATTTGTTATTTACTTCTACCACATATCTATCTGCTTGATTTTCAATCAAATTTGTCATCTATCTATATAGATAAAAAATTTTATTTTCTATTTTCATGCTTTTAAAAATTCTCAATTTTCTATTTTTCTACTTTTTTCATATTTTTGAAAGATTTTTTTATCACCAATTTTTCAGCAATTCATGTCTGCTATAGAATCTTTATCGATAGTAGCTAACCTTTTGCCTTGCAAAATAATTAGCACAAGGAAAAAACCAACAGATGGCTAGAAGAAGAGTATGTATTTTCTAAATCAAGATTACGGGCTGTCACAATTAGCTTTTTTTAAAAAGAAGTCATGTACTAACATAAAATACGAATACTTGACGTTTGAAATTGAATCGTATAGCAAAAAAAGAGAACTCATGCAAAACAGTCCGAAGCGGATCTAAAGTCGATACCAAGATCTATGGTTATCCACTTGGGTACCGCTTTGGAAAACAATACCCTTACTCAACTTGTTAAAGACACTAGAAATATGATGCAACCGCATACTGCAATTCGTCTTCGTGAACGTAAATCAAATAAGCTCAAAGATTTTGTGGTCATGGCAGGTCCTTTGGGAATTACATATTTGATGCTTTTTAGTCAGAATGAGAAAACAGGATCCACCCATTTAAGACTCTCTTCCATGCCTAGGGGTCCGACAATAAGTTTCAAAGTTTCAGAATACTCACTTTGTAAAGACGTTAGTCATATACAGAAAAATCCAAAGTCGATAAGTGCCTCTTCGCACGAATTTGTGAATCCGCCTCTACTTGTTATAAGTGGTTTCACAAATCCTAAAAACGCATCTCCAGAAGAAAAACTTGTTGTTACCATGTTCCAAAATATGTTCCCTCCCATTTCCCCTATAAATACGAAAGTCGGAACCATTAGACGTGTACTTTTGCTAAACAAAGATAAGGAAACTGGAGTTATTGAGTTGAGACATTACGTTATCGACACAAAGCTAGTTGATGTTTCAAGAAACGTCAAAAAGTTGATTAACGTGAAAAGCCATTTAAACAAAAAACTACCGAATCTTTCTAAAACCAAAGACGTTGCCGATATAATTCTAGATCCCTATGCACAAGCCGGTTTCACTTCTGATTCGGAAGTCGAAGACGATTCAATTGTGGAAGTGAATGAAGGTGATGATTCCTCAGTTTTAACCAAACCCACTTCCGAAGAAAGTAAATTAGAAACAGCCCAAGGCCAGAAGAGGAAAAAGGCAGTCAAACTTACTGAAATTGGTCCTAGAATGAAATTAGAGCTCATAAAAATTGAAGATGGGGTATGTGATGGTAAAGTTCTATATCACTCACAATTCTCAAAAACTAAGGCTCAAATGAATAAACTGGAACAGCAACATGCACTCAGGAAGAAAGCTAAAGACTTGAGAAAGAAAGAGCAAGCTGCCAATGTTGCCAAGAAAAATGAAAAAAAGCTGTTAAAAAAGCAGAGGAGAGAAGAGAGAAAGAAGGCAGGTGAAATAGGAAGTGATGAAAGCTCAGAAGAAGACAGCTCTTCTGATGAAGATGTTGAGATGGGAGATTACTCTGATGTAAGTGACCCAAATGATGATGTTGAGGATTCTCATGATGAAAAACTTTTTGATGAGGAAGAAGCCTAAAATCTATGATTTGTTCCTGTATGGAAAAAAATTTCTTGCTCCTTTTTCTTGACTTTTTTTCAGACTAGATGATCGGTTTCACTCTTTAAAAAGCCTTGGAAGAATGATTAAGAAATTTGAATAGATACTTGATATATATGAAAAAGTTTTATACTTAAATAATATAATATTTCAGTAGAAACGTGAACGTAAAAATGAGAACAAAAAACCAAAACTATACCAAAGTGTGATAAACTCACAAGCAACTAGATCATACAGGATATATAATCAAGTCACATATTTGGACTTCAAAGTGAAAATTAGTCGAGTACAGGAGAAAGGGAGAAAGTTTACCTATCATATAAGATCACTGTTCTCTATTCTAACATTCCTGCGCTCAGAAACACTCCATTTATCGACATTAAAAACAGCATAATCACCGATATTCCAATCGTCACCCTTCGAGACGATTGACCTTGGTAAATACCAATCAGCTCCTGATATTTGCTGTTTCCAACCCTTTTGGGTTAGTACCTCCAAAGCACTGTTTCTTTCTTCGCTGGATTTACCATAATAGTAACCAAAAAATAGAGAGTCGTGATCAAGGGCTGAAATGGTCGATAATAGATTTTTGGATGTTTTGATCTTGCTCCAGGATTCTGCCAAATGGATAGCCTTCAGTCCAGTTGGATAAGTCCTGTTTGGAGTATGATTGATCGATTGAAATGGACTATAGGTACTATTTGCAATATCTTTACTTGAAGAAATGGATAGAATGAAAGATTGGATACCAGGCGGTAAAAAGCGAAAGCCGTCAGTAGCTGCGGCAAGGGATTGTGATTTGGTGAAACCTCTAGGTAATGCTACTGACGGGGAACTTACCTGTGGGAATGGTGATTCAACATTGGAACCTGTACTTGAATCTAAGGTTGAATTCAAAGCAGGATCTGAGCTTATACTTATCTTCGACGCTGACGTTATGTTTGACTCTGGGATATTTTCAGTTTTTTCCGTCTCCACGTTGCTGCCAGGTGAAGAAGGCGATTGATCCGATAGTCTGCTTACTGCATCTTGTGGAGGAATTATCGTCACTGTCGTTGTTGATGCTTGTCCATTAATATCTATTCCATTCTCATGGTTGGTATCCACAATAGAAGCGGAAGCAGACGTGTGAAGAGTTGCGAATCCATTTGCCGAAGCAGCGGGAGTAGAGTCTTTTGGCTTTTGTTTCTTTAATGCTTCCAAAACACTTGCTGCGTTCAAGGCATTCGTGTTTATAGAATTTTGTAGAGGAGGAGAAGCGTCCTTTTTCTTGGCAGCTGTCACAACACTCGACCATTTGATCTCACTTGTTAAAGCAGGTACCGGTGCCGGTTTCAATGTAGTAACAGTTGCTTGATGCGTTGAAGAGGTTCCAATCGACTGTATTACGGGTGGTTTTTCATGTGTGTCTTGTTTTGTGCTGTTCAATGGTATATGACTGCTTGATGTTGATTTTGGAGGTGTCGGCTGGTTAGGTATGGAATTCGATCTCGAAGCTTGAATGGAATTCGATCTTGAAGTTGAGTTTGAGATAGGTTGAGTAGAACGGGATCTGGTGATTTGTTCTGGCATTGGTGATGACTCTTTCGTATTTCCGGACGATGAGGGTATCGTGTTGTTGTTCGTTGACTCATCTGGTATGACGTGAATTTCATTTATCAGAGCTTGTTCAGCCTCAAGATTAAGGTCATCATAAATCGTATCATCGAACATAAAATCGGGATTTTTATTTTCATCAAGATAGTACGTTATATCATCACTCAAATTCATGATATCATCAACTGATAAGATTTCATTTTGTAGTAGCCTTAGAACAATTTCAAGTTTTTCCGTATGCCACTGATGGGAGGAAAGTAATTCTTCAAGCTCTTTCTTTTGTTCCTCATTATGGGCGTTTTTCTTACCTTTTTTCGTCGGCTGCAACTTCTCAATTTCACACTCCAAACCTTCTGTTTGGTGTTGTAAAGTGTCCAATGATTGCCTGACAAACTCTATAGCCTCATTGTCAATCTCAGGTTGATCAGCAGCGGCCAAGCTTTGATCAGAGTAAGCTTTTGTTTTACTCCCTTTTTCCACCACTTTGTACTTTTCCATCGCCACCTCGACCAAACGGCGATGTTCCAGAAGTTGATTTTTGTCTTTGATTTCGTTTGCAGCCTGCCAATTTTTCACTTGTTCTCTAAATCGTTGTAGCTTTTTCGTTTCTTTCTTCAAATCGTTTTCAAGCTTCTCTTTCTGCGACTGATTCGTTACATTTTCATGTCTCTCGTATAAGGTATCAAATATTTCCAAACCTTCTAAAATTTTTTTGAAAACTTTGTCCATCTCCCTTTAAAAAACAACAAGTTTGTAAAGTTAGCATTGAAGTAATGGTAAGTTAGTATTTGTTGAGCTATTATGGGAATTAAACAAATTGGTGAAATGTTTCTCGTTGATGCACTTACTGTTGGAGCTTCCTCTGCCCTGACATGATGATAGTGTGCCAATACGGGTGTGGGAATTCTTTCCTCTTGCACTTAAAGGAGCTTAAATGGAATTTCCGAAAGATAGGCAACTTTTTTCTCCGTCGGACATTACAGGCAGGTTGGTGGCCCATGTTGACGTCAGAAAATTTTTCGTCGTTTTTTCGTGGTAAGTACATTTTCGTTTTCTTCATGAGTATTTTTCCCTTACTGTGCGGGTAAACGAGGTGGAGTTGAAGTTGTTGAAGTTATGTATAAGTGGTACAATCTATAGCAGGTACATAGCAATATTACAGCGGGGTTTATGGGGGGATTATGGGGAAGCTCATGAACAGTTTTACAAAGGTACCTGGTGGTGTTTGACGAGTTTGCACTCGATGGGCGAATTTGTGATAGTGTTGGTTGTGGATAGGGCGTCGGCTACCGAGGGAGAAGGGATATTGTACTGTAAAAACATTCCATCGGCGGTGGCTATGTAGCAAGTGTTCTCGAGAAGCCCTATCATAGAATCACCGGTTGCCGGGAGCCTTATAAAAGCGTAATCTCGTTTTGGTTCGAGCATAGAGCTTATCTGAACTGGAAGATACTGTTTAGACTGAGACCACAACATGCTTGTCAAGTTTTTAGTCTTTTGCAAGGCCGAAGTGTGCTTGCCCCCTCTTTCAAGGTTATCCACGGATGCCATGAGCTTCTGTACCTCATCTGTCTCCTCTGTGGTGAGAGAGGAAGAGTTCGGCAGTTCATTGGACGGTATCACGGGCACGGTTTTATTTGGCGAGGATGGTGAGGATGAGGTGGTCGAAGGAGTGTCTATAACTGAACTGTCCATGGTCGCTGTTGGTGGAGTCGATAAGGGCGCCGAAGCAAAGTCCTTTGATACCCCCAATTGTGCGACGCTGTCGGGCACGCTGAAAAAGTGGACAGTCCCTGTGGTGGAGGAGCATGCGAGAATCGTGTTGTTGGAGTTAAACGACAAAGAGCAGATGGATGCGGGCAAGGAGCCTCTTCTGAACTCGCAGAGCTTGCTACCCGTTTGCGTGTTGAATATGCGAATAATGGTACCCTTTTTCGAGGCAGACGCAAGTAGCACGCCGTTCTCCGAAAGCGTCAAAATTTGTAGTGCTGTCTTATGGCAATTGATAATGCACAACGGAGACAGTTTCAACGCATCGAAGATCACTGCATTGCCGCTTTGCGAACCCAAGTTGTCGCTCTCTGCACCATCACGGTACGGTTCTCCACCTGCACCATGGCTGCTGTTCGTGCCGCCGTTGCCAGTACCATTCGCATGGCCCGCTCCGTTTGCACCGGCAGAGGAGGCCAGAGGGTCAAACTGCTGGAATGCAAGGACGGACAAGTCCGAGGAGGACAAGTCGCAGGCCATGTGCTGAGTGCCGTTAGCCTCCACGCACGGGTGGGACAGCTCTATTTTCTGCAGTAGCTTCATGCACGACACGTCGTAGATAAGCACCTGGGTGGCCAAGAAAACTACGATTCTCTTCCTGTTCATTTTCACGCTGACGATGCGGGAGGGAAACGCCAACTCGCAGATGGTGGAGTTCTTCTTCGTGTTGATAATCCGCAGACACGACGTGCCAACCGCCGGATCCACGATGGCGACTAGAGACGTCGAAAACAACATTTCGGCAATGGTCACCGTGTGCTGGGCGCATCTGTAGCAGCTGTCGAACGGGTCGCAGTTGTAGATGGCGAACGAAGACGCCGAGGCAGCTGCCAGACACGTTCTGTCCTGGTTGAAGCTCAGCAGCGTGAGCATTCGGGTAAATTGGATCCAATGTTCGGTACAGTAAGGTCTTTTAGATTGGACGACGGCGTGAGCCCACTTCTTCCACCCCTTCCTCTTCTCCAGCCTCCCCTTATCGTCCCTCCTCTGCACCCCGCCTCACCCTCTCCCTCTCTTTGTCTCCCCGCTGCCGCTGCCATTGTCTTGCGATGTCACCGTCACAACAAGACAGCTGTCGTGTCACGACACCAAATGCAATTTGGTCACGTGAGCCCCGGAGAATCTGCTTTGCTTTTTCTTCTTTTTTTTCAAGATTTGTCGACGGGTAGTTGTTTTTCCGTGCTGCAGATATTTTTCCGGAGTTGCCTCTTCGGGATGGCTCACGTCCCCTTGTCGCTGAGCTTGCATTCGAAAGAACACAAGGAGGCTCAGAAAAAAGCCCAGCTCCCTATGCTAAACCTCTGTCGAAAGCACAACAAAGACCGGAGAGTACGCAGAGTCGACTCTGCTGCAACTGCGGCAGTCGTAGTATAATGCACTCCGCAGTGAGACACGGACACGGATAAGAAACAATGCACTCCGCAAAAGGTACACTCCGGGTTTCGATGCTCGGTCGCAGAACTGCCGCTGGCAGTCGCCAAATGCCAAGCACGACTTTCTGCAACCACAACTTGGAGTGAGTTGCAGTGACGTCTGCAGCAACGTGTGTATCTACACGACATGCCGTGGTGACAGGAGCAGACGGGCCCGTTGTGCCTGCTGCTGGCTATTTCCGGAAACCGAGTCCACCGCACGCACGCTGGCCCTGCGCTTTTCCCGCGTGGTCTCTGTTCCACGCCAGGGCTGGAGTAGTGAAGGCGCCATTCCCAGCCGGACATCCCCTCCTCTCCACTAGCCATGTCCACCACGTTCTCCAGGTGCTACAGGTGCTCCAGGTGCTTCACGTCCCCGGCAAATCAGCATTGTCGTCGACCGACCGCCCCGGGCCCGGGCCTGCTCCCGGGGAGGGCTCTCTGGCCGTGTGGGGCGAGAAAAGCGGAAACCGGGCGCTGGCTGGGCAAAAAGCAGGGGCCGAGGAGAGGGGGGACGGGAGGAGGTCAGGAGGCCGAAGCACTGCGGGAACGGATGTCCCTGGCAGGCAGGATGTCCGCTGACGCTGGCGAAGACGTGAGGCCGGGTCCCCTCTTGCGGTGGCTGTGCTCTTCCTCCTCGTGGTGTTCTTGTGCCGCAGCTTTCTTGCGCTCTTCTTCCTTCTCTACAGTCTTTCTTCCTTGGGAAATCATTAGTTTTGCCCCAATTAGACACAGAACACGTCCGAGAATCAAACATAGAATAGAATAATGCCATCCGAAAAACATTGGAACTACGAAAAGGACATTGTCCGCTCCTCCATCAACGGTGTGTGTCTTGCCAACCCGTTTTTGAAGTACATCGAGGCCGAGAGAGTGGTGTACAACTCCAAGCCATCCGAAAACAAGGTCACACTTGTGTCCGGCGGAGGAGCCGGCCACGAGCCAACGCATCTAGGCTTTGTCGGGGACGGGTTGCTCGACGTGGCGGTGTCTGGGTCGATTTTTGCCTCCCCCTCCGTCAAGCAGATTCTCGCCGGTGTGAACTCCAAGCCTTCCAAGAAGGGAACAATCATTATCGTGAAGAACTACACAGGTGACATCCTACACTTCGGGTTGGCTGCGGAGCGTGCTAAGTCTCAGGGCACCAATGCCGAGATGTTGATTGTCCAGGACGACGTTTCCGTCGGTCGGACCAAGAACGGGATGGTTGGTAGAAGAGGGTTGTCCGGTACTGCGCTTGTCCACAAGATCGTGGGCGCCAAAGCCGCTCTGGACAACCACGCCGCATCCCTCGACGAAGTCCATGCCCTAGGCCAGAAGGTGATTGAGAACTTGATCACCATCGGTGCGTCTTTGGACCGTGTCACCGTGCCCTCCTCCAAGGCAGACTATGACGAGGCAGCAGAGGACAAGAGCGACGAAGAGGACGAGCAGATTGACGAGTTGGGCAAGGACGAGATTGAAATCGGCATGGGTATCCACAACGAGCACGGAATCAAGAGAGTCAACCCTATCCCAACGGCTGAGCATTTGGTAGAGACGTTACTCCAATACTTGCTTGACCCTAATGACAAGGAGAGATACTACGTTCCATATGAGAAGGACGACGAGTTTGTCCTCATGGTAAACAATCTTGGTGCCACCTCTAACTTGGAATTGTATGCCATCCAGTCGATTGTCACCGAAAAATTGGCCTCATTGTACAAGATCAAGCCAGTGAGAATCTACACGGGCTCCTTCACTACTGCTTTGGACGGTCCTGGGTTCTCCATCACGATGTTGAATGTCACCAGGGCTGGCGGCAACGAAATCTTGAAATGTCTAGACCTCCCAACCTCCGCTCTTGCCTGGAACTCGGCAGTCACCCCCGCACAGTGGTCCGAGCTAGGCTCTCACATCATTACGGAGCCTCCAGCCATCAACAAGGCATCTTCTAACGTCAAGTTCAGCCCGGCCACAGTCGAAGCCATCTTGAAGGAGGGCTGCAAGAGGGTGTTGGAGGTTGAGCCAAAGGTCACCATGTACGACAGCGTTGCCGGTGACGGTGATTGTGGTGAGACCTTAGCGTCTGGTGCGCACAGTATCACAAAGGCATTGCACGAAAAGAAACTCGACACTAAGGACGCCGTCAAGATGTTTGACGAAATGGGTGATTTGGTTGAATCCGCAATGGGTGGTACCTCTGGTGGTTTGTATTCCATCTTCATCTCCTCCATGGGAACTCACCTTAAGAAACAGGAGGAAAGCAGAGGTGGCTTTACCGTATCGGAGAAGGATTTTGCAGACACTGTGGCCGCAGGATTGGCAGGTCTACAGAAATACACTCGTGCACGTGTCGGAGGCAGAACCCTCATGGATGCGTTGATCCCATTCGTCGAGACTTTCAAGGATACGTGCGACGTTTCAAAGGCAGCAGAGGCGGCCCAGAAAGGTGCCGACAGCACCAGAAAGTTGGCCGCCAAGTTCGGAAGAGCCTCGTACGTTGGTGAAGATGAATTCAAAAGATTCGACAGTGAAGGTGGTCTTCCAGACCCAGGTGCCATCGGCTTGGCTGCCCTTCTCGGGGGCTTTGTTGCCGGCTACAAGAGCGTGTAAGTCTGTTATTTTCTCTCTCTATTTTCTATTTCCTCTTTCCGTTCATTCACAGCTGCTAGTGTAGTCTTAACTAATGTATGAAATGCCATATTAAAGCGTACGCGAGAAGATAAAATCTCGCCAAATCCGGAATTAAGGAATTACAAACTGACGAGGGGAGGGAGGGAGGTTATATAAATACAGGGGCGGAACGATCTGTCAACCGTTGTATCCGAATCCTTCACTGACATCAGCGTGCCGTGCTGCTCGGCCATATCTAACAATTCAGTTAGGAAGAAACACACGAGACTATGAAGCTCTATATAGACTCCGATCCGTTCCTCTTTCTCAGACCGTTTCCTGCAAATCCCTCCAACCAGCTCGTTGAGCACTGGCATGAGGTGGCATTCTTTACAGCTGCCTTCCACGGCATCATGCTAGCCGCACCATGGATCAATTCAAGGGTGTTTGGGAAGTTCTACGACGACCTAGCAAAGAAAGAGGAGAAGACCAAGCTGAACTTTGACATCAGAATCGTCTCCCTCGTTCAAGCCATCGTCTCCGTGTTCCTCTGCATCCCAATGTTCCTCCATCCAATGTTCCGGGAAAACCCCGTCAGGGGAAGCTACCCCTTTGCTGCATTGGTCAACTCGTTTACGGTCGGGTACTTTATCTGGGATTTGCTGTACTGTTGTGTTTTCCACTACGACATATTCGGTCCAGAGTTTTTGTTCCACGCGTTTGGTGCATTAACGGTCTTCGGAGTCACCTACACACCATTCTGTCAGCCATACCTCTGTTCCTTTTTGATTTACGAGTTGAGCACACCATTTGTTCAACTACACTGGCTGTTCACTAGATCTCCAAAAGGTATGTGGTCTGACAAGCTCATCACAATCAACGGGTTGTTCTTGATCTCTGCCTTCTTCTTCGTGAGACTGATCTGGGGTGTATACGCCACCATTCAGAGTTTTTTCCTCTGTTGGCCAGAGAGAAGTTACTACCCCTTCTGGTTGCTCCCTATGATCTACATCCTCAACTCGGGCTTCCAGTTCTTAAACTTCATGTGGTTCGGCAAGATGATCAAGCTCGCTACCAAGATGCTGGGCGGTAAAACTAAAGCCGCCGAGAAAGAAGAGTAGTCGGCACCTTTCTCTACCGCAAATGTATATATATGCATAGTTATAACTTAGTGTCTGTAAAAAGAAATTGATGATGAATCGAAGAATCAAATCTTATAACTTGTAAATATCAACTTTTATCAGCTACAATCTTCGCTATCAAACGAAGAAAACAAAAATTAGGATATAAAATTTTTATGTTTTTGCCCTGACAAGTTTCCTGAAATAAGCTGCATCTACTAAGCTTCATCACTCTTCGCCACAACCCTCCCAAAAGACACATTTACACACTAAACAACAGCCATCATGTCCAAAGTGGGAGTCCTGACACTTGGTCCAGCAGGTGCTGGAAAGACAACGTTCTGCAACTCGGTTATGTCCTATATGGAATCCATCGGCCGTACTGCACATTTGGTCAACCTCGACCCTGCTGCAGACCCAACAGAATACTCCTTCAGCATCGACATACGTGACTTGATCTCTATAAGCGATGTGCAGGAAGAACTTGGACTTGGGCCAAATGGGGCCTTGATATATTGCTTCGAGTTCTTGATGGATAACCTTGACTGGCTCGACGAACAGATTGGGGATTACAATAACGACTATTTGATTTTCGATTGTCCAGGACAAGTCGAATTGTATTCACATGTTCCCATAGTTCCTCTGCTTGTGCAACATTTGCAACAACAGCTTGGATTTAGACTCTGTTGCACATATCTTTTGGAAGCACCATTTGTTGTCGACAGAGGTAAGTTTTTCTCCGGTGCATTAAGTGCAATGTCTACCATGATATTCCTTGAACTACCACATATAAATGTTCTCTCAAAAGTAGACTTGATCAAAGATACCGTTGGGAAACGAGAATTGAAAAAATTCTTCAACCCTGATCCTAGATTGCTAGAAGAATATAATGATGAAGACAAGGGTGATTATGTGACAGGTAATGAAAAATTCAGAAAGTTGAACAAGGCTATCGCCCAGCTTGTGGACGATTTTGGTATGGTGCAGTTTTTACCATTGGATTGTAGTGATAAGGATAGCAATAAGAGTGTGGAGTTAATTCTAAGTCACATTGATGATGTCACACAATGGAACGAAGCTCAAGAGCCAAAGGAACCAAAAGATGAGATAGAGATACCAGATGATGATGATGATTTCGAATAGATGTGTAATAGAACAGGTGTATTAATGTACATTTATATAGCGTGTGTATACATGAGAAAAGAAATAGGAAAAAGAACAAAACCAAGAAAGCTCTTGTCATGATTCTACGTTGTTTTCTACTTTCACAGGTGCAGGAAAAGTTATAGTCGATTTCTTTGCTTTAGATGACTTTACCTTTATCTTTTGATTGACTTTGTTCCTGTCTGTGTATAGGTGATCATATAGCTTTACCAAACCTGGAATCATTTGGCAATCACCAACGACAATCAAATCAAAATAATCAACGTAGTCTATAACATTTTTGGGTGGCTCGTCGATATTCATCCATATCACGTAACCCTTGTTTGAGTGGACAACTTTTGCCATCTCCTTCACCAACCTTCTGACCCCGGGAATTTTCAATGTTGTTCCCGTGACAATCAGACAGTCAGGCTTGCTTTTTAGGTCTTTTTCTGTTATAGTACCTATTATTTCACCATCTGGGTGAAACTCGTTGTATAGCACGATTCTTGGCCTCAAAATTCCTGAATTCTGAAGTCTTTTGCCGGCAATTTCCCTTACTAAGTTCATTTCCTCGCACGCAGGGCAAGATCTGATTAATCTACTTTCTCCAAACTTTCTGCTTTTAAAATACTCTTGGTTGAGTTCACTTATGTAATTGCATTTCGAGCAGTTCAGCAGCTTGACATTTCCATGAAGTTGGACAGCTTTAGGGTTCGAGTTTTTATCGAAAGTTAGCGGTATTTCCGTTTTCAAATGTGGCAGTTCAATGTCCAAGCAGTCAATATTTTGCGTATATAGCCTCAACAATCTCCCCTGATTAGACAATTCGTCTATCATGAGATGGAAGGGGGACGGTTTGGATTCCTGTGAAAGATGGTAAAGTTTCTCTATCATTTTTTCAAATTTGCCAATGGACTCCGGATGCCTAAAAACGTTATAATCGAACAAGTTCTTTCCTGATCCTGTTGTTTTTGACGCTAGGCCTTGGAATAGTCCCTCTGAGGAACGGAAATCAGGTATACCCGAGTCCACTGAAATACCTGCACCAGTTATGACAACTGCTTTTTTGCAGTACGACAAGGCGAAATGAAGGAAGTACAAGTCTTCGATTTCAACTTGCTCATCCAAGGGAGAACGAAAGTCCAGGTTGGTCAACTCTAGCACTGTGCATGGTGGGGGCCGGAACTTCAACTTGGGTTTTCTAGTGAACTCGTACTTCGGGAGTTCGCTCGAAAGTTTGTAATGTTGTAATATAAGGTTCAGCGTTAGCAGATTCTGCTTCAGATGACTGCTTTGATCCGAACCGGGCACTGCGCCTGGTCGTAAGTTCCGCAGAAAGGACTTGTCGTCCTCCTTTTTCAGCCAATCATCCTCGCTACCAGTAGCTTCCTCTTGCTTTATGAATGTGCCGTCCAAGTCCTGATCGGAATCGTCTTCTATTTTGACGACCATTTTTGGCTCAGCTGTTTCAGACTTGATTGCGGCCGTCTTTCGTTTTGGACTTCTCTCTTCCAACAACGTGTCCGGCAATCGTTTGTGCTCTCCAACCTTTGACATTACGGCGAGCTGTGAATATATGATGGTGTCGTTTCTGAAACAAGCCGCCTCTTTCTGGTGGCAACAGACAGAAAAAGAGCTTCTTTCCCTGTGTGCCGGAGACAAAATAAACTCGAAAAAGGAAATGTCATTAGCTGCGCTTGCTTCTTTCCTATCCTTTTTTTTTTCCTTTCTCCTACCGCATAAGGGAAAGACGCGTTCGGATAAGCAGGGGGGCGGCCGAGAAAAACCGTGGAGCCTTGTGTGGTTTGTCTTGAACATACGAACAGTCAATTGAAACGTTGGCCCATGTTTATGATATTGGTATCTTATAAAAGAACAGGATACAATTAGAAGAGGTATCAAAATGGCTTTTTCTGGCTGATGTAATCATGTTTTTGTTAACTCCTCCTCAAAAAGTTTTTGGCCTAAATTTTCTACTACAGCATTTTTTTTTAAGATGATTATGTAATCAAAAAATAGTGTTTCCACGTGATCGAGCCGCGATATATGCCTTTTGTATTCAAAAATGTGTCCTTCGGGACATATGGTCAATCGAAAAAATACAGAGAAGATTAGCATGGCCCCTGCATAAGGATGACACGCTTTACAAAGAGATCTTACTCATACTTTTTTTTGCGTTACCATAGTTTGGTGGGTATGTAGAACGAAAGCGGTGGACACTGTGTGTAGACTCTTGTCGCTCAGCAGCCCAAAACTAGCTCTCCAAGCTGCAAGCGGTATGTGCAGCAGTAGCACACGACCACTGTTCGAGTCTCCATCCCCCGCACTGCAGCTAATTTTCCCGCACGTGCCCGATGAATTCCGCTCGATTCGATTTTTTCTCCGAACTGGACAGTAGCAATATCGTTTGGGATTGATATCGGAGGCTACTTAGACTTGGTATTTTCCAGACAGGCTGAAAAATTTGCTGTACTCTTTAATCTTTTTAGATAATCTACAAAAACACTTTGCCGCATTAGCCAAGCAACGTCTGAAAACCAACAATGCCACCTAAGAAAGGACAGTTCCCGGAAAGGCCACCCACTTTAGCCGAAGCCTTGTACCAGGGCAAAGAGATCGGCACAAAGCCCGACAACTACGAGCAGATCTTGAAAGATTTGAATCTGGATGCCCTCAAGAAGCAGGAACAGAAGGAGCCTGAAAAGAAAGTTGAAACGACGAAGGTTGTCACCAGCACCAAACCAAAGCAGGCAAAGAAGGAGACTTCTTTGAAGGCAGTCAAACAGCTCGATGCTCACATTGACGCTCCGATTCCTGCCGAAGCCCCTCCATCTATCAATTCGACCTACATTCTTCCAACAGAATGTGAGGCCGTGACAAACCTACAAATGGACTATTTGTTGAACCGCAAATCCGCCTTTATTCGTTCTGTTATCAGCTCCCGTGTCTTTTCCTCTCTCGGGTTTGGCTTATTTACAATGATCGCCTACTACAAAGTTGGTGACTACTTCACCGAATATACATTCAAAAAGGGCACCTGGAACGGAGTGAAGTCGTTGTACAAAAATGGTTATTTTATTGACGATGCTATCACAATGTTGTTTATGATTGCCATGCTTGTAGCCACATTTTTCACGTTCTTGAAATTCCTTTCCAATCCATTACAACAGGAAGCTGACACAGTACCAAAGAATTTTGAAAAGTATTTTGGAATAGACCTCAATAAATACGCGGCTTTGTCTGATGTGGAGAAAAACTACAACAAGTTGAATAAGGCCGACAAGGACTTGGTCAAACATATGAAAGACAATACTTTCTGTATTGTCTACAGAGACGTCCCTGTTGCATTTTTAGCATGCAAGCAGAAAAAGTCTACTTCCGATGACAAGGTCGATGTTGAGATTTCTGCATATGCTGTTCGAAGGGTCTATGTCAAGGCTGAACTTTTCAAGGATTTGATCTCGATGGTCTTCAAAAAATTTGTCACGAACGAAAAAAGTAATGTCAACCAAATTTCAGTCGACGTTTACAATTTCGAGACATTTGACATCAACATTCTCAAGAGGGCAGGATTCTACAGACAAAAAAGACACAGCTTGGGCTTTTTGCTCACTTCTGTTTTGGGAATGACCAAAGACACATATGTCTTTGAGTCGGAATCGATCGAGTTCTGATGCCACACCCCTTAGGTATCAAACCGATATGCATCTTGTATGCATTACTTACCTTCTATAAACGTTCTCTATTATGATAGCTTTACACCACTGTAAATAACACGGACACAGATTAAGGTTTTCCTGACAAAAAGTAGAGCAAATTTATTCCACTGTTGGAAAAACCAAAATTGCTCATCGTAACCGCTCCGGCTTGTTTTTTGATGGGGGTGGAAAGGCTCAAACAACAATTTTTCTCCTGCTTTCCTTCAACATCACCTGTCTTTCTAGGAGCACACCAACTGTTGCCAAGAGTTAGAATCGGTAAAGTACTCTCTAAGTCTACTGGTGGATATTGGATCGTTTTTACCCTTATGCAAAACTTTTAATTGGTCAGTATATGCCTGCTCCCATACTAAGGTCTTCGAAGAGGTAATTCGACATTACCAATCTAAGAAATGCTTCCACCTTTAAAAAACTTTGAACTATGTAGTCTTTAAATTCAATAAAAAATTCGTGTATTTAAACCACATCAATGCTCCATAATTAGTGGTTTTTGGAGAGCAGAATCTAACTATTTTATAACATAATCTTGTATGGAAAACAGGTCTGCCACTTTCCTCATACTGTACCACAAAACAATACAAGATGAAACTGGCCACATCGCTGTTACTGGCATTAACCGGGTCATGTCTAGGATCGAGTTTCAACACTTCTAGCATTATTGATTACAACGTAACCCGTTCCTCCTATCATATCGCTGTTGGCAATGATACTGATTATAGCTATTGGTCGTTGATGGCAACCAACGCTTCCTTGTCATATGCAGACGGATATAACGTTACAGTTGCAATAATAGGTGATGGTGTCAATTCCAAATACCTTTTATCCAATGATTCTGTTCATTCTGTATTGGACGTGTACTCTAATTCCACGTATCTTTTCTCCGAGAATGAACTCACTGAGGATACTCTTGCGGCTAAAGTCTTACTTGCTAATGCTCCTGCCACCAAGATCAAATCGTACAAAATTTTCAAAAACTCTGATTCAACCACATCCATTACTTCCAAGCTTGTATCTGCTGTTCTAACTGCCGTCAACGACAAAAGCGTTGATTTTATTTACATCAACACATGGCAGGCTTATGGTGGCTGGTCGGAATCCTACCTCTCGGAATTAATGAATGAAGCTGGTCGTCAAAAGCCTATTGTCTTACCAATGGGCCAAAGCAATGGCATTTTCCAGTTCTCCGATGGTGCAGCTGCTGAGAATGTCATTGCTGTTGGTGGCGCAGGTTACGAAGGTGTACCAGGGTTTGCTACCGATATTGATGGCGAGATATATGGAGTCTATGCGGAAAAAGCAATGAATCTTTGGGCTAATAATACATTAGTTCTTGGACAATTAGACTCCAATTGTCGCTTGAAAAGCAACGTCAGTGATCATGAATCCAATCTTTTATTCATAGATGTTGGTAACTGCTCCTCTGATCAGATTGTTGAAACTGTTATTGAATCAAATTTCACGCAGTTGTTGACTACTGGTGAGGAGTATCAGCTTTATAATTTTTCCGCAAAATCTGGCTATACTTCTGCTATGATCGGTAGGGAAAATGGAATGAAAATTCTTAAGCGCCTAGAAAATGGAGATACCATTGTTGCCCACAAAAGATTTGATGAAAACATGATTGTCGTCGATTATGAATTCGACGAATATTCAATAAATTTTAACTCCTCAATGGGCCCAACTCTTGACCTTTATTTGAAGCCTAATATCATAGCTCAAAGTGCTTTCTTTTTTGATGATCTAAACGTCTACGCATCTGGAACCTCTTTATCTGCAGCATATGTTGCAGGTGTCGTTGCGGCATATGCATCCGGGATGAGGGACAAAAGTTGGTACAACGGTATTGTTGACAGAGTAACCACCTCTGGTGATCAAGTGAATTTTAGGAATTTGACGCACACTTCATCTGAGATTGAGAATCCAATTGTTCAAGGTGGTGGTATTATCAATGCTGAAGATTTTGTTCTTAAGAATTATGATATCAGTCCAGGTTTTTTTGCACTGAAAGAGGCTAAAACTACTAGTGAGATCACTTTCAGCATCACTAATAACAATGATAAAGCCGCAAAGAGATTTCATATCAGCGGTTTGGATGCTATCACAATATACTCACAAGATTTAGATATTGATGCCAACAACAACAATATGTACCCATTTCCAATATATGGAAATGTGACGGCTGCCACAGTGGTTATTGAGAAGAACACTATTCTTGTTCCAGGTGGAAAATCTGTGAATGTAACTGTCTTGATAACACCACCAAACTATTGTAGTGAAGCCGACCGGATACCAGTATATGGTGGCTACATCCAAGTCAAAGATTTGAGCACAAATATAGTTTCTAGTATTCCATATTTTGGCAGCACTGTTGAGTTCCATTCGCTGGAAACACAAACCGACGAGGAATTCTATTGGAAAGAATTCCATTATGAACCAGATGGAAGATATTGTGATATGTGGGTCAATGGATCTGTTGTCAACGATACAAACCATTTCATGCAGATATATTTCAATGACCGGATTGGGTCTCCGCTGATCGATATCCTCGTTGTTGAGAAAGATTGGACCGAGACTGATTTTGTTTATCCTCCAGTTCCCGGGCAAAACAAGTTTATTGAGCGTATCCAGGGTACGAGATATCCCGGTGGGTACCCATGGCACTATGCTCCGAGATCGAACACGACGCTTGATGACCAGTGGGATGACTGGCACGATGGGTTGCTTGCTAATGGGAGCGTTTTACCGGCTGGGGAGTACAAAATTCTTCTGCGAATCCTGAAACACAATGTGCAAGATCCGAGCGATTGGGACGAATGGTACAACCATGTTTCTCCGTGGTTTGTGATGGACTATGCGAACGTCACTGAGGTAGACCTTCCACTGACCACCATTTCGATTTCGCAGACTACGCTGAAGACTGTTTCAACTAGTGCCGCTGCCGCCTCCACCTCCTCGATGGATATGGCTGGAATGCACATGTAACAATGCGGAGCTATCAAGTAGTCTATGTGGTCATTATGCAGAATATATTAATTTTTATCTATAAGAGAATGTAAAGATGGTCCAAACTGTATGTGGAGGATGCGTTTCTATACAGGGAGGGGGAAGAGTAGTGAGCAAAGAAGATATTTGGAGGTTTTTCTAGTGGACGGGTGCGTCGGAGTTTTCGTGCAGACGAAACACTTCGGAGTAGTCGTCGTGGTGGTCGAGGGGCAGTTCTCTGAGGTAGCCGGACTCGACGTCGTAGACGAGGGCGTAGAGCTCGACGTCGCCGCGTGCGTGGGCCTCGACGTAGGAGGAGTTTTTCTGGATGGTGTTGACGGAGTTGAGGACGTTGAGCTCCACAAGACGCTTGCAGCGGTCGTTGATGTCGTCGATGGCCTTCAACTCGTCGAGGTGCTGGGCCCGCACGTGTCTGACGGAGCTCAACCACTGGTCGAGGGCGCCGCCGGCCTTCTTGTTGGAGAGAGAGGCCCAGACGCCTCCGCAGTCCGTGTGGCCGCACACAATCACCTTGCTCACCTTGAGCACCTCGATGGCGAACTGGATGGCGGACATGGACGACACGTCCGAGTTGTTGATCACGTTGGCGATGTTTCTGAGCGTGAACACTTCGCCGGGCAGACACCCGAGCGCCGTGCACTCGTTGATTCTCGAGTCGCCGCAGCCGATCCAGAGCGTGTGCGGCTGCTGGCCCTTTCCGGAGAGAGGCATCACCGCCGGGTGCTCCGCCTTCAGCTTGTCCATGTTGCGTCTGTTCGCGGCAAGGTAGTCCTTGAGGGTGGAGTTTTTCGAGAGCGTGAACGGGTAGCTGTCGCTGTGTGTGTGGCCGAGCGAGGAGCACGACACTGCTGCTGCTGCGGCGGCGGCAGGGGCCGTCGCCGTGGATGCGGATTCGTTCATGGTCATCATCTTGATACGCGGGAAAACCTTGTAGGCGGAGAGTCTGGAGTGTGTGTTTTGCAGGGAGGACAGGAAGCGGTGGAAGAAAATGGTGGCGGATGTGCTGCTGCACTGCTTGCTTTCTGGATGCTCTTATATGCTGTTCTTCTTGTACATCTACATCTACAACTGCATGCCAGCACGCCCACCCCTCTCTCTCAGGAGCGGGCCCCCGCTGGCTTATATGCTGCTGCTGCGTTTTGCGCCTGCCTTCTGCTCTGTTGGGCTCCCCCTCCGCCCCGCCTCTGACGTCCTGCCTCTGCGTCTGCTCCTCTTCACCACCTGCTCCGGCCAGCGATGATTCATGTAGCCAGCAGCCCGCCGCCGCGCACAGCCCAGACGCACCTCTGCTGACGTCGCTGAGGTCATCCGTCGTGCCGCCGGCTACTGCGGGCGCAGCGCCGCGGCGGCGAAATCCAGGTCGAGGTCGACGAGGCCGGCGGCGTCGACGGCGAGCCCCGCGGCATCGATGAGACCCATCCACTCGGTCCACTCGGTGCCAAAGTCGACTTCCGCGCCGGCGAGGTCGAGGGCCGGGCTGGTGTCCGGGGGGCCCGAGGGTGGAGGCGGGGACTCGGCGCGCCGGCGGAGACGGTCGTGCTCCGCGGCGAAGGAGAGACCCAGGTCGTCCAGCAGCTTGCGCTCGAAGCCGGCAAAGCTGTCGCGGGCGAGCCCCCACACGGTGCCGGCGTCGCGCAGAACGTGTAGGTTGCGGAGCAGCAGGTCGAGCAGCGGGTGGTCGACGGGGGCGGCACGGTTGTGGCGGCGGTCGCGGTCTATGATGAGCAGGACGACGCTGGCGACGAGGATGCTCGAGTAGACAATGAGGATGGAGCAGCGGCGGCAGCCGTACTTGGCGACGAAGCCGGCGATGGCCAGGTCCAGGGTGGCGACGGCGGGGACAACGACGTCGTCGCGGACGCGCTGCTGCTGGTCGGCGAGGGAGTCGGGGGAGTCGCGTGCCGGGTCCAGGAAGGGCCGGTTCACGCAGAGCAGCACGATGTAGTAGTAGTAGACGTGGACCATGTCGGGGGGCTTGGTGCTGCGGGCGCGGAGGGCGTCGGTGTCGGGCCAGCGCAACTCCGGGAGGAGGGCGGCGCGCCAGGCGGCCAGGTCGCGGTTGAAGGCGGCGAGGCGGGCGTACTTGCCCGCGACGGAGTGCTCGAGCACGAAGATGCCATGCATGCTGCGCTCGGCCAGCACGATGAGCCGGATGATGCTGGTGAGCGGGTTGGACACGTCGATGATGTCCTTGTCCTTGAAGTTGAAGTCGGTGATCCAGTCGAGGTCCGGCACGCGGCCGCTGTCCTCGAGCGTGCTGTCGTCGATGTGCAGCACGGACGGCCGGCCCAGAATCATGCCGATGAAGTGGTCGACGATGAAGCAGCCCCAGTAGATGCGGCTCTTGAAGAGCAGCGACAGCCGGTTGATGCTGCGCTTGCTGCTGGCGAGGTTGGGCGACAGGTGGAAGCCCACGTCGAAGCCGAGCCGCAGCCCGACCCCGCTCAGCAGCCAGCACGAGCTGTTGCGCCCGCGGTACATGTCGTAGAGCCCCAGCAGCAGGAACGCCTGCAGCGACGTCACCGAGGGGGCTTCCAGCTTTGCCCACAGCAGCTCCCGTGCCTGGGCGTAGAACCGCTCCGAGACGGCCTGCGCCCGGGCACGGGCCTGTGCCTCCGCCGGCGGCGGCTCGGCCTCGCCGGCGGGCTCGTCCGCCGGCGCAAGAAGCGCCCCGATGGCGCACACCGCGTAGACAAGCTCGGGCGTGCAGTACGACTGCTGGCGGCTCGTCCGCGGGTGGTAGAAGTCGATGAGAAAGGTCTCCCGCGGCACAAACATGTGGATGTCTGGGTACAGCCACTGGAAGAAGCACTTGATGTAGCGGATCACCGTGGCGTCCTTGTTGAGCGTCTTCAGCGACACCGCCGCCACGGGCTCCGGGCCCTTCTCGGGCTCCCGCTCGCGCAGCGGCGACGTGGCGCTGTGGAAGATCGACGTGGGCCCGTACGTCTCCGGACTCACCGTGCTCGTGCCGATTCTCTGGAACGCCTTCGGCCTCGGGTACTTTCCTGCGGGCTCAGCGGGGCCGTCCGCAGCAGCGTTCGGGGCACCGCCGGTGCCCCCGCCACCAGCGTTCACGCCGGCGTCCCCACCCAGCACACCCCCAGCCGCCCGCTCCCCCGTCAGACCCTCGATGTACGCCTCCAGCTGCGCAACCCGCCCCCGCAGGTCCTGCAGCTCGTGCGTCGACGGCCGCAGCGACCGCCCGTCACTCGACGGCACACACTCCTTCCCGGCCCGCGTGCAGCTTGTGCACGGCACCCGCCGGTCCGAGTCGCACTTCACCTTCCTCGTCTTGCAGTACCGACACGCCTTGGTCACCCCTGCTGCTCCCGTAGCTCCTGCGGCGCCTCGGCCCGCTTCCCCGGACACGTGACCCGTCCGCAGCGGCCCCTTTTTCACCCGTTTCGGCTTCCCGCCGTCCATCGCTCTGTCGCCGTGCTCTCTGCCGTCTTCGTCATCCATAGCACGAGCCTTCTGTGCTGCCCCCAGTCTCCCCCGCCCCCCTGCACACGCAGCCTGCCCCGTCTTCCTCAACTTCCGTCCTATCTTCAACACCACACGGCGCAAAACATGTCGACCTCCAGCGCTCCTTTATCCACACCCGTGCACCATAGCTGCGCCTCCCGCGCCGATCGCCCCAAAATGCCCCGCCACACTCGTTCCTTTCCTTCCCTTTCCTTTCCTCCTCGTTTCGCTGGCTGCCTGGCGTTCGCAGCTCTCACAGCGGCTGCTCAGCACACTCACACGGTGCTCGCTCCAGCGAGTGTGTCTCAGTTTCCGTTCTCGACCTGTTTGTTGTTGTTGAGCTGTTTTTCCTTCTGGAAGTGCCGGCACAGCTGTGGCCGGGGCCCCTGTGCCCCCTCCTTCGGCAGGCACAGCTTGCTACTTCCCTACAACCACACACACCCGCCTCTTGCTAGATTCCGACACCTCGCTTCGAAAACAGGTGGTAGATATCAGAAAGCCAGGTAGCGATTTCGACCCAGACACAGATCCATCAGCAGATCAGCCGATCAGCAGACCGAGAAACAGCGACGACGACGACGACGACGACGACGGCACCGACGACAGCAACAACGACGACAGCATCGAGTGCACCAACAGGGATATAGATCACGTTCCCTGCACCGCATCCTCCATTTCGAATATTTGTTGTCCATCTTCCCCCTTTCCCCCTCTCTTTCTTCCTGCTAGAAGAACCACGGTAGAATAGAAGCACCGCCTGTTTTGCTGCACTGAACTCCTCCGATCTCATCTTTGCTATCATTGGATCCCTTCCTGTTAATTGCATCGGCATCTTCCTGTCCTTCATTTTTTTCCAAAAAAGTTCCCAAATCCAGACTTACCTTGTTCTTCTTTAACTTGTAAGCCATCTCACTGTCTTGAAAATGTCTTCCAGACAAAACTTACAGTCGCCTGCTGTCGCAGCAGCCGCTCTTGCAGCCTCAAACAACATAGGGTCCTCAAACTTCCAGAGCAACACCAACGTATCCAACGTCCCTCAGTACTCCCAGACCGGCCAGCAACAGCAACAACAATCGAGCCAGCAACAGCCAAGTCAGCAGAACCTGATTAACCAAAACACTCCTTCTCAATCTCAGAACCCTTCTCAATCCCAATCTCAATCCCAAAATTCAAATCAAGTGGTTGGTTTACATTACAAGATTGGCAAAAAAATTGGTGAAGGATCCTTTGGTGTCATTTTCGAAGGTACAAACTTGATCAACGGCGTCCCCGTCGCAATCAAGTTTGAACCAAGAAAGGCCGAAGCTCCTCAGTTGAGAGATGAATACAGAACCTATAAGCATTTGAGCGGAGTCAAAGGTATTCCAAATGCCTACTATTTCGGCCAAGAGGGACTACACAACATTTTGGTCATAGACTTGTTGGGGCCTTCTTTGGAAGATTTATTTGACTGGTGTGGCAGAAAATTTTCTGTCAAAACAGTGGTCCAAGTGGCTGTCCAAATGATCACCTTAATTGAGAGAGTCCATCAGCATGATTTAATCTACCGGGATATCAAGCCTGATAATTTTTTGATTGGCAGACAAGGCTTACCAGATGAAAACTCCGTCCACTTGGTCGATTTCGGTATGGCCAAACAGTATAGAGATCCTAGAACAAAGCAACACATTCCTTACAGAGAGAAAAAATCTTTGAGTGGAACCGCTCGTTACATGTCCGTCAACACACATTTGGGCCGTGAACAATCAAGGAGAGACGACTTAGAAGCCCTGGGTCATGTTTTTTTCTACTTCCTACGTGGCCAATTACCATGGCAAGGTTTGAAAGCCCCAACTAATAAACAGAAATATGAGAAAATTGGTGAAAAGAAACGTACAACCCCAATTAGTGAACTGTGTGCTGGCTTACCACCTCAGTTTGGCCGTTACCTTGAAAGCGTTAGAAATTTGCAATTCGATGCTGAACCAGATTACGAACATTATCGCCAATTGCTCCTATCAATTTTACCAGATATAGGAGAAACCGCTGATGGCCATTATGACTGGATGGATTTAAATGGCGGCCGTGGTTGGGATTTGGCAATAAATAAAAAACCAAACTTACACGGTTATGGCCATCCAAACCCACCAGGTGAAAAGCGTCACCAAAAACGTCCGAAACAACATCAACATGGTTATGGCCAGCATCTTTCTTCCCAACAACAGACACAACAGGCACAAGCCCAAGCACAACAACAGTCTCAATCTCAACCACATGGTGTTTCTAATAATGCAGGTCAAAATGGAATTCCAAATATCAACTCTACAGGTAATAACAACATCGGCACTAATGCCAACAAAGGCTTCCAATCGAATATCCAAGATAACGGTATCAGCGATGGTTTGAATGACAATGGTTTTGTCAATGGCTCCAACGTTCGGAATTCAAACCAGGTTGTAAATGACACAGCTGGTGCGAACGGTAACATTGTGGGTGAAGTGAAACCACTTCCAAACTTACCAACACATTCCTATTCCAAGCCAACCGGTGGTGAACGCGCCAATCACGCACAAGGTAAAACAACAGGAGATGATGAATCCGATAAGGGCTGTTTTGGAAAGCTCATGTGCTGTTAGGCCATGGCCAATATTTTCAGCTCAGCTCAGCAGAAGAGTCAACTTGATTATATGCTAACTAATTAATACCTGTGGCTATTTTGTTCCTACCTGATTGTTTGTTTCTTCTCATTGTAATGTTTGTCAACATTACAGAGTTTTTTTTCTTGCTGGAATGTTTGCTGCCGTTTAGTTTCAAACTTGTGAGGACAAACAGATTTTTTTAATAATATATTGTGTGATACTAGCTAATTTTTTCCCGTATAAAAGATGTGTATATAGATAGACTTATTTATGCACTTCATTTCAATACGTATCTATAGCGAATACACATTATACTTCCGTTTATTTATCTCTTTACACTTCTGTGGTTGTAAACTGAAAAAAAGTAGAACGATTATGAGTACTGAGTTTTGAGTTGTCGGACAACATCATTTCTTCCATCTATGAGATTCGTCACCTCCAGCCCACTTGTGTTCGACATAACCTAGTCTTTTTTTCACCTCATGGACTGTGTTGGAATCACCCATGTTTTTCCCAGCGTTGTCACTAATTTTTATAGCATGACCACCACCGCAAGTGAGTAGTTTCATGACAATGTTCATTGGTTCGGTGTCAAAATCGTTCGTAAGGTTTGTCCCAATTCCAAAAATCGAGTTGATTGCACACTCTTGACTGTCACAAACCTTCTTCAAGTCAATGCATTTGCTTACATTGAGGGAATCGCTGAAACAGATCAACTTTCTTTTGTCACCAGAGTACCCGTGGTTATGGTACCAAGCACTGAGCTCTCTTGCATACTCTTTGGGATCACCACTGTCCTGTCTCACTCCGACGTAGTATCCAATATAAGGTTCCGTGAATTGTTTCAAAAAGTTTTCTGTTCCATAAGTATCAGTCAATGCCAAGCCTGCATGTGACGGACCAACCAACTCGACGTATTGCTCCATTGCAAGCCTATTTGCGGTCAAATACGCCTCGTAATTAGGCTCACCATCCACAGTGCTTGTTATCATCGATTGTATCGCCCCGACTCCCATCATCCACTCGTGCCCGATGGTACCAATTGGGTTAACATCAAACTCCTTGGCAAAAAAAACATTGGAAGTACCTAGAAATTTCCCCTTAAAATCAGAGTTTTTAGCAGCTTTCATGATTCCTTGCATCACAGTTCTTTGTACTTCAAAGCTACGCCTACGTCTAGTTCCAAATTCACTGAACGTGCATCCAGCTTCAAGGAGCTTCTCTGTTTTCGTAAACGCTTGGGAATGCACCAGCTCAAAGTCTGGCTTGGGTAGTGATTCAATGAATTCACCATTCTCTAAGATTGCTACTTCCTTTCCTTCGATTTTCCACTTTTTATCAATAAACCTGAAGTAGCATTCGCTCAACAGCGAAAGAATCGGGATCTCATACAAAGTCACCACCTCCCAGTCTCCACATGCCGTAATGGTTAAGTTGTACTCATCTCCGCTAATCTCTGGGACAATTTTGATTTCCTTATCCGGATTCAAGCTCACTGTTCTCAACCATTCGAAATGATCGTCGCCAAGATATCCGATTTTCGTCTTCAAATATGCAATCTCCTCATTAGTGAACCTCAAACTTTCAAGACTTTTGATTTGTTGACAAAGCCAGTCATATGCTTTCCTGTTGAGTTTCTTGTTTGGAGTTCTATTCGTTAGTAGAAATTCACATGGAACTTTGGGATAGTGCTTATGAATGGCAGCCTGCATAGTAATCTTATAAAGATCTGTGTCCAACAAGGACGTAATAATAGGAGTCACAGCCATGTCTGTACCAATTTTAATGTCTTGCAGTGATCTGATTTCTCGGTTTCACTCAATTGTGAAAAGAAGACAATCATATCTCCCAAAACTGGCACCATTCATGTCATATAGACTACCTCCCAGATATCTCCAGTTCTCTCCCCACGGAGATCTCAGTCTCATCCCACCTTCCGCGCTGACGTAATTGCACACACTTTCTGAAAATTAACTTCATATTAACTCGTATATCATGCAACTCTAAAGCGTTTCAGCATACAAGCGATTGATCATTAGAGGTTTCAATATGATGCACTCGTTAAAGAGTAGACAGAGACGATCTGTAGACACTGTATTGCATCTTCCCAAATTATAATACAGAATAAAATACATAGTTGAGACTATTGTACAGAAAAGAGTTTTTCAAACCAGAGGCTTTTCTTCTCCAAGATATATCACCTCATCCTCAGCAAAGCTTTCATCACCATAGCCGTCTGGATTAACTCTTGACTTGTCGTAATCAAATGACTTGGTATCTTCTAACTGAAATATGCGTATTGTATCCAAAACCACAACTTCATCTCCCCAGTTACTATGGATAACTACCATAAAGTCGAGAACATTCCATTTCCTTATCTCTAGTTTGACCTCATCATTCCAAATGAGCGGCTGATATGCACGATTCGAATTTATGTCGTATTTGAGTTCACCCACACGTACCCATCCAGCTAGGCCATCTGCCTTAACCTTTTTGGAAATATTAAACTTGAGGTCTTGATTGTAAAAGGCACCCATAGCCTCTTTCATAGCCGTTTGTTCGGTGGCTATGGGGCGAACCAGGTACTCAACGTTTTTTGGTGCTGTGTTGAACCAACGTTTACGAACATCAGCTTTAGCTGCATCATCCACGTGGTTCATGTTTGGAGGCTGTCTGGAGTGATAAACTCCCAACTCATGGATCTTTATTGGTTCTGGAGCCTGGACGGTCAAGTAAATTGGCACTGCGGAGGCGACACTTTGCCAAAAAAGCGAGGGATGTTCTAAGAGGACGTTTCTTGGACTATTTGATGGAGATAGTAGTTTAATATCGGCCAAGGTCTTGACAACGGAATTACCGGCTTGAGAGGTTGCTGGATTTAGCATCCTTTTCATGAAATCTGGAAATCCATGAATGATTCTTGATTGGATAGTTTTGCGACGTTTTTCTCTTTTGTATTGGGACAAAGGAGGGTAAGAAGTAAGCTGTAACGACACATGGCATTTGTTAGCGATATTGAAAAACTTGGAAGAAACTTTGTGCAATTTGGTATCCTTTGCTTGATTGGCGTGCCCAACATGATCACCAGAGTATCTGACAATTTGGCCCTTCATCTCTTTTAGAAACTTTTTATCCGCAATATCCCGGGTCACGTCTTTCGAAAGAGCATCGACTTTGCGCTCCAATTCGTTCAATTTTTCAAACAAGGGGCTCACAACATCATTGCTGGTATCAATCATATCTTTGGAAGAGATTGAAAATTCGAGTTTGCTGATGTGATCCTCGAGGATTTTGAACTCATTTTCAATGCAACTCACTTTTTCTCCCAAACCCTCTAACCTCCTCAAGGATTTCACATCTTCTTCTAGTAGATAAATCTTGTGGCTCAAAAAGGGGCTCGGATTGAAGCCGGATGCGAAAGGATTGAGAGTTTTGAGGTTTTCCAAAGAGTCTTTCGTCACAAAGCTCGACACAGCAAGTAGAAGCAAGCCCACAATTAGAAGAGGAGATGATTTGAGCATGTACATCAAAAATTTCTCCTTGTATTTCAGAGGAGGATCGTAAAGGAAATGCGTGTTGTCCAACTCGGTATCGGAGTCAAGACCCGTGTCGTCAAAAATACTGTGGCCTTGGCCCGGCTTTGACTTTGTTCTCGAATCACCAAAAAAGTCGGGTAAAACTTGGTTATGTTTATCCGGGTTGTCGATGTATCTCTCGTACTCCTGCTTCTCAAAATCAGAAAACCCTGTATCACTTTCGTCAAGTCCGTAGTTCTCGTGCTGCTCGTCCTCATCCTCATCTTCGCTGATGACGCTCACTTTGTTGGCAAAGGCAGAGTCTTTTTCGTTGTGGTCACCGCCGTAGTCACTGTCGTCGTCGTATTCACCAGCAACTTTCTCCTCCGGGTAGACATCATCGGAGACCAGCTCTCTAAACTCGTCTATCACCATCTGCTTCTGCAAGTCGCCATTGATCATCCTAAGGTCCTCCTCAGAGATCACGAAGGTCTCTTTGGTGAACAACGCGTTGAACGTGTCTGCAGTCGGCTCGTGCTTTTTCACATTATCATGTCCACTTCTGGCAGACCCCTCAGAGAACAGCTCTCTTACGGACCTCTTCAGTCGACTAATGTTCTGTTTCTCCTTCATTGGCATGGCGGTATACAACAGGTAAGACAGGCAGTGGATAGGTCACACCGTATGGGCGGAAAAACAGAGATACAGCTTGCGGGAGTATGTCTACGCCAAACATGTTTGTCTCGTTTTTCCTACAAAACCGCAGACGCGGATCCCATAAGTATTCTCAAAACGAAGTTGTATCGATCTACATTTCGTGAACCAGGTGCTATATAGGTTTGGTGGATGGGGCCATTGTGACACAGTAATTACGACATTGCTTCGTCCTGAGAAGCTTTGTCGTCAGTAGGGGCAGGCGCTGTAGCCTCAGCCCCAACTTCTGCTTCCGCCGCTACTGCTGAGGTTGCGGTTTCAGACTCAGTTTCCCACGGTTTCCTCCGCTGCTGCAACACACTCTCGGAAGCCGAGGTCGGGTCCAGCACCGTCTTCGGGATCTGTTTGATCCCTGGAATAGGCTTGTTGTTGACGATCATGTCGACTATCTCCTGGTAATTTGACGTGTATTCCTCCTCGGTCGGCTCGACGGCCAATACATCATGCTGGCTGTCCACCATCTGGCTATCGACATCGACGTCGAGGTCATCGCCGGCACTGGCGCCGGCATCGCCCTGAGGCACTCCAAGTGCTCTCTGCTTGTCGGCAAGCCAGAACTGGTAGTCCTGCAGCTCGAGAATGTTCTCTGTCTCTGAGCAGAATACAAAGATCTTTGTCTGGAGCTGCAACTGCTCTCTGTCCGCCTGCGGGATGCGGCTCGGGTTGAACACGCCGTTGCTGAGGTCCTGCTTGACCTCGAGGTCCTTATCGGACATCACGATGAGGTACTGGTTGTACACCTGCTCAAGCGTGTTTTTGTATGCCGGGCTCGCCTGGAAGTCGTACGAGCCGAACTGTTCGTACACCTCGTCCATGTCTGCCATCTGCGTATGTCTATGTCTGTCTGCTACACAGTGTATCCGCCCTCAGCCCGACTTCTCTTCGTGCCCAGCGCAGAACAGCTCCTCCTTCTTTCTGCAGCCTGAGAGGCGGCCTCGCTGCAAAAACATGAATGGCGGCGTATCGGCCACGGCTCCGCCACGGCAGACTACATCTTGTGAATCAGCGTCTTGGTTTATACAGCTAAGGCTCTAAAGAGAAAACAAAAGTATATAACGGGTGTGTAGTGTACAGTGGGGGTGGAGCAATCTATAAGGGGGCCCGCCTCCCCGCAGCATCTGGCCCCGGCGGCACGCTCAGTACGCCCGCTCGTCGTCGACAATCTCCTTCTTCTCCAATGGGTTGTACTTGAGAAACTTTTCAATCAAGTCAACGTGCGTGAGCACCATTCTTCTGCAGCAGTATCTCTTCAACTTGAGTCTGTCGAGGGCGTCACCCTCCGTCATGTTGTCGTCCTCAAGGTACGAGAGATACGTCTCCCACTTGTCGCCGACAACCTTGCCGCACGAGAAACATCTCACTGGAATGATCATTGTGTGTGTATGTGTGTATGTGTGTCAATGCCGGGCTCTGCTGCTCCTTCCGTGTCTCTCCTCCCCTCTCTTCCAGCACCAACAGTTAACAGACCGGTACACACACCCACATAGTGTGTCCCTCTCTTCTGAAAATTTTTCTCAGGCCCTTCTCTCCATCTGGAGTCAAGAGAGACTTGCTTACGTCAGCCGAGGGAGAAAAAAAATTTTTTGTCTTTTCCAGATCTTTTTTTTCCACCAGATAGAAGGAATACAGGAGAAGGAAGTGAAGAAGAAGAAGACGGCGAAACCAAAGGCGGAACCAGAGGAGAAGCCAAACAAGAACAGTCGAATTCAGAGAACAGCGCCGGTCCGATGAAGAAAGACACCTACTCGCTTTCGTTTGCCGCCGGAGGACAAGTCCGTGCGCACTTGAACAGGATCTCCAACGACGGACACTACTCCATCTCCTTCTTCAACAGCCACATCACAGTCTACTCGGTGACGTCGAGACTCGCCATCAGGTCGTTTCACTCATTGGAGCCTCTTGTGTTTGACGACATCGTTGACACGTTCCTGTCACCGGTGAACCCGAACCTCGTGTACATCCTCTCAGGCCGCTCGGAGGAAGGCTTCCACCTGACCATCCTCAACTGGTACGACAACGTGAAAAACCCGGTCGTCTCGAGCATCTGTCTGGAGCTCCCTGCGCAGGCGACGGAGTTTCTGAGAATAATCAATTTCAACTCGAACAACGAGACACTGCCCAACCTCTTGGTGAAGAACCAAAAACACAGCTACTCAATTGTGTCGTATGATCTGAACACCTCAGCCGTGTCGAAGGTCATCAAGAACATCGACAATGTGGCCTTCTACGCCCTCTCGCCAAACCGCAAGAACATGGCTTTTGCCATGAAGAAGAAGAGCTCGGCGTTCAAGGTGTTGACCTTTGACGACGACAACGACTCCAAACTCGCATACTACAGTGTAAACTACTCAAACAACAAGTACACCCCCGTGAACCTTGCCATCTCGAACGACCAAGCCAACCCGCTTCTTGCCTTTGGCACAGCCAGTGGCGCCATAGTGCTTCTCTTCGAGTTGTCCTCGCAAACCCCTCCCCAAAGAATTTTGAAATGGCACATCGGCGCACCAAAGACCCTTACCTTCAACCCGGACTCAACCTATCTTCTTTCAGGTGGTGCAGAAAAGGTCTTGGTGTTTTGGAACATTTTGAACGAAAAGCAGCAGTTCTTGCCACGTCTCAACGGTATAATCGAAAACATCTTCTTCAATTCCAGTGTTCCTTCTCTCATTGGCTTATCTCTCAATGTCATCGACGGCGATATCCAGTACTTGATTCTGGGTACCACAGATCTACTATCGAAGTTGGACATCAGCACCCCTCATCTCTTCTCAGGAATGAACAAGGATAATTACCTCAAGAAAAATCTTCTCAAGGATTTGCATTCCTTCGAGAAAAGCAAACAATCCACCCGTTTCAAACACCCATATAGACTCGACTTCAGAATCCACCCAAAGAGTAATCATTTATATCTCCCATCAGGAAGACATCTGCAAGTTTTCGACTCTTTACATAATTTACAGGTTGACAATATCGCAGTGGCACCAGCCATCCAACAATATGGTAAAGTTGGGGCTGAAAACAAAATTCAGGATCCAATGGTCATAGGCTCCGAATTTATCTTTTGCTCTAAAACAAATGACAAAGATTGGCTAGTGACATGTGACGCAGAAATCAGAGGTGAGGCCGAAGATTTGACTGATGACAGTATTGAGCATTGGGAAACTCTGAGATTTTGGAAGTTTTCCGGAAGTACTGATTCATGGACTCTACAGACCAAGATGTTACGTCCGCATGGCGATTACCCAATCACCAACATCGCACCAGCTCCTGAGAGCTACTTTGGTGGTGAAGCTGTCTTGACTGCAGACTCCCGTGGTAACGTCAGATTGTGGAGACCAAACTCGCAAGGTATTTGGTCTCTAAGAAAATTTTACTCAAGTGGATCCGAAAATGCAATGAACAACTCTGACACAGAAATCAAGAAAAACAAACCATTGGTGAATATTGCCAACAAGGAAGGCACCACTTGCGCATGGTCCCCGGACAGTAGTATGATCGCCGTTGGTAGAGAGGGGAAAGTTGTGTTATTAGATGTCAACAGTTTTGAAGCCATACATACGATTTCTCCTGCTATCTCTGCCTCGAGATTCCATAGTCATGCATCAATTGGCGAACCAGAAGAAGGCGAGAAGAAGGCGGGCTCCCCCGGACTTCCGATCCATTCCAAAACACGGTGTATTGATTTGAATCTTCAAGACAGCCATATTATTTCGGTAAACTTTACATCAAACGGAAAGCTATTGATTGTTGAGACACGCAGTCATTTGACTGTAATTGACATATTAAAAAATACCACAGTTTTTGGTCTGATTCTTGGGGGTGGAAATAACTCTGGGTTTGGCGGTTCGCTAATCAAGGTCACACCACGGAAGAAGTCCGAGATCAGTGTTGGAGATTCCACAGATTTGGAAAACGATACCACAGACGAGCTTCTCATTATCGGCAAGTATTTTACCGAGGAGAAAAAAGTTTTTTCAAAAATAACGTTATGGAATGTTTCTGACAAGAAGTCGACTATAACATGCAAGTGGTGTCACCTACACGACGCTGCTATTCTCGGTGCAGAATGGTCTGAAACATGGCAAGAGTGGATTTTGGCAGATATGAACTCCAACTTTGGTGAGCTTGGCTTCGGCAAGTCCTCTGCCAGAAAATCGCTCACCAAGGAGTCTGAGAACAAACAGACTGACAACTGGATCGTGTCCAGCTTGCTAGATAATGCCAGAATTGTTAACCGTGCTGCTACAGCAGCTAAGGACAGGGTAAATCTCCAGTTAGACGGCACAGAAGAATTTAACGATAGACAGGGTCTACAGGGCAATGCTTTTGATGGCATACTCGACCACCTTGAAGGTATAAGTGTAGAAACCTTGTTTGACAGAGTGCTCAGGGTGGTATAGATTAGATAGTACGTTTATGTAGTATAACCTAATGAATTGTATTCGACCTGAACGAGACTCCCGCGAGTGGCTCGCGGACAATAATTTCTGAAAGAAAGTGACTTGGTAAATAAGGGTGATGTAGACATCAGGAGAAACTCTTCCTGTTGTACGGGCAATACCTTGTGGAACGAAACGCACACGCCACACTCGGTATATAAACTCATCAGTATGGGGTTTGGCAGCAGATCCTTTATGGGCTCCAAGGAAAAGGCGAGCTACGAAAATTCATTTGTTGGGAAGTACCAAAAACTTGTAAAGAAAAACTCATTCTTATATTTTGGAATGCCAATGATGCTTTCCATTGCGTTGGGATCTGTTCTTTTGACAAACTTTGCTGCGCTACGTTATGAGAGGAGAGACGAGAAGGTGAAGGAGATGTCAGAGGATGAGGCTTTAAATATGATCAACAATAGAAGAAAAGTGGATATCAATGATGAGTACTACAAACTGCAGGGCATTCTTGAGGAGCACCAAGACTGGGAGCCAAAGCGAGTGGAACGACTACCAGGGGAGAGTGAAAACAAGTGGTAGCTGGAGTGGCTGCTGCGCTTGTGGCCCCAGTTCCATCCATTTCTTGTACATACATACATTCGGCGAGAGAAGGTGAGTTTCTACTTATCTGCACCGCCTGATTTTGCATAAGTTTTTTTTCAGTTCTCTCTTTTTTTCCTCCGTTCTATTCATTTGAACTTTTCAATACACTCTCTATCTCATCTATAGCCGATAAAGTAATACTCGGAGGCCAAATAAACAATCAATTTTAGTATAGCTATTGATACAGGATGGTTTCGTTTTCTTGTGAAGTCTGTAACGATACCGTGTTAAAGAAGAAGCTTCAGCAACATCAGCGTTCTTGTCATGGAGCATATTTCACTTGTATCGATTGCTCAACTACTTTCTACGGGAATGACCACCAGAAACACACAAGCTGTATCAGTGAGGCTGAGAAATATGAGAAGGCGCTGTATAAGGGGAAAAAGGGAAAGAACCAACAGCAGCAACAGAAGCAACAAAAGCTGCCACAACAGAACCAAGCTACAAAGCAACAGCAACATGCTGTAGAGGCTAAGAAGGAGATCAAGAAGGATTCAGAGAAGCCAAAGAAGGCTGAAGTGCCAAAGAAAGAAAGCCTGTCTTCTTCTTCAAACATTTCTAAGTATGTCGATTCGAAGGCAACGACCCTGTACAAAATTTTCAAGTCGGCCAAAAAGGATGACAAGAAGTTTGCGGACAAGACCGAATTCTTGAAAAACGTCAAAGTGACCCAAAACGAAGATGGTTCGTTCAACTTGGTGATATAAATAGATTCTATAGAGAAGCTGTACACATTAGATTAATCATAATAGTTTCTGCATTTGAAGCTCCACTAGTTCAAACTGACACTGATCTTGTTGTAGAACATCAGCAGAGTGTTCAATGGGAACGAGAGCTCACTATGGAGGTACTCCGGCAAAACCTCCTTTACTCGGGCAAGGTTCTGCTTCCACCCTGCACCATATCCGTGTGGCTCCTCCCAGAGCGGTTTGTAAATGACGTCTTGAGACTCGTCCTGAGGTGAGGATTTGTCGATTATAAGGCGGTAGTAAAGAGAACCCACCTTCCCTGTTTGCTGGATTGTGAAATTTAAAACACTTTTTTCGTCCTTCATGTCGACGCAATGAACGCCTGTCAGTAGCTCCAAGAAATTGAGCTTGGTCTCATGAGACTCAACCTCTTTAGCACTTCCATCGTGTTTCACCAGTTTAGACTTAAACGTCAGTATTTCGCTCTCCAACTCGTCTTCACGTTCTTTTGCACCATGCGCAATGCTCTTCCAGCGACTGAGCTCACGGGCGGATTCTCTGGATAAGTCTTTGTATTCCTTTTTTGTCACTGCTACTTTATCTTTCAGTGTCACCACCTTAGATTCTAATCTCTTATTTTCCTCCAGCAAGAAAGATATTAGTTTCTGAGATTTTTGTTCTCGCAATTTGGCTGCTTGCTTATACTCATCAAAACCAGCTGGGTACTGGGACTTCACGTCGTTGAGTAGTTCTGTCAATTTCTTCAGCTGTTTCTTCTGAAACATACTGGAAATTGTTTTAGTAGTCGGAAGCTTAGGCTGAGAGGAATGTTTGAAATGGAAGACGTCTCCGACGCCGTCAGGCAATTCTGTTCCTTCATCATACCAGGCGCTAGCCAATGAAGAGGTGTTAACGGAGTTTGTGCCTGCGTTGGTCTTTTCCGTTCTATCCATGCCACTGTCAGAAGCATGATCTTTTTCGACAAACTTGGATATATATCTTCCCTCTTCACTACTACCACTAGTAGCAAACATTATGTCTTTCTCTGTGCCTACGTCAGCATCCACGTCTTCGTCCTCATCAGCTTCAGCTTCCTGCACATCCGTATCTGTGTCGTTCTTGTTAGCCCTTTTTTTAATGATGCGATCTTCTTTCTCGATCACATCGAACAAACTCAATCTTTTCGGAGCTGGATCTTGGTCTTCAACTTCAGAGTCCGCCTGCATTTTCTGCTTCTTCGGTGTCCCGCTAGCACTAGCTGGCGCCTTTCCAAGTCTTTTCGCCGACTCCATATTGTAGTTGCTGGATGGAGAGAATTTGAATTGTGCAGTAAGGGAGAAGTAGAATGTTGTCCGTGTTGTTGTTAGGTTCTGTCTATCTACCCACAACATGGCGCTCTTCCGCATAGAGAAGGACACGATAAAAAAATAATGAGTCTAACTAAAACAATAACTTTTCACATTGGAGGTATATATGGATGCATACATAAATAGAACGATGTAAATGCTTAGCAATACCGGTGAGGACGCTATGCTGTTCAGTGAACTACTCAGTCTTCGCCTCTCCACCAAGCGTCCGTAAGGTCGCCCTCCTGTGCCTTCATGTTGAGAACGAAGCCCATCGAAGCACTGATAGCAGCTGCGATGGACATTTCCTTCGGGACGTTGGAGGAGTAGAGAGGGTCGTCCCTATGCATGATGTCCCGGTACAACTCGTAGACGACCTTCATCCAGAACAATGTCAAGCCAATGACAAAGGCCATCAAGGGCGGGGTAGAGTAGAACGTGGCGTACAAGAGTCCCAAGTTGTAGACGAGATGAATCTGCATGACGACGTAGTGCCAGAAGGCCCTGAAAATCATCAAAGGAGATCCCATCATAAAGTTGGAGACTCTGTAAATCGCCGTCTGGTGCTGTTCGTCCAGGGTGTCGATGCGTAGCTTTTCTAGAAGCCAGTCCTTGTATCTGTCGACATTGTGGACTGGGGGTTCCATGGACTGGGAGATGATGTTGAGTGCATCTGTAACCTGCCGGTCTCGGACGTCCCTCTCCGTGGTGGTGACGAACCGGACGTTAGTGGCACCAACGACGCTGGGACTGATTGCGTCTGCCATGATGTTCTGGGTGGCCGCCGTGAAGTGGGGGGTGTTGTAGGGGTGATATCGGAAGTACGAGTTGGGCGACGTGGTCCTCGGATAGGACCTGAAGTGGGCGTGTGGAATGTGGCTGTTGAGAGGGTCCTGCGCTGCTGTTGTCTGGTTGCGATGTGGAAGAGGCTGTCTGCTCTTTCTTCGCAGGCCGTGGTCGTCCTGGTCGTCTTCTTCCTCGGCGGCAGCCCGTTGGCGGTTGTGCCGCACGGTACGGGAGAGTCTCTGTGTGTTGGCAAGATCTACAATTGTGTCCTTCAACCGCTGGGCGTTCTCCACAAACAGCTCCTTCAAGTGCAGCTGTCTCCCCGTGCCGCCAAAAAGGTCCGGGAGATAATTGCTCCCATTGTTGTTCACCGCCAACGGAGCACTCCTGTGGTCGCTGCCGTGGTGACCCCTGCTGCTACTCCGGTGTCTGGTTCTGCTGCTGCCTGCAGCCTCTCCGTTCTCCTTATCTTCGTTCTCGTCTACTGCTACTGCCGCTGCTGCTTCCACGTCGTCCTCGTGGTGGCCGTACCACGCAATCAACCCGTTATTTCGAACACGGGGAGGCCGCCCGACCGCCAGCGGGTCCGATATCGTTGCCGGATGCCTACTGCCGCCGTGGCTGTCCGCCAGGTCGTCCAAGTTCGAGTACGGTGACCCTGCGATGTGTTCGTTGATGGGAAGTGTCGTGTTCTGCCGCATCTCTAGCAACGACGTGCTAGCCGAGTCTGCGTCCCCTGCCATTGTCTCTCTGCTTCTCGCTTGTCTGCTACTGTCCTGCGATACTCTACACGCCGGCTACTGCTACACGCTGTCCTACCGTCTTGTTTTCCTGCTAACCCTAGAGTATCCCCGCTGCTGCTCTGGTCTGCTCCCGTCCACCGACATAAACAGGCCCCGGGAGAAGGCACGCCTGCCCGGAGACAGGGCAGGTCGATTCGCACTGTTATTTTTTCTCTCTTTGGGACAGCGAGAGAGCGTGTTGTTGTTGTAGACGAGCATAAAGAAAGAGAGAGAAAGACACTAGTGGACGGTCTTGTGCAGCCAGCGGTCTGGGGGAGCAAAATCAGGTAGGGTAGCAGCATCAAGGCTCAAGTTGTACCCCAGAAACCACCAAGATCATGCTTATAGTGCCTGCGATACTCAAACCGACGAGGTTTCGCAAGATACACCGATACGTGTTGCTACTAGCCGTGCTGACGACGGTGTACGTGCTGTGGCCGGTGCAGCAGATCGAGCGGTTGTCAGACAACCTGAGTGTGAAGCAGAAGAACGACTATATCGATTCGATCTTGAACCCAGACTCGGAGGCGTTGTACAACCCGGACTCGGGCCCGCTCAAGGCGGAATTCAATCCGGACGCAGACAGCTTGGACTTCCCGACGGTGATCAACCGGGCAAACCTGAACAAGGCGCTCAACAAGATGAACATGAAGCCGCTGGAGGACGGCCAGCAGGAGATAATGGCCGAGAAGATTAGCGTGCTGTCGGACGTGGTCACGAAAAGAGACTTCACGCCGTTGGAGTCGCTCGATGCGTTTGTCGGCAACCTCGACACAGACAAAGCGACCGACTACTACAGCGACTTGACCTGCGACGCGATTGCGTACAAGCCGGCCAGCAAGGAGCGGATCATCGAGTATACAGAGCCGATTCCGCTTGAGGACGACATGGTTGAGATCCGCAGATGGCTCCTGAATTCCCACTACGCCGAGGTACTCAAAGCGGTTCACCCCGCCGACGACGAGGGGATGCTGGTGTCCGACATGTCCCACTGGTACAAGAAATCGGGCTCTTCCGTGTGGCTTCCAGACGAGCAGCTGCACCTGGTGGCGTCGACGGTTCTCTATGCGCCGCACGGAAAGGCGGAGCCGCTGGCGTCGTTCATTCGGCTCCAGTTGTTTGACACCGAGTGGAAGGAGGTCAAAGGCCGCAGAGTCCGCTATTCGGAGCTCTCCGAGTCAGAGGTCGACGACGTTTTGAGAGAGTACTCCAGGAGCAAGGAGGACCGCCACTTGGACAGAATATCGTTCCGGTTCCCCTCGATCTTGAGTATCCCCATTGACGTCAAGCCCGGCAAGGGCACCCTTGGTCCCGAGAGCCCACGCGTGCTCTACAAGGACGGCGAGTACCACTCCGAGCCGGTTATCATCTTCAACATGCTTTCCGGCGATAAGACGAACATGTTCTCCGTCTTTCCCTTCAGACCACCCCAGGGGCCAAACCTTCTGCACCCGGTTGTGAAGTTCAAGAACTTCGGTAGCAACACACTCAAGACCCTCAAGTCCGACAAAAACTGGATCCCCTTCTTTGACGGCCTCAAGATCGGCGACTCAAAGACATCCAAGGGCAGCATGTATTTTGCCTACACACTCTATCCGTTGGTCATCTTCAAGTGCTCTTTGGACACCGGGAAGTGCTCCAAGGTGCAGGACAACATGGGCTTCTCCAAGCATGCGGGGGAAAGTCTTGCCAACCTCCGTGGCGGCACGTCCTTTGCCCCGGTCCCAAGACAGATAATCCAGACATTGAACGACGGAGACTATCAAAAACGGCTTCAGATGTGGGTCGGGTTTCCGAAGTTCCTAATCAAGGCTGGCCGTTGCGGCGACATCCAGAGACCGACACTGACCCTCCTCATCAAGGAGGACGGTGTTTTCCGCTTGGAACTTATGACGGGGCCGCTCGAGTTCGGCTTGGCGCCGGCAAGAGAGTGCTCCCCCTCCGGCGAGCCGTCCATCATCTCCGCCCACGGCATCTCCTTCTGGGACGTCGCCGCCACAGGCGTGCAGGAAAGCGATGGCACCATCCCTTACTATAACGACTACATGGGTCTCATTGTCGGCGAGTCCGACGCCAAGATCGAGCTTGTGGTTCTGAAAAACGTCCTCAACTACGCCATGGGCGTCTACTCCCACGGCAAGTACATGTTTGGCGAGTACGATCTCGAGGGCGGCGTCGCTCCAAGAACAGAGAAGGTTTGCGAGTGTGTACTGGCCAGCAGTATGACCTACGCTTTTTCTCTTGAGGACAAAAGCAGCAGGGTCCTCGACAAGAGCATCGAGAACTGAACACCGTCTACCGGCCACCAATGCCCACCTTTATATCACAGACAGACAGCACACCATAATCCTACTCTTGTACATCCACGGGTCTTCCGTGCAGCTCTTTCTATTTTACCTTCTTACTACTCCTCATCGTTATTCCCCCATCTTCAACTTTATATAATACAGCTCTTGCCTTATCCTACACCCCATGACGAAAACACCAGCTCTGGTTGGCCAGTGGCGTGCCGGTGCCGGCGGCCTGTGCCGGTGTCGCTGCCATTTTTTTTTTCACCCTCTCGAGCAGTGGAGATGGAAACGGGATGGAGATGACTGATCCGCCTGGCTGAACATTGCACGCTCTTTCTTCTTAGTCTGTCGGTGCATCTGAGGCTAAGCAGTATAAAGAAGGCGTAAGTCAATATTGCACGACTAGGACACACACACAATGAGCGCAATTCTCAGAAACAGACAGGCACGGGCGTTTTCTACGACCGCCGCCAAGCAGGCGACAAAATTCAACAAGTATTCGGCCGTCATCACGGAGCCTAAGTCCAACGGGGCGTCCCAGGCAATGCTCTATGCAACCGGGTTCAAGGAGGGTGACTTCACAAAGGGCCAGGTGGGTGTCGGCTCATGCTGGTGGAGTGGGAACCCCTGCAACATGCACTTGATGGACTTGAACAACATGTGTTCTGAGTCTGTCGAGAAGGCCGGCCTCAAGGGCATGCAGTTCAACACGATTGGTATCTCCGACGGGATGTCGATGGGAACCAGTGGTATGCGGTACTCCTTGCAATCGCGTGAGATCATTGCTGACTCGTTCGAAACGATTGTTCTGGGCCAGCACTACGACGCCAACATTGGTATCCCAGGGTGTGACAAGAACATGCCCGGCGTGCTGATGGCCTTTGCTAGACACAACAGACCGTCCATCATGGTATACGGTGGTACTATCTTGCCAGGCTCGGGTACGTGTGGTGGTGTTCCTGACAAGTTGGACGTCGTGTCTGCCTTCCAATCCTACGGCCAGTACTTGTCCCACGAGATCGACGAAACGCAGAGAGAAGACATCATCAAGCACGCATGTCCAGGCCCGGGAGCCTGCGGTGGTATGTACACCGCCAACACCATGGCCTCCGCGTCCGAAGTCTTGGGTATGTCTCTGCCATATTCCTCCTCCGCTCCAGCCACCTCAGAGGCTAAGAAAAATGAATGTGCTACTGTGGGTTTCGCCATCAAGAACCTGATTGAGAAGGACATCAGACCAAGAGACATCCTCACCAGAACCGCGTTTGAAAACGCAATCAGATACATCATTGCTGTTGGTGGTTCCACCAACGCAGTCCTCCACTTGATTGCCATCGCACACACCGCCAACATCAAGTTGACCATCGATGATTTTCAAAAGATTTCTGACGACACTCCTTTGTTGGGTGACTTCAAGCCTTCTGGTAAGTACGTTATGGCAGACTTGCCTAGGGTCGGTGGTACTCCAGCTGTCATGAAATTCTTGCTAAAAGAGGGTTTCCTCGATGGTAGCACCATGACCGTCACCGGTAAGACAATGAAGGATAACCTTGATGAATTGCCAGGCTTCCCAGAGGGACAGGACATAATGAGACCTCTTTCCAACCCTATCAAGAAATCAGGACACTTACAAATTTTGAAGGGTTCTCTTGCTCCAGAAGGCTCTGTTGCCAAAATCACGGGTAAAGAAGGTACCAGATTCACCGGTAAGGCAAAATGTTACGATGAAGAAGCTGACTTTATTAAGGCACTCGAAAATGGTGACATCAAGAAGGGCGAAAAAACTGTTGTTGTCATCAGATACCAGGGTCCAAAGGGTGGTCCAGGTATGCCTGAAATGTTGAAGCCTTCCTCCGCCTTGATGGGTTACGGTCTCGGTAAGGATTGCGCCCTATTAACTGATGGTAGATTTTCTGGTGGTTCCCATGGTTTTTTGATCGGTCACATTGTTCCTGAAGCATTCGAAGGTGGTCCAATCGCTTTGGTCCAAGACGGTGATGAAATCGTCATTGACGCTGACAACAACATCATTGACGTCTCCGTTTCTTCTGAAGAGTTGGAAGCCAGAAAGAAGGAATGGAAGAAACCAGAATTGAAATATAAGAGAGGTACTCTTTACAAGTACAACAAGCTAGTCTCCGACGCATCCAAGGGTTGTGTTCTGGACTTTGACGGCAATGACAACTGATTAGCCCATTAATTTATCATCAGTATCGATGTTCATAGAATGAATACGATCGCTTTTTCCACTACTTAATGTCTTTTTATTCATTCCTCTACTACCAAACATTCTGTCATCCTTGATTTACTACATTTTCCATTTTCTATTCTAACTGTTTACATTTTTCTTTCATTGGGTGGGTAAAACAAAGAAAGTCTCGAATTTGCACCGGAAAAACGGTTTTGTAATTTTTGATTCTTCTAATCTTTCGTTACTTGGCATTTAGTTCTCTATCATTAATCCTTTGTATAATTTCTTATATATATCATATCCGTGAAAGGATTCAACTCACTAATACTTTTAATACAATAAATAGCAGAACTTGTTACTACTGAAATTCTATCCGCTCACTAGGTTGTTCGCCAAAGTTGATGCTGACAATTCCACCCCAAACAGAACCAAACCCGTAGCAGACCACACCACCACCAATAATCCAGCTCTGGTTCAAACTTTTTCTTGATATAACGTCACTTCCAACAAAGACTGGGCTTTTTCTCCATAAACTTTCATTTATTCTGACACTAGCTACCTTCTTGGTATCGATATCAACTTCCACAATCGTGTCATTTTGGCAGTACAAAGTTTTCCCCACTCCACCTATCACTAATATCTTGGATCCAGTAGTGACAACATTGAATCCATATCTTGCAAGGCTTTTGTGTTTGACAATTTCGGTCAAGAAAACCTTCTTAGATTCCAGATCTAACTCAACTTGATAAACTGTAGAACTGAAGTCGAAGCCACCAGCTGGATCATATATCATTCCTCCCAAAAGATATATTTCATTGGTGGTATCTAACACAACCAATTTAGAGCTCTCTAGACCTTTAAGGAAGATAGAATCAGAAGAATAATCAAGCTTGAACCAAATGTTGCTTTCATTAGAATAATACTCAAAAGTTTCACCATCAGAACCCCCGAAAATCAATATGTCTTCTTCATTGATACAAGCCGCAGTGTGTTTCACTCTTCCACTCAAAAGAGGGCTTTTGAGTTCCCACGTGTAATGGTTAGCTTTAACGCGATGTAATTTCCAAACTTCATCCATCCCAGCCCCTGGAATTCGCCGGCCTCCAACGAGGTAAGAACCTGACCTGGTATCAATGCTAGTCGCACCAACCCGAGCTTTGAAGTCGGTTGGTACCTGTATAACAGCATCATTATCAGTCGATAGTTTTAGCTGAATAGTGTCAGATAATCGTGATTGCTGTATTCCACATGTGAGAAATGATGCATTTGGAAAGCCCAAACAAGAGTGGAACTTACGTTGAGCATTAACAGGGAGTTCGTTCTGATATTGCACTGTGTATTCGGTGGCAGCACTTTTCATTTGTGGATATAACTCACAATTTTTCTCTGCATAAACAGTCACGTTAGGTTGATTGGTGGCATGTAAATTGATGTAGTGATGACCAAAAAATATAAATTCCTCCCACTCATCAAATGCTTCCACATTTTTGACTTTCAATTTGATATCATTAGGAACCAAATCCCAACATGCCAGTAAATCTTTGGCATTAACATGGTTATAACCCAATTTGCGAAATCTGTTAATCTGATCAGCTATAGTTGGGTATGTATGAACACATTGTAAAGGGGCTTCCATCTTGTTGAAATGATGTATCATTCGTTTACCAAATGGGTGGTTTTCACCGGCAGGAAGCAATTGTTCGAGAATGAGGAAATGGGAATTTGAAAAGGTAGATGAGGTTTCAATTATAGGATTAGCAGTTTCTGGAGTCATATATGCTAGCGAAACCTCGGCAATAAAAATATTGGTTGTTGATGGACTGTTGGCCTTAAATGAATCCAACTGTTCACAATACAACTTTCGGTTCGTCAGGTCACAACCCATAGTTGCATAATTTGTTGTTCTGATCACAACACCAGGAGCAATTTTGCTTTCGGAATCACAGAGTTGTGGTCCTATCAACGTTGTAAGTTCGGGAGCCATACGTATCATTTGAGACTTATAATCAATAAGTTCAGGGAAATCAACGTCTATGCAATATAAATTTCGGTGTTGGAATTTCTCCTCATCAAGTAGCTGAAATGGTAGTGGATCATAGCCACAACCTAAGTTGATTATGTTGATCCGTTGCTCTGGTGGTTGCTGCTCAATAATTTTCTCGATAGCCATTCTGATTGATTTCATTCTTATCCAGTATCCACGATTAATGACTGGCGTTCTCCGTGGTGATTTTTTAACAAAATGGTGAAAAAACGGTTTGGAATTTGAAGCCTCTACATCATTGTATAATATTTCCACTGATCTCTTTGAAACTATAGAGGAGTCATTTGTCCCTTGGACAAATAAGTCGTGAACAACTTTCTTATTCCTACTTTTACCTTGTTTTTCATTTTTTTTCTCCTTGTCAGGCTTGCTATTTTTTCCTAACTGTTTCTGCACAACAGAAGAGTATATGTCCATCTTGATCTGGGACTAACGATTTCTTTTTGATTGCAGACTCAAAGGTTTTTTCCTCTCGAGTATCCGGAGGACAAATATAAAATTCATGAACCAAAATTTTTCACTTACCCTTTTCGCTCAATAATGTAGAAGCAGGCTGTTGCAGGATGAGGTAGAACGTTCAAAGCTACAGCACTTGCAGGGATTCATTTTGAGACGTGGATTGTCATCTGCTCAATATCACACATTATCCTTATTATTTATCCTACCTTTGTCACTTTTGGAATTACTCTCAATCGTGTCTGTGTAGTAGCTAGTAACCGCTCTTACTTTCCAAATACCTACTTGTAACTGTTCTGCATATTCCATACCGGGACCAAGATCATTAATGTAATCTCCAATATTATGGCCACAACACCCTAGTATACGCTGTAATAATCATCATATACATGTGTTCGGTTGGATAAGTCACGCCTTCAGTAGTTGCAGCAACTACGCAAAAGCCCGATATTATCATTTCTCGCAGCGATCCTATCTAAAACTCTCGATTATGACTGCGAACTTATCTCAACGCCAGTTAGAATGAATGACATGATTGGTGCTAGTACTCCGATCAATTTTGAAAAGCCTGCAATTAAACGATAGCTAGCCAAGATGGAGCTGCCGAGCTCATCAAGGACCAATTCACCTATTGCTGACGATGAGTTCACCGTCTCCGATGGAATACCCCACGAACAAAACAATGAAGCTGGTGAATCGACTCAGATCGTGCCAAGGCCAAGGAAGTTTATCTTGACCAAATACACAATATATGTGACCAACCAGAGAATGTATATTGTGGGCAGTAATTCTAGAGAATCTGTATTTCGAATACTGGAAATAGACTTAACAAATCCAAACACTTTGACCATTATGGAAGATAACGTTTATTTCACAAGGAATGAGATTATGGAGGTACTAAACGGTATAGAAGATTCAAGTGAGGGAGGACTAACAAAGAAACTAACTGCTGTGGGACTATTGGGGTTTATCAAATTTACTAAGCATTATTATCTTTTGGTTGTTACTAGGCGTAAAGAAGTGGCGGTTCTTGGTTCGCATGAGATCTACCATATTGATGAAACAGAGTTGATTCCCGTAACCAACAACCTGAAGGTACCAGAGAAAAAATCCACTGAAGCCAGATTAGTGCAAACTTTTCTGAACATTGATCTTAACAAGACATTTTATTTCAGTTACAGCTATGATTTGACGAACTCTTTACAAACTAATATGATCAGGAATAAAAGGCAATCTTTAAGAATGAATGGCAAAACAGAACTATCAATGGTGTTTGAGTTCAATGAAAGGTTTATGTGGAATTGTGCATTATTAGAACCCGTCTTTCAGTGCTTTGATAAGGTGTACGATTGGTTTCAGCCGATAATTCATGGTTTCATAGATCAGGTTAAAATGTCAGTTTTTCAGATTCAGGTTTATATAACTCTGATTGCCAGAAGATCACACAGGTTTGCAGGAGCACGATTCTTCAAGCGTGGTGTGAATGATGATGGTGATGTTGCCAATGAGGTAGAGACTGAGCAGATCGTTTGTGACATGCTTACATCCTCTTTTCACGATCCAACTGCTGGATTCTACAACAATTCACGATATACCTCGTTTGTGCAACATAGAGGATCTATACCGTTATCCTGGTCTCAAGAAACTGCTCCAAATATTCGAATGACAAAACCACCCATCGAAATGAACGTCATTGATCCGTTCTATACCAAAGCTGCTTTACACTTTAATAATTTGTTTGAAAGGTATGGAACTCCCATCCAAGTCCTAAACTTGATCAAGCAAAGAGAGAAAACACCTCGTGAAACCAAATTGCTGGACGCATTTAATAACTGTGTGGAATATCTCAATCAGTTTTTACCTAAAGAGAAGAAACTTGATTATGTTTCCTGGGATATGTCGAGGGCAGCTAAATCCAGAACTCAAGATGTTATCAAATGGTTGGAAAAGTATTCTGAAGAAACTTTGACGAAGACTGGATTTTTTCACAATGGGAAAACAATTTCAGACACTAAGCTTCAGGAAGGCGTTTGTAGAACTAATTGTGTTGATTGTTTGGATCGAACTAATACGGCACAGTTTGTTATCGGCAAAAGAGCACTTGGTCATCAGCTTCATGCTTTGGGCATTATTGAAGAAAAATATTTGGAATATGATAGTGACGTCACAAATATTTTGACAGAAATGTTCCATGATCATGGTGATACAATTGCTTTGCAATACGGTGGTTCACACTTAGTTAATACCTTGCAAACGTATAGAAAAATCAATCAATGGTCCTCACACTCTAGGGATATTATTGAGTCAGTCAAGAGGTTTTATAGTAACTCATTTGTTGATGCTCAAAGACAAGAAGCAATCAATTTGTTTTTGGGGAACTACGTTTTTGCTTCGGATAAACCAATGTTGTGGGAATTGAATACTGACTATTACTTGCACAATCGAAAAAACATTTCTGAATTGAATGGAAGCAACTCGTACACTCACTGGTATAACGACTCTTATCTCGTTAACCGAAAAGAAAGTCTCAAATCTTTATGGGAAACAACTATACAAAATAAGTATATTATGGAATTACAGGAAAGGGGGTTGCTTGTTGTCAAAATTGATCCTTATGTGGGGTGCTTCGAGAATTACTGGAACATTAAATATGGATCACGAAACTTTGTGTCTTTAAATGAGCTTTTTGAATTCAAAATGAATTCAACAAGACAGTTTTCTGCAAACCTGGAACAGAAAACCATGAAAAAAAAGGCCGGACAAAATAAGAATGGCGAAGACAAGAAAAAGCAGTTCAATTTATTGCAGCTTTTCAACAAGAAAGAAGGAAGCACTTCTGATTCCACGAGAGTGAGATTCAATAGCTTTGGTGAAAGACTACGCGGTAACTCTACACAAATGCCATTTGACCCAGAGAATGAAGAGGAACATTACTTTTCTCCATTTAAGTCAAGAAAACCACACCGTGAACTCAAGTTTATCTATTCAGCGCATGGTAACGAAGACGTAATAACTGAGGATGAAAGCACTGAAGAAAATTCTGTTTACCATGATTTTGTCGACTTGATGCACCCTATTGTTGAAAACGAGAAAGAAAGTAGTAGCCTCAAACAACAGTACAAAGAATTGATGTTTAGTTTATTGCAATTACAAAAAGCAGAAATTTCCTCGAATATATTCAACAAATACTTTGATGAAACAAGTGATGTTTTAGAGAAAATCACCGAAAATGAGGAATCAGCACTTCCTGTAATAAGGATAAACTTTGAAGATGAAAATTTTATCAGTAACCTGGATGAGAATTATGATGCCATGCAAGTAGAAAGCAAAGGTGGCGATTGGAGTAGGAAGAACATGCATAATGACTTGGACTACGACAGTCAAGAAAGTTTGAGTATTTCAAGCAATGATACTGATACTGATTCCACGAAATATTTAGAGTCGAAGGTAAACATGACTAATCTTTTACAAGGTATAACGAAGAATTATGTGCTCGTCACTCCAGATGTTGATGAGGAAACGGTTGAGCTTTACAGCAAGTCTGTAAGTATGAGTGCTGAGATCCCAGTGCTTGATATGAATGAATATGTGAGTGGCATGAGGCGAAGTTCAATTTCAGAGGAAGAAACTGACTCTGATAATGATTTTAGTCTTGAAAGTCAGGATAAAAAAACTCAAAAGCAAAACAAAATTGATATGTTAATGAAGGAATACAACTCTTTAGCTGACCCACTGATTGATTTAAGGGATTTGGACACTTATGTAAAGCAAACAAGGATGATGCAACAAGACTTTGTTGACACCCGAGAACAGGGAGTCGACATTCCCAAATTCAGTGAAAACGTGAAGCTCCGTGAGCATAGTGTGGACAAAACAAAGAAGTACCGAATAGGAGATTTGAGCGAGGAAGATGTTAGTCGAATCGTCAACGAGACGTCAGATTCGGACCATTACTACAGTTTCCGTCTGTTGAATAAAAAACCGTCGAAATTCACGCTTGGAGGTTTGCACAGTCAAAACACTGGGAAGTAGAAAGAAAACCAAATTGGTATTACGTATGTGCTTTTAGTCTATAGAAAAGTTGCAAAGATAATGTGGGTTATCGTTAATGTATAGTCATGGCAAAACGAAGGAACAAGAATCACAGTGATTTGAACTTCTTCACCAGCTTGTCGATGTTGGCCGAAATCTCGCTTTGCTTCCACTTCTGGCTCTCTGATATGATGTAAACGCAAAGCATCGTTGACCGGGGGCTTTCGGAGTTGATCCACACTTTGCCGTTAACACCAATTGCGATTTCAAACTGCAGCTTCTCAACCATCTTCTTTAGCACCGGAGCGTCCGGCGAAAAGAGGAGAAAGCGTGCATACGCACCAGAAACGTTGAAACAGTAGCCGCCATTTAGCACGCCAAAGCCGCCGTCCTTCCCCGTGGTTGGGTCTATGCAGCTCAACTCTGCGTCAACGGACTTCTCGGTTGCCGCCACTCTCGCGTAGATCAGCTCTCGTACCTGTAAACGGGGTCTGTTCTTCTTCGATGCGTTCGGGAAGGCGTAGATGTTGAGGATGACGTCCGGCGAGTACTCGTTTAGCGTTACACGGTAGTACTCGCCAAACTGGCCCACAACAGTACCCAACACGAGATCCCCTACCTGCGGAATGTACCTACCACGAGCAGAGTCAACATAGCAGAGATTGGAGGGTTCCTTTTTCGATATGGTGGAGCCTGATGACGTGACGAACAATCCTGCGGTTGTGGGCTGAACAGTCGTGTCGTCAAGAAGGGAGACGTTGGGGCCTAGGGCAAGTTCTGTCACATCAGCAGCAGTGCCAAGTAAGATATTGTCGCCAGGTATAACCAGGTCAAACGCACCGGTGGCAGCAGTTGTCATATCAGTGCAAGTGGATGTCATATGCTGGACAACAGTGCTTTGTAAAAAGACTTGTACTTTGCCTACTTCCTCTCCGTCTTCTACTTACTTTTGTAAAAAACATGTTGCAGAAAAAAATTGGGAAAAAATGTTAAAATAAGAAAAAATCTAAAGAAGGTCCAGTCACGTGCGGTTGCGCAATGAAAAGCCATTTGTCAGCACAAGAGCAGGAACGGACGGGTTTGGGGGGCTCTGGGACGTCTAGAATGCCGAATCTTGCCCAAAGGCATCTCTGCAGAGATGTACACTAGTATATGTAGCCTTCTCGTAAAGCAGAGAGACATTTGGCGACCAAAACGGGAGAAATCCGCCCAGGAAACAAGCAGACAATAGGGAAGGGGCCTGCTCTCGTCTGCGATTTCCTCTTTTAAGGTGTGTAAACCCGAGGGACAGAGGACGTCCTTGGACGGCAGGGAAATCAGAGAGGCCGGACCAGCAGGAACAGCTCTGCTCTGTGTTATCATCTCTCTCCAGCCAGCAGCTACCTAGATCTGGTGTGAAACTTACCTCCATCTGTTTCCCACTCAGCTGCACCCCTTCACCCCCCATCCTATCAGCTTCGGCGTCTTAGCACCGGTTTCACGGAATTACGAGCTGCACCACAGTGTTGGTCCTGGCCCCGATCCCCACCCGTCTTTAATTCCACCGACATCCATACGTGTGGTACGTTATATCCACAATCTCCATTTGTGCTCCTTCTGCTCCACGGGTACTTTTTGGTCCACTAGCCACACTTTCGTTGCTGTTTGGTTGGCTTACAGACCCTGCATCCAACGTTTTCTTATCAATTGGCGGATACTGGCTACTGGCTACTGATCGCCGATCACTGAGCAGCGGATTTTCTCTTCCTTTTTCTCTCCACTACCTTCCATTTTTCTCTCCTTTCCTGTCACGACCCATCCCACAAGCAAGACATGGGTCTACTTTCCTTAGGTACGCCTCTCCACTGGAATGACTCCAAGAAATATGCAGATCACGTCAGATCAAATGGTGTGATCCAACTGCTGAACTCGTACAAGATCTCTCAAGGCCGGGAGAACGATAAGTTCTACTGGGGAGACGAGATCGAGTACATGATGATCTCGTTGGACGAGGCTTCCAGATCGTTGAAGCTCTCAATCGATCACGACTACGTATTGACAAACCTTTCCGAAGACGGGAAAAACTATCAGGCTGCGTTGGACAACGACGTCCTGTTCCATCCAGAGTACGGTCGGTTCATGCTTGAAGCAACTCCGCTCAATCCATACGACGGTACTTCTTTGGGCGATTATTTCAAGGTCGAAAATAACATGCATAGAAGACGTTTTTTGGCTATCAAGGAAATTCAATCCGAAAATGTTTACCCACTGACCTTGACAGCGTTCCCGCTGATGGGAGTGGACGACTTTTGTTCTCCATCGACGCTTCCCAAAGGCTGTGCATCTAAATCACTCTTTTTACCAGATGAAATCATTAACAAGCACGTGAGGTTTCCAACCTTGACAGCCAATATCCGTCGTCGTCGAGGACAGAAAGTGGCAATCAACATCCCTCTCTACAAAGACAAGAATACTCGTTCTTTGGACGCTGCTGACCCTTCCATTCCAAAACGTGAGCTTTTCCCTTATTCGGATAATGAACCACATTTATCGGCTGTCAATCCGGCTGCAAAGCCAGGCCATATCTATATGGATTCTATGGGGTTTGGAATGGGTTCGTCTTGCTTGCAGGTCACAATGCAAGCAAAAAATCTGAGTGAGGCTAGATACTTGTTCGATTCTTTGGTAAACATTGCTCCACTAATGTTAGCCGTTACTGCTGCGGCACCAATCTTTAGAGGTCACTTGGCGGATCAAGATGTTAGATGGAACGTCATTTCGGGAGCTGTAGACGACAGAACCCCATTCGAGAGAAATGAAGCTCCATTGGAGAACCACCCATTGTATGGAGGTCAAACTGATGTTGAGGTTCAAAAATCAATGCTGAGAATTCCAAAATCTAGGTATGATTCTATTGACCAGTATTTGGGTGGTACTGAATTTTACAAATCATCATATAACGACCTAAATGCTCCAATTAACAAGAAAGTTTACGACAAGTTATTGGAATCGGGTTTAGATGAAGAACTATCTCGTCATTTTGGTCATTTGTTTATTCGTGATCCGCTTGTGTTGTTCTCAGAAAGAATAGAGCAAGATAACGAAACTGAAATGGATCACTTCGAAAACATACAATCGACAAATTGGCAAACTTTGAGATTCAAAGTTCCATCTCAAGACTCAGTACCAAACTCAAACAAACCTGGTTGGAGAATAGAATTGAGACCTATGGAAATTTCACTTACAGATTTCGAAAATGCAGCATACTCAGTCTTTTCGGTTTTATTGAGTCGGGCATATATTCACTACCGCTTCAATAACTACTTGAATATATCTTTGGTCGAAGATAACATGAAAAGGGCACACCACAGAGACGCAATCAATCGAGAAAAGTTCTACGTCAGAACCAATATCGAAGATTCAGGAGACGCATATGTCCAAGAGCTCACGTTGGATGAGATTTTCAATGGTTCAGAGAAAAGAAAGTTCAAAGGGTTGATTCCTATCGTAAAAGACTTTGTTGCAGTAGAGTTTGGGCATGATGCAAATCCGGATGACTTAGAAAAATTAGACATGTATCTAGAACTGATCAGTGGCAGAGCCAGCGGAGCCACCCCTACTACAGCTACATATTTCAGGAAGCTTATTTCTGAACACCCAGACTATAAGTACGATAGTATTGTTCCTGAAAGCGCTGCTTTCGACCTTTGCTTGTTTGCAAAGAAACTTTCAGAATACAATCCAACAACTGTTAGACAATTTTTCGGTGACAAGATCGGTAACTGGTTAATTGCCCACGGTTACTCTAGCATATTTGCCAAACTAGATTAGCTCGATATGTAAGTTAGATTTATATATTTACACATTCAGACAAAACTAATATTAATATTATAAACAAGCATAAGTTTGAGTTTCACTCTTTTCGTCCGTAGTTTCCACCACGATGGTACAACCTTCCTGGTCGTCGATTTTTTCGGAATGATACGGGAGACTCATTGGTTTTATCCTGAGAAGCCAAAGCCCCTTGTTTCAAGTGCAATAATTCACTTCCGTAGTATTTGATAGGATCAACATTTTGTTTGGCATCTCTGCCAGTAGAATCTTGCATCACTGTGACTAAAGACAATAAAAACACAATAAAACAAACCCCCACAATAAGCCACACTAATCCTTTTTTGATATAGTCATAGCGTTTAGCTGAAGCTTCCAATGCTGTAAGTCTGTCATACTCTGACTTCGAGAGCGTTATCAAGTCAGGTGCATCGTTGGAAACAGATTCTTTCGCATGACGTTGTCTCAAGCCGTCTATTCCATCCTGCATCTATTGCCTTAAGATTCTTGGTTGCTTTTTAAAGTATAAGTCACAGTAATAGCTTGGTAAACGAGGCTAGCTTATCCCCGTAGCGTTATCAAACACGGATTTGCATATTTCCAGAACCCGCACTTAAACACATGCGGTCGTAATATATATCGTCAATCTTTGCGGCCGTAAGCTCTATCGTAGACACATTATGTTCTTTGGAGAATAAAATGGAATTCGTTCACCATTGATAGCTGCTTTCCACAAACATCTAGCTTTTAGAAAGCTAATGGCATTGAAGGTGCTGATAGCCCAGAGCTATATTACGAATAATTTCCGATCCAGTTTTTCTTAATATAAAAACGATCTCCTAAACCCGTATCTTGTAAAAAAAAATACGAACAGTTCATAATCATAATCCAAACTGTAAACGGTGGCTACGATATAAGAATTAATATGACTGACGACTGCGTTCTAATACCCTTGCCGAATCAAGAGTGCATGAGACATTGTTTAAAATTACCCGTTTTGCGCAATCAAAATGGGTGAGAGGGGGTATCGGCCGAATATCCACAAATCTGTGAAAATGCTTAGATTGTGACACGATATGGAATAATTGCAGGAGAACTATATAAATGGGGGTAAATCGCCTTTAATCCCAAATTTCCGTTTCGTTACCCTCGAGTATAGTGTTCATTTGGCAAAACCTTAGTTGCTTCACGCACACCAATTCCGAAAATGGATAACGAGATATTTGCTGAAAAGGATAGTCCAAAGGTCGAGGTTACGATCCCAAACCAGGGAACGTTGACCGGTTTTACGCTTAAAAATCCAGCAAATGGCAAGCTCACTTCTAACAGGTTTGCCAGAATTCCCTATGCTTTGCCTTTGAAAAAACGTTTCACTCTACCAGAACCAATCCCTGACGATTATGACTATACTGGGGAGTACAGGGACTTTGGCTTCAAATGCCCACAGCCGGTATATGAGAGCAAGCAGATTGTGTATCCTAAAAGCGAATCCGACGAGCACATTCAATATTTGAATGTTTGGGTTCCAGCTTCAGATAAATATAAACCGAAAACTGGCTGGCCCGTTCTGATTTATATTCATGGTGGATGGTTGCAATACGGCTCTCCTAATAAAGATATGTTCAACGTTGTTGAATTAATGGACGATGAAAATTTCCAAGAAAAATACATTTTAGTGACCCTTGGCTACAGATTGAATATTTTTGGGTTCTTGACATGTAAAGAATTGTTGGAAGAAAACCCTAAAAACTCAAACATGGGCTTTTGGGATCAACGTGAAGGTATTAAGTGGGTTTATAAGTACATCAAATACTTCGGTGGTGATCCGGAAAAGATAACTGTTTCAGGACTATCTGCCGGCTCATACTCTACCTTTTTCCAGCTTGCTTATGAATTATATCATCCGGAGGAAACTCAAATCATTAAGCAGGTTGTATTCTATTCAAATATGGTTTTCTCTCAACCAAAAACTATTGACGAGTGTGAAGACCAGTTCAATGAAGTCGTTGATAAATTAGGAATGAACAATTTGACCGGACCAGAGAAGTTAGAAAAACTGAGATCTTTTGATTTTGAATTTTTGGAGGAGTTTGTGCCAAAACTGGAGCTACATACATTCAGAGCAGTATCAGACAGTCATTTTATTGCGCCAACAATTTTAGGAGATATTCAGTCAGGAAAGTTCTCTAAGTTGTTAATCGATAAGAACCTTAGAATTGTTCACGGTGAGACAGATAATGAGTTTTACCTTTACTCATTGTTCAACCCACCAACTTCACTTGACACTCTACCTATTGAAATTGAAAACTATTATCCCAGAAAAGTTGTCCCCACCTTAATGGATGTCTATCAAGTTAAAGATAAAATTGATCCTGACAGCCCAGAACTTGAGCAGCAACTTATTGACATGTTTGGTAAAATTACAGGAGATGGCCAAGTTTATGCTTCAACCAGGGGATTTATCAATAATGTTATGAAAGGAGGGTTCCCTTCTGAAAGGTACTTCCGTTACCGTGTTGGTTACCGTGGCAAGTGGTTGGACAAATTCATGCCTCCAGAGGTTAAGGTTACCCATGCATATGACCAGTCGATTTGGTTTTACATTTTGAGAAACGGCTACAGCGATAGTGAGAAAAGTAAGATGACCGAATTTGTGAAGCCGTTCCTCGACTTTTTGAATTTCAAAGAGGATATTGGTGATTGGGACACCAGTGATTTCAAAAAATTCAGATGGTTCAAGCCGGATGGGTCAATTGTTTATGAAGAAGACCCCGACTGGGATTGGGGTGTGAAAGTTGCAGAAAATGTTTACAGAGCACAACTTGAGGAATGAAATTAATTGTTTATTATATATTTTACTTGTTTAGAAAAGAGTACGATTCACGCAGACGGAGTGGCTTCAAAGATGCGAAAAGTTGTAATGACTCACTCCAGGAAGCTGAAATGTTTTCGGCGATTGTGATGCATTGAACGGCCTTTCCAAATTGCTGAACGCTCTCTGATTTTAACTCCGATGGAACACTAGCAGTGATCAGAAATATTATGGCTTTACGTAGATTCAAAGTTTTTGAATTAGTCATTTCAACATAGAGAGCATTAACGTCTAATGGAAACTTTGAAATCTGAAATTCAGTTGAATCCTCAAGAATGTTGCTGATAGTGTTTAAGGTATCCAGCTCTGTAAAATTTGTGTCATAATGACTAAATCTATCTTGCTCCTTTAAAACATGTTCTAAATGGGGCACAATTATTGACCTTAAATTGGTAATGGAGCTTTTATCTTCGTTAAAAAGGTACACACATGAAGAAACTCCCTCCAACGATGATTCAAGTGCGGTTAGCATTTCAGATTTCCAATCGTAACCAAGAGGTTTGAAAAATTCGTTCAAACTAGAATTTTTCAAAGCGTGACTGGAGTCAGTATCCAATATTACTATATTGGGAATACCCGATATCTCACGGATTTGAATTTCAATCTTTAAGCGCTTATGTTTTTCCTGCTGTAATCTTGTTTTTGCCAGTAGCCATTTTGCCCTGGTTTCTTTGTACTCACCACTTTCAAATTTAGAGAATAAAGTTAGTGCATTGTCAAGATCAAGTTGTAGCTCAGATATCAATGATTTCATATCTGATAGACGGTACTGCAGCTCTTCTATCTTTATTTTCTTTGACTGAATTTTTTTTTCCAAAGACTTGATAGTAGATTGATCAGTTTCAAGCTTAAATGATAAAGTGGAGTATTCCTTCTTAAGTTTTTCGTGCTGCTCTTCCAATTTCTGTAATTCAAGATTTATCAACGTCTCTTTTTCTTTAAAATTCTTTATTTTTAGATCTTTCTCTGAGCTGAAAGATTCCCTCAGCTGCTGCAATTCAGAGTCCATATTGACCTTGGCAACTTCAATCTTTCTCAATAATTCTTCCTTCTCATCACTTAATTTTTTCATTCTCTCAGAACGAAGTTTGACAGTTTCAGCGTCGTCTCGTTTGGCATCGTTTACCAATTCCTGCAAAACGTTGTGTAATTTCTGTTCCTTGTGTTCGATTACCTTTGCATAGGCGGTTTTCTCCAAATCTATGCGCTCCTCCACCCGTGCCAGATCGTCCTCCACTTTCAAGACCTCTTGATCAAGTAAAGACTGTTTGACGGGTATTCCTATTTCATACTCAAAGATGGTGTTGCTCAGGTTCGCTTCCCGTTTCTGCAAGTCTCTGAGTTTCGTGCATAGCTGGTGGTAGTGAAAGAGGCGGGAATCTATCTCAAGAAGGATTTCGGATAAATAGGACCGCTCAGCTTCCACATCTGCGGTTATGTGGGTCTGTAGGGTGGAGAGGTATTCCTCTAGTGATGAAGATCCGGACCTTTTGCGGGAGTTGATACTAGACGCGGAGGAAGCTGTGGTTGAGTTAGATACCGGGATGCTGGAAAAGGATATAGGGGAGATGCTTGCCCGACGGGAGTCCTGTTTCCTGGGGGAGGCGGCAGGGGAAAGTCTGGAGGTGTCTTTTCTACTGTTCGGCAAAGACGGCTTTGGTATCAGCGACTTTCTCCGATGTGTGTTCATATCTGCGTGGTTAGTTTGTTTGAATGAGCCTCGACCATGGGTTTTCTGCTACTTGAGGCTGTTGGGGGGGAGCGGCGAAGCGGTTTTTAACTTCTTTCTTAGTTCTTTCCTCTTTTTGCCTATGGTGTCCCAGACAGCTGGAGCTGGACGGCGGCAGGGCGTTTGGCGACACGTCGCAAAGTGACATGTCGTGTGGATGCGGAGGCGAGTGAACATGTAAACATGTCAACATGTCAACACAGGGAAAACACGTGCGAACATGAAAAAGAAAAAGAAAAAGCGGGAGTCGATTCCGGTGGTCGGAGGTATATACGGAGCTATCTAGGTAGGCGCAGAGAAGCGGCAGGGCTCGGGCTCACTCGAGCTTTTCTGCCGGCTTGGAGAATCTGTGTGAGGTCTGTGCAAAGAAGTATTTGGAAAGTGTCCGCTTGTAGATGAGGTAGAAGGTCGGGAGGTATGCGAAAAGCAGGATTTTCAGGAACGTCTTGATCTGCGCGTCGTAGGGCTCGAGTTCGGCCTGGTAGGAGGGAAACACGAGCGACTGGAAGACAAGGTAGACGGTGGCGACGGCCTCGAGGGGCGTGCACACGAGGTAGGTGAGCGACCGGCAGAGGCGGAACAGCCGCGGGACGTTGCTGTAGAGGCGCACCTTCTGGAGGTTGTAGAACCAGCGGAAGAACTCCTTGACGGACTGCACCAGCACGACCAGCGCAAACGCCTCCGACCGCGCCACCCGCGGGTAGTTGAAGAAGACAAACGCCAGCACGAGTCTTGACCCGGCCACCGAGAGCAGCACCCGTGGATGCGGCTTTGGCAACGCGTTGTACGCTGTCTGCGTCCCCGGAATGTGTCTGAACACCGCCACGTAGTTGAAAAGCTCCAGCGTCTCCGTGGCCACCAGCACCCCGAGATAGAAGTCTGCAAGCCCCCCGGCAAGGAACTTCGACCCCGTCAACGGGTACAAGATCGCCAGCCGGGCCAGCACGAAGAACCAGAACAGCGCCACCAGCGTGTCTGTGACCAGAAAGTACTTCTGCGTGTTGTTGTAGCCCGTGTTCCTGGCGTGTTGCGGCATCCTGCTGCTGTCTATCTGTCTGTGCTGCCTTCCCTTCAACCCTCCCATCTGTCCGTGCCCTCTTCTCCCCAACGCCTCCCAGCTGGCTCAGCTCTTTCTGACGTGTACCCTTCCTCCTCTCCCTCTCCCCCTGCCACCAGAGCCATCCCTCCCCGTCCGTGTTCGCGCCGTCGCGCCGTCGCGCCGTCGCGTCGCCGCCAAAACGCCAAAACGCCCCAGCGGTCGATCGACCCGTAGCGCCTTTTTTCGGAGCGGACGGAGGGCCCGGGTTTTAGCGTCCGTGTCGAAGCCTCTTTCGGCGTTTTCCCTCGGTTTTTCGCAGGCCTCGCCTCGTTCTCGAGGTGTTTGTTGATGTTCGCCGAAGGCCGATGTGTCGGGGTGTTGTTGTCGTCGTGTCGGGCCGGTGCCCTGGGGTCTGGGGCCGGCGGTGTCGTCGGCGGGGCGCCTCTGCGGGCCAGCGTCTAGCTGTGTGCGCCTGTGCGGTTTCCTTGTGTTTCCCCTTGCTGGTGTCACAGCAGGGCACGCACGCACGCACACACTCTGCTGTCCAGCTGTCCAGGGCTTGTTTCCTGTTTAGCTGGCGTCTGTGTTGGCTTGCTTGACTGTATTTGTGTCTGGGTGTCTGCCTGGGTGTGTGTGTCCCGCCGGGTTGTGCACTTCCGTCTCCACACACACACGTCGACCTTGCTTTGCCTCTGCTGCCCGCTTCGCCGTCCGCCCGGATCCGCCCACCTGCCTTTCCCCTCTGAGATCACAAGAAGCACCACGCCATGGGCCCCTACTCTATTCTATCGATCGGCAGCCACCCCAACATCGCCTTCTACAACTGGAGGCTGAACGCCTCGAAGGCGGTCAAGCTGGCCACCGTCGCCTCGACCGCCATCCTGGACTCGTCCACCCCGGCGTCGATCCAGAACGCCAAGCCCACCACGTACTCGTGGTCGTCGAACCAGTTCGGCAACGAGAGATACACCCTCAACAGCGTCTACAACTCCGTGGACGACTACATCTCGCTCAACGGCGCCTCCCCGGAAAACCTGGACTTCATCTTCCTCTCGGCCACGTCGCTGCAGGAGCTGTCCACCGTGTGCTCCACCTTGAGCTCCGTGTTGAAGGTGCAGCTCGCCAACCACAACGTGCCTACCATCATCGTCGAGTCCACCAACTTCGTCAACTTGGAGCCCTTTGTGAAAATGTCCCTGCAGCTGGACGACCAGATCCCGGTCATCTCGATCATGTCCGACTTCGACATCAGAGAGGTCGGCAACGATAACTTCCTGGTCTTCAAGAGCAAGAAAGAGTCCGAGTTGATCTACGTCGGTAAGAGCGGAAGAGAAAGCAGCTACACCTCCGAGGAAATAGGCTTGATCAACAAGATTGCAGATCTTTTCGAATCCTCCAACATCGATGTCTACAAATTGAATACCCCCTTGGAGTTCCTGTCCTACCAATGGAAGTTTGCATTGCCAAAAATAACCGTCGAACCTTTGTCAATCATTTTTGAAAAGCCTTTCCCGAGCGACTTGCAAAACCAGATCTTGGCCAAACCTTTGATCTCAGGCTTAATCTTCGAAATCATCACCGTCATCAAGACCATGGGCTGTAAGCTATTCAACAGTTACGACAACGAAGTGTCTCTTTTGGAACGTTTATCTCAGTTATACCCTCAAGTGGATTTAAGTTTGGACGCCTCAGAAGCACCAAAACTGTATTACGATTTTTTCAATCAAAATCAACTTTACTTGGATTTATTGTTGCTTCAGCCGATCTTGATTGCAGATGACTACCAAGTTAAAACCCCATACCTAGAATTCTTGTATGCCGTCATGTCTCAATACAACTCCAACAATTTCTCCACCCTAGAGACATCCACTTCTATCTTTTGGCTCAGGAAAAACACGGAAAATATCCGCCAATTGAGACTACAGCAGGATGAGATTGCCATGCAAAACTCTTTGCGTGAAAGAGACATCAAAAACTCGGAAATGGCACTCAACAAATCTATTCCGAAAGGTAATAGCAATGGTGCTATAAGTGGACCTTCCTACCCAAGGAACCCACAGCGTTCTTCAACCGATCCTCCAATAGATCCTGAGATGGAAGAATTATCAGATATGGCAATCACTTACGGTGGCATATCCGATAAAAACATTCCACCCCAATCTCGCGATTACAATAACGGTACAAAGACTCCGAATGGTTTTCCATCCTCGAATAATTTACAACCTCCATTCCCTGTAAATAACAATCCCAATAGCATACCAGGCAATGCATCTCCAAACTACATGCCTCAACAAAATCTTCCTCATGGTCTACCGCCTCAAGGCTTACCTCCTCAGCAACAAATTTTCAACTCACCTCAACAACAACAACCTCCTCCAATGCAAATTCCTCCAAATCGTGGTGGAAGAGGTTACTACAATAATGGTCCTCAAGGCGGACACCCCCAAATGAACCCATATGCTTCTAGAGATGATGTATCATTTATGTCCGGTCGTGCTTCTCACATGAATATGAACCAGAACTATGATTCTTCATTCAATAGCATGAACGGCATGGGTGGAATGAATGGAATGAATGGCATGAGCGGTATGGGTCCAATGAATGGCATGGGTCCAATGAACGGTATGGGTCCAATGAACGGCATGGGTCCGATGAATGGCATGGGTCCGATGAATGGTATGGGTGGCCCAAACAGACCATTCAAACCAACATCACGTAAAAGCTCACGTAAAAGTGTTGCTGCCCTGACAAATTCAGTGGCTGGAGGTTATAGCCATACCGGTGGAATGCCATCACGTCACTCAATGGCTCCTCAAGCTTCAAACTCAAATTTGAGAAGTGCCGCAAATGTCAAGAGACCTAACGGCGGCATCAGCCAATCAACCTCCCAATTTGGTTTGGACAATTCCTTTACGCCTCCAGGAGTGGTTGCCAATGGTAGTGGAAGTGATGGATTATCAAATGGTAGCTCATCTAGCCTACCTGGTGCTAACGGTGCTGCCGTTCCTCCTCCAAAAACTAGCAACATTGATTTGGTTCCGGTTCCAGAAGCAACACCTGCTCCTACTCCTGCTTATGTTCCAAGTCAGGAAAAGAAAGAGGAGAAGAAAAAGAAGCGTGGCTTCCTGAAGTTCGGTAAAAAGAATAAAGAATGAGTAACGGAGTAATATTCTTCTTTTTTCATTTCTTTTTTATCTTCACAGTGAGCCGTTACAACCCTGTCTTATGAAAACATTCTTTCTCCTCTTCACATCGATAAATCACATGGTTCATTTTGATCCATCTTATGAACAATACTGTACATTGTGCCTGATTTTTCTGTTTCATGTGCTTTTTCTTGTTTCCAGTTGTTTTTCTTTTTGTTTTTCCTACTGTTTTGTTTGTTTTGTTTTATTCATGTCTTGGTCTACACTCCCATATCCTCATCACCTACGTCACATACTTCCATTTTTTATCTCTCATCTTCATAAATTTTATGTCGATGTTTGGTTGTTTTTTATCTGCACGTTCTATTCATTTTGCATGGAGTTCATTTTTTATGTTACTTTTTTCCCCTTCCATTTGTTCATACCATCAAAAAAATAAAGAATTGAAAAATTAACATTATTCTTTCATCAATATGTATATCCATATATATATGTATGTATATGTACTTTTCTCCAACAAATTATGTTTATATAATCCTATTCATTTGTATTTATTGTCTCAAAACAAGTTATATACTAAGTCTAAATTTCATGATTCTCACAATTCCCGAATTATCATGTATCTGCGAGCGAGCATGATTCCGTATCCGAGACATCTATCAAGTCTTAGACCCCGAAGCTCACAGTTATGCAGTTCTTTTGTTACAAGAACATGACAATGGATTAGTCCGATGATAGTATCTTTAAGCCAGATACAATATATTTTTCAAAATGAAATGTACGAGGTTGGCACTGCAGAATCTGAACAGTATGTCTCAGAAAACATTTGGGGAAGTTATGAGCAATAAATCTTCCTCAGGTGAAAGTTTCAAGGAGTTAACACCAAGGCCTCTAGGTTATGATATCCTAGAATCAAAATTCAACAGCCAGGTAGGAGAACTTAAACAGTTCTTGAAAAATGAATCACAACTTGAAAATACACAATTTGGAAGTAAAGATGATGTGATAAAATTGATGGACAAATATGCCACTTTTGGATTTGATTGTGGTGAAAATTCAAAAGAGTCCAAAAAGAATGAAGTTATCAACAAGCAACTAAGTTTAGTCCAAAGAAAGATGATTATGGCTGCATATGCGAAAGCAGGTAAGAATAAAGGTGGGGACGTCAGAATGGTGAAGAAATCAGGCACTGCGCAAGCTGACAGAGTCAAATTGGCGCTGTTGATGAAACGTAATTGGCCATTGCTCGAGTATGTTGCTAAGGAAAGTGGAATTGAAATTTCAAAGCAAGAAGGTCAGGAGAGCTGGGGATTTGAGGAAGAGTTAAAGGAGGCTGAAATACATGATATATCTGAGGAAAGTAATAATGAGAAGAAAAATGTACCTACTTATCGGAAGCAAGGTTCAATAGATGGACACACGGGATTCAACTTACTCTTGAGGAAAATAAACAAAGTCCATCAGACAAAGGCAATTCATGTTTTACCACAAATGACTGCATTTGAAGCGCATCCTACCATATCGCATCTGAACTCACATGTCGACATTCCCGACTCGGAAGTTAAAGGCTTACAGGAATTTTTACAAAATGCAAAACAAGTTAGTGAAGATCGAAACGAGCTGTTATTCAAGGCAAAAATAAACTATGAGTGGTCTAAGAATCTTCTATCGGAAGAGCCACGTACGATTGAAAACCATAACTTTTTCACACCGGTTTGTGTGCCGAAAACTTTGATCCCCATTCATGAATACGGATTGCAAAAAACCATTGAGGCTCAAGAAGAGATGAAACAAGGTCTTTTGAAGCTTGATGCTGAAAAATTTGATATCCTGAAAATCTATGCTGATGGCTCAAGTGGTACGTTAGCAAATGACAACTTTACCTATTGGCAAGGAGACATAGAGAACTTGTACACGATTTTATCCCGGCTACAGCACCCTAAAAACTTCAAAACAAATTTACTCAAATATTTAAAAATAGGATGGGTCCCTGTAAGTTCAGAAGAAAGGGAAATTATGATGGTGCGTGATAACTCGCAATATCGTTACAATATAATAAAGAGAGGGATAGTCATTGGTGTTGCAGGGGTTTGTGTCATGCTGAGTGTCATTGGGGTATCCACGGGGCTGTAACAAATATTCCGTTCCATAAAGTATACAGTTTTATATGAGCAAAGTGCAAGAAGAGAAAAAATAGTTAACTTTCCGCTACCGCTTACGACATTTCCACATCCTTCCCATCCTCTGGGCTGCCTACTTTTTTTACTAAAGCACACTTGATTGCGGTGAGTCCTCCATGGCCTCCTTTCCATAGTCTAAGTAGGTTCACGTTTGTAGCTGATCGTAGATCAGGCACTTGCCAACCTGTTTCATACATATGGTTCTCTTGTTTGAGTCTGCTTTCTAGCAATTGCTGCCTTTTGGAAGGTGGTCTGTCTGCTCTCCGTTCGCTTTTCAAGGTTTCAAGTTCGTCACGGTCTCTATTGATAAACGTCTCGATTAAGCTTTTCAGATCATCGAGTTCGTATTTATCTTTCTCAATCTCGGCTGGAGAATTTATGAATTCTTGGAAAAAATCAACGATGAGATTCTCTTCACTTTTTCTCATTGAATGCATGAGTTTCTTTTGGTTAACTCTATCATCTCGGAGTGAGGCCCTTGCTAGCGACTGAGCTTTTCTTCCGTTTGGATGTAAAAGAGTCTTTTTCTTTCTAATTTTTTGAGTAACCTTCAAAACTGTCTTTGCCATTATATTTTTTATGTTTTCCTGTGGCCAATCTGATGACAAAACCGCCTTTTTTCATAATAAACTTGCAACTTACACTACATGAAAAGCTAGCTGAAAAAAAAAATATCCATATCGAATCTGAAAAAAGACAAGAGAAATAAAAAAAATTGGAACAACCGTTGCAATTGCTGACGTAATTCTTTCTTTGCAAATAAACTTACCCGGCAAGCTCGCACTTTTTCGGTGTTGAGAATGGCAAGTGGAAAATGAACATGAAAAAAGTATAAACCAGCTGGGGATGACGAAATCGGAAGAAAGGTCTGGGGTAGGGGAAATTTAACAGTTCTATTTCGGTCAGGTTAGCCAGTATTTCACACAGATGGTTTTAAGATACACTGAAGAAGAACTCCGTTTATATGAAGCTGGAGCTTGTTTGCCAGACGGTGTCGATCTCACACCATTTCTTACACTAGTTGCCGATGTCACTGAGGCATTGAAGCAACTGGAAGAGCAACATCCACGTCGTAAGTCGTTCAACCATCACAGACCACAAAGAAAGAAGCAACCTAAGGAAATTGTTGACGAAGACGGATGGACTTCATTTGTTCCGAAGAAGGCGCACGAAGAGGAGGAGTCTTCTGCCATTGGTTCCAGTGCTGCGGACGCAATTGCTGAAGTCGAAGGTGGTAACGATGACTTCGAAGAAGTTTCCAAGCCTAAGCAACACACCATCAAGATCAAGACTAACGCTTCCAAGATTTCAAGTGGTAAGAGTAGTGTTGCAGACACAAGGGATGCCATTGCAATCACACAAGTCTCCAAATTTAATGCCTTTGATGCTTTGGCTGATGACGATGATGAATGAGTTTTTAGTACACGTCTTTCTCCTTCTTTATCTACGACAAAAATAGTTAAGTAATAATGGTAATAGAAGCAGTGAATAATTTTACATTTAGTATACATATGTACAGATTGTAATCAGCGGGAAACCAGCCCTCGTCTTTTTCCTTCGATTAATTGATTGATTTCGTCAAGTTCCTTCTGCATGCGCTCTTTCCTTAACTTTATTGAGCTCGACTCCATTTCTTGGAACTGTGTGTAGGCCCACAACTCATCCTCCACATCATGAACCTCCGCTTTAATATCAGCAATCTCTTTTAATGTTTTATCGATTTCTGTTTCTAGCTTCTTCTGCTTGTATAGATTATCAATTCTATTTTCGACCTTATTGCTTTTTTCTGTATACTTCTTAATCAAGTGTAGTAAAGTTTGCCTGTTGGGTACATTTTTCAGTGATTCATTCATAAAATGATCATACTTTTTCGTCTTTATCATTTTCTCTGTTTCCTTCTCAATTTCTTCTTCAATTGACGACCAAATGTCAATCGTCTCTTTCATTTCATCGATACTAGTATGAGAATTCATACTACTGGTTTTGGCATGCATCAATTCTACCATTACTTTTTCTTGCTCGTCTTTGAGACCATCGGGTATGCCTCTAACTTTTGGGATTGGAAGTCCCCTTTTCACCGCCTGAGGAGTCTCAAAAGCTTCCAGTTGTTCCTTCAATTCTCTGAAATACTGTTTCTCAACTCTTCTTTGTTCAGTCCGGTCAATAACTACTTTTGGAAATTTTTCGTTACCACCAACAGAAGCAGATTCAAACCCATTATTACTACTTTTCATGCTACTTTCAGGATCTAGCATTCCATCCATATCCAGCTCAAAATCATCCTCTGCGTCTGGGAGCAAATCAAGAAGCTCTACAACTTTCTTTCTTTCCTCTTTCTTTCTTTTTTTCTCAGAAAGATCCATTGACTTGTAAGCCTCATTATCTTTAGCACTTACGTTGGTATTGGAATCAGTGTCTTGATTTCTTCTCCCAGAGAATAAGATAGACTTTTCAGTACTACTCTTTACAAGACTCTGAACTGTTTCCCCAATTATATCATCAAGATCCTCCTTTAAGTCTTGCCCTGAGAAACTTAATTTGATCTTCTTTCTTTTCTTAAACTCATCAGCGAAATTCTTATCATCATCTTCTTCTCCGTCTTCTAAGTCTCTGCCTTTCCAAGTTCTCTGCGATGTTTCTTTCAAGTCCTCCTGTTTCCTGTCAGCAAGCTTTTTATTCTGATCTCTTCTCCTCTTTTCCTTTCTTTTCTGAGCTTCAACTTCTTGGTTGAAAGTACCCTTTACCTGGGTGTTCTTATCAAACAAAATTTTGTCTCTCACATTAGAACTGAACTCGTTTGTGGTATCAAAGACGCCCTCTGCGGGCCTTCTTTCGAATGCAATATCAGCATTATAATCCATTTGCTCCTTAAATTGCTTCTTAGTTTTTAAAGCAGCGTTGATACCTACTTGTTTTAACTCTCTCCTACGCAATAATTCAGCAACACGTCTGCTTTCTTCCAAAATTTTCTCCCTTGCTTTCCTTTTGGCTTTTTTACCTTGTGTATTCGTCAACCTTGCTCTTGCTTCGCTGATCATTTCCTTTTCGTCTTCATCCATTTCATCTAAATCGGCCCTTGCGGGTTTAGACTCCGGGTTCAAATTCAAGCCACCTAGAGAACTGCCTGCTGTGTTCCTAGCGCCTGATGATTCGACATTTCCTGTTAGCAAAAGACGGCTTGCACCAATGTTTTCGTCCGCTGCAACATCCTCTTGACCTGTGTAATCAGACAACAACTCTTGATATCGTTCGATACATTGATTTGCTGTTCTGTTGAGCATCAAAGAAATAGAGCTCCATTGGTTCGGCCTTAGTTTAGCGAGGTTCAACAACTTTCTGTCTTCCTCAGGACTCCAATCGACCTTTCTGATACGTGGATCAAGCCATTCTTGCCATCTTAATTTACACTGTTTGGCATTCTTCCGAGTCAAAAGTGAAGAGACCCGAGACCATTGGTTTAACCCGTACTTGGCAATTGCAGCCTTCAAGATCTCATCTTCCACATTCGTCCACATCCCTCCTTTCACGTAAACTGGCACCATTGTTGATGTTTATATGGGCTTAAAAAAAGCACTGTCGTTTACTTTCTCATTGTTCTATATAGCTAGAAGGATGCCATGCTCCGGTTCTTTTCTCCAACTCGTGCAGTGAATCAAGAAACAAAAAGCAAACCGCAGCGCAAGAATCATGCTCGCCTCGAGGGGGTATCAATAGAAGGCCATGCTGATGTTATTCGAGGTCGGGCGGTAAAAAAGGATGGACATCGGGTTTCGGACGGGTTGACCTCTATCTCCGCGTTGTTCAACAAAACCAAGGGCGGTAGCCAGATCTCAATCACTTTTCAACAATAGAATAGTTTGCTTCCCAGGTTTGCGTTTGAAGACCAGAAGAAGAAATGCATTCAGTCTTTAGACCAAAGCACCAGAAGTTAATCCTTCAATGCTATCCGTCTCCCAAATTGAGCACTGCTGAAACCAAGCCAAATCAAGCAGAGTTGAGCTACCTTGTATTCTATGCTTCTTCCCGTCGTACAAAATTAGAGAAGGTCGGAGAGTTTTTGTTAAAGAAGACGTCGGCCGACATATCACATAAAAGAGTGGGACACTTGAAGGTCACGTTATACATTCTCCAGGAGCTAATAACCAAATGCTCAGAAGATTTGGGCTTCATGACGCCGTATGTGGTGAACATTATGAAAGACATAGTAGATCTCGGCGATCTTTCAACTTGTCAACTTGCCACAAGAGTCTTTGTCACGTACTGTCATACACTGCAACCTATTCAAAGACAGGTATTTTCCTCTAATGTTAATTTATTGAAAAAGTTCCTAAGCATCATTGCAAAATTTTTAAGCTTTGCCTCAGGATCTAACTCGAATGACTGGCTAAAAATGTCGTTAAATATATGCTCGGTGGTTGCCGATTATGTGGATCCTTGGTTCAGTCAATTTGAAAATTACGATTTGATTGGAAAATCTATATATTTGATTCTGGGCACTTTGGCATTAAGCAAGACCGACCTTTCTTTGATTAAGGTTTCGTCTTCTCGCTCAACGCCAGAGGTTTCTGATGACGATGACAGCATTGATAAACTGGCATCCGATTCTTTGAAATCTTTCTTCGATACAAGCTCCAAAAATCAACTTGATAGTGCTACCAAAACTGTTTTGTCCTACGTCATAGAAAACAACAAAGACTTAGATTGGGCAAACAAAGTTGTTAAAATTTGCACTAGGAAAACCCACATTGAGTTGAGACATAGAATCATGATTATTTTTTCTTATGAAATTGACAACTACGTTAAGAAAAATAACATTCAGCTTCTGGAGTATCTACTCAAAATGCAGGCAAACCTGCTAGGCTCTGATGATGTCCAGTTTGTTGGTTTGCCAGTGATGGATATATTGAACAAGATAATCCAATTTGAGCAAACAATGGTTCTCAACAAAGAAGCACATATTTTGAAAAGTTCATATTCGGATATGATTAGAAGCTTGGCTGGTAGAATCTACTATAATAACCAGATCAACGACATGGTCACAAGCATTTTGTCCGATTACTACAATGAGTACAATAATGGAAAACTGACAGAAGATCACTTTTTGCCTTTCTCTCAGGTGTTGATTGACAACATCCGAGATATTTTAATTGTCAGTGAAAAGACTGCAGTTAAGTTGAAAAAATCGCAATTCCCACTTTCAATCTTCAACTACTTATATTTGGTAATCCCATTAGAAAAATTTCCTAACATTCGTCAGCAGGTACAGGTGATGTGGTTGTCTCTTTTAAATGATTTCTACCGAAAGGATGTCGAAACCTTGTCAACTCCAAACGTTGACCTCTGTATTACTAATAATGTTGATAACAACCTTTGCCTCTTTTTTGAGTCAATGGATAAGTTGTTAAAGAATAGCCCAAGAGACGAAATAAAAGCGCAATTATCCATTACTGTATCAACTATGATCAGCGCATTTAAACTCAATTTTTTGATGAATTACCTAAAGTTCACATCTGTTTGGCTCACGGATCCTACTGACTTCAAATACTCGCTGTCTTTATTGATCCTAGGACTTTCTTCAGCTCATATTGAAGATGGTCAGCCGTTGGCTGCCCTCGCAGACTCCAAAATTGCCTGCTCGCAGCAGGAAAAGCTCTGGCCCGAATATATTGGCTACAACCCGACATCGGCTCCTAGTGGGGGTCCTTTGACCACAGAAGAATTGCAGGTTACTCTTGAAAAAGTCCCATCTGTTTCTACGTGGTTGAGAAAAGTCAGCATCAGTCAGCCGCCGTCCGTGACGAGTCAGCCACCGAAGCAGCACAGCACACTACTTTTGATGTCGGCCAGCAACAGTGTGCTGTCTTTGCCATTGGGCAAGCAAGACTCCTTCATGAATGGAAACATGAAGAGTCTACCACGTTCAATAACCCACTCGCATAACAACACACAGGCATTGCCGTTATCGGCCCACAGCACTTTAAACAGCAGCATCTACGGTGGCCGGACTGAAGACTATAGCGACGCTGCCGACATGACGAACAGCACTGCTGATTTTGACAGCAGCTACAATGAGGACGAGATGCTTTCCAATGGTGGCGACTACTCTGATATGAACTACAACTTTGCTGCGCCAGGCGGAGGACGCAGTATGCGGAGTGGATGGAGCATCCGGAGTGCCAGGAGCGGACGCAGCGGACGTGTAAATCTCCGCCAGCTCAAAGAGTTCAAGGGCAACGCTGCCAACGAGGTCGACTTGGCGAAGTTGGTGAAGACACGCACAGGCGGCACCCTGGCCGCAATCAGCACCTATGGCTCAAGCAACGGGACAAATGGAATCTCTGACGGCGTGGCAGTAGCAAATACAAACGATCATCCAGCTGCAGCTGCAGCTGTAGTGCCGGTCAACGGCGCCCTGTCCAACGGGTACAACTCCGTAAGCAGCACCGTCAGGGGTAGAAGCGGGTTGGCGTTTGCCATCAGCGGGCTTGACCTAGACGACATGTGACCCCGCAAATTCTCTATAGAATGTATAGGCTTGTACGAATTCATTGTAAACAATAAACTTTTGACCTACTTACCAAACAATAGCGAAGAAATTGAAGGCTCGCCTGCCTCCGTACACCGTGAAGATGGAGATGTTCCTTTTTTGCCCCCTTGTTGTTTTCTGCTGTCAGGGTCCTGTGTCATCTGCAGCCGGCTTGCGCCCGGTATTCAACTTGAGGGAATTGCGTTTTAGTCGGGTTTTGCGGAGTTGTCAGCGTGGTTTTCTTTGATAGTATTTTCGGAGAACAACATAGTTGTGCCCTTGTCTTTAAGCGAAAGACGGAACAGTCGTCCCTTTAACAACGTCCGAAAACATAGCCGCAATAGCAATCGGAACCGTCAAAAGAACAACTATCTCCACTCAGCAGCATGGGTTTCAAGGATTTCTTTTCCAAAGGGCCCACCGGAAGGGTATGTTATATTTTTTGGAGATAGCAGGATTTTTCTCATCTCTCTAGGTTTCTCTTTGGCCTTGGGATTGTTTATCATTTTGTCAATTCTTTTCTTGTTTTTTCAGCTACTAACAGAACCTTTATTTTCTCGTATTTCGTACCTTAAAACATTTTTGTTGCAGAATGATGGAGTCTCTTACAATCAAGGTCTCAACACATCGTATAGCAGTGCCACCAACAGGAGGTACATGGAAAACATGAGTGCCAATGGTTTGCAGTCTACGTACTCACTCCGTCAGCAACAGCCTCATTCTTCTGGCCGTGCAATGTCATTGAGCAGTCGTTCGTTCAGACCATCGGAGCAGCCACGTACCATGTCAATGCGTTCTGGAGTGTACAGCCAGCAGTCTGGTTCCAGAGCGATGTCGATGACAATGTCCTCAAGGCCAAACAGGCCTCCATCCGTCAGCTCACGGGCAAACTCTCTGACAGCGTCGACACGTGCCTACCAAAAGAACCCTGGTTCAAGATTGAATTCCATGTCGGGCTCTAGAGCGGGTTCCAGAACCGGCTCCAGAGCAAACTCATTGACTCCGGCCACCGCCGGAAATCCATCTCACACAAAAATCATCAAGACTACCAAAGAACAAGACTACTCCGGTCGTACAAAGTCAATCACTACAACAACAATTGAGAAACGTGGTAATATGAAAATTGTCCGTACTACTGTCATTCATCCTTCCGATCATCGTATTAACGAGGATGCTGAATTGGAAGAATTGGCCGAATTGGAAGATTTCGATCATGACGCCACTCTGGATGACTATCGCCACAATGATGAGACTGCAAACTACCATGAAACAGATGGACATTTCGACCATTATGACTATCAAAACCAGTATGACGAAGATTACAGTGATATGATTGTCAACGAAAATGGCGGTCATGGAGAAAATTATAATGAAAGGGATTATTACGAGGATCCCGCCAGAAATGGAGCTGCTCTCGCAGCGGCTGTTGCTCTCAATGGTAGTCAAAGGTATCCTGATAGACAGCAGCCTCGTGCCCAGGCTCAGAGGAATACAAGGCCAAAAGCCCCAGGTGTTTCACAGCGTGTTCGTAAGAATGGAAGGGAATTTCAAAATTACGACTCTAAACAAGAAGTCAGGTTCGGAGAGTCGAAAATTGTCGACGACTTACAAAGCGACAACTATGATTATCCACATGATTATCAAAATGAGGTCGATTATGAGTTAAATCAGCAGCAATACCAACCAGCGGTCGCCAGAAAAGCCAAGAACAAGAGCACAAAAGTATCAAAGCAAAGTTCTAAGCCTGTTAATGCCAGTAATATAAATTCTCGTAGTGCTCAAAAAAATCAAGCCATTACTGCTGCTAATACGCCATCTACTGGTGCACCTATTCCATCTGGCAGAACAAGAAAGTTGGACCCTCCTCAGAGCACTCGTCTTCAGCAAAGTCCTATATCTCAGAAGTCTTTAGATGCAGAAGGTATTCCTTCAAAAAAGACTATTTTTCCAACTGAGAACGATGTTATGCTACATGAAGAACAAATATTATCACCAGCACAATCATCTCGTGCGCATTTCAATGATGTGGCTAACGATGTTATTTCAGATGAGATTTATGAGGACAATGTTGGCGAATATGATGACGAGGAGGCTGATGATGACGAGGAGGTGATGGTTGTCACTCCAGAATTGTCATCGTCTGAATCATTCAAAGAGAGGGCACAAAAGAGATTGTCAGAAATTGCAGAAGTTACCGAAACATATGACGATGATGAAGCCAATGTAGAAGAAGATCAAGATTTCATGGAGGAGCCGGTATTGAATCCTCTTGGACTTGATACTGCTATTTCTGCAGGGGTAAACCATAAGGATAAAACTTTCAAGGGAAGAGCCACGCTAAAGGAAAATGCAAACCCTACAATGGACGGTCCCTCGCCTTTTGTCAAACCTGCCTTTGCTGAAAATGCAGGAACCACTACCTCTTCCATTACATCAGATGAAAATTTTGTTGAAGCTCAAGAAGACCTTGTCTCCAATCCTCCAGCTATAACGAATATCAATGATAAAGTCGGTATCCCAAAGAAACAATCACGCCCGCTGAATAATACAAGTTCTCAACCCCAGCCATCACATACTTATAGAAATTTGCTATTTAATGAATCGAAAAGGTCTCCAATTAAGAACAGTATTCCAAACTTCAATGGCGTTCACAACGATTATGTCAATGATGATTTTGATAACTTTCCTCAACAGATATCTGCTGTATCAAGCCAGTCAAACTCTCCTGTGATCAACCAGAATAATTTCAACAGTTTTGATCAGAATGAAGACGATTTGTATACCTCTCCTCCTGAGAGGCAAACTAAGAAGTTGAAACTCAAATCCGCATTGAAGAACAGCTCATCATCTTTAGCAAGCCCTATTTCCGAAACAAATCCCCAAAATGGTAGATATGCTAACGGTCAAAGAATTAGAGCTCAGTCAAAGAATGCTGTTTTGTCTCCGAGCGAAACTAGGAAAGAGCTTACCCCAGAGGAAATGTATGCGTTGGCTCTGAAAGCAGCGGAGAAAAAAGTTTATGGTGACCGTCTGAACAGTGTTTATCCTGACAACGACATTGACGATAATACCAAACTGAATACGATGGTGAATATGCAAGGCCCTCCTGGGACTGAATCAGCACATATTTCTAACCGTGATTCTGCTGTTCTGGACATTCCTGAGCAGGGGCATTCTGCTTCGCAACCAGGATTGCCTTATAAATCGAATGCCACGGGTTTAGGCTTTCGTGTCCATTCTTTGAGGGACGGTAATTCTTCTTCAAGACAATCCAAGAAAACGGATCCCCAAGAAGCAAGCAGATTAAAGAAATTTTTCAAACTCGAGCAAAAACAGCAAAGGAAGCAATGGGAAGATGAAAGGAAAGCGGCAGCGGAACCTAGGCTAGTGCAGCAGGCACAGCAAAAGGTAGAGAAGGATGTAAGTATGATGCCCGTGAATCCAGATGTTGAGTTACATATTTTACAACAGCAAGAGCAAGTCAGACTGGAACAGAATAAGCTGGAGCAGCTCAAAAAGCAGCAGTATCAACATCAACAAATGGGCACACGCGATTCAAATCAAGCTCAGCAGTTTGAATCAAGTCAGGTATCAAATGCACCACCTGCCCAAACAGACATATTCTCACCGACAACTGAACCCCACACTGCAACTCAAGGTGTAGCGCAAAACCCTCAACAGCTTTCAGCACCTAAAGTACAAGAGCCAGTAGCTCAGCACTTGATGCAGCCTGCTCCGAATAATGAACCAGTCACTGAAGCCACTGAAAAAACAACAGCGGTAGATGCATCGCCTAACAGCTCAAGTGCTACTAGCTCGCCAAACAAACTGAGAATGAAAATGTTTAGTTTTGGAAAAAAGAAGTCTACACCTGATCACTATACCCACAAGAAGCAAACTTCATTAGTTTCTCAAGAAACACATCGATCGAATGCTTCGGTGGGCCGAAGGGGTAGTGTCGATGGTAAAAGGAATAAATTTTTTTCTTTCGGGTTAGGTGGATCCTCGCATGATGCTGACATAGCTCCTGTCCAAGGTGTAAATCAGATACAAAAGGTGAAGAGTACTTCGGGTCAGGAAAATGCTGGTTTTGAACTAAAAGACCCAAATTCCGATCTTGTCCAAACAGAGCGCCCAGTTCCAAATTCTCAAAACGTCCCAGAGGCACAACAAGATAAAAGCGTTTCCAACGCTCAAGTTTACCCTGCTGCTGGAGAAGTTGGAACTGCTCAAGGTATCGTAAATGACTCAATTGGTCCAGAGGTTGATCACCAAGGAAGCGCCCAACCACAAACTGCATGGTCTCAGAACGACCAACCACTACAGCCTGCCGAAATCACCACCATTCCAGAAGATGTAAATGACACACCAACGGCTCTGGGTAACATTGAAGAGGAAAATTTTTCTCAGCCTACTTACCCTGGTGCTAAAATCACAAATGACAACTTTGTGAGAGGTCCACAGGGAAGCTCATCGAATCTGATTAAAGTTGGCACTGTCAACAGTTCTGTTACCAACGGCTCTGCGTACACGAATAACAATCGTTCTGCTGGAAACCGTGATAGTGTGAACCCTACAGAAAGCAGCAAACTTCCAAACACCGAAGCTCAAAACTATTCATTGAGCTCTCCTGGAGTTTTTAATGCTAAAGCAGATTACGCACAGGCGCCAAACGGTGAAACAATTGAAGTGGCGAAACAGCAGCCTGTTACTGAAAGTTCGTCCGCAAGGCAAAAAACAGGTAGGCCTCCAAAAGCTGGCAGGAAGTTCATGAAATTTTTCAACTTGTAACCTTAATTAATTAGTTTTTGCTCTCAACATTTTTATCCATCTTTTACGTTTTGTTATATTTTGTTTTGTTTTGTTGAGTTGTGTTCCTTTGTTTTTCATTTTGTCTTGTTTTGTGATATTTCAATATCACTTTGTTTACTTTGTTTATTGTCTTATTTATTTCATTTATAATATGGTGTATAATTTACTTTTCCAATCAGTTTATCTTTTTTGCTGTCTTGTAATTTGTACCATGTCTCCAAAGAGGAAGCAGGCATGGAAAAAGATACTCCACCTTTTTACGCGAGAAAAATCTCCGAAGCAGAAATGAGGGAACCTGCTAGCTTGGGTAAGTCAGGTATAATTGCTGAAGGCACTAATGATCTGGCAACCAGGAGTAAGTGTAGGGTTGTTAGCATCTTGCAGACAAAATAAAAGTACACAAAATGAGCAATCCTGGTGAAGCAAGGATACAGCACGTTAGGGCGAAAACGTTGACCTTGCATTGGCACGAAGGTGCCGCTGCTATATATAGTGTTGGAACGCAGCCCGGTAAGCCAGGAGAAAGGTCAGCCAGGCTCGTAACAGGCGGTGGAGACAACAATGTGCGTATATGGAAGGTTAACTACAATGAAGAAGGGTCCGATGTTGTCGGAGTCGAAATTTTGAGCAGTATAACCAAACATACACAGGCGGTAAACTGCGTGCGGTTCAACAGTACCGGTGACCTTCTGGCTACTGCATCCGATGATGGGACTATCATGATATGGGAGATGAGTGATACGGTGGTACAAGAATTTGGACAGGATGTAGATGATGATATCAAAGAAAGCTGGGTTTTGAAGGTAGCGTGTTTTGCAAGCAATATGAGCGAGATCTACGACATATGCTGGTCCCCTGACTCCAAATACATATGCTGTGGGTTGATGGACAACATCATACGAATCTTCAGTGTTGTCACTGGATCGATGGTCAAGCAAATAGCAGAGCATAGTCACTACGTGCAGGGTGTTGCGTGGGACCCACGAGGAGATTATATCTGTTCGCAAAGTGCCGATCGAAGTGTGCATGTCTACAAGGTGAGTACAAACGAAAGTGGAGAGTTGGTAGTCGGGCCGACGGCCTTTTACAAAAGCGTTAAGAGTGAGGTTCCTGCGTTAAAGTTCAGTCAATTGACAAGTGAAAATTTGTCGAAGAGTTCCGCTGTGATAAGTTCACAGGAAAAAAGTTCCTCAAATGTGTTGTCGGATGCCACGACTGCATCTAATACGAGGGCGTCAACCCCGGTGAGTAGTATGACTAGTGCACCTACCAGTGTTGTCCATACACCAATCATCAACTCTGTGAATGTCCTTCCTAGTGGAAACAATTTGAATCCAAATACCGCCATGGGACGCCAGTCTTCTGGGAATTCCACGATGATGGAGCCACCTCTACAAGCTCCACGCCATAAAAGGACTTGCTCGAACTCATCGGCAAGCTCTTCGCATAGTGTTGCCAACAGGTGTTTGTCGCCGCTACCATTACCTGCTGTTATGCCGTCTTCTCCAAGTCACTTACACTTGGGACTCTCATCAGCAATGTCGCCTACGTTGACTACGCAGAGTGCTAACATAAACACTGGAAACTATGTTAATAACAACAGCAACAGCAACAGCAACAATGAAAACAGCAGAAGTAACAGTAACAGCGGAGATGTCTTTTCTGCTCCTGCATCCAACATCCCTCCAATCTCCTACAAGCAACATTATCTCTACCATAACGAAACTTTACAATCCTTTTTCCGCCGATTGACGTTTTCCCCCGATGGATCGATACTCGTCACGACATGTGGAATATACAAACCCAACGCTGAGAATGGGAAGGATGAAATCCAGAACACTGTTTACGTGTATACGCGTGCAGGATTGAACAAGGGTCCTGTTGTGCATCTCCCTGGTCTCCGGAAACCTGCCATCGTTGTCCGGTTCAGTCCCGTGCGGTATGCACTTTTTGAGACATCTTCAAATCGCCAACCGAACAAGCCTGAGGGGGCTGACGTCAATGTGTTCAGCCTCCCTTACAGAATGTTGTTTGCTATTGCTACACAAGATAGCATCCTAATTTACGACACGCAGCGCTTAAAATGCGTGGTTGTCGTCACGAGCATCCATTATGCAGTCATCACAGACGTGGCTTGGTCGAGCGATGGCCGAACAGTGTTTGTGAGCTCAAACGACGGGTTCATTAGCTGCGTCGTCCTTGGTGAAGACATCGTCGGAGAGATTGTTGGTGGATTCGGCCTAGAAGAGCTACAGCAGCTTACGGAGCAGGAGCCGTCGATTTCGGTCACTGCCGTTGCTGCTGCAACAGCAGCATCTGGCGACTCTGACGTGGTTCCAGTAGCTTGCCGCCGGGCAGATAAGCTCGAGCCTGCGTCCATTCACACCGATAGAGCAGTCAAGAGGGAGAGAGAGCCAGACGTTGTTCAGCTGCTAAAAGGCGGTGAGGGCGGAGAAAAAGAGGGAGCGAAGCGGGTGCGTCTGTGACGGTGACGGCGAAGATGGGCCAGGGGACGATACATGTAGACTAGTAGTGTGCCGAGGAGCGATTCCTCCATGTGTAGCTGTATAAACAGCAGACAAAAGTCCGTGAACAAAGAACCACTAACAGACAACAGAGATAATGGAATCGCAGACGGTGACGCTAATATTGGGCGCCATAGTGGTGTTAGTGATCGTGAATTTCCTGTTTCTGGACGACGGCGACAGCGGCCCAGAGCACGGCAGCGGTCGTGGAAGGGGCCGGAGAAACGTTGCGGTCACAGAGAGCATGATAGAGTCCGTTCGGGCGGTTGCTCCGGGGCTTACAACGGCGCAGATCCGGGCGGACTTGCAGCAGACGAGAAGTGTGCAGCAGACAGTGGAGAGATATCTCGCTGGAGCACTTGTGATGGACCACGAAGAGACCTCTGGCACTGGTGCTGGCGGTACGGGTGCTGGAACTGGTGCTGACAGATGGCGTTCGTGCAGCGACTCTGTGTCTACAGCGAATGCAACGGGGGCAGGTGTAGCCGGCCGTGAGGGCGGACGAAAAAAGCAGGAGGGTCCCTTTGGCGGTCTCACATTCGACGAGAAGAAGCGGGAGATGATAGAGGAGAACCGGCGAAAGCTGGAGAAGAAGAGAGGCTGCGAGTTCGGGCGTATATAGCACAATATAAGGTACAGAGTAGAGTAAAAGTAACCGGCGGGGGTGCTTCAGGCCCTGTCAAAGTGTATTCTGAACTTGTCGTCCGACTTTCGGACCTTGTAGACGAAGTCCATGATGACCTCGCTCTCCTTTACGGGGAGCTGTTCCTTGAAGTGGTTCTCGACGTTGGTGCGGAGGTCGTCCATCGTGCGATAGTCGTACAGATTGTTTTCCTGCTTGCGCTGTTCGTTCATCCTGCTGGACTCGGTACGTCGGCCCAGATTGTTGTTCTCGAGAAGGTATCCCTGGAACGTAAGCACATCTGGCGAGAGCTGGTGGGCCGGGTTGAGAAAGCGCATGCGGTACTCCCGCAGCTCGTCCGCAGAGAAGTTGCTGAAATCGACCGAATCCTTGGCCGGCTGGTTGTCTGGGTGGTTGTCGTGCACGTACTTGGTCACATACTCCTTCTGCACAGGCACAACGTATGGCGGTTTCTGTTTCTGTGAGCTCCGCGTAGACATCATGGATGGGTCGTGTGATGGGTCACGGATGGGCACCTGTCAGAGTTCAACAAGTGGCCCGTACGATCAGCTTAGAAGTTTGGAAAAGAGCTGAGCACAGTTAAGTACAAGACAGAAACGGGGCGGGAAGCCCTGTCGCGGGTACAGCATGAAAGTGGAGTAGAATAATTGCCTTTTCGGGAAGTAGTTGCGATTTCTTGTCGCGACCGCAAGAGAAGGCCCTCTACTGGGGAAGGACGGAATAGAAGAAAGGAAGACCAGAAAGGTGATGGAGAAGCGGAAGGGACTCGTACTACGAAGGAGAAGAGAAGATAAAAAAGCGGCTGCAAAGAAAGCAATCAAAGACACGGCAGGCAATGTTTAGAGCACGCTGGTTGAAGGAAAGCGCAGAACGGACGGTGCAGTGCATGCGGGCGACAAATAAAAGCTGTGGCGCCAAGAGAACACTGATCACAGTGGGAGGAGGAGCTAGAGACTGCAAGAGAGCGTCAGTGCGTAACACTTTTGGAAGGACCGAGAGTTGGACAAAGCAGGTGCGGTTCAACTCGATCACTTCGAGTACGGACGGCACGACGGTGCCGGAGGACGTGGCAAAGCTGAGCATCGACGACTACCACACGCACGCGGAGGCGACGTTTGAGCAGGTATTGGAGGAGTTAGACGCCTTCTTCGAGGAGCAGCGGATCATGGAGGCGGAGGTTGACGAAGAGGCTGGTGTGATGGAGATCAACTGCTCTGAGGGGACGTATGTGATCAACAAGCAGCCGCCAACGAAGCAGATTTGGCTGAGCTCGCCCATCAGCGGGCCTAAGCGGTTTGACTACCATGCTGGGCAGTGGGTCTGTTTACGGGACGGAGTCAAGCTCGCAGACCTACTGCAGACCGAAATGAGCCAGATGTACGGCGAGTTCAAGTGGACTAAGCCCTTCTAAGCCGTCAGCCAGAGGCGTTTCACAAGAGCCGGATGTGGGGGAGGACGCCTCCCCGAATCTATTTATTCATACCAAGAGCCACAACCTTTATAAACAGTCTAGTATTTTGAACTATAAATAATCTAAGAAATAAATAAGTAATGCTATGCCAACGTTTTGCCAATGCTCAGGAAACATGATGTGTGCGTATGTAGTCGTAGAGCAACACTCTACTTCTGTTGAGCTCGGAAAGCGTCATTCTCCTTTCCTCTGTCGCCCAGTCGTGCGCCTGCACGAGGATCAAGAGGAAGAAGCCCTCGATAATCATGGTCGGTGTGTTGGCAATCAACTGCGCAGTCTCAGACCACAACATGGCGCTCGCCAAAATGACCAACCCAAGCACTATGGCAAACGCAGAGACCACCGACCACTCGTTGGAGCAGACCCGGTTGATAAAAAGCGAGATCCGGTTGCCAAAGCTATTCTTCACAATTGGTCTCTCCAAATCGACCGGGATGCCGACAATATCAAGCCATTCTTGAGAGTCGCCCAACAAGTCGAGGAACTTGCTCTGCTCGTAGTTTGTGATCGAAAAGAAGATCTCGCGCAATACAAACCCGTCAATGAAACCCACCAACCCGGTGTACGAGCCAATGACCAACCACCAGTTTGCACTCCAGTGCATGACATTGCCGATCCCGACCCACGCAGAGAAGACACAAATCGAGATGACCAACCCTAGACCATTGCCAACCACGTGTGCATAGAAACTGATTGCCTTCTGGATCCTGTCTCGTGGACACCTTTGCACAACAACGAGTTCATTCTCCGTTTGGTCGTTGCCGTTGATTTCCCGCAACAAGCACTCCAAGTCCTGGTCGATTTTGTTGAACTGCTCGGTCTGCTTCAAGATGAACGCGTTGGTTCTGTTCCGGACGTTTTCCAAAAACACTGTGGTCACTAACAACTCTATTGCGGTGGCGGTGTTCACGTACATCTGCCAGGTGTTGGAGAACGTTTCCATGTCTGGCTTCTCCGCCGTGCCCTCATTCAAGGGTAGGGCACCACAGTCAATCCAAACAAAAATCCCGACCCAGTACACAGCCACGGCAGGCAAGCTGCCCAACACTTTTCCGACCCAGTAAGAGACCTTGTCAAACAGGTTCCTGCTTTTGAAGTTAATTGTCTTCTGCTGCTCGAGGTTGCCCTCTCTCGAGCCCTGCTTCTTCATGAAGGACTCAAGGTCGATGCTGTCCCTGTTGTCTACGATCTTCTGCAGCAAGCGTTTGTGCGTCAACGACCGGCTCTTCAACCGGCCGTACAAAATCAAAAGCTTCTCGTCGTTGTCGAGCTGCTGTCTCATGAGGAACGTGTTCCACACGTACGTCTGGATGGACTGGCCGTCCTGCATCACAATCTGCCACGTGTCTGAGCCCTTGTTGATGCAGCCCCACACAATCCACGCAGCCAACAACGCCAACACAATGAAAAGCACGTAGATCGAGCCCGCCACGTCCACCGCCCACCCGATGAACGTGTCCAACGGCGACGTGATGTAGTACTCGTCGTCCTCAAGCTCCTCCACCCGCTGTATATCCTCCTCCTGGCGCTGGAACCATGACACGATCTTGGCTCTGAGTCCCTGCAAACTGTGGCCTGTCGCAGCCTTCGCCTCTGTCTTCTCTACATTGCAGTTTCCGTTGTCGTTACCGTTGCCGTCGTCCGTGCCGACCACATCGTCCGCAACGTACTCGTCGTCCACCTCGTCCCCCAACAACAACCTATTCTGCTCATTGTCCTCCGAGTACCTCACCGCCATGGCACATCTCAGTCTGATGTCGCTTTTCTTCGGCGGCAAAAGCATGTGCTTCACATATCTCAGCACCCCCATCCTTATCTGTCGTGTCGTGTGCTATATACTTTTATATTGTGATTCGCAACCGTCCTTTCGAGCCTATCATGTCTTGACAGCAGGCTCGCTCCTTTATATAACATAAGCACCGATGCAGGCAATTCCTGAGGTCCCATCGGCCACAGCCACCCCATCCTTCAACTCCTGGACTTCTGCCTGCAGTTGCCTTACTCCCCCACAGGATCGGGCCGAAAGCGGAAGTCGGGCCTTTCGAGGACCTGTTGTCCCGTCTCAAGGCTCCTGAAAGATTTTTGCTCTTGTTCTTTTGACACACTTCCCGTTTCGGCGATTTGCTCAAGTTGCCCCGCGCCACTACTATTTATAGGGCAAGGCCAAAACATCAACCCTGCTGGCCTCAAAAGGTCGATCGACGCGTCTTACGTCGATCGGCGCGTCGATCGACTTTTATGATTTTTTGTTTTTTTTAAAATTTTTACAGATTCTCCCAGATTTTTTTTTTCATGAATTTTTCTTTAATTTTTTTAATTTTTTTTTTTCCACCCATGCCAGACCTCACTCTCGGCTCCTCCACCTGCTCCTCACACGTACCCAAGAAGATCCACACTGGAATGTAGAGGCTCCTTCCTCTTTACTCTTTCTGGGAACGCAATCGCCCTTCTGGAGATCTACAAAGCCATCGACATACAGTATCTAGCCAGCAATGTCGGTTTCAGCATCCAAGGCCAAGAGAGACGCCAAGAAGGCTGCCAAGTTGGCAGACGGCAAGATGAAGAAGCTCACAAAGAAGGAGAAGGAGAAGCTCGAGAACCAGGACGAAGGGGACTCGGCAGCAGATGCGATCGCCAAATTAAAGCTCCAGCAGGACAAGGACGGGTTGTCCGACAGAGTCACCACAGGTGTGCTAGAATCTCTTGTCACTTCGAGAGATATCAAGCTTTCGTCGGTCTCCCTACTTTTCCACGGTAAGGTTTTGATTCAAGACTCCACTCTCGAATTGAACTACGGTAGAAGATACGGGTTGTTGGGTGAGAACGGGTGCGGTAAGTCTACGTTCCTGAGAGCGCTTGCTGCAAGAGAGTACCCTGTCCCAGAAAACATTGACATCTACTTGTTAAACGAACCAGCAGAGCCAACAGAATACTCTGCCTTGGAGTACGTTGTCAGAGAAGCAGAGGCCGCCTTGGCCGCCATGGAAAAGGAGGTCGAGGACATCATTGTTGAGGATGGCCCAGAGTCTCTCCTCTTGGAACCATTGTACGAGAGAATCGACGAAATGGACCCTTCCACTTTCGAAGCTAGAGCCGCCATCATCTTGACCGGTTTGGGTTTCAACTCCAAGACTATCAAGAAGAAGACCAAGGACATGTCTGGTGGTTGGAGAATGAGAGTTGCCTTAGCAAAGGCATTATTCGTCAAGCCAACCCTCTTGTTGTTGGATGACCCAACAGCGCACTTGGACTTGGAAGCCTGTGTCTGGTTGGAAGAATACTTGAAGAACTTCGACAGAATCTTGATTTTGGTCTCCCACTCCCAGGATTTCTTGAACGGTGTCTGTTCCAACATGATCGATATGAGAATGAAGAAGTTGTTGCTTTACGGTGGTAACTACGACGCTTACGCAAAGACAAGAGAAGAGCAGGAAACCAACCAAATGAAGCAATACAACAAGCAACAGGAAGAAATCGTCCACATCAAGAAGTTCATTGCCTCCGCCGGTACATATGCAAACTTGGTCAGACAGGCAAAGTCCAGACAAAAGATCTTGGACAAGATGGAAGCAGATGGTTTGATTGAACCCGTTGCTCAAGACAAAGTTTTCAACTTCCGTTTCCCAGAAGTTGAGCGTTTGCCACCTCCAGTCTTGGCCTTCGACGACATTTCCTTTGCTTACGACGGTAAGCCAGAAAACAACTTGTACGACAACCTTTCCTTCGGTGTCGATATGGACTCCCGTGTCGCCTTGGTTGGTCCAAACGGTGTGGGTAAATCCACCTTGTTGAAGATTATGACCGGTGAACTTCAAACACAAAAGGGTAGAGTTTCCCGTCACACACATATCAAGCTTGGTGTCTACTCGCAGCACTCTGCAGATCAGTTAGATTTGACCATGTCACCTCTAGAATTCGTTAGAGAAAAATACTCACATATTTCACAAGATTACCAATACTGGAGAGGTCAATTGGGCCGTTTCGGTTTAACCGGTGAAGGTCAAACTTCTCAAATGGCAACCCTTTCTGAAGGTCAACGTTCGAGAGTCGTTTTCGCTCTTCTTGCGCTCGAAAAGCCAAACATCTTACTTTTGGACGAACCTACTAACGGTTTGGATATTCCAACCATTGACTCCTTGGCTGATGCAATCAATGAGTTCAATGGTGGTGTTGTTGTGGTTTCTCACGATTTCAGATTGTTGGACAAGATTGCAAAAGACATTTTTGTTGTTGAAAACAAGACTGCAACCAGATGGGACTCTTCCATTGCTGAATATAAGAAGAAATTGGCAAAGAATGTTGTTTTATAATAAAGGTATTCTAAAATCTTATCTGGTTCCATTTCGATTTGTTTTCAAAATTTTAACTTCGTCTTTTCTTTACTCTTAAACAGTGTATTTCCACCCCTCCATATATTCTATTCTTACCACAGACGTAGTAATATATAATTTACTAATTTGTATTGAATTCCACACCAATATAAAAAATACACAATAAGATTTATTTAGCTTTGGTTTTACGTTTTTTCTTAACAGGCTCAATAATTTGATCCCCAACTCCAAAATTACCCACTTTGCCGATAAGTTTTCCCACATCATCTACATGATTTATTCCGTTATCCAACTTGACCTCCGCGGCAAACACAACAGCCTGTGCCCAGCCGGATTTGAGTCCCCAGAAATCCCTAAAAAATTGTTTCACGAATGGGTATATCTTGACATCAACAGCACTTTTAGACAAAGCTTTTTTTAAATTGGATTTGGAGATGCTTGTTTTAGCGTCAGGCTTAATTTCCGGTTGTGAATCCACCCAGATGTTAAATTCTTTCTTGTATGAGTTTTTGAGAATATTCCAGACATGGGTATCCACTGGCACAAGATCATGGCGTCCGCATCCCATCAAGGCAACGCAGTCTGCAACCTTTGGACCAACACCATCAAACTGTCGTAAGAATTCTACACATTCTTCATCTGAAATCCATGTGTTACCTGTATATAACTTCTTGAAATTATGTGGATTTTCGATCATCGATTTGACTGTCTTAGTTATATATTTGGCTCTGTACCCAAACCCTAGCTCTCGTAGTTGTGATTCTAGTTCGGCTAATTTTTCTGTCGGTATCTCAGTGAACGTTGTACTTTCAATTTTAAGAAATTCTGTCGGTTTGGGAAAAGTGTAGTAAGGCACACCATTGTGCTCTCCAAGAAATTTCCCATATCGAATACATAATATTTCGCAAAGCTGAGAAATTCTCTTAATGTTGTTATTGGAAGAGATTATGAAAGAAACTAAAGTCTCCCAAGGGTCTTGAGATAAGATTCTAACACCGTTCGGAAGTAAATTCGTCGTCTCAGTCTGTGATAGTGTCTCCGGGGTGGCTCTACCACTATCAGGTGGTGTCAAAAATCCTTCTTCCTTAACTGTGACAACAGTCTCTTGGAATAAATCGGAGCTAGGAAAGTTAATATCCACTTGAGACCAGTGTTTGTACAAATCATGCATGAGAACGCCAAGGTTGAGATATGAATGGATAAAAGTGGATAGCGGAACCATTGCAGGGGTATTAGCTCCGCCAATGCCCATATATTCGATCACTTGATGGCCCGATTCCGATTTTTCACTCATTTCACGCAATAATATAATTTGGTTGTTCAAAGCACATGACCATATTCCATCTATCTTTCTCCATCTAAACGCCTGTCCACTGCGCAAAACGGTCGGCAGATGGATCTCATAACATGGTAGGGTAAGTTTCTGCCAGCTCATGCTTGGTTCCAAAGATATCTCTTCTTTTTAAGAGAAAAAGTGTGAAGTTCAAACGCCATTTGAAAGCTGACCGATTTTTTTACGTGTTGATTCACGCCCTTATTAGGTACGCGACTCAATCTAATCTCGGAAGTTGAGTCAGATATAATTAGTTGGTTAGTGAATAAAATGAATACAATGAATACATATGGTCTACGTCATGCTTTTTCTTGGGCGGTTCTCCTATTTACAGCTAACTTGATCTTGAGAAGCTTGGAGATGGTGTCGTTGACGGGTGCGGTCATTCCACTTTCCCAAGCCTTTTTGACAATATGGCCGTTAATATAGTCGATTTCGGTGTTACGTAGATTCAAAACGTCCTGACGCATACTCGTCGAGTTTTTACTGTTTATAGTGAAGCCAACATGCTTAACGAACTTAACCTCCTTTTCGACGCTAAGGAGCTCGGTTGCCAGTGGGGAAGTCTTGAGGACAGGGTAGGCTGTCTTCAGCACGTTCAGTCCTTCCGAGACAATCGAGGTGAACAATGCGTCTGTTTCCTCGAGATCGGCAAGCTTGTAATTGATGCAATTAACGATGGATGTGGTAGAGTTCATACAGCAGTTGACCAGCAGTTTCTGGATCTGGTATACCAAGAGTTCCTCGTAAGAGTATGTGGAAACGTTGAGGTCGCTTTGCACCAGTTCTCTGATGACATCATCATTTTCGATGGTATCTTTGGCAGTTATATTCTGCAGGTCCCTTGGAACCTGACAGATCTTGAGGTAGCCGAAGCCTGCGTGGTTATAGTTGTATGTGTCGTGGTTTTCTGGAGATTGCCACACCCCGTGCGAAATGACTCCCTGGTAGATAGTTGGCCTGGAATCCACGTTCGTCCAGATTTTAGAGTACAGCTCATCGACCACACCCATTCCATTTTGCACCAGCAGGATTCTGGTTTTGCTAGTTATTTTGTCGAGTAGAGGGGTCAACGACTTCACGGTGTCGAAGGTCTTGACACAGATCAGCAAGAAGTCGATTTTCGAGTCCGGCAACTTATCCGCAGGAAAGGCCCCGTTAATGGTGTATTTGATGGTTTTGTTGTTGTCGTAGAGCCTCTTGATGGCAAACGTGTTGTTTGTTTTGGCAAGGTTGTTTAGCTTTGCGGTATTTCGAACGACGAAGTTCACTTTCAGGGCGTTTGAGAGTGAGGACGCAATCAAGGTCCCCACTCCGCCAGCTCCTAGAACATACACGGACATCTTTGTCTTATCTATCAGGGTATGGCAGTAGCAAAAGTGGATATGTTTGGTAAAGTTACAAAAAGAAGATAATGCAATACAGTGGTAAAAGGTGTTCGTGGTGGTAAATAAAGATGCCGGACGTTGAAAAATTACCGGTCCGCACTGGTCGTGAGAATGAGGGAGGGCTCATTTTTGGGAGCACTGGCTCATCCGCAAGAGGTACACTCTATGGCTGTCAAACAACTTGCCTGCGTTGCCTCGGTTGATGTGTATGGCAGAACCGTTGACGCTGGCATCAGAAAGGAGATGGGAGGGCGTGTCCCGGACCTGGACGTGTTCCTGGAGCATCGGAATGCTGTTTGTGTTGAAGTAGAGGTCGATGCCGCAGTGGTAGAAGCCCAACTGTTTCACTGGGAGCAGCGGGACGACGTCGTCCTTGTGGCTGACCCGGATGTAGGCAGACTTGTGCAGGCCGGAGTGGAGGTTGTCGTAGTGGTAGCGGGTGTTCCAGGCCTCGTCGACCCACTTGGCGAACAACTTGTTGCCGATCTTGGGGCTGCCGAAGGAGATGACGGTGATGGTCCTGTCGGCGGGAAGGAAAAGCAACTCGTTGGCGATGATCGGGGCGATGGCGCCGCCCAAGGAGTGGCCCGTGACGACTAGGGTGTAGTCCGGGTAGGCGTGCGCAAGCTCGGCGATCTGGGCGAACATGTTGTCGTAGATCTCCTTGGAGCCGTCGTAGAAGCCCTTGTGGACGGTGCAGCCCCGGCAGTCGCTGTCGAAGGAGAAGTACTTGCGCCAGCCCTTCTTGCGTTTGCTGAGGAAGTGGTAGGGCATGGGGTAGATCTTGAAGTCCATGAGCCATTCCTCGTCGGACGTGGTCCCCTTAAGGGCGACGACGATCTCACGGTGGTCGTCGTCTCTGAAGAGCACGCCGGAGACCGTCCCCCGGTAGACGTGCTCGACCTGGACGTTTCCCGAGGAGCCCGAGCAGAGCACTATCGGGCACGCTTTCTGCAAGTTTCCGACGGCGATGGAGTCCGACTTGGCGCAGTACGTCAACGCGGCGTACGTGGCGTACCTGTGGATGGCGGCGTACGTGGTGTCGGTGATGGAGGCGGCCCCGACGGACGGGTCTGCGGCGTCTGGCAGACTCAGCGGTGCCGCGTGGTATGGGTTCAGGCCGAGGAGACAGAGGAAGACGATGCCGAGCCTCATGTGTGTGTGTTCGACGTGCTGCTGCTGCTGCTGCCAGCCTGCCTGCTCCCTCCGTCCTGCCACAGAGCTGGTCCGTGTCGACTTGGAGGCCTTTGTCGCAGACCGCTTGCTCCCGACATCCTCAACATGCTCGCATGCCGACCAGAACAGGCTCCGCAGCCCTACAGAACACCGTAAGAGCAGAACTTTCTACCCTCCTGCCCCTGCCCCAGCCTGCTGCTCTGCTCTGCTCCCCCTACTCTCTCTGCGGGCCTCTCTACGTCCCTCTCTACGTCCCTCTCTTCGTCCCTCTCTTCTGCTGCTGCTGCAACAGCCCCTACCACCCTACCACCCGACCAGCCTCTGCCCTAGCCGCTGGCCTCAAACGGGGCTCTCCCGAAAAGCCGCTGCGACGCTTTTCCGCAGGTGTCCGAACCACCCATCTCCGCCGCCTCCCTGCCTCTCTATCGCTCTTCCTCCACCCCCCGGCCCCAGCTACGGGCCTATCTCGTCCAGCTGCCCCATCTGCCCGTCTGCCCGTCTGCCCTGTCTCGTATCCTTCCCAGATCGCCAATCGGGCAATCTGCCGCGGTCCGGCTACCACCTTCCTTTTTGGGAAAATACGTCGATCGGCCACTCGGGAGACGCACCCAAAGCGGCTGGCCGCAATCCGACGCGACGGCGGGCCCGCCGTGGCCAGCACTGCTCCAGCACTGCTCCAGCACACCTCGTTTGCACACCGGAAGCGCACACCCGAAGCTCACGCCTACTCGCCATGTATCTCCATCACTCTGTCACCATCTACTCACCCACCGGTTCATTCACCGGCTCACCCGCTACCGTACAGCCCTTCCTTCCCTTCCCTCCCAGCACTCCCGCCGTGCTTCTTCCCCCCTCGCGATGCCGCCTGTAATGCCCCGCGACACTGGGCCCGCTGCTCCTTCTTGCACCTTCCTCTTTGATCGCGGCCCCGCCGTGCCTCGCGAGCCCTTGGATAGGCTTGGATAGGCCTGACGGGCTTATCTTATCTGGGCTTATCTGCTAGCGGGGCCAGCAGCAAGGGACACCGTTGCCGGAAGTCGGCCGCTTGTCTGCCTCGCCAACCTTCCGGGTGAGGATTCGGGGCAGTATATAGAAGCAGGAGGGTCTGCATCTTGGTGTCAGAGTCCGGGCTGCCGAACAGACGCCGTGGACTGTGGTGGGTGTTGGTGGTCGCTGCACACGCACATACTCACACACCCGCACACACACACAAGCATGTCAGCATCGCCTAACATCGAGCACATGGGCTCCCGCACCACGATTCTCTCGGTCGACGACATGAAGATCACGTCGGTCTTGTCCGGCCAGCACGAACGGATCATCGTCGACCACGACGTCGACCACGACGAGGCCGTCATCTTGGCGCTCGGCTACAAGCAGGAGTTCAAAAGAGAGTTCTCGCTCTTCACCACCTTCGGGGTGTCCTTCTCGGTGTTGGGGCTTCTCCCCTCCATCGCGTCGACCTTGTGGTACTCGCTTGCGTACGCAGGGAACGCAGGCATCACCTGGGGGTACCTGATCGGCATGGTCGGAGTCATGGGTGTCGCCTGCTCCATGGCAGAGATCTCGTCCGCCTTCCCCACGTCCGGCGGACTCTACTACGCCACCGCGATGATGGCGCCCCCACGCTACCGGGCCATCCTGTCGTGGATCGTCGGCTGGTCCAACTACTTTGTCCAGGTGACGGGCGCCCCCTCCGTGGCCTACGGAGGCGCCGCCATGATTCTCGCCCTCAAGCAGGTAGTCGACGACACCTACGTCTACCACACATGGCACTGCTACTTGCTGACGGTCGGCTTGACGTTTTTCGCCGCGATCATCGCCTCGGCCCCTACCAAGTGGATCGCCTGGATCAACTCCTGCTCCACCATCCTCAACTTGATCTTCCTCTTCGTCTCCTGGATCGTCATCTTGGGCGGCAACAGCAGACAAGACCAGGGCCTACCAAAGTTCAACTCCAACAAGATCGCATGGGGGCTTGACAACTTGACCGACTGGCCCGACGGAATCTGCATCCTCATGTCCTTCATGGCCGTCATTTGGACCATGTCCGGGTTCGACTCCCCCTTCCACTTGGCCGAGGAGTGCTCTAACGCACAGGTCGCCACCCCTAGGGCCATTGTCCTCACCGCCAGTGTCGGTGGTATCTTGGGCTTCGTCTTCCAGCTCGCCATGGCCTACACCATCGTCGACGTCGACGCCGCTGTCACCGACTCCTTGAGCCAGCCTTACATCTCCTTCTTGATCCAAGTTCTTGACAGACCTTCGGCTCTTTGCCTTGCCTCCTTTGCCATCATCCTTGCCTTCACCATGACCTTCTCCTGCATGATTGCCGCGTCAAGAGTCTTGTTCTCCTACTCCCGTGACAACTGTTTCCCACTGTCCCGCTACTGGGCCACCGTCAACAAGACCACCCTCACCCCTGTCAATGCCGTCTGGATGAACTGGTTCATCGGCTGCTTGCTCTGCTTGTTGATGTTTGGTGGCGTCGCCATTGACGCCATCTTTTCCGTCGGTGCTATCGGATCCTTCATCTCTTTCACAATCCCAACCCTCTTAAGAATCACCTACGCACGTAGTTTCTTCAAACCAGGACCTTGGAACTTGGGCAAATTCACTTATCTTTCCGGTTCCTTGGCCGTCTCCTTCACAACACTCATGATTCCAGTCCTTTGCTTCCCTCAATACAGAGGCGCAAACAACTCTCCATCTTCCATGAACTGGACCGTCTTGGTCTACTGGGGCTCCTTGTTCCTCGCTATTGCATGGTACTACATCTACGCACACAAGATATACAGCGGTCCAAGGAGTAACTTGGACAAAGGATCCGTCATCAAAGATGGCGAAGAAGACGACGTCATCCAGACAATCGTCAGCAAGGGCGGCAAAATCAAATACGGAGCCAGCGAAGTCACTGACGAGGACCAAGTCCCTATTGAAAAGGCCTAATTCTCCGTCCGCTGAATCTAGTGTCCACTCCCACTTTATGCTTTTTATAACAATATCATCCTGGATAGTTATTTGATCTGGACGTTGGTTTCTTATTCTAATTTTGTTGTTCATTTCTCATACCTCACTTCGCCTTTTCATCTCATTTCAGTATATGCTCTTTTGTTTTTAAACTATATTCATATTCCGCTCTTCATTAAAACATATCTGGCAATGCCTAACAGTAACTGCAACTGTTGATGATAACTACAGCTTACCAAGGCGCACCCTTTTTGCTCCATTATGTAATCACGCTCAAAATAATACGTGACAACGGCCTTGCAAGGTTTCTTCAACATGCTGTCATCCATTTTCCTGTCTTTAACAAGAGTGTTGACGCATACCATACGAAAAGGACACTAGAGAAAAAAAAGGAATGGTTTTGCACAACGACAAATGGAAGTACAAGGCGAAACGAAACTATGAGCGGAAGCACGCTATAAAATCCGCAAACAAAAGCTTCACAAAGGAGAAAACTGCCAACGGCAGCACAGATAACGACGGCGAAAGTGACAGCGGCAGTGACAACGAAGGCTCTGGCTCTGATTCCTCGCTGGAGAGTGAAGAGAAAGATGCCGGAAGCGATGATGAGTTCAAGAGAAGAAGTAAAAAGAATGCAAAAAGCTCCAATTCGTGGCGGTTCGAAGATCCTATTGTAGATGAGACGATCCTCAAAGATCCAGAATATATTGCACGTTTAGAGGCCATTAAGGTCGAAGAAGAGAACCGAGCCTCCTACATGCGTAATTTGGTGAACGATAAGTTGAAGACTGCCGGGGAGGCAGACGAGGTGGATCTCGATAACAAGTACTCCACTCCAAAAGAGATTAAAAGCATGAAAAAATTCAAGCAAACCGATCTACAGAACTGGAAGTTTGATGACAACTTGAGCGATAGTGACGAAGATGGTGAGGCTTTTGAACCGGAGGTACGAGACTTCACCCCGGAGGAACGAGAGAAGTTTCTAGCTCTTCAGAAAAAAATAAACCACCAGAAAGACGTAGAAAAAATACGCAATCGCATGGATCAGCTGAACAACAAATCGAAGCCCACGAAAGCGAAGGTGCTAGAGTTACACTCAAAGGCGGGGCGAGACAAATACAAAGCAGCGGTGGACAAAAACTTACGCAACGCCCACGACAAGATCGATACCGATGAACTTGACAACCTCGTGCAGAGGATGATCGGAGTCGATCTCAAGGCTCACGAGCAACCCGAGCTGCGCAAAACCGACCATGGCCAGTTCGATCTTGACACCATGCTCCAAAGCACTAGTGGGACCGCAAAGTCGGAAAGCATCGGACAACGCACTGTTCCCAGCACGGGGACTACCGCTGCAAAGAAAGCTACCGTTGTGCTGGAAACCACGGAGTTAGACGATTTCCTTGACTCTGTTCTGTAATTATATGTAACACCCCAGAAGTATTGACAGGTATTACCTAGGCGTCCCTCCGTGGTTCTTCTCAGCCAACGAACAAAACACCATATTGAAGTTGTGCTGTTATCTCAAGTTTCTTCTCGGCCTCTCTGTTAGTAAGCTCCTCGCGGTGCGGAGATAGGGCCTGCAAGTCTCCGCTCGGGTCTTGCGAGTTCTTTATCTTTAGCTGGTGGGGAGAAGATGTTTCAAATCGAGCTTCCATCCGGTTTGGAAGCTTAGCATGGAGGTTTTCTCTGCTGGTTAGCAAGGTTGGAGACAGCTGAAAACATCATCGGCAAGATATGTACATTCCAGACCGCCACAAACGTGGTCTTGCCAGGCAAGCGTTTTTTGCCGTCTTGGCGGTAGTTCTGGTTGTGATATTCCTCTCGTTGAGACCACACAAAATACCGTTCCCTCATGTTCCAGACATTCCTGCACATATCCCTTTTGACAGGACTCCCAAGTGGGATCCGGAGACAAATGTGACGGCATTTTCGAAAGAGGGCATGGTTGCATCGGACTCCAGATACTGTTCTCAGATGGGAATAGGCATCCTACGTAGGGGTGGGAATGCAGCAGATGCTGCTGTCACGACGTGTCTGTGCATCGGGGCAACAGATACCATGTTTTCCAGCGGCATCGGAGGTGGTGCCTTTATTACGGCATTGAAAAAGGGCTTGGGCGCCATAAGTATAGACGCCAGAGAGATGGCACCGATGGCGGCCCACGTCAACATGTTCGAAGGTAGAGAACATTACAGCCAGTACGGCGGGTTGGCAGCTGGCATACCTGGAGAACTGAAAGGATTGTGGACATTGCACAAGCTCCATGGATCTAAGAATCTAGCATGGGAAGATCTTGTTTTGCCGGTGGCCGACTTGGTCGACAACGGATGGAAGATCGACGTGAGGTTGGCTTTTGCGTTGAAGACCCAACTCTCGGCATTCAAATACTTTCGCAAAGACTGGGATTTTGTGTTTAAGAGTGGGACAAACCAGTTACTGGAAGAAGGTGATTTAATGCGTAGGCCTGCACTTGCCAAGACTTTACGCTACGTTGCTGAGCAAGGTGCATCGGTATTCTACGATCCAAATGATTACATTGCTCGCTCACTAGCAGCTAAAGTTCAAGAATACGAAGGTATTCTGACGCCAGAAGATTTTGGGAAATACGAGGTTGTGGTCGAGGATGCAATCAAGCTGAGTAACTTCACCAATAACAACCTGACTGTCTTTTCCGCCAACGGGGCATCTAGTGGTTTGGCATTGGTAACCGGATTATCCATTCTAGATCAATTTGATAGTTTCGAAAAGACAGACTATACTCCAGTTGGAACTCACCGAATGATTGAAGTTATGAAATGGATGGCTTCCACCCGTTCTTACCTAGGAGATGGGGGCTACTATAACACAAACAAAACCCAGCTACAAGAAAGAAGACAGAGGTATAGCAAGTTTTTATCAAAGGAATACATCCAGTCTGTCAAGGAGAAGATAAACGACAATTTCACTAATCCTTGGGAAAACTATGACCCGGCGTATGAGCCTAACGACCCCCATGGGACTTCCTCGTTGAGTGTTGTTGATAAAGGAGGCAATGCAGTAACCTTGACAACCACTGTGAATTTGCTATTTGGCTCCTGCGTTCATGATCCAAACACAGGCGTGATAATGAACAACGAAATGGATGATTTTTCTGTTCCGCACACGAGGAACGCGTTTGGTTTGTCACCATCTGTCTACAACTATATTGAACCTTACAAGCGGCCACTTTCTTCCTCTGCACAATCAATTGTTGTAAACTCCAAAGGTAATGTTGAGCTAGTTATTGGAGCGGCTGGCGGATCCAGAATTACTACTGCAATACTGCAAGGTATTGTTAGGACTTTCATACAGGGAAAAAACATTACCAATGTTATTGCAAACCCAAGAATACACCACCAACTTTTACCAGATAACATATTTTTTGAGCGTCCCGTATCTGACGTTCTTATCAAAGAGTTAGAGGGGAAGGGCCATACTGTTGAACTGATCTCTCCTATGACAGCAATGAATGCTATCCGCGTTACATCTGAAGGCATGTGGGGACAAGGCGACTGGTGGAGGAAGTTCGGCGTTGCTGTTGGTGCATAATAGTTCAGAGGCTGACCTGGAAACCTTTTTATACCCATGTATTTTTCCAACTTAGGTAAATCTTCAAGAAATTCTGGAACTTCAAAAAGTCTTCATGAATTTTCACTTTTTAGCGAAACACGTTATAAAAAACCAAAAGGGGAAAAAACACGAAATTACACCCCGGAAAAGAAAGAAACACAGGTTTCTTCTTGCTGTCAGTAGGATCGGCTCACCAAAATAATTTAAAAGCCTAAATTAGATATATGAATATCGATGAATATTTCCAATGAAAAGTGCATGCGAGACCCCGATTTATGGCAGCATTTGGTTGAACTGACTCAAATTGTAAACAGGTCGATTTTGGGAGATACACGAAACAGCCATTTGGTTGAGTTACATAAGTTACGTCAGGAAAATGAAGCTCTTCGTCAAGAAAACAATTTGCTGCATGAGAAATTGAAAGAATTCGATTTTCGAGATGTTGATCGGGAAATGGTTGCTGAGTACAAAAAAGAAAAGTTGAGCGGTAGTGAAAGGCTGCTACTCACTCAAGAGACGGTTTTGAGTGAAGTACGTGACGATGACCCAGACCTCACAGATAGCTCACCTGTGAAATCACACAGTCTAGAAAATTATTCGAATTTTTTTCCAGCTGATAATACACAGTCAAGAAGCAGTAAAAGGTGTTTTGAAGGTTCCACTGATGATGGCATTGTGAAAAAGATCAAAACCGAGCCCCTTAGTGACGACGCTCTTTTAGACATTTCACAGATAGATGATTCACAAGAAGGAAATTCAATCAACAACACGTCTATATTACACACAGTCCTGAGCAACAATAACTCAACCAGGAGTCGAAAAATTGACCTCACAGAGAATCCACTTCTGAGGAGATCGTGGTTTCCTGAAGATTTTAAAAAAAATCCTGTATACGAAAAATATGTCAACGATAGATCCAAGGATCGCAAATCGGTACCAAATCATATATCAGCCCACTTCCAACGACAACAGCAACATATCCAGTCCATAGCGATTCACGATTTCAATAAAGTGGCAATGGGCACTCAAGAATTTGAAGATTTTGAAAGCTCTGATAAGGAAAACAATGTCATAAATGAAACTTCCAATTTGATTACTCCTCCACAAGATTGCAGGCTCAACTTCAAAAATCCTGCAATTTCTCCAATGTACAAATTTGAGATTAACAAGCAAAACCTGAGCAAGTATTTGAAGTATTTTCCAAACTTACTAAGAACTAACAAAGTCAGAAATTGGGAAGTGGAGGACAGTGCAGAGAACGATGTCTGTGCCGATTTTTTGCTCACCCAAGATGTGCAGGAGAAAAATAATCGAGCTAGGCAAAGAGCCCATTTGAGAGGATTGCGCATGTTATTCCAGGCGTGCTTTGTTGTTGAGAATGGTACACAATTGGGAGCCTATATATTTCGGAACAAGGATTTCAATGAAAAGGTTTGTAAGTCTGAATTCGTGTTGGATCTCTCAGTTTTCGATAGTTGATTCTATGCTATCCATATATACAAATTTAAAAAATAAACATCAGGAAGATGTGTACATTTTACAAGATTAAATACAGTTCACGAGTGCAAAAAAAAATAGTTTCACATGTTGATTTTTAAGCAATTCATACACGGTTTCATTTGCTCCCTTTTCGTTTTTCGGTCTCGATGAATTTGTAGTAGTTCGTCAGAGCAAGTAGAGTTGGGTTCAGATCCGCAGAAGAAGCCGAGGAAGAGAGCTTGAATCTCTTAGAATTTTCGGAAAGGGACATTGGAGCTGGCAAAGATGATGATGATGTGGGTGACGATAATACATTTTGCATACCAGCCGCTTCGGTATCATAAAAAAGGCTGAGAGGAATAGTTTTCTGGAATAGCTCGTAAGCTGCCAACGTGAATCCAAATTGAGGAGAAGACCTGCAAATTCTAGCGATTCCACCTTTGAAAAACGCTCTTGGGCCCTCTTCAACTAAGATTCTTTTGAACGTTGAGCCAATCCCTGTATATGGTCTACTCCCTGGTTTTGGTTTCGTTTGAATTCTTGTTTTGATGACATCGCATGGTGTAGTTAGAAGAGCGGCAGGCATACCTGCCAACGCGCCAGAGGTCAAAAGTTCCCAAGCTTCCAAACTAGAACGTTTTCCTGGTTTTCCTGGGTCTAACCCAAACAGTCTCTTTTTTATATTGGCATAAGTTGGAAAATATATGGACGAGAAGGGTATGTCACGTAACAGACAAGCGCCTGCGCCACGGTAAAGCCCCCTTAGTCCCAACTCTCGAACAACATCGATTGCAGATTTAGGACTGACTACTTTACCCTGTTCTCTTGATTGGCGAATAAGCTCCCCTTGGGTTTGTAGCCTAATCTTAGAAACTTCCAATGGGTTAGTTACGATCACTTGGCACAATCCTGCTGTCGAGCCGGCCAGGACTTCCCAGGGTAAAGTTATATCACCATTCAAAGAGTTTTTTTTACCGAAACCACGAATGAGATCGTTCAGTGTCAACTTGATTGCCTTTTCTGGTGCCACGCCAACTATCTGGGGCAATAGCCCAGAGTATAATCCCAGAATCCCTTCATTTCTCACCAATTTTTTAAAACAATCAAGGTAGGATGAGTACATTGAATTTCCCTTTTGATTTTGCATCCTCGTTTTGATTATATCGATAGGGTACACAATGCTGGCGCCAATCATTCCTGCAAAGGAACCTAATATAAAGGAGTGGAGGGATGAGAATACGTGCAGAAAGTTGCTTGAGGAGTTTTCTGTGTAAGACTGGTTCACTTCGTTGGGAACAACCATGTCATCCGTCAGTATTGCCAGAAGTTCGGACGGATCGATGGAAGGGTGGTTCTTCAAATGCTCGTATGTGTATCTATTCCAATTAAAATAGAGCAATATCTCGTCCTTCGTGATGCCTTTTGCGTGATTGGCATAGTTGTTATCGGCATCATTGTATTCGCCATCGATAAGATTGGACAACGCAGGCACGTCATTGATGTAGCTGTACAAGGACTTAGACGTCAAATAGAACATTGGGTTGTTTGGCTGGTCGTTAGAGATTTTCTCGAACGTCAGGTAGTTCAACCTCGGTAGATCTCTGATCATCTTGACTAATCTGAACGCATCGTCGTAGCATATGTCGTTGCCAAACTTGCTTGCGGCGAAGATCTCCAAATGGTCAGCAACCAGCGGTGACAACTTGTTGTAAAAGATTTTCTGGGCAATGGTTTTCAACTGGAACGGAGAAATTTTTCCCTCCGAGTTTTTCATGTTGCCGAAGGCCTGGGCCATTTTCACCTTTGGGAGCTCGTCCATCAACTGCGAGAATTGGCAGAAGTTGAGCTTAGCGTCTGAACTGTGCTTGCTGTCCATCGAGTGCAGCAAACTAGTGAGGTAGGGGAGGTCTGTGTGGTTGTAGTTCTTCACCAGAGACAGGAAAGCATATTCCGAGATGGGGGAGTTCAAGCTGTAGGTACCTCGGCTTCCAGCAAGCTGCGAGCCGGTCCTCTGTGAATTTTCGTAGAGTTGGCACACAAAGAACAACAACTTGTTGATGTCTCCGTCGAGGTCGGTGTTTTGGGGGCTGTCACTACGGTGGGGGAGAAGAAGCTGTTGCGAGAACTTGCGAAACTCCTCCCTGCCGACGTAGCCCTTATTTCCAGCGTCCGATACTATATACAAGAGGTTGAAGATGTCGAAGGGGATGTAAGAAGCAATTTGCGAAAGGTAGATAAGGTCGTTCTGTTTCAACTCGTCCGACGACAAGAGCTCAACAAAGTCTGCACGCTTGAGTATCCGCTGCTGTCCGTCCACCTCCGGGTACACCCGGGAGTATCTGTCGAAGATGTGATCGGCGAACCGCTCTGGACTTGTGCTGTGACTCTTATCTGCCTCGTCCGCCGTTTCCCCACTCTCCATGTTTTCGGCGGACGCCGACGTCCCGCCATTGCCGTCGCCCCTGTTGCTGCTACTGCTGCTGTTCACGATGCTCATGCTCTCGCTGGCCATGTTGTTCCGATAGGTGTTTTGTCTGCCGGAGTTCCAAGCCGCCAGCACAGAGCCAGGCGGCAACAACAAGAGCATTACAGGACAAGTTCTCCCTTAAGTACTTCTGGCCCCCACACCTCCTCCCCGGGATGATAAGCCCGGCTGCCGTTTCCGGCGAAAAACTCGAGTCTCCGCATGGAGCGGCCGAATCGGGGAATCGGGGCGGGTCGGGGGATTTGACCGGCGATGACCGTTGCAAAGAAGGACAGGGTACGGTACACAGTAGAGCAGAAGATACACAAAGGGCCGTCATTGGGCCAGGTAAATGTCGAAGCGGTGGGCGGCAGCAGCGAAGACGTCCAGGTTGCGGACACGGAGCAAGCTGGCGCAGCAGAGGGCGCTGAGGACGCCAAGAGTGAGGTATGTGTTCTTGCGGGCCCGTAGGGAGAAGCGGCGGAGGTACCTGTTCCAACCGACGAGCATGTGGTAGCAGCCCGTAGCAACCAACAAGTTGAGGGCGGTGAAAGCCTCCCAGAATTTCTGCTGAAGGCCGTGGGCGATGTAGGTCATGTCAATCATCGAGCTGTCGCCGTCGACCAGGAGCGGGGCCACACGCTCGTAGTAGACGTGGCCGCCGAGGAGGACGAGCAAGACGTAGCCGGAGAAGGCGAGCGGGCTCAAACCAAGGAAACGGGACGTGATCGACGGACGGGAGCCGGCGCCGACGATGGAGCTGATGCCGCCCAGGCCCTCGTCGATGTCCCTCACCTCGACGTCGTTGGGGCTGCGGGTGATCTTCATGGCCGTCTCCAGCTTAGTCCGGTTCTGGTTCTTCTTGCGCTTCGCCTTGCCGTATTTCACGTAGTTGTAGTATTGGCGGAGCAGGTTCACTGCTATGCCGCTCACGACGTGCACACACGCCGACACCAAGATGCCGAGCTCGACGAGCGGGACGTGGTAAAGCTCTCTGCCGACGCTGATCATGTCGTTGCCCACCTCGGGCCCAAAGAGCGCTGGCCCGACGACAACGCTGGCGACGTGAAGCGCCGAGAACGCGCTGAAGGGGATCACCGAGTACTGCTGCGTGGTTCTGAGGAAGTCGATGCTCTTCATTAAGTAGGGGTGTGTGGTTCCGGAGGAGGGCAAGGAGGGCGGGATGCCGGGCACGGCCATCTGCACCGGCTCGGGGGCAACTTCGTGCAACTCTGACATGTTCCTTTTCGTTTAGGGGGTGGGGGTGAGTACGGGGCACAGCTCTGCCACCCATCCTACCCTTTCTCCGTTCCCCCCACCGCCGTCTGTTGCATTTGTGACTCCCCCGCCTTTAGCCTTTGGCTGCAACCCGTCCAGTCACGGCAGGAGCTTTCGTAAGCGGGCACGCGCTTTGGCGCACTCGAACGCGAGAGCAGAAGACCAGAGCGGAGAAGAGGAGTGTTCGCCAACTAGGCCAGAAGGAAAAAACAAGAGTCCGCAAAATAAACTGCAGGGCGGTTATCAATATGTCACGTGACTTATTACTATATTTGCTTAAAAATACATTGCTCTTATTTTAATACTTAACTTGCCAAGTTAGAAATCAGAGAATGACAATCAATGGAAATAAGTACTTTTCAGAACTCACAGTTTAAAGGAATGCTTTTAGAACCTGAGTTGGTCCCTTGAACCAACAAGTTGAATTACCCCCAAGAGAAACACACGGTAGACTCGCATTTAGAAAGATGACGTAAGCGCTTCGGAGCTTCAACTGGAACTAAAGTCTGCACTAACCCGGGTTGTTACTACTATACCCTGTGTGTTACTCACGGACTTCACAAGCGGCGTCTATATTATAGCATTAAGATGGAAAGTCTGATTGGATTCCACTTCGGCAGGTTTTCAGTCTTGTGACCTCTGCCTCAAGCCTTCCACAGTGCCAAAAATTGTCTATGCGGAACCCGCTAGGTTTTCTCCGCACTCACTATTTGAATTGATACGCCTTAAAAATCGAGGTGCTGATTGATAGATAACTCTTTCTTCTTCGAACCCGGCATTTCTACAAAAAGGCAACTCCGTTAAAGCTATAGTTTATCCGGTATGAACGAGCCGTCACCTGAAGGTGATGAGAGTGATGACTACGCAGATTTTACAGTCAATTCGATAAATAACCTTAACGCAGGAAACAACGATGAAACTGCCGGCACAGATAAGGACAGCACGCCTTTCTCAAGGTATCTTAACAGAGCAAAATCAACTTCTTCCTTCATCATCCACCCTCAGAGGAAAAGCTCGATTATAGTAGCAGCCACTGGAGAAAAGATACAAAGAGCGTATTCCACATGGGGGCAGCTGTCCACGTCTGCATCCTCCGTAAAGCCCGTAACGGATGCCACACTTCTGATTAGTCCAGAAGAGGAGTCGGTAAGACACGAACGGTTCTCTACTCTCTCCTCTGTGTCCAGAAGATATAGCAGCTTTACGAAATACATGCGAAAGCTAGCGACAAAGCCAATTCTGAAAGCAGCAATTGCTTACTTTCTGGCATCTTTAACAGTATATTCACCCACAATTTCAAACTTATTGGGCTCATCTGATTCGAAGCACATGGTGTGTACCGTTGTCGTGTATTTCCATGCATCAAGAAGTGTTGGCTCAATGATACAGGCCTTAATGTTTGTTTCGTTCTCCCTCTTGTTTGGCATAGGTGTCAGCGTGACAACGCTATCTTCAATTTCTCTATATCTTGATGATACAAGCTCTTCGATGGCACATTTGCGAGAAATTAACATGCAATCACCACTAATAATATCCCTGACTTTGACTGTTTGCTCGATTTCGTTAGGTTTGATTTCGTTTTGTAAGCACAGAGTGAGAAAGCAAACTTTCAATACCGCTTGTTCCTTGGCCGCAATTTTGATGATTTCTTGTTTGATCAAGGAATACTCTAACATATTGGACTCGGACCCAACAAATATCGTTATTCCATGGAGCAAAATCATTAGTTCGATTAGTTGTGTTATCTGTGGCTGCTGCATTTCCGTGTTTGTTTGTTTTACCATTTGGAAAAATTGGGCAGAAACGGAGTTAATTGCAGCAAATAATTCGGTGAAAACTTCAATTGGAGACACACTGGTGCTGTTGTGCGACGTATTCACCTCAAGTGATTGCACAAGCTCAGACATCGAATCCGACAGGGAAAAAATTTCTAAGAGCTTTACAGATTTGAAGGGGAAAAGAGGAAAGTTAGACTCATCTTTGGAAGAGACTATGTATGAATGCCTTATTTATGGTAGAGAAAAAGAATTTACATTGTACAAGGATCTGGTCGAATCTGAAAAAAAGCTCATTGCTTATTTGGGAGGTTTGAGAAGGGCAGTGGAATTCAAATGGGAAATGATCGAATATTACGAGACAATGAGGGGCGGGCCTATAGATGATCCGTTCAAGTCAGATGCCTCAATGGGAAATCTCGATGTGTTAAACGAGAATGATGAGGATACTGAAAATTCAATAGACCCCCTGTCAGCTGATACAGATCTTGTTAAGAACCCAGAAGAGTTGATTGAACTATTTTTGTACCATCTTGCACCTAGTACAAAATCCTTCGTTTTCACTATGAACCAAATTTTAAGAGGCAGTTTGTACGATAGCAAAATTAATGTTGATCCATTAGTGAAACAATATTCCAAAAGTTTAGCATTGGCTCATGAGCTGTTTGAAACCCACCAGAAGAGAGCCATAGATAGCGTTTATAAACAGGACATTTTCACAAAAAATGATGGTTTGGACGAGAAAGTCAACCAAGAGGAAGTTGCCGCTACATGTGCTAATTTTTCGTTCTCTATTACAGAATTTTCTTTGGAACTTGCAAAGCTTTTGAACATTATGACTTCATTGCTAGACTCCAGCGATGACATAGAGAGATCTTACAACTTTTTGAAGTTTTGGCACAGAGGTAAGAAATCTTTGATTGATACTGAACGTAACCAATTGGTTAATGCTGATTTAGACCAGCTGGAAAATGAAACCGTTGGCTATAAATTTTGGAAGATTACCAAATTCACTAGAGGAGTTGATTTTCAGTTTGGGTTTCGAGTCGGGTTGGGTGCACTTATCCTAGGCTCATTAGCATTTTGGAATGCCACTAGACATATTTTCAAAGAATGGAGAGGAGAATGGATTTTAGTCACCTACTGTATCATAATGAACAAATCGTTAGGTGGCACAACTATGACCTTAAAATGGAGATTTTTAGGAACATTTGTTGGTGCAGTAACAGCTTTTACTGTTTGGAGTCTTTTTTATCCCAATGTCATACTAATGGCAATTTTGGGGTTTTTTGTTTCACTCCCTTGTTTTGATATCATTTTGAATTGGAAAGCAAATAATGCATTTGGAAGGTTCATTCTTTTAACCTATAACTTGACTGTTTTGTACTCATACACAATGTCATTGAATGATATATCCGACGGAGATGATTGGGAAGGAGGTGGAAACCCGATCATTTGGGAAATTGCCTTCCATAGATACATAGGTGTCAGTCTTGGTGTGGTTTGGGCTATAGTAATCACACTAACGTTGTTTCCTGTTACTGCTCGTAGTCGGATCAAGAGAGGACTATCTATTTTATGGCTTCGTATGGGAATTATTTGGAAAAGAGGGGCTTTATACAAGCGGAGAGATGAGTATGGCCAGGATACTCTAGATGGATTGAGAGGGTTGAAAGACTGTCATTCAATAATGAATGAGTTAAGAATTTTGTTGAAGCAAGCACCCATGGAGATCAGATTGAAAGGGCCGTTTCCTATTGAAATTTACACGAGACTCATGGATGGAACTGAAGGAATACTTGACGCATACGAGAATATCAACTCAATTGTCGATATCGATCCTGTATTAAATCCCGTTGAGTCATTAGTTCTTGAAAACGTTCGTGAAGAAATGAGTGAATTACAAAATCGTGTTTTCTTAATTTTTTACATGCTTGCTTCAGCACTGAAATTAGGAATACCTCTTGCAAGTGACCCTGCCACAACCGAGCATACCATGGTCAAATTGTTGAGTAAACTAGGAGATGTTCGCCGGACAGTAGAGGCAAGAAGAGAGATTGGTAAATATACAGGACTCAAAAATACCGATTTTGTTCTACTTTATTCCTACTGTTTGGTCACTAACTCTGTTGTGAATGAACTAACAAAATTAATGAATGAAGTTGTGAATTTATATGGTAAGTTAGACTCGGAAACGTTGGAGCTAACTTGAGCCGGGATAGTGATGTTTAGAATTAACAATCAATATAATATAAATTATATATATACAGGAGAGAAGTGAATTTATTCATATTCCAAACCAATGACATCTTCAAATATTTTCTTGGATGGAATCTCAGCTTTCATTCTAGCACAGAGCAAGTAGGCACCGCTCAATTTTCTATGCAAAGAGTAAGTTTCCTCAGGAGGAGGAGTCAATCTTTCGTTCAACATCAAACGGATGTTAGTACGAACTCTATCAGTGATAGTTTGATGTTCGAAATCATACAATCCGCTTGGGGTAGCTTCTCTGAATGGTTCACCCAAAACCATGATGGAGTCCACATGAGCATTGGTCATTGCTTCCGATTCTAGGCCTGTCAAGAATCCTAACTCAATGGAGTATTTCTTGGCCATTGCACGATCTTGTTTGACAGCGGCACGTAAACAGTTGCTATAAGGCTTAGTAAACGATTCATCAAAGTCACGGCAAGCTCCAAAATCTAATAGTTCAACCCTCCCAGTCTTCTCGTTGTACAAAAAGTTAGCCCAGTTGGGATCGGTTTGCATGAACTTGAACTTGTAGATTTCCATCAAGGTCAATCTCATAATCTCGGCAGAGATCTTGTTCTTCACTTCTTGACTCCAATCGCCCTTCACAATCTCAATTCCCTTCATTCTTTCCATTGTGAGAACATGTTCATCACTTAGATCGTGATAGACCTTTGGGACAGCAAAGGCAGGTTCATCGCTCAACATTTCTTTGTATCTTACCGTGTTGGATGCTTCCCTAATATAATCGCATTCCCATTTCAATTCAACTCTTGCATTTGCAATCGACTTCTCCAGAAACATTCCTGGAGGAAGCATTTTTGTTGAAGTAAGTAAAGTTAGGATATTATCTAGATCCGAGTCAATAGAATCGGCGACACCGGGGTACTGGATCTTGACAACAACTTGGTCTAATTCTTTTCTTGTAACAGCGGTGTGGACCTGGCCAATTGAGGCAGCAGCAATTGGGATATCATCAAAGCTGGCAAAAAGACGTTGTCTCCAGCTTTCGCCTAACTCGAAAGAGATGGTTTTCTCGAGCTGATCTGCTGGCATATAGTGGGCACTATTCTGAACTCTGAGCAATATTTGCTGGATATCAGGAGGCAAAACAGAGTTGTCTTGAAAGGACAGCATCTGGCCGACCTTCAACGCAGCACCTCTCATCTGGGAAAACTTCCTGGCCATCAACTCGATATTTCGAGGTGATAGCAGCACAGACTTCATTTCTGGAACTTTACCGTGCTTAATGTAGTGCGTAGCACTGTCTTGCAGAACATGTGCCCCCACCGAAGCGGCTAAAGTTCCGTAATGGAAAAGACGTCCCAATCTCGACGAAGGCACTGCGGCTTGAGTCAGCTTTACCGCAGGTTGGACTTTGCTTCCAATGACCTCTTCTTTACCAGGCTGCTTTTTCTCTTCGTCCAGTCTCCTCACCGACGTGTGAAAGCCACGTTTTTGATGGTGCTGGTGCTTCTGTTCGTGCTTGCTACTATGAGTATCGTGCTTCGCCTGGCTACGTGCATGAGACGATTTAGCCTTGGCCAATTTGAAGATATCGACTTCTCTATCCCCGTGTTGGTCGGCATGATGCGCCATGGAGTCCACATTAGCTTGACTGTATTCTCTGTTTGTAGCACTGGCCCTGGCCTTTTCTGATACGATCTTTGCTTCTGTGTAAAGCTGATCATTTCCACGAATGGCTTGAAGAACCGAACAGTTGGCAGTCACAACATTCAGCGACTCCTTGACTACCTTTGAAGTGCCAACCGCAACGTTATACACCTGGTATAGACTCTTTACCGACATGTTCTTACTTCTGAGTATAGTTGCTAGGGCTTGTTGCTTCCGCCCTTCCCACTGTCATACCAAATTTGCTGTATGAAGTTTCAGCTTATTCATGTCCTTCTCCGGCTTCTCTTCCCCAACAGCCCCAAATTCACGTGACCCTAGTGGCTCTCTTTTTTCATATTTACCCGTGCACCAAGACAAGATTTTTTTAGGAAAGTGGAAAAAAATTTTGGAAATCTTGTGGAAACAAAAAAAATTTAGAAAAAAAGGGTGCAGATCAACTCTACCCAAGTTACGTCGACCGTTTCTTCACATAGTTCCATTCGCCTTACCAACCCAAAGACACTCTTCTAGTGGTCAAGCCCGGCTCCAATAGTAAACACTGCAAAATGGATCAACAGTTTGTTCAATCTTTGGAGAACACCTTGTCAATGGTGTTGCTTCCTGATAATGAAGCCATCAAGCAAGCAACCAACCACTTGAAAACCGAGTTCTTTACCAAGGCTGTCTCTCTTCCTGCATTGTTTCAAATCTTGCAGTCCTCTTCCAACGAGGGTGTGAAGAAGCTCGCTTCTGTGGAAGCAAAGAAGCTTGTTCCAAAGTATTGGGAAGTGCTAGATGACTCAATTCAAGAGTCGATCAGAGGCTCGCTTTTACCTTTTGCTTTCACGTATCCAAAGGAAGATATCAGACACTCGACTTCGAGATTGATTGCTGACATCGCTTATTCTGACATTGAAAATGAAAAATGGGATTCTCTCTTGCAGTCTTTAGTTTCAGCAGCAACTGATGCTGACCAGCAGAGAAGAGAAACCGCAACCTTCATTTTATACTGTATTTTGGAACAGTTGCCATTGGCCTGGTTAGAACACAGTGCTTCTTTCCTTGAATTGTTTGCCACCACTTTGCAAGATTCTCAATCCCCAGTGGTTCAGATTAACACTGTTCTATGTTTGGAAGCTTTGTCGAGTGCCATTGATGAAGACGAAAGTTTACTAAACACGTTGGCCACTCCTTTCTCCTCATTGGTTCCAAGCATGCTTCAAGTCTTGAAGGCTTCCCTATCTTACGATGATACCGATAAAACTAAAGAGCTATTTACCGCATTCAACTACTTAGTTATGCTTGACATGAAACTCTTAGGTCACAATTTCCTCAAAATTGTTCATTTTATGATGGAAGTTGCGATTAACACTGAACTCGATTCCCAAATCCGTGGGTACGCATTAACTAACTTGACTCAATGTGTTTCCTACAGAAAATCTAAGATTGCCCAAGCACAAATCGGTCAACAATTAGCTCAAACTGCTTTGCGTATTGCTGGCGAAGAAGACGATTCAATAGAAGATCAATTGAGCTCTGAATCCGAAGAGAATGAAAACGAAGAAGATGAACCTAACGCTTTGGCCATTCGTCTTCTCAACATCTTGGCTTATGAACTGCCACCAAACCAAGTTATTCAGCCTGTTTTGGAAGCATCGAGTGCCATGCTACAATCTTCTAGTGCGTATGAAAGAAGAGCAAGTTTACTTGCCATCTCCGCGTGTGTTGAAGGTGGTCCAGATTATCTCAGTGTTCAACTTCCAAAAATCATTCAAATGATTGCTGCTGGCTTGCATGACTCATCTATCATTGTTCAAGCTGCTGCTCTCAAATGTTTAGCTATTTTGGGTGAATCTTTGAAGGATAGCGTTGCTGAATACTATGCAACCCTGATGCAACCAATCATTACCATCATTGACTCCACTGATAAGATTTTGGTTTACAAGTTTGCTACATATGCCCTAGATACCTTGATCGAGTACATGGCATCAGATGCCATCAAGGATTATATTGAGCCTTTGATGAACAAACTTTTCCATATGTTAGACTCTGCACAATCTTCTTCTTTGAAGTCAGCAATTGTCTCTGCCATTGGATCTGTCGCATACGCATCTGGTAAATACTTCACTCCATATTTCCAAAACTCTATTCAATTACTAGAGAAATTCATTGCCAACATGGATGAATTAGAAGGTATGACAGAGGATGACATTGAGTTGCGTGCTCAGACATTCGAAAACATTTCCTCAATGGCAAGAGCAGTTGGTAGTGAAGCTTTTGGCCCTTATGCAGAACCTTTAATGAATGCCTCATATTCTGCTATTCATTGTGACAATTCTAGATTAAGAGAAGCAGGTTTTGCTTTCATTTCCAACATGGCCAAGGTTTACGGCGAACAATTCTCATCTTTCTTGCCAAAGATTATCCCCGAAATTCAAAAATGTTTGGAGCAAGATGAATTCCAGCTCAACCTCGAAGATGGTGAACCTGATGAAGAATCTTTGGCTGAAAACTTGAACTTTGCTTCTGGTATTTCCACCGAGAAGGAAGTCGCTCTTGTTGCGTTAGGTGATTTAGCTGTTGGATCCAAGGGTGCTTTTGCTCCATATGTTGAATCTACCATTACTATTTTAAAGCAGCAGATAATTGAATCTTTTTCAATTGGTGCAAGTTGTATTAACATCATGTGGAAGATTACCAAATCCATGTACGACATTTATGGTAACGATGAAACCGTTGCTGCGTTGATCAAGACTGTTAGAGAAAACACCGTCGAGTTAATGATTGATGAAGTTGACGTTAACATGATCATTGTTTGTCTTGATTGCATCTACGAATATGCCAAGGATATGGGTAAGATTGCCATTGTCGATGCGGGCGACTCTAAGTCCTTACCAACTTTGTTAGAACAATTACTACTCATCTTGAAAAACGAGCATCCATGTCAAGAGAAAGATGAAGACATGCCATCCGACGAGGACACCAATGAAACTGACGCAGTTGTTTACGATTCAGCTCTGGAAGTTTTAATTTCATTGTCTACTGCTCTTAATGAAGAATTTCCCCAAATTTTTGCTCAATTCAAAGATTTGATTTACGCTCAGATTAACTCTAAATCTAAGAGCAAGCGTGTTTCCACTCTTGGTTGTCTTGCTGAGATTACTAACGGTATGAAAGCTAATAATCCTTATAGTCAAGAATTACTCGAAATTTTTGTCGCCAAGTTAACGAATGAGAAATCCAGTGAAGTTCGTGGAAATGCAGCATATGGTGTCGGTATTGCCATTGAATTTGCTACTTTTGATGCATCTGCTGCATACCCAACTGTCTTACAAGCTTTGTCCAAGTTGTTGAATAAGGCTGATAAAGAAGCACTAAAGAACGAAGATGGTGATGAAGAAACTGCTGAAACTATTAACAGAACTTTCGCCAACGCATGTGGTTGTGTTGCACGTATGACATTGAAACATGGTGCAGCAGTCCCAGTTGATGCAATCTTACCTGTACTATTTGAACATTTGCCATTAGAAACTGGTTTTGAAGAAAATACTCCAATTTTCCACCTCATAATCAAGTTGTCCAGTGAAGAAAACTCATGGATCAACGCAAACATTCCTGCTGTCATTAACTACTTTGCTGGAGTATTCGAAAAGGAAGCTGAGAAAGATAAGCTGGTTGCAGAAAGCACATTGGGTAGAGAAGAAAACATTGAAAGATTGAATCAATTTTCAGACAATGAAATCAAGGGCAAGGTTGTTGAGTATTTGAAATGGTTGAATACAAAGAGTAATGGAGCTGTTGCAGCAAACGCTATCTTGACTAGCGTGGTAGCTTAAAAGTGCATTTTGATTATTCACTTGTACTTATAAAACTGTAATTTTAATCCAAAGACTCCGCATTTTCGACTTTCTGCTAGTTTACTTTGATCTTTAGATTTTCTCGTATATTCTTTTATATGATACCCCGATTGATCATTTTTATAAAAGAAAAAAGACTGAAACATATACGCCACAGTAGAATCTCACTGAAAGTTTGATGATAATGTTATAATTATATGACAAGAATAGAACCAACAATACAGAAATAAATTGGGGACAAATGTATATACAAATAAAATAAATAAGTTATCTATTTTTCACTGGTCTTTGGCTTTTATAAGCTGTTTCTTAGGCACTGTTAAACTAAAAAAATAGACCAAGTGTTCAAAATTGACATCTCATTATTTTTTTGATCTTGAATCGGTGACAGTGTTCAACAACAATGCTTCGTTGTCCAAAAATACCCTGTTAGGAGACTTAGATAAAATTTCTGCAATTTCCTTAGCAGTTTCTAACCTTTTCAATTCCACATAATCCTTGGATTTCCTAATAGCATCACCAATCAATTCGGCGGATTTGGCCTCACCTTGAGCCTTAACAACCATATATTGTTTTTCTTGGATCGCCTTGTCCACAACGAAAGTTGCTCTTTGGGCATCTTGTTGGGAAATCTGCTTAGCTTCAACGGCAGTGGAAAACTCCGGAGAGAATGTCATAGCAGTAAGAGAAACATCGTCCAACGAAATGTTGAAATAAGCAGCTCTTCTAACCAAGTTTTCTCTGACGAGTCTAGAAACTTTCTCTCTTTGAGTAATCAATTGGATAGCATTGAATTGAGCAACAACAGCCTTAAGCACCTCGTTCACAATAGACGGAAGTACTCTTTCGTCGTAATCTTTACCTAAGGTTCTGTGAATTGTTGGTAATGCATGCATGTCAGGTTTGGACAAGACTCTACATGAGATATTGACCATTTGTAAGTCTTTAGTACCAGTCAAGGAGGCGACTGTTCTTGGCTTAGCTCTGATATCATAAATTGTTGGGAATTGTAAAAATGGAATTTTGAAGTGGGTACCTTCTCCGACAACCTCCGCCTTGACACCTGTCAACCTGTCGTAAATAACCGCTCTTTCACCACCATTGACATTGTATAGGGAGCCTTGTACCACGAAAAAAGCAGCAGCAGCTAAAGCAAGGCCACCAGCACCGAACAAAGCACCCTTCGGTGAGCCTCCCGAACCAGGTCTGAAACCCTGGCGGCCTGGTCCACCTGCGGATTTGGAAATGTCTTCGGCTCTTTTTTGCAAATCTTTTGCGATTCTCTGCCAGTCGTTGCTATTCATCGTTTTGTTGTTTTGCTTACAATAGTTCTGAAAATAAGCAATATATCAGTTATATGTACTGTTTGCTTCTCATCTCCCGGCACATTCTTTTGTTCTCGAAGGCAAAAGCAGCTTTCTGCGGATGGAGAAAAAGTAATATTGGTAAATGGTGCACTGGCGTTTGGCGCTTAGTTGGCTTGAACTTTTTCTCTACCCTCCGGTCCTTCGGGGCTCATGCGTTTTGCTGAATTTTGGTGGCGTCAGAAAATGCTTACCGTCAACTCTTGGACAGGAAGGTTCTCCGTAAAGCCTGAGACAGGTTGAAATATTGGCAAATAAAAGAGACGGAGAGATAGAATAATTTAATATGTCAATTGAGGCTTTGGACATACAAAGGGCGGTCATGGATGGTAATGTTGGCATTGTAAAGAAGTTACTAGCTGACCTGCCGAAACTTGCCATGACCAAGGATCCCAATGGAAGGACGCCATTACACTGGGCTGCCTCCTTTCAGAATCTTGAGCTCGTCAAGGCATTACTAAATCCTTCGCAATATGCCAAGGATTCTGAGAATAAAATTACTATTGACATAGATGACTTTTTGGACGACTCTCTGTGGACCCCGTTTCACATTTCTGCATCGACTGGAAGTATTGATATTTTCAAAGCCATGGCTACTCATAATCCGGTACCCGATCCAAACCTTCAGACATCCACAGGACAAACGTGCCTCCACTATGCAGTAAGCAAAAACAGTTACGAGATTGTGGACTACTTACTCGAAGAGATGAAGGCCAGCACAAGAATTAAAGACAAGAAGGGCCAACTACCATTGCATAGAGCTGCTGCTATTGGGTCTGAAAAAATGGTCCAAATGCTAGTCCAAACAGGTAAATCTCCACTGAATACGACAGATTCTTTTGGCCTGAGTCCGCTGCACCACGCGTTGGCTGAAGGACATGCCGATGTCGCTCTTCAGCTAGTCAAATATGGAGCAGATTGGCGGCAATTAACTGCTGAAGGTGATTCTCCAATGGATGTAGCATTGAACGATAAGATAAGGATATTTTTCAAGAAAGGCTTGGTTGAGGAAGGTTTTCTTGAAGATTGATTATGTAATAGTCCACCGAAAAATAAAAAACTTTTGCTGACAAAAGTTCAAAAGTTTTTTTGATTTTTTCCGGCAATTCGAGAAGGTTCCAGTTCCTTCAAGATGGTGGACTGACCACAAGCTGATCTTGAAAAAAAGTTGTTCATGCTCAGACAACCGAGTATATATATCAGAAATCTCTTCATCTGTACATTGGACACCACTAGCTTATAATATGCAAAACACCAAACAGGAACACGTCGATAAAAAGCAAAAGACAAGCGAAATAATTATGTCACAAGAATCAGAAAATTCAGCAAATTCAGAGACGACATCTGCTCAAGCAGTTACGAATTCAAATAAGACTAAGCAAGAAAACTTATTTCAATCTGTCGGTGAAATTGCCGCAGAAGCTGATAGAGAGGAAGATGATCAAGGTTTGAGAAAAACAGGAGCAGAAGATGCTCAAGGTCATGCAGTGCAAGAAGTTGATTCACTTTGTATGAGATGTGGCGAAACTGGAGTCACTAGAATCTTGTTGACTTCAATCCCATACTTCAAAGAGATTGTGCTTATGTCTTTCTCCTGTCCTCACTGTGGTTTTAAAAACAGTGAGGTACAACCTGCTTCAGAAATTCAAGAAAAGGGTGCTAGATATGTTTTGAAAATTGAGAACCAAGAAGATTTTAACAGACAAGTAGTCAAATCAGACTCTTGTTCATGTAAGTTTGTTGAACTAGATATTGAAATCCCACCACAAAGAGGTCAACTTATTACTCCGGAAGGTTTGCTTAGTGAAATGATTGAGAATTTACAAGTAGAACAACCTCAGAGGAAGATTTTACAACCAGAAATTTACCAGAAGATTGAGGATCTTATTGAAAAAGTGCAAAAGTACGTCAATTGCGATCCAGCAGTATTACCTGTCACACTTGTTGTTGATGACCCCGCTGGGAATTCATGGATTGAATATATTCCAGGAGAGCCTCAACACAAATGGAGTTGTACTCATTACGCAAGATCTCCAGCTCAGAATGTTCAATTAGGTTTGATATCAGCTGACGAAGTTGCATATCGTGAACAACAAATTCAAAAGCAGAAGGCTGCAGAAGCACAAAAGTTAGTTCAGCATGTCCATGCTCATCCGGGAGACCAGCATAAAGAAGAGAAGAATGACAATCCAAGAGCAACTGGTATAATATCCGATAATTCTGAAATTGAGAACTTTTCAAATGAGGTTGAGACATTCCGTGCTACATGCTCTGGATGTTACTCTCCATGCGAGACGCACATGAAGCTCGTCAATATTCCCCATTTCAAGGATGTTGTTATTATGTCGACAGTATGTGATCATTGCGGATATAAATCTAATGAAGTCAAAACAGGAGGCGAAATTCCTGATCATGGAACAAAGATATCACTCTACTGTGATGATTCTGAAGACCTTGCCCGTGATATCTTAAAATCTGAGACTTGTGGTATGTCCATTCCTGAATTAAATCTAGACCTAACTCCGGGCACTCTTGGTGGTCGTTTTACAACTATCGAAGGTTTGCTCAGACAGGTGAGAGATGAGTTGCATTCTCGTGTTTATACACAAACTTCGGACTCCATGGCTGCTTCGACAAAATCCAGGTGGACTATCTTTTTTGATAACTTGGACAAGGCTATAGATGGTAAAACTAAGTTTACCATTCACATGACTGATCCACTATCTTCTTCATATATACAGAACGTTTACGCTCCGGATCCAGACCCTAACATGAAGATTGAAGAATACCCAAGAACTGCTGAAGAGAACGACGAGCTAGGTTTGAGTGACATGAAGACAGAAAACTATGAGGAGAATAGCGCAACCGTAGACGCAGGTGCAGAAGTTAAAAGCAGTCAGTAATATTGGTATTCTTTAATATTCGATAATTTTTATTTTCTATATAATAATTTTAACTAAAATATTTTGAGGTTTTGGTTTTTGTAGTTGAAGGAATATGGTACAACTTGGTCAAAATTTACTACACATCTGTGCTTAAACAATATAGTTAGTTAGTAAAAAGTTTTTTTCTTCAGCATAGCTTATTCATCAGTAGAAACAATACTCTCACAACTACGGTTTGCAACGTATACATCACTGAATGGATTTCTGCTGCTTGCGGACATGACTTTGTATAGGTTATTGTTGAAAATGGGGTTCTCTGGATCGACAACCCTAAAAGTATTATCTGTCAAAACATCAAATGATAGATCTGCTCCCTTTAGACTATTCCTTAGGTCTTCTTTAAGCATTTCTTTCTCGAAAGGAGAAGCCCTAGCTATTTTATCGAAAATTCTCATTTTATCAACTGCAAATTTGTAACGTAAACGTGTAAATGTCATCTTAATGGTTGACACGATCTTAGCCTTTCTCAACTCTCTATTTATGTTTTTGATCTGAATTGAATGTCTCAAAAAGTCTTCAAGGTTTAAACAAGTACTGTCTTCAAAACGAGAGTAATAGCCGATGACAAGGAGTGATTCTTTGAAAGGGATTTTCCGAATGACTGCTGTCTCCGTATCGTCAGAATCATTAACAGATATTTCAACTGAACAAGCCAGTAGTTCAGAAATGAGACGCTCGTATCTTATCCTTCTCATTCTAACTTTCCTGAAATCAATAAAAGCCAGTATCTCCTCTAAGCGTGTCAAGTTGCACTCAATGTCGTAGCCATTGTTAGGATCTCTGCAAACTATAGTATTCTCAGCAATAGCAGGCAAAGAAAGATATTTCGGATAAACATTATATGATAGGATTCCGTCAAGTGAATGCATGAACTTGAATAAATCTGCCTCGTATATGTAGCCTGAACCATTAACATCAAATTGATTCCAAGCACGCTTGAATTTTCTGAGTTCTTCTCTGGTAATCAATTTGTGAGGACCAGATCCGTGGTAAATGTAACTAAAATTAGTAATAATCACTGATATCAAGATGTTCAAAAAGATATACATTGAAAGTATATTCCAGCAAATGAAGAGAACTAAAGCCAATGTAACATTACCACAATCAGAGTCACCGTATCCATTGTCATAACAATACGGCTCGAGAACCTCAAAATCTCTCATAATATAATTCCAACCTTCTCCAAAACTATTCCTAAATAGCATTATCAGTGCTTTGGTGACAGTTCTTGCATTCAAATTGCCAGTAGTATTTGGACCAAGTCTGGTCAATCCAAATAATTGGTTTAACGCAATTGCAAAAACTAAAAATAAAACCAACCAGGTATATAGCAATGAAATCAAAGAAAACAACCCTGTTGACCCATATTTAATCAATTGATTTAACATATCAACTTGAGGAATGATCAAACACAATACTGCAACAAGGAATGCTTTATTTATATTAGTGTAAACCGACGTATCACTGACAGCAAAGGATATCGATGTCATAGTCAAGGCAGTTATTATTACTATTGTCATGATCAAATTCCACTTATTGGAATAAAAAACTTTGGTACCAAGTGAGAATTGTAGCAAGATCATATGAATCAAAAGAATTGTAGTGCTGACAATAAATAGACCATATCTGGCGGTATTTCCCGCAATCGAATATGGGTAGCTTTCAGAAATCAAAAGGAGGAAATGAAGAAGCAAAACAGTCTTTATGAAAACAGACCAAGCCCCATCTTTCTTACTTACAAATCTGAATACTCTTTTTTGTATTTGGGATATATCGCCATCGTCTCTCCTTTTAGATGGCTTGACCATACTCAACACTTTTTTCACTTCATACCACCCGTACTGCTCATTATTCAAGAAAGCTGCACCAGTTTGAATGGAGTAATTGTTGATGATAATAGATATAAACAAGTTGATAATAAAAACTGTTGAACAAAATATGAAAATAATGACGAATACACCATTGCCAACAGAGTTGAAAATTTGAGGTTGCTCACCATAAGTTGTAATATTCATAACGTTACTCAATAAGTCCACCCAGCCTTCTAGTGAAAGAATCTCAAATAATGACCTAATCGATGTTCCAAATGAATCAAAATATAAGTATGGGGTTTCAACATAATTTGGGCTGTAAACTTCCCATTTGAAAACGGTATTAGTATATTCCAAAGTACAATTCGATATGTTCGATACACCATCAGCACAGTAAGATAGTTCCATACTGAATATATTCAATCCCCATAATGCAAATGGAATTAACAACGATAAAGAAACTAGTGCAGCTGAAAGAATTTTATAAGCTCCTGAAATGATAGCAAAATGAAAGACTAGTTGTGACTCTTTGGTGATAGTTAGCAGTCTGAAAGCCCGAAATGCTTTCAAAGCTCCAAAAGTCACCAGTAATGAGTAGTTATTGTTTATGACTGATAAAACTGTGACCCAAAAAGATATTAAGACAATAAAATCCAAATTATTCCATGTAGATTTCACGTATGCTCTAGGCCCAAATAAAAAACCATCTGCTATAATTTTGATGGAAAATTCAACTGAAAAGATTACCATGAAAACCACATCGGCATAACTTGACCAGATGTTAGCAGTGAGAACCGGTGAAATAGATCTCCGGTAAAGTGGAGTTTCATAACAAGTCAAAATAACAACGGCTACTGATGCCAAGAACATAAAGACATTACAAGCATACATCAATTTCGGAGCAGGTTGTCTGCCTTCAGTTCTCTGTAAATTACTTGGGGAAACAATCATTTGGCAAATCCTTCTAATCGGGTTATAGTTCGTAAAAACAAACAAAGATCTGTCGATTTGTGGGTGAGTTTTTTTGTACATGTCCAAAACCTCACTCTTACTGTTGAACGGGTTTGCCAAATCTAAGGAAGTGACTTCGTCTAAATCCTGGGTTTTGTGTAAAACATTTTGTAACTTTTCTTTTAACAAATTCACTAACAGAGCAAAGGGGGAAATGTGTCTTTCAAGCTCAAATGCTTTACCAAGTAATAGAGAAACTCTCTTTTTCACTGATAGTAGAAGCGCAATAAAATTCCTTTTCAAGGATTCCAAAAAAACTGTGTTCTCCATATAAACCTTTCGCCATATAGTCTTAAGTTCTCTTACGTTCACACTTAATAAATCCCGATCATCGTCGTCAAAATTTTCCACATCAATAGGTGTCTGTCCGTTCGCAATAAGCAATTCATTCATACGGTTAATAAAATGATTGGCTTCTTCAGAAACTGCAGTTCTATCAAAATTATTCTTGATCAAGTCAACCAAACCTTCATGCTCATTATTTTTCACCTTGGCCACACATGATTTTACAAATTGTTTGATTTGAGTGATTCTTTTCTCTGCTTCAGGTAATTCTAAGTTATCAGTGATAATGGCAATAAAAATACTCAACAGCACTGTGTTCGATATAGCAAACCATGAAATCAAATATATAGCAACGCAAAGTGCAGTGAATGTGTTTGGGGAATACTTTTCAGCGACATATAAAACATTTGTCCAATTCTCAGTGGTAGTAATAATAAAAAGTGATACGATACAATTTGGCAAATTACACATAATCCATTGATCGTCACTCATTTCACTAATTGGTACAATTCCCTCAAAAAGTCTCGACATGATAATGCCACTAAAATATAGCAACATTGCTCCAAACAAAATAAGTTCGGCAAAGGGTCTTGTTCTCTTTAATGCTAGCTCCCATGACTTTCTTATAGGTTTTATGAACCTTACAACTCTGTAAAATCTTATGATACCAAAAATAGAAAGCCAGCCATAAACCGTTGTCTCAAGAGAATTAAATACGGGGGGTAAACTGAAAACAAATGCAAAAATTGCGCTTATCAAATCAACCCAATTGAAAACAGAGTAAAAGAATACTTTCCAGTTTCCAGCATAAACAAAAAGGCAAAATCTTCCAATTATTTCAAAGAGCATAATGATACTAGTAACAAAATCACACAAATTGTATTTTTTAGGTATTTCGCCATTTACACGTTGTTTAGTGCAGTTGTAAACGAATGAGATGAAGATAATGATAATGAAAACAACATCAAGTTTCCTGCTTATTTTGAAAATTTTTGGTTTTTCAGTAAACTTTGCGTATAGATTTCTATATTTTTTGTGCCAACTGTTGTGAGATTTTCTAGATTTATCTTCTTCTTTATAGGAATGGATTATAACAGCAACAAATAAATTGATCATCCACACAGTAAGAACAAAGAGTGAAATGATGAAGAATAATGAAGAAACCATAGAGTCACTATCCATGGTATAATACATAAGATCGGTGAATGTATTTGCAGACATAACGACAAAGACAGACTGCATTGATTGAGCAATATTGTCAAATGAAACTCGGTTGTTATAAGGATTTTCAGTCATGATGCACTTCGAATTTACAGGACAAGTATAGCCCTTAATACTTTCAGTACTCAAATGCAGCTCGTCAAAGTAAGCCATTGGTTGCAAGGTCTGGGCATCCAAGTATGAGCCACAAAATTGAAATTCATTGGAATATGTATCTGTTGGATCGTTGGGATTAGTCCAAACACAATGACGTTTGAAAGAGGCTTTGAATGACTCGACACCGATGATTGATAAAAGAATCCAGAAACAAACCAACAATGCCAAAACCTGTTTTGCTTGCAGCGCAGAATCTTTCAAACCTTTCAAAATCACTCTAGAACCTTTCGTGATATTCAAAAGTCTCAGGATTCTCAAACACATTAGAGATCTGAAAACCTGATATTTTCCTATATCTCGGCGTTCCAATGAGAGAAAGAATGAAATCCAGAAACACACAATAGAAATAAAATCTATCCTATTCCAGTCAGTTCTGAAAAACGCGTAATGGATAGGGAATTTGTCAAATTTATTGACACTAGTCTTATCGTTAACTGAGCTTTCAACTTTAGACCTATCATCCATCTCAGAACTAGATCCTGGTTCATCAGCAAGTTGGCTATGGTCTAAAAATAATGACTTTTCCTTTCTTTTTCTGATGTGATTGAAAGTTTTAGCTTTGAAGAATGACGGAGCCTTTGTATACTTTGATTTTTTTAATCGCTTGTAAAGGTTTGAGTAGAATTTTTGTAATTCATTTTCATATCGCTGCAGGCGCAGCGCTTGTACCATCTCTGAATCATCGTATAAGCCAAAAGCTATAATTTTGGCGCACATTTCAACAGTATAAATGAAATAAAATACAAACAAGATCCAATCGGCCCACGTGTATCTTGCAGCAGAAACGTAACCATTCTCAGATTTCCACTGTTGATAAGACAGAATTCCAACTTGTATGATTAGCATCAACGTGAAAACCTGATTCATGGAAGGATATGTTAAGATCAGGTAACATGTTTGTCTTAGTTTGGATTTGGAGTTAAACTGCTTTAACGACTTACCAAATAATGGTAACTCGTCATTTTTAAGCTCGTCGCTGATTATTTCCGAGTCATTATTGATTTCATTTGTTGTGGTCAAAACCTCAGCCTTAGATGAGAACGGGTCCATCGTATAAATTTCATCCTGACTGTTTTCGGATAAGTATCTGTGTTCTGTTTCGTTCATATAAAATGAGTATATAGATTTGACATCCAATGCAGTGTTGAGTCTATCATCGTTACGGTTGGGATCCAATTCAAAGGGATTGTCTTTTAAATTAGTTGTGCTACCATTGGTATTTCTCGAAGAAAAAAATGATACATTATCAGGGGTGGCATTTGATGGAGATTTTGTTTCTATGTCAATATTATCCGAATTGACTAGATTGGATATTTTGGCAAACATCTTGGTTACTGTTGAACCTTTATTAATGTTGTCATCGTTTGAGGAGGGGGTCAAAGGTGGGGTCAAATATGAAGAGGAATTTGAGTCATGCTCTATCTCAAGCACTGATTTGCTTGGGTTGTCTTCGTTGTTATTCAAGGTAGAGGTATTGTAAGCTTGTGAATGTTTCACGGGTGATTGGTTATCCATGTAGTTGTCCACTTGAATATTTGGTATACTAAAGTTCAGATTGCTCAAGGGAATAGCGTCATTGTTTTCCAAGTCGTGGTGGAAAGAGTCGGAGTGAGAAGAATTAAACGAATTTTTTCGTTTTCTTTGGCGTAGAGAAGAGTTCGAGTTAGAACTTCCAGAGAAGTCGGAAGGGCTTGAGTTGTTTTGAGAAAAGGTTGGAGGTGTTAGCAAAGTTGACTTATTGTCCTTGGTTGGCATCCATGCGCTTTTGAATAAGGCATCATCTAGCGTGGAGGTAAAATCGTCCTCCAACTGTCCCGAGTGGTGGAACGAAATTGGAGTGTTGAGCCGAGGGGATAATTTCATAGGGTCATTGGAAGCGTTGTCCGGAATGATGATCTTCAACGGCTTTTTGTCTCTGCGAGAGATTTTGCCTGTGAGGCCGTGGCTACTAGTGTCTGTATTCTTCTTCTTCTTGGATAGGGACGCAAGCTGGTCAACCACTTGGTCCTCGACAGTCTTGTGATTATCGGTAAAGATCGACAAACGTTTGTAGTTTGCGTCCGTCGGATTGGCCTGCAAAGTTGAGCTTCCATGACGGCGGAAGCTGGGTCTTCGCTGGCTTGTTCGTGGGTAAAGGTGGTTATTTTTTAGGCTAGTAGTGAAGCTGGCGTCATCGGGGGGAGGGCCGTCGCCAGACAAAGACATCAAATCAAGTTCAGAGAACGCTTCGTCGTCTGAGTAGCCTGACAGACGGTGGGACGATGCGCCTTTGTGCTCATGGTTGTACTTGTGTGTGTGTGAATGGATGCTTTGGTCATAGTCGTTGTCGGATCCACTGTGGCTTGATCTGTTGTCGTCTGACAGAACTTGATCCACAGTGTCTGCCGAAAACACAATACGTGGTGGCTGCTGATTTGTTGGAGCCATGCTAGGGGTGCGCAGAGGGGCGGGCGTAGTAGCAGTGACTGCAAACTATCAAAGAGGTTATATTGCAAGCAGACTATACTGGGACGAAATGGAACTGTAAAGAACCATCCATAAAGATTAATCGGGGAGGCACGAAATAAAGTATAAACGTTAACAAGAGCATGTACAAAGTGAAGTAAGGTTAAGCAAATATGATAAATTAAAGTAAATTAAAAAATAACGAAATAAAACGAAATATAGTAAAATTAGGCCCTGGCGAGCAACTCCGCCTTTCTGGTACGTGAGGAGACACGGGAAGCGGTGCTCGGAGGCGTCTCTGGGCTCACTTCAGCTGCCTTCTGAAAGCTCTTAGGCCCCGTGAGGCCCGCAGGCTAGCCATCGTAGCTCCCGTAGCCACCAGCGGTACTACTGCTCATCCCAAACTTGAATCGGAGCTCGTGCTTGTGCTACTGCCCCTTCTAGACGTGTTCGTTTCCGTGTAGTATGCCCAAGGCACGTTCCTGAGGTTCGGGGTGGTCTTGTCGCCAGCCAAGGCGGTGCCGGCAGTGTACTCTGGAGCGTACATGCCATGGGAGCCGACGTTGCTGGTCGACGTGTATTTCGAGCCCGTGTTCCCGTTCTTCATGCCGGTGTTGTGCACGTGGTGGCTGTCTCTGTACATCCAGCGATCTAAAAATGACGACATTGTGTACTAGTGTGTAGTGGGGTGTAAGATTTGTACGTGTTTGTTAGTGCTTTTATCCTGCAGTGAGTTAACTGTGGATACCTGTGCCAAATCCACGACTACATACGCCCCAGACACTGCTACAGAGGTCCAAAGGCGACAGAGTCCACTTGTTTTATACACCTCGGGCCCCAGCTGCCATGGCTGGGTTCTCCGCCTGCTGTATAGATGACGGTGACACTATCGGCAAGCGATGGCGGCCATTACTAAGGCCGCCTCCATGGCGGTGACCGGCCGCCAGCCGAAGAGAAACTCCGAAACAGCACTACCCCACCCCTACCCGACCCTCACAGCGAAGGTCACCACCCGTGGCCTCGACCGTGGCCAGTCCCCCGCAATGCGTTGTGGCCGAGGGGGGGGAGGGGGAGGGAGGCAAGAGATAAGAGCCGGCTCTTTGTAGAGTGTTACAGATACAGGTAGACATGCTTACACAGACGCCGGACGGTGGTGTGGGGCCGGCGTGGCCAGTGGGGCGTCGATCTCTATATACACGTCAAACACGATCTAGAACGTCTCCACCGCTGCGTTGTCCGGTCTTTCACCCTCCGGACCGGTTGCAGGAATTCTGGAAGGGGCCTGCCTACTTGCCCTGCGCCTCCAGGTCGGCCTTGCGCTGGGCTAGCTTCTTCTGGATGAACGCATCACGCACCTCGTCGACAAACTCGTGCTGGTGGCGGTTGTCTATACACGCCTTCATCGCCTTCGTCTGCTCCCGGCACTTGAACAACACGCCAAAGCCAGCCATCGCCTCACACTTGCGGAACTCCTGCACATACCCGTCGCACTGTCTCCACACCTCCTTCTGGTACTCCTCTAACACCTGCTTCTCCTCCTTCGGCGTCAGGATCCAGCTCGGAAGTCCCTCGATCCGTTTCTTCTCGTTGTCCTTGTCCAACCATCCCATGCTGGCGTGTATGTTTCGCTGATGAACTGAGTTGCTGCTGCTCTCTGTCCCACAGGTGCTGCTCCGGGGAAGAGACGCCTTGCTGTAGCCGGACACTGCTAATCCTGTCGTCCTTTTCTCTTCGTTCCGGCCTCGTCACCCGATTTTTCCCCGCGCCCTGAAATTTTTGCTCTATCGCCCGGGCCTCGGCTCCAACGGTGTCAGACCCAGGGCCAGGGGGCTCGATTGGGTTCGAGGTGCTGGTAACCAACCACGGGACGCAATGCAGTGACCATGTAGCATTCACAGTATGGATGTAGATTGCTGTTGCGTTTGGCGCAGCTTTCTTTCCCGTTCTGGGCTAAACCGGGCGCAAACTCGGCGTCTTCGAGTTCAGGAGGTGACTGTCTAAAACTGCTTGCGTAATCGCGTTTCTGTTGATGTTTTCATTTTCAGCTCCTATTCCGAAACGTAGAACAGAGAGACACAAATACCTTGTGTAGACCCCCGATCCGAGGCCTAAAAGAGTCTTTCAAGCTGCTGTCATTGACAGATCTATTGTGTATAGCCATGGACTCGTTGGCGTCACCCGTGGAGGACACGTTGTCCGTGTTCGACATCCAAAACGACATCAATCTCATCGACACGATAAACAGCAAGATCCAGCAGATGGACTCCCTCAAAGACCAGAGCCTGGCCTCATACTCGACCAGAATTGAAGGTATGTAAGCAGCTTAGTACACTACAACTCCCGCTTTGCCTCAGATCCACTAACACGCTTTTCCCCCTCCTCTTTTTCCTACTTCAGACCTTGAAAGGCAACTCGAAAACACGCTCTCCTCGATCAAGAGCCTCAGATCTTCGAGCCAGACTAAAAGCACCAAATCCGAGTTGAAGAAGCTCGAAAATGAAATTTTTGACTCTGCCAGGAGCTTGACATCCTTGAACATGGAGATTAATTCTCTAAAACTCTCCTACAACGAGGACTTGAAGCGGCTCGACGAGCTAGAGACCGAGCTTTCAAAGCTCAACGACAAGTTCATCTCGCACACAGCAATCCTGCAGGTAGACTCGAACTCCACAGACTCGAAGGTTGTTGACGAGAACGCAAACCTCATCAAGCTGAAGTTGTACCAATCGCTGGGGCTCAAGTTCAACCAGGAGACCAGAGAAGTCTTGATACTCAACAAAAGCAAAAACAACGTATCCCTTCTAAAAATCGACGACACTTACAGCGAGTACTTCATCTCCAACTACATATGGGATAGCATATAGCACGCGTATCCTACTTCTCCCACAACACCAGAGCGCATTATGTGTAAAAGGAAATGTATAATATAACGATATATCGTAATGTCAACTTTGATTAAAAGACTATTAATGCGAGCTTGAATATATATACAGGAAACCACTCCAGGCCTCAGAAATTCTCTGGGTTTTCTCTCAGAGACAACTTCGTCCATTTTGGAACAAAATGAGCACCCTTTCTGTATCCTCTGGCGTGCTTGTTGAAAACAGTGTACTTGTCCTTGGACTTCATCTCATTCTCTCTTGGGAAGTTGTTCTTCAGATCTTCAACCTTCTTAGAAGACATCTCGTTTGCCTTGAGTCCCTCGTACAACACATCGATATTCGAGTCAACAAGTTGCATTCTATGTCTCTGTCTTCTTTTTTGTGGGGCGGATAGTCTCCACGACCGTTTCCACAAAAGGCCCCCAAGGCTCACGGGCGATGCTCTAAATGGACCAAACATTCTTGATATTTTTGGTGTTGTCCTTCTACACTTACAAAGCACAGCATCGGGCGTCCTTCTCTCTTACCGTTTCATCTATCATGAAGCTCTTGTCCTGCAAAATTTCCAGCCTCTGTCATCTGCGAACTTTCTCCAGGGAAACCTCGCCTGTTATGCCGCCGCGTCGATTTCTTTCCCAAAGCTTCCCCTTTTTTTCGTTACATGAGATTTTCTTGAGCTATGCTATGCCAGGCATCGGCCTAACGACTCGAGAAACGGTTCGACCGTTACACGAGATAGACAGGCTGGAACAGTCCACCAAGTCCGGATAATATACCGAAAACAATGAATACCATGAATGCCAGTATGGGTGGTTTCCCCATCACAAGCACTTCTCCTCCGCAAAGCGATACCTCAGCAGTGGTGGAACAGTTTCTATCCAAAATACTAGAGACCCTCGATGGAAGTATCCCAAACCCTCAATCCATCACACAGATTTTACCACAGCTCCATCAGCATCCTCGAATAATTATAGATGGGAACCCGTTTGGCTCAAAGGAACAGTTCCAACAACTTTGGGCAACTTTACCACTATCCACCCATCAAGTGGCAAGCTGTGACGTACACTTCATACCTTCGAGCGATGGGCAACAGGTTAATCCTAATCAAGGCCAGTTCATCGTTTTGGCGCACTTAAAAGTACGGTTTGACGAGTCAGGAAGAAACAGAGTGGGTGAAACTGCCCTATTCAATTCCGCACCCACCTCCAGCACTAGAGCCATATGGAGCCATTGGTTCGGAGTATCACTAAGTTTCGTGGTCGATTCAACAATATCTAACAATTTTAATACAGAATCCATCAGTACTTGGGATTACAGGTTTACTGAAAGCCCAGTAAACTCCATCTTCCAAGTGAATTGACGATATCTCAATTTTAAATTCGGTGATCGTCAACAACGCACTCATTATAACTACGTCCACACTTCTGTATATTAACCTAACAATATTTATGTCTACATAAATTTCTAATTTTCTCAAATAGTTACCTTAACTATCCAAGGCTTGCACAAAACACATGCAGTCAAACAGATTGAAACACATAAATGAATCAATACATTCAAAATATCGAGAACTGTTCCGCTGGAAACAAGCTTAATGCCCTCGATTAATCTAAGGTTGAGACTTTTGAGTACATTTTCGATTTGTAGAATATAAACCAGCTCATATGTGACCCCCAAAATCCTCATTATGGTACTAATCCATATCACTATTGTCGCTCCAATTAAAAATCCCTGAACTCGGGCAAATTGATAATGCTGTTCAGAAAAATGTCTTTTAGAGTTGCTTTCAAACAAATAGTTCTTGTAGGCACTCAAACTTCTATTGGCCTTACTCTTGAGAACGAGTGAGATTATAACGCAAGTTATTAGTGAGCCTAAATCTAACAGAAATTCAATTATAGACATGTAAGAACTGGAGATGCTCAAAATAGAACTGAGAAACCCATAGAACAAGAATTTGTTGTCTCGATATTCTTTGATTTTCAAAAAATTGAACAAGTCTCGATAATTCTCTGCAAAAATATTGGAAACATATTCTGCATCTCCTTCAATTTCTTGCAAACTTAGTGTATATGCAAGGTCCTTGATGAAAACACTTGGAACATCAATACCGTATCCAAAATATGGGTGGCAAGTGTTTTCTATAACATATCTATCAACAATCTCTTTACAGTAGCCAAAATTGCTGAACTTGAATATCACAGAATTCTCATTTTCAAAAGCTTCCTCAATCTTAGCTCTGATCAATAATGGGTTGAAAGTTGAGTCCAAGACCATTCCTGACAACCCATTCAAAAACTTCTCAATCAAACCTAACGCGTCTTCTAAGCTTGTGGTGGTCTCTCTATGAATAGGCTGCATTGTCAGGGAGCTGAATAGACTTACTTCAACAGAGTCACTTTCAAGTGGCCCAGAAGACTGAATCTCAAATTTTGGTAAACAAAATGTATTACTTGACACGCATGAAAGGTCTAGAATTGTTGATATTAGTGGACAAAAAAATAGTAGAAACGTTATCAAAGCCAGAATTTTGAAAGATTTGAAATACGCAGTAACAATCAATTGTTTTCTCGCTGTTGACAATTTCCGGCTACCAATTGTTGAGCCAGATCCTACATCGTTAACTTTTATGGCTGTGTGATACGCATCTTTTTTAATTAAAGGATATTTGACATTATTGTCATCACTACTAGCATATGTCGTTCCAGAACCTCTACCATAAGAGTATTTCCCAGGGGATGAATCAAAAATTTCGTAGCTGTCAGTTTGTTTGTTTATATTTCTACTAGCTTGATAATTAGTTTTAAATGGGTTGTTAGTGTAGTTTCCACCAATAGTATCATTTTCATTTTCGTCGTAATAAAATTTGTTTGCGTTTCCGCTATCGAAATTGTTGTCACCCGTTTCATAATCTTCATAATGTGGATTGCCAGCAGAGGGATCAATTCTTGACTTAATATTTATTTCTCTGAATGGATTTACAGAGCGATTTGGCTGTATTTGGGTGCGAATGGGACGTCTCGATTGAGAATTGAACTCTTGCGACCTCATCTTTTCCTCGGGGTATGCGTAATAGGAGTTGTGTGGCTCATAAAATTCTTCTGGATCTCTAAAAAACACAGGGTCTCGGTGAGCATCGTCGGAGTTACCTCCACTGTTGTAATGGGGACTCGGTGAAAACATAAAGTAGCCAACTGGGTGTTCTCAAAAACCTTTCTCTAGTTCTAGCAAAGTTTATCTTATTTGTATGTTTTCTGTGATGAAATAGAATGTCAAGATTGTGTTTTCGTCATAAGGGGCACAGTGGATGCACGAAGGGAAAAGAAGAGGAAGGAAAATCAACAAAAAAAATAAAAAATCATGTCCTCATTGAGGAATCTTCTCGCGTTTCGATTTGTGGGGGGAGTCGTCAACTTGTATACTGGGGACTACGGGGCGTAGTGTACTTGTTCCTGTTGGGATCGGATGAACAATAGGAGACATGGGTATGAGGTGTTCATTATTGAGTGCGAGCTCATTTAGTAAAGGTGGTTTTCTCTTATTAAAAAGTTCATCGGAGCGCATGAACGCCGAGTTATAAAACATTGACTTGTGTTCCACGGTGCTCAAGGCGGCATCCGAATTGGTAAACGCAGTACTGAACGGATTACCATGGTCTTGTGAAGAAGATGCTGAAGATGTATGTGAAGATATTCGTGTGTCACTTGTTTTGTCGTTGTTCTCGTATGAGTCTGTAGTGTTTATGGATCTTGAAGAGTGACGATCCTCAAAATCATACATTTCGCCCTCCCCATTATAGTCGGTGGTGTTGCCGAAGTCATTGTCATAATCATTGTCGTCATCATAATTGTAATCATAGTCATATGCGTCCATAGATAGAGGTATCTGAGCTTGCTCATCTGCTGTCTTTTTTAGCGATCGATTGAACCACACCGGGCCCGCCCACAACGCAAATATCAGGGTACAGAAGCAAAACCATACAACCATTATGGAAACAAAAGTCGGGCCATACTTCATGTAAATGCCATAAGTAGACAATTCATCTCTCACATGCATTTGAACATTTCGCATTTGTAAGAAGATACCGATAAAGGCAACAAACGCTAAGATCCAGTTAAAAGCTGAAAAAACGGCAAACAAATTCTTCACCCATACTGAGATTTTAGAGTCGTCCATTTCATTTTTTCTGCGGGAGTAGTAAACGAAAGTTCCTAGGAACATCATCATTTGCGCACATATGCTCATGATCATCACAACGAAAAACCGGTGCACAGCTTCTTGTCGATGCTTAAGGTCTTGTAAGTAAGCTGCGTCAGGAACATAGGCGGTTTCGGATAACGTGGAAGATTGACTATCCTGGAAGTCAGCAGTATAAGCGTAAGCCAAAATGATGTTCAAGCCAATATCAGATAGTTCACCTCTGTAGTCAAACACATAATGTTTACCGTAATCTTTACAAGAGAGTGTCATATTTTCAAGATGAAGATCATCTTCCACAACCAAATCCCCAAAATCAGACTCATCTAGATAACCCAAGTCTGGTGTATTATAACTAACTGAACACCAATCAAAAAGTCCCGACCTGATCCCTTCAGGAGTATTCTTTATTTGTGTTTCTATGTATTCTGCCATGATTTTGATCTCAGATGTGGTCAAAAAGTTTTTTTCTCCGCTAAATGCATCTTTCAAAGAGTCATACAAACCTCTGGCTAAATCCAAGCGGCTACTATGCAATACAAGGAGAGGAGATTTCTGTGCTTTTCCATCAATGACCACAAACCCTAGCACTATGGCAATCAACAACGTGCATAGCCTCAGTGCAAAAATAACCCTTGCTCTTATCGTCAAATTGAGAAAGGGTAATTTAGCAAAATATTTGATATTTGTCCACAGCATGGTTGCCGTAGTATGCTGGTCAAAATCAAATATGGGTAGGACTGTAGATCGAAAAGGTTTGCACTGATCCACAACCGCAATATGTCGTCTAAAAACCTCTAAAAATCTCTTTAATCATGCAGCACTCATTTTTGATTTTCTCTCATTTGAGATCGCGTAGACGTAATATATTTGAGAATCACGTTAAGAAGCTTGATGGTTAGCCCTTGGAGATATGGAAAACAAGAATGTTAACAAAACATTGACTTACTTTTCAAGCCACAAGGATTCATTATGGCGAAGACACAGAAGGATATGAAAGGATGGGAAATTCTCCTCAGTGAAAAGGCAGAAAGCCGACATCTCCGGCAAAAGATCTCATCCAAAAGTTCTGGGATTACATTACGCCGAACATCAGATGGTTTGCAATTGAAAGAAGGTAATTGCATAACATTTGATCTGAATAGAAACTCGGATTACAAGATTTTTGGATATGGATTTGTTAAAGACATTTCATTTGCGGTCGATAAGTTTTTGGCTGTTCGAATATTATGGCTAGTGAAATTTGACGAAACGATAGCGGAAAAACTCCCAGCATTACCTGCCGGAGATAAATATTTTTCCAATGAGTTATTTCTGACCCCTTTTCTAGACTCCGTTATGGTCAGTCAGATTATCAACAAGTTTGAGCTGATTGGTGTGAAGGAACTAAAAGCTTTAGTTGATTCACAAAATTCAGTTGATCCTCCGAAAATGGAAAACCTTTTTATTTGTAGGAGATTCACAGATGATTCTTCTACTTACTTCACAGATATAATTGAATGGACTACTATGTTTGAGGCATTCAAAGAAAACAAGGATGAGTTTTATGATTCGGTAAAGCTACTTACGCTGAAACCTAAATCAACCGGTAAAAAAACCACGAAATTTACAAGTGATGCAGAAAAGAGTTTAAGTCGAGCGACCATAGCAAAGAAAACATCAAAAAGGAAAGTTGAATTACAGTCAGAAGAAGATGAAGACTGTGTGGAGGGTGAAGAAAGCGAAGATAAACTGGCTGATTTCGTTGTTGATGAGTCTGACGAAGATGCGTTCTTGGAAGCTGATTATTCCGACGATGATGAGAAGCGAATCAAGAAACGTAAAAAAACAAGATCTCCTCGAAAGAGAATAACAGAGAAGTCACCGAGGAAAAGTCCTAGAAAATGGACCAGGAAGCTTAATGTACCTGAACTACCTATGATTGTTGACGAAATGGACCTACAAGCAGATGGTGGATTTTCAACAGCCAAAATGTTAATGAAGGCTAAAAAAGTTTTGGGAACAGGTGCAGAACTTAAGGCTTTACCTTGTAGAGAAGAAGAATTTTACCAGTTGTATCATAGACTAGAAGATGCAATCCTGTCGAAAAATGGCTGTTGCATATATGTCAGTGGTACCCCAGGTGTAGGAAAGACTGCAACTATTAGAGAGGTGATTCAGCAACTATCTGCCAAGATGACTATCGAGAGTAACGGTATGAAGATGTTCAATTATGTTGAAATTAATGGATTGAAATTGATAAAGCCGCAATCTGCATACGAAGTTCTATGGAAAAAGATTTCGAATACGGTGACTTCGGCAAATAACGCATTAACTTTCTTGCAACAACACTTCGAACCTGCTGACGAAGAAGAGGAAAAAGAGGACGAGTATATGAACAAGCTGCCATTGGTTGTGTTGTTAGACGAGTTGGATCAAATTGCCACTAGGAATCAGGCGGTCATGTATAATTTTTTCAATTGGCCCACGTATCAGAATTCAAGATTAATCGTTATTGCTGTTGCCAATACAATGGATCTTCCAGAGAGGTTACTTACAAATAAAATATCGTCGAGATTGGGATTGCTTAGAATCCAGTTTACTAGTTATTCATACAATCAATTGAGCGAGATTATAAAACATAGGTTGGAACAGTTAAGTAAACATAATGACAAATTGCTGATTGCCAAAGATGCGATTGAATTTGCGTCTAGAAAAGTTGCATCTGTGAGTGGAGATGCCAGGAGATCATTGATGATCTGTATTCGTGCAGTGGAGATTGCCGAGGCAGAATTCATGAGCAAGTCCGATGCCGAAAGAAAGGAGTTGGACGGTAAATATACAGTGACCATCATGCATATTATGAAAGCTGTGAACGAGACATCATCGTCACCGGTAACGGGGTATTTAAACTCAATATCATTTTTGAGCAAACTTGTACTGGCCTCCATTATGTTGAGGAAGAAGAGGTCAGGGATTGCTGAGATACCAGTGGGAGAGGTCTATGACGAGTTGAATAATCAAATTCATGTGTTGCTATTCACCGAATTGAAAAACCGGCTCAAAGCTGAGGATTTAAAGCTACTTGACGTGGTCTTTGGACAAGGCAATAGCAATATGAGCGGGTCGGTGATCAATGCGAGCCTCTTCATCCTTAAAGATTTGGAGGAGAACGGCATTCTTATGATGCAGCCGATAAAAATAGAGCGGAACCGGTTGGTTCGACTCAACATCAGTGATGACGAGATTCTCAACAGCTTCAAGAGGGACAGTCTGTTGAAGGAGATCATCACGTTTATCTAGACATCCTGGTATAGTAGTATTGGTTCACCGACGTGGACTATTTCTGGTATTTTCAACCTTAGATCGAACGCTTTACTAATGACTATCTTGAATATCTTCTGTATGTTGATCGACGCGCTTGTGGAGCTGAAGATCAGCGGAGCGTTCATGGCGTGTGCGTACCTCTTTGCCTGTTTCGTTATTTCCTCCTGTTCCTGGTCTGGCAGCTCCACAAAGACGTCGTATTTGGTCCCAACAAGGAACGGGATCGCCGTTCTGTTGAACCCACGGGCCTGTCTGTACCAGTCCTTGATCGAATTCAACGTCGACTTCCGGGAGAGGTCAAACATGAACAAGACGGCAACTGCGTCTGTGGCGACAAGCGGCAGCATGTTGGTGAACTCTGCCTCTCCACCCAAATCCCAGATGGAGAAGGTGATTTCCGTGTTCTTGATGTTGATTGTCCGCTCCATGAAGTTCACCCCTAGCGTCTGAGTGTAGATCTCGTCGAAGCAGTTCTCCACGTACTTCACCATCAACGACGTCTTGCCCACCTGTGCGTCGCCAATCAGGCCTACCTTCAACGTCACCGTGTTCTTCTCCGGGATTCCGCTGTCGTGGGTGTGGGTGTTATGCTGCTGGTGCTGCTGGTGCTGCTGGTGCTGCTGGTGCTGCTGGTGCTGCTGGTGCTGCTGGTGCTGCTGGTGCTGTTGGTGCTGCTGGTTGTGTTGCGTGTCCATTGTGGACGGGGCTTTTCGATTCTAATTGTACGCTCGTATGGCCTTGTGCAGCACAGATGATAGCAATGGGGCAGGCCTGTTCTTGCTTTCTGAAACCCCAGGGATTCTTCTGCCTGCAGCAGTGTCTACTGTCGAGTTTGCACCCATTTGTAACGTGTACCATAACATACACCTTCAATTTTTGCTTACAGGGTAAAGTGTAAACAATAGCCGTCCACACAGGGAAAGAAAACGAGAAAAATAAAAGAGCCGAGCCGTTCTCCCTCCGCAACACGGCTTTCTGTCATTTCACGACACATTTTTTGTCGTGTTATTTCACGTGACCAGAAAATTGGACGGTGTCAGGTTTTGTTTGTGGTGTCAGGGGTTCTCTGTTTTCTGTAGGACTGCACTTTTCGCAGTCACACCTCTACGTTTTCCCGCAGTCGCGGCCTTCCGCATCCGGCAGGCGGCCCCTCTTGCTCACGGTGCTGTGCTGGGGGTCTGTCGAGGAGACCCGCCTCGGTCGCCTCCCCCCTCAGCTGCGGCGGGTGTGCTGCGGTGGGCGTGAGAGCGTAGGAGCAGTGGGTGTGTGGCAGCAGGAAGAGTAGAAGGATAGTACTCTAAAATTTTTCATCAACTGCTGGTATACACTGTTTCAACTCCAGTGGTTGTTTTCCTTGAAGTTGTGGTTTATTTCAGCACATCACAAACCAAGGACTCATCATGGCAATCGGTAAGAACAAGAGATTATCCAAAGGTAAGAAGGGCCTGAAGAAGAGAGTTGTTGACCCATTCACCAGAAAGGAGTGGTACGACATCAAGGCCCCAACCACTTTCGAACACAGAGATGTTGGTAAGACCTTAATCAACAAGTCTACTGGTTTGAAGAATGCCGCTGACGGTTTGAAGGGCAGAGTTTTCGAATTCAACTTGGCTGATTTACAAGGTTCCGAAGATCACGCTTACAAGAAGATTAAGTTAAGAGTCGACGATGTCCAAGGTAAGAACTTATTGACCAACTTCCACGGTATGGACTTCACCACTGATAAATTAAAGTCTCTTGTCAGAAAGTGGCAATCCCTTGTTGAGGCTAACGTCACTGTCAAGACTGCTGACGATTACGTTCTCAGAGTGTTCTGTATTGCTTTCACCAGAAGACAATCCAACCAAATCAAGAAGACTTCTTACGCCCAATCCTCCAAGTTGAGAGAAGTCAGAAAGAAGATGATCGAAATCATGACCAAGGAAGTCTCCAATTCTACCTTGGCCCAATTAACTGGTAAGTTGATTCCAGAAGCTATTGGTGGTGAAATCGAAAAGGCCACTCAAGCCATCATCCCATTACAAAACGTTCACATCAGAAAAGTCAAGTTATTAAAGCAACCAAAATTCGATTTAGGTAACTTGTTATCTTTACACGGTGAATCTTCTGTCGACTCCAAGGGTAAGAAGGTTTCTACCGGTTTCAAGGATGTCATCTTAGAAACTGTTTAAATCAACAAATAACTATTTTGTTTGTTTCTTTTAAATTCTAATACTTCTACATCTCCTATATAAATCAACACAATATAATTTGTCCCTTATCAAAAACTCCTGTAGTTGCTGGATCGAAACCGCTTATTGGCCTCAAACGATTCTGGTGTTTTCCGAGGTAGGACGTACAAAGTCGTGGACGTCTACTTTATTTGGTGTACAGTTCAGAGTTCAACAAAACGATCCTAGTGCATTCGAAATATATACTACAGTCTTAGGCTTAGTGAAATAAGAAAACAAGGAGAAGCCAGTATTTCTTACAAAGTCTTTTAGGCTGTCATACTATGCTTACCCTTTACCGTTTTTGGAAGTAGTATCTGATCAAATGGCTTCTACTACTGCTCATTTTTGTTCTTATTTCTCTTTTTTTAATTTTATTATTATTATTTTGGAAAAAAAAAGCTAACATACTTATAAATCACTATCTATATAGCCTGATTCTAGTTGTGTAATCTCTTTTCGTAAGAGTACAAGTTGTTGACACCACCTTCGAATTGTGCGGAAGGAGTTCTAAGTTCAAATCTGATTTCACCAGATCTGACGGATGATCTCAGATCTTCAACAGATCTGACACCAATATCTTGACAAGAGTGTTGTAAACCGTTGTACAAGTATGGAATGAACTTGATGATGGAGCCCTTGTCCAGAACAGATCCAGAAACACCTTGTGCAACGAAAACCTTATCATCTTCAGAGAAGTATCTTGAGGTGGATGCATTGGCGCTGGTGTCTGTTTTTTGCATGGCATCGACAGAACCCATACCTCTGTAGGTCTTTAATCTTTTACCATCTCTGTAGAAATAATCACCTGGAGATTCGGTAGTACCGGCCAACATACCACCCATCATAACACATGAAGAGCCCAAAGCAAGAGCCTTTGTGATATGACCAATGTTTTGGATACCACCATCGGCAATACATGGCACACAAAATTTGCTGGCGAATTCGGTAACATTGTAGACAGCAGTACCTTGTGGTCTACCACATGCCATAACTTCTTGAGTGATACAAATAGAACCAGAACCCATACCGATTCTAAGACCATCAGCACCGGCTTCAATCAATTCAGCAGCTTGCTCTCTGGTGACAACGTTACCAGCAATGATTTGCAAGTCTTTGAAAGTATTCTTGATCCACTTGATCATCTCCAATTGGAAAACAGAGTTACCTTGGGAAGAGTCAATGACGACAACGTCCAAACCGGCTTGAACCAGTAATGATAATCTCTCTCTGTCAACTTCCATGGTACCAATTGCTGCACCACACAATAATTGTTTGGTGATTGGAGACTTGGAAGCATGTGGGTAGTTTTGGTTCTTTTGCAAGTCGGTTCTTGACAACATAGAAACCAAGTTACCTTCGGCGTCAACGATTGGAAGTTTACCCTTCTTGGAGGTTCTGAGAATGTCATTACCGTCCAATAAAGAGATACCAACCTTAGCAGTGACGACGTCTTTGGTCATGACTTCGGAAACAGGGCTGGAAGAGTCTTCGTGGAATTGAACATCCCTTGAGGTTATTATACCAACAAGCTTACCGCCAAGCTTACCAGATTCTAGACCAAATAAAAATAAAGAGAAAGCGGATTCCAAAAAGATAATGTTAGTACTTGTCTTTGGGAGAATGCTTCACAAACAAAAACTCCTCTTTGCAAAAATGGAGAAAAGAAATAGAATTTAAAACTAATCAGCAAATAAATTTTCCACAAGATCGTTTGATCACAGTCGGTAGAACGAAAGTTAATAAATTTGTTTAATCATCATTTAAAAGAGAGAACCTGAGGGAGAAGAAAAGTGCAGAGAGTAAGTGTTGTTTGTGCAATTGTGACAATTGAGTTTTGAAATGATACATACCAGTGACAGGGAAGGAAGTGAAACCAAACTGTTGAGCCATGTCCTTGACTTCAGCAATAGTGGTAGATGGGGAAATGACAACAGGGTCATTGATGAAGCCGTTTTCGTACTTCTTCACCTTCTTCACCATAGCGGCCTGTTCTTCGCCGGTACAGTTGCTGTGTATAATACCAATACCACCCAACAAAGCCATGTGGATGGCCATGGTAGATTCGGTGACGGTATCCATAGGAGAAGAGACAAAAGGAGTGCTCAAGGTGATTTTCCTGGTCAACTTCGATTGCAATGAAACGATGCTGGAAGGGAAGTCAATCTTACCTGGCAAGATAAGGAAATCATTGTATGTCAAACCACCTCTGGTTTTGGAGTCCATCAATTCTGCGACTGACAAGCCATCTTTTTCAGCGTACTCTTTGAGGTAAGAAGTTGCCTTGGAAGCATCTAAAAAGGACATTTTTGTGTTGTGGTTTATGGTATAAAAAAAAGGTTAAGCGGAACTTGGGGGAAGAGAAGGGCCCAAAGGAAGAAACGGGCAGAGGAGTGCCAGGAAACCAAGCCGATTCAAGAACAACAGAAAAAAAGGCCCTTTTCAAGAGGGAAAACAATCCTTCGAGAGGGAGGATGTTGACATATTTATAGCTAGAAAAGCCAACTTAGCAAAAAAATTTTTTTCACTGGTATTTTTTCCTCCTCGCACAGAAAAACGCATCTGATAACTAATAGGAACAATAAATAAGAGCCCCAATCTATTACCGTCCTAGAGAAGTTTGACTTCGCTTCGCTGCCGCGGGCAGAATTTTCCGTTTACGCGGAAAGAAAACAATCGACGCGTCGATTATTACGTGATAGATGAGGATTTTATCTTTTTTCGTATTTTTTGTGATTTTGTTCCCAAAACACTTTTTTGCCTGAAAATTTAGACATTTCGTGTAGCCTCCGTGCACCGTGTTGTTTTGGGTTTTCCCCAATCGGTGCAGGCCGAAAGAGAGGGAGAGCAAGTCTCGGACAGAGAAGGACACACGATAACGACAACAGGCGACAGAAAAGTAAGATCGGTCTGGGACGGATACGGTGTTTCGCCACGGAAAAACGGTATTCCATGTGCTGCGATGGCAACGGGAAAGCAATGCAGCCCTCGCAGAAACACAAGCAATCTAAATATTTTGAGTCGTTAAAGCTCAGGAGTAGTCAGTCGGAACTGGCGCCCATTATTCCGCCACTGAATGTGTCCCCCACCACGGGAACGTCACCGCTGCTGTCGCCTACACTGTCATCGTCGACGGCCGCAACAGCCGCAACAGCCGCAACAGCAGCAACAGCAGCAACAGTGGAGACAGAGTCTTCCATAGAGAGGAAACCGACAATCACTCCGTTGCAGAGCCCGTTCCAGGGCCAGTCCAACAAGTCGTCCTCCACGCTTTCTCCGTTGCACTCGTCGATGGCCGTAGATCGAATAGACTCGAGCCCACTACGTTTACACTTGCAGACAGACTCCAATGGCCCCGTGTCGTCTTCTTCTTCTTCGACGCTGCAGAACCGGTTTGTATCCTCTTCTCCGGCCTCGAAAAGCCACACTCCCTCTCCCCCAAAACGCTTCTCGAAACACCGCCTAAACAACACTGAAAACATAAACTATACCCTCAATGCTAACTTGTCTCCTCCAGTAATATCCCGTTTGGTTTCTTCATCGCCGACGAAAACAATCGTTGGCGGGGCTTCCCCAACTTCTCCGAACATTAACATAAGCCACTCTGACAATAGTGATTTCGTCAACAATAATGACCACCATTTGTACGATGATTCTCACCAGTTGGATGTTGAGTTCTTTGATGACTTATCACTCTTGGAAAATAATGAGACTCAAATATCGTTTTTCAAAGAGCCAATGCTTTCTCCGGTGCAGACCGATAATAAGGCCTTGTTTGAATCGCCAACGACCACCATTTTCAGGAAAAGATCACATCAGCTTTTCTCCCCAATGAAAGATAACAAAACATCATTTGTGAATATGAGCCAGCTTCCCTTAGATATGAAAATCATATGCAACTCCAGAGCAGAAAATAATTTCCACACGATGAACGGATTTGTTAACGTAAGTTACATGGAATTCTGGAATTTGACTTCAGAAGAAGGCAAGACTTACAAGGATTGGGATAAGACCCAGTTTGAGATACAATCTTTGGTTTTTGAAATCTTCACAAACTTGAAAAAAATAAGATTTAATTTGCACAGGTTGATTTTCATCTACGGGCTCGAATTCAAAGATACTGGGTTCATCTCTGACAATATCTATGATAAAACTTTCGAAGTTCTCCAGGAGTTCTATTACTATTTAGACAAACTCGTGGTTAAAAAATTAAAGCCTTTGTTTGATGATCATTTTTTTGTTGATGACGCTCAAGTGCTAAAAATCTTAGCCGGCTGGTTTAAGCAACTCAAATTGCAATATCGTCATATTTCTGGTTCCGTTGTCTATTTGTCAAAATTGTCTTCTAACGAAGATGTGAGAAAACTTATCATTGGAATTTCGAAAAAAGACCTTGAAAATTCCTCAAATAGATCAGCCGTTTCTCCAATCGAGCTGTTCAATTCTTACTTCGTGAAATTATTTACTTCAATTGAGCTCTTATTCGACAGATTGAAGTCTGTTTACAAAGGAGCCAACTATATAAAGAATTTTGACGTCACTGATGATTTGCAGCAAGTTATCAAGGAAATCAATAATATAAGTGATTCTACTTCGGAATTGGAGAAAAAGATAAGCTTTAATGAAAAGTTGTCATATAAGACTGAAATAGATTTCTCCCATATGGAAATGGTTGACATGTTCAATGTGAAACGAAAGTCAAAGGAACCTTTGCATTTAGAAATGAAAAGCAATTTGAATTGGACACAAGCGATACTAGCGCCTTTTGACAATTATTTGGTCATCTTGCAGGTGAAATCCAATGCAATAAATTTGAATAAGAAAGATGAATACGTCTTATGCAAATATCCCATCTCCATCCAATATCTAGAGGTAGATACTTATGTTGATGGAAACTATAAGATGGTAATCATCAAAGACATAGGAAATAAAGCAATCTATCATTTTCGTCGAGCGAATGACATTACAGTGGCAATTTTGGACCGCTTTTTGAAAGATTTGCACATTTTGAAAGCAGATTTCTGGGCACAAGGTAAGTTAAACAAGAAAATCGAGTTGAAAATTTTCAATGCTAACTCTTTTATTTCTAAATCTGAGAGCTATGACCCTTTCAATTTAGCTCCAATACCAGACACGTTCAACTTAGTAAACCTTGAAGTTTCCAAAGGAGGTAAAGATAATGAATTGAACCTCGATGAGTTTGAACCAATTTTGACCAATGTGTTGAGTTGTGACTATTTTTCATACAAACATGAAGGGGTATCAGAAAAATTGTGTTTGGTTGGGACAACTTTCGGAATATTCATAGGTAAATTGAATGACTCAGCTAGTTTCCACAAAGTTCATCAAATCACAAACGTGAAGAAAATTACGGTTATGAACAACGAAGTTGTATTTTGTATTGGCGGTGAATCCTTGTACCGCCTTTCAATCGAGAAGTTATTTCACACCTATAAATTCAGGCTACCAGCATCTGATATAAACGTTTTTCAAGAGAACAAGAGGTATATTAGTGACTTTACAGTGGGCTACCAAAGTTCAGCCAAAGATAATGGATGCCCCTATTTGTTTGCCTGGAACAGCAAGTTGGTATATTACTCAAAAATTTTGAAGGACACAGACTGGAAGTTCATTTGGCAATCGTTTAAAACGCATTACAACATTACTCGTTTACAAACTGTTTATGCCAACAACTTCGCAGTCGGACATATAGTCGACGGTTCTGCAGTTTGGAATCTGTCTAAGCTTTCTGACATTCGGTCCATTGGTTTAAATCAGCTTGATGTGAAGGATATTCTGAAAAGCGAAACTCCTGTTGCAATATTCCCTTTTCCGAACCAAGAAAAAAACATCTCCGAAGTATTGGTAGTTTTCAGTAAGTTCGCAACAAGAATGAAAAATGTCAAAGGCAAATATATTCAGTCCAGTGATGAAATAATATGGTTTGGAATGCAATGTGATAATGCTTCTTTTGATTGCGAAGAGAAGATCTTGATCACCGTTGGTAAGCAAGCCGTAGAAATTAGAGCGCTTTACGATGACATAACAAGGAAAAGTGACTTGATTGGCTGTTTATTTGGAAGCTCCTTTTCATTGATAAATGAAATGCCCGGTAAAGCGATTTTGAAGGTTCAAGACATCAAAGGACACGACGAGTATAAAAAACAGATTATTTTCAAAATCAGAAGGTTGAAAAATCCGGGTAAAAGTAGGTAACCCAATAAATATTATCATGTTATAGATTATAGATTTATATGTAAGTATATGAAAAGATTGTATATTAGTTCTCATTTTCTTCAAGTTTCTTCCTCTCCGTCAGTTTCATCATCTTCTGCCTCTCCTTCTCCTTCTTGACCCATAATGACTTGTGAGGCTAACGGTAATAAAACTCGTATTAGTTCACTGTTCATTACCTCATTTTCTGTCTTCGATGTATCCAACTTGAAGTCCAACATCCGGTCATCGCAAAAATGCTCAACCAAATCATCATCATTTTGATAATCAGATTCATCGTCGAGAGCGTGCTCAAAGTCATACTCCAATGATTGAAGCAAAGCAAGTCTCCCAAACTGATCGGCGTATTCATCTTTAGCACTATTGAATGTCTTATAGTAAATTGATTTAATCTCATATTTGTCTGGATTTTCAAGTTCAACATACTCAATCTTATTATCAAATTTTTCATTCAATAATTGAATGTCACGTTTGTGTCTCTCTTGTATCAACAAGCTTAATAATCTCTTTTGCAACTTGGAAGTTGTGGAAGGGTTAATTTTCTTACCAGGCAAACTTAGTGGATTGTATATCAAAGAGCTGTACTCTTTTGGTATTGTTATGAAAAGGGATTCGATGAAAGAGACAAGCTGAGCGTCATTTGTGTCAATCACATTGCCTATACCCTCAAATAGGAAAATATTGTAATCTAATGCATAATCATCAACTTTTGCAAGCAATTGGGTACTTTCACAACTCAATTTACCAAGTCGTGGTACTGTCTTCAAGTCTATCATTGTAGCTATATGTTTCTTGCATTTTTAGACCCGATCTAGGGCAATTTGTGGAGCAAGTGCCACTCATCACATTCCACTTTTCTGTTAACTTTTATTAGATTATTCCTATCGTATAACCACATGCTTACATAATCCGCGCGTTGCATTTTCTGAGTTGGACGGGATCGTGAAGAAGGACAAGGGATGCAAAAGATGATGACGGCTAGAGGGAGAGGAAAGAGGAGAAGAGGGGAGTGGAGAAGCTATATTAGGTATTCGATTTTGACGCCCAAGCGACGCAGGAAGCATAGGAAGTTTGCTAAACAAGATGAGTCAGCAGCCAGACCAACAACAGAATGGACAGCTCAATCAGCAGCAGCCACAAAGCCAGGCAGGTCAGCAAGCCAGAATGAACTTCCAATCGATTCACCAGCAAGCACGCCAATTATTCAATCAATACAGTATTGAGAAGAAGGCTGCAGAGACTGCGGGTATTAACACTCCGGAAGGTCAGGCTCATATGCGGAAAGCAGAGAAGATAAAGACCTTGTTAGTCACCTATTCCAAAAAACAGAAGTTACTACAACAACAGCAACAAAATCAGGCTCAGGCTCAGGCCCAAGCTCAAGCACAGATGCAAGGTATGAGTCAGCCACAGCAGCAAGCACAAATTCCAGTTCCAATACAGTCTTCGCCTATGCCTATTCCAGACGCAATCACTAATAATGTCTCTACTAATATGATGAACACAGCGGCATCTTCTCAGCCTACCCCCCATCCCCAGGATAGCATGAATATGTCACAACAAAATCTTATTAATGCTTCATATAACAACAAAAATACTGGGAATAATAATAGCACTGCCAACAATAATGGTGGAAATGGCCCTTCTCAATACGATGCTGTCACATTATCTGCAGCTCAACAGCTGCAACTGAAGAAGCAACAACTTTTGAATAAATACCAAGAGATCATAACATTGTCAGAACAATTCAAGAAAAATATGGCCCTGATTCAAAAGAGGTTGGGTGAACCCAATGTTGACGATACCACAAGGACTCATCTTTTGGAAAAAGAGCACGAGGTGAGAACAAGATTAGAGAATTGCAAGAGATGCACAGTTCAAATTGCTACACAATTGAAATTTGCTCAGCAGCAAGCTCAGCAGTTAAAGCAGCAAAACCGTGCTCAAACGTCTTCTCCACAACTTCAACAAATACAACAAACACAATCAGGCATCCCGAATGCAGGCCTAAATCGGGCTCAAAGCATGGGGAATACACCTCAGATTTCTACGCCTGGTACACTTAACTCAGGCGCATCTTTTTTCAATAATGAAAATACTCCCGTCACAGATGATTTATCAGCTGCTAATATGAAGCTAAATGCGGTAGCAGGAACTACGGCAGCAACCGGCTCAGCTGCAAGCTCTACTTCAGGAAAGGCTGCAAAAGGAAAAAGTGATGAATCGTCGTCTCCTGCGGCCCAGAAAAAGGCAGCTGCCAAGAAACAAAATTACAAAGCGGACAACAAAAGAGCCTCCAACACAATTGATGATGGAAGTAATAAGAAACAAAAGACTGCTGTTACTGGAAGCAGTGGTGGCTTTCAAAATGGCGATATACCTGGTAAAGCTGGTAAGACTGCCCAACCGCCAACTTCTGCAGCTTCATCGATTACCGATGGGGATCGTGCTAAGTTTCAAAATTTGAATATCCCAGACGATTTGAAGATAAGGACCCAAGATCCGGTTTCTGTTAAAGTCAACAATCGTCCTAGTTTACTGGGTGGAAATGCGATAAGTGCGTCTGCTTTGAGTAATCCAGTGCTGGTCAAGCCGGAGCAATTCCAGCTTGAAGGAGAACGCGTGCTAAACAAGAGAAAGTTGAAGGAATTAGTTGCTTCTGTTGCAAGTGAAGAAGGCGAGACAGAAATCAACATTGACGGTGACGTTGAAGAACTGCTGTTGGATCTTGCAGATGAGTTTGTCACCTCTGTTACTTCCTTTGCCAGTAAATTGGCTAGACACAGACATTCTGAAAACTTGGATGTCCGTGATGTTCAGCTTCATCTTGAAAGAAACTGGAACATTCGTATTCCTGGTTATGCTGCCGACGAAATTCGTATGATCAGAAAATTTGTTCCTAACAGTGTTCACAACTCTAAGCTGAACGGTGTCTTTATCAACAAGAGCGTTGATAAAGCTTCATAATTGTGTGCAGGCCTGTCTTTTGTAGACTATAATCATGTAATGGATACTGACGATAGTCGGATGAAAAATCTAGTATACGCGTTTGAAATCTCGGGCATGAATTTGAACATGCAGCTGAGAAGGGTGATAGTTTTCTTCTACGCATGATCTTTGCATTAGTAAACTTTGTTCTGGAACAATGCAATGAAGACATTTGAGAGTTTTATTCCATCGCCCTTGGTGGTGCAGAGCGGCTGGAACTTGGATACTTTAATATACGCTTCTTTATTCACCATTTTTAATCCCATTACTGTGTGGATTTTCTATTTCACTGAAAAGGTATCTGGGAGATATGCTACTGCTATAGCTATTTTCTGGGTATGCAGATATCTCAACAGATGCATGCGTAAAAGTTACGCTACACCTTCAACGAATAAGTTGGTGCTTATATCGGGAGGTGCATCAGGTTTAGGTTCGGAGCTTGTGAAAAAGTGGAGTTCCCAAAAAGATATAGGAAAAATCATAGTTGTAGACGTGCAGAAACCTGATAAGAAAACTGGTTGTGGTTGCGACAAAATACATTACATACAGTATGATTTGAACGACACAAGTTTAAGATTTTTGAAAACTCAAAATGGAATAGAACATTGCGATGACTTTGTGGATTTATCCAAAGTGGATATCTTGGTGTGCAATGCCGGGATACGGCAGATGCAAACCTTACAGGAACTTCAAGCAGAAGAAATTAGGAAGATTTCACATGTGAACTGGCTTTCACATATGCTTCTTATCAAGCAGTACATTGAAGCTATCAGCAGTCGAGAAAAAAGTCGGAGATTTCAGGTTGTAGTGGTTGGGTCAGTCCTTGGCTTTGTCGGTCCTAAACAGCTCGGAATTTATGCTGGGACCAAGAATGCTCTTATGTCTTTAATGGATTCTTTGCGAGAAGAATTACCGAGCAACATTGTGCTAAGTACGGTTCTCCCAGGTCAATTAGACTCCTCAATGTTTGCAGATGTTAGCGTGAATCATTTTTTGGCTCCTATCATACACACGAAGAAGCTTGCGGAAAGGATACATACAATTGTAGAAGAAGGGTGGAATGGGACATTCTCATATCCTACATATGGAAGACTACTACCTATATACAGGGTACTACCTTGGTGGGCTCAACGATTTTGCAGGTGGTTTAGTGGTATGGATGACGTGTAAAAGATGCAAAATGTTGCTTTATCTTACTAATTTCTTGTAAATACTATCAAATTAAGTTAGCTGCTAAATAGTCTATTTAGACTTGTCTGCAGATTCTATGGAAGGGACGATTTTCGCTTTGAAAGCATCCATGCTAAGGAAGCCATCATCGAAAAAAAAGTCTTTGAATGGGATGCTTGAAGCATGATTCTTCCCATCGAGGTTAATGGTAATTTGGTAGACTGGGTCCGTCTTCGATTTTGTAGATGTGCTTACCTTTAAGGTTTTGCCATTTTTTTTGCCTGTGTATTTGATGTCTTTCTCAACGAACTTGCTGACTAGAAACCATACAAACTGGAGGGTGAAGAAGACAGAAACCAAAAACTGGATATAAAAAACATATGCCGTGTTGTTGAAATCATTTTTGAACTTCTTGTCTAGATAATACATCAAGCCGGCGGCGGCAACAGAGAGATATCCGACAATCAATTTCACATCAACTATGATGAATGATTCCGTGAATCCAAGATCATCAAAAACAGCTGATAGATGTTCATCGCTTTCTGTTTTGAGGGCGGGCACCGAATGTAACGATACTTTTTTAAATTCCATTTTCTATTTTCCTTGCATGTACCAACCCTTGTGCAATCGAATTGTTTAAAGATTGCCACTGTTCCAGATATCAGAAGTGAAATGATGACACGCTTTTACAAGATATATCTATATAGATGCAATTTATTTTTCTCGAGAACAGAGCGCATGCACATTAATGGAGCTCATACTTCCTCTTACTTTTGAAGTTGCTGCTGACCTTGTTTTTGTTTCTAATTCGTTTCTGTTTATATAGGTGGCATGACTAATTAGTTTTCATGCTGGGTATTGATTACACTATCCTTTAAAGTGACTTATGTAGAGTGGACTTTTCCTCACTAAAAATAAGCCACGGTTTACGCTCCGCTAGGTCCAGAATGGTTTTCCCGAATTCCGAATTACACCAACTGAACCACGGACGGGTATACAGCTTTCCGCTGGGAGCGTTGACGTTGACCCCTTCGTGCATGAGTCCTAGGCCAGCTGTGGTATTTTTGATCATGTCAAGAAGCTCAGTGATCTCCTCATCGTCATCGCTAGTTCTGATTTGAACAAGTAAACTCATTGGCCATGCATGGAATAGTCCGACGTGTGGACCACCGACACCTTGCAGATACTTCCCGTTCAAGAAATATGGGTTCCCCACTTTACTCAAGATCATTTTCCTTGTATTCTGGTAAACTGGATCATCGATGGTTCCGAACCCCATATCCGGAAGTGAAAGTAGTGATGGGATGTTGGCATCATCCATGAAGTTGACACCTCCGTACCCGTCTATCTCGTAGGCATAAACCTGGCCAAATAATTTATGATCCACTATTGCATGTTCCTCGATACCTTTTGCTATTTTATCTGCATACGTCTGGAAAATCGTTGAGAGTTTGGCATTTGCGATGGAAGGATCGTTGTGCTTTTGTAAAAGAGGAATCAATTTCTTTAATTCCACCAAGAGCTGCGCGTTAGCCGGAATGAAGTACTGGTATATGCATGCGTCATCGGAAGGTCTGAAAGCAGATCTGACCAACCCAGAGTTAAAATTTACCGGATTTCCTGTACCTCCCAAAGGTAAAGTTTCCGACCCGATATTGGTGTTTCTGCGGAACGAGTAGAAAAACTGCAATACACGACCGTCCTCGCTGAAGGTAGGAGAAGATTCTCTCTTCAGTATTTTCGCTATCGTTCTGAGTGCGTCTTCAACGTTAGTGTCTTCCAAGAGACGGTAGTCTTTGGAGTTCACGAGATATTCGTTGGTTAGAGTTAGGAAGGATGCAAGCGAATCCAACTCGTATTTGCATTCAAACACGGAACCCCATGGAGGCACTGGTGTGACATTGTCGATAGAAGAGGCCTTTCTGGAGACTTTAGATTTTTTTGGTGGCTGGAAAGCATTACAATACGGAGCGATGTTGATGTACTCTGCCTGCTGTAAGATAGCCCCCTTGATCATCTTCCCTAATTTTGGGTCCTGCGGAATCAATTTCTGGTAAACGGAAAGTTGGCGTGCAGAGTCTCTTAGCCACTCTGCATGGATATCACCTGTGGATATAAATGTCTTTGGGCTTCCCTCGTCGTTTTCGTCGAACCAAAGGATCGTAGTGTCCAGCGTGTTTGGTAACGCGTTTTCAAAGATCCGGAAGAGGTCTGGGTCTTTCATCTTGACCCGGAAGTGCTCGATGAGCTTCTCCACGGCGGTGGAAGTGAACGTCCTACATTGCTGGGGCGGCCTCATGTATGATAGCTTGAGAGGCCCCTTGGATAGCGGCTCATGTTTCCTCGACGCGTATGACGTGTACTCCTCGCACGCCGGAGCCCTCAGGCCTTTAAACCATTGCTGCTGCGATTCGACCTGTGGCGGGGTCATCAGGTCGGGATCCAACTCATCGCCGTATTTGCTGAATGCGACCTCCTCCACCGGGCCTGTAGGCCTGATCCAGTGGAACAGCACGAAAAGCGCAACTGCGAGCAAGAGAACCTTTTTCGTTCTTCCCACAGCCGGAGCCCTCCTTAAGTGAATCTTACTTTCAGGCTGCAGCTTGTCCCTCAGCAGCTCGTGCATCGGCTGTTTCCCCTGGTACATTTTGGTGTAAGCCGTATATTTTGGACAGTTTGTGAAGTTTGGCCAGACTAGAGAGGAGGGCCTGTGGAGGAAGAACGAGCACGAACAGAAAGAGAACAGAAAGACACGAGCCGATTTGTGACGGGCTACCGAAAAGAGCGGGGGTGGCGCTCATGCGGTCGAGGGTGAGTTGAGGGGGGCGGGAGGTGAAGATAGGTGGATGCCGGCGGGGTGCATGGGAGAGAGATAGAGATCAGAGGAGTGAAGCACAGCAAGAATAGCGCTGTCTGGAGTACAGACACAGGACAGGAGCAAGAATGTCTGAGCTAGGAATATTTGTGTCGTCGATTCCGCCCGTGACACGGACAATCACCTTGACGTCGCTCGTGATGGGCGGGTTGCACTCGTTGCAACTGATCCCGATCACTGCGTTCACGTGCCACTTCCCATTGGTGTGGCAGAAATTCGAGGTGCACCGGTTGTTGACGGGGTTTCTCATCCCCAACCCGCAGGCGATGCAGGGGATGATGGAGATCTACATGATGTACAGCTTCTCGAAGGGCCTTGAGGAGAGCAAGTTCAAGAAGAACCTCCCGGACTACATCTATTACTTTGCGATCGTGTTGCCGATCATCCTCGTGGGCTCGTACGCGGCAATGCCGCCGCTGTACTCGTTGAGTCCGGCGTTGTTGTCCGCGTTGACCTTCACCTGGTCGATCTTGAACTACAACCAGCAGGTGAACTTCTACTTCATGCCCATCAAGGCGTCGCTTCTCCCGGCGGTCTCGTTGGGGTTCCGCCTTCTCGTCGACGGCCAGGAGAGCTTCATCTTGGCCTTGCTGGGCTTTGCCGCCGCGTACGTCTACAACTGCATCGAGACGCGGTCCCTGGGTCCACTCATGTCCATCATCACGGGCAAGGAGCCCGAGGTGAACCCGAACAACAACCGTCTCGGCACCGTCAACACCATGGCCCACGCCTGGTTCTACTCGACGGGCTACCTCGGGGCGCCCCGCTGGCTGCGCCGCGTCCTCTCGAGGTTCACCGGCGTCGACTACGACTCTCCGACCTACAACCGCAGAGGCTTCACCGCCTTTGCTGCCAAGAAGAGTACCTCTGCCGGCACTGGGTCCTCCGCCGCCGCTCGTGCAGCCGGCAACGTCTTCTTCCGTGGAGAGGGCAGGCGTTTGGGCAGCGGCAAGGAGTAGAGCCTGTCCGACCCCTCCTCCCCGTCTTCCCACCCCCAGCTCCAGCCCCGGCTCCAGTCTGTGTACTTACTACATGTGTATAACGTAATGGAAAAGCTACGCTCAGATGCCCGCTCCGTCTTTTTCCTTTTCCCGCCGGCGCCACACCCGCCCCCGCCCCCCGGCACCCTGCGACTATTTAAAGGCGGCGCCCCCCGCCGGCCACTGTCCGCCGAGAGACACGCCGCCGGGGCGCCCGCAACGGCGGCCGGCGTTTCAGGAGGCCTCCCACACACAAGCACAATGACGGTGCCGGAGATTGCACCCACAGACGCCCCGCTCTGGCTGTTCGGCTACGGCTCGCTCCTGTTCAAGCCCCCGCTGCACCACCTGCCCATCTCCAAAGACTTCCGGCGCTTCGACGGCCATGTCCAGGGTTTCATCCGCCGCTTCTGGCAGTCCTCCTACGACAACCGGGGTACCCCCGAGTATAAGGGCCGCGTTGTGACCATTGTCCCCGCGCGGGACGTCGCGGCCACCCCCGCCTTCCACGCCTCCGTCCGCGAGCACGAGCTTGCGCACCTGCCGCCGGCAGCTGCCGCCGCCGTCCTGGCGGACGCGGACCGCCTTCACGCGGAGCTTGCCGTCGGCGGGTGTGTCTACTACGTCCCGCCGCAACACGCGCGCGCCGCCCGCGCATACCTCGACTTCCGCGAGAAGGACGGCTACGCCGCCGAGGAGGTGGTTTTCCACGTCTCTGCCCCGGCGGACGCGGACGCGGGCGAGGACGTGGACGAGATTCTGGCGGGCCTGCCGCGCGACGCCGCCGGGCGCCGGCTAATCCGCTGCGTCGTGTACGTGGGCTCGCCGGCGAACGCGAGCTTCGTGGGGCCGGAGCACGTCGACACGACGGCGGCCCGGATCCACAAGGCCGTCGGCCCCAGCGGGCCTAACATCGAGTACCTCCTGCTGCTCCAGCGCGAGGATCCGGCAGACACGTACTTGCAGACGCTCAAGGAGCGGGTCGAACTGCTGGCGGCAGCCGGCGGTGCTGCTGCAGAAGCTTTATAGAGTCTAGATACCGTATATACCCAACGTACTCGTCCACCAACGCCGCCCGGCGAATTTGCTCGTGGGCGCTCTTCCGCCGACGGCGCGACAGCGATAAATGCGGCCGGGGCAGTCAACCGGCCCAGGGCCACCCCGAAAGATAAGCGAAGATTGCCTATAGGACTGGAGTACCGAAGAAAAGAAGAAGAAAAGAAGAAGAAGAGTTGCACATTCATGAGTACGCACTTAGCTGCAGCCAACGGCAGCGTGGATGTGATGCAACAGCGATGGCTTTGGAAAACACAACGTCAACGGTGTTGTCCACGATCGGAACGGTCATCTGGTGCATACAGCTCTCACCCCAGATCTACTTCCTTCACAAAAAGAAGGACGCCGAGGGCCTCCCGCCCATCTTCATGCTGCTCTGGTGCATCTCCGGGCTCTTCATGTGCATCTACTTCGTTGTCTCGGACTCCTACATCCCTATGCAGGTGCAGCCGCATCTCTTCACGATGCTATGCTCCGTCGCCTGGGTGCAGAGCATGTACTACCCGCCCCACTCGTACGGCAAGAAACGGTTCCTCTCTTCTGCTGCCGTCTTCTACCTCTGCTGGATCGGACTGGAGGTCGGCTTCTGCGTGTGGCTCCGCCCCGTCTACGCCCACGGCACGCACTGGGAAAACCTCATCTTCGGCATCTTGGCCACCGTCTTCCTCTGCGTCGGCTTGCTCCCGCCCTACTGGGAGCTTCTCCACCGAAACGGACGGGTCGTGGGCATTAACTTCTTGTTCTTGGCGCTCGACAGTTCCGGCGCAGTGTTCAGCATGGCCAGCATGTGCATAGGCACTGTCGACGCCATGGGCATGATCTTGTACGCCATCATGATTGCCATGGAGCTCGGCCTATTCGTCTCGCAGGGCATCTGGCTGTTGCGCTTTCGGCTCCGTCGTACTGAGAAAGACGGCCCTGGCTCCGACGTCGAGGCTGTATTCTCCGACAGTTCTTCTGAGATTCGCAATGCCAGCGATGCCAACACCGAGAAGAACCCATCGGCCACAGTCAGAGAAACATGAAAATTCGGCCTCAATCAAACAACCATTCTTCTTGCTCTTCTCTTCAATATTGCTTTCAGCTAGGAATGTTATTTAGTCATGTCTATCTATAAATTTTTTCTATCGCTATGTACAGCTTATCGTTCGTATTGTCTTCCAGGCCAGTTCCAGCGTCGTATGACCCCCCAGTTAAAATCCATCTTTGACACAAACTCCTCAAACGAACCCTTGGCTTGAACAGCAGGGAGTTGCTCCTTCATCTTTTTCAACTGGTACTCGCTTCTGCACGAACTTAGCTTGTTAAACTTCATATCGTATGCATTCAAACACCTCAAGAGCTCCCGCTTGTCCCAATCGTTCAAAGCGTCCAGGTAAGTGTTGAACAGCGACACACCAAGCGGGTACTTCAAATCCACAAGCCGGGACAGTAACTCCTTGATCTCGTCAGCCTTCCCAAACACTTTCAATACATTAATGTATATCGCCAACAAGTTGTCATTCGGATACAGCATTCCATCACTTGTATCCCCGTATGCACGTGATATGTGCTTGTTGAATTCTTCGAGCGCAAAGTCCAATGGCATAACGGTATTATTCGTCCCCCATCTCACCTTATCATAAATGTTACTCTCGTAGAGTTTATAGACAGAAACGAATAAGGACGAAATAGAAAGCTGAGTAATTTTAAAATGGTCATTGATAGAGTTGTATCTCCTGAACGTGTCCTGAGGAGAAAAAATAGCCTCCCCCAAAAGATGAGACGAATTGAGTCTACTCGATTTAAACTTTGAATTAGTATACAACTCCCGTGCTGTATCCAAACAGTTGTAAGCTTCTAAATCCATATCACTACTTTGATTCTTTGCAAATTTGTAGAATTTGGAGATCAAATGCGATATATTGTTATCATCCATATTCTCAATCTTTAGATTCTCAATCAATGAAATTAGAGTTTTGACCTTTTGAGTGCTATTGATTAAAATATCTAACACAAAATAATTGTTCGTGCCATAGGTCCGATGATGTTTAAGGTACTCCTGAAATAACATGGCAATCATTTGTTCTGTTAACATCTTGTGATAATTCAGCTTGATTAAAACAAATTGCCAAATCTCAGGATACTTGATCAAAATATCAGGTTCGATTTTCTTGAAAATGTTTGTCAAGTCTTGAGAAATCATCTCTTCATTCTCCGAGTTGACAGCTAAAAGTAAAACAGAATTGCACAAAAATTTGATGTTATAGTCGACTTTAACATTGTACAATAAGCCACTGTTGGCAAGTCTTTCGACTTCATTAGTGTTACAGCTCTTCGTGATCATCACTTCCTTAAAACCTTTTGGCTTGAAATTCTGTAACTGCCAATGATCAAATTGCTTCTTTGCATTCTTAAACATTTGAAACGATTTTCTAAAATCTCTGTAAAATGACAAATTAGAAACCCCTAGCATAGTCGTCACATCAACTTCTAATGCTTTACTTTTCTCTGTCATATGATTCACGGCTCTTATCAACTTCGATTGTGAAATATTGCAATACCTCGACGGCTTGTTAGCATGTTCTCCTGTGTGGTCATAGGAAAGGTACCATATCATTTCGCTGATCTGCTCTAATGTATATGAGCTAGAAATGTTGTTCTCATTCAGAAAAAGTTCAACCAAAAAAGGTAAATCTTCTAATTTTGACCTCATAGATATTTGAAACAAATTATTAAACAATGCTGGTATAATGAGACTCCTGTCAAATTTGGTGTCAAATTGTTTAAAATGATATAGTTTTTCTTGGTCAATCAAATTCAACTCTGTTGAGAAACTTTTATAAAACTCAACAAAATATTTATATTCAAGCTCACTTGTTGGCTTTCTCAAAAGTAAATCATAGATGATAATGTCAGGGACATATTTTGATTTGGTCAACATAATTAGACACTTGCTTGTCGAAGGTTCAAATAGTGAGTTAATCCATGTAATAATATTGTCATCTCGACTTTCATAATTAGGTTTCCAACCCTTGTTCTCCTTCAGGCGTATTTTCAATATCTGGACGGCAGTTCTGAAGCTCTGGTCATTCACTATTTTGTCAAACTCTGACCCAAAAACATTGTCTCCGGCCAATTCTTTGCTAATAAATAAATTTGTAGGCTGTAGATTGTACTTTTGTCTGCTTTCCTCCAAGCAAGCATCTATCGTAGGATTACTATATGCAGGGTATTGTGCTTTCAAAATTGTATGTATTATTATAGCAAACGCTGACTCCACAGACTTGGAACCTTTCAGGGATTTAAAGGATATGTTCATTACATTCCGGCTGTCTTCATCGAACTCATCCTTCGAATCTCGTTTCGTTTTACTACTCAAATATGACAATAAGTGTTGCAAGTTTGAATTTACCTCTATCTGATTTAACAGATTTTTATCTTGCAGTGCTAATGATTGGAATGTGGTATACAAAGGTACCGACTCTTGTTTGGTCATCAATTTGGTAAACCATTGAGGCTTCGTAGCGCTTAGCTCGTCCTTAACACTATCCAATGATCGTACCTTGTCTGCCTGATGGCTCAGCGTAGTATATAGTCGTCTGTAATCACTGTGTATACATAGATTTTTCTTTCTGTAGACACCATAGCTTTCCTTTGTGTTGAAACTTTGATATATTTCGATTACCCCACTCGAAATTTTCAGGTATTGACGACGACAATTTGCATGAGTAAGTTCTTTTCGGAATAATGTCCGATCAACCCTTCTGAACATCTCTACTACTATGGGGGTAATAAAGAGCAAAATTGGACTCTAGTATAGCTTAACTTATCTTCGAAGATCAAGGCTGAACTTCTATTGTTTTTAGTGTTACCTATACCTTATGGTAAGCAAAGCAGAAGAGAGGTGGAAAGGAAAAAAAATACTGAGCGAGATGAAAATTCGGTGCTAACGAAGTTGAACCTAATTTCGGGGCCGTAACTAAGGTTGACAAAGTCATTGCGTAAGAAACCGCATAGCCTGCTGAACAAGGACAGAAAAGTCTTCATGTTTCATTGAACAATAAAAAAAGAGTATAGCTTATAATAAAGTTCAAAAACGAATGTATGGCTAACACAAGATGAGTAGGGTTCCACCACAGTATCGAGAGATGCTCCGGAACGCGTTGAAGGACGAGAAGGCAAATGATGAAAAGATAGAGAGACCACTCAAAAGGTCCAGAAGGCTACAAACACCTGTCCAAAGAGCAAGAGAGCTTAGAAATATGCCTCCGAAGAAACAAGAGCATGAACGATATATCGTTCATTTAGATGATGATAGTGATGATAATGCTTTCAGCTCTGGTAACCACCGTTCTAAGAGAGGCAGTCCGAATACCGCGAGATCCCAGCAGAACGAGATTATCAATTTAAGTGATGATAATGTGGATTATTCCGCTGGTAGCGAAAGCTATCAATTAAGTTCAGAGGAACCGAGAGAAGAAGCCAAGGGCGGTCATAAGAAAGCAGAAACAGAAGGAGATGATAGTGAAAACGAGCAAGACAAACAAATCGACGATGATGACGATGATGACGATGAGGATGAGGATGTTGACTCTCTTGAGTTTGAAGATGTCGATTTAAACGAAACTTCTTTCCTAGGGAACGTAGGAAGTGATGATGATAACGATGGCGTGAGTATCACAATAAGACAGCATAGAGCAACTCAGAAGCCTTCGCAAAGAGCAACAGTTGTGAGTAAAGAGGAACGAGTATATAGACGTGTTTTGCATTTGTTGCATCTTTTCGTCATGGTTGGACATGGTGTTTCGAGAAATGTGTGGATATCTGATCCTCAGTTATTAATGTCAATTCGAAAGCAAGTTCCAGATGCACTTAAACATGAACTGAGACAGTATCAAGCTCACAGAGTCAAAGCTACAGTAACCGCACAGTCTAAAACACGGAAGCTTCTTGATTTCTTGAGACACTTGATGGAATATTGGTTGAAAGTATGGACAGTTGATTTCAGAGCTCCGGTGCTATACAAAAAAAGTTGGACTGAACTTAAGTATCCACAATTACTTTATCCAAGTAAAGCTCAAAAGTTAACAAAGCAGAAGTTTCGAAATATGATTTTAACTCATACAGGCTCGAGGGATATAGCAGCTCAAGGATTTGTTGCATTATTGCGTTCGCTCAATCTCCCGGCAAGGTTGGTATTTTCTATTCAGCCACCTGATTTCACCAATATGAAAAAGTGTGATGAAAATGCAGTCAAAAACCATGAGGCAGATAATAGTAAAGAATTAATAAAATCATCGCCAACCAAAGGTAAAGGAAAATCGGTTGATAGGATCCTTGCCATGCTAAGGTCTAAAAAAGCATACAAAAATACTTCGGTGAAAACTCAGGATGAGCATGATGATGAATACGGGGAGCGATATGGCTCTTGGCCTGTCTTCTGGGTTGAAGTTTGGGATAAAGACTCTAAAAAATACATTACTATTGATCCTGTTGTAAAGAAATTTATTGAAGTAGTTAGTTGGAAATCAAAACTTGAACCACCAATGAATTGCGTCAGAAACAATGCATGGTATGTCATTGGATACGATCGTGTTGGTGGGGTTCGAGATATCACGAGAAGGTATGCCAAAGAATATAATGCGAAAATACGTAAGAAAAGAATCACTCGAGAAGCTAAATGGGAGACTTGGTGGTCATTGCTTTTGAGGGGTGCATGTTCGAAGAAAAGATTGAAGGATAATAGGGTTGATAAGTTTGAACAGATTGAGTTTGAGGAACTGGAATTGAAAGAAGGAATGCCCGCAAATATCAGCGATTTCAAAGGACACCCTGTTTATGTTCTTGAACGAGATCTTAAATTCAATGAAATATTGATGCCTAAAATCTCATGTGGTGGAGTATCTAAGAAGGGGAAAATCACAAACAACGCTGATAAGTTCATACCAGTTTATAAGAGAAGCAATGTCCATATAGTGCGAACTGCCCGAGGCTGGTTTATGAGAGGTCGTGTTTTGAAGATAGGAGAGAGGCCTTTGAAGATAAGAGAAAAAAAAGTCAAGAAGCGGAAAGGCAAAAAGGGTACAGAAGATGAGTTCCAATTAAGCGATGAAGAAAATGAAGAGGACGGTGATGATGGGAGGATGTATGCGGAGTCTCAAACTGAAAAATATGTTCCACCTCCTGTTGTGAATGGAATCATTCCAAAAAATGCATTCAAGAATGTGGATGTCTACGAGCCATGGATGATTCCTAATGGATGTGTCCATGTAAAAGAAAAGCTGGCTGAGAAAGCAGCTAGACTAATGGGAATTGAATATGCACCTGCCGTTGTAGGATTTGATTTTACTGGGTCCCGTAGAGATGCAAGTGCCAAGATTGAAGGTATTGTCACACTTGAAGAATATGAGGGGGCAGTTAAACTCATTTGCGAAGGATTAAGTGAAGTGGAAGAAGAGGAAAGAAGAATGCATGAAGATTTGATAAATTTGAGGGCATGGAGAATTTTACTTGCAAAACTTAAAATCAGCAAGAGGTTACTTCATGAGCATGGTGAAGTTGAAGAAGATGAAGAGGAGAATACCGCTTCCAGTGTTGACGAAGCAAGTGATAGTGATTCAGAAGAATTTGAAACTGGTGGATTTGTATTGGGAAATGCTGGTGCACAAAACACTACGTCAAGTCGTACTAGAAGTCATTATACTGATCATCCAGCTTTTGAAGCTGAGGTGCCAGGCTCCGATATGAGTGCTAGTGATTTTGGTTCCGACATGGATAATGATGAAGGTGAGGGGATCAGCATTGAACAAGTGAACAGTTTGAGGACACGTGAGAAAAAAAAATCTAGAAAGAAAGATCGTGAGGAGCAGAGTGAAAGCAATGGTTTCAGCCTGGGCAATGCATCCGAATCTATTTCAAGGATTGGAAGTGGGCTCACCATGGAAAATGATGAGCTGATATATAACCCAGATGGGGGAGACGTTGAGATGAGTGATGACGAAGAGGAGAGCGACTATAAGGAGGAAGTGAGCGATGGCAAGAATCAGAACAGAATGGAACAGCTTGATCAAGACTTCGCAGATTTCATGGGCGGCATGGAGGAAACGAGACATGTTACAGAAACCAATGATGATGGGTCAGGAAGTTTTAGGGAAAAGCAGAATTTGGACGGCAACATTGAGAGCGGAACTGTTGATGAAGGTACAGCGGAAACCGAAGAACCCAAAAAGCGTAGTGATGACAACTACGACTTTGAATATAGTGACTAGGTTACCGTAGGTGAAAGAATCTTTTGTTCTGGAATTTACTAATAGTTATTACTTTAATTATACAAGGTCTATTTTTTGTGTACATTATATGTTAGGATGTATAAGTTTGCTAATCCTTTTTGTGAAGCATTCTCTTCTTCTCTGCTGCCTTCCGTTCTAAAAGCTTCTGTTCTCTTAAATCATCAAGTTTAGCCTGCTTGAGTGTTCTCTCTTCATCTTCCAAGATTTCCGTACCAGTTGCCTCCATATCATCACTGTCATACGCGTCACGGTCGTAGTAGTTTCTTTTCTTTCCTCTATTGAAGATCTCCCAGATTTCCTCTTTGTTGTAACCTTGAGATTCCATTCGTCTTTTCTTTTCCTTGCGTATTCTGTTATGGTATTCGACGTTATCGCCGTAGCCTTCCTCTTCCTCTTCTTCATCGTCAACTATGAATCCATCATCCTCATAATCATCGTAGCCGTTACCGTAGCCATAGTCGTCGGAACCGTCGGAGTCCCCGGCATCGATACCATATGCATCTTGAGATTTGCTTCCGGAAAGTTTCCGTCTGGTACTTGGGTATGTTTGGCCTGACTGTTTAGATTGAAGCTGGGATTGTCTCTTCTTGAGTTTACTGAGTAGGTCAGGATTTGGTTGTGCCAAGGCAGGTTTTCTTCGCTGAGGGTTGGAAGATGCGCTCGACGACGCTTTGAAAGGTCGGCTCCGAGGGCCTGTTGAGATATCTAGCTTATGAGAGGCTCGAGGCGGTGGAGAGGCAGGGGGACGTGAGCCGTTTCTTCTCGATGACAAAGCCGACGAGTGAAGATATTCATTTTCTCGGCTTCGGGATTTCTGTAGTGACTGGTAGGCCTTGCTAGGCTCGTTACCGATGTGCTTTTTGGCCGTCTTGAATGGCGTTGAGGCCACCACAGGCTTTTCTATCGACTCCGCCTGTTTCATCAACTCCCGGAAAGACAGTTTCGGGGCCGCGGTACCGCTGTCAGCGGCAGGAGACGTGGAGCTTTTCAGATACGGTTTGTTCTTGAACCTCGATTTAGTTGCCACAGACACCGGAGGAGATGCCGAGCTGCTCTGGCCTGCACTTTTGGCCAGCAGGGACGCCGAAGCGGGCTTCATGGAGCGAGATCTCGCAGCAGAATCCGGCTGTGACTTTGTCCGTGACCTGCTCTTCGAGCTGCTAGCTCCTGCTTTGCGTTCCTGGAGCTTTTCTTTCTCCTTTCGTCTAGCCTCCTTCAAGCGGCGCACGGCCGGATCCTCGTCGTCAAAGTACGTTTTTGGTTGTGTTTTTCCCAGCTGGAGCGTCCGGTGTGCTGCCACTGCCGGCGATGCCTTCGAGCCGGCGGGGCTCTTTGCCTGCGAGGAGGACGCCTTCGACTGGTTTGACAGACCTGAGAGCCTGGCCTTCTCTTCCAGCTTCTTGTCCTTTGTGATCTGCGACAAGAGTGAGGCAAAGCTCATGTTCACCGACGTTTCCTAGGCCTACGAAGGGGTCTCAGCACGGTGAGCAATGGGGTGTTTCTCTTGTTGCAGAGTCCTGGGGCCCCAGATGGCCGCAAGAGCAGCGGAGCCAATGCTCATCTGTGGGACGGATGCAGATTCATGTGCCCTCCTCTCGAGCTCTCTCCGAAAACATTTTTCGGCGATTTTCCGGTCACGTGATGGGAGGGAGACAAAACGAACAACAAGACTGCAACAAAGCTGGGCCCCGGAGCCAGGGTAGAGTACAGGGGTTTTATTGATTAGAAGAGATAGACAACTAGAAAGAGAAAGAAGAAGTAGAAAGGAAGGCCGGACGGCGGGCGGCGGACAGACGCCGTGTATAAACGTCAACTGCGGAGGCTCTGTCTGGCCTGGCCGTGCTCCTGCGCCGGCCGGTCGTTCTGGCTCACTGCGCTCTCAGACAATCAAGTATCTTATTGGAATGTGGATCAACTTGATCAAGTAGCCCACAACACCCATCATGATGAAGCCCATGCCCACGGCTCTGATCAACTGCAGGTACTCCTTCTGCGAAGGCTTGGTGCACTTCTGGACGAACCGGGCGCCGTCCTTCATGAACTCCACTGGAGCGTCGGTGATTTTCTCGATGTCTGCCATAATGTCTTGTGTGTTTGCTGTTGCAGTTTGCCGCTTGCTGTGGCTGTCTCCTTGTCCTCTGTCCGTCGCCCCGTTGCCTCTCTTTCCGTGCTGAACAAGTACACGTCTCAGCTTCGTCGCTCGCTGTCCTCGACGCTACCGCTTTTTCGCAGCGGCGACGTGATTTTTTGTGCGGGGGGCCGATCGGCGTAAAATGGTTTTCTATGTGGTTCGTCTGGGGTTACACATCTGTACGGAGTTGTTGCTACAGCAGGGTCAGTTGCCGAACCCAGTCCACTCTTCTTGGTCGTCATCGGCGTCACTCTCGTCGTCCTCGTCCTCGTCGTCTTCGGCCAGGTCGTCCGCGGCCTTCCTCTTCTGCTTCGGCAAGGAGGTATCTACGCCGAGCTCGTGCAGACGTTGGTCGTCAAGAATCTCGACCCGTATCTTCGCCACCAACGCCTCGGAGTGGCCCTTGCCGGACAGGGCCTTGAAAGGCTCGAGAAGCAGGCCCACAGGAACCTTCTTCTCCTCGAGAACGGCCTTCTTCTCCTCGATCCTGTCCTCTATCGTCTTCTTCTCGTCGCCGTCCGAATCGTCGCCGGCCTCGTCCTCGTCCTCGTCGGCCGGGAACAGCACGCGGTCAATCTCGTCCACCCAGACGTCGATTATGTGGTAGGTGATCGCACGCGGAACCTGGCTGTCGTCCTTCAACACAAGCCTCTTCATCACGCTCAGATACTCGCTGACCGCCTCCTCGTCCCATTCTCTCACGTCCATCTTCACGAAACACTCTCTCACCACGTATCTCATCAACATCAGAAACTTGTCCAACCTCCACTTGTCCAACTCCCTCCACTCCTTGATCATGACCGTCCAGAACGATTCAACAAAGTTGCAAAACTGCTCGTCGACAATGCACTCGCTGAACAACTTCGCCAAGTCGTTCGCTAGCCTCTGCTGCGGTCTTGGTTTGTCGCAGAACCACATCGTGTAGAACAATCCTTTCCATAGCTTGTTGAGCTCCGTTATGCTGATATTATCTGCCTTGCTCTTGGTTGATAGAAATTTCTTTAATGTTGCAAGAGCATTCTCTCTCACCGTCCTCTTGTTGGACGCCAACTGTCTCACAAAGGCATTCGTCTTCATCCTTGATGACTTGTGTATATTTCTCGGTATGCTGGAGTTTCTCCCTTGTCCTCTCAACTTCTCATATCGCAAAACACGTATGTAAGGTTCGAATTAGAGAGAACTGAAAAATTTTGAAATGTTAGACGGAAAAAAAAATGTGGAAAGGGAAAAATCATTTTCGGGCTGTGCACAGCATCAATCTGCTATCTGATTTCTTCTCATCTCATTTCTCTTCATCTTCGTCCTTATGGCCACTGTTTCCGCCCTCGAAATCCGTCTCCGAGCCCATCACGCCAAGTGCCAAACTGCAGAAGCCAGAATCATGAGTGGGAAAAACAATGCACAAGGCCCGCCAAACAAGAAAACCTACGTCGACTCTGCAACGGGACGCAAAGTTAACGATTATATACCCAAATTTATTTCAAGCACCCCTTGGTATTACGCAAATGACGCACTAAAAATCGATTCAAAGAGTCGTAAGAGAAGAACAGATGACGAGCTTTACGAAGAGATCACAAATAAAGCGAACGATCGATTAAAACATCAAAGACTGAACCCAGACGCCGACATTATACCAAATAATGAACCAAGGCCCGGACTTGGTATAAACGATGAGTTCAAAGTAGTCGCTGTGGCAGAAGATCAGGACTTTGAGAAGAAAATAGAGGAAAGTTCGAGGAGAAAGAAAATAAGAGAGTGGAAAAAGAAGGGAAGGTGTGAAAATTGTGGTGGGAAACACCCAAAGTCCGAGTGTCTGGAAAAGCCGCACTCAGTATTGTATGCTTATAGAGGCAAAAATGATAGAACGGGTACAGCAGATAAGACCGAGTGTTTTGTTAAAGAAGACACTGATAAATGGGATACCAAGCGAGATAGATGGCGTGGTATAGATATTGATGAAGAGTATGCAAAGGTTGCTGAAAATTTGAAAAAGAAAGAAGAAAAAGTGCTGCACGATTTCAAGCAAAACAATGCTGATAGCACTGACGCTGCTCAATCTGGCGAAGGAAAAGAGGAGCCAAATGACACAGATATTTTGATCAAGGCGATGATGAAAAATAACCCATTAGCTCAAGATCCCCTCAACCCGACAATCTCTCGCGTTCTTGACGAAAAGCCGAGATATCTTGAAGTTATCAAAACTGGTGAGCAATTGAGATACAATCCTAAATCAAGAGTTTACAAGGATCTGAAAGAAGGTTATTTGAATGAGCGTGGACAATTCATACCTTATTTGACGGGTGAGGCAGCTGAGTTTGAGAAGATGAAAAAATTTGCTAGAACAGTTCAATCGGAACAGAAAAAGAAATGGGTCGAAGATAGAGATAGTGTTCATGCGGTCACTGAAAAGCAATATGCAACAGAGATATCACCTACTACTGCAATGCTAAAGATGAAAGAAAAGGAAGAAAGGGATAAGATTGTTAGAGAAGCTAAGCGTAAAGAACTACTCGAAAAATATGGAGCCTTATAAACGGTAAACCATGTTCAATTCTACCTATGCAATATGAATGTCTCTACCCTTTTCACCTCTCCATCGAGAATAGCCCTTTCAATAAATGTGTTCAATTGTGGAGTTGGAGGACAGCATATTCTCAAGTGGTCGATAAAAAGTTTCCCCTTTATCGACAAAAAGAGCACCATATAATTTTGATAACTCAAATATTCACTTGAGATTTCAAAAAGTTTCAGCCTCATTGGCCTAGAAAGCATGGCAATATCAAACATCATTGTAGAAAAAATCGAAGAATTGATTTTATCATCCGAAAGTTTGAATTTCTCTAGGTGTGGCATTGTCTCTAGTAAAGCTTTTAAGTTGAAATCTGGTCTTTCATTTGTCATAGCATGGAATGGTTCAGGGTATGTTAGATAAGGTCTGTCGCAAATATAAAGATTATTCAAAGTAGCTTTAGTACACTCAAAAAAACAGTTTAATTCGGTCATGCTAACTGACGAGCGTTCGAAGGCTAGCGTTTTCAATGAAGCAAACGGTTTGCACTCAAGTAATTCCAATGGTATATCGGAACTTCTACTACTTATTGAACAACTTTCAAATTCAAGTTCCTCCAAGCTCTCCAAATAATCACTTAATTTATTGCCCTCATCCAAAAAGTCCCTTAGAAACCCATTTATTGAGGCCTTATAAAGTTTCAAATGCTTCAATCTCCAAGAGTTACTCGTAAATTTGGTGAGGATGGGACGCAAAGTTGACTCTAAGATTAGCTTTTGCAAATTTGGAGCATCTAGAAATCTGGGGAAGTCGATCATTGTTTCCACAGATTCTGTTACCCTACAGCAAAGGTCAAGTTGCTCTAATTTTGGTAGTTTCACTTTTGTCTTGAAGACTAATAAACGACTCCGGGTTCGTGGAAGATCAACTTTAATAGAAAGTATTTTCAAGTTCGAGGAAAAAGATAGTATGGAGGGTACCACGCCAAGTGCACTATGCTTCTTCAAGACGTTCATCTGTAACTGTATAAGATTTTGAAAAAGGTCTGACTTGGATTCTTTTATCATTTTGGTAAACGGAACTTTGTAGTCATCTCCTATTGTATACTCTAAGCATTTACATTTAAGCTTAGAAGCTAGAAGTAATTTAAAGATTCTCCGATGCTCATATATGTCATCCACATTTATTCTAATGTTATCAACAGTTATCTCTGATATCGGTACTTTTTGGTCAAACAATCTGAGGTATGATTCAAGTGAATGATAGGTCATGTATCTTTGGAACTTGAATATTCCTATCAAATATGGTGACTCTAGAATGGTCATCCTCCAGCTTTTACAGACTGAAAGCAAGTTATTCAAATCATAAGGAGTCAACAACTTAAAAATCTCCGATAAGATTTCAATTGGAAGCTGTTTCATCAAATTCTGAGCTTCGATTTTATCATTGTTGGAGCTTTCTTTCATCAGTAGGTACGTTTTTCTGTCTTTTTTAATCATTTCACCCCGTCGGCGCATACTTTTGAATATTTTAGTGTTAATTCCATTTTCATCCAATCTACCCTGAAGCTCGGAAGCCGAGAGATATACTTCTAATGCAAGTTTCTCGTTGGGTAAGATGTCGGCATGAAAGAAAAAGAGTTTATTCAATATTCGTAAGCTATCAGGCTCTATCTCTCTTGCTTTATTTAGCGCAGCAAGAGCTTTGTCGTAATTTTTATTGGAAATGCATGATCTGGCTAGACTTTCTAGGGTAGGAATATGTATTGGATGAATAGATTTTGTCTTGTTATGAAAGTTCTCGGACAAGGAAAGGGTATCCTCAAAAATAAACTGCGCTGCAGTAGTCAATCCCGAGTCAAGGGCTGTGATCCCATCAATATAGAGCTCGAATGTTTCATCTTTGATCATTATCAATCAAAAGATGTAGTTTGTATGGAATAATAACAAGGAAACGCAACTGATTGTAAACTGTACATCCTAGATAACGAGTGTGGATGGATAAGACTTCATGAACACATATGCTACTGTGTATTACGTAATATTACAAAAGATAACGGTTCAACATGCATGTAAACTATAAAACGACCCGATCACTCATTTTGTAATCTATAGACCTACACATTTTGTTGTCAAGAAGGTACTTCACTGTCCCAGGACTCACCTCGCAATACTGAATAACAAGTTTATCCAACTTGAGATTGTATGGTTTCCTAAATAGTTGAATCAAACTATTGTCTTCAACCTTATTCATGGAAAGGTTTAAATAAAATAGTTTGTCAAAAAGATGGTTTGTCATTGCCTCCTTAGATAATTCACTCAACGTCAATTGATTGAATCCAGGACATCCAACAATTGATAACTCTTCTATGTGGGGTACTTTTGCTATTAGGTTTGAAATATTTGCATATTCGTAAGGGGTTTGTGTGGAGCTGGGGTTGGTCAGTCTGTTTTGAAAAACTATATATCTGTTCAAGACTAAATGTAAACTCTTTATTTGGCAAAGCGAGGCTAGAAGAATATCCTCTAGCATTTTGGGAGTTATGCAGCTGTTTCTAAGCATTAGAACACTCAAGTTTGAAAGTAGCTTAGAATTCAGAAGCTCATTCCTCCAGTCTCGATGTGATGAATCCATTGTGGTCTCTGTTTCAACAATTTTCAGTTCTCTCAAAGTACTTAGTGGTTCGGTGTTTCCCAGCATCGCATCCAGCAGAGATGCAATTGAAATCCCAGGCACAGAGTCAAGCTCTATAGTTTCAATATGAGGGTTGAGAATTTTCTTCAATGCTTTTTGACTCAGTTTGACACGTGAAACCGTTAGATGCCTTAATTTTGGAAAGACGTTTTGTCCTAGAAAATTATTCATCACGGTATCGTTGAAAATGCTATTAGCTGCTTCTTTCTCAACAGACACACTGAGCAGGTGTAATTTTGCAAATCTTACGGCATTCTGTTGCACCAACTTCGATCTTGAGTCGAATTTGGGTATGATCAACACCAATTTTTCAAGGTTTTCACAGCGGCCTAATATATCCAACAAAGACACGGTCTCGTTCACAAAAAGAGGAACCCGTAGATTCAAACTCTTTGTATGTGAAAAAGTTACCTTACCATTTTTGATGATCGGGTTCAAGCCAAAAAGATTCGTGGAATTGAGATTGATTTTGAGGCTTTCAATAATCAACTTCTTACTAAAGAAAAGTTGTAGGATGCTCTTTTCAACCGATTCATGGGGCTCGATGTTAACAAATTTCAAAAATACTCTGCCGTTGTTATGCCGATAAATCTTGCCTAGAAAATTGAAAAACTCGGTGAGCTCTTGTTTCCTGATGTTTTTCTTCAAATGAAAGCTCTCAAAAATGCGTGCCGTGCTTGTCAAGGTCTCATTCCAATGGCTTGACACACATAGACATCGTAGATTGAAAGGGAGAGGGAATTGAGCAAAAATGTTGCATAACAGCTCGAAGGGGAGGACCTTCAGCGGATCGTTATCTTTAGCCTCAACGTGCTGTGAGCCAGGCATACCCTCCTCAACACTTTCCGTGCCGCTCTGAAGTGAGTTTTTCGACTTTTGCAATTCATCTTTCAGTTGCCGATATAAAGTCTCGTTAACGACAAACTTCTTTGCAGGATCATTCTTTGCCTCTCTGATCTTCAGGTAGCCCTTCCACAGAATGTCATAAGCCCTTCGATCGTTCCTTAGGAGTAGATGGATCTTGCTCAAACGTAGGTATCCCTTACAGCTGAGCGGTTGCAGACTCACCATCACCCGTGCATACCTCAGCGCTTTCTCCAGATTGTCCACCTTCAGGTAGGCGGCAGAGAGAAAATCTAAAGCGTTGACGTAGTTCTTGTTGTAGCAGACCTTCTCGTCGCCTTTTCTTCCTGTTTTTCTCTTAGCATTCCTCTCTAGCCGCATCCGATTCTTGTTGAACTCATCCTGGTACGCGTGGACAACCGCAACAAACACGTCTATCGAGCCGTGGTAATCCTGTCTCTTGAAGAGTTGTATCCCTTTTTTCAGATTTCGTTCTTCTGCGTCCATTGACTGTGTAGGAAATGCCAACGGTAGCTGCAGAAACCGCTCCGAGCCAACATTAGGCATTACCAAACCCCAAAAACATGTCTGATTTTTAAAATGGTTCCCAAACAAGACAAATCTCAGATCACGTGACTTAGATTTAAAATTTTTAGCTATTTTGAGAAGAAAATGACAATGTATTCAAAAAAAGTACAAAATGTAGAGATAAAGAAGATGCTAAAATTACCATGGTGTCCCTCAGGGATGCTGTTCTGACAGATAAACTCTCCAGATACATTTGCACAGGCTGCAATAACAATAAAAATTTTCTTTGATCAGCCTAGCATCACAACTGGTTGGGGCCGACCTGCTTTTCCAGTTTGCTTCCACTCAAGCATCAACAACACGGCGGCTGTCGCAAACACGGCACTCACCGCGGCAGGAAAGCCAAAAAACCGTTCTTATCGAACAGTCAACAGGGGGTGCTGCTCCGAGGATAAAGTAGATACTTCTGAGTGTACGCAAGCTGCTTGCTGACGTTCTGAAGCGGTCATTCAAACACATTTTTAGTTTTGTGTTCTTAGAGAAGCTTCATAAAATACTGTAAATAGTTTTGTTTCAGAAAATGGTGTCGTCATATCCCTACCCAAACCCTACGAAGTCCTTCTGGATTGAGGAAGGACCTCACACCTTAAAGGAACATCGCACAACAGATGAGCTTCCAACAGAGATTGATGTGGTGATAATTGGCTCTGGCTACAGCGGTACCTCGGTGGCTTGCGGACTGCTGCTGAGCAAGACCTCTCTTTTCAAGAAAAGACCAAGTGTGGTCATGCTGGAAGCAAGAGACGTATGTTCTGGTGCTACAGGCCGGAATGGCGGCCACATCCGCAGCTTTTACCACAGCGGACATAAGCATTTTGTTGATCAGGTTGGCGAGAAGAAGGCGGCAGAGATGGTGATGTTTGAACATGACGAGTTGAGTAAAGTCGAGAAGCTTGTCAAAAAGTACAAAATAGATTGCAACTTCGATCCACGCTTATCTTGCCAAACGGTTGACGACCCAAGAGTGTACCAGTCGTCTCTGGACAATTACTACGCTTTTCAGAATAACAAGTATATTCCTCAAAGTATCAAGGACTGTGTTAAGATCCGCTTTGTTCCAGAGGCAGATGAAGTCTCGGAACACAAAGCCGGGCCGTTCTGCATTACTGCTCCAACGTGCTCCATTTGGCCTTACAAACTGATCACTTCCTTACTTCGCAGATGCATAGATACCGGATTGAATCTTCAGACTTACACTATGGTGGAAAACCTCAAGCCTACTTGCGATGGCGGGTGGATTGTTTCGACCTCAAGAGGCCCAATCAAGTGTAAGAAGGTGGTATGTGCCACAAATGCGTGGACACGGGCTCTTTTGCCGGAATTCAAGGACAAGATTGTTCCTGTCAAAGGTGTTGTTTCACACATCAAGCCAATTTCAAAAAATCCTGGTAAGCTCAGTTTCAACTACTACCATACATTCCCTATCGAAAGTGATTATGTCACAGCGCACACGGATATGTCAATGATTGCCGGCGGTGGTGGACCAACTTACCTGACTTATCCGAACAGTGCCGACATGTTCAACAACTGCGATGACACATATGCCCCCGAGGATACCCTTGACTACTTCAAAGACTACCCAAATAAGTACTACCCCGAGTTTGCAAAGGGGTTGAAATTTGTCAACGATTATACCTGGACTGGCTGCATGGCATACTCAAATGATGAGTTTCCATTTGTTGGTGATATGTCTCCATTTGGGCGTAAAAATCTTTACATTATTGCTGGGTTCACTGGACATGGAATGCCACGAATTTGGAGTTGCGGGGAGTACGTCTCTGGACTAGTCGACGGATCAAAGAGAGGGCGTATTCCTGAAGTTTTTAAAAATACTATAGACAGAATGTATTCAAGCAATTTCGAACTTTTCAACGAAATAGCCGGCTATGACGTTGCTAATAGAGGAAAGTTCAAATTGTGAAAATCATTTCATGTTTACAATGTTAAGGCTGGCGTGTCAACTCGAGTTTGGATTTGAATTAACTTTTTACACTTTGTTATTGATTTTAGAGGTAGATTTATAATAGTATGAAGATAGAGATAGCTTTTTTTTGTTACACTTGAGTCAACTCGCTTAAGCTTGAGAGACTTCACCCTTAACAACAACGTCACCAGATCTACCAGTCAAACGCATTTTTCCGTCTCTGTCGATTTGAACAATGACATCAACCTTCTTTCCCGATTCAGCGCCCTTCAAAACCATCTTGCCAAGTAAAGTACCTGGAACGTATTCAACTTCCCTGATGACTTCCGGTTCTTCTTCCTCTTCGTCTTCTTCATCATCAGAATACTGTTCTGGTTCGACAACAGTCTCCTTGATGGTACGCTTACCTTCGTAAAATTCAATTTCAGCGTTGTCGGATGCAGCGATGAAAGAAATGGACTTCTTAATTGGGTATGCAGTTTCTCTTGGCAAAATGGTGGTAAATTTACCTTCGGCATCTTTGATACCAATTGGAGCTTGAATGTGCTCGGTGTTGACAACAACCGGTTCTAATGATTCCTTGATTTCTTCAGCATCGAAACCTGCAATCAAAGAAGCTTGAATTGCTGCACCTCTACAATTCAACTCATTTGGATTTGGCAACTTGGAGTCGATGGCAGGTGCATAAATTTCAGTAGATTCTGGGAAAACAAGTGCTAGGGTGTTTGCGACCTTTGGAATATTAGATGTACCACCGACCAACAAGACGGATTCGATGTCCAAAGTTTCCAATCCTGCCTTCTTGACCAATGATTCGATGAATTGTGTCATTTCAGAAAAGACTTTTCTACCAACCAATTCGAATCTCAATCTGTTGATAGAAGACATGTAGTCAAAACCATCAGAGAGGGAGTCAACAGAGACATTTGCAGTTTGGACATTAGACAATGTCTTTTTGGTAATCGTAGCAGCAGCTGATAATTTAGAATAAGATTTTTCAGTTTTCTTTGCATCGGCTTTGAATTTCTTTTGGAAGTCAGCAGCAAAGAAGTCAATCAAAGATTGATCCAATTCAGCACCACCCAACTTTGTGCTATGTTCAGTTGCTAGCAAGGTCATGATACCACCTCTGACAGCAACGACAGCGGCATCTGATCTAATACCACCGAAGTCAGCAACAACATAAAGCTTATCTTCTAAAAGCTGTTCCTTGTTGGACAAGTGTGCCAATAATGCGGCAGATGGTTCGTTTATCAACTGGGAAACCTTCAGTCCTGCATCTGCTGCGATTTTGACAAGGTTTTCTTTTTGAGTTTCGGAGAAATTGGTTGGAACTGTGATGACGGTACTTTCAATAGACTGTCCCAAATAGTCTTCAGCTGCGTTCTTGATTTGCTTGAGATGTCTTTTCACGATTTCGTCGATGGAAAGCTTGTTACCGTTGATTTCGTATCCAACCTTACCGTTGAATTCAACTGGATGAGCAGCGTACTTGGAGTATTCATCGTTGATATCAGAGAATGGAACACCAATGAAGTCTCTGAAGTTGACAATTGTGCTACGTGGGTTTCTGACAAGTTGTGCAAGTGCTTGCTGACCGTGATATTCGTCACCATCGACGTAGGATAATGCAGAGGAGATGAATCTTTCACCATCTGGGTTTGCAATAACGTCAACCTTGCCGTCCTTGATGGTTGCAAAAGAAGTGCTGGAGTTACCAAAAGCAATACCGATAGTGGCCATTTTGGTTGTTATGATGTATTTTCTATTTTGAATAAAGCTTTGCTGTTCTTGAAATGCACGTCTTTCCTAAATGGCGGACTTCCCCAGGTTCCTTCTCTCATACTTCACTGCTGCAAAGAAAAATTTTTAACCCATGAAAGTTCACGAGTTTCCAGGAAGAATAGAAAAAATGGCGGTGATTACATCAGCAAAATGTGTGAGTTGATGAGGTTGTTTAACGACAAAGCTACACTCTTTTTTATATTAACTCTTGTTTAATTATTTATATTACAAACCTATTGAAAAGCAGTCTTCGTCACACGATAATCACCAGTATGAGTAATGCGAACAGAGCATTGAGGAACATTGACGAAAGGAAATGTGCTGATTTGTTCTCGACACTTTTGTAACTCCCAGAATAATTTTTGAATTGACGAAAGTGACTATTATTTTGGCCCAAATCGTCGTAGTCTGGATCTAGAGAAGCGGCCACAATTTTTGTGTTGTTATATTCACTGGTAATACGAGGGCGCTTAGGTTTGGTGTTTGCCATAGGAAGGGCTAATTCGACTGCATATTTCTCAACAAAGTCGTGACTGTCCTGGAAATAATAGTAGTCATCATCATCACAATCATCATCATCATCAAAATCGTCGTCGTCACAATCATCTTCATTCTTTGGAGGAACAGGATGGTGATGAGGGTAGTCGGGATGTTCATCATCGTCACAAGGCTCTTTTTCCTCCCACCTGGTAGCAGTCATTGTTTTTGTAGTTGTTTTAGCAGTTGTTTTAGTCTTAGTAGTGATAGTGGAAGAGGTGCTTGTCGTAATGTCGGTTGTCGTAGTTGTTGTCGTTGTTTTTGATACTTCGCTCTTGCTTGAGCTAGAGCTAGTTTTGCTACTACTAGATGCTGGGATTGTAGGGCATGTTATCCCGAACCTGGTCACCGCATGGCATATTCTAGAAACCAACATAAGTCGACTAGTTGTCGTCATCAATGTTGTCATGGTTGTCTCCATGGTAAGTGTTCTTCGGCCCGGGATATATTCTGCCTCAACCAGGGGAACATCCTGCTTGAGAATGGGCAGGTCTGTCAGCATGTATGGACGGTTAACTGTCTTTGTCGTTGTGAAAGTTTCCCATTGCATTAAAGTTTTCTTGCCAACAGTTTCAGTCGTCACTGTAACTTCCACAAGCAAGTCCGTCACCGAGGCAACGCTTTTCACTAGTGTGGTTGAGGTAGACACACTAGTTTGTGTCTTTGTTGTGGTAACGGTGCCCAACGACTTGCTGACTTCGGTCTTCGTTACCGTACTATGGATGGTGGTAGGTTTATTTGTCACCCTGAACAAAGTCTTGAGCAAGGTGATGGTAGCAAAGCCAACATCCATCTCAGAGTCAGCTTCTTTGATAAGGCGGCCACTAGAGGTAAGTAGTGTTCTACTTTTTTCTACTCTATTTCCCATCTGGTTTGTTTTTCTGGCTCCTCCGACTTGAACAAGAGAGGGGCTGCGGTTACTTTGCAAACGTGCCTGTTTAGGCACGGCCTTTAACCGGTCCTCTGTGGTGGAAAGTAGCTTTTCCTTGAGAAGATGCTTGTTTTTGAGCTGCTGTTCGATACGGATTAGAAGCTCAAAGCAATCAGTTTCCGGATCGGCTGCCACGGCTTGCTTTCCCTGGGCCGAGTTCACCAGAACCACACAAGTCTGCGGGTACCTTCCAGACCCTATTTCGCTCTGGAGATTGTCAAATAGGGTGTCATGGGATTCGGGAGAGCACAATTCTATGGCCTGGCTTGCAAAGTCGCTCAAGCGATAGTCAAACCTTCCACCTGCCTTTGCCTTGGCTCTGGCCTTGGCGTCTGCCTTGGCTTCTGCCTTGGCATGTTTTTCTTTGCTCGTGGTACCGAAACTGCCGACATCTGTAAGCAACGTTGTCAGGATCTGTCTGAGGTCCTCTACGCATTCTTCAAAAGAGTATGGAACAGTGTATTTCAAATTATGCAGGACGGGTAAAGAGAGTACACTGTTTTTGGTGTCTGTTGTGCTCTCTCCTGTGCTATCCCCGTCTCCAAAAATGTTGGATGCGGCCGTACGGTGTTTACTGTTGCTACCGACTTTCACTCTGGCGACACTACTACTGCTACTGCTACTGATGCCGCTGCTCCCACTACTGCTATCGACGTCTCCGCCGAGCCCGACGCTGCTGGCCCCGTTTGTTGACTTCGGCTTCCAAAAACCGGCGTCGGCGCCTGGCAAGGAGCACCACACCAGAAGTAAGGCCAGCTCGAGCAGCAAAATGAGTTTCTTCATAAGTGAGAAATTAGTTGTGTATTTCTTCTACACAGACAGATGCCCGTCTTGCAGGTCTGCCAGGATCCGAGACGCAGAGATAGACTGGCTCCACCCACCAACCGGCACGCAAATACAGCAGATAAGAGCAAACCAGCTCTCAGAGCTGACGTGAGGTCAGAGCGTTATCCAGCCAGCCGGAGATCACCACGGGGAGCAGAGCAGGCCAGACCAGGCAAGTGTCCCCGTTCTCGGTATAAACACATTGGGCCGGTTATCGGCAACTATATAGAGATACACAGTGTTCCGGCCGAAACACGGGGAGCGTCCGCAAGGGGAATGCCGGCATGTGCACGACGCGGTGGGAGGCGCGGTGGCCTCGAAAGAGGACACCGCCTGGGGACAGTACAACATAACACCGCACGGCAGCCGAAAGCCTCTCTGTTAATGTCCCCTCCTCTGCAAGAGGTGTTTTTGCCTCTCATCTAATTAGCAGCTGCATTTTCGTTCGATATCTGCTGTTGTTGCTGCTGTTGTTGCTGCTGTTGTTGCTGCTGTTGTTGCTGCTGCTTCTGCCGTTGCTTCCGCTTCTGCTTTGCCTCGAACTCGTGCCACTCGCCCTTGACGGTGTCCAAAAAGAGTAGCGGACACATACGAGGCTCCTCGCTGAAGTAGGGGTGCTTGAGGGCGTCTGCAGCAGCTAGTCTTTTCTTTGGGTTAAGCTGCAATAAGGACGTAGCGAGGTTGTAGCATTCCGGCGTTAGCAGCGCTCCGAATTTGGCCTTAAACCGGAACTCGGTTCGGTAGTTCGGCCGCAAAATCTCGAACCACGGCAACTTGTATGCGTCCGGCCAGTCCTCAGTGGAAATTGTGCCCATGATGTCATAAACCTTCCAGAGCTGGTCGATCTCGTTTGTACCCTGAAATATGGCCCTCCTTGTGAAGAGCTCCATCAATATGCAGCCGACCCCCCAGATGTCGACCTCCCGGCTGTAGTCTGTGGAGCCGAGCAAGATTTCTGGAGGCCGGTACCAGAGCGTGATGACCCTGTTGGTGTAGTTCGGCGACACCAAGTCCTCGTTGATGTTCTTCATCTTGCGGGCCAACCCGAAGTCGGTGATCTTTAAGACGCCCTCGTTGTTGATCAAGATGTTGGAGCCCTTGATGTCCCGATGAATAACGCGCTTGGCGTGCAAGTACTCCACTCCCTTCAAAAGTTGATGGAAGATGTTCTTCTTCTCACCGAGCGAGATCTGGATGTTCCCTTGCTGCAAGATCCCGCTCAAGTCGTGGTTCATGTACGGGAACACCATGAACACCTGGTTTTTCTCCAACATGATTTCTGAGAGTCCAACAATATTCTCGTGGTCAAATGACTGCAACAACCCGATCTCCCGGTGCGAGGTGATGGGAAAACCTTCTCTTTCGGCCTCGAGCCGCAACTTTTTCAACGCAACCAACTCGTTCGTGATTAGGTTCCTCCCCTTGTACACCTTACCGTAAGTGCCTTCGCCCACTTGCTGGATTCTCTCGTGGACGTGTCCCACAACGCTGCACTTGACCATGTATTTGAAGCTTACGACAGAACTAGGCTTTGCTGGTCCTGGTGCTGCCTCTTTCCCTCTGCCATTCGTCCTTGGCTCCGACGACGCTATCCTCGGTTCCGTGCCTCCAGATAGCTTCAAGAATATGTCTTCTTCTTCCTCTTCAAAGTCCCCTCCAAGTGCAGGTGCAGGACCAGGGCCACCTTCTCGTCCGGGTTTGCCTGATCTTTCGTAGTAGCTATAGTAAGGGTCTGCGTTTTTGCCCTTGCCCTTCGGTTGGGAGTACATCGTCGACGCATCGCGTGGTCGCTTGTACTGGCTCGACAAGCCAGTGCCCGATGCCGAGCCCGAGCCGGGTCCAGCCTCCTCGTAGGGCCTCTTTGGGTAGTACCCTGCCTCTGCTGGTTCCCCCTGCATGCTCTTCGGGCCCGTGGGCAACTTTCCTCGTTTCTGCGGCGGCTCCTGACCCCCTCCCTTTCTGTAGTAGCTGCCTGCGTATTCCGAGGTTAATTCCTCTTCTGGGTAGTCGTAGTAGGCTCTCTGTCGCCCACTCTGCTGCTCGCCATAGTACCTGCTTTCATAGCGGTGGGAGTTTCTTCCTCTCGTCCCTCTTCTGGACATTTGATGGACAGGTGCTGGTGGGTGCTGATGGGTTGTATCTGACTTTACAGCTTCTGTGTTGCCTCTATTTGTGTCCGCCCTCTCATGTCGGCTTCTATTAGCGCTAAATCTTCTGTTGCACCTGAAAAAAATAGGAGTGCTTTTTTTCCTCACCACTTTCTGGCGCGTGGGGAAAAGCTGAGTTCACGGTTAGACGGATTCATGTAGCCAACGCCAACTCCAATTCCAACTCCCGGTTCGAGCCACTCTTTTGTAAGCACCACCATCTCTACATGCACACCACATTTGCTACGGCTTCCACAAACCCGACACAGACGGCTCCAGAGTGTAGTTCGGGACCCTGATTTTCGTAGGACTCTGCAAACCCCGCCTGCTGGCCCAAATCAGAAAGAACAAGTACTAACCCCGAAAACAAAACAAAAACATCGAATTGCCACTCCCTGGTCCCACTTTCTTCATTTCCTCCCTTCCTTTCCTCCCTTCCGCTCTACTTCCGCAGCCTTTGGTCTTTGAAGCGCACCAGCGCTCTCTCTCGATTCCGACGGATCGCCGGCAACGTCACCCAAGCAGCAGGGAAGCCTGCTGGCCATGCAGCACGATGGTGGCCTAGCTGAGCCTGCTAAAGCAAAAGAAGACCACATTCCAGAGGCGCCGATCCTTGGTCTATTGGGACCTCCCCGATTAGGCAGCCGCCCTCCTGCTCTTTTAGGTTCCCTTCCCTCTCCTTCCTCCAGGCGACGATCCCGGAATTAGTTGACCGCGTTTGTACGTCACTCTTACCCTTTTGCGGCTGAAAGAACAAAGGCTGCAGGACATACGGAAAAACTCGACTCCAGCGACATGGCAACCACATATGTAGTAACAGCAAAGTAGACCACCGCATGACACATGCGCCGATCCTCGCTACATGAACAACGGCGGACTTGCCGTAGGCGCTCCGTAAATTACAGCTGCAGCATGTCAAATAACAGAGGGGGTGCTGATAACAACCCGGGCGCCAGTAGCGCGCCAGCCAATCACCGAGCAGCCGCTCGGTGACACGCCGGCAGAAACAGAAGCGTTATTCTAGCGCTGACCAGCGGGCTCTCCGCCCCCGTCTCTGTTGACCACCCACTCACCTATTCACGCGGGCTTGCATACGCAGGTAGAAAAAAAGGAAGGAGGTGGCAGCCAGCTGCAGACAGATTGCACGCAGGGGAGGCAAATTCACTGCTGCTTTTCCTCTCGTTCGTCCCGCGTGTCCTCCTCGGCCCGCGTGGTGCCCGAGTTGCGGATCACCGGCTCGAGCGAGACAGGCACACCCTCTAAAGCGAGAGATAGCTGACACCAAACTGCGACTAGGGGGAGGGAACAGGGGAAAGAAGGTAGGGGATCTTCTGTGCTACAGTAGTCCGCTGTGCTGCACTGTGCCGCGCAGTGCAGTGCTTCTTTCCGTCGTGTACACAGGCGCAGCAGGCTGGGCGTGGTCCAATAAGGTTTCAGTTTCAGGTTCCACTTGCCCCGTGGCGAAAGACACAGGCTGGCACGCCTGCTGGCAGGCTTTGTCACACACGCACAGTGTGTACGGTGCGCACCAAAGGCACATGCACTAGTCGGCTCATGCCTCACCGGAAACGGGTGCTAGTCGTTAGGGGGCAATAAGGTTCCAGAATGCCCCTTTTGGCAAACCCGAACGCCGGCATCTAGACCCTTTCCCCGCTTGGCATTTGGACGCGCAAACAGCGGAGGCTTGTCGGCAACGGAGGCCCGCATACCCAACCACTTGCCTGCGGGTGCAGTTGCGGGTGCACTTGCGCGTGCGCATGCACGAGCGAGTGAGCCAATCCCCTCGAGGTTTGCGAGAAGGGGCCGGGAGCGCCCGCACAGTTGCCGCGGACGCCGTGGATGCTGCGCGGCGGGCTATCACGGGTAGTGAGCTTACCGGATCGATTATGCAGCACCACGCACGAATTAAGCCTTTCCCTGGTGCTCGTCCTTCCCGACTTAGTTTGGCCTAGTCCCGCCTTCCGCTTTCGTTCCCGATGCGCCGCCGAAAGTTGAATCTTCTTTCAAAGTTTCTCTTTTTTTTTCGAACTAGCTGCAATCCCTAACCCGTGCCGCACTATTAGTCGCACATCCACCTTCATGCAAGTATTAATTACTGCTACATGACGCATGCACGCTTCTTTTGGCACTAGAAACGCGTTTCAATTTCAGGCAAAAATTATAGTCGGACATGCTTGAACGTGTGAAGTGGCATGCTGGCACTGGTAGGCCAGACCCTAGTTGCCATCCGTCTGTAGAGAGCCTGGTCAAAGGCTTGCCCCCAAAAGTCCAACCCTGCTTAGAGTTCAAGATGCCTCATCAACTAGCAGTTTCTAGAGATCCCTTTCACTTTTACTTTCGCTCTAACTTACAGTGTTCTATTTTATTCTATGTTGTATTATATTACATTATGTATTTTATTTTTATTTTTATTATTATTTTGTCTCAATTCCCTTTTTCTGCCTTTCTTTTTTTTTGTTTCCCTTTAGTTTCTGGTCCGATACCACGCTTGCGTGGTCGACCTCCGCTATTAATTATTATACAAATTTCGTACCTGATACATAAACCGTGTCTTTTCTTTTTCTTTCTTTTTTTCGTACTACTGCGGTGTTGATTCACCGATGAGACTGTTTACTTATTAGTTGGGTCTAATCCACTTTTTGTTCTTTACTAGTCTGCCCCCTTTTTCCCGTTTCCCTTCGCTTAGCCGGGCTTCAACGCGTGAACGCCGCAACTACCCTTACTCTTCCGGGCACCTTGCTACTGTTACCAAGATCTCTGCCACCATTTTTACCATATTCTTCTGATTTTCTAGCGATAGATACTCACAGCTCTTGCAGCTCACTTCGGCCCATATTTTTTTAGCAGAAATGAGCTACGGTGACGCACATGCCAAATGGCATGCATTCAAATACAAAGATCCTTTTGCGGCAGATGAATTCTACATGTGCAACAAAGAAACCAAGACCTGTTGTAGGCCCAACTGTGACGTGAATCCTAACAATGAGGCTCCAGATAACATCACATTTGTAAATTCAACGGAGAATGCTGTAGGTAAAGGTTACCAACTATGCCAGCATTGCTTACCCAACCTTGAGTTAAGATCCGGCTTCGTTGAAAACGAGAATTTTGTCGTGCTCAATCTCGATTTGCTACTAGATACAATGAAGTATGTGAACGAAAGCATAGGGTTCGTACCACCTTTATTGGACAACAATGACAGCCTACTTGTCAGCAAGATAGCAAGCATAAGCAATACAAAGCTTAAAAAGAGACTTTTGAAAGTGGATGACTCTGAGGGGGAGAGTACCAACGCGGCGATCAAAGCAACTCTTTCAAAAGGAGACATGGAGCAGTTGAAAAGAATAGATATGGCATGTAGACACATTACTTTAGCTGCACAATCAACTGTCTTTGGAGTCCATTTTATCCACGGCCATAGAGAGGATATATTAGACAACAAAATTTTCAGCAAGGTTGAATCTGAAAATTTTGAAAATATGCAAGAAAGGTTCCAATCTTCAAACGGGAATGAACCTGGTAGCCCAAATGGAGACAACGAGGAACTCCAATGGGCACCTGATATCGTGAAAAAGGGTTGCTATTGGATGCAACACCGCAAGCTGAGAACTAAAAGACGCAGAGGCGGTGTTTTGGGCTTTAAAGAACTTGCAGCAAAATCGCGAATAAGTCCGTGGCATTTTTATCGCACTTTCAAGGGTATGACCGGTGTGACACCTAAGGAATATGGTGATAGATGTTTCCAGTTTCTATATTCCCACCGGAAAGAATGCTGTCAAGCTCTAAATAACCCCGAGTCAATTGTGATCAATGCCAAACTGGCAAATCCTTCCTTGATCTCCAACAAAAGTGGCGCAACCTTTTCTAAATCTTCATCAGTCTTAACTAATAGCATACCTGCTGCTACAACTTTATTCGAGAAGGAAGAAGCTGTTAAATTAGAGTCATTGGAATGTGAAACATACTCAAGCTCTCCTTTATCTTCTCTTGGTGACTCAAACAATGCTGGTTCATTGTATGCCTCTACACAGATACTACCTTTGAATTTCTTGGATAGCAAGAGCAGGAACTCAGAACTACCCACATGCACATCTCCGACTGATCTTGGCTTCATGAGTCGTGGGAGTCCAACTTATAGCAAAAGCTTTTTGCTCAAAGATACAATTCAACTCCAAGAGTTGACTCAAAATCAACTTCCCCAACCTTTATACCCTGACACGGACTTCTCCCCAAGCAATACTTTTGACTTGGTCTATGAAACTCCGGAAACAGCGACAGAGGAATTAACACAATTCAAGTGCTACTATTCAGGCAATCAGTACATGGATGATGCCCTCAATTTAGCTTTAGACGACAATACGTTTGGCCTTCCCAATGTCACAGGCGCTTTCACGGAACTACAAAAGTTTCACACACAAAGTGGTGAACTTTTTGATGTGTTTGAAATCAGTCAACCATTTCTATTGAAGCAATTACAATTGCAAAATGTCCTTGAAAAGAGGTACATCGAGAAAGGATTTTTAGTTGACGACGAATCAAGTTTTGACCCTTTCGGTTCTGATTTTGGCACCGTCATAAACGACTGAATAGATATATATAGACTCGGCTGTTTGTATAATCACATTCATCTTTCTCTCACATTTACTACATATTAACGGCATCTTTTTTTATGGTTTCGATTAGCTTTTTTATATTTTCAAACAAAAAATTGGGTTTACTTTTTATTCTAATTTTTGGTACCACACACAAGTTGCTCTCTGCTATTACTCCAGTAAGTAACTCAACCACGGGTGCCCTAAATCTTCAGGCTTGGCCCATATCAGCTAAAAAAATTTGTGATTACGTAAACCAATGACTGTTTACGGATTTTTGCTATTTTTGCTATTTTTTTTGATAAAAATGATATTTTATTTTACACATGACTGAAGCAAATTTTTACACTAATTAGGAACCTTATCTGTTCGATATCTTAAACCACACTTCTTGGCACCTCATCAATAGCGAACAATATCCTTATTACTTGTTACTTAAGCTTTGCCCCAACCTTATGCTGATTACTATCATATGATGAAACCAAACACGAATACCATGGCTGATTTCGAAAATCTCAAAGAAGTTGGTACGGAGGCTACTCAAAAGCCAAATGCAAGTGCAAACCAGAACAATGGAGACAACAGCAACGGTAAAAAATCAAGACCGGCATTAGTAGTAGAAAAGCCCGTAGTGGGATCGATTGATCATTTGGCAATCAGTAAATCTCTGGGATACCAAATATTCCGGAAAACAAGGAGAAATGCATGGAATGCTGATGAGGACAAATGTTTGAAAGAGTTGTTGATTCAGCAGCACACAAAGAATAATAGACTTAGTGAGTACAATGATGAGCAAATAGACATAAAGATGATTGATTGGTTTGACATCGCAAGCAAAATGAAAACAAAAAGAAAAGGGAAAGAATGCAAGAAACGTTGGGTGAGTTCTTTGGATCCATTCTTGAGAAAGGGCAAATGGACGAAAAGTGAAGACGAAGCATTGATCAATGCTTTCAAGAAACATGGGGCATCATGGCAGAAAGTAGCATCAGAAATCAAAGGCAGAAACGAAGACCAATGTTCGAAAAGATATACCGAAGTCTTGAATAGCGATACGAAAGAGAGACTTAAGCCATGGAGTTTGGAAGAAGACCTCATACTCATAGACCAAGTTAAACAACTTGGAACTAAGTGGAGGCAGATATCAGGTTCTTTACCAAGCAGACCTAGCCTTACTTGCAGGAACAGATGGAGAAAAATTATGACAGATATTGCAAAGGATAGTGCCTCTAATGTTATCAAAAGAGCTGTCGGAGTGCTAGACGAAAATGGAGTGCCCACAATCAAATTCAAGCAGACAAATCAGTATGAGGAAGAAAATATCGGTAAGATCAATAAAATTTTTCAGCAGGAACGAAGTAAGTCGGATTCAAAGGCTCAAGGAGACGATAACAGTGAAATCGATGCTGAAGACAACTCGACGGAAAAGTCAAAAAGAATTCTTGAAGACGACCATGATACGCCGGGGAGTTCCAAAAGACAGAAATCAGGAAACAATAGTACTGCCAAAAAAGCACCTGTGTCCGAAAACTATAATACAACCACATCTTATCCTCGTATCGAGACCCCAGTACGAACACAAACAGATTGGTCTTTCTCACTCCTCGATCCGAGAACTAATGAGGAGTTAAAGTCCTACACCGGTGATATTAACACACAAGAACTTGCACATTATCTTATTGAACTAGCTCGTTTTAATGGTGTTACATTAACAGTCCACCAACACATACACCACCATTATTCTTCATCAGCTGCGGCCGTTTCATCAGACCCTCAAACCAACATCTCGAGGTATGGTCACTTTAATTATCTTCCCCCTCTAATTGAGGTCCCAAAGTTGACCTCCTCTTCTTCCCCTGACAACACTGCAGAATCCTCCACATCAGCCAAAAATTACACTGAAAACCCATTATTGCGACTCCTGAATAATGATGATGGGTCCAATAATACTTCCAACGGCTTTGATTCTAATCGCCCAATTAACAGTGAAAGCAGTGAAAGTGGAACTAACTTGCCAAATAAGAAAGCTAGTCTTTCCATTGGCGATTCGAAGAGCAATTTTCTCAAATCTCATAGACAACAACTCCACGCGTCAAGACCATCTCAATACAGTGAACAATCTCACAACTTGGAGTATAGCAATTCAAATAGTAACCTACAATCTCCGGGACCAACGGACACCCGTGGAACCAAAACTGAAAATATAAAAGATGGTGAGCATACCGGGAAAAGTTATACTACTGAAGATTTAGGAGAGGAGCTTGATTTTTGGGAAACTATGAGATCTATCAGTAGGCCAAAAAACAATAAGCCTGTTTCTCAGCATCATCCTCTTCATTATTATCAACCATCAAACTACAAGGAGCAGTTACCATATCAACCTTCTGACTCCTTCGGTATACAGCGTTTTCCTAATATGGCAACTCCTTTAGTGACCAATATGATCAGAGGAGAGAAAAATACAAAATCGGTAGAAACAAGTGTTACCAATGTGAATACAGATGAAAGTTACGGTGGCATGTATATGGAAGGTGAAAACGATGATGCAGAAGAGGAAGAGGAAATGGACATTGCCAACCAGTATGGTTTGTACTACAATGTTTTTGCAAATAAAAGTCAAGCCAACTATGGATCATATGGCAAACAACAAAATAATGGCGTGAACAGCGGAGCGGTGGATTTGGTGAATAGTGGTTACCTGATGCCTTTCAACCCTTCCTGAGTAATAAAGAAGCAGTTTTTCATAGCGTGTACATTAGTTAAAGAATATATAAATCATACCATATAAACAATCATATAAAGCGAATCGAACACGAGTCATATCGAACAAACAAACGATAGAAATTGACAATCATCATGCATGATAACTCTATCATCAAAAATCGAGCTCACCGGAACGTTGCAGGTCGCTTGTTGGAAAAAGAATAGCACTAGTTGATAGAAAATAATGAGCCATGAGGCTCATCTCCAGTTGAATCAAAATAAGTTTTTGACAAAGTATTTAGAGGTTTTCATGAAAGTGACCGCGTTATCATAGACAAAATCACCATAATCAAAATATTTGGTAACATAGTACTCCACATTTGGCTCTCCAATCAGAGCAACATCAGGGGTTATTCCAGTATTCTTTTTGATTCCCGACATGAATCCTGCAAAAAGTGTCAAATCCACGGCATAGTGTGCAACTCTACCAAGCTATGAAACACTATTTACATTTTTAATAAAAGTTCAAATGAATCCTGTTAGTATCTTCGATTCTACTTCTATTTTTGCCCTAGTCGATATCATACGTACTGTCATCTCGATGTTTATTATCTCTTTTGTATCAGTATTACCTTCTTCTCAATGTGGCCTTGATGGAAATGAATTTACGGATTTGCCGTTTTTAAAATCGATCAGATCATTCAGGCAATTTTTCTATCTCACTCGGCAGGCTCCTTTATCTGATGCTGACATAATCATTTTTCAACGATATCTCTTGACAATAACGACGGTACATCGATATAAATACGATTCGACTTGTTTGTTCTTGATGACGTTACATAGAAAAGGGCTGTAAAGTCCAGATTACAGTTCTACGCAGATAACTGTAAAAATATAAAAAACAATCACTATAATCAACATTATTTTTTTCAAAAGGCATACTCTTCGCTGAAGAAACGGCACTTTTGTTTGGTTGATATTTTGGAACACTCTTCAATCAGGGAAGGCGGTCCACACGAAATAATCCACTTGTTGGCGTAGTCAATGGTTTTTGACAGATTGTTTTGCAATAATTTCTCAAGGTCTGGTCGTTTGCCGACAACAACTGTGTTGGAGAATTTATGATCTATTGTGACCAGAGAGTCGTGCGAATCGTTGGATAGTTCAGTTAACGGAATGCCAGCACTTTCCTGAATGGAATCCAGCTCATAGCTTGTATTATTGGTGATAAACACATCGACACCTTGAACATTCAGCTCCTGTAAAATGAAAACATCTTCCTCATCTTTGGTTATCCACACAAATTTCAGCTTTATCTCTCTTCCACCGGAGATAATGCTTCTTTTTAAATACTCAAAAATAACCAAACCAAGGGAAATTCCTGAACCACCACATACGATGTTGACATTGTCAGCTGTATCAAAAAAATTCTGACTCAAAGAAGACTCAAAAGAAGGCTGAATTGAGTAGGTTTCGAAAGGCTCTAATTTGAACTTTGTTTTCTTGATAACTAGGCTTGCCAACAAATCTCGATTTTCAAAAGAAGTGGCTACTGTGTATGGATGAGATGGAAGTATTGTAAAAAAAGGTGTCCATTTACTGTATCCGATTCGAACGTGACATCCCGGAAGGTAGGACTCTGGCAGTAAACTTTTTGGAAATTTGACAATCAATAAATTACTTCCCGGGTTCTCAATAATTTCAGTCAGTGTGACATCTCTTGCACGTGTGTATTTCCGTACAGTTTGTGCTACTAGTAGCATAGCATTGAAAAAAAAGTAGAGCCCTACTCCTGGTCTTGCATGGAAATAGATCATGACAACTAGTGCAAGCATAAAAAAGTTATGATACAGATAGAATAGCGTATAATTGAGATTTCTAATTGGTTTCCAAAATACGAACATGATGTTGGCAAAAATAAACATTAGAAAGCCCAAAAAGTTGACAGGTCTGAACAAGTTGCCTACTGTGCCCATAGAAACATAGTATGCCAAAAACCCAATGGAGTGAAACATGCCAAGGAGAACAATGACTCTGGAGACCCATTTGTGCATTTGTATCGTGTTTAGATAGTTGTCCACTGAAAACCACGCTGGCTGGGCGGCTAAGAAAATATCTAGTGGGATTAAAGCATATGCCAGTCTACCCAATCTTTTCACCACTACCGTGATCTTTTCCAAATGAGGCTTGACTGCGACTAAAATCGCAACAGTGAGCACAATCAACGATATGCTAAGCGGTAATGGCAAGCTAGTAACGCGTAACACGGTAGTAGATCGCCCTGAACGCTTCCATGCTCTTTGATAGTACCATATGGATAATGTCCTCACCAAAATGAACAAAGCTGAAAGCCCAAATATGATGTAACCGTATTTTATATTTACTGTGTGCAATGCACCGTGTCTTTTCATTAATTCTACCGCATCAGCAAACAAAGTCGTTTTTTCATCAGTCATACTTGTATCTATTGTTCGCTCATATGTACCAATCCAATATTGAACAGTCCGGGAATTCCTGGAAACATTAGTCGTCTGTAAAAGGCTAACGTGTCTTTCATTACATATTACCGTTATTTTAGTCGCCATAGGAGCAAATTTCAAGTCTACAAATCACGTGACCAACAATGTTTCTCCATGTTTTAGTTGCCCTATTGGGAAAGCTCCTTCTTGACGAAAAGATAACGTGGAGAGCAGACTGGCATCCAACGGGGCAGAAGAGGGCAGTTGGCAAAGCAATCCCCCCTTTATTGCCACCACTTTTCTTTAATTACACAATCACCAGGTCGCTGCTGGAGTGGTTGAGACACCCTTGTTGAAAGAAAAGGCAATCTATGAAGTTTGAATTGTATCTGTATGTACTACTAGTAGTATTCGGGGGAGCCGTGGTGAACGCTTCGTCTCCACCAGCTGCAGTTCTCCACTGCGTCAACGATATTGCCCGCCTTTGTGAAGGATTTCATAGCAACTATGAATGTATATGTTACAACAGAGACAGGATGTTGTACTGTTTGGCAACTGTGTCTCCGTACGGCAATTACATGGAGGCCAGGGACCACTTTTTGGGGACATGTATCGATCGCATTCCTGCCTTAATAAACGATCCAAATTTCAACCTAGATTTACCAAGGAAAACATTGACTACCACAGTTGGTGGTACCCTTACTAGTGCTTCAGAGTTTCCATCGTCTGCGCTCGAGCCTAGCAATGGCACCAAAACACCTCTTCCAACACTGGAACCGACCGCTTCCGCCACAGAGCCAAGTGTCTCAGAAGGATACCCTTCAACATCAGTACATACTTCTGAACACACAACCACATCGACAGATTTATCTTCAGAGTACCACTCTCCTGTTAGTACAGAACCATTGCCAATACCACTTCCTACAGATATTCCAGTGCATATTCCACCCGATGAGTGTGACGACAACTTTGAAGATGATCCGTAGGAAGATTATGATGATAATTGTGAATGTGAATGCCAGTGTGACTGCGGAGATGATGATGATGACAACGACGATGACAACGACGGTGACGATGAAGATGACGAGGAAGAAGATTACGATGAAAATGATAACTTTGATGGTATAGAAGAAAAAGAAGAGGAAGAAGAAGAAGGAGATTATGACGACGAGGATGACACAAACGAAGATGAAGAGGAAGAGACTGAAGATTGTCCAGATGAGGATAATGATGATGATCATGCTGAAGAGGATGATGGAGATGGAGAAGGTCAAGACGATGAAGACGACACAGAGGATAATGAAGAAGAAAATCAAGAAGATGAGGAAGACAATGACGAATGTTACTGTTACTGCGAATGTGAGTGCAATGATGAAGTAGGCGACAGTGAAAAGAAAAAGGATACCAGAAGAGGTGAACTAAACTCCGAAGAACACGAAGAGTATGTCGACGATAACTACTGGACCTGCGACACATCAAACCCAGAGGATTGCCTTGATGAAGATGATGCTCAGGTAGCAGAATACTTTAGTATAAAGAAAGCTTTTTTGAGCTTGCCGAAACAATATCAATACGGCAGTCCTGAAAATAGGTTCTGGGAAGAAGAAAAAAAATCAAGAGCAGAGATATTGAACGAAATCAAAAGAAAGTATGGAAAGAAGAATGGAAAAAATCTCGATGCTGAGAGTGAAGAGGAAGAAAGTGAATCAGATCACCCTAATGCTATTGATTTCATTTTTGCCACACCAGAAAAGATTTTCAAGAGAGACGTAGAGAAAGAAGAAGAAAGTGATATATTGTCTTCAGGACTAAATTCTTTGAACCCCAAAAAGTTACTATTCGAGGAAGGTGAGGACCGCAGAATAAGATTTGGTTCAAGTTTTTTGAAAACTGGAAAGCTACCAAAAAAGAAACTACAAGATGACTGTGATTAGTAAATTTTGCTGCTATGAGTAATAAAAACCCGTTTGTATCCAATAAACATAATTATTATATATTAATTATACTAGAATTAATTTAGTCTTCGCTGATTTTGAACTTTACTTCTCTTCCCCACGACTGCGTGCTACAGCAGCAGCTACGGCAACAGCTTCAACTGCGGCTGCTATCTCCGCATCACTTGGCTCCCCCGTGCTTGATAACAGACCAGCTTGAACAGCACGTACATGTCTCAGCATGGTCTCTTTTTCTTCTTCATATTCAACATTCTCACCCCTTACAGTAGAAGTTTCTGCTTCTACATCATTCAGGTCATACCCCATCCCAATCTCCTCCAAACCATCCAAGTTAACCAATACAGACTCATCATCATCATCTTCAATATCACCACCAGAAGTAGATGAGTGTGAAGTATATTGGCTAAGCTGTTTGAGCTGTCGATTGAGCTGGGAATGATCATGAGGGATACTGAATGACTGAGACAGCATCATATTTTCATGTAATGGCTTTTCATTTATGATGTTGTGCCCGCGGTAAGCTTCTAAATCCTCTTGTATAATTGTCATCTGTTGGCTAGCACTAGATTCACTCTTATCACACTCACCAGTGACGTTCAGGAAAGAACCAGTTTCGTTTAATTTGTTTAGAGCTACCTTTCTCTTTTTGACAACATGACCTTTAACATTAGTCGTCTGTGTTTCAGATAGGTCCTTCATAGCTGTGATATCATGTGCTTCGTTTTTGCTGGTATTTCTCTGATTCGAATCTGCAGAAGAAGCTCCATAACTCTTTTTGCAGTTTTTTGATACAATATTATGTCTTTCTCTACCACTGTTGGGTAAATATCCAAAACTTTTGTCTTCTGATTTACTAAAGTTTGCAGATACTAGATCATCGGAGCTAATATCACCAGTAACCTTTTCAATTTGGCGCTTCTTGCCTAATAATAGTATTGCTTCTTTATTGTTTGAACTCCTACTCTTCTCAGGTGATGTAAGATTTTCGCCATTTTCTTTCACTTCCATGATTGTGGTTGAGTTTGGCTTTAGCAAGACTTTTGATGATATCTGACTCCGTGAAGTCCGCAAATGTTTGGTTTTAGTGAACAGTTGTTCAACTCCAACATTTCTGACAATAGATCCTTCATTTGAAGTAGTTCCACTCCCAAGTGTAGAAGAAGGTTTTTTCTTCTTCAGTCTACAAGACTGACAGATTTTGTGTCCTTTCTCATCTTTAGCTAACCCATAAGAACATCGATTACATAGTCCCTCTTGCTCTAGGGCCAATCGCCTTAATTTATCCTTTTCTCTACAACGCCTGCAAACTTTGAAAGTCCCCTCCTCATCGTTGGGACCAGAACAATGAACGCATTTACCCTCTAAATAACGATTAGCTTTTTTAGATCTAAGCATATCTCGACAATGTTGACACAAAGAGTAATTGCTTGCAGCCTCGGATAGATCCGTTCCACATCTAGTACAAACTCCATCCTTTTGTTTGGTTCGCCGTTGCCAACGCTTTGACCGTTGTCTTTGGAGTACTCGACAATGCTCACACATTTTGAATACTTTGTCTCCTATTATGGCAAATTTTCTTTTACATCGGTTACAGTCAGCTGTTGGGTATTTCTCTAAATTTTCACTAATGCTATCATCATACACAACAGCGACCATTGTGGTGGAAGGAGCTTCATTATTATATTCGGCGTTTAACACGACGTCTGCTTTAATAGTTTGATTAATGTCTTGAATATCTCCAGCATCAATTATATCATTTTCTCGTTTGCTTATTGTCTCTTTTGAACTTCTGAGCCCAAATTGGGTGTGTTGTGAAATTTCATCGTGGCTTACACGGTCAACCTTAATGTTTTTGTTATTTGAGCCAATATCCTGATCAAGAAGAAGACCCATGGCCAGCTAAACTGTTCGTCATGTTCCAGAGAAAGGCCTTTTAACGAACTGGCAAAATTAAAGTAGTCAACGATTGATCGACTTGACAATAAAAAGCCATGCTGGGTGTAATTTCGCTGCACATATTATTCTAAAACTTTAAGGCTTCTACTCAGTATAGCTTATTGTCGAGGTAAATCATAGCACACATCAAATCACAAGCATAAATGGATCAAACTACTGTCTATAATAACATTGTTTTGGATATCGAAGGGACTTTGTGCCCTATATCTTTTGTAAAAGATCAGCTGTTTCCTTATTTCATCAAAGAGCTACCCACATATATTTCAAAGTATGATTTTCCCTTGGATCCAGAGAAGAAGTCTAACGATGAAATAGAAAAATTGTTAACCAAGTTTGACAAGAGTTTTTATCAAAACAAAGAGGAATTATTGAATCATGTCAGAAAGTTGGTTGCAGATGATATTAAAGATCCAGTTTTGAAACAACTACAAGGGTTTATATGGGAACAGGGATATACAACTGGTACTATAATGGCACCCCTTTTTGAGGATTCCATAGAAGCCATGAAACTGTGGTCCATTTTGTGTGATGGTCTCTACATTTATAGCAGTGGGAGTGTGAAAGCCCAGAAATTGTTATTTGGAAACGTTGAAATCAAAAGAAGTAACGGAAGTTTAGAATGTGCCGACCTCAACAACTTAATCACTGATTACTTCGATACTGTAAACACGGGGAATAAGACTAAAATTGAAAGTTACAGCAAAATATTGAAGAATATAGGAGTAGTTGATGAGGAGGGAAAAAGAAAATGCCTTTTTTTGAGTGACAACCCATTGGAAGTACAGGCAGCAATTGAGGCTGGGATGACCAGTTTTGTTGTAGAGAAACCCGGAAATCACCCATTATCAGAAAAAGATAGAAAATCTTATACAATTATTACAGACTTCAAGTCACTATTTGGGTCTCAATAAGCGTTGCATATCTTTATTGCCAATCTATCACTTACTGTTACTAGCTTTTAATTATTAATGGATAGAAATAAATATTTTGATAGATCATAACAAAGATGAGAGAGCCTCAAAATACAACTGAGTGAAATATACATTTAATATAAGCAATCTCATGCTGCATGATCGTTGAATAACAAGTTAGCTGCCATCTCCTCGTTTTTATCACAGGCGAAATAAACTTGAATCACCAAGTTTCTATCGAAACCTAATTCACATAACCTGGTTATTGCATCATTTTCCTCTGGAGTAATTTGTATTTGGTATGAATCGCCAGCTTCTGCCCCTTCTTCTTCATTTTGTGCAGCTTCTATATATTCTGGTGGAACACCCAATGCTTGAGCCAGTGCTTGTTGGTCACCTTCAGTAATGTACCTAAGGAATGCTTCTGGGTTGGTTTGTATCAACTGAGCAATTTGTGGATTGGATGCTGCTAATTGCTGTAACACAACTTCAGCCATTTCTGGTTGAGCCTGAAGTATGTCTCTGACTTGACTCATCATGTCGCCTTCAGAACCGCCAACTTCTCCTTGTCCTGCACCATCAGAGGCCAATGCTGCCTGATCAAACAAGTTTCCCTGTGTACTAACTAAAGGCGCTTCACTTGGTGTAGTTGATGCAGCTGCGGGAACCGTCTCACCCGTGCTGTCAACTGTAGATTCCGCAGCAGGAACAGAATCCGATACTGGAGCTGCAGAAGGTTCAGTGCTTATTGGAATGTCCGATAACAAATATTCCACTGCCCTGTCTGGATTGTTAAACGCAGCACGTAATGCCCTTTCAACCTGTTCTCTTTCGAAACCCATTGCCATTATATTTTGAACTGCTGTTTCTCTTACGCTACCTTGTGCAAATGTTGATGCTGTGAATTCCGTCACGGTTTCTGCCGTTCCTGCATTTGCTTCAGTAGAAGTGTTCGTGTTTGATGCACTCGTTTCTGTGGCCGTACTTGCAGTTGGAGTTTGTTCGATCTTTGAGCTTGAAGTTTCCTCTTTAACAGGTTCTGAGACTTTCTTTGCCTTCGAAACCATAAAAATAATTTGATCCCCTTCTTTCACTTTGAAAGACTCAAAAGTTTTATCATTTTGTAAAACTTTGCCGGAATAAACAAACTTAATCTGGTCAGCATCACAATTCTTTATTGATGCCAGCTTTTCCTTACCTGACAGGACACTGTCCGTGGGCTCGATTTCGATGGAAATTTTCTCTTTTTTGAAGTCTTTGAAAATAACCTGCATACTTTTTATGTCACCAAGTCTTCAACTGCTTGATATGCTAACAGGAACTGATATCTTCTTTTAGTCTACGTTTCTTTTCCCTACATGTTTTGCCACTGAACAAAAACTCAACAGTCTGGAAAAAAGCCGAGCACGTTGATTTTTTTCTCACGCCTTTTCTATTATTTTGAATTTCAAACAGTCTCTTCACCGTAGTCTAGGATACAATAGATTTTATTAAGGCAACTTTAAAACAAGCGGCTTCCGTTGAAATTACCAGCAATGACGGATTTATCCATACTTCATAATTTCCCCCAGTGGGAAAAAATGAAAAAAGAACTTGAAGATGACTTTTTCAACGACAGTCTTTGGAACGAATTGGTTTTGCATCATGAAAAGCTCATTGCTGATCATAAAGAGTTGCTCAAGTCTAGAACCGAGCTCAAGGGTCTGATATATGCCGACATGGACCAATTGCTTACAAAATATCCATATTTTACCGTGTATTGGAAACGATATGTTACAATGGTGTATACCCTTGAGGGGCTCAAACCCTCGATACGAGTACTGGAACGAGCTGTGATTTCATTTCCATACTCGCTAGATGTGTGGATTGACTATGTTAATATTTTGCTGGCAAACAAGCTAAAAGCTGACAAGGAAATGAATCAAATATTTCTGCAAGGTGCAGATAATGTCGGCTGCCACTTTCTAGCTCACCAGTTTTGGGACATTTACCTTGATTGGGCAAAATCCGTCTATGGCGTTCATTCAAACGATTACATAGCAATACTTATACGAATAATCAAGCTTCCACTACATCAGTATGCGAAGTATAATCAAGAGTTCATGAGATTGAGTAAAAATTTTGCCATAACGGATTTAGTGGCAAAGGACAATCTTGTCACCTACGTGAAGAGAAAATATGATGGACTAAATGAAGAAGAAATGGAGGAGTATATTGAAAACCACTCAGAAAAACTAATCAGCTCATTTTTTGGTGACATTTTGGCGCAGGTGGAGACAAGAGCACAGGAAAAGTGGAAATTCGAGAGCGTTTTAAAGACTGATTTTGACTTCAACATGATAACCCTAGAGGAGCTTGATAGATGGATAAAGTATTTAGAAAACGAGGAAATGTATTATCAAACAAGAGATGAACTTAGTGATATTAACGAACTGATTGCTTTATATGAAAGAGCACTCATACCAACATGTCTTTCTGATCAAGTATGGATAAGATATGCACGGTTTCTCATACAAAATAAAGGTAATAATGATCGAATAATGCATGTTTTCAATAGAGCATGTGACCATTTTGTGCCATTAGACCTTAAAGAAGTGAGGTACATGTATGCTAAATTTTTCGAGCTGAAGCTTAAAGATTTAGAGAAATGTAAACAAGTTTACTTGTCCTTGATTTCGAAATCACCCACGGAGACAGAGCCAGTTTCGAAATACATTGAGTTTTTAATTCTTCATCAAAATGAAAATAGTACTAATGCAGGATTGGTGCATGATATTCTTAATTGTGTTTACAAGTTCAACCAAGAAAAAGGACCCATTGAGCATTTGAGCAAGAAGAAAAAGATAAACCGCCCCATTAAGGGTCAAACTCAATCTAATTTTGAAATACTTTCCCCGGATGTAAAAGACTTATATGATAAGTTGACGTTTTGGAATGCTGGACAGTTAATTGTTAGTGTCTGCAAATTCTATTGGCTTACAAAGAAGGACTTAAAACTCACAAGGGATACTTTGATGACTTTCTTCAATACTTTCGCAGTGAAAAGTAGTAAGGTATTCTGGTTTTTCTTTTTCAAATTTGAATTATGCCAGAGAAATAGAAAAAATTTGGCAAATATTGTGAGCCAAGTAAGAACTGGAAGCACCTTGAATATTTCAGACATAAATATCATTATTGAGCAATACAATTCGTTTGTTTTGAAAAATTTTACAGTCACAGAGTTGAAAGATGGTCAAAGAGATCTAATCAAAAATATGTTGGAAACAGACGTTGAGTCGTCGTTGCATATGAAGCACTACCTAAAAGTAAGACTTGCAGAAGATAATGATGAAGAAACTACAAATCGAAGACTTGTCAAGGAGAATGGTCATCCTGCAGCCATGTGCGAAGGAAGACCAACTTTGACAAACCCACTACTTATATCGGAGAACACTTTTAAAACTTCGACCGCTCCTGCATTACCTCGTTTTAGAAATGTAGAAAAAGCCAGCTTGAATGTAAAATATATACACGAATCAATATAATTTGTACTCTTTTCTGATAATTGTCCATTTTCTATATACTGTCTGTTTGTCTGCCTATGACAGTTAAACTATCCTTTACCAACGCTTTTTCCGTACATCTGTTATTTCCGTAAACTTCCAAAATTTCCAATTTGGGACATATTCGTGATAAGATAGCTAGAACAGAATCATCAACGCTTCGTACAAAGCCAATGTCCAAATTTGTTAGCAAAGGAAAAATGATGTTTCGAGATAACCTAGAAAACATCACCTTCGAAATTTCCTTCACACTGTTCAGATTTAGCTGAACCAAGGTCTGGCTTGAGTGTGATAACATTGTATAAATAGACTTATCGCCAAGGGAAAAACACCTTTCCAAGCATATGTCTGTCAGACCTCCATTTATATCCCAATTTTCAAACAAACTCATCATTCCAGTATCATCAATCTGATCTAGGTCTGCTATCGATAACTTAGTCACATTTGATCCGAAAGCTCTCAAACCGTCAGCCAAAAACCTGTTTGTTAGGCCCGAACATTTGTCCAAGTTTAGAGACGTCAAAGTTTCGCAGTTGATCGCCAACAAATTTATTATTAAATCATCATCGATCAAGTTTTCATGATGGGGTGAAGATATCTCAAGATGTTCTAGTGCGCTCAGAAAATGGGGCAGAAGATCGTACACCGGTTTAGAGTCCAACCCATCCAATCTGCTCAACGTCAAAGACTTTAGGTTATTGCCACAGTTTTCCAACAAGGAAACCAACGAGTCATTTGTGAATCTATGAGTATTTCGAAGATGAAAATGCTTTAGATTTTTACCCACATTACTGTCAAAAAAGCTCTGCCACGTGTCGTCGTTGATCAAGAACGGCCCATTCAACGATAATGACTCTAAACTGGCCAACTTGCTACCGAAATATCTCAAGTTGTCATTGTGTAACTGACCACACATATTTAGCGTCAAAGACTCTAGTTTCGGGCAATAGGCAGCAATCTTATCAAGGGAATTCTTATCGATCTTACAACAGTCCCAGAATTCCAATTCCGTTGTCTTGTTATCTAAAAACAACCCGACTGTCTTGTTGTTCAACGACCTATTTTTCGCCAAAATCCTGCAAATTTTCATCTTGTTGTGGTTACCAATCTCCCCTAGAAGTTCCACCTCGTTGATATTCTGGGTGATGATATTGATGCAGAAATCTTGAAGGGACGGCAACTTGAATTGCTTTTTATCAAGCAAGGCCGCTGCAACCTTCTTCCGCCTCTTTCTGGCTTCGATCTCGTGTTTTTTCGCCAACCTTTCTCTCCGCATCTGGATCTTCGTACACGAAGGGCAAAGGTAACCAATCTTGCCGTACTTCTCCATCTTCTTTGAGTACACAGAAATGTTGAAGTGCTGATCGCACTCAAGACAGTATATTGCAGCGCCGTTGGAAGAGACTCCGCTGAAATCTCCACTGGTCCTTCTGCGCTTGGCCGATGCTGCTCCTCCCTCATCATCGTCGATCTCCTCCTCGTCGGAGTCCAAGGCCAAATTCAGCGGGCCATGTGAGTCCCCATCGAGAATCTCGCCGCCTGCATCATCCTCTGGCTGCTGCACCACTGCAGTAAGCTCTTCTGCAATCTCAGCCGGCACTTCTTCTCCGTTCTGCTGCCTCTGTGATCTTTCGTAACGAAGTCTGATCTGCTCAGCGTTGATTCCCTGTTCTCTCAAAAATGACGTTAACGCACTCGAAGGGCCCTTCACCCCACCCCCATCGTCATCTCCCTGCTGTCCAGTATTTCCTCGCCGTCTTCTGTACGACATGGTATGTCTCTTGACGCTGTTGCCACCTTCTATCCCCACTTTTGACCTTCTTTGACTGTCTTCTCTGAGCCATTTTCCGTTTCTGATTTGCCCTAGCCGATTCATGGCTCATCATCTCCTACGCGTCCCCGCCTCGCACGGCAAATCGGGCCGATCGACCCAAACCGGCCCGGCGCGCCATCCGAGCAAGTACAAACCGGCACGCCGATAAGCGATAAGCTCCCTCGGGGAACCGATCCTCCGGAGGATGGACATCTCTCGTTGCGGGATGAGGACACGGGCCCCCCCCAAGCAGGTGTTGATGCACATCCTGGCCCGGGATTTTGGGCCCACTGCAGACCCTGCTGGAGGGCCGGGTAGACACGTCTCAACAACTGCTTTGATCGTGCCTACGTTTGATGTCACTCTGAAAAATTTTCCGTTTACCCCTTCTGTTCCATCCACCTGTCTACGTATATATGTATTGGTCCCATTCGTTTTGACCACCCACTCCTCCCAACCGCCTGTTTGTTTTCCTGCAACCTGCAACCGCGGTGCCCATCTCCGTACATCTGTTTGTGCATAGCATTTGATCTTTCTCAAAGGTAGCGAAGGAAGAAGTGATTCAAGAGATCCCTCCCGTGCCTTGCCGACCAGTTGTTTCATCTGCTACCCTACAAAGACTAGGTACACACACATACACACACACACACACACCCAGGGCCATACATTACACTGTGAAATGCTCAGAAAACAGCTCAAGCCGGTGTACCAGAAGTACGGGCCGTTTAACCTGTACTTCACAGCGTTCCTACTTTCTGTCACAGCATGTCTCTCCCTAGGAATCCTCACACTTTTTTCTATCTTTGCGGAACCGATGCAAAAAATACTAAACTACTCCCAGTCGACCATCAATACCACCATTATTTTCCAAGTTTTAGGCTTGAACCTTTTTACCCCCTTGAGTGGCTACATAGCGGATGCAAAGGGAATCTGGATTTTATCCTTGATTTCCTTCTGTGGCTACTTTATTGCTTTCAACTTGATCATTCTTGTGGTACGAAATAATTTGGACAAGCACTACATCTATTTGAGCTTCTTCATATTGGGGTGCTCTCACATCTCGTTTCTATTCAGCTGTTTGTTGAATTCTGCCAAATCCCTAGGCAGATACTACAGAACACTATCAATAAGTACCCCTAATATGATGGTCTCCTTTTCCTCCTACATACAGATACAGATTATTGCCACCTATTTCGTACCAAAAAATGATGATTTGCAGTCCAGATCAGACAATTTTGTCAGCATTCTTTATTTTTTTCTCATTTTGTTGATGCTCAGCACTATTCTTTCATTTGTTGGATGCAAATTGACCGATTGGACCGAATATTATGAATTTGACTATGAGGAAACCGCTACTACAGTTTACGAAGATTTCCTGAGTTTCGAAACCTCTCCCCTGTTGCGAGGTGCGGCAACAGTTTTGCGTAGCCCCCAAACTTCGATAATTGGGTCACCTAGATCTTGGTATGTGGACGAGGACTCCTCTGTCGTGAACCTGGATGATGAGTTATCGATGTTGTCATCATCAACTCATCTCAATACTAATAACAACACCAACACCAACCCAAACCATTCTCCATATAGACACAAGGTTAATGGATTTCTTTATGATCCGTTGATGTATCCGTTGATGTTTTGCTGTTTGACGTCGATAGGTTCAACGGAGTTCTTTATTGCAAATTTGAATGCCATTTTGGGGAATCTTAATTTGGCGAAAAAGTTGGATGATAATTTACAGCTTCTCTCGATCTCTTCCACGATTACAAGGTTCATAATCATGCTTTTTACAGATTGGTTCTGTACAGCATTCAAGGTATCACGTATCACAATATTCACCGTGTGTGTCATAGCATGTGGCTTATCGCATATCTACATATCGAGTGCCCCGGTTGCATCAATGAACTTTCCTCTTGTCGTCATTCTCAACTCGATCTTGAACTCTTCTGTCTTTACACTATTCCCTGCTATTTTAGCAAGTATTTATGGAATTGAAATTTTGGGGACAACATGGGGCGTTTGTTCGAGCTCCAGTATTTTTGGAAACATGTTTTTGAACATGATGTACTCTTACGATTTCAGTTCCAATTGTGTTGGAAGTATGTCAAAAGGGTTGGCAATTTGCTCAACATTGACCTTTTTCACCAGTGGTACTATGCTGGTGTTTTTCGGTTTGGTCGTATTTTGGCTAAGAAAGCGATATTTGAGCAGAGTGAATACTTTTTTCTAGAGTAATAGATTTATAAATAAGATGTAATGATTTAACTAGTATATTCAATGATTATGAGTGAATTCTTAGATATATTACGTAAACACGATTTTTTTTAAGCCACAACACTCGAAATTTTTACCAGTTTGCTGATGAGCTTATCTATTGCCCGGAATGTAAAGGAGTAAAAAGAACAAGGCGTAATGGATTTAAAAAGAGTTATTGTTTCATGCAAGAGGTATAGGGAACGGGGATAAACAACATGCTAGTCCGCAGAGACTCAGATACTCCGTACCAGGATGTAAGGGTGAGTCCCAGGGCTTCTTCGGTGACGTTGCCCACGGCTTTATCTGCGTCACACACGTCAACAATATCGTCGTCGCCACCAGCAACTACGATGGCAACAGCAACGGTAACTAATGGTGTCAACACATCACGAGTGAGGCCCACTGAAATTTCTTCTGAGAATCCAGCTATGAATGGGGAGCCCCCCAAGGAACCATCTCGGATTTCGTTATCATTATCCAAGCTTCTTCCGCTTATAGGCAAAGATGGCATTGGTAGTAGTACCAACAACAGCGCCGCTAGTGGAAATGCGAGGAACATCGACCAGACAATAGGAGAAGGTGCCCACCAGCCACATGGGGAAGAAGCTGTAGAAAACGATCACTTGGATGTTGCTGAGGATACACCAACTGGAACCAATATCCATAATGGCGTTGCTACAAGAGATGAAGAAGCTATATGGCAGGAGGACAACGGAGTGAAAGCATGTCCGTTGTGCGATGCGAAATTTACTTTCTTCAACAGGCGACATCATTGCAGGAAATGTGGTAAAATTTTTTGCAACAAATGCTGTGGGAAATTCTGTACGTTCATACCAGGCAGTTCAGTAGTTGAGCCCGAGGAGGAGGGTGGCAGGAGCATAGTAAGGAACGGATACCAATACTACAAGTTCAGGACGTGCGAAAAGTGCTACGGCGAGATCAAGATGTTGAAAGAGGCTCTAGGCATTGCTGACGACAGCGAAGAGGACAGCAGGGAGGAAGACACAGAGGAGGAGGAGGAGGAGGAGGAGGAGGAGGATGAAAGTGCTGAGGGTGGCGGAGACGACAACGAAAGCTTTGAAAGGCACCTTTCCATAATGGGGGAAGACAGAAGTGGGAACGCATGCGGGCCGGAATGGAGGAGAAGCCGAAGGAGGGCCGGGGCTCGGACGAGATCTCGGACGGGAAGGGAGACCAGCATCGAAGGGCCTGTAAGGAGTCAGGGTGAGGAGGGAGATGACGCGGACGCGGAGAGTCTGACGTGCCTCATCAAGCACTCGCAGCCGCGGGAGATCACCATGGAAGTCAGCGAGTCGAGGGTCCGGGAGGCGCACGGAACGACGGGCGGGGCTGGGGCCGGGGAAGGCCCTCGCCGGGGAAACGGGAATACCAGTATAGATCACAACAACAACAGCAACAACAACAACAACAGCGAATTGAACGAGTGTCCGGTGTGCGGCATAGACATTGGCGGAGTGAGCGAGACCGAGCGGGAGACACACATCAACCGCTGTCTCACCGACCAGGAGTTTGGGTCGCCGACGCACCCGGGCGACGTGGCGAAGCGGGACAAGAACCGCATGTTGGTGTACTCGATTCCAGCGGACGCGGACATGGCGCACATGGTGCTCAACGACGACAACGAGTGCGTCATCTGTCTCGAGGAGTTCTGCCCCGGCGATAAGCTGAGCCGTCTCGAATGTCTCTGCTGTTTCCACTACAAGTGCATCAAGGACTGGATCCGCAAGAAGGGTTACTGCGAGTGTCCTATCCATGCACTCCATGCGCAGTAGGAAGAGCAAGTCGCGTCGGCCGATAAGCCGGACAAGGCCTAGCCCTGCCTCGCCTTGCCTGGCCACAAGTAGCCCTGCGATCGCGGTGACGAGGGTGTGTAGCCTAGTTAGAAATAGTAGCGCATATATTCTCGCTGTGGAGCCACACGAAACACGCTAAACTTTGCCTAGCGGTGCTAAAGCTGCTAAAATGCGCAACAGCCAGCTAGTCCCGCAGAAACATGCATTTAAAGGGCTCGGCGTCGACGCCAAAACTGCATGTCAACGCCAAAACACGCCCCAGAAACGCGACAAGCGGGCATATGCACGGCGCAGAATGGGGCAATCCTCCATTCGGCCCGTGCCGACGCGTTAGTTCGCTGCTCTGTACGCCTCTGGGCTGGCCGGATTCGGCAATCCCTGGCGTATGGCCCATATATCTCGACGCATAGAGCACGCGCTGCAGCAGACGGCCCGAAAGGGCACTGGCGGTGAGCCGGGTAGCTGCGAAGGGGGGCGGAAGAAGTTGCCGTTGGGCTATCCCCGGGATCTTAGGTGCAGTGGGTGCCCCCTTTGTACGGGCGGAGAGGCCAATGTTTGCGGGGCCTTAGGTTGTGGAGGGTCTAATTTAGCAGATTTTGGCTCCCGTACATCGGCAAGGCTGCGATTTGGTGCGTCCTCACTCTGACATGCACACCCCTGCGTCGGCTGCCTCCCCGTTGACAGGGCTGCCTCCAAGCTCTGGGTTAACACGAGAACTAGCACGAAAACTAGCACACCCAGCATCCACTAGCACCCACTAATACCCACTGGCACGCACATTCTCTGTCGTTTCTCTTTTGTGCCCAGGTTTTCCCGTGCTGAGTGCCTTTCTTTCCATCTTGCAGCTTTGATTTGGCCCTAGCACTCGTTATTCTAGAAAACTAAGATAAGCATACTGCTTAGTGGCGCCCGTTGAGACAAGATAGGATACGATGGTTGGAACCGAGCCAAACGGAAACTACGAATCACTGTGGCTGGACAGCAAGAACCACAGCCAGCAAGCGAAGAACGTGGCACTGAAGCTGATGCAGAGTGAGAAGTTCCAGACCAAGCTCATGAAGTTGATCCAGCACTTCGACAGCTCCACTCCCAAGGACACCCACAACCACCCCTCCACCGCGTCCAGCAGCCCGCTGCGTCCAGGCCATGCCAAGAGGTCAATCAGCGGCTCCAGCATCTCGAACCCCATATCCTTCTCCCACGTGTCACATGTCGATGCCCACTCGAACTTTGGGCTAGCCGACTCCTTCAACCCGCTCAATCTCAACCAGATCGACCGCTGTCTGCCTGCGCACTCTCTGCATCGCTCCTCTATCGCGTGCTCCAACAATGACACCTCATACACGACAGAAGATTCCGACGCGGACCCGTTCGAGTCGACCTTGGACCCAGCCACCAGTGGCATCAAAGCCTTCTCCACCTACAGGACATCCCCCACATACACTACGCACTCGATCATACCGTCCCACTCGGGCTACTCCTTGTCAAACAGGCTGCATAGACGAACAAGCTCGGCATCGACGAACTTCAACGTCACGAGCTCCCAGTTCTCGACCAACTCTATATTCACCTCGAACAACGCAGGCGTGTGTTCTTCAGATACTTCCCGAGGCTCTTCTCCAAGAAACTCTTTGAAAGTCAAAGTTTTACCATGTATACCACAAGAAGACCTTACAGATCGCGGGGTTGGCCATGAACGCGAAAGTGAATATAGCGAACCTTTAATGGAACAAGAAGAGGATGAAGAGAATCCGTTCCTTGAGAAGTTCGTTTCAATTCCTTCTGCACCTCCACCTCCAAAGTCCGTTGAAGCTCCGGAAGATCGGCTGAAGTCATTCTTACAACGCGAAGAGATAGAAATCGCATCTGATTCTGAGGACGATGACATTTGCTTTGAAAAATTTAGACTGTCCTCAAACATAGAATCAATTACATCTGAATTACAAGCACAACTGCAAAAAAGGTTGAATTCAGAAAACAAGATAATGAACAAGGAGTACAGGAAGTCTATCATGATACTTCTCCAGAAAGAGGTTCAAGAACAGTCACTACTGGAAGACTTGGAAGAAGAAGAAGATTTAGAAAAATCTTTTTTTGAAGGCTCTCCTTCACCAAAGCACAATGCAAGGAGGAACCCTTCGACGTTGTTGTCGCGAATGGAACACATTGAAGAAGAGCTGGAAGCTGATGACGAGGGAGAAGACGATGATACGGAGGGAACGAGCGCCAATGACAATTGCTCAATCATGAAGTCTTTGGCTCTTGCGGACAGCACATCATTGATTGATACAGCTTTCGAACTTGATGCAGAGACAGAGGAAGAAAATGACCATCGTGTTTCCGCAGCTGCAAAGAGACTATCTGTGCTCTCGGATTTTTTCGCCGATCTTCAACTCAACGAAACGACACTTCTGGATAGTGACGACCGTGCTCTTCTGGGTCTGTGACCTCGCATCACCATCACCTCAACATACATTCTATTCGAAGCACTAAATTAATTTCTGTAAATTACACATTCAATCTATTCTATATAATCTTCAACTAAACCATCTTTTTTAGGCGCGGATGATGGGGGCTTTCAAAATTGCGGGACGTCTCGTCTTTCGGACGTCAAGGAGGCTGTACAGATTGGAACTTTGCGACTTTATTGTAATCTAACTATGCACCACAACCCCACAACTAGGGCAGGAGCCAGCTCGAAAGTTTTATCCAATGTCTAATGCACATATGAGGGAAACGTTAGAAAATGAGATAGCGTCAGCATATAATGAATATTTAGAAGCGTGTGATGGACTGTGCACTTGCTTGCAGAAAAGTTCTATATCTATGACAAGAAGTTTACTGTCACTGAAATCTACAGAAAGGGATGAAATAAGGTTTGCATTGATGGAGAATCCGCGGCTTGCTCTTTATTGCACCAGTTCACAGGCTGATGGAGACATGAAGTTGAATTTGAAAAGTATTTTGCCGACAAAAGAGAAGAAGCAGAGCGGTAGGAGGAAAAAAGTGAATCAGAAGGAGAATGAAAAGGAAGATAGCAATGTATTACACAGTCGAATTGAAGAGAAAGGCAAACTCGGGGATGGTGAAGGAAGAAACGAAGGAAGTGCAAAAGAAAGTAAGAAGACGCTGAAGGTGATTGATCCAATCAAACTAGTCCATGGTGGATTTGCCTCATTGACCGTACGAGAAAGCCAAAAAGATGCGAGTGCTTCGATAGTACAGATACTAAAGGTAGCGAATGCGAAAAGGAGGGTAGTGGATTTACTTGATAGATACAGCAGTGTGCCGACTTGATTTGGGATAGGGATAGATAAATATTAATGAATGGAAGGATTGTTCATGCTCGTTGTTATTGTCTACTCAATGATAATGGTGAAATAAATATGTACACATAGTTAGATACTTTGTCTGTGAAGTTTAGTCAGAGTTGCTTCTATTAATTGCATCAATGACGAGCTGATCAAAATCTGCATGCAAGGAGAAGTAACTCTGGACAAACCCGATGATGATCAATGCAAAAGTCGAGCCGGTCCACAGGCCAGTAAGGCCAGAAGGGTTTTCTTTGTTTGGCCAGCAGAATCCAAGATATGCACCCAAAGGTAGACCGACGACGTAGTAAGAGAACAAATTCACGTATCCTCCGATCCTTTGCAATCCTTGTCCTCTCAAGCAACCTGCACTGGTTGTATTCAAAGCGTCAAAGACCTGCATGAGTGCAATCAAGGGAAAAACATCTTCGGCCAACTTGATGACTTTTAAGTCATTGGAAAACCATTGGGCGATGAGGTTACGACCGAAAAAGAGGAAGGAGAAGTTAAGCAAGGCGATTGACGCTGTGAAGACAAATGTAGCTTTACAGGTTGTGTAAGCCGATTTCGGTAGTTGGGCACCTAAGAAGTTTGCGATTCTGGTCGATGAAGCGATCGAAACACCGTAAGGGATTTGGTAGGTCAAAGAAGCCATGGTGGCAATGATTGATTGCGCGGCCAAAGGGACTGTGCCCAGGTAGGAGGCCAGTAAAGTCAAGATTTCGAAGGACAAGAACTCAGACATGATCATGATTAAGTTTGGGATGGAAAGCTTGATCAATTCCCCCCAATTTCTGAAGATTCTTCTGGACTCCAATTTGGTCCAGCATCTCATTGGGTTGGCTTCGTTTTTCGTGTTTAGGGTATAGACGAACAAACCGAGCGCCATCAAGGTGTAATTGATACTCACTGCGATGGGGGCGCCGATGTAACCGAAGTTCAAGACCCAGACGAGGGTGTAGTTCATGATTGCGTTGAAGGGAGCACAGAAAAACAAGACATAGGTGGAGGCGTCGAAGATGCCCTGGCTCTGTAGGAACCGCTTGCCTGTTTCAAACAGAATGTAGCCGGGTATGCCGAAAGAGGTGACTTTTAAGTACTGGGCGGCGTAGATGGCAGACTGCTTGTCGGGCAAGAAATTTGTCAAAAGGGTTTCTGCCCAAATCCACCACGAGATGCACACAAAGAGCATGATAGTGAAGATAAGCACGGTACATCTCTGGAAAATGAGACCCACGAGGTGGTATTTCTTGGCGCCATAGGCCTGGGGCAAAAAGGTGTCCAAGGAGGAGGCCAAGCCTGCGATGGTGGCGATTGCGGTGATATTCGAGGTCATTGCTCCCAAAGTTATACCAGCTAGAGCTTCGGAAGAGATGTGACCGACGGCGAAGATCGAGCAGACGGAAAGGGAGTTCTGCAAGAGGAAGGTGATGACCAAGGGCACGGAGGACCGGGCCAAGGTTTTCAGTTCAAGCGAAACGGTGGTGGAGATTTTCCCTGTTTTGATGGCGTCGTCCCACGTCTCGATGATGGCCTCGGTGTCGTTGTCGTTGTCGCCGTCTTCGCCGCTGCCGCCCACTGTGCCGTAGCTCGGGCCGGTGTCGCCGCCAGCGGCGCCCGGTTGACGAGCAGAGGACGTGCGGTGGATCTTCAGCCCGTTGGCTCTCAAGAGACTGGCCTCCTCGGACAAGAGCTGCGAGGACTGTCTTCTCGTCTTGGCGGAGCAGGGTGGCTGCAGGCGGGCCGGCGACCCGGACTCGATGCTGTCGTCGGCGACCAACACGCTCTCGTTCTCGAACGCACCACCCTCCTGCTCGAACTCCGCCTCCACCCCGTCCTCGGCCTCCTCTGCCGGGTGTAAGTCGTCCTCCATCGAATCCAACACCGACCCGATCTTCTTCTTCCCGTACTTGATGAAGTCCTGTGGCACGTACAGGCCCGACCGTCCCAAGGACCCGACGATAGTGCTGGACGCCCGTCTCTGCGACGTCGTGTAGTTGAAATGGTGGCTCATGGCTGACTGGCTGTTGACGCTGTAGGTCCCGCTTCGATGTTTGTGCACCGCGTCTGTGTAGAGAACCTTGTCTGTGCTGCAGGTCCGGGGACGAGATGAGCTTGACTGCTCGACTGCTCCTGACACAGAACATGGCTGTAGGTAGGGCAGGGAAGAAAAAGTAAAAACCGGGCTTCTTGCGCTCACCAGGCGATAAAGAGAGAGGCCTCTGCCGCCACAGCGGAGAAGAAGCCGCGCGCGTGCACCTTCCCTATTGGGAAGGTGCATCACGTGAGAGGCACGTGACAATAATGTATTTATCACGTGATAGACACGTGATCACAAACCAAATAACACGTGACTAGCACGTCCTCCATTTTTCTCTTTTTTTCTCCTTTTTTCTCCATTTTTTCTCCATTTTTTCTCCATTTTTTTCAACTTTCCGGCGCTTCGAGACCTAAAATTTTTCTCTGCCCTTTTTTTCCCTTTTTTCCTCCTCGGAACAGCAGGCCGGCCGGAAGCGAGCGAGAAAGAGGTGGCTCCTGCCACTGGCTGTCTCTCTTTTTTTTTTCTTCCCTTTTTCCTTCCTACACCCCTCTTCTGTAGCGTAGTCTCTGGCAGCTTGGGTGTTGTGCAGGCGGAGGGTTCGGTTTCTTTCTCGTTTCCGGTTCTTAGCTCTTGCTCACCCAACCACAATAACACCACAGCGAATTTCCCCGCAGAAGTTCCCACTTCTCCCTGTTGCCCGTTAGTCTTCCCAGCGCCGACATAACCAGCCATCCAGCCATCCAAGCAGTCCACCAGTGAGTATGAGAAAGTGTAAGGTTTTTGTTGGTAACTCGCATCCCCAGCTCGGCAACCTCGTTTGCGAGAACTTGGGCATCGAGCCGGCTCCTGCGACGTTGAAGAAGTTTGCCAATGGCGAGACGTCCGTGCAGATTGGCGTCTCGGTCAGAGACGAGGACGTCTACATCATCCAGAGCAGCTCGCAGGACATCAATGACCACATCATGGAGTTGTTGATCTTGATTTCGGCGTGTAAGGGCGGTTCGGCTGCGAAGATCACCGCAGTCATCCCGCAGTTCCCCTACTCGAAGCAGTCCAAGATGAAGAAGCACAGAGGCGCCATCACCGCCAGAATGCTTGCCAACTTGTTGGTCATGGCGGGCGCCGACCACGTGGTTTCAATGGACCTCCACGCCTCGCAGATGCAGGGTTTTTTCTCCAAGCCCGTGGATAATTTGTATGCTGGGCCCACCTTGGCCAAGTGGATCAAGGAGAACGTCCCTGACCACAAGGACGCGGTCGTGGTGTCGAAGAACCCCGGCGGTACCAAGCGGGTCACCGCCTTGGCCGACCAGCTGAAAATCAACTTTGCCATGATCCACACCGACAGAAGAAGAACCGTCGACGGGTACAACGGGTTGATGAAACACAGACACGCCAAGAAGAGCCCCGAGTCCGTCTCCAGCGGCTCCAGCGAGAAGGACAACATCGCTTCTGCAGATATCCAGACGGCAAGAATAGTAAAGGGCCACGTCCTCGATGACGACGGATCCCTAACAGTGGACTCTGCCCCACTCTGCAAACCGACGCTGCACCACAAGGAGTCCGAGTTGAACTTTGAAAACAACGACTCGGATGACGAGGACGAGCCCGAGTTTAACGCCGAAGAAAAATTGATCACTTTGGTCGGTAACGTCCAAAACCGTCCTGCAATCATTGTCGACGACATGATCGACAAGCACACCTCCTTCATCGCCGCAGCAGAACACTTGAGAATGAACTGTGGCGCTAAGAGCTGCTACATTGTCGCCACCCACGGTATCTTCAACACTGACTGCTTGGAAAGGTTGAACGACTGCCCTTACATCGATGGGGTCATTGTCACAAACACCTATCCAATCTCTGAGGAGTCAATGAAGAAGTTCAAAAAGTTGACAGTCATCGACGTCTCTCCTATCTTTGCAGAATGCATAAGAAGAGATCACTTTGGCGAGTCCATCAGCGTCTTGTTCGACTCATTGGCTACTATCGTATGATACAAGTCAACAATGTATCACGTTCATCCATTCACCATTTCAATAGACTTCTTCCATTTACCACTGTTCATTTCAACAACCCCTATTTATATATTTTCCTACTTCCTTTTTCCCTTTACACATCTAATATAAAGGCACGGTGCTTTTCTTCCCCTTTTAGTTCGCCACTTTCCGTGGTTAGAACACATTCCAGTGACGCAGTCAGAGGACTGCAGTGCTTCTTCTCTTCATTGAGATTTAGTACTAACGGAGCATTGGAATAGTGACTGTCTTTCTTTTAAGCTACCTAACTTTTTGTTTCTGGTCAATAGATTTTGCTTCTACTATTGGACGGATGGTTATTAGGTAAACATTGTAATCTGAAATGTAACGTAGATGTAAAATATTGTTTGATTATGGCCATTTCCCATTGGTTACTATCAAATTCATAAAGTAAAAAGAAGTAAAAAGTCAAAAAAAATTCAAGAGTAAAGCTTACAAAAGTCTACCTGCATATTGGCCCATCCACACTACAACCTAGGCCTCCTTCACGGTTTACCTTCCGATAATGGACTTGAAATATTGACCGGCGTAAATTTCTTTGGCAAGGAAACCCTACTAAACCTACTCTTCAGTTTCTGCTGTACCAAATCCATGTCCAAGTGTCTTGTAAGGTTAATTCTTCTGATACATGAGATGTAGTGCTTGTCATCCAATTCCACGTCTAACGGATCTTGAGTATGGCAACCTGGACTTAATGACAACCTGATTGAATGCTTTTTGCTGCCACTTGTATTTTCACTCTCGTAAAGCTCAAAGACAATTTGAGACAAATAATCCAATTCAGGCAATGCATTACGTGCAATCTTCATTGGAACATTTGATTCATACAAGATATTCAATAACGTGTAGATATGCGATTCCTTAGTAAAATAAACCCTCGTTCCTGCTCTGTTGGTTTCTTTGATCTCTGTAATATCACTCAGTATTTGCTTAGCTAAAGGCAACGATGTCAACAATCCAATGTCCAGCTTTTCGTTGTCATCGATACCATACTCTTGTGGACAAATAAAATCAAACAACACTTTGGCGAGTCTATACAGCTCACGTAATAAGTTGTATTTAGGGTCATCAAATGGGGAGTCTTTTCGTTGTGTTTGTGATTTGTGTGCAGGCTTATATGATGACGATAAAACCCATCCGATGGATCCAGCAGGATTACTACTTGCCTCAGCAGATGAAGTGGAAGTGGCATCCAACGCTGAGTCGTTAACTTTAAAATCATTCATAGCCAATATATTGATTGGGTACTGTTTGACCAATGAGCCGGATAATTCACTTAAATAGGATTGGTCTTCCTCTAAGTTACCAAAATCATCATTTCTGACGAAAATTTTTTGTAAGAAGGCACGGTTATGTAATGCATCATACTTCATAGTATCATATAATTCACTGATCTTTGAAGGATGTACCTTTTCAACAGAAACGAACTCTTCAAACAATTTGTCCCATCTTTCCTTGAACAGGAACGGGTCCTCACCACAGCACCAGTCAGCCTGGAATTTCTCAACATCCTGAGTTTTGAAGTTCAGCTCCATCATTTTATGATGATAATTCATTAATTCAACCACTCTTTTGATAACAACAAATGGCTCAGGCATCTTTGGAGGCCATGCAAATTGGGGTGGTGCTTCTTTACCCTGTCTCAACAATGGCTTCAACTTCTTCTTAACCTTATCCATTAGATCTTTGGCAGCATTCGAATCATCCAATAAATCTTTCCTCACTTTCAGGAAATCATCAGGTAGTTCTTCTTCTGCCAAGAATGATTTGGAGAACAATTGCGCTGAAGCAACGACTCTTCTTTCTGAGGATGTGAAAACTCTCACATCATCTAATGCCGCTTTATTTAGCAACTGTATATCTTGACGAAATTGCTCACCCACATCTGTTGCTTGGTAACGAGCTGAATGGGTTGGCTCCCCACCCCATTTTAAAATCAACTGAACCTTTTCAATTTCATCTGTTTCTTTATTCAGCGCAGGCTTCAATTGAATCTTGGTACCAGGAAACGTCATTTTTTTCTCTAATGCACCTTCCAATTGTTTTAACTTTTTCTCATCTTCTAATTTCTTCTCACGAGCAACTTTGATGGTTTGCAAAACAACATTTAAGTCCCTGACTTCCCTAATAATAATTTCCTCTTTATATCCCTTCATGAGTGAGATGAAAATAGGGGACCTGAACGAATACTTAAATTTTTGTTTTGGTGTTCTATCTGCATGTCTGATAACAGAAACAAAACCCTTGAAGATCCATTTCTGTTTCTTCTCCAATATTGGATTAGGCACTTTACTTTGCTCTCTCAGAGTCTTTGCTTCCAAAAATTTAGTTCTCAAAATCGAAGCACAAGTATCATAATACTCTTTGTTATCTTTAACAAATGAAAAACCATTGACATCAATAACAAAACTTTTGCCATTTGTTCTTAACAAATCAAATCCACAAATAGTTTGCTGGAAATATTCACAAACCCGTTGAGCCATTCGAACTTCCTCTTCCGAAAGTTCCGTTGGATATCTGACCTCTTTCCCCTGAGTATTTCTTCTCACTATACCATCCACCACCGGAGATTTCCTGGTTTCTGCATGACAATAGCCCACACCTACAGTATAAGCCTTGACATCTTCAAAATTATCAGTATCGATGAATTCTTCATAAATGTACGAACCGTTGGTCCTGATCTCATTCAGCTGCGGATCAAATTCACTGGATTTATTTCCAATTTTTCTGAATAGTCTTCTACCACCGCCACCATTCTTTTTGGAGTAATAAATGTTGACATTGTGGTCTTCTCCATCGACAGGCTTTTCGACAAAAGGTTTTTTGATAATTTGACCGTCCACCATCAGAGTGTCGTCATCCACCATCTTCCAATCTGGTTCATCCACTTCGCTACAATCGATGCCTATTGCCTCCAATTTAGCTCTCAAATCGTCGTCAACTTGTGGACCACCATCTCTTGAAATGACCAGTCTATAAGGAGAAGGAACTTTAGCAGCCTTCAGGATCTCTAAACACAATCTTCTATCCCATAAAGCCTTCTGCATTATCAAATCATTCAAGCAGTATGGCTTTCTCAGTTTTGCATAAGCAATAGCTTTTTCTAGCGGGAAACCAGTACTGAAAAATGACATCAAGAAATCGCAAGTTGGCCAGTTTTCAACGGCCTCATCAAGGATGACTTTGTCGCCGAAAATGACGGTGTCAAATTCATCGTTTGCAATGAGCCTCTGTAAGATTTGTCGACATGGTTTAGATAACACCTTGTTATCCATTGCACATACTCCAATAGTACCAATGCGAGGGAGTTTCAACTTCGGACTTGAAGGAGAATCAGTTGTGGATGAGGTGGATAATGTTCTAGATTTCAGGATGGAGTTGAAAGAGTCAGAGGAAGAGATCGGACGTGGTGACGCCTCACCAGAGGTGACAACAGGGTTTGCAGCAGCATTCGCGTTGGATGCACTGGCATTGATGGACAGGCCGGAAACTTCACTCGATTTGCTCTTGTCAGACTGTGATAACTCGCTATCCTGTATTTCAGGTTCCTTCTTGCTGTCCTCTATGACAATTGTATCACTTGGTGAGTTGTTATTACTACCACTAGAAGATAACGCCACCGAAGGTTGGTGATGACTGATGCTTAGTGCACTAACGTTCGACACTGTTCTCGACAAGGCATCCTGAGAAGGAGACACAATTTCAGATTTGGATAGCACAGGAGTGAAATCTTCAAGGATTGGAGCAATGGAGGCTATGGCCCGGTGGTGATAGTCCAAGGACTCTTTCGTCAACAAAACAGGGTCAGCATCGTACCTTTCTTGCTCTTCCAGGAGCCGGTCGTCATCAACAGCTGAATCGATTGACATGTTCGAGTTGCTGGACATCGCCCTAACTGGCCTGATTCTGCACGAGGGATCCGGGAAGTCTTCGAAACTGATGTCGTTGAGGGGACTGGAAGGAATGTCTGCCTTCTTCTGTGCCATTTTCTGTTTGGCACCAACAACGCCCTCTTTGCAGCTAGCACGCCTTTTCTCCTTGCAGCAGCAGCAGCTGGCTACATCGGGGGACTAAAGGACTCTGCAATGTGGAGAGAACGTACTGTTCCCAATAGAGATCGCTCCCGCCATCGTCTGCCGTTTTAGGCAACCGAGGCGAACATGAAAGTTTGGAAAAAATTTTTATTTCTTGTATATTTTTTCTCTTCACCTGTCTGTCCTCGTAACATTCGGTTTTGCTTTAGATATTACAGTTACGCAAAATAGACCACCCAGGCCAGTCAGAAAGTAATCATATTTTGCTGATGACGACTACAGAGTTGAAAAGACAGAAGAACACCGAACAGACGGGCGATCTTAACGGTCATGGTAAGCAACAAGTCCGCAAGTCCAAGATTTTCAGTCCATTCAGAACTATCGGCCATGTTTCTAACGGTACTCCCTTTGCCATTGGAACTCTAGGATCTACCTTCTATATTGTCACAATTGTGGGAAGATCGTTTCAAATTTATGATGCTGCAACGTTACACCTACTTTTTGTGTCTAGCAAACAAACATCCGCTCCAATCTCTTGTGTGACAGCACGCTCCCTCTTTGTCTTCTGTGCCTATGGAAATAAAATTGGAGTTTTCAGAAGAGGTCGGTTGGAGCACGAAATGGAGATTCCTGATAGTCGGAAAGAAAAGAATTTTAGAATCAATAAATTACTAGTGTTCAATGCGTACCTGATTGCCTGCACAGATCACAAAGTTTACGTTTTTGAAAACAGAGAGGCGAGTGACAAGTTCCCAACAGTCTATTATACATCATTTGAAGTCAACCAAATCTACGGCAGTATTGTGGATGTTATCCACATGCCAACTCACATGAATAAGATTCTCGTTGCAACATCAAAACATCTGCTGGTTTATAATGTCAAGACAGCGAAAAATGTATATATTACCAGCGAGTTCAGTGAAAGTATCACTACAATCACAGCCGCTCCAGTTATAGACTTTATTGCTATTGGTACCGTGGAAGGTATATGCAAAATCTATAACGTGAAAAAAGGCAAAACATTGAAAAACATCAACACAGGCTCCAAGTCATTGATTACCTCTGTCTCCTTTAGAACAGATGGAAACCCAGATATTGTCTGCTCATTAAGAAATGGTGATCTATTTTTCTATGATTTGAATAGAAATGCTCGTATCCATCATTCTCCGAATGTTCACAAGGAAGAGTTTGGCGGTGTGTCAAAAGCTCAGTTTTTGAATGGAAACCCAATTATTGTAACTACCGGTGGTGACAACTCATTGAAGGAATTCGTTTTTGATCCTGCTTTATCCGAAACTAATTCAGCAGTTGTGACACCACCAAGACATTTGAGATCTAGAGGTGGACACTCTGCTCCTCCAAGCTCAATCCTTTTCAGTGATGAGAATGCCCACTTTGTTGCTTCGGGATCGTTGGACCGATCTTTTTGGCTTTTCTCACTTCGTAAAGATGCACAATCTCAAGAGATGTCACAAAAAGAAAGCAAGGTTAAAAATGGTAAACTACAGGCTGGAATGTCTGGAAAGTTCAGAAACAAGTTCCCCCCAATTGTTTCTATTGTACAAGAAAACAGTAGGTCAAAAGAATGGGATAACATTTTGACTGCACACCAAGACGAAAAGTTTGCGAGAACTTGGAGCTCAAAAAATAAGAAGATAGGTAAGCACCATCTAGACACAATAGACGAAGGTATAGTCAAGTCTATCGCCATCAGTCAATGCGGTAATTTTGGTTTCGTTGGTAGCAGTAACGGTGGTATAGGTGTCTACAACCTTCAAAGTGGAGCATTAAGAAAGAAGTACAAGCTGCATAAGAAAACAGTCACAGGAATTGCTGTTGATGGTATGAATAGGAAAATGGTTTCATGCGGTTTGGATGGTATTGTGGGCTTCTATGATTTTTCTCAAAGTAAATATTTGGGTAAACTCACCTTCGATGCTCCAATAACCAGCTTATGTTACAATAGATCAAGTGACCTTTTTGCCATTGCGCTAGATGACTTGTCAATTGTAATCATTGATGCTGTATCACAGAAATCAGTGAGACAGCTTATTGGACATACCAATCGAATTACATCCATGGACTTTTCCAACGATGGTAGATGGCTGGTATCATCATCGCTAGATTCGACGATAAGAACGTGGGATTTGCCTACAGGAGGTTGCATAGATGGTATCAAGCTGCCAAAAGTGGCTACAAATTTGAAGATGTCACCGAATGGAGAATTCTTAGCTACATCTCATGTCAATGATGTGGGAATATCGTTATGGACAAACAAATCCCAGTTTAAAAAAATCTCGACGAAGCATATCGAGGATGAAGACCAGTTTGCGAATATACTTTTACCCAACGTAAGTGGTGAAGGTGGATCAAGCTTAATAGAAGGTGCTTTAGATTCAGATGAGGTTGATTTAGAAGATGGCATGTATATATCACCAGAAAACTTGAACAACGATTTAATTACCTTCTCCAACAATTCAAGGAATAAATTCAACTCTGTTATCTATCTTGATTCTATCAAACAAAGAAATAAAACAAAAGAAGCTCCAGCGAAGCAAGATAATCTACCATTTTTCCTGGAACTTACAGGTTTGAAAGTTGGTAATAATGCCATTGAAAACGAAGTTGGCAAGGATGCCTTAGAAAAATTAAATCAACGACAAGACGAGGAAAATCCAACATCAAAGTTGTTAAACCTGGATAAAAATAAAGAGTATCAGTTTGAAACAGAGTTTACGAAACTATTGAGATTGAAAAAATACAGCGAGTTCATCGACTTAATTGTGGGGTTGTCACCATCAAACATAGATTTTGAAATCAAATCAATATCGTTCACACCTCCGTACGATGAGACTGTCTCATTTTTCAAAGCAATGAAGTTTGGAATAACATCGAATTCTAATTTTGAGATGCTAGTTGCCATTGTATTCAATTTTTTTCAATCACATTCTGATACTATATATGAAATCAAGAAACTCTCTAAGAACTTTGATGAAGATGCAATCAAAGTTGTGGAGGCTATGAACGACTTCCAGAAGTCCTGTATTGAAGTGGTGGAGAAGTTAAACGAAATTACTAAATATTGTTCCAGTGTGGTAAATTTTATCACAACCACCTAACCCTCTCTTCTCATGTCTAAATCGTTTATAATGATACATAATTGTACATAGATTTAAATGCAAATCTAAAAGTTTTGAGAGTACTATGCTGGCTTTATAGTGCTTTGGAGCATTTATAATGCAGAACATCTCCATTGGGATGAAAACATAGTATTTCCGACTTATTAAAATTTCTACCACAATGGACACAAATACTGCTTTGTGTCATTCTGAACATCTTGCGTTCAAGACTCAGTTTGTCCAACTTCATGTTTATGACGTTCACTTTCAATAGCTCATTTTTGACTATCAGACTTTTGTTAGTTGAATTCATTTTCTTCAAATTCATTATTAAAAATGATGACATGAGATTAACTGAGATATCATTGGGAAGTTTGATAAGTATCTCTTCAAAATCGATATAATCAAGAGCGGGGTTGTTTAGAATATAATTGATAATACTAGGATGATCTTTTTTTTTCAAACACAGGTCGATTACTTTGAAAATCAAACCACGACTCAAGCTGTCATTTTTGATATCTCGTACATGTAGACAAAAATCAATGGATGATTCTATATCATTCAAACCGTATACATATATGTTCAATATATCGTCATATCTACCCAATTTCATTAGTGGGGGTATCATTAGTTTTTGGGATATGTGTGAAGATGGTAAGCTTCTTAACTTTTTCAAAATTTGATTGGCGTTGTAAGAACTAACAGAATAGAGCTTTGCAATTTTCTCGTGGTTGGCTTCGATGTCGGCAAAATAAATATCAAACAATTCATTTGATAGTTCCAAGCTGGTGACTTTTTGGTGAAGAATAAGATATTCCAGATATCTTAGTCGATAGTTCTTCAAGTTAGGGCGAGTGAGGTATTCGACAACTTGTCTATAGTCAACATTAGAGTAGTCAATATTGTTATTCAACAAAAGTAAATCAAAATTGTTACTATTACTATCAACGATGACTTGTAAGTTATCTGTGATTAGCTTCATAGGAACCTGAGGAAGTTGTATCAATTTTTGTAAAAACTTCACTAATTCATCGATTTTTCTCAACTGGCGTAGCAACTCAATTGATTTACTGAATTCGCCTCTAGTATAATAAAAAGTTATTAGTTGGTCCAACAAATCCAATTCTTTACATTTTTCTTCAACCATTTTGAAGTCGCAGAATGTCTTAGATCTTAAGAAGGGGTTGATCATTTTTGTGTTTACCAACAAATAACATTCAAAAAGGTAGTTATCTAGAAGTGTTAAATTTTTCTCTACTGAAAAATCAGAATCGTCATCTTTGTAAACGGAAAGTGTGATTTCAAGGTTGTTGTACTTGAAAACAGTGAAGGTGTTATCTAAGAGTCTTATTAATTTTCTTCTTGAATCAGTGAAAAATCGTATCAACTGGTAGATCTGAGACTTGTGGGTATATGATGGTGGTAGTTCTCCGCTTTCAATCACTTGTTTCAACCCTTGAGGGAGGTTTGATATTACTTGCTTTGGCGAGCCCAGATATTCTGCAAAAAGATCGATTGCCTTTGAAAATTGATCATCTGATGATTGTAGTAAGAATATTGCCTTCAAGAGTTGAAACTTCCGTAACTTCTCAAATTTCAGTTGAGCAACATTTTGCGTTGTAGAATCAGGATCGGTGGTAAAATTAGAAATGTCCAGGTTTTCAACCAAGAGTATTGCATTGTCGTAATCTTTTTCGTTATAGAGGAGTTCAAGTATTTGGTTGTAGTCTATCATTTCCAAAATTGTTATTCTATCTTTGGTTAGAACGGAAAGGTTTGTATCATGATAGTCTATTTTGATGATCGAATCGAGAAGAATAGTTTGGAAGAGTTTGAAATCGGCTATACTTCTCACCTCGATTGAATTTCCGTACATTAAGAAAATGAAGGGGAATTCTATTTTCGAAGCTTTGAAATTGGTACTCGTGATTTTGACATGCACAAGCTTTTCAAGATTTGGATATGCCAAGGCTATAAACATGTCATATTTGAGGAACACTATTCGATTATTGAAGAAGTGGAGGTTGGCCAACTGATTACTGTGTTTGAAAGACATCATAGAGCTTTTTATGTTCAAGAGTTTGAACAAGTCATTGTGTTTTATTTTAGTCGTTGTGAGGTTGACATGTACCAAGTCGTTAGGGTTAGAGGAGGATATGCACAAGAGCTGGTCTGCTGCGATGAACTGTGTGAACTGCGTATTTGACATATAGAGATTATATCGGTCGACAAAACTATGGTTCACCCATTTGAGGACAACCACTTGATTTTTCGAAGCTAATGCCACACACGATATCAAGTCGGAGAGTTCACCGGTCGACGATTTCGGCAGCAATGTCTGTGTTGGTTCTGGTGGATCATTCATCGTCTCACTTGAGGGGCTGTCTGTATCGCTGGGCGTAACTGGCCCATACGAAACACGCTGGCGTTGATCTAGCACCACCGTTGCCAAAGAAATCATATCCGAGTTTGTGTCTCTCGAGACAACATGATTGGACGATATGTTGTTCCAGATAGACACGCTGGTGGATCTAATATTTATCGATTGGTAATGTGGTTTTTCCTTGCTTTGAATGTTGTCTACGTTTCTGAATTCCACCAAATCATCGTAGACAATGATTAGGATATTTATGTGTGGTATGCAGTACACTTCTCTAATCTTCACGATTGAGTCATATATTTTGTCGAGCTTTTTTCCCGTTGCTGTTTTGTATATTCCTGTCGGCGTGGCGACGTAGGTGATTTTGTCTGCTGTGGCTATAGCTATAGGCACTTCTTTGATAGATTCTTTGAGGAGGGAAGACCCCAGTTGTTTGTTGAACAAAGCAGCCATTTCTGTGCTGCCGCTGCTTTCTGCAGAGAAGAATTGAGCAGTAACGGTGACCTGGAGCACGTCTCAAGGGTTTATTATAAGACAATAATGTGTGTCTACACTAGTGTGTAGCCAAGATGGGATCCGCGTACTGTATTTTTGGTCTTTTTTCTTGAACCGGCCGATCGGCGCCTCGAGGAAAGAACACGGATATACAAGGTTGTGTTAGAGCTAGGTCCAATGTTGGTGGGAGACGAAACCTGTGTCGGGTAGCGTAGCAAAGATTTGCAGAACCAATACCGAGCTGATGTAAAGTCGGCGTCAAAAAGAGGGCCGCCAACAGGTAAGAAGCACGAGAACTACGCGGTGGAGATGTGCGGGGGAGACGTTGCGATAGGAGTGTGAGTCGGACCATCGATCTCTGCGGCCCCGTTGTCTCGAGGGTATAGATTACAGCCACGGACAGCCCGTTACCAAGAAAAACGCAGGAGGTCGGCTCTTGTCAACGAGACGTCACTTGGAGAAGTCGGGAAGTCGGGAAGTCGGGAAGTCGGGAAGTCGGGAAGTCGGGAAGTCGGGAAGTCGGGGAGTCGGGGAGTCGGCCCCCCAGTGCATCAACCCAGGTTCGATGGAATCCCCAGCACCGGCGAATAAGCAGCCAGCGGGAGAATGAACAGCCTTGCAGTGTTGCAGTGCAGTGATGTAGTGCAGTGCTGTTTTCCCTCCTTCTTCTCTCCGCAGGCTGATAGCGGCAGCATGCTTTTTTTTCCCCACGGACTTGCAACACAGAGAGGCGGGTTGTAGTTTTTCCGATAGGCACCAGCCGAGGAGACGGACCGTTGTGGCACACACATATGCGGCCTATTTTGCCCCGGGGGGAGTGGTTGTGGGGATGGGGCGGCGGCTGCGGCGGCGGGTGGAGCCTGGAAGGAAAGGAAAGGACACGATAGTAGCGATGGACAACCGTGTGAAGACGGTCATTGAGCGGGAGGAAGAGCGGAGGCGGGTGAACGTGGAGCTGCGGGAACGGTACCGGCGGGTGCTTCGACGAACGGTGCTGTCGTTCGACAGTCCTGGACGGGAGCGGGTGGTGTACGAGAACGAGAAGATGATCGACCGGGTGCAGGAGGAGCTGGACGGGCGGGTGAGGTACATGGAGCAGGTTGCGAAGGCGTTGCAGGACCGGGTGGAGCACACGGAGGAGCGGATGGCCCGGAGTGAGACGGACAAGGTGCAGCAGCGGGTGGAGCTGCTCAACCAGAAGATCCGCATTCTGGAGGCGACGGTGCGGCACATAGTTTCCCGGAATGCATGAAGGCTTTGATACACAGATATAGAAGTGGATATGGATATAGATGCGGAGAGACGTGTTGGTCAGGGAGCGCCTCCCTTTGCCACGCGTTCAAACATGCGTGTGCTTTCCCAGCCCGTGTAAACGACCCGGAAGCCGTCCTCCATGTTGAGGCCGCGTTTGAGCGGCTTGCCGTACACCACCAAGTTGCGGTACACGCTGAGATACACGTCGTCGTTGTACTCGGCGAGCTTGCCCAAGGAGTGCGTCTGCTTGCGCTTCTGGTACTCGACTTTCGGGACGGTGGGCTTCAACCACTGGGCCCTCTGCTCCTCCCACAGCTGTGCGCCGGACATGGCAGGCCCGGCGGCCTGCTTCACCGACCCGTCGGACGAGAGGGTCGTGCTCTTGGTGCTGGCCGTGCTGGTGCGCGTGCTGTCGGTGGTGCTTTTAGAGTTTCGTACCCTGGACGCCTCTGCGGAGGGGCTCATGGTGGTTGGGCTTGTTGTGTTGTCCGAAGTTTTCCTCAAAACGTCTGTGTAGTCCTTGAACTCGTCCTCGCTGTCGAGCGTCTCGAAGAGATTGTCCACGTCCCGGTCTTCTTCGTGGTGTAGAAGCACCGCGCTGGACATCTGCCTGAGAGAGTGCATGGCGCTGGCGCAGCGGGTTCTGAGCGAGTCGCCGATGGACCGCTTGCGCTTGACTTCGTTCGCCATCGTGCTGTGCTTGCTGTGCTTGCTGTGCTCGGTGCTTGCTGCGCTGCGCTGTGCTGTGGTATCTGCTCCTGTGCTGGATGTCCCGACACGATAGAAACGCCTGCTGCGGTGCGCTGTGCTCTGTGCTTCTGTTCCTCCTACCGCTCTCCCCGTCTCTCTGCCAAGCGGTGCAACGGAAGAAGATAGCGTGTGCGCCTCAGATTAGCTTTCCCCACCCACGCTGGGGCGGCTCAGGGCGGTCGTGCACGCCCTGCACTGCAGAAAACGCTTGTCCGCAGACACCACTCTGCGAGGCGTGGGCCCTGCCCCGGCACGCCGCAGCGTATCGGGAGTGTGGGAGGTGTGTCACAGCTTGAGGGTAATCGCGGCTGCAGCGCAGCGACGCGACGGCGCGGGGCACCGTGTGCCCCGCGCGAGGCTCAGCGGAGTTCACGTAGACCCGGCCCGCGGTTGCACCTCCGGCACCAGCGTACGCTGTCGATGGCGACGCTGGCGCCGTCGTGCTGCGCCGGGCCGGCCCAGGTCCGGGAGTTGTAGCAGTGGCGGTAGCAGCCGTGGTAGGCGGTCAGGGGCGGAAGGATGCGGAGACGCACGACAAGCACGTCGGAGACGTCTGCGGCGGGGCTGTCGGGCTGGACGGGGTAGCGGGGCTCTGCGGGCAAAGGGGCAACTTGAGGGTGAGGGCTGACGTCAGCGAGCGGGTCTGTGCTCTGCAGGATGCCGCAGTGGTAGAGAATGGCCACGACGTCGCTGTCGTCCGTGTACACGTCGGTGCCCCACACATGGCGCTGGTAGACGTTGTCGTTGTGGTAGAGCTGGTAGCGCGGGATGCGCACGTCGATGGTGCAGTTGAGGTGGTTGCAGACGAAATCGGGCAACAGCGGCAGGGCGACGGGGACAGGGGCGAGGTGTGGTGCCGGTGCAGGTGCCGGGGCTGAGCCGTGCAGCGTGTGGTCGACGTAGTGCTGTTCCTGCGGCGTGAGGTTGAGGAAAAACGCCCTGTAGTTTGCTGCTGACGGCCGCTCGACGTACTCGACGTGGCCCAGGTGTTTGCAGGGCAGCAGTTTGATCTGGTCCCTCGCTGCCGACGCAATTGGCATGGCTGTGGGTGTGGGTGTGGGGGCGGGTGGTGGGTGGTGGGCGGCCCACGGCCGCAAGGGCTCGTCCCAGGCCGGTGCTGCCGGAGCAGGAGAGTTTCTTTCAGCTTCGCAGGCCCCCGGCAGCACCCCCTCGCGAGCGAGGACGCGAGCGTCCGGATGGGGAAACGGGCCAGTGCGATCGCCATTGGTGCGGGTGCTGCTACAGATAGAGGGGTGGAGACACACACGTCTCTGCCACGACTGCGCACGGAGTGGGCTCGGGGCCCCGAAACGCCCAGCCACACACTGCAGCGTCCCACCCAGCCATGTTGCAGGCGTCCTACACGAGGTTGCTCAACAGCAACAACTTCGCTGCGATCGGCGACAGCGACCGCGTCTACAACACGACGCCGGAGGGCCTCGCGGAGCTGGTCGCCGGCGTGGCCGGCGACGACGCCGGCGACGGCGCCGCAAAGCCCTCCCTGCCGGACTACATCGGCGTCGCAAACTACTGCAAGTCGCTGGTCCTCAACCCCGCCATCAACAGCTTCAACTTGCAGGTCGACGACATCATGCGCATCTGGGAGACCCGGCTCCTGTGCATGTTCATCGTGAACCTCGCTGCAAAGAAACACTTCGGCAGCACCAGCAGCACCGGCCTGGTCTCCGACAAGATGCTGCAGGTCGAGGCCGGCAACGTGCTCGACCAGGTGGCGTACCTCAACTCCGCCACAGCCGGCGCCTCCGCCGCCGGCGACGTGCTCCAGAAGCAGAGCACCCACCCCCGCTCCCGCAAAGACGTCAAGCTCGATCGCCAGTTCGCCAACCTCCTCCTGTGGATCAAGCACGCCGGCAGAGACCTCGTGCTTCTCGACCACTACTACAAGGAGGCCTTCCGGGCCCGCACGTCCGGCCAGCATGACCAGGACTACCTCGGCCGCCTCCAGTTCGCCATCCTCGGCGTGCTTCTCCGCCGCAAGGAGCTCTTCACTGCCTACACAATCGCCAACCAGGAGAACCAGCTCACCTCCGAGCAAATGCTCCGTGTCCGAGACAGAATCGACAACAACACCCCAGACACAGACCTCTTTTGTCTCCGCTTATCTCTCGAGCCCGTCACCCCGGGGACAGAGCCACCCTCTGCCGATCGGAACCGCTCGCCCAGCCCGCTCTACAGGCAGCTCGCTCAAACCCTCGACGCGTGCACGTGAGCGCTGCCACCCCGCGCACCACAGTCACCGCGGACGGTCTTTCGAGCTCCAAAAAAGCGTCTTATAGTCAGAACCGCAGAATGAGAAAAAAATACGAGCACTGCGGGACTCCCAAAAATTTTCCAGATTTTCCACAAGGCATGCACCCGCTGCGACGGAGCTGGCGCGACTCTCTCCTCTCTCCCTCCCTCGCTCGCAACCTACCGCATCACCAATCGGGGACCAGCGACTGCTGCCTACGTACTGTATGGTCTCCCAGCGGGTTGGAGGTGGAGGACTCCCATACTGGAGGAATGTACAGGGTGAAATTTCGTTGTTACTTTAGTGGTTTTTAGTTGTAGACTTTGAATATACAGGCTTCTTCTTTTTCCCCTCCAGACAAGTAGAACACCCATCCCCTCTGAACAGTACAAAATGGCCAAGGAATTAAAGGACGCAGTCACCAGAGAATATACCATCAACTTACACAAGAGACTCCACGGTGTCACCTTCAAGAAGAGAGCTCCAAAGGCCGTCAAGGAGATCAAGAAGTTCGCTAAATTACACATGGGCACCGACGATGTCAGATTAGATCCTAAACTGAACGTTGAATTGTGGAAGAGAGGTATCCAAGGTGTTCCTTACAGATTGAGATTGAGAATCTCCAGAAAGAGAAACGAAGACGAAAACGCAAAGGCCACCATGTTCTCCTACGTCGAATCCGTCAGTGTCCCTACTGTTAAAGGTTTAGAAACTATCGTCGTTGAAGATGATGAATAAATTATTTAATTACTGCATATCACTTTGACTCAAGTCCAAGACAAATTATCCTTGCAATAGTTTTCTAATCTATCTATATAAAATCCCTACGACTGTTTTTAATAAAACTTTAATAAAAAATCTTCAAAATTTTTAAACTCAAAGGCACGGGAAACGATGCTACACACAGCAAAGTAAACTACCTTCACCACGAATGGTGACTACAACTGAGGCTAAGGCTAAGGCTAAGCTGAGGCTGAGGCTGAGGCCGGGGCTACACTACATATACAACACAAAGAAAAATCAGTGTAACTATGACAAATGTACCCATCACAACAACTAGTCCGCGTAATGCCCCCTTCAAAACGAAGCAGACAAAACAAGTTGGAAACACAGGGGGCTACCCCCATGCCTTGTTCAAACGTTGGCACGATTAAAAAAAACTTCATCATCTTTTCTATGTGTATTGTAAGGAGAAAAAAAGGGAAAGAGTCTAAAGAGCTCAATTCGGGCGCCTGCAAAGCTCATGAAAAAAGGCGGCATATCCTTATGCCTTCATCCTTCATCCGGTGCTCTTCAAGTGGTCAATGTTTCGATGACCCAGCCGGACACAACGTCAAACCATCGTCCATACAGTATCACCATTGGCATTTGAGTAGCAGCATTAGCGCTTGGTTGACTTTTTTTTCTCCCTCAGCAGGCCTAACTCCCTCGCACGCAGCCTAGGCTGGCTTTATTTTCTCTCTCTCAATACACTCACTATACAGACAGTAAGGGTTTCTTTAAACTTATTAATGGTATATTGTAACTGACTATACAAACTGCAAAATCTATAAATTTGCCATTTTGCTCCGGTCTTCTCTTATAGGAACGCTGACGCTTGTTCCAAAGCCTTCCTCCCCGGGTCTCTTCAAGTCGTACCTTTGGTCAAACCACTCGAGCAGCCCAATGAGGTCGTTGCACTCGTTTAAGCCGATAAGTGTCTTCCTCTCGATAAGCCCTTCCATCATGCATGATAAGTGATGTTGAACTAATCTGAAAGGTAAACCGTACGCAGTAGCATAATCCCAGAACTTCTCGATTGCACCCCATGGACACTTCTCGTACCCTGCAAACATCGCAGGATTGTTCAAAACCCCACGAACGGCCATAATACCGTCACATTTGGTCAACTCCCTAATCTCGTATGCATCTTTCAAGCTGAAACAGTCTCCGTTAGCAATGACAGGGACACTGACATTCTCTTTGACTATTCGTATCTTATCAAAATTGGCTGGCTGGCTGCTCCGTGTATTCTTGGTTCTTCCATGCACAGTAATGAAGTCAACTCCTGCCTTTTCGACACTCTTTACAAAATCAATCGTCTCATTGATATCGTCGTGAACACGAATCTTGGTCTCAATACATATATCGTCCCCCCATCTTTTCTTCACCTCGTACACCATTTCGGAAACAAGCTGTCTGTTGCTCATCAAAGCTGCACCAATACCTTCACGTACCTGCTCCTTGATTGGGCATCCGCAGTTGATGCCAATACCGTCTACGTAAGGCTGCACCATCTCAACAAATCTCAACAAATCTGTAACGTTGTTGACCCCAACCTGTACGATCAACGGTCTGTCCGAGTTGTTCGTTGTGAAATCACTCAACCTGGCGTTTTCGTTTCTCACAAACTCCCTGGCTAGTATCATTGGACTGTAAACGATGTCACATTTATAATCACGGACTAACTTACGGAAAGGTAGTTTTGAGTATCGCACCATCGGTCCCGCAACAAATACCGGTCTGCCCTCCTTCTGATATCTTCTGATAATGTTTATCGGTTTGTCATCTGGATTTCTCGGTTTCACATGCATCATATTTGGAATAACGGAGGAGTTGATTTCACTCCGTACATGTTCGTTTTCACCATCTTGTTCTTGTTCTCTCACTGCATCTTCAACATCATTTGCAACCACAGGCTTAGCACCAATAATGACGTTACTAGTAGCCATTTCTATTCGACTAGAACCGAACCTAATACTGTTGTAAAAATGTGTGTATTCTGCTGACCGTTTAGTGATGAAAGCTAAACCGAACAACCGATATCTAAAAGCAGAGAGAATCACTTTGATGGCTGGCGGGAGGAGTTAGAAGAAAAGAAAGAGAGTGACTGGAAGAAAAGCAAAGTAACTGAACTAGCTTGATTTTTCTCTGCCTCTTATCACCTTTGTTTTGAAGCTGGCACGATAAAGCTTAAATTTGGGCACATCGCAATCTCTGCGGCCCCGACTTTGTTCATTCGTCTGATCTGGTCGAAGATAAAAAAATGGAAAAAAATGGCTGGCAGAGCGAAGCGTATGGACTTTCCCTTTCAGGAAGTTGGGCCCATGGTCCATTCCCAATGAGGCAACTCAGTAGGCTTATCAGTGCCTTGCCTATTCGGAAGTGGAATATAGGATGGGATAGAAAGCACTCTAGTTAGGTGAATAACCACTCCGAAACAAATGCACACGGTCCAAAAAGGTCGGCTGGTGGATGTGCTAGGAAAAGGGAGGTAAAGGAAATGAAGTCTATCAAATCTAATTGTAACTTGCTCAATGCCAACACGGAATGTATGTCCCCTAGATGCCTCAGCTTTGATTGTCAATCGTAACACCAGCAGGTTGGTCAGTTCCTTTCATGTCACAATACACTTATATCATGTCATGAAGCAACTGTTAAGTAGCTTAATTAAGCTTGTTTCACATACACAGAAAAAGCTGTCTTGGGGCCACACCAGCCACGTGACTTGATGCTTAGCTATTGTGAATTTTTCAGGCTCTCAACTTTTTTTTTTCCATTTCTTCAGTTTTTACTAGTTTTTATCAGTTTTTCAGTAGGAAGTTGGAAACCAACCTTCGAGTAAAAGTGGATACAGACATCAAACGGCTGTCATATACTATTCAAACAATGTCTGAGGTTGAATCAAACAAGAGACCAGCAGAAGAAGTAACGGATGTTTCTATTGAAGTGAAGAAGTCTAAAACCGATGAGGTACCTAAGGGTGTTGCCTCCATCAAACCTGAATACATAATTTCAGCTTCTGATGCTGATGCAATTTTCGATGACGATGCTGCAGAAGCCTCTACTGCTGTGGAGCAAGAGGAGATGGAAAAGAGCAACAACAACAATGGCAAGGGCAAAGGCAAGAACAAAAACCGTGGTCAAAATAAAGCTAGGAAGTTAGTTCAAGTTAAGGACGAGATGAAAATCTGTCCGTCTATAATGGATCCTGAATCAGGTAAGCAATGTCTTAAGGGCTCCGAGTGTAGCTGGTGTCATGATGTCACTGCTTATTTGAAACAAAAAGAGCCTTGTATCGAAGGTGCTTGTCCAGTGTGGAAGGAGTTGGGTTACTGCCCGATGGGAATCAAATGTAGATGGTTGAAATCTCACTTCAACTGTGACACAAACACCTTGATTTATGAACAAGGTTATGCTAGAGATGAGAACAAGGGTGAAGTCAATTTTGTGAGCCTTGCAGACAAGAGATTGCTACATGCCAAGAAATTTGACTTCAAAACAAGCGAAGTAGCTTTAAAGATGGTTGATGAAGACAGGGTAGCAAAAATGGACGCTGAAAAGAGAAAAGCGTTAGAGAATGAATTCAACGAATCTAAGGTCAAGGCTTCGGAAAAGAAGAAGTTAGATTACAAGAACAAAAAGGTATTATCACCATTAACAACAGTTGGTAATTTACCTTACAGAAGATTGATGAAAACTCTAGGTGCAGACGTTACGTACAGCGAAATGGCCTTAGCCAACTCTTTAATCAGTGGTCAGAATAGCGAATGGGCATTGTTGAAAGCACACCAGAGTGAATACCCCGGCTTTGGTGTGCAGATTGCAGCTTCCAAGCCATGGCAAGCTGCTAAGTCTGCTGAGGCCATTTACAAATTTGCCAACAAGAACGTCAGTGAAATTAACTTGAACTGCGGTTGTCCAATTGACTTATTGTTTAAGAAAGGTGAAGGTTCAGCATTGATGTCGAGCTCTAATAGAATGAAAAACCTTTTGAAGTTGATGAACGATTGTAGTGGTGATCTCCCAATTACTGTTAAGATGAGAATGGGTATTTTAGACAAGAAGCCTGTAGCCATTGATATTGTGGAAAAATTGCTGAATGCCGGAGACGTTGGTGCAATTACCATCCATGGCAGATCAAGACAACAGAGGTACACCAAAGAAGCAAATTGGGATTATATCGAGGAGGTTGGTAAGGTTGTGAAAACATATAATGAAAAATACGAGGAAATGAAAGATGTTTCAGATAGGCCAAATCCAGTCTACTTGATCGGTAATGGTGACTGTTTCACCCATGAAGATTGGTATGAGCATACTGCCAGGCAAGGAGTGGATACGGTCATGATTGCCAGAGGTGCATTGATTAAGCCATGGATTTTTGAGGAAATTGAGGCTCAACAATACCTCGACAAGTCATCAACTGAAAGATTAAGAATTATAGAAGATTATGCCAAATATGCATTACAGCATTGGGGTACTGATGAGTTCGGCATAAACACGAGTAGAAGATTTTTGTGTGAATTTTTGTCTTTCACATACAGATACATTCCTGTAGGAATTTTAGAAAAACTACCACCAAAACTAAATCAAAGACCACCAAAATGGAGAGGTCGTGATGACATGGAAACTTTATTAGGCTCAAGTGACTACAAAGATTGGATCAAAATTACAGAAATGTTTATGGGTCCTGCCAATGAGAGCTTTAGCTTTATTCCAAAGCATAAAAGTAACTCATATGAAACGCCGAGAAACTAGGTTTCACGTAAGAATCGTCAGTTAACTATGTAAGAAGTTATATGAGTTCGTATATGTCTTTTGTATGACAATAAAAGAAAGAAGGAACCAGAGGAAAAAAGATACTATTTTTTTCTATCAATTGATACATGATTGTTTATTGTTAGTCAGTACTCATCACTTAAAGCTTTTGATTTCTTTAGCAATGCTTTCTTTTCTGCTTCCAATTCCGTGATCTTTGCTCTTAGCTTTTCATTATTTGCATCCGAAGCAGCTGGACGAGAACCGGACTCGGATTCCAATTTTTTGACTTTTTCCTTCACTTCCAATAAGTCAAATACCATAGTGTATGTTCTGTTCAATATCAAGGAGAGAAACAACGTAAATCCACAAAGGTACATGTTTCTTTGAGAGTAAAATCTTCTAGACTGGATCTCTGCTCTACTCACTCCACCGTTTAGCATGTCATTGCTGTTGAGAGTGCCATTGTATAGCTCGTTGGTGACCTTCATGGTTCTGTTGACCGAGTCTGCAAACATAATACCTATAAATACAAAGACACATTTTGTGACCACTTGAAATTGCTGTGAGTGGAACGGGATGGATAATGCTTTTAATAGCGGACGACGAATCTTAGATGGTAGTGGAAATGAAATCAATGAGAACATGACCATTTCGGCCACAAGAAGGGAGAAAGTGAGAACGTATTGAAATGCCATTTTGTGGTCTCCTCTGGTGGTTTGTAAGAATAGTGTTCGATACGGTTGCGAAACAATCAATTGCTAAACAATTGCACTTAATTTTGGTTTAGCAGAAGAAATGAAACAAAGGCAAAGAAATTGAGGACGTGTCCCAGCCTTCTTTATCAGAGTGGGTGGCGCAGAAAGTTCAGAGGGCAGAGAAATCGAGCCCCCCCCCCCCCCCCCCCCCCCAAATTTTTTATTCTTATTTTTGACATCATCGAGCAGCTTCTTGAGCGCAGTGTTATCATGTATTGGAAATAAACAAACTATAATATAAATGAATGGAAATGGTGTAGATACAAATGGATTTATATACGTAGCTTTATATAATGATCTATACACAGATGGTGTAGACATTTGTTAGGGGTTAGCATGAAAAAGTGATGAGAAAAAATCGTAGGCGGTAAAAGGGTGTTAGTTTGCGTGGAAACTATGCTGTCTATTGGGTTATAGAAAAGAAGATGACTTTTTTTTTCGAGTGCTAGTTTGCACTGCTTTTATTCTTTTTGAATTCTAGCATACCTATGATAAGGTAAGATAGGGTGTGATTCTATGCTGCGATATTGGATCAATGCGTTGTATGACCTCTGTGATACTTCAAGCCGTTGAGATTCTTGTAGCGCTTACCACAAACTTCACACCTGTAAGGCTTATCTTTTTCGAAGGCCATTCCATTCGGGTACGGCGAATCTGAATCCGGGTTGATGACTGACAGAGTTCCATCCGAGTTTTCTCTCAACGTTTGATTCTGGTGGCCATGTAATCTGTGGTACTTCAAACCATTTTGGTTCTTGTAGGTCTTGCTACAGCCGAGAACGGGACACTGGAAAGGACGTTCGTCCTTCCGTTCGATGACATAAAGTCTTCTAGCCGGATCGTCGATGCATACTTCCTGACCCATGTCATCATCATCCATGTTTGCGTCGTCAACATCCATTTGGAACTGTGTATCGTGGTCCATGTCCATTTCACCGTCATTGTGAGTTCGTATTCCTCCTCCTTTATGCATTGAAAGCTGTGTGTTTTTGATTTTCTGATGGTTGTTTGTGATGTTGCCTGGAATACCAGTGCCGTGGGAGTTATGGGTGTTGGTATTGTTGCTGGTGTTGTTGAGATCAGCATGGGAGTTGTTGTCATTGGATTGATGGGTGTTATTAAGGTTGTTCATGTTATTAAGGTTGAAATTATTAGAGGTATTGTTATTAAGATTGTTTGTTGTGTGGTCGTTACCGTCATATGCGCTCTGAGGATTATTGAGTTGGTGCTGGATTTGTTCGTGGAACATTTTTGTCTGATTTTCCAAGTCTTTGGTCAGACGGTCGTTCTGGAAGTAGCTTGCGCCATTGTTTGTGGAAAAGTCAAACTGCATTGATTCCTGCTCCTGACTGTTCAACTTGTTGAGGCTCGCCTGGTTGGTATCTCCAAAGTTGAAGTTGGAGAGAGTTTTATGGAGCTCATTGTTCTGCAAGTTGTGGTTGTTATTCTGGTCGTAGGTCATGTTCAGGTTGAAGCTGGAGATTTTGCTGTTGGACTTAGGGTTCATGCTGAACTTTTTGTTGTTGTTGTTCAAGTTCTGCTTTGTGTTCAAGTGGTTGTTGAGAAAGACCTCATTGGTTGGGACTGCGCCTATCGAGTTATTTGCCATTCTCATTCTGTCGAGGCCGGAGGAGGAGTTCAGGTTGTTGTGGTTGACGTTGTTTGGGTTTGTGTTGAGGTTCATCCCATTCAACTGGATGGAGGTGGGGTCCTGCTGGATGTGCATTTCCTCGTAGTGTCTCAACAAGTCGTGCAAGGTGGGCAAGATCTGGCCGCAGCAGGAATAGTCTTTACAGTAGTTTGCCTCCAAGTCTGCCAAGTACGACGAATTAGGGACGGAGGAGTCGTACATCATGATGCTGTCGCCGCGCAAGTCCATGGCGTTGTTGTTGTTGAAGTTGCCGTTGAAGAGGTTGATGGACTGATTTCTCTGCTGCTGGTACTGGACGTTGCCGCCGCCCTGCATGCCTGCGTTGTGGTTCTGGCTGTGGTTCAGGTTCTGGCTCTGGTGGTGGTTCTGGTGCATGTTGTTGTGGTTCTGTATGAACACCTCGTCCCGCAACCAGGAGCTGATGCCGACCGAGCCCCAGGAGACGCCGCCGACTCCCTGGGAGTGGGCTATACTTTCCCTGCGCAACCGGGGGTTCTGGTAGAGGGAGTTGTTTCTGGAGAAAGAGATGTTGATGGGCTGCGACGAGTCGCCGTTGCCGGGCTGCTGGATCGCCATGGCTGAAGACAGGTTCGAGAAGTTGCTGCTCATCGTGTGTGGACGGGTGTGAGTGAATTAGTAAGATGTCTGCTGTCTGCTTGTTTGCTCGCTGGCTGGCTGCTCGCTGGCTGACTGCTCTTCGCTTTACACCGTCGGATGCAGTGTGTGCTGTGGGTATATACGGAACACCGGGGCCTGTGTCTGTGACAGGGAGACGGGTATGCTTCGAAAAAATGTGGGTGGATATAAGCGTGAGTAAAAGCTATGCCACTCTTACAACGTCCTTCAGATCTCAAGTAGGGGAGGGGGAAGAGCCGGACGCTGTCTAGATGCAGAACAGGGTCGGGGTGCGTGCGTGCGTGTATGCGTGCCGGTGTATATGCCGTAGGATCGTTCCTGCCGCTGTGTCCTACTCCCGCCCCCGCTGTGCCCTTCTCTACACGTCCACCTGCCCAACAGGGGTGTCAGAGGACAAGATTGCAGGACCTGTGTGCCGGGAGACAGCAGCAGCGGCAGCAGCAGCAGCGGCGCCAGCGCCAGCGGCAATGGCCAAGGCGCTGCCAGAGGCGATAAAGCTGGCGGAGGCGAGGCGAGGCGACGTCGGGTGCGCGGGCGCTCAAGCCGAGTGGATAATAGAAGCGTAGTGCACTAGTGCTGGGCCCGCATGGCGCCCGGCGGGCAACGGTGAAGAAGACGCCGGCGGCGCAACAGCCCTGCGGGAAGGGGCGTGGGGAGTGTGGTGGGGAGTAGAGGGGGGAGAGGAGGAGGGAAAAAGAAGGGAGAGGCAAAGCGCGGGTCGACGCGTCTGCGGACGGTGGAACGGCTGACGTAAGCGGGTCGACGCGTCGGCGCGGGGGCGGCGGGGGCGAGGGTCTTGTTGATGTTTCGTTACGTCAGCCGGGCATCGCGGCGACATGAATCGGGCCGGCAGGGGCAGGAGCAGAGCAGGAGGGAGACGGGGCAGACGAGACAGGGGTGATAGGACGGGACGGGGAGGCAGACGGGCAGCAGCGGATCGTGGCGGGGTGGGAGTGCTGCAGGAAGGGCCAGGATAGAAGAGTCAGTCACACACACACGCAAACAAGAGGTCGACCTAGTACTGCCTTGACACACGGACCGCCACACACACGGCCGACACAGTCCGACACCCGCACACGCCCCCATGAGACTGCTTTCGCAGAGTAGCAGGAGGAAGAAGACCGGCGGGGGAGCAGCAGACACAGACACAGGCACAGGCAGCGACGCCGGGGCCAGCCCGAGCCCGAGCAGCACAAGCTTGTCCACGTCGTTCACACCGACACCGGGCAACAGCAAGACGCACTCGCGGTCGTCGTCGCTGCGGTCGCACAGCAGCTTCCACATGTCTGTGACCAAGAACACAACGCCGTCGCCGTCGAGCAAGGTCTCGCCCAACAACTCGTCGCTCTCGGTCCCGGCGCTGTCGTCGGTGTCGCCGCTGCTCTTCTCCAAGTCGCCCTCCCTCTCCGTCATGAACAACGGCTCCTCCGCCGCCGCGTCCGCGTCCTTCCCGCTCTCCAACGACACCCAGCGCCTCGAGCTCATCAGGGTCATCGAGCAGGCTCTCGCCAAGTTCTCCGCCCTGAAGAAAAACAACACTCTCAAAGCAAACATCCTCAGGCTGAACCTGCTCCCGTTCCTTCGCTTCCCGATCAAGCCCTTCATCAACGTCAACGAGCTCCTCTCCACCGCCATCCCGGACCTTAACGTCGACCTTCTCCTCCTTGAGACGAGAGCTCTCCTGGGCTGGTGGGCAGACCTCCTCAACATCCTCCTCGTCGACTACCAGTCCATCTCCGGCCTCGACCGGAACTGCTTTTTTGAGTCTGTCTCTCGCTTGCTCTCACACAACATCTGGCTGCTCTTTCAGGCGAACGTCGCCTTTTCCACCCAGTTTAGCGACACCTACGAAAACTACAAGCGTCTCCTGCTGCAGACTTTTGAGTTCGCCATCCTTAGACTCAACTCAAAGTCCGTCTCCTTATCTGCTTCCATCTTCATAGGGAAAATACTCTCCTACGCCTTTTTCCATCTCCCATCCATTTCGAGAGGTTTATCATTCCTTTTAAATACAAAACTTGTCAACTACAAAAAAATATACAACCTCTGCATCTTTGACTCCTTCAATAACTTGAACCCAAACTTCATGAACCAGTTCCCGAATATATTGAGCGACCTTACCACACAGTTTCCAACACATTTGACCCCGCTCATCAGCTCAAACATCCAGCCAAGAGACGTCAACTATATCATAGAAGCACAGTTCATGAATTCTATCTTCCCACCTAGGGAAAAAATAGAAGGTATACGAGAAACGAAGGGAGTTTGGGTCAACAGGTGGTCTTCAGTTGAAAACGTCTCCTTGTTTTGCTCATTCTTTAGAAACTATCTCACAATTTCTTCCATCTACTTGAAAAACTTCCCTCTCATGATGATTGATCAGTATTACATATTTGGGATGCCAGGATTCCTAGCCTTCCTTACCCATGTCTACCAAATCTTTAGCCTGCAGCTCAAAAATGCAGCCATAAGAAATACAAACTCAAACTCAAAGATCAGAAACAACATCTACAACAACAACATCCCCTACAATGATGCTCTTCTGGCCATTCCACCAAAAGTTTCCAACGAATCCAATATTGACAAATGCTTCAACATTCTTCGTGATCTTCTAGTCAATCCAAGGAATTCAAATGAACGGTTACTCAAGCCTGGTGCCATCAAGGGATATGAAAATATCTTAAAATTATTCATTACGAAGACAAATATTTTGGACACCTTTATGGTTGAAACTTTACTAGACATACTCATCCAGTTTTTGAAAACAATCGACGTCCTAGATGAAACGAATCTAAATGAAATGAACCACTCAATCATAGACTGGAACTTTTGGCTGGATGTCCTCATTCGCTTATTAGACTCAAACAACTTGAATTGTGAAGTGAAGGCAATATCAACGCTCTATCAAATTTGGGACTTCATACCCAATGATATATATCAGTGTGACTCAGACTTGACGAATAGGAAATATTGGTTTACAGATCCTTTGGAACATTTGAAAATGAACCTGATAGAATATTTGCTAAGTTCCACAAACTGGTGCAAATTTTTTGGCCATTACATGCCTTTCGAAAGAAGCTTGTTTGTGAAACTTCTAATTTGGAAGATTTTGGGGATTTCTTCATTCGAAAACCTAGTTTGCTTACAAGATTTTAAGTTGAAAAATAGTTGTGATGAAGCGAAGATAAAAAAATTGGTCAGATCGAGACTGCACGAAACCTATGAAAAGACAAAAAAATGCATCTTTCAACCTTCAGATTTGCTGATGAACAAGAAATTTGTTATTAATAGAACTTCAGGATCGGAAATTAAGAGGAGAGACAAAAAGCTTAGAACATATCCTTATGAAGTTTTAGATGATGCAGTATATACGTCATTCAAGCAATCCACACCATTAAATTCAAAGGCGTCAAATTCAACACTAGGAATACCACGATCAACTTCTGCTGGCTCGTTGAATGATCCTAAAGAGCCAAAGGGAAAAGGTTCAAATTGGATGGGCAGGATCTTCAACAAATCGCAATCTCTTTCTGCGATTAACGATAGCAATAGCAATTCCACGACTAATGGATCCAAAGTTTTCGGTAAACTACTGAGTTTTTCCAAAGGGTCTACTGACAAGAAAGAACAGCACTCTCCGATTTCTTCACTGTCTTCATCTTTATCATCGCTAGAATTGAACCAGATTTCAGAGGTAAGTAATGGAAGCAATGGTATCATAGTAGACAACGAAAATAAACACTTCTCATGTCCTCCAGAATGGGATCACGACTTAGATATTGAGAAGGAGAATTATGAGTTCATTCTAGTCGATGATGAACTAAAGATGCAATCATTTTTGCAGAAGCTGAACGATTTTAACAACTCCACTAGAAAGTTCCACGCTAAAAGTAAGTTATTGATGGTTAATGACGAGCCCAAACTTCCTTCGCTCAAAGTTGAGAAACCACTAGGCTTACATAGAAATGGAGATTCCAGAATTAATATTGAGTCCCTGGAGAGTATAATTGACGAAAACGAAGCTCAAGACGACAAATTTTTAGGAAACGATGAACTCGATGATGAAATGATCGATCTGAGTGGAGGTTTTCATACTCTCAGTGGGCTAGATATTGACCCAAGCCATAACCATGGATATGACACAGGAACAAAGATATATTTTGATGGTAGTAACCCGGAAATAAGAGAAAGGTTGAGAAGCACAGATGCTCTGACGGCCTATCTCTCAAATGGATTGTTGGAATATAACGAAGAAGTAAATTTATTTGAGAACTTTTTAGCTGACAGGATCAGAGAACTCGATTACAATGATCTGACGGTTATGGATGACATGGTTTTGAGTAAGATACATGATGGATGGAATGCTACTTCAAATGATGCATCTTCCTCATCATTTCTAGAGATTTCAATGAGTGGAACCATTAGGGATGCCACAGAAAAGACATACAGAGTGAGTAGAGAAGGCTATCTCAAACTGAAGAGAGATATACCTAACATTGTTCCCGAACTTCCAGGAGACCGCCTCAACGCGTACTGATCAGGGATAGAATTTTTTAAATATACACGTTGAACAGGGCACAATTGCATACTATTGTTTTTATTATTATCATATATTATCATTATTATCATATTATCATTATTATTACCATCATTATTATTATCATTATTATTATCACTATTATTATCATTATTATTATCACTTTTTTTTTTACTTTTATCACATTATCATTACTAGTACTTTTGCTATTACCACTACTTTTTTTCCATTATCATCTATTTTTGTTACATTTTACATATTGCATACGTACATATTAATTTTAGAGTTTCTCTCGTTCAATTTCATGTGTATTTTTCTATACTTTGTTAAAACTATATTACAGTTGTTAGACTCGAATCATAAAATGCCCAGGCATCGGAATTTTTTTTGTAGGCAACATGTGCGACAGTATGTATTAAGGAAGATTAACCGTTTTCTCCATCTAAGGACATGCTTTCCTCCTGTTCAATCTCATGTTCTTTAGCCAATTGAGAGGTGTTAAATGTGATAACCTCATTATAACCACGACATCATGATCATAAATTTTGGTTTTCCTTTGCAAATATGGAAGTCATGGATTTACGTTTGTATCACAATCTTCACGATGTTTTTTGTACTACTACCCTCATCAGTGCTAGTTTATCTTCACTTCCAGTCTAGCATCATTCCGGAGGCAAGTCCCCCAATGGTGTTGCAGTTTCAATACATGAAAGAAACGGGTCCATTCGCATTTTACAATATGACTGAAGCTGCCCTTGAGCAAGTAAGACCATGGAAAAATGCAAATACAAATGCTTTTACCAGGATTGAACAAGTACTTACAGTTCATATAAGGTATCTGAAATTGACAGAAGGATCTACTGTAGGGGGTGTACGTGTTAGTGTTTACAACGATAAAAAGCCTCCCATACTTCATAAATCGTCTTTGAAACCTTCAAATAGCCCAGATTTGGGCGGGCATTTAAGCAGAAACTGGCCTTTTAAGGCGATCTCGATGGTTGATTCGCAGAATGAGTTCAGCTTATACCGTACTGACAGAATTTTTAAGTCCTGGTCCGAAGTTATCGGTAAATCATACACAAAAAGTGTACCTTTTTTAAGCGGGGTTGAGCCAAACAATTTGGGAGTAGAGTCGAAACTAGGAGTGCTAGACTATTTTGTTCCAAAATGGATACTTAGCCTTTTTGTTCCTCAAGGAGTACAAAACCTACTGTCCGTAAAAAATGTGAGCAGCCTTTTACAAAGAAAAGAAACATACGAGGATATTTACGATCACATGAAACACATGGAAACTCTTGCTCTGCTGAATTCCTATGGAACTTTTCAAGAATTTCCTAGTAAAAGCTTTTTCACTGGATTGATTCTTTTCGATGGCGAACTAGATTATAAGGAATTTACTGGAACGAGTCTTTTGGTCGAGCTAGATATGAATGATGTTTTTGTTGTGGAAGCTTATGTAAAACTTGACTATGTTCTTAGTGGTTTTAGATGGTGGGTTTATTGGTGGCCAGGTTTGTGCTTCTTGATTGGGGTCAGTATTATTTGGGTAGTCAGCTGCCTGGGCTGTTTAGTTTTCAGTTGGTTTACAATGAGCGCATGGAGTCTTTATTTATGGTTGATGGAGACGCAGGAAGAAAAGGACAATGATACTATTAGAAGGAATTTATCCGAGTTATTAAAAGAATAGTATTTCAAACGCTTTTATAGATTTAACGAGATTTTCATTGTATAAGTAGTGGTAAATGGGAGGCATATGACCAATAAAAGATAGTGAAAGACGTAAACAAGAGCCAAATAGTCCATTTGAGAATGTGGTTTATCATCAATAGGAGTATAAAATGCAGTAATATAAAGAAGTGAGGTTGCAGGAGGTAGGCAAAAGTTGATGTTGGATATGAAGTAAAGAATTTTCTCGTCATAGAATAAACCATCACGATATATTTTGGAATTGAATGCACATCCTATAATGGGCATAATGAATAGTCTAGCAAATGTTACAGCAATAGGAACTCTCCATACACGAAGAGGAATTGTTGACAAATTCAAACGGCCTATTGTACCGCCAAGCATGAGTAACCCAAATGGAACCTCTGCTGCGCCGACATATCCTGCTAAGTCCATGATAAAGGAAAGCGGAGGATCGCCATCGGGTGCTGGAGGGACATGTGCCTGGGAAGTAATCACAAACAACGCTTGTACCCAGGGAATCATACAAATCGTTATTGAGATAATCATCGTCATGGATACAATCTTCAACGTTGATGCAACCCACAAATTAAGAACTGACTTGCACAGATGGTAATAATTCACTGATTGCAAAAAGTCTACTGCTTTGGAAAAGAACGTCTGTGCCTGTCTTGTAGAAGTTCTTATGTCTTCCGTAATTGGCGTCAGGAATTCGTACTTCGAATAAACTCTGACTATATCATTGATACCCTCCGGGACCTGATCTGCGAGAACATCGTTACCAAGCAGTATTCGAGGAACAGACAAGGTTCTCGATAGTGGTTCTGTGCATCGAATAGCAGAAGACAATGAGGAACCCGTTGTGGTGGTTCTCAGCATAGGTTGTTGCTGTTCGTCTGAGAGTGTAGATCTGGATGATACTGTGGTCAGCAGTGGGGGGATATCATTTTGGGAGGGACGCTCTCCCACAAAGGTAACGTGCGGTCGCTGCAATGTAAGTGATTCCGTAGTTGACTGAAGATCGATATCAGAAGACGAAGAAGAAGAAGATATAACTATCGAAGGGTTGTTTTCATGCTGATCATCTACCGTAGTTGCTGTTTCTAGCTTTTCCTCTTGGGAAGATGTTTTCTTTGCTGCTTCCAATCTGGCTTCGGTGTGGAAATCCATTTCTATCAACTTGAACGCTCCGAAGTTGAATTGCACCAGCATTTGCAAAGTGAAATAGATCATGACATAACTGACACCTTTATCAATGTCGTTGAAGATTGATGACGACTCCATTGTTTGTAGATAAGCGATTGGTAAGTCTGAGATGTTCGGCAATAGGCCGCAGCAAATGAGGCCTCCCCACCAGTTCTTCGGGCATCCGGCTGCAACCCCAAAGATGAAGCATAGCAAAGAGCCCAGACCCATGAGGAAAAAAGATACAATTACAATAGTTGCTATCTGGTGGATGTCATCATTAGAAATGTTGCTGACAATTTTCTGGAAAGCTAAACATGGTATAAGCACATTGACTGCGATGGTGCTGATGTTTTTGGAAGTTTCGACGGTAAGAATGTTTTTTTTGGTCAAAGTGTACCCAATGGCAATGATGAAATAGATTTTAAAAATCGGTTTAACCGCAATGTAGATGATTTCCCCGAGCCAGATAGCCATTTAAGATGGTCGTGGCGTGGCGGCAGCAAACACTTTTCGATTTCCGGTAGCTTGATTTTCCAATTACTGGCTGAACGCTTCTAGGGTATGTTGTACATTTTAGGATACTGTCTAACTAAACCGTAAAAGAAATATCTAGACAAAACAATACTGTTTCTGGAGGCCCCAATGGTGTTTGGGGCCCATGTACTGGCCGACCCACCAAATCATGTGGTGTCCGTGGCTCATCCCACTCTCCCGCTCGCGGGATGGAGAGCAGCGATAACTGGAGCAAACAAGAAGTGGATTCAGCCAGTCAGTCGATGTGGGCAAAGGTCTCGTCGGTGAGCTCACTGTAGTGGGGGAACTTGAGAGGCATGTTCGCTGGCACGCGGTCGGGATAGTGCTTCTCGATGAGCTTCATGAGGGCATCGTAGAGGATGCGGTAGCCTAGGCCGGAGAAGTGGATGCCGTCAGAGAGGATCTCTGAGTAGTCCCCGCTGTGGGCCTTCTCGGAGCCGTGCTTCCCGATCCAAGCCATGGTCTCATCGTACAATGGAAGCACTGGGACAACGTCGCCGAGGTGCTTCTTCACCGCGTCCTGGTAGAGCTTGTTCGTCTCGTTGTCCCGGCAGTCGCCCGTGAGAAGATCCTCGGGGTGCGTGGTGTCCCAGAGCTTCTGGTCGTGGACACCCGGCGTGATGACGACGAGCGGGATACCCCGCTGCCGGAACTCGTGCACGATCGCCGTCATGTTGGCGACAAAGCGGTCGAGCGGCATGTGCTCGTTGTTTGTCGGCGACGTGCCCTTGCGGCACGCGTCGTTCGTGCCAAAGAAGACGTAGGCCAGCTGGATCTTCTTTGAGTCTGGTACCGCATCGTGCTCTGTGCGCAAGATCGACCTCACAAGTGGCACGCCGTCACGCGTGTTGTACCCGTTGAACCCCCGGTGGAGTAACTGCAGCCGTCTAGCGTATGCATTCTGGAGCGCCGCTCCTAGACTGAACTGGACGTTCTCGTCAGGGCCTGGAAACTGGTTGAAGGCGAACTCAGTGATCGAGTCGCCTAGCAGGAGAAACGTGTTGTAGTCTGTGTACGCCATCGTCAGAGTCAAGTGGAGTGGAGGCTCTGTCCCATTTATTGTTTCCCTGTGCCCTGTGCCCTGTGCCCCGTGCCCTACGCCACCAAGGAGGCTCTTCATCTCAAGTATTTCCTCCCCCCTCACGTTCCCTCCCCCCGGTTCTCTGAGCCGCCTGGTCGACGCGTCGGCAGCACAAATCCCGAAAAAAGGCCAGCGAGACATAACTTAGCGAGAGGTGCAGCTCGCTGGGCCGTTGTTTGGCTGCCGAGCGGCGAGCTTGGCAGCCACAGAGGAGGGTCGACCGTTGTTGCAGCGGCTTGGCAGCCAGATTGCAAACCGCAGAGGTGAAGAAGAATTAGAAAAGAGGAAGATGTGGGGAGGAAGACGTGGGAGGGAGATGGCTGGGGTCTGATCTTCGGCATTGAAAGGAGGCGTCAGATCTGTCCACACTTAAAGAGCTACAATGGACACGAGCATTCCGAGAAAGGGCCTGGCAATGCAGCCAGGAGGATCGAGCTCGTCGAAAATGAGCACCTCTTCGTCATCTCTGGTGCCATGGACAGCCACCGAGAAGCTACTACAGGCGGAGGTGGTAAAGGCGTTCTTACCGATGGAAGATCCGACAGTCTCTGAGAAGATTTCGAAGAAGATCACGAAGCAGCTGAAAAACCTCTACCCGGGAGATCAGCTGTACATTTTTGAGACGTTGCCGATCAGCTCGGGCCTCGTGTGGGCCAGGGGCTACAGCGTGGTGCAGCCGTTGCCTGCAGACTTCATCTCTGCCTCGATTGATGTGAAGCGGTTGCCTGAGCAGACAATCTCGATCTCGATCTTCCCTATGGACTGCGTGAAGGTGCTCCACCAGCTGGACATCGATAACTCGAAGAACCTCGCCGACCTCGACGCCAACTTCGACAGTTCCATCTTCAACAACACCTTCTACGACGAGTATGACGACTTCTCCTCGCTCGTCGACTCGGACTACTCGCTTGGTGCCTCAAAGGTCAAGAAGCAGGCCAAACCACAATTGCCCCTCACAAGCGCAACTCGGTCCGAGGACTTAGCCGACGAGATCAAGCTCACTCTCAAAACCGTCTCGTCCACTCTATTTGCGGTCTACTCAAAAAACAACTTTGACTATTATGAGAAGTTGTGCAAGATCTACAATCAGCTGGATGACATCAGAATCAGTTTGCATTACAACCTCCTCACCAAGCATGAGGAGGCCATGGCAAAGAAAAACGTCATTCTTTTGATGGGCAAGTTTGCCAAGCTCTTGGCGTCCGGTGGTGGGTTGATCAACCGCTCGCTCCATTCCAAATCAGACATCGATGGTAAGGAATCGATCTTGGCCCGTGACTACAACACTGCCGAGTTGTGCCAGTTCAACTCCACTGAGGGTGACATTGTCAACCCCGCCAGTATCGCCCAAAGCCAAGTGTTCTGTGCCCTATCACCGAACTACATTGCCTCCTCAAACGTGTCCTTTGTTCCACCAAAGAACAGCAAATTCCAAGAATCCATCCCGTCTAACATCATGGTCGACTTCAAGGAAGTTATCGGAACCTCTACGGTTTTCCCCAAGGGGTACGAAGGTATGAAAGCATACATGTATCTACGTAACGTCAAGAAACGGTTGACCGAAGCCTTTTGCATTAACATTGGAGCCGACCAGAATCTCCAGTTGGACAACTTGGCTGCTGCCTTGTTCACAAACATCCCCGCAGTTGAAATCGAAGCGAATCATGTGTACTTGGTCGCCCTTTTGACCGAGACTATCCGGGTATCCGATGGGAACTCGGTGTTGCCCGTCATCCGTAAGGGCATCTGTGCCGGTGTCGCAGATATTACTCGTATTTTCTCCCAAAGAAAAGGACACTTAGTTTCTGGCCAATCACATAGATTTACCATCAAATTATTCTCTTCTTTCATGGATGGCCAAAACCAGGAGGTCAAGTTATTTACAGGAATGAACCAGATGATGGCCAAATCCTTAACCATGGTTAATCACGGCTGGGGTGATTTGGTCGATAGAATCATCAGTGGATCTAGTAGAGGTGTTGCCGTCAATCCGAGAGCGGAAAAACTTATTCTAAGTATTAAAGAATTGAAACTGAATAGTGACAGTAAGAGAATTTTAAGTGATATTTCAGGTACAAACGATGAATTGAACACTGTTGCCTGGGCAGGTATTCCTACCTTGAATTTCAACCCATTAGAAAAAGACACAAGCAGGGTGTACCTCAAGTTGAACAGAATTGTCAACAAAAGTTTGAAGTTAAATGACACTAGCTTCTTGACTGTTCACGTCAGATCATCCAGCAAGTCATTGATGTTTGGTAAGGGTACAAATGAAGAACTTTTGCCTTTTTGGAACTTCCTTTCTGTTTCACCAGAGGAGTCCATCCAGGAGTTGATTGTTATAAGAGGGTTGAGTGACCGCCCAGATAATGGAAAGGATTATTTAATCTTTGATCTCTTTGTTGAGTCAAACTATGTCGGTACCACCAAATACTTACTCAGATTTGGTAATGAGGTTCACTGCAACGGTGTCAATTCCAGAACCCCAGTCAGTATAGAATTTTTTTCACAAGATTCCACTCCTTGTGCTACAGTCGAAATTGATTTGGAAGTTGTTGGTAAGGCCTATAATAGAGATTTGACCGGTAACATGATCTTGAATTGGAAACAAAATTTCAGCCAAGATCTTGTTGCCAACGAGTCTGCATTCATTGAAATGTTGAGTAAATTGAAAAGAATTAACTTGGGCACTTTGGCTAGGTTTTTTTCCAGCTTTTGTTTTGAGTTGATATCTGCCACTGAGGCAGCTATTCAAAGCAATTTGCCAAAATTAGAGCAAGCATTATTTGATGCAATTGTTCACTTGTTGGATGTTACTATTGCAAGAAATCAAGAGTATGTATCACTCTTCGATAAAATGATCTTGGAGTATTCTAAATTTTTTCCAAGAATTGGTGAGCGTTTACTTGCTTCCATGACAAGTGTCTTCAGTACTTTCAACAAGGACTGGAACGCAAATGGTAGAGCTTTGTGCAGAACTTCATTCTTAGTTGCTAGAATATGTTCTCAATGCATAAATGACGTCAACGAATTCAAGAGTCAGGTCTATGTGTTCAATAATGCTATTACCAATTTTTTGGGCACTAACGTAGACAGTATCTTAGCAGATCAATTATTGGTTATTGACACTTTGGAATTATACCTTGATGTTTTTAAGCAAATGTTCAGCACTACGGAATTGATAGAATTTGCTGTCGAATGGATGACGACCAACAAGTTGAAAGGTTTGGGATCTCTTGAAGACACAACTTTAACTGCATTAGCAAATAAGAAAAGAACTAGGGAACATAAGTTTCTTATTAGTAAGTTATTTTTCATCAATAGGTTGCTAAACAATCCATTTTATTTTCAAGGGAACTATGAAGATATCACCAAATTGTTGACCAACTCTTTGGACGTGGTCCTCAGCATTTTCGCCAATGATATGATGGATTTAGATTGTTCGAGATTAGCACTTGGTATTTATTTGTCTGTCTGCAGTGTATGTTTCGGAAAGGAGAAGATTTTTGTCGATCCATCAAAGAGCATTTACATCGCTCTAATAAAGCTTTTGCCCCTTTTAGCTCAAGAATTCAATAAGTACTACGCTTACTGTTCAACAAATGGACACTTCAAGAAGAAGAGAACATTCACTCAGTTGTTCCCAAACCATTTTCCATTTGAGGAAAATACAATGGATTCGATTGTCACCGACGTTGTTTTTGTCGAAGTATTGGTAGAATTTTCAATCATCGTAACTTATACGTCCAAAATTTTTGAAGTTTACAGTACTGATTTTTACCAAATGGCCGAAAATACTCATCTTGGTGCATATAGCGATCTTATTTCGAAATTTGAGATACCTTCACTGAGCTCTGTTAATTCTGTTACCTCAATGCTACAAATGACAAGAGCTATGATAGAAGCGCCTTTCTACCCTCATGAGTCTTGGTTGTCTTTACATTCAATTGCCTTGCAAGGCTCATTTTTGTTGTTGCGTCTGGTCGAACCGTACATGCCAAAGCCTAGCTCCAACGTAGTGCCAATGTGGAGTAAATATATCACTCTTCTGTGCAAAACTGCAACTGCCAAACCTGTTTCCATTGAACACTTGGAGTCCACTCCAAGAAAAGGATGCTTTGGATTGACTACTGATTTGAGGACTAAAATCTCCGGTATTGTTACTAACTCGTGGGAATTGCTAGGAGCTGAAGTTTCCCCTGAAGATGAAACTCGATTCCAGTTACTGAATTTTGGAGGCTTCCAAAATCCTGTTATTGCGATGAACAACTACACTTTGTTAAAGTATATTTTGTTGCTATCAATGCAGAGGAATGAGGCATGCTTGAATACAGGTGTGAAAATTGTTTGGTCAGTTATAGCCGCCGAGCTAGTTGCAAAAGACAATTTATTTGATCTTGAAAAAGAATCAGTGACTTCTCTTTATGACTTATTTGCAAATGATACTGTTTACTCTCCACAGTCGACTGAAATTCAGAGCCTTGTTTCATCCTTCAAGAATATGACAACAAAAATGGATACTGAAGATGAAGCATATTTGGAAGTTACGAAATTGGTGAAAACCTTATCACGTTACTTAGCTTCGTTGTCTGAACTGAAGCAAGTTCCTACCGGTGAAGAGTTCGATGATGATCGTACTTTCCATAGGTTGAATATTTCAAGCTACTTGATGAATGTGGATAGACCTGAATTATTTCAAAGCTTCATTTGTGACATGTATGAAGCATATCTAGGTAAAAAAAATTATGTCCAAGCGGCTTTGAGTTTAGAATTGCTGGCTAACACATGGGAATGGGATATTGACACTTATCTTCCAGGATGTGTCAAGCCTAAGCTGCTAAGTCAAACAGCATTCAAGAGAAAGGTCGATTTGTTCAAGATCATTGCTAACAATTTCATAAAGGGTAACAAATTGGAGCAGGCAGTTGATATATACACAGAAATGTTAGAAGCCTACTTGAAATTCAATTTTGACCTACTAGGCTTATCTGTTTGCCATTCTGAGCTGGGTAAACTTTATGCTGAACTAGAAAATGTCGATAGACTTGAATCTACTTTCTTCAAGATTGCCTTCATTGGTTTAGGATTTCCGGAGTCCATTCGTGGTAAAGAATTTGTTTATGAAGGTCTGCCATATGAACATATCACTAGTGTGCATAGCAGATTGAACAGACTCTATCCAGGGTCCCGAATTATCAGTAACGAAGAGGAAGCTCATAAATTACTTAACGAATCGACAATTGGCAGATTCTTATTCATCAAAACGGTTACTCCTAAAAAGGAAAGTCATGCTGGTAAATTGTCGTTCATGGCAAAGCAATACGTCGATAACAAAAACTTGAATACTTTCATTAACACAAGAAGATTACCTGGTGCAACTAGCATTACCAACTTGTGGACTGAGGAGATCACCTATAAAACTTTCATGACATTCCCAACTTTGATGAATAGGTCGGAGATTAAAAACACTACCGTGATTAAGATTCCTCCTATTAAAAATGCAATTAGATCTTTGATGGGCAAAAATGACGAGTTATCCAACTTTGAATTTTTGATCAACCAAAACTTGAAGAACAACATCAGCTTGCCATCTATTGCATCAAGTACAGTGTTTAACAGTGTGAGCAGAGTTTTGGCTGGTACCGTAGATTCCCCTGTCAATGGTGGAGCAGGACAATTCAAGGTCTTCTTCACCAAGGACCCGTCAATTGATGTGGGAGAAACTGAAGAAGAGTACGTGGAGGATTCCAAGAAATTGAAAGAGTGCTACAACGATATGTGTAAGCTATTGAACAAGTTGTTGAAGCTTCACGGCTTGATTATACCTGATACATTGAGATTGCAGCATGAGTCATTGGTCGAGCTATTTTCAAAAAATTTCAAGGACGAAATCAGCGAAATGAAGCTGGACGTCACCACTGGATTAAACTACCAAGAATTGATGAAATCTTTGATTAGCAGAAACGTCCACTCAAAGAGCAGGAATGCGCAAAACAGTCTTGCCAGTAGCAGCAACAACAGTTTCAACCAGTTCTCCCAGATTCCTTTGACCACCACCCTTTCACACACGACGTCCTCCAGACACAGGCCTGTTTCTTCGGCTGGCAGTCAACACGGAAGCCACCATGGTGGCCGCCACAGCTCTCACCATTCTCAACACCGTTACGCTGGTATGCTGGTCAGTGGGTCGAGACACTCCATGAGAGATGACATCTCGAACATAGGTTCAGCCGGAGCTGAGTACTCAAGCCACGCTGCCGATGAGACCACCGCAACGCGTCAAAGCTCTATGAGCTCGCTGGGCATGAAGTCGGCCAAGAAGAACATTCTCAATTATAAATAGAAGAAGCTGCAATTCCTGTAGCATTAGACTTAGACGTAGAGACAGAAACATTAAAAGATTTCAGATAAAGTTAAATCATGAATAAAGCAAACAAAGCTTTAGCTTACGTAATATATATGACGCAAAATTTGATGCGACAGATCCGCCCCCACTCATTTAGTTAAGGAGGTTGTGAGAGTTTGAAGGTTGCTTACTGGGACCGCTTGTTTCATCCTTCTAAGACTAGAAAGGGCCTTCAGACTATACAGTCACCTACGACGACAGCAAGCACACAATGCAAGTTTACAAGAGACATCAAAGAAGCGGGTTTGAGCAGCAGCAGCAGCAACAGCAGAGCGCCGCCCCTCAGGATGCTACCTCCGAGAGATTGCAGACTCTGGGCATGAGGATCAGACAAAGCATATCGAACGGGTACAAGTTACCAGAGGCCAACACGTCGAACAATGCTGCCTACATCAACGACTACGAGCAGCAGCAGCTTCAGAACAACAGCAGAAGAGTGCCACTGCCTGCGCACTTAGGAATGAACGGTCCGCCAGCGTTGGACTACAACGGATCAACCGCTTCTTCTCTGTCCTGCTGGGAGGAGGAGCTCAATCACTCCTCTGTGAACCGCTCGCAGATGTTGAACGACTTTTACCCTGCACAGGGCAATCCCGGCGGTGTAAAGAGAGGCATTGAGGAGCTCAACGATAAGGAGATGCAGGTGAACGATTACGTCCAGAGATACGGTCCGTTGAGCTTCAACGAAGAGTTCTGATGTATCTGTCATGCAATTACATGCCTCCACCCCAGGGCATGACACCCATGACCCGGTGATACCTGGTTTTTTTTCCCTTCATTTCTTTAACTCCCTCTTCTCTCCAGGCTGTAGCACAGCTGCTATTTCGATTTTGGTTTTCTCTTCTCTATTTCCCTCTCTGCTTTTCACTACATAGTTACCCCTCCCATCCCTTCACGGTTTATAGTTTGCAACGCATATATTACTATCACGCCTGCCACAAGCGGCCCGGCTGGAGCACACGTCCCGCTGGAGTGCGATCTCCCCCGGCAGATCTGAGGCCCGGGCCCTGGCTCAGTTGGGTTGTGGTGAAGCACTCGCCCGAAAGAGAGAGCGCCAGGCATGGCATGGAGCAGGACGAGAGAAAGAAAGATCCCGGTGGTAAGAGGCAGCAGCACAGCGGAGGTACGTGTGGACGTAGGCTCAGGGCGCAGACAGAGGCAAGGACATATCTGTGTGGATACACAGTCAGCAGAAGGGTACAGGAAGTCAAGAGAGGCCCGGATCGAACAGCAGGAAGACAGAGTCGTTGTGTTGACCACAATAAAACAGAACTTACAATGGGATCTAACGAAGTCAGAACGAAGCTGAAATCGCACATTTCGAAGCTGATGGACAAGAGGGCAGATGTACGAGAAACCAGCTCGTACTGGAGTGCCTTTTGGAAGCTGCCAACATCGATCGACGACGTCGTGTCTGTGTTTAACCCGCCTGACATCCGGTTCATCAGAGACAACAATATAGAAGGGTTCACGAAGTTGATACTCAATACTGTCAACAGGCTGATCTATCTATCCAAACTCAAGAATGTCAGGCTTTCCGTCTTCCCTACAAACCAGCTACTAAACTGTGTACGCATTCTCTCTGTGGTGCTGCCGTTCCTCTACGAGAAGAGGCACTTGGACTACATCGAGAGTGAGGTTTTTTGGAACAGAATTTATCACACTCCTAACTACTCAAGTTCTGCAGACGAAGATGGCAAGGATCATGATACCAACTCAGGCACCATTGGGAGCATCGACGAGGTGCAAGAACCAAGAGATTCGGGGGCAGTGAGCTTTAGCGATCAGAATAGTACAAACTCTCCCGGTGATTCCGTCAAAGTCAACCATGATGAGATGGTTTACGCAGAAAAACCCATTGGCGCAGAACTGGTCAATGCCTGTCTGGACTTGCTTTTCACCTTAAACTTCACTGTGGAATCTAGAGCTAAAAGTGAATATAGTTCTCCGATATTAGCCAACGATTATCAGCCAATCGTATGGGAACCAGGACTGGAAGTGCAAGGCAATTACCGTGATACGAAAGTGAACATTGATTCAAATAGGTTGGAAATTGTTCGGTTGATGTTGGTTTTGTTCTCCAAAAGTATATATATTCCGCCGGCTGATGTAGTCAGCTCTGGCTCTAGGTTCTTGACAGTACTTGTCGCTGCGACTGATGGCCGAAAGTTTTACATTCTTTGCCTTTCCTTGTGGAATACAATTGCAAGATCAATCCGTACTAATGATAGCAACAGTGGCAGTAACACAAACGTCAGTAGTAACATAAACGGGTTAGATATACCCGTGGAGGAGCACAAAAACTTGAGAATCTTAATGGTAACAAACTCTCTTCAGTTGTTTACTTTGATGGTTGTTTATCCGTTACCGAAAAAGGATATATCTTTCCTTTTCAAACATAATATCTTGTCCAACAACGATGTCCCTCGCACAAGATCAAGAATTTTTTTGAGTAAAATAACAAATTCTAAAGATATCCAAATAATTATCAAAACTTTCACAGCTCCTTTGTTCAAACCTATAGTTGATAATGATTTGGATACTTTTTCATATCTCATGAAAACTTCAAAACTGATTGATGACAAAGAATTGCATATTTGGGGATTAGAGTTGATGATGATACTTTTAGAGTTTTTCCAATGCAATGCAAGATTCAGAGCACATTTTGCCGAACTTGTTGGCCCTGATTTTTTTGTCTTATTGCTTTTTTACATCCTCAAGTTCAAAAACGAAAAGAAGCACGCTAGTTTTGTTAAGCTATGTGTCTACTTCTTGCTAATAATAACAGCAGATTTCAGACTGAGCTCAAAGCTTCTTGCTTCTTTCGATGCCCATCTATATGATTCATTACCACAATTATTGAGAACCTCGACTACACCAACCTCTTACCGAGATTTTCTGACTATACATATATGCAATATCGTCAGCTCTGATTATGATTTTGTAATGATACCTCCACTCGTTGAAATTCTCTATAACCTAATCCCTCTTCATGCAACCATATCGGCGTATAATAGAAGAGAGAATAGGGAGGTAATGGGTAACAGGAGGGTAAAGGATCTCTCACGCTGTCCACCATCACAGATGTCTTATGCAGCATCCACCAGCTTGATTCACGTTGTCAATAAACTTTCGAAATACAACAATGTACCGAATGACTTTATAGTGCAACTTGATTATCTATCACTAATTTTCAGTGCATGTTGCCATGCAATTCTCAGAGATCCTTATGACACCATAGTTTTGATGTATGTATTTGCGAAAAATGCAAATACATTTGCGAGGTTGGCTGCTAATATCAAACGGGTTTCAGACCAACTATTTACTGATATGATACAGAAAGAAAGAAAGGAATACGAACGCGAAACCCAACAACAACGATTGCAGCTCCAGCAGCAGATACAATCTTCCCAAGAACTACAAAGACCAATTTCCCAAATCGATAATGAATCAAAAGAGTCTTTAGATCTCCCTGTATTGAGTAGACAGTCTACGCAGAATACATTAGAAAGCATACCCTCAATGCGTAGCATGCCTGCGGTTACCAAGCAAACTTCTCAGTTGTCAATCCCAAGTATTTCCTCTGGTTTCATTTCGAATTTCACCGATGATTCTGTTGATCCAATGAACGTAAGTTTTAATGCTATTAACAACAACGGTAATGCTGATAATAATTATGGTAATAACAGCAATAGTAACAGCAGCAATGTTAATGATAGCAATAGTAATAATAACAATAGCAACAATAACACTAGCGTCAATGGGCAGGCATCTATTGATGTGAGTAAGGAAACAGATAATGGAGATGCTGCAGTAACGCCATTTAATGATGAAGTCTTCAATGCTGAGTTACCACTTGGAATGACAGCCAGATCCAAAGAGAAGCAGGCTTATTACGAAAAATTTGACCAGAAATGGTCAGGTAAAGAAGCATTTGATTTGTTGAGAGAAAGTCTGAAAATTGTCAGTGATGCAGGTAGCATACGAGCAACAAATGAAACTAAAGCGCAACAACCTCAGGATGCCTCAGCTATAATTCAAAAGTTGCTCAAGCGAGATTTAGATTCACTTTTCAGTAAAATAGAAAAGTCTGATATATACGATCCATTAAGAATGGAGTTCCAGCCTCTGAAATTCAAGTGGACTAGGGCTACATTGGGATGGTATATTTCATTGCTATGGGGCAACATTTTTCTCAATTATAATAGTTTTGCTGCTAAAGGACTACTAGCTGAAATCAGCTTAGGCTTTTCGGTGTTCAAAAAAGCAAGCTCTTCATGGGGTTTCGGATCATGGAAGCTTGGTTCTGTTTCGTCGTCTCCAACCACACCCGCTGCATCATCACCCACAACTCTACCTACGTCTATTTTTGCCGAAGGTTACAGCAATGTCGTTGACCTCAGCGTCTACTATGATAATATTCTGAAACAGAGTATCTGGTTTGGTACACATATCCAGCTCTTCAGAGTAAATCCCGTAGTTTTGCGAGATCACTATGCTTTGCAGCATGGCAAAAGTGAATTGAGCAGCTTGAATGGTTTCAACGGGAATACCAGTCCTTCGTTTTCTGAAGTTTTTTGGAAAAGAAACACTGTCACGTCTCCTAGTCTCGGTATGAGAAACGGTAGCGGAGTATTTACCGAAGGTTTTTGGAAGCGCCAAGGAGGACGTCCAAATTCAATCGATCGGAGAGATAGTGACGGTTCTCTCAAAATACAGCTAAGCCGAAGCTCGAATGGCAATTTGAACACCAACAACGCTATTACCAGTAATAATAATACCAATAATAACAGCAAGCCATACGTGAGCTGAGCCACGAATGAGGTTTACCTCAAAATTGATACTAATTCATGTGTTGACAGATAGAAAATTTTGTAGATAGATTTATAGCAATATAAAGCCTGCGTGATTCGTTTCTAGCGTCCTCCCTTTTTGTTACTCACAATAGTAAACCCATCTTCATCTACCACTGGCTCTTGCTTTCGTCTCGTTTCTTGGACCAGCTCGACTGTATCGTAGTCCATTTCAACATCGTCATCACCTTCGTTTTCGTCTTCGTCATCGTCACTCACATCAGGATTCAATGGATCGTTCACAATGTTTGCAACGATCTTCTGTGTATTCTGCTGTTGCTTAGCCAACCACTTCGAGTACATTGCTTTGATGTCATCAAACTGCTGGTCCTGGCACTGTTTATAACAGTTTATTATTTTCTGTGCAACCGGAATGGTCGATTGATCTTCTATCACGGTATCAAACTCATCTTCCATTACCCCACACAACAGTTCATGGATGTATATTATATCGATTTCCTGGTTGTTCAAAAATTCATCAACAACAACTCCGGAAATCCAGTCTCTCTTTTCAGCAGACTGGGGGCCTCCCCACAAGTTGTCAACGGCCGTTGTGAGTGTGTACCAACCGTGGATTATCATTGAAACTCCAAGTTCGAAGTTTGCATCCTGCTGATCCGTTGGAAACGGGAGCAAAGTCTTGTTAGGTGGCTCTGCAATGAGAGTTCCCAAATCGTCTAAAAAGATTTCACTCATTTTTGTTATCTGAAGTTAGACTGTCAGGCAAATGGGGCTGTTGCTTAGTGCTCCGTTCCATTATCAGTCGAAGCCCTTAACAACTCCGGAGTGCAAAAGGACGTAGAAAACTTTTACAGCCCGGAAAAACGAAAAAAATACTTTTGGGCGGTGTTACCGACGATCGGCGTTTTGAGGGAAAAACAAGAGAAGATGGATATCAGAGGATGTCAAAAAGAAGGCTTGCCATTGAGTGATGTAGGGATTGTGGAGGGTTGAAGTGCTTCTATACGAGGAGACGAGGACACCAGTGGGCATCGTTTACAATGTCGAAACAGATGTCGGCGAAGGAAAAGTTGACAGCGCATGAAAACACTCTGAAAATTGAAAATGCTTTGCGAAAGATGAAAAATAGAGATGTTCCGGCTACTCACGATCCTACGATTTACGTGGATGACAACGGCAAGGAGTTCAAAACTACTGACAGAATTATCAAGTCTGTTCCAGCTCCAACAGATGTGATTCCTAGTAACGAGCAGTTGTTTGGAAACCACGGGGGGTTGCCAGATTACAATTTTTTGAGAGAACATTTCAAAAGAGAGGGTAAATTGAGACAAGATCAAGTGCTAAAAATCATCAAAATGGCGACGTCTATATTCGATGCCGAGCCAAATCTATTGGAAATTCCACCCCCAGTGACTGTGTGCGGTGATGTCCATGGACAATTCTACGACCTCTGTAAGCTATTTGAGATCTGCGGTGGCCCGGATAAAACCTCTTTCCTATTTTTAGGTGATTACGTCGACAGAGGTTCATACTCGCTGGAGGTGCTATTGTTGTTGTACAGTATGAAAATAAACCATCCGAAAACGTTCACCATGTTGAGAGGCAATCACGAAACCAAGCAGATGACACAGCATTTCACCTTCAAGAGCGAATGTTTGGTCAAGTACTCGATCGAGGTTTACCACGCCTCGTTGAAGTCATTCTGTGCGTTGCCTATAGCAGCTATAATGAACAAGCAGTTTTTCTGTGTGCACGGAGGTATTTCGAAAGACATCAAATACATATCAGAGGTTCAAGAAATCAACAGGTTCCAGGTTGATTTTCCATCTCATGGTGCCTTCTGCGATTTGATGTGGTCGGATCCGTCCAACAATTTCGACAACGAGCCGTATGGAACGAGTCACAAGGTGAAGGATTTCAGCGAGAACTATGAAAGAGGCTGTTCTTATATGTACTCCTACAACGCTGTGTGTCAGTTCTTAGAGAGAAACAATCTTTTGTCAGTATTAAGAGCGCATCAGGCGCAGGATAAGGGTTATCGGATGTACAAGAAGACCCCAACACAGCAATTTCCTTCAGTTATCAGTTTATTTTCCGCCCCTAACTACTGTGGGACGTATGGCAACAAGGCAGCCGTCCTGAAGTACGATGTGTCGACAATGAACATCAGACAGTTCAGTTCCCAGCCAGAGCCGTACCACCTACCAAGTTTTATGAACGTGTTCACCTGGTCGATACCTTTTGTTGCCGAGAGGGTGTGTGAGATTCTTTTCAGCGTCTTGAATATATGTACAGACGAGGAGTTAGAGATGGATACACCGTTGTCGAAAGAGCTTGCGAGATCGTTGCTTGAAATCCAAGGCGAGAACGACAGGAAACGTCTGTTTGGCCTGTCCAAGCAACTTGCGTCCAGCAGCTCGAGAAAGCTATCGACAGGGTCGTCCCGCTCGTCACATTCGTCCCGTTCGTCCCGTTCGTCTTCTATAAGTAAGGGATCGGGATCGGGCACACACTCGCAGCATGACGGAGAGGCGGTGGAAGAGGTCAACAAGGATGGAGAGAACGACGAAGCATGCAAGGAGTCGAAGACGCTAGCAAACATCGCTTTACGAAACAAGATCTTGGCCATCGGCAGGTTGTCGAGAATGTTCAACTTGCTAAGACAGGAATCGGAGAAGGTGGAGCAGCTCAGAGCGTATTCTGGCGGCTTGACGCTTCCTAAGGGTGTCTTGATCCAGGGTAGCGACGAGTTGGACAAGCAGCTATCGCACTTCGAGAGAGTGCGTTTGGCAGACCTGTCCAACGAGGCCGTGCCCCCAAGCGCCGAGGAGCAGAGCAAAGAAGACGACAGCAAGTACAAGCGGCTTTGGGAACGGGTTGCCCGAGAAGTGTGAGCTTTGTGTAAACTTGGAGTATAATGATGATAAAGACGGAACGAACAAAATAGAAAACTCTCGCCCCGCATTCAAGGTTTACAAAATTGCTGTATAGTTTACGATGTGTAATCTGCAACCACCTGTTGTACCTGCTGCACATCGCCGGCCAGTGTTGGTCGTGTACGTTGCATCTGTGCCGAACGTCTGTGCCGAAAAACGTCTTGCGCCGTTTTCGGGGCGGAACCAGAACGACTGAATACCCCGGGAGAGGTCCGAGGCGGGGCGGAGGAAAAAGCTTCGTGCGCAGCGCAGGGCAGTGCGGAAACAAGATGGGGGAGGTCGTCAATGCGGTTCCTAATTCTCTTGATTATGGGTGACGGGCGACAGTAGTTCTTTTCAAGCTCACATTGAGAGCCAGCGGGTTGCGTTGCAGACGGTGAGCAAGTATGGCAAAGCAAGAAGAAATCAGTATCAAGGTAGAGAATGCTTTGAAGAAGCTAGGTACGAGACACCATGTCAATACCAAGAATTCCTCAGTATATGTAGGGGACACAGGAATCGAGTACGATACGAAGGAGAGGGTTGTGAAAAGCGTCCTTCCTCCTGTCAACAGCATACCCAGAGAGGAGGAGCTTTTTGATAAGGATGGTGTTCCGGATTACAGGTTTTTGATGAAGCATTTCCAAAGGGAGGGCCGGCTCCTGGAGGACCAGTTGGTGAGGATTATTGAGAAGGCCGAGAGTATCATGAAGGAAGAGCAAAACCTGTTGTACGTCGATGTGCCGGCAACTGTTGTGGGGGACATACACGGCCAGTTCTACGACTTGTTGGGGATGTTTGAAATGTGCGGCGACCCGAGTGAGACACAGTACATCTTCTTGGGTGACTACGTCGACAGGGGCGACCGATCAATTGAGGTGTTGATTTTGCTTTATGCGATGAAAATCAGCCACCCTACACACATGTGGCTGCTTCGGGGCAACCACGAGAGCAGGCGGATGACGTCGTACTTCACGTTCCAGAAGGAGTGTCTCTGCCGGTACTCGGAGCACTTGTACAAGGCGGCCACAAGATCGTTCAGGGCACTTCCTTTGTGCGCAGTGTTGAACCACCAGTTCTTCTGTGTGCATGCCGGAATCTCGAGCAGCTTGTGGGACTTGGAGGATATCAACGAGAAGATCGACCGATTTACGGAGGACTTCCCCAGCAAAGGGCTCTTCTGCGACTTGATGTGGTCGGACCCGTCGGAGAGGTACGACGAGGAGGATATTGACGAAGACGACGTGAAGCGGTACTACACGTTCAACTACGAGCGCCGCTGCAGCGATTTTTACAGCTACCGTGCGGTGGAGACGTTTTTAAATCACAACGACTTGTTGAGTGTGGTGCGGGGCCACCAGCCGCAGGACTCCGGGTACCGGATATACAAGGTGAACGAGATGACGAGTTTCCCGAGCTTGATCACGATCTTCTCTGCGCCGAACTACTGCGGCACCTACAACAATATGGCAGCCGTGTTGGTGTACAATGGCGAGTCGTTTAACATCAAGCAGTTCGATTCCTACCCGGCTCCGTACTTCCTTCCGAACCAGATGAACCTCTTCGAGTGGTCACTGCCGTTTGTGGGCGAGAAAGTGGTGGAGATTCTTTCTGCTGTTTTGAACATCTGCACGGAGGACGAGCTTAACAAGGACGAGATCTCTTTGGATCAGGAGAACATGAGGTTGATCCGGGAGATCGACGAGAGCAACCGGGATGAGACCGAAGCTGGCACCGCCGTCGACACTGACGCCGGGCCGCACAAGAGACCGAAGACGGCATCTGCCGCCGCGGCCCACGCCGAGAAAGTGGCCGAGAACGACAGCGAGGACAAGAACACCGTTACCGGCGGCAGCCAAGTGTTGTTTGGCGAGTCTATCCGGAAGAAGATGCTCATGGTCGGACGGATGTCCCGCATCTTGAGCCTCCTGCGGGAGGAGCGGGAGAAAATAGACGAGCTCAAGAGCCTCAACCACGGCGAGCTGCCGAAGCGTACGTTGATTGACGGCCGCGAGGAGCTCCACAACAAGCTCCGCTCGTTCAAGGAGGCCCGTGACATGGATATCGCCAACGAAGGTCTTCCGCCGACCTCCGCAGAGATGGCCGCCCGGGCGCAGCAGCGCTCGGAGAAGTACCAGCAGTACGTTTCCAGTGACGACGACGATGCCGACGTCGATCCGGCAGAGGTCGGCGACGCTTAAGAACACCCCTAGGGTCCGTCATCGTCGTCAGCAACCCCGTCATCAACCCCGTCATCAACCCCGTCATCAACCCCGGCATCCGTGTGCTGAGCCTCCGTGACCTCCTTCTGTGGCGGTGTCTGTGGCGGGTGCACAGGAGGGGGCTTGCCCTGTTTATTTTTCGCCAAGGACGTGATGGCGAGAAAAAAAGCTGAGCACGCGTTTTGAAAACGTTTTAGGGGAAATTTATTTATAGAAGGGGCCGTCTTCTGTCCAGACGGTCCTGATAAACGACTCGAACTTGTGTACTTTGTGTTTTGTAGCGGCAAAGAAGTGGCAGAGGATAGAGCAAACTCTGCAATTTTTGTTTGGCAATGAGCAGCAGAAACAACAACCGCTACGACCGCAGCAGCAGCATGAACGAGCTTGCTGGCGGCGGAGCAGAGAACAACCCGTTTGCGTTTGATAACGATAGTGGAGACGATCTCGTCGACGGAGAGTCGTATCACTCGAGCGTTTTCGACAGTTACGGCGGCCGGGCAGCCGTGGAGAGCGGTCAGGCAGACAGCAGACACGTCCGCACGACGAGCGTCGTCTCTGGAACACCGCAGATCCACTTTGATCCGATCCCGGGCGCACAGGCACAGGCACAAACACAAATCGTGGCCGGGTCACGTCCGGAGATACCGTCGCATGGCAGCAGAAACCACTCCTCGACAAGCTTAAGACTGGACAGACTTGAACCGCCCCGGAACGCCCGTCTGTCGTCGTCTCCGAAACACCAGGCCGTGTCCCACATGCGGGATAGCTCCTACTCGAACATCGCGTACGACCCGTTCAACTCTGCATTCGACGACGACGACGACGAAGACGACGATGAAGACGCTGCGGTGAGCAGTAACGTTGACCACAGCAACGGACACCCGTACAGTGAGTCCAGCCAGGACCTCGAGTCTCATTACCTGCCGAAGGGCGGGAACCAGGTCCACGTTAGCGTGTACGAGAACCCGGATGAGTCTTTGACAAACAACTTTGTGCAGTCTCCAATGAGAAACACATCGCTGGCCTTCCCGGAACAGGGCCCCAACTACGACTACTCGCCCTCGGACTCCTTTCAGAACCTCAATTACTACTCGAACTTCCAGCAGCAGCAACACCAGCCGCTTTTCATGAATGACGGAAGCGGCTTCTCGGATGACCAGAGCGAAACCAGCCCGGTGTTCCAGAGCTTCGAGAGAGACCCAGACGAACCAGAACTCGACAATAATCACTTGTTTCAGAACAATGAGGAAGACCAGCAGCAAGGCTTGGAGCACTCCAACTTCGCAGACAAGGGCGACAACAAGGTTGAGCTTATAGACGGCAAGTACTACAGTTTCGACTATCCGGTGCCTACACAGCTATCACACAGAATCCCCTTTAAAGGTGCAAAACAGCTCACAGAATTCACTCACTTGAGATATCATGCAATCACAACGGACCCAAAAGAATTTTCAGATGATAATCCGCTAGGGAAGGACTACATTGAAAACTACCCGTTGAGACAGAAATTGTACTCCGTGCAAAGAGACACGGAATTGATGATTGTTTGTACGATGTACAATGAAGATGAAATCCTCCTCGGCAGAACACTTAAAGGAGTTTTCAAAAATATTAAAACAATGTACAACTTGAAGGAAGATGAAAGCATACATCCTTTTGGTAAAAACACATGGAAAAAGATTGTAGTTGTCATCGTCAGTGATGGTAAAAACAAGATCAATGAGAAATCAAAGGCGTTGCTGACTTTGTTGGGTGTATTCCAAGAAGGTATAATGCAAGAATCGGTCAACGACGAGAAAGTAAATGCCCATTTGTTTGAATATACAACCACATTTGGTATTGGCAAATTCGACTACAACAGAGCAAACCACTCTTTTACTGTTCCCTTGGTCACCGAGCAAACAGTGCCTGTGCAGTTGATGTTTTTGTTGAAAGAGGAAAACAAACAAAAGATCAACTCGCATAGATGGGCTTTGAACTTTCTATGTCCAAATTTAAATCCTAAAGTGGTTGTTTTGCTTGACGTGGGCACAGAGCCAGGGCCAGATTCCATTTACAAGTTATGGAAGGCATTCAAAAATCCAAAGATTGGTGGTGCATGTGGTGAAATCAGAGCTATGTTGGGCAATCACGCAAGTCCAAACGATGAATCTTCCATCTGGAAGAAGATGGGTAGATTCATCTATTTCCAGCTTTCTGATTTCACTAAATGTGTCATCAACCCGCTAGTTGCAGCTCAAAATTTCGAGTACAAAATGTCAAACATCTTGGATAAACCCATGGAGAGTGCATTCGGGTTTGTTTCTGTTTTGCCCGGTGCCTTCAGCGCATACAGATACGAAGCACTACAAGGTGAGCCATTGAGAGCATATTTCCATGGAGAAGATATGAAATCGAATACAAAGAAGCCAGCTGGAGTCTTAGAATCTAACATGTATTTAGCAGAAGACAGAATCTTGTGTTTTGAATTGGTTGCCAAAAGTGGGAAATCATATTTGTTACAATATGTGCATAATTCATACGCAGTTACGGATGTGCCTTCGCATATCAGTGAATTCGTCAACCAAAGAAGACGTTGGTTAAATGGTTCATTTTTTGCCGCATTGTATTCAATCTTACACTTTTACAGAATCTTGGTATCCAAGCATTCATTTGGAAGAAAAATTGCATTGGTCATTGAGATCATCTATCAAACCGTCAACATACTACTCTCGTGGTTCGCGTTATCAATTTACTTTCTAGTTTTCAGAATTTTAGCTCTGGATCTATCAGACACGTTTGTGGGGGAGAAGACAGGGGACATTCTTGCAATTGTGTTTCTTTGGGTATACATTGCAGCAATTGTACTTACATTCATCATCTCTTTTGGTAACAAGCCCAACGATGCAAAATATTTTTACTTGTTAGCATTTGCTCTATTTGCTGTGATCGTCATCTATATGACCTTCTCTGTTGTCTGCTTGACGATTCAGTCGATCAAGTCCATCAAGGCCGATATTGGGGAGTACTCAAGATTTACCTTATCCATCGGCTTGAAGTATTTGCGAGATGAGAAGTTCAGAGATTTAACAATATCCTTAGCATCCACTTATGTTCTCTACCTCATAGGCTCGCTAATCTTTTTCGACGTTTTCCACCTCTTTGCATGCACGGTACAGTATATTCTACTTTCGCCCGCCTACATCAATGTATTGGGCATATTTGCCTTCTGTAACATTAACGACATCTCGTGGGGTACTAAAGGCGCTTTAGGGGATGAGTCCAAGTTTCCGAAGAAGAAGGCCAACACCAACGACGAAGAGGAGAAAAACGTTCTCTTGTTAAGTGACAATCTTGAAAACCCTGATGTTTTGTACAAGAAGGCACAGAGGTTCCTGGAGGGGACCACTGGTGAAGGCGGCGATGAAGGAGGGGCAGAATCGGAGAAGAAGCAGATGCAGCAAGAGCAGGATCAGATTCAGGAAAACATCAGGACCTCCGAGAAGAATTACGCCCTAGGTCGGACGTACACAGTGCTGTTGTGGTTGATTTCCAACTTCATTCTTCTTGTGGTCATTCTCCGGACAGGGGGTCTAGAGGACTACTCTAATTACGTGAACGGCCAGAGTACGCCTGCCGCAACCACGTCGACAACCAAATCCTTTTTGGTCAAGAGGAGCTACTGGAACGACATGAACGTGGCAAACTACTTTATGACTGCCATCCTCTGGATCGTCGCAGGTCTTGCCCTCTTCCGTTTAGGCGGCTGCATCTACTACCGCGTGTCCTTCTTTGTCTCTGAGCGGGTGCACCACCGTTCTGCAGTGTTGCGGGAATAGTCAATAGGTCGGCAGCGTGAGGGCCCCTATAGGCTCGGCGCGGTAAAAAACGCGGACTTAGAGGGAAAAAGGTGGAGCAGAATCTCGTGCAGAAGATGCTGGTTTGATTTGCCATTTTGTCTGCGTCTGCGTTTGCTGCATCTGCGGCAGCTTTGTGCTGTATTGCCTGACTGCGAAAGGAATGCAAGTGGGCAGAATAACGCAGAGGGTTTATTGGAGATTTGTTCTAGTCCGTGGCGCAGGAAAGTGCCACGGAGATAAGAGCAGAGATAAACTGTTCACAGCGTGTACTATGTAGTGTATATGTACGTTTTTTCTGTTCTCATAATCAAATGAGTATACTATACGACACAAAGGGCCATAATCTGCCCGAAGGGGGGTCTGGCGGTAATGATGTCTTGCTGCATGGTCGTTCATTTACATTCTCCGCGTTCCACAGCACGAAGTGAGACGAAGGTACGCCTTGCCCTTGTCTTCGCAGGGGCTGGCGGAAACAGGCGCCCATCAAATAGCATGATTGATAGAAGTATTAACCTTCTATCTGTTATGAACTTTAACGGCGGGCTGGAAATGTAATCGAACGATTTGTTACTTATGGTTTGGAACCAGCGCACGGCCGCATTGACGAACACCAAATGGGGCAGCTGATCAACTGAGATCCAACCGAGCGAGTGAGAGATATAGCCGAGGGGCTCGATCGACGATATTGCGTGGAGTAAGGAGGCAATGAACTACACTAGTACATGTTCGTTTGATCACTGTCGCATCTGTGGTCAAATTTATATCTTGTATTATTCTATAAAAAAGACGAATCATTACTATCATTTATCATTTATGGTGTAGCTGGGAAAAGAGGGGATATAAAGCATTAAAAATCAGAGAAAAGGCAGATGAAGAAGAGAAAAAAAACAAGTAAAGAACGGTAGAAAAAAACACAAACATCGAATCAACTCAAGGAAGCAATATTGTGCGTAGCATAAATTGCATAGCATGTGTAGGAAACAAATTGGCTCTGTGTAATGGAAAGGAATAAGGTGAGTAAAGTTTAGTAACTTGGAGGGAACGTGAAGTAAAGGCAATTGAAGTAAAGTAAAGTCGAATAAAGTCAAGTAAAAATGGAAACGCTGTAGGACAAAGAAAGGTGAAAACGAAGTGAAAACGGAAACAAAAACTGAAAAAATTCTGGAATGAGTATGTATATGGCTTACATTAGAACTGGACGTATTCTTCGTTATTATAATGCATGTTGAGATCGCTCGAGAGTGAGGCAACCATTGACGAATCTAAGGAAGTTGGATTGATGCTGCTAGTCTTTGAATTTTTGTTCAAACCCTTGAGGGGAGAATGGGGAGTCATAGTTTGCACTTGGGGGATGTAGCCAGTGGAAGACGTTGCAATATTGCTGTTGTTATTGTTGACCTTGCTCTTGTTGATGATGTTGTTGGTGTAGTTATGCGTAAGCGGATGAGCGTGGTTGTGACTATGGCCGTGATTGTGACTGTGGCTGCGATTGTGATGGTGTTGCAGCTTTTTAACAGAACTAGAACCTATCGTTGAACATGAGCTTGAAGATCTCTTCACCAGCGAAGTTGGAGGAGACATTGACAAATTATCGATAAAAGAGTTTTCCGTGCCCATAAGAACCGGGGTAGTATCCAACATCGAGTCAAACATCAGCACAGAAGAATCACTTGTAATTGATGATGGTGAAAAATAACCCGCCAAATTGCTTTCTGATGGTGAAACAAGCTCGTTCGTTTGTAGGGCAGCGGATGGTATTTTTATAGACGAGGCCATTGGCGGAGGAACGGCCATGGAAGTTTTAGAGGTCAAGTTTGTCGCAGATGCATTAGACGAATTGAAAACAGAACTAATACTGCTGTCATGGCTATAGTTATTGTTGCTGTTGTTATTGTTGTTGTTATTCGTGGTACTATTGGTATTATTATGACTATTATTGTAACTATGGTTGTTACTGTTGTTCGTACTGTTATTACTGTTGTTCGTACTGTTGTTCAACAGGCCAATACTATTAGAGTGGAATTGACCGAGATCTAAGGAATTGAAACCCATCATAGCAACATCATCCAGTTCGTCTATTGGAGACACCATGTTCGAATTTGTTTCGTATGTAGAGTAATCCGAAGTCAAAGGTACAGAATCAAATTGGTCTAGTAGTGGAGTATCTCTATCATCAACGTCCTCTTCTTCTTTGATTTTACTTAATGGAATGTTGCCAGTACCCAAAGAGTTCTCACCTAAAGCATTGAAATTTGGTGAAAACTCTGAGGACTTCGGTGACAGAGATTCAGGAGATGACAACAGGTTTAAGTTGTTTTGACCATGAACAGAGTGACCTTCGCTTGGCAGAATTGGAGCAATAACCTTCTTGCTTGACTTTTTAAAATTGAGGCTAGTCACGGCATTCAAATTTGACTTGATGGCAGCTTTATTCATTGACTCTGCTGTTGCTGTTGAAGCTGAGAATTCCTGTCTGTCGACTTCTAATTCGTGTTCATCGACCAACAAGGAAATTGCCTGATTGACTGAAATAGGAGAGATTTCGTCACTCTCGTTGTATTCCAGGTCCTTTACGAAAGTCATCAAATCTGACTTTTTGTTTAACTTCACCATTTCGCAGAGTTTTAACAAAGATTTGTTGACTAAACTCAATCTTCTGTCAATTAGTTCGACATATTCACTTGAATAAACCTTATCCTTAGATTTCTTTCTTTCTGTGTAAATGCAAATCTTATTGTCTGCGGTACAACGTTCACAAGGCTGCTTACCGTTACACTTTGTCTTTTTCAACCTGCAAGAGTCGCATGCTTTCCCGACTCTTTTCTTTTTCATGGAGTCCAAAGAGTTTAAGTTGGAGCCAGAGCCATTATGTGAGACTGGATCTGAAGAGGTTGTATTAGAAGTTGAGTTTGAGTTGAGCAGTGTTGAAGAGATTGGTGAGGAAGACATTTTTCTATAGATGTGATGTAAATTGAAGCTTTTTTATGCTTGATTCGAGGTAGTTTAGCTGGAAGTATAAATTTGTTAACCGTTTGAATATTTTGTATTTTGCAATTAATTGAGATAAAATGAAAGTGTGCATATAAACTCAATTGGACATATAGATGTGTGAATATGTAATTTGTGGGTGTTCTTGTGTGTGTTTGTCTGGGTGTGTGTGAATGTATTCCTTTGGAAATGTAGGGTAGCCTGAAATCCGTCTGAATTAGAGTGGGGCTAACTGGCGTGAATATGTATTCCTCAAAATATGTTTTTGGATCTCTATCACGGTATATTTTTATAAAGATATAAGGAGATATCAGTAAGTCAATATACGAATTGAGAGGATCGTAGAGGGTATAATTAATCAGCTGAAGCGGGTGGGGTTTTTGCTTCTACACTGAATTAGTAATGGGGGATTCTGTGGATATATAGAGAAAGCGAGGATTGAAAATTATATGTATAGCGTGATGTAGTCCGAGGAAGTAGTTGATAGACTGCTGAGGTGGGTACGGCAAAGCGGGCACGTAGATGTATGGATGGATGTATGGATGGATATATGGACGGAGGGTGGTGTATATATACCCAAGGCTGACGAGATAGAAATGGGGAGGGCCACTGCAAGGGCGCAAAAAAAAGGGAGAGGAGGGAGGAAGTTCGATATATATATAAATTGACGGAGACGGAACACGGAACAAGGGGCAGGAGGCAAGCCGGGAGGCAGTCCGTTGTTAGAAAAAGAAAAGAGGGTGTACAGGAAAACAGGAGAAGAACCCAGAATGAAAGAATAAGGGAGAATGACGGGCCAACTGTGGGAAAAGTGCTCCCAGCAGGAGGACGGACGGTAATACAATGCGCCAGCGGGAATATTTACTATCAACAATGGAAAGTGAAAAGGAAAAGGTGGGAGGCAGACGAGAAAAAAGGATGGAAATGTGAAAATGCGGCCACGAGAAAATGCGAGGGAAAATGCGAAAAGTGCCAGAAGGGCCACATGAGTGCCAGAAGAAACCCAGCGGTGCTGTTACTTAATATTGGCCCCCGGGCAGCCGCTAAAACAAGATTCTTACTGCATGTGCAGCTGTCTGTGCTGCAGAGAGTGCAGGTGCTACGGTTATGTCAAGTCCTGAGGCGATAAGAGAGAGGTGTTGGCGACCAAGGATGGAGCAGCTTCCGTGCGTGTGTGCAGTTTATTCGCTCCCGCTTTGCTTTGTGCTGCTCTCCTTTGCTGCCCTTCCCACCGGCACGGGCACCACCAGAATCCGCAGCAGAACAGCAGCATGCGCCGGGACCCTCTCCCGCCAGATCTCGTAGATTGCGTGCATGTGGACGCTGTCTGGCCAGATCGCTATCGCTGCAGATATCCACCCATCCACCCTGCACGCCTGACTTCCCGCCCTGCCTGCCTTGCCTGCCTTGCCTGCCTTGCCTTCTCTACTCTACCACCTCACCTGTGCAGATGCGTCTGCTGCCCGTGCATGCATGCAGACAGGAAACAGCCCGAGTCCGAGAACATATTTAATGGAGCGGATCGCGGAGACGGCTGAGCGCTGCAGCCGGCTCCCGGGCACGTGCCCGGCACAGGCACGGGCCCGGCTCCGTCTCCGTCTCCCTGCCCCCGCCCATGCTGGCACGGAAAAGTTTCGCATCCGGCTGTAGGACGGGCTGCGTTTTTATTGTGTTGCCGCCGCCGCGGCTGCTCTGCGCAGAGCAGCAGCGCTGGTTCGGCGTTCTGTGGCTTGCCGGATGAGTTGCCCACTACGGGATACGCGTGGGGGCACCGCCACTAGCACAAGCTGTGAAGCCAGGGCAACCGCAACCGCAACCGCAACCGCAACCGCAACCGCATGGTTGGGGGCGAGCCCCGGTCTGAAAAATGGTACGAGTGCAACAAGGTGATCATGGGCTATTGTTCTGGTTGCTCCGGGGTGCGTCGACGTCGGCACCGAAACACCGATTCCGTCAACGCCGAGCAGTGACGGGCGAAGAAAGAAGGCATAGTCTGGATGCGCTAGGCCGCACTAGGCCACACTAGTGTTCCGCACTAGCAGCGAAGACGACGGTCGGCGTCTCGGCGATTGCACAAAGCGCTGACGCCGCCGACGTCGCCAGCGCGGTTAACGGGGCCAGCACCGGCTGCACGCCCGGCAGTCGGCCTCGCGAGAGAAAGCGTGGCGCCGACAGGCGGACTCCGACGCTTGGCCGCCGACAAGACCCCTGACAGGCATAGACGCGTGCAAAGCCAGACCCGGCGGCAGCAGGCACCGGGCCAGCAGACATATCCGACGGTTTCCCCGTCTGTGGAACGGGACAGAAGAAAACACCTGTGGACAAAAAGAAACCCAGCCCAGTCTTATCGACCTGCATGAACGTCGATGCTAGCGTGGTGGCCGTGTGCGTCCGCCGGTTTCAACACTGCATCCTCTTGCAGTGGTACTTCACCTGACTCCGGCCCCGTGACAGCTGTTGCTGCTGCTGGCCGGACAAGAGGATCAGCCCAAAGAGCTAGCGTGAGCCTCTGTTGCATCTGCCGACACAGCGGTGACAACATGTCCCATTTCGCTTTCCTAGGTCTTGCGAGACACCACAGTACATAGATCTATATACGCACACACACACATGGTCTAGGCTCTTAGATCTCTAGCTCTCCTATCTCCACTCCGTCGGCAGATGCGCTGTAGTTGTACACAGGGACCATCCGGCTCGCTAGGAAACCCTGCAAATCCTCCTCGTCCGCGTCCTCTCCTGATGCAGTTTTGTTTCTGCTGCTCCGATCCTTGCTGCGCTTTCCAAACACGGAACCGGCGTCCAATATACGATCAGCCTCTCCACCCTTTCCCAAAACGTGGTCGCAGACAGCAATGTACAAATCGAGTAGTTTCACAATGTTCCTACCCTCGTTCCCAGCGAATTCGTACTCTGCAATAATCTCGTTAAAGAGTCTGCACTTCGCACTGAACTTGACAAAAAATTCACACACGTAATCCCACAATATCTTCATGAGGCGACTAGTTTCCTCCCCAGACAAGCTACTCTCGATCGCCACGCTCCTCTGAAAACCTCTCGCAAAGTCGAGCTCCATTTCCGTCTCCATATCCACTTCACCCCCTTTCTTTCCCTCGTTTAGCTCATTCAGCTCGTTCATGGCCTCGTCGTCCTCCTTCTCGTACTGGTTCCAGGGCAAGTCATCCTTGAAGGCAAGATAGGAGTAGAACTCGTCGTCCAGCACCTTAACACTCTTTACTCCTCCCTTAGCGTCGAACAACACCTCAAACTGCACATTTGGAGTCTGTCGAATGCAATATAACCTCCTCGTGATCTCGAAATCGCTCATCAGCTTGCTCTCACAATACCCAATAATCGGGATTTCGATCACAGTCCTCCTCTCCTTGTTCAATGGGAAAAACCCGTAGTTGACAAACATCCGATGCAAATCTTCATATTCGTCATAGCTGATGAAGATTTCACATTGGTCTCTTTCTGATGCTACTTTGTTTGGCTCAAAGTACAATACCACTTCTTGACTCTTACGGTCAACATCGAAATACGCGTTTCGCTTCTCATTGTCGTGGTTCGCATAGTCCAGAATCGGAACAAGTGTAACGTCAACGTAGTAGTCTTCCTGATCACCCTCAACTTCTCGGGGAATTTCTAGAACTCTTGATCGAATTGCCCCACACAGTTGTAACACTTCCTCCACCTTCATGGCCTCGTCTTTCTCAAGAAACTCTTCATTCAACGTATCAGTAATCTCATCCCACAATCCGCTAGTAATATCAACAATTGAGTTTTTCAGCACGACGTTTCCTGGGAATGCACTCAAAAAGTCCTCTAGGATGTCAGGGTGGTCTCCATACAAATTGCCGATAGTCGTGTCGAGTAAAACAGACAAATATGTTCCCATTGTCTGTTTGAACTCATCAGTTTCTGAATTGCGGTAACTATCTGCATTTCTTTTTTTCGACACTATCAAGAAGCCAATGAAATAGGCAATGAGTATGAGACTTTCACTGCTTCCTCGACTTCTTGCAAAAATCACACTGAGCGTCCTTTTCACAATCGCCTTATCCTCGGCACTTAAGTTCTCATCCACTAGTTTTCTCAAAGTATAAATGTTATAACTCGACGTGTGTGGAATTCGCATCAACTCGATACGTTCGCTGGACTCATTCTGCGTCTCGCATGTATAGAACACTCCAATACCACGCTCCTTGGTTTTCTCTATTCTGAGATTAGGGTTAACTTTGATTCCAAGTTTTTCACGCCATGTCTCTAGTTCACTTTTGTTCTTAATTTCACCGGCAAACAAAACCATTGTGTTAGGTTCAAAAGCACTCGTCTACTTCGATTCACTATGAAATTTTGAGCTCTTCAAGGCTTTACCTGAAGGTTCCATCAGGCTTTTCCTTCTTAGTTTTTAGTCAAAAAAAGTGTACCAGTCACGTGATCTAATATATTTCTGCCCATCTAATCATTTTCTAGGCTGTTTACTTTATTTCGCATTTATTAAATTTGGTAAAACCTTTATATATAACTATGAGATTAAAACATTCGATGTGATGCTCTCGAATCTCTGTGTGGTAATCCTGATACAAACCACTAATAGCTCTTCGTAAACATCTCTATTTTCCGTCTTTAACTTTTTGATTGCGCTGGAGTCTAACACCCACATAACACAACTTGTATTTGCCTTGTAGTCTATTGTCCTATCCGATTTGGTGATGACTATATCACCAAACATCGTCAATGGCAACTCAGAACTGTTGATGGTAAACTTCAAATCATTGAATTCAATCTTGAAATCAACTAAACCGCTTTCAAAAAAGTACAAGCATGGCTGGTTACTGTTTTTGTCGTAAATGAACTCTCCAGCCTTGTATATTGACTTCCTCAAATATGGTGATAATCTGCCCCAAAACTTCTCGTCATATATGCTACTCAATCCTTGCATGATTTGTAAAACCAAGTAAAGTGGTTGCTTCATCGTCGATACTGAGGCCTTGCGGTCCTTCTCTTTCAACTTATTCATGATTAAATCCTGTTGAAGTTGCTCCTTTTGATTATACCTTCTAGCGGCATTAATGAATTGGACGTGTCTAGGGGTGCCAAACATTAAGCCAGAATCAGTACCACCCGAAGAAGAACCATTGTAGGTACCGACTGTCTGTTTCTTTTTTATTTCTTTCCCTATTGTAAGGCTTGGTTGTTTACTCTGAGCAATCAATTCCTTGTAGTGTTTCAAGAAAATATTTTCACACCATTCTAATGCAGAATTTAAATTATTGAACATCTGGATTTTTTCTTGGTGCTCTTCCGTCTCCCATAGTCCACAGAACTTCAATGAATCAACTATGGCAGAATTGTTGTCAATTGATGATAACAAAAAGTAGCATTGTTTTTCCATCAGCAAATTTCGAATTCTCTTAAATCCTTCGGTGGCAGAAAAATCAAAGGTCAAAACGTTGTTCAGATCCAAAATCAAATACTTGATAGGTTGTTTTGTATAGTTGGCAACATCAAACATGTTTCTGACCTCATCCTCCAACCCTCCGATCGAGCCAAAAAACAAGGAACCGGATAGTTTCAAGATGCAGATTTGTTTTCCGACGTTTTTCAAAAATTCTAGCTGTTTTGGATGCCTAGCAACAATTGACCTCGCATATTCACCTGTGTATACTGCACTAATCACCCTCTTACTACCGGCTTCAATGACAAAGGAAACACATGCCAATAAGATACCAACCAAAATACCATACACGAAATCCCAAGCGCCCATGGTCAATACGATGATGATGATAGTGATGTATTCAAACTTTCTCAACCTTCCTACTGTATCCCACACAGATTCCTTCAATAACTCATATCCTAGAAGATAAATCAATGAGCCGACAACACAGACAGGAATGTATCCAATTAGAACTGGGCCGATGAACATTATGCCGGACGTTGCGATGGCTAGCATCACTCCACTCAACCTAGAATCGGCACCTGACCTGATGAATAAGACGGAGTTGGTATATACAAGATAATTCTGTATGGAACCACACAATCCACTTATGAAATTAGATGCACCGTGAGCCATCAACTCCCTGTCAACATCGAATGTGTCCATTCCAATGGTCAATGCCAACGCTGGAACATTGATGGGGACGTGTAGAACACCGAAAAACGTTAAAGCAAGCATGGTTGGAAGTTGGTCCAAAACCAACCACCAATCGCAAAGCTTGAAGTCGTAATAGTGGTAGAAAGAATACCATGGCTCGTTGGAGTTTTGCGCTGTAAAGACCCAACCGTAGTCACGTGCCAAGCCCAAGTTCCAAGACGGAACTGCAAGCACGAGTGAATGGAACACAGCAAACACGCCAATAAAGTAGCATGGGACAATCAAAGGATTGGAGTTGTAACGTTGGATGATAATCAATATTATTGCCAGCAATAATGGAATCGTCCATTGTAGGAAGGGGAGCGGTTGCAAAAGGTACATGAGGGTTTCCCAGTTGTACTCTATGCCACCTTCCAATCTAGAGGAGACTTCGATACCTGTGACAAACAGAAAGTAGCCAACACCGCCTATGCAACCGACTAAAATGTGTCTTGGGAAGAACCCGACCAGCTTCCCTAACTTACATTTGCCTAGTATGGCGAAGCACAAACCTGTGACTATGGCAGAGATAGCAAAAGTAAAGATCGTCGTGGTGATGATAATGTCCTGAAGGCTGGGGCTCTGTGCGTACCTTTCGTCATTCTGCAACTTTAGCATGATACTGATGGCCATCTGGTGGAAAAATGGGGTCACTTCGATCATTTCCGATCCGATTCCGCTCTTGAAGGCGGAGCCCCCGAAAGAATATATAAGCTGTGAAATGACTGTCGAGACATAGAACATAGACAAGCCTGCAGGCCCCATAGAGGAGAACACTGTCTCTCCAATGGGGAACATGATCATCCCGTACGACAAAGCGTCGAGCACGTTGAGCAACGTGCCAAGAAAGACCGCAGGCATGTATCCGAGGGGCCTGTACACGCATTCATGGAGAAGGGTGTCCTTGTCTGCCTCCTTGAAGAAGTCTATTGTGTTCCGCAAGGAGAAAGAGCTTTGCTTGGTCTTTAAAGCCTCGAGGTCAAACGCAGGGTCGATGTCAACGTGCGGATCGTCGTAGGACCCGTAAAAGCTCAGCGACGCGTGGCTTGTCTGGTGGGTGATGGGCAACATGTTGGACGTCTCGTCAACGGGGGAGTACTCTGCCACAGCGGTAGAGTAGCTCGGATACGTGTTGCTAGGCGTTGTTGACAGCGGCGACTCGTCGGCGGTGTCGTCGGTGTCGATGTCCGGCACGGCGATCGCCGCTAGGCCGGCTGAGTCCTCGTGGACGGAGTCAGAAGAGTGCACCTGAAGAGATATCGAGTTGATCGGCGACGTCATGTTCGGTTTATAGCTGCTGTACATGAAGCTCCTGGCGAGTGTGTTGCCCGACGACGCCTGGCGAGGCTGGTTAATGGATTTGGGTATCGATCTCGGGAAAGCGCCGTCGCCGTAGCTGTTGGACGTCGGCATTGTCTCGTTTCTGAGAAGCCGTTGCACGCTCGGGAGCAACGAAAGAGCAAAAAAAACGCACGGGAGGCCAGTGGGGGCCTTCTCTTCTGTTGCAGAGCAAAACGCCGGTTTCCTGGCGCCTGGTATGCTTGTCGAGGCTGCTCCAGAACTCTCATGCCCGAAGATCAGCGTCTCCCCGACTGCTCTATTATCTTCTTCCTTCCGCTCTTCTAGTCTATGGCTCTCTGCCCGGCATTCCGTTTCTGGCGGCAGCGCCGTGGCGGTGCAGTCGGCGTAGCGGTGGTGTGGCGGGTGCCTGCCCCGGAGAGGGCTTGGGCAGCTGGAGATGGACGTGGAAGATGGGGGTTTCGACGAGTATACAGGAAATACAGAGATCTAGTAGAAAGAAAAGGATGAAGAACTTACAACTCGTCCTTCCCGACAGGGGCGGCGGCGGCGTCAACTTCGAGAGCCCCGCACGCCTGGATCTTGATCGGAACAACAGGCTTGTTGCCGTAGCTGGTCTTGGAGTTCTCGATCTTCTGGACGACGTCAAAGCCCTCGACAACTGCGCCAAAGACGACGTGCTTGCCGTCGAGCCACGGGGTCTTAACAGTGGTGATGAAAAACTGGGAGCCGTTGGTGTCCTTGCCGGCGTTGGCCATCGACAACAGGCCCGGTCTGTCGTGTTTCAACTTGAAGTTCTCGTCCGGGAACTTGGCGCCGTAGATAGACTTGCCGCCGGTCCCATTTCCCTTGGTGAAGTCGCCACCCTGGATCATGAAGCTCTTAATAACTCTGTGGAACGTGCTGCCCTCGTAGCCGAAGGTTGGGTCGCCCGACTTGGACAACTGGTAGAAGTTCTCGACTGTCTTTGGCACCACATCCCCGAAGAGGCCAATGACGATTCTGCCCAGAGGCTCGCTGCCCCGTGTGATGTCGAAGTAAACTTTGTGGGTGATCTCTGGAAGGTCGCCGGCTTCACCGGCGCTGGCGGCCGACTGCGAGACAAAGAGGAACAATGCCGCCAAAATAGCAAAGAGAGACGCAACAATCTTCATCATGTATAAGTGTGTCTGTCTGTGTAGGTCGAGTGTGCCAGAGTCGGCAGCACCATAGAGAGTAGCCGTGGAGCAACCAAAGACGGATCCTTGGCGTGTCTCTATAGGTCCTTACACGTCGCTTCCTCCCCCCTGGGCGCCCGCGTACTGCGCCGACTGGAAGAGCGGCGGCTGCCATTTCACGTTCGGCGAGAGCAACCCGGACAAGCAGAAACGTCTTCAGTTTGCTACGGGCTGGGAATTACAGATGATAAAGGTTACATGATGAAGGTTACAGGCGTCACACCGAGTCTAGATAGTAAGTCTGTCTATAGTATATGGGGACACCTTCGTGCGTGTAGTTTTTTTGGAGAACTGAGAGTCCCTGCCGCCGACCTTGAGCATCATGTCAAGCTTGTTCGTCTCCACTTCGATCTCGCCAAGCTGGCTGGCGCCAGCGGAGACAGAGGATGGCTTGCTATTTCTCAGACTTTTCTTACTGGCTTTCTTGCTCTTCTCCTGTTCTCTGCCAAGCTCAGCATTCGTCAGGGTCTGGTTCACCAACGTGAGCAATGCCGTGTCGTCGATCATCGACTTCACCTTAGTCTGCGTCTGCTTGATCAACTTAGCCAACTGTGTGTCATCGTTCGCATAGTGGAGACTCAACACCAACCCGTTGGAGTCGATGAACGAGTTTAAGACCTCGTAACCGTAATTCAGCTTGATTATTTTGCCGATGATCTTGTCCAGGTCAAAACCTGTGCCGTTGCTCTTGCTGCCAAGACCGGGCTTCTTCTTCATTATCTTCACCGTTTCCTGCGTAATCTCCTCCGAAGAAAATTCATCGATCAGCCGGTTGACGATATCCTTAAAGATCTCATCGTTCTCGGCGCTGCTTAACTCAAGTATGAAGTCGTGGCACGGAATGTTGACGCATGTCACAATCGCCTGCCTTTGCAACCTTGGCGAAACCTCAAGTACTCTAAGTAAGCCAGTTGCATACGGTGTAGGAAAAAGAGGGTGCGTCAGGACGTATGTTAAGGCTGTCTCAGGAATGTTTTCAGAGTCTAGCGATATCGAATCTGTCTGTGCGTTGTAGTTGAAAAGTAACAACGTGCACAACTTGAAAAATTTAGGGTCCACAAATCTGTCCTTCTCATACTCGTACACCTTGAAATCATTATCTGAGTGTGATTCACCATAAGGGGCATTTTTCAAATATGAAATCATACGGCTCTCCAAAAGACTCATATCACCGGAGCCCTTGATTTCCTTGAGCTTTTTGTACACATCCCTCATTTCTTCGTTGTTCTTCAGCACCTGTTCGTTCAAATACTTCACTTCGGCATCAACATCCGATATCTCGTTAGAGGAAATGTAAGGTGTAAAGCTTATGAAGTTTTCAGCGCCATTTTCTTCACTGTCCGGTAACGAAACTAACGCATCCCTCAATTTTCCGAGTCCAACGTCGATTGATACATACTGTATTTGTGAATAGTTCTCTTTGGTATTTTTTAAAACCAACAAAGCGAAAGTTTTCTTAGATCTGAGTGTATTACCTGCAACTGTTGGTACACTCAACAAAGTGGCATTTCTCGGTGGTTTAGCGTTGACGTTCTGTTCCTTCGACCTGGAATATAAGTCAAGCGAAGACAATAAAGCTTCATATTGGATATCGATCAACGCAACGGTACTACCTTTAGTCACTAGGACTCTGTTTGTAGAAGCACACATGATGGAGGTTGGTGCATCTTGTGGCTCATGCTTGAAAACACCGCCAATTTTCAAAGTCTGTTCATTGTCAATCAAAGGCAAGTCATACGACTTAATCACAAGTTCTGGTTCATGCTTGAGAATAATCAATTTGCCAGAGATTTCGTGAGTGAATTGTAGTTCATCAATTGATCCAAGACCAGAGATGGTAGAGCTGGAAATCTCGAGAACTTCGTTGCTGTTGATTGAGTAAATACGCACAATTATGGAATCCCTCTTCGAGCACGTTTCTGCCGTTAACAACAATTGTTCAACCTTTTCTGAACGAGAATCAATCTTCAGTTCTTCAGGCTTGAAGAATTTATGGAATATCACTCTCCTCTTTTTATGTGCAAGACCATCTGCGTTAAAGTTCAAGATTGGTGTTTCAATTTCATTTGTATCGACTGAAAATTTCCAGACATTAATTACTCCGTTGGCGGATATCGAAAAAACAGATTTCGAGTCTTTTGAGAATTTCAAGCCTATGATTTCACTGTCAACGGAAATCGACCTATCTCTAACTTCTTTAATATTTTCCAGTTCATTCGTATGTCTTTCTTCTTCATTGACTACCGACATCGAACTGCTTTGGTTTTCGTCTTCCAAATTGCTGCCGTTATTATTTTCCTCTATACCATAAGTGATGAATTTTAATTTGCTCTTCTTACGTTCTGTGTAACCAATGGCAAAGAGTTTTTTGTCATTCAATAAATGGTTGTTACTACTCTGATTATTAGAGCTTATATCCTCGAAGTCAAAAGATTCCATTGCTGTAATCATCGCTTGCGGAGATAAAGCGTAGGACCATATCATTTTAGGAGAAGGCCTGGTGATAAAAGTGGCAATATATGAGCCACTGATACTAATGTCAAAACTGCTAGAATGCGCATCGTTTATTTGAGAAGTGAAACAAAGCTTCGAGACATCTGATTTAGGTGGGAGTCTCGGAAGATTTGTCACCACAAATGGATCATAAATAACCGACGACATATTCTGCTGTTTGAACGGAAAAGTTTGCTTGTTATTTACACAAACAGCTATCCTGTCTTCCCATCTTTTTCCAAATGATAATGTCTAAACTGGAATAAATAAAAATTTTGTCGTGCATAGATGAAAAAAAAAGTTGCAAAATTGAAAAAAAATATTGGTGCCTTTGTATAGAGTGGGAAAGAACAGGGGCTGGTCACGTGCTCAAGATCAAAAAGACGTGGTCAAACACGACTAGCTTCCTGAAGTTACAGCAAAATTACAACAAAGATAATAACATAATAGAAAATAAATCCCATTGATTTTTTATATACTAATATACACCCTAAATAAAATAGAAACAGATTTTTTTGACGAAGACAAACCGGCTAAATTTAAGCAGTAGCAGCAGAAGTGTACTTAGTGACAGCTCTGGTACCTTCAGAAACAGCATGCTTGGACAATTCACCTGGCAAGATCAATCTAACGGCAGTTTGAATTTCTCTAGCGGAAATGGTAGACTTCTTGTTGTATGCAGCTAATTTGGAAGCTTCTGACGCAATTCTTTCGAAAATGTCATTCACGAAAGAGTTCATGATAGACATTGCCTTTTGGGAGATACCGGTATCTGGATGGGTTTGCTTCAAAACCTTATAGATGTAGGAAGAATAAGTTTCCTTTCTGGTCTTAGATCTCTTCTTAGTTTCGGTTGCTGCAGCGGTTTTCTTACCAGCTGGCTTCTTCTCAGCTGGAGCTTTGGATGCGACTTTGTCTGCCTTTGGAGCCATTTTGTGATTACTTTTGGTTGTTTAATAAACTTGAGTTGAGAAAGGAAAAAGAAAAATAAAAATAAAATCAACAGATACTACACCCAGAGAGAAAATCAAACCGAAACAAATCGAGAGAAGTGGGAAAGCTCTGGGAATGGGTGTGGATTTAAATAACAACTTCACCTGGCAAGCCATGTATACGCTCAGCAGGCAAAAATGGGATTGTTTATTATTTAGCGTCAGTTTCGCGCGCATACTTTTTCTTCTACATGGCCTTAACAAAATTGCAAAATCAAACTTTTACCTCACCATCAGTTAGTTTTTTATCTGTTTCGCACCTTTTCTACCGGACCAGTTTTTAACACATCGCGTGTAAACTACAGACCGCTCGCCCTCCAGCCTTCCCGGATTAGCCACACCCTTTTCATTGTTATGCTGTCCTCAAAGCTTGCTTTGTCTGTTGCACTACTGCATCTTAGACTTTTTATGAATATATGGCATTTTTTATAAATACAAGCAGCAATCCCCTTCTTCTCCACCCTTTTCTTCCCTGTTGGTTGTGTAGTTCATACTCAATTTCACAAATTAATTCTTTTTTTCTTGTATTCTTTTCTTTCTCTAAGCAAAGTATCAAACACTTACAAATAAATACAAATAACAATGTCCGGCGGTAAAGGTGGTAAAGCAGGTTCTTCTGAAAAAGCATCAACTTCAAGATCAGCAAAAGCTGGTTTGACTTTTCCAGTCGGTAGAGTCCACAGACTCTTGAGAAAGGGTAACTACGCACAAAGAATTGGTTCTGGTGCTCCAGTTTATCTGACTGCAGTTTTGGAGTACTTAGCTGCTGAAATCTTAGAATTGGCAGGTAACGCCGCAAGAGATAACAAGAAGACCAGAATCATTCCAAGACATTTACAATTAGCCATCAGAAATGATGAAGAATTGAACAAGTTGCTTGGTCATGTCACTATTGCTCAAGGTGGTGTTTTGCCAAACATCCACCAATCCTTGTTGCCAAAGAAGTCTGCAAAGGCCAAGGCTTCTCAAGAATTATAAGCATCTTGATGTTTGGGTTATAAAAGATTGTCTTCTTCTAAGGGTATAAAATGTGTATATTAGTTTTTTCTTATTATTTCCAGTGTATAGTGTGATGCTATAAACTCAAAGTTAGCCATAAGTCTCCGCTTCGCGGTCATGAAAATCATTGTGCTCTTCCCTTTTAGGAAAGAGGAAAGGTATCTTATACGAAAGAGGCACCGGGGCAACTTCTACATATACAAAAATTGATGAGCCTCAGGATTGGGTCAAAAATCTGTTGCCCTTCTCCAGAAATGGACTTATTCCCCTGTTTGCTTATTGCTTTTACCTCTTTCTTCTTTTCCTGCTCCCTTTCTTCTTCTTCTTCTTCCTCTCATGTCGCTTTCTTTCTCTATATTTCCTTTTTTTCTCTCTTTCTTTCTCCAGGACTCGGATACTACTCATCGTACTCAAAGCTCTCCTTTAAATAATCGTAAATACATTAACAATGCCAATCAGAAGAATTCTCAAGGTTGTCAGAGAACAATACGACTCTTTACAAAAGAGATTCGGTAACACATCAGACAAGAAGGAGACAACTGCACCTCTTGCAGATGCTGACGCTCCAGCTGACGAACAACCAGCTGCTGAAGAAGCACCAATTGCTGCTTCTGCTGTGAAGTCAGAAGTTGCTGCTTAATTCAGAAGGCAAAACCGCTGAGCTTCCCTTTGTTTTAGTATCATCATGAGTTTTTTTTTAATCTTCCTAGCTTTCAATTGACTTTCTTACTTTGAATATTTTTCCTCTTCAAGGTTTTTTTACTAAAAAAAACATTTGCTAATTACTGATGTTTCTGATTTGATGTTCTCTGTGTTAATGTAGCTCCATCTTTTTTTTTCTCCTCGAGTTTTAATTCAAATTTAAATATATAAATACTAAATAATATTTGTATAACACTTTAATCAAATAATATATTCAAATATCCATCAAAACAAAAACGTGTTAGTTGGTTAAATAGTATTAGTTTGTTGGTACAGAAATATACATGTTTCGTGCTAAACAAATTGAAATACAAAGACTTATTGATTAGTGGTTCAAAACTTATTGTACAACGTAATCCCAAACACAAAGTTCTCCTTCTAGTGAGACTGACACAAGGCTTTTGCCTGAGTGGTGACTCTTCACCTGCATTATTGGACTATCACACTCGCTAGCCTTCAGGTTGAAAAGTAACTCTTGTGACTGAATATCCCAGAACAAAATGTTACCTTGCTCATCTCCAGAGTTGATCATTGATTCATTATTGTAGACAATAAAATTCGTTCCTAACGAGTATTTTTCAGCAATGGGTAAACCATCTACATTTCTGTAGGTTTTCAGCACTTTATTATTCATGTAATCCCATAATCTGAGAACACCATCCAACGAGCTTGAGAGAATGTATTTGGAGTTTGGGGAGAAGCACACGTGGCTGATAGGAAAAGAGGAGCCTTCTTTGTCGTAGATCAATGTTTTCAAACATCCTCCTGTCTCGGTGTCGAACAATCTGATTAACCCGTCATATGAGCCACTTACGATGATTGTGTCGTCGAAGCTGAGGTCCAAGCTTGAGATCGGGTCGGAATGGGCGCTCAATGTCCGCATACTACGGCCTCTTTTGCAATCCCACACTCTTATATTTTCGTCGGACGACCCGCTGATTAGTATTCGTGATCTTTTGTCGAATTTCAAGCAATTCACGTGGTATGTGTGGTTTTTCAAAAGTTTGATTGTTTTCTCGTACTTGAGATCCCATATGCGGATTGTCAAGTCATCAGATGCGCTAGCTAGATACTTGTTGTTAAACGAAAACGCTATGTCGGAGATACCTTCGTTATGTCCTCGCAGTGTGGCAAGCAACTTTCCTGTTTGTGCTTCCCAGAGCTTGACGGTTTTGTCAGCCGAACATGTTGCGATAGTGTGACCGTCGGGACTAATTTCCACAGTAGATACTAGATGCTGATGCGTTTTAGGTATTCTATATCGAAGTTTGTATTTGAGGCTATTGTTGTCCATTATTCTGTGTCCACTGTTGTTGTACTTTACAAGCTGGCGCAGTGTTTTACCGGGAGATACGTGCTAACACGTGCTGGCCGAGGTAAGTCCCACATCTACGGTCGAGGATGAGGTAAGACCGCGAGGATTTTATCACTGTGAAATTTCTTACGTTGCGAGGAAAAATACTATTTCTTGCGTTCACGGAAGAGAAGTAGATAATAAGTGGCTAAATAGTATACAAGAAGCTGATGACCCAAAAAAGTGCTATTAAAAACAAAAAACGAGAGGAAGATGCGAAGTGAAGGGAATAGTATCATATATAAATCCGGACAGTGCCTACGCCGGGTAGTGTGAAGGACTATCTGTATTGTTTGGCGGTTTCGTTCATCACGTTTTCGTAGCTTGGAGGCCCTTCGCCGTCATCGTTGTTGTCGTTGTCGTTGTCGTTGTAGTTGAAATTGTAGTTGCTGGAGCCCTCATTGGGGCCGACAGCACCGTAGCTGTTCTCCACACGGCTCAGCGGGGAGGCGACGTACTGGCTCCTCTGCGATTTCATGAGCGGGGTGTTTGAGCGAGGACTCAAGCTGTTGGAGTTGAGCAGGTTGTTGTTGTTGAACTCGGAGTTCTGCGAGTTGTGTCTGCTGCTCTCTAGAAAGGGTTCCGGGTGGTTGAACTTGATGCGGGTCTGGTTAGGCTGCTTGTTGATCACCACGTGGGTGGTCTGCGAAGGCGAGACGATGAAGATCTGTCTCTCCTCGTCGTCAACACGCACCTTGTCCGGGTTTTCGAGGATGATGTACCACGCGTGCAGCATGCCGGGAATCCATCCTAAGAGACAGAGACAGACGTTGATGAGGAAGTCGCACGAGCAGAGTCCCTTTTTGATGCACACGGGCAGCGGAGGGAACAACACAGCGAGGACGATGAGCAGACAGTCGCAGCAGCAGCAGTCGCAGCAGCAGAAACACATGTGGAGGGGGGTGCAGGGGGAGGTGGAGTGAAGACCGTTTGGCTGTGAAAGAGGGTTAGTGGCAATAGAAATCCAAGTGGACACGCAAACACAGAACTAGCTCGTAGATCAGCACAACGGCTGCCTGCGAAGAAGGCGCTGCCCGATGTGGATAGAGACCGCCCGCAGAACGGCAGAAAAGCTCTGTTTTAAAGACGAGCCCGCAATGCGCCGTGGGGCAGCAGGCAAGCCGGGTCCGCAAAACCGGCGTGTTACGTAAGCACCCCCGATCGGGGCGCTCCCGCGTGGAGCGCCCCGAAGGAGAACGTCGGCCGCACTCGCTGGGCCGGGCCCGGCGGGGCGATAGTGATAGGCAGAACGGCAGGACAGGGGCCCGGCGCGGTTGATGTTCGTGGCGATGGAGCGGGGTGCCTGTAGGCCGGTGCTGCGGCGAGATGCAGGACCGGGTAGTGAAGGCAGCGGGTGTGCCGGTTTCGCCGTTCGCGGAGGTCGGCGTTGGCGTGTGTGTAGCTGTGAGTGTAGCCGGGAGGCGTGGAAATGTGTGTAGTGTACAAAGGTGGCAGGCGTGTATGCGTGATGGGTTGAAAGGAACGCCGGCGGTGTCTCGACTGGCGGGTTCCCTTCTGCACCGGCCCGGTTCAGAGGCGTTCCAGGCACTGGCGCAGGGCAGGTCTGGGCTGGCAGGCAGGCTTGCGGGCGCTGCTGACGAGCGGGGGCAGTGATGTAACTTGAGGAGCAGCAGCAGCAGCGGCAACTCTGCCGGCGGGAGGGCCCGCCGGGACCGCCCGCCAAAGCGGCGAGCCGGCGGGACAGGGTGTTGCAGCCATCGGGATTGCCCGTGTTGTCGCTGTCCCGGGTGGGGAGGTGCGGGCCGCATTAGCGCGGCGGCGTCTCAGTGGTGAAGAAGAATGGGACGAAGAAAAAAACAGAGTTGGCTGGAGACGCGAGCCAGCGGTGAGTGAAGAAAGAGGGCACTTAGTCTCGGTTGTTCGAAATCGCAGAAGGAAGAATCCCCCGTTCTACGAGTTTCTGGGCCCTTTTGGGCCAATTGGATGCGGTGCAAATTGCAGGAGGCTTTTCCAGGATGGGGATGCACAAGGGACCGGGCGGTTGGGGCAGCGTTGCAGCTGCGCTATCTCGTATAAAGGTGTTCACCATTCCTCCCTCTTGCTCTCGTGGCCCCCCTCCACCCCATGCTGCTTGCGGTTCGCCGGCCATCCCTGCCTCCTTGGGCCCCGGTCTTTGGCCTTTGTAATCTTCTTCTTCTTCTTTTCTTCCTCTTTCCTCCTCTTTCCTCTTCTCCCTCCTTCTCCTATCCCTCCATCCGTCAATTCAATTGTCCACACACCTCTATCTTGATATCTGTCTCCCGTCCCACGTCGCACGATTCGCCCACACGCACACTCACGTATCTAAGAACACACGGCATCGGAAAGTTCACCCTATCCGATACACCAAGACTGAGAATAGCTTGTGCACAACACCCTACAAGAGCAGCACTCACACACATATATTCTTGATGTATTTCACGTATCCGTCACCCAGCTACATGGACGACCGCGTGCGCAACAAGATGTCGCTTCGCACGGTAATATCGAACGGAGAAGAGCCCGGGTCCCTGCAGGCTGCTAGACCTTTCTACCTCTACAAGGGTTTGGACCCAAAGAAAGAGGAGGCACTGAAGATATATCCGGTGGACAGCAATAACAGCAGCGACTGCCCGGCGTCGAGAAACCCTTCGGTGTCGCCGTTCTCGTCCATCTCCTCTGCCTCCTCGTCTTCGACCATGCTGAACCCCATTCCAACGTATCAGGCCAGAAACAGCGTCAGTGGTCTCGGCTTTGGTGGGAACACCCGGGGTACGCTGTATGCTCTTCCCTCACCTCCTTCGTCGATATCCAAAGGCAGAGTGAGTTCGTTCAGTTTATACCACCAGGTGGCCGAACAACAGCTCCAACACCAGCAGCTCCATGAGCACTCCTTCTCGCCCTCGTCGTCAACTTCTTCGATGTCGAACTCAGACGTCGACGTGGATGAGTTGGACCACGATCTCGGCCATGAACACGGCCACGGCATCGAAATACAGGTCGACACCGAAACGGACGATATTGGGAACGAAAACGAGCTTATCAAGGAAATTCGATCTGGTATCGAAAACGACAGGGTCAAATATAAATGTAACTACACGGGATGTCATTACAAGGGTACGTTTTTGTCTAAGGATTATTTAAGGAGACACATCAGGGAACAACACAGACGTTCAAAGGAGCACATTTGCAAAGGGTTTCATTCCAACGGGGAAAAATGGGGGTGCAACAAGAAGTTCAGCAGGCCATACCAGTTAGTCAACCATTGGCGGGGACAGCGGTCGTTGAAGCGCTGTGGTGTCCCCCTTGGCGAGCTACGCCGCTGCGGCATCCACTAGGTAGTCCCGCTCTATCGATTTATATCCGTATGTACGCATAACTTTCATTTTCTAACTATATATACCTCCTGTTATCACATGCCACTACTGTCCTACTAACTTTGTTTCTAGACTGGTCGCCTTGCCGCCTTGCCGCCTTGCCGCTGGTCTCGCCTTTAAAAACCTAATTGCCTCATCAGCAGCATCGAATCGAGCCAACGCCATAATTATTTCCCATCGGAAGCTGCGTCCTCCCCGAGGCCGAACCGGCAATCCCGACCGCTGGAAATGTGTCAATTCCGCACCGCCGGCCGCAGGCTGCAGTCTCGAACCGCCCGTTGAGCCCGGCCCCACACACACCCACCGGCGACGATAAACGTAACAGCGGGCGGACGCCCGGGATATATGCGCGCGTTGCCACATACATATAATGTATTTCGGGCTAACGCCAGTCGCTTCGCAACGCCCGAGATCCAAGGTTCAGGGGCCGGCTGTTGCACAAATACGCACTGCCAGTCGCAGCTCGCAGCCCCCAGCCTGCAGTCTGCAGCCTGCAGCCGGAGGAGAAGGCAGAAGGAGAGGCGGAAGAGGCAGAAGCAGCGGGGCGAACAGGGAAAGGATTCCGCCGGCCGCAGTAAGGAGGGGGAGCTAGGGGTCGCTGGAGGGAGGCGCCCACCCGAACACCCACCCCTCTGCCCGTATTTGGCCCCGTGTGCTGTGCTTTCGGGCTCCTGCTCCTTCCGGTGCAAAACAGCCGTATTCGCGTTTGCGTTCGCGTTTGCGGCAGCTGCCACTGGGTCTCCCTGAATTCCCCTGGCTGGCCTTGCCGTCGCTCCGACGGCTGAAGCGGGGCGAGGAGGGTCTGGCCCACCCCAGAGCCCAGAGCCTGGATTTCAGTGGGGCTCTGGGCTCTGGGCGCTCGTCCGGTGCCCGGCTTTCCACATGCATCCATGCATGCAGGTTGTCGTTTTCGGTAAGTGGGATTGCTGTCGTATGCACACAGAGGTACGATCTGGGGCAGGGCGGCCCCGCGCAACCTGCCCCAGGCCACACCACGCTACACCCTGTGACCTACGTACTCTATTCCATTCCGTTCTATCCTGCGATAGTATTTGGGACTATCCTATACGACAGGGTGGACGGCTGGTTCAATCGGCCCGAACACCGTATGCAATTCGAGACCAGTGGAGGTTGCATGTATGTATATAGACGGAGTCAGTAGCTAGCACGAAGCAGAGCAGCACGTAGCGGAGCAGCACAACAGGGGCCAAGCAGGAATGGCCACAATGTTGTCGGATGTCCTCTGTTGTGCCGCGTTACTTATTGTACGCTGTTATCTGCGAAGCGGTCCCTGTTGTGTAATCTGCGAAGCAGGCCGACAAGCTGGTCTCAACCCGAGGCAGGCGTAGGTAGATCCGGAAGAGACACGCAGAAAGTGAAGAAAAAGAAAAGAGAGGGGAAAAAAAGAAATAGACGGGCGCATAGAAGAGGCGTGCGGACTGCGGAAGCCGATGAGAAAGCTGTAGCATACGGTCCTGAAAACAGAGGGTTAACCGGGCGTCCCCGGTGGTGCATACAGGAATGCAAAATGGGAAGGAGGAGGAAGCGTTGGGCGAGGGCGCTCTCCGCTGGAAAAAGTGCGGGGCCTAGGAAGCGAGACGCCGGAAGACTCCTTTTGAAGCATTTTTCACCTGCGCGGTCTCATTCTAGCAGTGAATTACGCATCATTACCGCTTGCCGGAATTAAAACAGAGCTTCCAAGGCGGAAAAAAACAATGTTGTGTTACGTAAGCCGGAGACGGTGGCGGCTTAGAGAGAGACCTGGCAGATAAGTAATGGTCATTTTGTGATAAATCACAAAAGAGAACACCAAAGAAATGATGCTGTTGTCCTTGTAGAGAGAACATTTAGGACCTCGAAACCAGCCACACCAAAAGAGCACCGTATATAAAGGTGTGGAGCTGCTTAGCGAATGTCGTAGCCGAGATACTTGTTCGGATCTGCAGGATGATCTTCGGTTCCGCTCCCACCCTCACTTTTATCACGAAGTAGCAATCCACCGACCGACCGATGAATAGCACAAAAGTCCTGCAGGAACCATGGCAGTTCATGGGACTGGAGCAATCTCAGGCGCCCGACCTGCTCTCCGAAGAAGAATACTTCGCTGAGACCTCCGATGACGTCTCCACCGCCCAATTCCAAATTCCAAAAATCTACTGCAGCACTAAGGACAAGAAGTTTGATCTTTTCGACAAGTTCAGCTATGCGCAGCTAATCGAGTTTTTGGTGAGGTCGAGAATAGCTCAATGCCATAGGGCTGACAAGTCCCCGGGGCGGGTCCCGAAACAGGGCAAGCGGGACAGGGGGGTCTTCTACGAGTGGCTCAAGGCTCACGTCGACTTGCACAGCAAACAGTGTAACGACTTCATCACCGAGAACGAGAACTCTTTACTCAGGCTGAAAAACAAGCGCCAGCTTCTCATGTTCTTGAACCGGAGATTTGAAAAGACTCACCACTTGCGAAATGACGCATCCAAATACACAGACCGCGTAAGCATCTTTAGATCTTTGGTGAAGGGCAGCACTTCGACTAACGCTAACCCAGTGGTACTTCCCGTGCTCCTCTTCTCAATGCTACTTACCTTCGTCTTTGTCTTGATGTTGTTTACACTTTTTTTCAAAACCAACACATTCGAGCGGCTCTTCTACTCGTATCCTCCGTATATGCATCTCATAAAGACCTCAAAAACATTTTTGTTGGCGATGGTACGGGATTTATGAAAAATTGTATATCCTTCAATTGTTTGGTACAGCCTTTATATAGATATATATTGCCTAATTTTGGTTTCACCCATGTTGCCACGAATGGCGGCTTCTCCAAGATTCGCTCGAGAAGAGGTTCGCGACAGTGAAAAAGCATTAGTCAAGCTGGGCGCTCAAATGATGAAGAGCACATTTACAGGTATTGTATTATTGTTTTGAACTCAAATCCGTGTTTGTCAAAAGTAAATGGTACGAGGGTCAAAGACCGGCTGCTCTATATTTGTTGTTACTCATTAGATTAGCTGCAATGGGATCACTCAAGACATTTATAAAGTCTGTCCGGAACAGCAAAACAATTGCTGCAGAACGTGCAGTGATCCGGAAAGAAAGTGCTAAAATAAGGTCTTCGTTTAGAGACATTCATCTGGACAACGACAAAAGAAAAAGAAACATTCAAAAACTTTTATATTTGTACATTCTAGGGGAGCCAACGTACTTCGGACAAGTCGAATGTTTGAAATTGCTAGCGTCTCCACGTTTTACCGACAAAAGAGTCGGTTACATGGCCACCATGTTGATATTGGACGAATCCCAGGATATCCTCACACTTCTTACCAACTCATTGGACATCGATATGAAGTCATCAAATCAATTCATTGTCGGGTTGGCTCTATGTACACTTGGTAACATTGCTTCCCCTGAATTGGCAAAAGACTTGTATCCTGACGTCGAGAAACTATTAACATCTCAACAGTCTTACATCAAGAAAAAAGCTGCACTAGTTGCTGCCAAATTGGTCGAAAAAGATCCCATGCTAACTGAGGTTTATTTGCCTTATATCAGTGACCTACTCAATGAGAAATCACACGGTGTATTATTGGGTACTTGTTGTTTAATTGATTCTATTTATTACCATGATGAAACAAGTCGTCCGCAACTAAAGCAGTTGGTTCCTAAATTACTTGCACAAATCAAACTATTGACAACAACTGGATATTCTCCCGAATATAGTGTCAAGGGAATTTCGGACCCGTTTTTGACTGTTTCTTTAATGAAGTCATTGAGGACTATTCTTCAGCATGACAATGATTCCCAGTATTTAGAATCACTCAATGACTTATTGACTCAAGTTTGCGCAAATTTCGAGAACACAAAAGGTGCAGGGTGTGCGATATTGTATGAGACGGTGAAAACTATCTTTGCTGTTGATTCAGATTCCTCACTAAAGGTTTTAGGTATCAACATTTTGAGTAAGTTTTTGATTCAAAAGGACAACAATATAAGATATGTTGCATTGGATACCCTTTTACAGGTGATTGAGTTTGAACCATTAGCTGTGCAAAGACACAGAGCAACAATCGTTGGCTGTTTGCACGATGGTGATATATCCATTCGTCGTAGAGCTTTAGAATTGACATTTGGCATCATGAATCAGCAAAACATCAAACTCTTAACGAAGGAGTTATTGAAGTACTTGACGAATGAAGAAGATGAAGAATTAAAGACCTACATAACAACCCAACTATCCATATCATGTGAAAAATACAATGCTAATTTAGAGTGGACCTTAGAAACGATGATTTCAATGTTGAACACAGCAGGTAATTATTGTAATGACACCATTCTATCTTCCATTCTAGCTATGATTATGCAGGTTGGAAATAAAAGCCTAACTAAGAAAATCCTAACTGATATGATCACCACCTTGAAGGCGGGGCTATATGATCAGTATGGATTATCTTTAGTCACAGTCTGGTGTCTTGGAGAATACGCAGATTTGGTGATTGCAAATATTGACAAAGAGATAACAGAGGAATCGATTGTCGAGTTGATTAATTCTGTTCTTGCAGTTGCCAATTATTCTACGGAACAGCAGAAAATTCAAATCAAAATTTACGTTTTGACCTCATGTTTGAAATTATCTACCAAAATTCAAAAGCCAAGTTTAATTGAGAAACTCAGACAGATAATCAATCGATCCACAACTGACATGAATCTTGAGATTCAATCACGTGCCATTGAGTATGCGAAGATTTTCAGTGAACCTATATCTATTAAGAGGGGATTGTTAGAAAGAATGCCGGCTCCTAGCATTAGAAAGCATGAGAGCCTGTCTCTATTGAATAGATCACACAACCTGGTGTCCGGTAATGGTGCAGGTGATGGAAGCTCTAAAACAGGTGACATTCTATTAGATTTACTGGGAGACGATTTTGCTAGTAGTAACAATGCTGGCGGCAATGTGAAGAAAGAGAAAGAGTCTGCGATTGACCTTCTCTCTGATATTTTCGGAGGTTCCTCTATAACCAACAATGCTGCAAATCCTGCTGAGCAGAAAAATGGTAACATATTGGGATTGTTCAACAGTCAAGCTGCTGGTAACACCACTGGTGGTTTCAATGGTACGACTATTGCTGATAGCCCTAGCTTAGCAAGCTTTACTGCGAAAATTGCCGAGCCTGAGTCAATCGAGGGCTTCAACGATGGTATGATCAAAGTTGGGTTTGTGGAAAAGAGCGTTGGGAACGGGGCTGCCAATTTGGAGGCGATAGTGAAAAACGTAAGCACAACCGGTGCATCTATCAGCGGGATATCTGTTTTGTGCGCTGTGCCAAAGCACCAAAAGTTGCAGCTATCTTCCATCTCGAAGACGGTTCTTGCTACGCAGGATTTTACAGTACTGGACGTAAAGATTACTGGAAACCCAGGCTCAAAGGTGAAGATCCGTGTGAAGCTCAGTTACGTTGCCAACGGATCCAAGGTGGACAGGCAGTTTGACTTTGCTGGCGTGAAGGCGGTGTTGTAATTTGCCCATAACCTATCTATAAACTATTAGTTTCGATCACCTGCATGCTCATACAGTATATACGTAGAGTCGGGAGCGACGCGTCGAATTTGAGTCTGTCTGTTTTGCGGCATAAATTGCGGGCGAAGAAAGCGGAAAGGAGAAAAAAAAGTCGGACGAGCGTGCGAGGGTGGGAGCAGAAAGGCAAACGATGGATAGGCAGCTGGCCAAGGGACGAACACCACTTCCTCTCTGCTGAGACCTGTATGAACAATTGAGTAAAGCCAACACAGCAGCACAAGCAATCAGACTCAGCAATGGATTTCAAAAACATTCAAGTTCAAGCACAACAATACTTGACCAAGATCGATGCAGTAAGTACCGCTCGTTTTTGAGGGTTAGTAGACAGCTCAGCCTACTAATACCCGCTACCCCTTTGGATCTCTGCGACAGGATGTGAAACTAACATTGGCGGTCAATGACCATAAACCTCGTTCTCCACAGAGCACCAAGCACGTCTCCGTCTTGGACACCTTTGAGGCTCAAACCAAGCTGCCAAGATCCTACGCGGTCTTGGGTGCCGGCGCCCTCTACTTCTTGATGGTCTTCTTAAACTTTGGCGGGATTGGCCAATTGTTGAGCAACCTCGCCGGGTTTGCTCTTCCAGGCTACCTCTCCTTGAAGGCGTTGAAGACCAGAACCAGCACCGACGACACCAAGTTGTTGACCTACTGGGTTGTGTTTGCCGCCTTGCAAATCGTTGAGTTCTGGTCCAAGACCATTCTCTACTGGATCCCAGCATACTTCTTGTTCAAGACTTTGTTCTTGCTCTACATCGCTTTGCCAAGCACCAACGGTGCCGAGTTGATCTACAAGAGCGTTCTTGCCCCATTGACCGACAGATTTGTCGTTGCCGACGGTCCAGCCGCCGACTTGATGGACAAGGTTGGAGAGAAGGTCGAGTAAGTTTCCCAGTGAGCAGAGCTGAGAGAGAGACAGGCGCACCCCCGTCTCACATTACACTACACGTTCGCTGTACCCATTCACCCGGGTGTGCCACACCCACTTTATTCGTTGTCTTTATATTTTTTCTCTAGGATGATGAAGTACGTATATATTTTTTTTCCTGAATTTAGTTTCATCTGATAAGATGAAGGCTTGGTTGGCTGATTACCTTTTCACAGACGCCCTGCCCCTCCTCCCTGGCGCGAACCGCGGCCGGGAAAGAAAAATGATGCCGATGTAACAAAAACCCTCATCGGGTCGATCGGCTTTTTTTCTCGACAACCCGCGTCGATCAGCGTCGGAGAATGGAGCTCGGCGCTCGGCGCTCGGTGCTCGGCGCGGTGAAACGCAGCCGGACGCGGCCATGTAAGCGTCCCGGCGGTGCTTGGCCGGGCGGCAAACACCGTTTCCCGCACAAGCGGCGGAACGGCGCCAGCAAGGGCCGCGCTGGGCGGGTGCGCCGCCTTTCCCCGTTTCTCCGTGGCAGCCAACGGTCATCTGAGTCGAGGACGGTCCGCCGCCGGGGGGGAGCAGTGTGCCCCGGTGAGGGGAAGGGTTATGTTGCAGGGGCGGGGTCACGGCTGGCGCTTACGTGTGGCGGGCGCTGTGGGAGAGGAGACGGGCAGGGAGGCAGTGACGGGAAGCAGTACGAGGACAACGAGACAGACAGACAGGCAGGCCCGGGCTAGACGAACCTGGCCGGCCGCTGAATAAACTGCTGGTCTGGCTACTTCTGGTCCGGGGCGTTGGCGAAAAGTTCCCTTCGTCCAGGAAGGAGGGCTGAACGCCTCTCCTGCGGCCTGCCCCACCCCCGCAAAATAGCGACGCCGGCACACAAGCCCGGCACAGCTCCCATTTACCCATGAGTCGCGGGCGCCGCAGCGGCTGCGCGAGAAGGCCGCCATTGTTCCTTGCGACAGGTTGTGACCACGGCCAAAGGTTTGCCGCGGCTAGTGAGTCAATGTCGAAGAATGTCCGTCCGTCACTGTGCACGCAGAAAGTGCACACGTTGGATGAGCTCCTGGTGACCCCGTCCCCCCGGATTTTACAAAAAAAGATATAAAAACAAACAGCCGGCCTGCTGACGACGGACTGCAGTTTTTTCTCTTCCCCCCACCCCCCTGACTGGCACAGAGACACGTATATAAGCTCCTGCATCTCTCCCCTGGTTTACCTCTTGAACTTTTGTTCTGTTCCCACTCCCCTTCGTTTCGTTTCGTTTGTCTGTTGCGCCCAGGTCACTCTGTGTAACTTAACCGGACAAGAATAAGTAGTTTCTTTCGTTTCTGCACTGTGCTTCCTTTCTTTCTCTCTCGTTGCACGTAAAGGAAAAACACTCAAACACACATATACACACACACACACACACAAAAGATGATCTTCAGCAAAAAAGATAAGGCTGCCGAGGACAGCAACGCAGACGTCGTGCAGCATGAGTACGACGTGAACTCGCTCGGATCTGACCGTCCAGACCTCGAGGCCCAACCGTCGAGCGCCTCCTTCCAGACGTTCAAGAGCGACGACCCGAACGCCGGTGCACTCAGCATCCACATGATGGAAAAGCCAGATCTGTCCTGCCCCTCCATCACCAGATACCTCAAAACCAGATTCACAGAGCTCCTTCCAACGAAGCAGTCCATCGCCGCCAACCGACATCTTCTCAACCCACTCCCGGGTTTGAGGATGATTGGAGGCAAGCAGTGGTTGATGATTCTCTCTGCCTTCATAGCATGGTCCTGGGATGCCTACGATTTCTTCTCCATCTCGCTTAACGCCAAGGAGCTTGCAAACGATTTCGGCAAAACCGTCAAGGACATCACGTGGGGTATCACTGTCGTGTTGATGTTGAGATCCGTCGGAGGCTTCTTCTTCGGGTATCTTGGTGACAAGTACGGTAGAAAGTGGTCCTTGATCCTCAACTTGATGTTTGTGTGTGTCTTGGAAATCGGTACCGGTTTCATCAAGACGTACGAACAGTTCTTGGGTGTCAGAGCGGTTTTTGGTATCATGTTGGGTGGTGTCTACGGTAACGCTGCTGCTACCGCCTTGGACGATTGTCCACTTGAGGCTAGAGGTTTCATTTCCGGATTCCTACAACAAGGTTATGCTTTCGGTTACTTGTTGGCTGTCGTCTTCAAAAGAGCCATTGCAGATAACGCCAAGCAGAGATGGAGAGCCATGTTCTGGTTTGGTTCCGGTGTCTGCTTCTTGATCTGTGTCTTTAGAGCAATGTTGCCTGAAACCAAGGCGTTCTTAAAGCAAAAGGAAATCGAAAGATACAATATCGAGCACGGCATCCACCAGAAGAGTTTCAAGGAAAAAGCTGTTGACTCTCTCAAAATCTACTGGTTGATGATTCTGTATATGATCTTGTTGATGGCAGGTTTCAACTTTATGTCCCACGGTTCCCAGGATTTGTACCCAACCTTGTTGAGTGTGAGATACAACTTTTCTGAAGATGCACAGACTGTCACAAACTGTGTGGCCAACTTCGGTGCCATTGTCGGTGGTATTATGGTCGGACACTTTTCGAACTTTGTTGGTAGAAGATTGTCCATCATGATCTGTTGTGTTGCTGGCGGTGCGCTCATCTACCCATGGGCTTTCGTCGACAACGCCAACATCAACGCTGGTGTCTTCTTCCTCCAGTTCTTTGTCCAAGGTTCCTGGGGTGTGGTGCCAGTCTACCTCTCAGAAATGGCCCCTCCAGACTTCAAGGCGTTCGTTGTCGGTATCTCCTACCAGTTGGGTAACTTGGCCTCCTCTGCGTCGTCCACGATCGAGACCACCATTGGCGAGCAATTCCCAATGGTGTCCCCAACGGGAAAGAAGATCTTTGACTACGCCACCGTCATGGCCATCTTTGTTGGCTGTGTCTTTGGATACGTGCTGATCGTTGCCTTCTTGGGCCCAGAGCGCCAACTGCGCAACATGGACGGCGAGACCGAGGAAGCCGGAGTCGATTACGAGGTTGAGATGGAGAAGGTGAAGCACGACGAGGACGCCCCTGAGACCGGCTCAAACCAGGGCACGTCGAAGGCTACCTGATTCTGGCGGAAGCGGAGATGGGAGAACACCAGGGGTATCCGGATACCAATGGCTCCCTCTTTGTGATCTGCCTGCGCATGCAATCGCAACATACCTATCTATATATTTCACTCCTGTATTTTCTACCCTACTTCTTATTCACCACAATAATTTAGATCTCCTACGTTTCGTCATGTGTCGTCATGTGTCGTCATGTGCTCACCACCCCGGATGGCTCTTTCTGCTGCTTACGTCATATTTGCTGGTGCGGAAAACCCGGTGCACGTGACAGCAGCAAGAACCACTTACTGCGTCTACTGTGTATGCGAGAGCCACCTGGCCTCAATCCCGGGGTCGCAGCAGGAACACATGTCTGCCAATGCAGCAGAGGGGAGGAGTCCAATTCTTCTGCAAAGAGAGTACTGCCTGTCACCATACAATGACATAATGGCTTGTGTCTACCCCGGCCGGTGCGGTCCTCCGCATGCCCTGTCTACCCCGGCAGGCCCAGCCTGCATCAGCAGGTGCCCGGAATGGGGGCATGCGGGGTGGGGTGCAGGAAACCGGGGATGTGAATTCTCTCTGCGGTCGCTCCGACGTACCGAAGCTCCCGTGCTGTTGACGTAGACGACGAGAGGGGAGGGCTGGCAGCAGCAGGGCCTGCGCACAGAGGCGCCCACGCAAACGCCGCCCTGTCCTCCGTGCGCAGGCCCGGCTGGCGGCCGTAGGGACGCAACGCGCAGCATTTTCTCCCGGCATCACCCGGGCTGTGCAAAAAAAACCTACGGTGCTTACCTAAGCCGGGGCAGCGGACTCGGAGAGAACCGGAAGGCAGGGCAGCTCCTGTGTCTGGCGCCTGCAGGGGCGCCCGCTTCCGGCCTACCATGGACGTCGCCGGAGGGACCGGACGGTGGGTAATAGACGTACAGGTCGTCAAGTACACGGTGTGGCCGTCGTGTTTTGCGTTGTACCCGGGTGTGTCGGTGCACAGGCGCTAGCTACCTGTAAGACCCATCCGTCCCCGAGAGAGGCGCTTCAATAGCCCCTAGCAAGCGGAGGAGACGCCGGACCGGAAGGAAGGCAGCCCAGCCCCGCGCTCCCCACACAGACTGCCCGATCGGGAAGGCCCCGGGGCAAGACGCTTGCACAAAACCTCCGGGACGGGGTCTACTTTTGGCTGCAGTACGTTGACTTCTCCCTGTCTCCGGCCTGCTCCCGTCTTCTGAGCTCCCGCCCGGTATTCTCCCCCCCTAGGCCGCCGTTACGTCGTGGGAGCGCTGTCTGGCGCAGGGGCCATCTGTATAAATAGTGTCGCATCCCCACACTGCCTCGTGGTGTCCGTTTCTGCGGCCTCTTCCAATCTCTTGAATGATAATAGTTTGGCTTGGTAAGTGATTTAGTTCTGCAGCAAATAGAAGGCGTTTGAAATCAAAGCATTTTATTCTTTTAACCAAAACACACCCACACTCTCGCACGCACTCTCTCGCACGCATACACACACACACACACACACACACACACACTTACAGACGAAAACATAGAAACACATACAAACACGCACACAAAATGGCACCAACCGCTGTTGATATCCAGAAGGAATACAGAGAAAACGTCTCGACCGAGCACCAGGCTCCTTTCAACAAAAACGAAAGAAAGTCCTCCATCTCGTCCAAGCTTGGTCTGAACCCAGACGCAAAGATCCACTACAACTCGGCCGTCCCTATCTTGTATGAGGACGGTTTGAAGGAAAAGGGCACTACGATCTCCTCGTCGGGAGCCTTGATCGCTTTCTCCGGAACAAAGACCGGTAGATCGCCAAAGGACAAGAGAATTGTTGACGAAGAAACCTCCTCCGAACACATCTGGTGGGGGCCTGTCAACAAGAAGGTGGACGAAAACACATGGAACATCTCCAAGTCTAGAGCTATCGACTACTTGCGTACCAGAGAGAAGGTCTACATCATTGATGCTTTTGCCGGTTGGGACCCAAGGTACAGAATCAAGGTCAGAATCGTCTGTGCAAGAGCATACCACGCTTTGTTCATGAAGAACATGTTGATCAGACCAACTACCGAAGAATTGAAAAACTTTGGGGAACCAGACTTCACCATCTGGAATGCGGGTCAGTTCCCTGCCAACGTCTACACCAAGGGTATGACCTCCTCGACATCGGTGGAAATCAACTTCAAATCCATGGAAATGGTCATCTTGGGTACCGAGTACGCTGGTGAAATGAAGAAGGGTATCTTCACTGTCATGTTCTACTTGATGCCTATCAAGCACAAGATCTTGACCTTGCATTCTTCCGCTAACCAAGGTGTGAAAGAAGGTGACGTGACGTTGTTTTTTGGTCTTTCCGGTACGGGTAAGACGACTTTATCTGCTGATCCTCACAGAGAATTGATTGGTGATGATGAACACTGCTGGTCTGACCACGGTGTTTTCAACATTGAAGGTGGTTGTTACGCCAAATGTTTGGACCTTTCTGCCGAAAGAGAACCAGAGATTTATAACGCCATCAGATTCGGTTCTGTTTTGGAAAATGTCATCTACGACCCAGTCACCAGATCCGTCGATTACGGTGCTGCTAGTATCACTGAAAACACAAGATGTGCATACCCAATCGAATTCATTCCATCCGCCAAGATTCCATGTCTTGCCGACTCCCATCCAAAGAACATCATTTTGTTAACATGTGATGCTAGAGGTGTCTTGCCTCCAGTCTCAAAGCTGACGAATTCCCAAGTCATGTACCATTTCATCTCTGGTTACACCTCCAAAATGGCAGGTACTGAAGTCGGTGTCACAGAGCCAGAAGCAACCTTCTCTGCTTGTTTTGGTCAACCTTTCTTGGTGTTACACCCAATGAAATACGCCCAACAATTGTCTGATAAAATGGCCGAACATAACTCCAATGCTTGGTTATTGAACACTGGTTGGTGTGGACAATCATACGTCAAGGGTGGTAAGAGATGCCCATTGAAGTACACTAGAGCTATCTTGGATTCTATCCACTCTGGAGAATTGGCTCAATCTGAATTTGAAACTTATCCAACTTTCGGATTACAAATTCCAAAGTCTTGTCCAGGTGTCCCTTCGGAAATCTTAAACCCATCGAAGTTCTGGGCAAGTGGTTCCCAAGATTTCAACTCAGAAGTTACTAATTTGGCACAATTATTCATGGAAAACTTTGAAAAGTACTCTGCAGGATGTACCCAAGAAGTTGTCGCTGCAGGTCCTGCTTTATAAAAAAATATGTGATTCTTCCCCTTTTCTCCCTTTATTTCTTTCCTTTTTTGTTAGTTTAATGTCATCACTTTATTCGTTTTTATTGGAAATATAAAACAAATATAGCATATAGTATTTATAGTATACTCTTTTTTTCTGGGTTTATAAAAAAAATTATAAAATTTTATCAATATTACAGCAAAGAAAGTAAAATAAATAAATAGTGAATAGTTCTGAATATGGTTTATATAGAGGAAGCGGCATAGGTAGAGAAATGTCTCTAAAATAGTTTACTTACTTTTGTGAAGAACCGGAAGCTGGCCATTGATGAGTACTGGTTTGGGAAGATTTTTTTCGTCCACTTGGACTTCATAGCCTGAAGGTGATACAATATTCTCATGGAAACCAGTGATTAACCTCGCCAATGGTTCAGCATACCAGCGAGTATTGTTCCATTTGAAATATCCTACATGTCCGCCCAATGACGTGTTGATCATTGTCATGTATGGGTTATATTTTGCCTGGTCTAGTGGTAGTGCACCTACTTGTAATCCACCCGTGATAGGATCATCCAACGAACTTATGTTAACAAATGGAGTCCTAATTTGTTGTACTTTATAGATAGGTGACGCTTGGGTATAGTAGTCATCTGCACATGTAAAACCAAACATTTTCGAGGTGAAAATATCGTCAAACTTCTTCAACTTCCAAATCTTTCTTATAATTTGATTCGTGTATTGGGACTTGAAGATAGGATTCACCAATAGTTCGTCTGAATGAGACTTCAGTAACATCATCAATGGGAATGTCATTGCTGTTGAGTAAAACAAAGAAGAAATAAATCCATTTTCAAGAAAGTAAGAGGAGCCACGTAAATCCCAGATCGATGCCAACGCAATAGCTAAGGTAACATTGGAATTTTCGCCTTCCTGGGCTAAATAATTAGACATCACAATGGAGCCCAAACTTATTCCAAAAAGATAAATCTTCCTGTTTGGATACTTTTTTTTGAAAAACTTGATCACACCTCGAATATCTTCTGTCCATAAAGCACAAAATAGCCTTGGTGTGGTGATTTTGACATTACCACAACCTCTGGAATTCATAACGTAAAGGTCAAAATCCGGGTTCTCCGAGAGTTTGCTGAAAAGACATCTGATATAAGACTCGGCTGAAGATCCTGACAACCCGGTAAGTGCAATAACAATTGCATTTGAATCAGTACTGCCTTGATCTGCAATCTCTTTTGGGGACATGTACCTGATGAAATTATCGATTTCTTCAGGCTGATTTTCAGGAACAACTATCTTAGAGGTATCAACTCCATCGAACGTCTTTTTGGATACCACACGATCCAATGCCACACACCCTCCATCATCAGCATACATTATCTGACGTGCAAAGTACAAGACATCGACATTTCGAAATCTTCTTATACCGGCAAACATTGTTTGCAAATGTCCGTTGAATAAAAACGGGTTCACCATCGACCATGCCTTCGCCCTAAATTCAGGAATATTTTCATTGATAAACTCCTCCATGTTGATCGAGCCCTTCAGTTTCGAGTTCATAAACCGGACCTGGTGGTACGGGTAGGAAGGCATGACCCGATTGATTATGTCATAGTTGTTTATAAATGAGATGATGGTAAATGAAAGAACCAAAATAACGCATGCATCTTGGAACATTCGGGTCGAAATTCCAATCGAATTGGCAGTACTATAGATGAAATCCGTCAGCGCCATCTCGAAGACGTATCTTTCAGTTCCCAATTAGCAGCCCATTCAATATCACACTCAATAGAGCATCTGCCAGTGGAGACAAATGATCGGGAGAAGGGCGGAAAAGTGACGTAGGAAAAACGTGTACTAAGAAATCAACTTATATCAATCAAATTGAATTCAAGCTTAAAAAATTGTCGTAGAGGATTATTACAAGAGAAAACAAAACAAATTGTAAAGCTCCTTATCAGGGGCTCGAACTCTGGACATTTCAGGGAAAAGTTCTACTAAAAAGCCTAATGCTCCACCGACTAAGCTAACCAGAAATTTCACCTCGCCGTTTTGTCGGTTGCGCTTTTCGGCTCCTACCTGTACAACACTTACTTAAACGATCAGAAACAAATCAAGCCCTGTGCGTTGCAGCTTTATAGCAGACTGTTGTAATCTAGCTATTCTATTATGAATATCCATTGTATATGTTCACTTTTTCTTATGTTTGTTGCTTATTAATTTATAACTAATATAACTAGCCTACAAACTAATATTCTCAAACATAAATACAAGGGACAAACCTCTTGTATTTATACACTTACACCTTCGGTTAAACTTGCCATTATTCATTTATCATGGCGGCTAACTTTCCAGTTTTAGATTACTTAAGATGCCTTATCATGATAAGACTCTTATCTCTTATCACTCGATCATGATTGGCTTCGGCATCTTATCTCAACACCCCACCATAATCTAAACACTTGTAGATATGTTCGACATTCCAGCTAGACCAACAAACTTATTGAATTTAATCTTGGCTAAACTTTTAGTCAACATATCCGCAACCATATTTTCAGTGTTGATTGAAACTATTTCACAGTTTCCTTCTGAAATATGATGTCT